CGCCTACGTTGCGGACTACCCGGAGCAGTGTCTGGTGACCTGCTCCAAGTACGGCACTTGTCCCAAGTGCCAGGTGCCAGAAGCCGGCCTTGAAGATCCTCAGGCAGGGATGCCTCGCAACTCGCTGTGGACGCTAGATGTCCTACGTCGCGCAGCCAAGAATAGCGGGGGAAAGGTCGGCTCCAATGCTTTTGAGAAGGCATGTCAGGAGCTGAACGTCTCTGGTTATGTCGTACACCCCTTCTGGCGCGATCTTCCCTACACCGACATTCACTCATGCATCACGCCGGATGTTCTCCACCAGCTCTACCAGGGCGTCTTCAAACATATCATCGAATGGACCTCGGAACTCGTTGACGAACGCGAACTTGACGCACGCATTCGCTCTCTCCCTCCAGCTTTCGGTACCCGCCATTTCAAGAACGGAATATCATCGTTGTCGCAGGTCTCCGGCACCGAGCGCAAGCACATTGCAAGAATTCTCCTCGCGTGTTTGGTAGGCAAGGTCCCCAAGAAGGCGATCCTTGCCTTTCGCTCAATCCTGGACTTCATTTACCTTGCACAGTACACTACGCACGACGACACGACACTCAGTTACATGGACGACGCTCTCAAGACCTTTCACAAGAACAAAAGCGTTCTGGTCGACCTCGGAGTACGCGAACATCTCAATATACCCAAATTCCATTCTCTACTACACTACGTCGACTCAATCCGCCTTCTCGGGACCACGGACAACTACAACACCGAGGCGTTTGAACGCCTGCACATCGACTTTGCGAAGAGCGCGTGGAGAGCGTCCAACCATCGCGAGGCTCGCCCCCAAATGGTGCGCTGGCTGGAGCGTCGCGAGAAGATGGTAGTCCTCGGCGCATCCATTCGCCGTCAGCTCGTACGGAACGGTGATGTATCTGAGGATGAAGTGGTCAAAGAAGACGTCAACATACCTGCCCCAAGACACAATGCTCGTATCAAATTACCCAAGCACCCTACCTCTCCTAGCCAGTCTCTTCACGCCGTTGTCAACAAACATGATGCTCCCGGATTCATACATTCCCTCGCTCAGTACATTTGGGAGCTCAAGGAAGGACGCGCTCTCACCTCCTCTCAGCTCCAGACCGCTGTCAACAACATGCCACTCACGCATGTGGACATATTCCATGGCTTCAAGTTCGCGCCTGAGTCCTTGACAGACGACAAGCAGGAGACGGATGGAGTGAAAGCTAGGCCGCTCACAGAAACTCAGCCAGCGCGGTTCGACACTGTTGTCGTACTTCGAGGGGAAGACGCTGAAGCAACTGGGCTACAAGGTGTGTAAACCTGTGGCCTGACATACAGAGTGCGCTCACCGTTGTTCACCTTCCAGGCACTCGCATTGGCCGAGTGAAGGTGGTGTTCAAGTTGCCACCGGAGATGAAGGACCCTCGTACGCAGCGTACCTTGCAGACCCCATTGGAGTGGACGAAGCAAGGGGCCCTTGCGTACGTTGAATGGTATGCAAAATTACCGGCTCAGGCGGATCCTTACCATATGATGTACGCTGTAAGCAAGCCCCCGTTGCGCGCAAATGGTCTGCCCCCCAGCGATATCATACCCATTTCCATTATACGCCAATCTTGTCAGCTAGTGCCTTGCTTTCCTAGGTCTAATGATGGTACTAAACCTGATAGTATACCGGAGGACTGGAACACCAATACCGTATTAGATCTTGCGCAGAGATTCCTACTGAACAACTCTGCCTCCAAGTACGCGTATCAAACCCTATGGTAGCATATGTCTGTCCTACACATACTTCATATGACGCATGACACATTTGTTCTTCAGAATGTACCTACTACTACACGTTAGATTAAGTATGTTGTCCACGAGAGATACAGATAGGCATAGACTCGAGGTCAGACGGCGCCGGGATGACGACCACGGCTGAGACAGGCAAATAGTAGTAGAGGGGGAGTGGGATACGTAGCAGGCACGCACGTCTGATGTGTAGTAGTACAGAGGATGATAGATATAGTAGCTGCAGGATTGTCGTATGAGTAAGTGTAGATAGAGGTGGTATGGGCATAGAAACACTCGCCTTGGAAATGGGCCGATTCTACTGCTCCTGCCACGCGAAACAGACAAAGTTGATGATGTTCACGGCCTTGATGCGACAGGACAACTACGACATCTTGGTGATGTACCTCTCGCAGTGAGATACAAAGAAACCACTGGACACTGACTGACTTACCACTCATTGCCGAGTTCATCGACCTCACGCTCGCTGCTGGAAGTTTGCTCCTGGGCCTTCTTCGCGCCGGACTTCGATCGCGACGGACGTGACGGTCCACTCTCTGCGTTCGCTGCATCCTTCGATGATCCAGCTGCAGTCTTGGACGCCGCAGGAGTCTTTGCCTTGCTGTTGAATGACTTGACCGAGTTGATATAGAGTCTACATTAGTGTATGCAACTGGCACTTTGCGTTACTTCAGTTGGCCATTGATAGTCAGAGCCAGTCACTGGTGTAGTGAGAAGATCACTGATGGTCACAAATGCTGGCCGGCGTGCAAATATGTTAGCTGAAGACTGTTTCAGTAAATCAGGGTTTTCCTGATGCAGTTCCTTGTCCCAGTCTGTGAGGTCGGGATCGTCGTCTTCGTCAAGGTGCGCATCTGATCCTTTCTTCTTCTTCCTTTTGGGCGGCTCGAACTGACGAAGAACCATCTTGGCAACTAGGTTAATAATATGACAGAAGCAACGGCTGCGCGCGCGGCCGCCCCGGAACGACAAGATCATCATCTCCATCTCCTCAACCATGACATCATTCGCCGACGCGTTGTCACAAGTGACCGCGAGCATCTGCTCGCAAAGGTGAGTCTCGAAATAGAAGCAATTTCCTTGCATGTCATGATTGTGCTCACCTTCGCATCTAGCTTAAGATCGTGAATCAAGTCAGAGAAGGCTGTTGCGAGGTTGAGTCCGCTATGGGACACTGCGACCTCAACAACATCAAGTACCATCGTCATCGGAGCACCGTTGTGCTCGAAGTGCACAGTGAAGGCTACCATCGCCTTTTGGTTCGGCGAGGTCCAGGCGTCCGTAGCAAAATTCAACTCGCCGTCATATTCCTATCGGTACGTCTATATCTATGATTGGATAGATCTCATGATTGCTTACCTGCAACCAGCGCGCAATACGATCACGCACACGGAGGAACACCTTCCGCACATCACGCCCAACCGTCGTAGGCGACGGCAACTTGTACTCGGGCCGGCCCGTCTTGATCAAGCTCTCGAACCCGCGGTCCTTCACTATGTTGAAGGGCCGCATGCTCTCAGCCACCCAACGCACAATCTCCGCGCTTGGCAACGTTTTAGACGGGTTGTTCCACCGGGTAAGTGCATTATTGGCTCACCGAGTTTCCGTTGGTGTATGCTGAACAGTGGAATATTTGAAGGTCTTCTTGCTCGCCGCGCCGAACGCGATCTTAAGGTTCTGTGTCCGTCGATACTTCTCAACACTATCCTTGGCTTTCGAGGCTGTCGACATCCGATCGGCCGCTGCAAGAGCTTCCTCTCCCCAGCATTTCCGTGTGTGCTTTCTCAGGTTACCTGTTGACGTTGCATCCTTCGACTCCAAGTACCGTCTTACATCGTGCTTGCAACCAGAGTTTGCGCATCGGAAGACGTGCACACGTCGTCTGTCGATGTACGCGATGGCGGGGTCAGGCTTGAAGAACGCGTACACCGGCGCCGTCCACTTGCGCCGCATGCGCGCTGTATTAGTAAGGTGAGTATTGTTCTCTATGGTGAGTTCCTGCTGACCACTTGCCTAGCTCCTGCTCTGCAGTCTCTTCGGCGAGGTCTTCGCCACCTTTGTCTGTCTCGGTCCCACTGCTTTCCTCACCAGACTCGCTCGACGACCCAATCTCAATCGGTTTGTGTCCCTTCCCTTTCGAAATGCTATCATCAACGTCTTCGACGTCTTCAATCTCAACAGAGCGCCGTGTGGGCGTCCGCGCGCTGGCTGTCGAACGGTGCGCCCTGGCCGTTGAACGGTGCGCACTCGTTGCTGCAGACCCTGCGCTTGCCACCGAAGTAGCTGCGCTCACCCCCGAAGCCCCTGCGCTCGCTGCCAATGGCTCACGGCGGCTGCTGCTGGCGCTCGGCTGAGCGTCAGCACTATCGGTACGTGGCTTCTTTGACGTCTTCACAGCTCTCGTCGGTGACTCGGCGGCCCTCCGCTTTTCAGAAGCTATCTTGGGTCTCTTGCTGACGCGGGTGCCGGACATGTTGGGCGAGTGAGGGAGTGGGAGGAGGAGGACAAGGCAATGGCTTGTGGGGTCCCTGATGGTTACTGAAGCTTACGGCAGCATTCCAATTGCGAAAAATGTATATTTATTCTACCGGGACCTGAGCGGGCTGGCTACAAACGGTAATAGCCCCAGATCGAAATCTGAGCAGGTGGTGAGTCGCCCGAAGGCCGGCAGCGTGACTTTCCATAAAGGGTAACTGGCGGGTACACGGGTACGGAAATGGCTACCCGTACCCCTACCCTCGTGTACCCCTACCCGTGACCCCTGCGGGTTGACCCTACCCCTGCAACGCACTAAACATACAGAGCGCCGGAGCCAGAAGCAACAGCGCAATCCAGGGATTGCGGTTCGACACCCGAAGAGCCCGTTATCAATGCTCCTGTGAGAAGGAGGTACTGAGATTCGTACGTTGTATCACCGCGTTTCGGCTTTCAATGTCCACAGCGTCTTCCTTGGCTTTGTATAGCTAGAAGGTGGGTGGACGTCAGCTGAAATCCAAGAGCGTCGGGCGAAGTGTAGCCTATACACGCATCATGGGCACCCATCTTGGTCATTATTCCACTGAAGTTCTCGAATGTGACTGCCTATGGGAGCCATAGTATCAAGCAAGTATGGGAATTGACACTCAGCACTGCGAAGAGGCCTGCCAACAGCAGGACGATGTTGCTGACCCTATGAAGCCCAAGACCACGGTCTGAGTCAACCATCACACTGAGGCCGAGATATTTTCCAGCGCCTCCTCTACAAGGGCCGCGACAGTGGGCGAGCGCGGCATCATAGCACACTCGTATGCTTCAGGGTGACTAGTGGACGGGTGTGTAAGTAAGCCCACGGCATCTTGAGTCACTCCAGTGGCCAGACTAACTGACCTGACGAACGAAGAGAGAAATTTTGCCTTCGGCGTGATGACGTTGCCTTCCGCATCTCGAGCTTTGTCGATGTCGAGGGTTGCGGCAATACTGGCTATTGCCAAGAACAGGGTAGTATCTGCGAATAGGCGGCCGGGACAAAGCCTGGATCAGCTATATGAGAAACTGCGACTGTGTTTGCATAGCAATACAACACTGACCGTCTGCCATACCCGAAGACTATATTGCGAGGATCTTCAATCTCCGTATCGGGCGAGCCTGAGGCTGTGAGGAAGCGTTCAGGACAGAATAGATCAGGATCGCTGTACATCTCTTCGTTACGCGTCATCGCCCTAGTGGAAGACGGTTAGGTTCAGACACGACTGTGACCACGTGGAAGGAATACCTAGAGGGATGGATGGATTCCATCTGATAGTCGAATAGGTAAACGACACCTATATTTTCGGCAAGGCTACCGTTACTCACCGATAGGTCTCCTTGAGAACACAATCGACGTATGGCAGGTTCGGTCTGTCCTCGAGGGAAGGCAACCGAACGTTCCCGACGACGTGGTCCACTTCCTCTTGTACCTTCTTGAATACATCGGGGTGTAAGACCATGGCCAAGAAGAACGTCTGAAGCATCGTCTTAGTCTGTACAAAATGATCAATAGCCGGTCTCCACTATTCACAATCAGAAGACGCACCGTGTCTGAGCCAGCTGATTGTTTCCGTTAGTTCAATGTAATCGTCGCAGAGATAGTCTGAGGTGACAAACCAGCGTATAGTATCCCAGCTGCAAATCGGATGTCATTCTCGTCTTGGTCAAGTCGGTCAGCCTTTTCTGCTTCCTCAATTAATGCTGCAGTGAACGATGGTCGTGCGTCTCCCGACGCCTATGCGAGCTATGTTGTCACGGCAGCAATACCAATTCAAAATTGCAGAACTTACGACGGCTTTGCGAACCATGTCGAATGGGATATTATGAGCAGCTTGTACCAGCTTCCGGGCGTGCAGCGCCTTTCGCTTGAATCCTGCACCTGGGAGCCAGGTAGGTACATGCTTGACTGTGATTTGGTCAGTCGACACCCGTCTGCGATGCACACATCAGTACTAACGAAGTGGGAAGAAGTCCATTATCCCGCCGCCCGCAGGACCTGTGGCACTGGTCGCCTGTACCCCCCGATCCATTAGCAACACGTATGAATCCTCCAATGACTTGATACGATGTCCGTAGACGGTCTCAAGAATCAATGTAGCGGTGAATCTTTGCCGGCACGTAATCAATAACACAGATTGACGGGATAGAAATGAGGATATCTACCGCGTAATATGCAAAATGAAATCCTTCGGCGTTTGGATCAGGTTTTCCAAGAAGATGCAAGTTTCCCGCTGTTGTAGGGCTTCGTACGCGCGAAGGGTGTCCTTCTCGCCGAAGGCGGCTTGTACCCATCGACGCTGCTTCCGACGACTCTCGCTCTGGTATGGTGCAAGCGCCAGAGTTGGATCCCACCCGATCCTGGAAGATTATGCCGCCCTTGTTACTACATGGACCAACCGCAGTGCTGTGAACATACAGCTCGACCATTGTTACCATGCGCGGCCTGCTAGAGTAGATGGCACCTCGCTTGTCCAAAAGGTCTCTCGCAATCTTGGATGAATTGACAATGACCATGCGGCTGCCAAAGAACTCGGCGTAGATGAGATCGCCTACAGATTCTTGGCATTAACATCGGACTATTCGTATACATGAGGCCACTTACCGTATCTCTGTGCCCATGATCTGAATGTATACTCTTGATATTCTGTGGCGGGCAACTGGTGAGCATTTCCTATGAGGGGAAGACGCTTCGGGCCGGGTGGCAGACGATGGCCGGGGAAGCCTCGCCGATAACTACGAATCAATTGAACGAGGAGTGGGCATATCAGCAGTATCGCAGCCCAAACGTTATAGGGCATGACTTGGTACATAGCGAGAGCTGCTGTGTCAGTCAGTAGGATTGTCACACGGAGGACGGGACGCGCCCTTATGTCTTGAGGCGTGCAGTTTGTGGATGTTGTGGCAGGGAGCTTGAATGTCTGACGAACCTATCAGGGTCAAACATCCGCGGCGCGATGATTCTATTGCGCGGAGACTGTAGTGAGCATATGACCAGATAAGTACATGACCTTTGCCTGGATTCGCTGCTGAGGTTGTTCGATATGCATGGAGGCTGGAAGCACGATACCGAGTCCTACGTCTGTCGCCCACGCTACCTCGTGCGTTACACCGCGAGATCGCCGAGATGGTGCGGTTCAGGCGGACACTCAAGAATTCCTTGATCGCCGAACTGATAGTAATAGGTCAACGAAGCTCGAACATAGCCTCCAGATTCAAAACAAAGTCCGGGCCGGGTGCGACGTTGACTCATCGGTGTGAACAAAGTCTAAGGCAATGAGAGCAGTAGACCGGGAACCAGATAACGTCTTGTGAAGTGCATATTCTTGGGTGAGCCACTGTAACATATAAGTACAGATGAAACCCTGGCTTACGACACTGATTGCATACAAATATATCCATGCAGCCGCCAGCTACACTGGCGGAATGCGTTTACATCAACTGTAACTGACAGAACCTATCAGACGACAAAAAATAATGTCCATTAGCATATCTCGTCAAGGTTGAAGAGATGGTACTTACAGCACTTCCGTATGTCAACTTCGGCACAGGTAGTAAGTCACGATAGGCTTTTTTTTTTTTTTTTTTTTGGATGGCTTATTTAGACCTCTGCAATTGACAATTGGTCAACCCTCGGGTCTAGCCGGCGGGTAGGCCCTAGCCGGCGGGTAGGCCTGGGCCTACCGGTGCTTCCAGGGAAAAATGCTCTTACGCACGACTTGTACAAGTCAGTGTGGGACTCTGACGTTATCCGGGATCCACTTCTACGCAGATGCCCGGGTCGATACCCACTAAAACCCGTGGGACTCTCGTCCAGTCTTCCTGTAGACCGAGTTCGTCACCTATCGTTCCTGTCCATGTCGACCAGACTAAGGCTCTATTCTTGGCCAGGTGTCCGAATCTCTTGTTTGTTGCTATCATGTCTATCTGTAGTCTTCTGTTGATTGTCGCATACCACCTGCGTATGATTTCTCGTCGTGAGTGTTCCCAGCCATCTTCGTCTGCATGGCCTATTACTCTCTCGCAGCGTAATTTCCAGATTAGGTGGGCCGTCTCTGGTATAATGATGCGCCATAGACGTGCTGATGATTCTTTTCGTTTAGCGTTTTCTTGGGTCGGGTATTGTCCCATCCCGGCTGTCATGATGTCTTCAAGGGCGACGTCTGTCCATGGCTGTTTTCTGCGCTTCCAGAGAGTTTTGGTAAGAGTCCACGCCTCTTTCCTTCCTTTTGCTTTGCATCGGAGTAGTATATGTTCCATTGTCTCTGTGACGCCGCATGTCTGACATGTGTGTTGGAATCCAGGTACGGGGTTCATCGGGAGTCGGAACGTGTCGCGGCCGAGAGAGTCGGCGGCGCGATGATGGCGCGATGTGCGCGCACGGACATTCTACGTACCTGAAAGATCGATTATCATTGTCACTAAATACCGCAGTCTGCCACGACGCACCTCAGTCTTTTCGCCTCGCACGAGAGACTGAGGTGAGTAACTTACTTTACATTTCTTTTGCTTGATACTGATGTACCGAAGACATTCCTTATTCTCTCTTACTCTAGGTACATTCAATATAGTCTTTTCGCCTCGCACGAGAGACTGAGACATTCCTTATTCTCTCTTACTCTAGCCTACTGCGTGCTTCAACCTTCAAAAGGTTATGAGCCCTGGACGCTCAGGCTAATCACGACTTACCGCTCGTCAATCACGCTACACTGCCACACTCGCCATGTCGATCTACCCAGCAAACAGCAAGTCCGGGTCCACCCGCCTCTACGACATACAGTCCCTCGAAGACGACGGATCAAACTTCCAGACGTGGAAGTACCGCGTCACGAAGGTGCTGCAAGTACGCGGGCTTTGGACTGTCGTCTCCGGCGAGGAGACCGACCCCGGAGTCTCGCAGCCGCTTGACCACTCGGACTGGCTCCGACGCGATCAAGAAGCGCACGCGCAGATCACCCTCACGCTGAAGGACGAGCCGCTCAACGGAGTGATCCACACGGCGACTGCAAAGGAAGCCTGGGACAAGCTCAACGTTCGGTACGAGGGCGCAGGGAAGCAACACATCGCTTACCTGATCTCCGAGCTTTTTCGCAACACGCTGACAGACGAGTCACCGCTCGAGTCACAGCTGAACGCAATGCGTCAGAAGTCCTACATCCTTACCTCGCTTGGACAGCCTCTCGACGACTCCCTCATCGCCATCGCTATGGTGATCTCACTCCCCTCCTCCTACGACGTTCTTCGCACCATCCTCATGGCGACCGAGGACAAGCTTACCACCGACTCCGTCGTCACGCGCATCCTCACAGAGGAGAAGACGCGCCGCGAGGCGAACTCGCAGGTCGCGTTTTTTGCCAAGACGGGCAAGTCGAAGCCCAAGTCGAAGGAGTCTGGGAAGCGGAACGTTAAGTGCACGTACGGGCCGTGTAAAAAGAAGGGACATACCGAGGACGAGTGCCGCAAGAAGAAGGCGGATCTCGCAGCGAAGGACAAGGACGGGAAGGGTGACACCAAGGCCGGTGATCTCTCCGCCAAGGTCGCGTCCATACCCTCCGAGTCCGAGGACAATAGCAACGGTGATGAGGCACTCCAGCTCTTTGTCGCCGAAGCTCTCGCGAAGCGCAAGGTGCTCCTCTCACGATGGATCGTCGATTCTGGCGCGTCGTCTCCGATGAGCTCGCAGCGCGAGTGGTTCCTCAACTACTCGCCGCTCGCATCGCCCAAGCGCGTCTGGCTTGGCGATAAACGCTACATCCTCGCAATTGGGATCGGTCAAGTCGCGCTCACAGCAGACCTCGGGAATGGGAAGAAGCGTACTGCCCTCCTTCAAGGCGTGTACCACGTACCTGACCTGAATGGCAACCTACTCTCGGTCTCGCATCTCACGAAGCGCGGCTATTCGGTTTCTTTCACCACGTCCGGCTGTCGCATCCAGAATACCGAGGGCCAGCTTATCGGCACTGCGCACGACAAGGACAACCTCTACGTCTTCGACGGCTCACCTCATGTTCCGGAGCGTGCATACACAGCAACACTTGACGCAGCCTCCACTCTTGCCGACCTTGCCTCTGATCCCTCACCCTCACTCAACCTCTTCATGGCCAAGACCGAGACCTCTCGCGCCAGTCTCGACACCTGGCACCGACGTCTTGGTCACATCAATGTTGACTCCGTCTTGAAGATGGTGAGGAAGGGGATGGCGAAAGGGATGGAGATTGTTGGCGAGACGAAGCAGCGGGTCCAGGCCCAGTGCAAGCCATGCCTCGTCGGCAAGGCAAGCCGCAAGCCAATCGCGAAGGAGTCGGATGTCGAGAACCCACGCATATTCTACCGCGTGTACTCCGACTACTGCGGACCGATGCCAACCACCGCCCGCACTGGACACAGGGGGTTCAGTACGCACATCGATGCCAAGGCTCACTACGCCGACCTTCGGTTGCTCAAAACCAAGGACGATGAGCTGGTCGAGTTCAAAGCGTACAAGCAGCACGCGGAGAACGTAACAGGCAAGCGACTCGCTTTTCTACGGACAGACGGTGGCGGCGAGTACACCTCGACGGTTTTCGAAGCCTATCTCAAGGCTGAAGGGATCCATCATGAGATAACGAATCCCTACACGCCGCAGGAGAACGGAGTTGCTGAGCGGATGAACCGCACCATCGTCGAGATGGCACGTTCCATGTTGAACGACGCTGGGTTGCCGCCATCCTACTGGGGAGATGCAGTCCAGCATGCGGTGTACATCATCAACCGCACGCCGACGCGTGCGCTGCCGGACAACATCACGCCATACGAGGCCTGGACAGGCAACAAGCCTTCCCTCGCTCACCTTCGGATTTTTGGCTGCAAGGCCTACGTCCACATCCCGAAGGAGAAGCGTAAGAAACTCGACGCGAAATCAGTCGAGTGCACCTACTTGGGTTATGCGGAGCACCGCAAGGCTTATCGCCTGCTGCACCGCCCGCCACACGGCGGAAAGCCCACGGTCATCGAGTCGCGCGACGTCTACTTCGATGAGGGCACCGAGGTTGAGCCGAGTCGCGTCGTCATTGACGTCGATCCGGTCGAGGCAGCCCCGGAGTCCACGCCACTCAAGGACGAGGCACAGACGCCGGAGGCTAGTCCCAGACGGTCACCTCGCACGACGGTGGAGGATGTACCTGATGAGGACGATGAGCCGCCGAAGCTCCTGCCTGATCCGGACGACAGTGATGACGAGGACGAACAGCCGCCCGCGCCAGCCGCGCGACCTCCATCGCGCCCAACTAGCACCGCGCCCTCACGCCGCACAGCCGCGACCTACACGCCCGTAGGCGCGCCCTACCCCAATCCAGCACCGCCACCATCGCTCCGACGCTCGCTTCGCACGCGCAAGGAACCGGTTCGAGACGACGACCCACGTCTCAGGGTTTCATCATACAATCGGAAACCGAAGGAGCGGGAGGTGCAGGAGATGGGGGATGACTTGGAGGGTTCGAGTGGGCACGTGGAGGATGCAGGTGAGCAGCCATCACGCGATTCAGTGGGCGCGGATGAGCACGCAAGGCGCGCGAACGTCAGCGACGACCCGAGGACCTACAAGGAGGCCATGTCACGCCCGGACGCGGAACGCTGGAAGGCTGCGTGCGCGGAGGAGCTGCTCTCCTTCACCAAGGCAGAGCTGTACGACGAGGTGGAGCGCCCGAGGAACCGCAAGGTCGTCGGTTGCAAGTGGGTCTTCAAGATCAAGCGCGGCCCTGACGGCGAGATCGAGAAGTACAAGGCTCGACTCGTTGCGAAGGGCTTCACGCAGGTCGAAGACGTCGACTACGACGAGACGTTTGCACCCACCACCAAGTTCTCGACCATCCGGACCCTCCTCGCTCTTGCTGCTGCACACGACCTCGAGATCCATCAGATGGACGTCAAGTCGGCCTTCCTCAATGGCGACCTCGACGAAGAGATCTATATGGCTTGCCCGCCAGGATTCGAGGATCGCCCCGACATCGTCTGGCGACTCAGAAAGGCACTCTATGGACTAAAACAGGCCAGTCGTCAATGGTACAAGAAGATCCGTGCCGAATTCGAGTCTCTCGGATTCAAACGGAGTGATGCTGACCATGGCGTCTTCTACAAGGAAGTTGACGGCTCACTGGTGATCGTTGCACTCTACGTTGATGACATGCTCATCTTCGCAGACAAGGTCTCGGCGATCGACTCGGTTAAAGCATCCCTCAAGGAAAAGTTCGACATGACGGACCTTGGGGAAGCTCACTGGGTATTGAACATGGAGATCATCCGAGACCGCCCGAACCGAACGCTCGAACTCTCGCAACGCCAATACGTCGAGACGATCCTCGAGCGATTCGGCATGACCGACTGCCGCCCGGTCAGTACACCCATGGCGGCAAATCAAAAGCTTGCGAAGCTCGACGAGGCCGAGGTCGACGAGAAGCGTTACCAGAGCGCACTCGGTTCACTCATGTATGCGATGCTCGGGACGCGCCCAGATCTCGCCTACGCCATTGGCACGCTGAGCAAGCACGCAGCTACACCCGGAGAGGAGCACTGGACTGCGCTTATGCGCGTGTACCGCTATCTGCGCAAGACGACGGACGTGCGACTCGTCTATTGCGGGAACTCGCCAGGTGAGCTCGTCCAGGGCTATGTTGATGCCGACTGGGGGAGCGATCCTATGGACCGCCGCTCGGTCACTGGCCACGTCTTCCTGATCGCGGGAGGTGCTGTCTCGTGGTCGTCAAAGAAGCAAACTTCGACTGCGCTCTCAAGCACGGAGGCTGAGTACATGGCCATGTGTAGTGCTTCGAAAGAGGCTGTATGGCTACGACTGCTGCTATCAGAGCTAGGGCAGCTGTCCCCTCTCGCTACCCTCATCCTCGTTGACAACCAGTCTGCTATGGCTCTCGCAAAGAACGCCACGTTCCACGACCGAACGAAGCACATCGCCGTGCGCTACCACTTCATCCGAGAGAAGATTGATGACGGGGAAGTCCGCGTGGAGTACGTGCCGACTGGAGACCAGGTCGCTGATGTCCTTACGAAGGCACTTGCCCGCGAGAAGCACGAACGCTTTGCGACGGGCATGGGTCTTGTCACGTCCGCCGCCCGCTGAGTGGGCGTGTTGGAATCCAGGTACGGGGTTCATCGGGAGTCGGAACGTGTCGCGGCCGAGAGAGTCGGCGGCGCGATGATGGCGCGATGTGCGCGCACGGACATTCTACGTACCTGAAAGATCGATTATCATTGTCACTAAATACCGCAGTCTGCCACGACGCACCTCAGTCTTTTCGCCTCGCACGAGAGACTGAGGTGAGTAACTTACTTTACATTTCTTTTGCTTGATACTGATGTACCGAAGACATTCCTTATTCTCTCTTACTCTAGGTACATTCAATATAGTCTTTTCGCCTCGCACGAGAGACTGAGACATTCCTTATTCTCTCTTACTCTAGCCTACTGCGTGCTTCAACCTTCAAAAATGTGGCTCTCTCCTCGAGCCCTGGGATGTTTGTCCAGAAGTGCCCTATCCGATGTGTACCATGCAGGGCTTTCCAGAGGAAGTCCGTAACTTTCTTGTGTATGTCGCGGTTTCGGATGCTTCGCCAGACCATAGCTTCGGCTTGGTCGAAGATTCCCTTCTCCTGTAGTCGTTCTAGGACCGCTTTGATGTTCTGTTGCGTCCGCTGTCTTGGCTTCTCCGGTTGTGACAACCTTATGCCTTTGTATGCTAGTGCTTGGGTTAACGTTGATATCTTGGCTCCTGATAGGTTGAAGGTCGCGTTGCTTTGCAGCTCTACCGGGGACGGGTCTCCATTGAGCAATAGCTCCTTTGATCTTGCTATGTTCTGGTATGCGTATTCGTTCTCCTTTGGGTTTCTTGGTCTGCTTAGTATCGTTGGTGCGCATCTTTGCCGCAGCTGGTTTACTAGGGCTCGTAGGGGTTGTGCGTCCGCAATTCCTATCCAACCGACGTTCTCTCGGTGTGGCAGTCTCGTCGTGAGCTCCGAGATCAGTTGTGCCGACGGGCATATGATTCTGAGCGGGGCGTCTTTGGGTGCTATCGTGGCGACTTTCAGTGCTGCCAGGATGTCGCCTCGTCTTCCTATATCCCCTGGGAGGTTGTTTGCAGGTTGGAGCCATAGGTTCGTTTCTGTTTCGCTTATGATTAGGGCGAAGCCTGAGTTTTGTTGACGTTGTTGGGCTATGCTGGGTAGCCCTTTCTTCTTCAGGCGGCCCGACACGTATGCTGTTACACCTTCTTTGGGTACGATTCTCCCTCTTCGTTCTCTTATTGCTGGTGGTTTTTCATGTACTTCCGGGTCTACAAAGACTCGGAAGGCTTCTTCTACTGGGCCTCTTGTTGTGAGGGAGGGGTCGAAGAGGACGTCTCCCTTGTCCTGTAGGGCGTTGGCGTTTGTCTCCTTGCGCCTCTTCGTTAGTGATAGGCCGTCTGGGGATGTGTCCATCGTTGGGTTCCACTTCCTATTAACTTGTCTTAGGAGGGCGCTGGCCGCTTTGCAGCATCTCAGCGGGTGTCTGCATCCTTGTTCCATGTCTTTCTCGCAGTCGTTGCAGTCGCAGTGAGGGACAAAGTCGTTGGAGGTCTCTACAGCTTTAATGTAGCATGGCCGTTGGATGAGTTTGAAGAGCTCGGCGACGTAGGTCACTCCGTGGACATCTCGAAGGCAATTGCTTGTTGTTGTGTTGTTTAGGCGTCGTAGGAGCTTTGTTGCTCCTAGGTGGTACCATATGGGTAGCGCCTTCTTCATTTGTTCGTCCAGTTTCACTGCCTCGAAGCTGACGTTGTATCTTTTCGCTGTCTTCAGCATTTGTCTTAGGTATCCAGGGAGGCAGGATCCTCTCCCTGTTGATGGGTTCCAGGCTTGTAGGAAGGTATTTATCTGTGCGTTCTTCTTAATTGCTCCTGCGTCTTTTGACACGTTTTTGCTGAAGAGTACATCGACGATATATGCCCATCTTGGGTGATCGTCTGTCAGGTTAAGGTATCTCTTCGTCCACATGAGATTGATTGCCTCATTTCTTGCTTTGATGTCTAGGGCTCCCAGTCCTCCTTCCTCGATTGGTTTGGTGAGCATGTCCATTGCTATGTGGGGTCTTCCCTCGTCCCATATGAATGATCTAATCATCTTTGTGAGGGTGGTTTCTATCTCCGGGGGCATCCCTTGGACTGTGGTGAGGTATTGCGTCATGCCGCCGGGGCCCATTTGTATAATGTGTTTCTTTCCCATCAGCGACGGTCGACATCTTCTCCACCTTGTTAGGAACTGTTCTATTTTCCGGAGGGTAGGTGTCCAGACAGATACTTCGTCGAGCTTATTCCCTATCCAGGCTCCTAGGATCCTCACTGGTTCTCCGTCCTCGGCGATTCTTACGGACTGTGGTATGAGGTCTCCAGGTGTGTTTGGGTTGATCTTCCTGTGAGTGCGGACTTCTCTTCTATATTCTTCGGTTCCTATGGGGACTACTTCTGTCTTATCTCCGTTGAAGCGGGCGCCGGACGCTAGACACCATTCGTTTAGTATGGTCCAGAGCTCGTTCCACGAGTCGAACATGGATAGGAAGGTCGATGTGTCGTCTGCGAAAAGGTTCGCAATCAGTCTTTCTGCGATACCTGGTATATGGAAGCCTCTCAGGTTTGAGGATCTTAGGGCTTCCGCTAGGGGTTCGATTGCAATATCGAAGAGGAGGCACGAGAGGGGGTCTCCCTGTCGGACTCCTCTCTTGATTTGGAATGGGGAGCTCGTCTCTCCGTTGATAATGACCACCGTTGTTGCGGTCGCGTAGAGGCTCTTGATTCTTGCGATGAGCTTCGGTGGGAAGCCTAGCTTCTCTAGTACTCGCCACAGGTATTCGTGTCTTATCCTATCGTATGCTTTCTCCTGGTCTAGGGCTACTATTACTCCATTCTCTTCCATCGCTTCTGCATAGTCCACCATCGTTCTGCAGAGCTGGGTCTGGTTGGAGATTTGTCGGCCTGGTATGAAGCCGGCTTGGTCTGGGTGGATGATGGACGTTATCCAGCCTCCCATACGCGTGGCCAGGATTCTTGTGTATACTTTATAATCCGAGTTTAAGAGGGTTATTGGTCTATAGTTCGGTATCTCACGACGGTCCTTTTTCTTATAGATCGGACACATCCAACCGTCGGTGAAGCCTGTCTTTCCACAGATTCCGTAGCGATCTATGTCCATATAGAGCGTGCGAAGTGAGTCCAGGCAGTTGAATTTGTGGGGTGCTTTCTTCGTGCTCTGTTCCCATTTCTCGTGGAGCTTAATCCATAGTTCGTATGGGAGGCCGTCGAGGCCGGGTGCTTTTCCTGGTCCGGCTTTCTTCAGAGCGTCCAGGATCTCTATATCTGTTTTGTCCATGAGCAGTTCTTCTATTCCTTGGGTCGGGAGCTTGGCTGTCATTACTGCCAGAGATTTCTTGGTGGCTATGTTCCACGTTGATTGTGCTTCTTCCCCTTCATCGGTGTCATTGTTCTGTAGGTTGTCATGGTAGTTCCGGGCAATTTCTGCCATTTTATCGGAGCGAGTTTTGTAGACCGGTGGGTCTGAGGATGGCATTTTTAGTGAGTAGAAGAGGTCTCTTGGCTTCCTATCTTTGTTGACCGCCGACCAGTACTTGCTGGGGCATTCGGCGTTAAGGATGTACCTGGCCGTCGTTGATGTTTGTATTGATCCATGGCGTTTCTTTTCTAGTGTGAGGATTCTGTCTCTTAGGAAGTTCACTTCCGTCTGTTTGGCTTCGTTCGTCTGGAAGTCGTTCTCGGAGCTTAGGGACGTGATCTCTTTTGATAGTTTCGTTATGGCGGCTTTGATTTTCGGTGTGTTAGTACGTAGCCGACGCTGTGCGATTGCTTTGATGTTGTCTTTGAAAGTCTTGTGTAGCGTCTGGGGGTTGTTCTCTTCTGTTCTGCCTTGGCCCGAAATTCTCTGATTCTCTATCCAGATTCTCTCGCCTTCTCGGATCACTTCGACTATGAAGACGTCATCTTCTAGGATTTGTTGTGGTAGGCACCAGCGTCCTTTCCCTACGTATGGGGCTGAGGCTGAGGTGAGCTTGGCTGTTACCAGTCTATGGTCCGTCGGGACCCCTGTGTAGTGAATGTTCCAGGCGAGGGAGCGGGAGAGGAGGTCGTCTGTAACATAGATTCTATCGAGGCGAGATCTCTGGGTGCCTCCTCTCTGTGGAAATGTGAAGTCCTTGGTCTTGGGTTCTGCTATTCTCCAGCCATCGTAGACTCTTGTTGCGTGGAGGAAATCTCTTAGTGCCTGTACAGCATTATCTGGGTCGGATTTCGCTGGCAATCTATCGATTGATTCTTCGACTATGTTGAAGTCTCCTAGGAGGACGTCTACTTGTGGGATCGTGCCGTTTGTGGCGTGTTCTTTGAGCTTAATCCAGAAGGCTGCGTTTTCAGTCCGATTGTTGGGTGCGTACACGTTGAGTATTGTCAGTCGGGACTCCACATGCCATCTCATGTTAATCATCAGGGCTCTTCCTGGGATGACTTCTGTTACCTTCGTGTCGCTTATGTCTACTATCTCTCTATTTAGGGCAAAAGCGACTCCTTGTGCTGCCGTCGCGTTGGGCGCGGAGCTGTTATATAGTTTGATGCGTCTTCCGTAGAGGTCGTGGATCTCATCGACATGGTCTTCGTTCAGGTGGGTTTCTTGGAGTGCAAGTACTCCGATCTTCTTTTCTCGCATAAGCTGGTTTACAGTGTTCCACTTGTTTCTGCTATCTCCTATGAGGTTGCCTCGTCCGCTTATATTAAGCGAGCCTATCTCAGTAGCCGCCTTGGTTTTACGGCCTTTAGTTCTCCTAGGCTCATGCGTTTGGTTGGGGGCGTCTTGGGGCTGCGCTTCGTTTTCTTGTGTCGTTTGGATATTACTCGGGCTAGGTGAGGTGGGTACCCGGCTGCTGACTGAGGTTGTTAGGCCTTCGTCGGCAGTTGCCCTGCCTCCGTGTTCTGTCACCGCGTCATCGACTCTTCCGCTGGCAGGGGGCGCTGAGGACTCTCTTCGGTGGCAGAGAGGTGAACCGGTTGCCATATGATCGTCCGTTGTGTTTTGTCTCATGTTATGTGTGTTTGCCGTTGTGTGTCACGCCGTCCGTTACAACGATGTACTGACGGGGGAAGCCTCTCCTGGACTTCTCAGGGGACATGCACCTCGCGCCTAAGCGGTCGTGCTTTGCCAGACTAAGGCCAGGCAAGTCTAGTAGTGCCTTCGCTGCGGGGGAAAAAGACCTATCAATGATCTGGGCTTTCCTGTGCCGCGTACGACCAGTAGATGTGGGCACCATCTCATTGATAGGCTTCAGTCTATGTGTCTTTAGGGGGATTTCTAAGTGGAACTGTGGCTTTGTTTGTCGCCGTTCATGCTGTCTTACCGATATCTAATGGTTCTCGTTCTATCGTAGCCTTGGGGCACTGTGTGACAAGATAGACGCATTGATTTGGTGTGAGGACGTGCGTGTCGTTAGCTTATTTAGTGTACGGTACGGTCATGGACGCGTCGTGGTGCGTTACAAGAAGCTCATCGGGGTACTAGTTATTTGATGTATCAGAGTGTCCTTACTGGTGCGACCATCCTTCATCAGCTTCGCGGAGGAGAGCTGCGTGCATAGCTTCGTCCACCCTCGGGCGGGGATTCGCGTACCTGCCATTTCCACGTCCTCTGCCTCGTCCGTTAATGCCGCGGCCATTGCTGCCTCCACGCCCTCGGCTGGCACCTCCGCCGTGGCCGCCGCGTCCTCCTCCTCGACCCCTCTGCGCGCCGTTCTCGCCGTTTCGGTAGCGGCGATCGCTGTTCTGGTCGTTCTGGAGTTGGTCGGGCGTGGGGCCGTTCCATCCTGGGACCGTTGGGAGGTCGCAGAGGCCGACTGAGTGGTTGATGGAGTGGCACAACCTACACTGGACGACCTTCTCGATGAGGATCGCCTTTGCGCCGTTCTCGGTGGAGTAGTGTTGGTTTCGGACCGCTTCACGCCAGATTACCCAGTCTCGGGGGTGGGCTGTAGGCGAGTCGCAGTATAGTTGGATTAGCGGGCTACTGGTCCCGCCGCTCGTCTGCCTGGGTACTCCGCGGATGTTGATCGAGCTGACGACGTGTTCGAAGGCGATGTACGTTGACGTATCGCCCCACTTGCTCTTTGCTCCCATACCTTTGTCGCGTTCAATCATTTCCATGGTGAGTCCTAGGAGCGGTTGCCGTCTCAGGCCGGCTCGGAAGAAAGGTAGGATCTGGTCGTTCTTCATCGTGCCGAACGCTTGGCGTTTCTCGAAGGATCCCATCCATGTCGACGGGCCCAGTGAGAGAGTGACGAAGCGGACTGCGAGGTCGCGTCTGACGTACCACTTCTGTCGGAGGAGATCCGTTTGTTGTACAGCCGTGATGTTCTGGAGCAGGCAGTAGACTGGGCCTTCGCCGGGGACGGGTATGGCGCCGTTCTCGGTGTCCGGGAGATAGATCTCGGGATTGGGGATGCGGAAGACTTGTTTGAGTGCTTCTTCAAGTCGGAGTTGCCTTGGCCAGGCGTCGTCGTCGTTGTCTCGTGCTTCGTGGCCTGCGAAGGAGAAGAGGAGACCGCGGCGACGGCTAGAGAGCCAGCGGGACGCTTGTTGCGGGGACTGTCCCTTGTACTTGTAGTAGAAGGTGTCGCCTTGGATGTCCCTCCAGTCGTCGTCAGGGGCCGGCGTGACCTCGGCCGGCATCCAGTTGTAGTCGTCGTTTGGCTCGGCTTCGTCGTTTTCGTCCTCGTCCTCGGGTTCCTCGCCTTGGTATAGGCGTGGCTCGTACTGTTGCTGCGGGCCTAGGGGAGGCGGAGGCGCGCCGTACTCGGCCGGGGGCTGTTGAACTGGGGGGTGCGGTGGTCCGTGGCCGCCGGGGCCTGTGAGGAGCGGTGGTCCGTGGCTGCCGGATCCCGTGAGGTACAGTGGGCCTTGGCCGCCGGGGATTGGACGGTTCTGCTGTGGTGGATTGACGAAGTTGTTCCAGAGGTCGTCGTCTATGACCATCGCATCCGTGTTCCGGCTTGGGGGGCGGGCATTGTTGCGTACTTCTACGTAGGAGAGCACTGAGGTTCTGGACGAGGGACGTGGGTGACCTCTCTGGGACTCTGGTAGTATTTGGCCGTTTGGCTCGTTGGGCCTACGTGGGGGGGTGTGTGGGAGGGTGGGGTGAGGGGTTTGCGTACGGTGGGCAGGCGTGGGTACTCTACGGCCTAGGATCGGCTCGTCGTACTGGGGTCTCGCTCGAGCGGCATTGCGAGTCGGGGCTACCTCGTGGCTCATCCCTTTTTGTTTGGTTAGTGCTGCTGGTACGTGTGTAGGCTTATGTTTGGTCGTACCTCCTGTACCGTAGGTGCGCTGAGCCCTTGGCCTGTTCGTCCTGGAGCTACCTTCCCCGCGGTCTGCGAACTCAGGGGCGGGGACGGGTCTGGGATGACTTAGATGGGAGGGCCCTGCTTGTTGGGACGAGCGATTGAAGTCGCTTAGGTCGGGTATGTTGATGCTTCGGATGAGGTCGTCGTACTCGGGGTTCTCGAAGCTACTCGTGGACTCTGGGGGGATGTGGCTACGAGTCTGAACGTTCGGGTAGGCCTGCGGGCGTTGACTGTCGTCCCAGAAGATGTCTCCTCGTGTGGAGGGAGGTGTCCAAGCGGTGTGCGCTTGTGGTTGTTCCCATGGTGCCGGGGGATCCGTGAAGGCTGGGGGACGGTTGGTGGGATTGATCTGACCTGGGTTCAGGCCGTTATACGCGTCCATGTCGCCTACGGTGGGTTCTCGGTCCGAGTTGTAGCCAGGGGTTGTTATGGGTGGGCATCACTATGCCCACTGATTAGATTAGATTATGAACTGATAGTGTACATCTCATCTTATCTCCATGTACCTAGCCACTTGACTTCCATTTTGGGAAGTAATCCATTCTTACTGCTGAACCACCACCTCGTCCGTGTGCGACACCGCGCCGTCCGAGTACGTTCAGCATCCCCTCTCGGCTTGAGCTCCTCGCCTCGCCTAGGACTCCCCCTCGACCTGGCTCCTCGCCAGTTCTAGGACTCACCTCTAGGCGCGGCTCCTCGCCCTGCTACGACGACAGCAGCGCTCCTCGCTCTGCTACGACGCCAGCGGGAGCTCCTCGCCTCGCTCACGACCTCACGACGACACTACGACACCTTCCCGGTCGCGCCGCGACCACCAAGCGTCGAGTTCACAGGCAGCCCGGCCCCCGAGTCTAGGGTTCCAGGCCCACGAACTCTAACATTGGTGGACACTCAGGGGACCGGTCCACTGCCCTGTGAACTCCCTCGTATATTGGAACATTCTCTATTCTCATTCTAATTCTATCTGTTCTATATTGATTCTAATCTAATGCCCTCGGCGACGTGGCTCACGCGGTCTTATTGGGACGCCCTGTCACCAATCCGGCAGCTCGAGCGCGCGTCCTCGTCGTACAGCGGGCGCGCACACGGCGCCAACACCTCCTCCTCGACGACCGCGCCTCGAGGCTATCAGCCGCCCCGCTCCGCCACTCCCCGCGACTCGCCAGCACCCGCCGAGCCCCCTGTGCCCGTTCGGAGGCACGTGGGAATCGTGCGATCGCACGAGCGCCCGAGCGCGTCGAACGCGCGGCCCTCGGCGCTCGATCGTCGCGCCGACTCTCACCGCGACCCCCGTCTTCCACCTCTCTCGCCCTCAGTCGACCACTCGTCCCGCCGACCGGGCTGCGAGGATGCGCAAAGGTTCCGCGCTCCTCGCAGCCAACCGGCCCCGGCTCACTCCGCGAGCGAAAACCACCGCGTGCGCTCGCGACGCGAAGACGGCCGACCCGCCCGCAGCGCGATGCACAACGGGACGGCTCAAGTCCACACGCAAAAGGACACCCCGAGCCGTCAAACGCGAGCGCCGCGCGGCGCGAGCACGAACAACCACGGAGACTCGCAGGGGGAGCTCGTGGGAGGATCGCTAGCCAGGCAAACGGCCGAGTGGGGACGAGGTCGAGCGAGCAGGGATGTTCCGGTGAGCACGCCCAGTCATCAGCCCTTGGGGCTCCATCCTGCGCCCCATCCGCGCGCGCACACTCTCCCGCTCGACTCTCCACCACTCTCGCTCCCTGGCCGCCCCGCGACGCGTCAACCCGCCCCGGCATGCGGCCGTCAAGACCGCTACGAGGGTGAGCGATACCGCGCCCTTCGTAGCGATGGGGCTGCCGCGAGTGAAGACCATCGCGCCGGCGAGCGCGCTCGACGCGAAGACGACCATCGCGCCGGCGAGCGCGCTCGACGCGAAGACGACCGAACCGCCCGCAGCGCGACGCGCAACGCGCCGGTCCACGCCCACGCGCAACGCGACGCGCCGCCGACACGAGCGGTCTCGCCGCACCCGTACGGGCAAGCCCCAACGCGCACGCACCACACGCGCGAGGCCCAGGATGAGGAACCGCCCGCCCGCGCCCTCTCGCCTCGCTCGCGCGGGCGAGCCGTCGTGCGCGCACACCACGAGCGCGAGGCGCAGGCCGCCGCTGCGGCTTGGAGGGCCCATCAAGCGCAGTACTCGACGGAGCGCAGGCCCGCCGCGCAAACGGCGCCCACGAACAGCGCGCCCGGCGCACGCAAGACGGCCTCGCAGGACGCGTCGATGCGCGCGTGGACGACTCACCGCGAAGGAAGGGGCAGGGAGGTTAGCAGAGAGGAGTGGAGAGTCAGCACGACTCTGGTGAGTGCTCCAGCCCTTCACCTTCCACCGTCCTCTCCACCGCCCTCGCCCTTGCCCGTGCCAGTACATGCCGCGGTTCTGCGTGCCAAGCTCGCTCCTCCCTCTACCCTGCGCGTGCATCGTGCGCTAGCCCCCTCTCCCGTCGTCCTCGCACCCCCGGAACGCCCTCGTTGGCCGCCGTCTCCTGCACGCTCGCCATCGCGCGTGCGCTCCGCGGCTCCGCCCGTTGCCCTCGCTCCACTCGACGCACCATCGCCCAGGCTTCCAGCGCATCGTGCTCGCGTCTCACCCGCTGACTCGTCCCCGACCTACGGCCTTGCGCCCGCGTCCGCTCCGTACGCGCGCCCTCTCGTGCTCGACGCTCCGTCGCCCGAGGTTCCGCCCACCGCCGGCGCACTCTCGCCGCGCTCGCACGCGCGAGTCGTCGTACGCGCGCACCACGAGCGCGAAGCGCAGGCTGCGGAAGCTGCGTGGAGGGCACATCAGGCGAAGTACCCGTCGGGGCGTACCTCCATCGTACAAGTCACCCCGACACGCTTGTCTGGGGGGCCCTCTCCAGACTCTCCGCCCTCTCCACGCTCTCGTCCTGCGCGCCCGCCCTCGCGCGACTCGTGCGTACCCGCCGAATGCACTCGTCGCCCTCCGTCGTCTCCCGCTCTCCCGGCGCATCGCGTTCGCGCTCCTCCGGCCGACGTGCTCCCGCCTGCCGACTCGCTTCCCCCGTCGCGCCAAGGCGATACGCTCGCGCCCGCTGAGCGCATCCCCCGCCGGCCGGTCTCCCCGTCTTCGTCCAACGCGCATCTGCGCTCGCGCCGCCCGGTCGCCGTCCCATCCCCGTCTAACAGCCTGGCGCCTTTGTCCCGCAAGCACGACGGCTCGCCTACGCATCAAGCCGACCCCGAGGGTGTGCGATACCGTGCCCCTCCCGGTTACTCGGCCGCCTCAGGAGACGGGGAACCGCACGCCCGCGCCCTCTCGCCGCGCTCGCAAGCGCGAGCTGTCATACGCGCACACCTCGAGCGCGAAACTCTCGCCGCTGTGCAAGCCGCGAGTGCACGCGACTCAGGGTACTCGACGGAGCACGCACCTGCCATGCAAGCTGCTTCGACTCGCTCGTCTGGGGGGCCCGCACGCGCATCCGCAACAGGGAGGGACGGCAGACCGACGGGTGAGCGGGAGGGGAGCACCGCTATGGGTATGTCCGTCCATCGGCCTTCGCGACTCCTCTCTCCGCCTCCTCCCCGCGCACATCCCGCGCACCGCCCTCCCTCGCACGACTCGTGCGGGCACGTCGAACGCACCCGCCACCCTCCGCCGTCGCCCGCTCCTCCGGCGCATCGCGCGCGCACCCCGCCTGCCAACGCGATTCAGCCGGGGCGCAGTCCTCGCGCTGGCATGCCTTCGCCTTCGTCTGGCGTACCCGCACCTGTGCCGCGCAAACGCGATGGTCCACCAATGTGTCAAAACCCGCACCCGAATGCAGACGGCACGCTCGGCAGGCACGCCCCTCCCTCCGTCGTGTCCTCCGAAGCTCGCGCCTCCCCCGACTCTGCGCGCCTGGCTACCGCCTTTCGCCCCAGTCTCTCGACTGCACGCAAGACGTCAAGCTCGGATGACTTACGGGATGGCTGCCGGGTTGTGCGAGATCCCCGCTCGCCCGGTAGCCTCCCCTCGTCTGCCTCATCTTGCAGACTGGTGCCGGTGTCTACGCCATGCTTTCGCCATCTGCCCGACACACTCGTGCCCATCCCTCCATCCCGCGAGGAGGAGCCAGACTTAGCTGGGTTAGATGTGGAACTCGTGCGCAGGGTTCGGCAGGTCCGCGCGCGTTCGCGCCTCGTCACGGAGGACTCTCCCGAGTCAGCGGCCATTGCAGACGAGGAAGCTGCCCTACGGCGCGAAATCTGGCAGGCTCGAGCCCGTGCGCGCCTCGCTCCACACCTCATCTGAACCCTGGGGGGCATCATTCCCGACACCTTTGTCTTGTCCCAGCCCACCCACCCTCGACTTTTCTCCTCTATCCTCACAACCCTTCTCACTGGAATCTCAAGCCGAAACTCCCCAACTGGGTTCCTTCCGACTTGAGATTGGGGGGCAGGGGGTAGGGGAGGATAGGGTACGGGGGGCAGGTATGCCAGGGCCTAGCCGACCCTAGCCCGAGGGATGCACAGATCCTCCGCGAGGATGACAGCTAGGGACGCAGTACAGGCAGGAAGTAGCACAGCCTTGCCTAGGGAAGATGGCAAAGCTGCTACAGGTGAGGGAGGTCAGTGGAGCCTGGCCGAGCTTGTGAGGGCTTGACCAACAGAGCCTGTATGCTTTGGTGGATGCACGGCAAGTCTGAATGCTCGGGATGCAGTACTTGCGGGACAGCTCAGCCTCGCGTGGCGGAGCCCAAAATTTTTTTTCTCTTTCTATTCTCTTGTTCTTTTCTCACCTTCTATTCTATGCTCACTCATACTCTTCATTCGCGCTAATCCGACCCCTCACCTTCACACTATGCACTTCATAATGGGGGGCACTGTTATGGGTGGGCATCACTATGCCCACTGATTAGATTAGATTATGAACTGATAGTGTACATCTCATCTTATCTCCATGTACCTAGCCACTTGACTTCCATTTTGGGAAGTAATCCATTCTTACTGCTGAACCACCACCTCGTCCGTGTGCGACACCGCGCCGTCCGAGTACGTTCAGCATCCCCTCTCGGCTTGAGCTCCTCGCCTCGCCTAGGACTCCCCCTCGACCTGGCTCCTCGCCAGTTCTAGGACTCACCTCTAGGCGCGGCTCCTCGCCCTGCTACGACGACAGCAGCGCTCCTCGCTCTGCTACGACGCCAGCGGGAGCTCCTCGCCTCGCTCACGACCTCACGACGACACTACGACACCTTCCCGGTCGCGCCGCGACCACCAAGCGTCGAGTTCACAGGCAGCCCGGCCCCCGAGTCTAGGGTTCCAGGCCCACGAACTCTAACAGGGGTCAGCTGGAGGTCGTCTGCGGGTGAGGTCTCCCCCTCCGGTGAAGGGTTCGGAGAGTCCTGGGCCCTCAACGTGGGCTGCGGGTGAGATGATTCTCCGCTGTCGTCGGTCTGGCCGGTGGTGCGACGTCTCTTGCGCTGGTTACTCGTGGTACGAAGGGTTTCGTCCGCGGAGGGCGAGGTACCTCTTCCTGGGGTGATAGGGCGGGAGGGTAGGCCGAGACCGATGAGGGTGACGGTGGTCCTTGTGGCTCTCTTATTCTTCTTGGTCTGAGGCTTGTTCACTGGGGACTGGGTGGCGGGATTCTCTGTCGCCGGCTGAGTGGTTAACTGGCCTTGGAGGGAGGGGGTTTCCGTTAGGATGGGGGTGTCTGCTGCCTCCGGGGTGACAGACGGTTCGTTCACCGACGCGAGGGCTATTGTATGGTCAGGCTTATACGTTAGGTTTGTTCTGGGTAGGCTCACCATCGGTGATGTCCTGGAGGCGCGTCGACTTTTTGTTTGTCGTGACTTCCGCGAACGTCGGCGATCCCGGTTGGCCGGGGGAACGCCTTCCACTGTTCCACGGGTTACCGTTCGACGGGGTTATAGTGCCTTGTCCGTAGGCGTTGGGTACGCTCGGCGGTAGGTTGGGCTGGGTGGGTCCCTTCGTCGTGGGCGGGGTCGTCGGGCGGGAGGGGCCCTTCGTCTTAGACGGAGACGTCGGACGGGAGGGGAGCGTAGTGCGTTTGGTAACGTTGGGGCTCATGGTTGTGGGAGTTCGCTGGGTAAGCGCGTGGGGAGGTGGTGCTAACGAGAGGATCGCCGGCGGTTTGCTAGGGCGTTAATTCGAGTCTTTTTAGGTCTCCCGTGTGTGCTCGCGTGGCTGCTTGTTCGCCTCGTTGTATTCCAGTTATGGATGGTCGTGATTATGGTGCATTCGTCCGTGTTATGGGGTGTGTCTTACCGCGTTGCGAGTATTTAGGCGGCGGTTGTTATTTCCTGGCCTTCGTGCAGCTGTTAGGTATTAGTTGGGCGTATGTACCCGGTTGCTTACCTCGGCGCGGTGCCTCGTTCCGTTTGGTAGGGATGCTAGTCTCCCTCATGCTCCGTCTGTCTGTGTGTCGGAGCGAGGATGCCGAGCTTGGGGTTTTGGCATGTCCGGGGTATTGTTGTTCGCTCCGTATTGTTGTGCGTTGTTGGGGCTGCTCCCATTGGGTGGAGGCTTCTTTCCGTTCCTCCGTTGACGTCGGGTGGCGTGTGTGGGGGCATCGCATCGGGGGGTGTCTATCGTGATCCCGGTGTCTGGTTCCTCGCTTCTTTGTGTGGTGTTGTTGACGATCCGTGCGATTCGCTTTTCGTAGGCGTCAGCCTCTTCCTCGGCTAGGGGTTTTCGTTTGGGTTGGAGAAGATGGGGATGTGTAGGAAGGAGCTATGAGGTGGTGGGGATTCGCTTAGTTGGAAGTAGTTCCTTTGGTGGGTGAAGCTTTCTAGGCTGTCTAGGCTTGTCCAGGGTATTGGGACTCATAGGTTGCACGGAAGCGTAGCTCCCGTGATCGTGAACGTGACCCAGTGGCGCCGAAGGTCGGCGATTGCCGTCAGCTTTCCGATGCCGGTCTCCTCGGAGTCTGTGAGGAGGGTGATCTGGCAGCCTTTCTTGAGCTGGCACGCTGGACGGCTGTCAGTGACCCAGGTGAGTCCTCTTCCTCCTCCGAATATCGGTTCAGGGAGTATTCTAACTCAGGTTATGTTTACCGCAGTTCCTTCGTTTGGGGTTGGGAGGTCTGGGAGGGCTATGTGTGGGTGGTGTTGTTTGCGCCTGGTACGTTTCGAGTTTATATTGGGTTGAAGGGTTTTGTTGAGCGTCGTAGTGCGTCTTCCTGGTTTCTTCCCTTTCCTGTCCATCGCGGGGGCTGGTTGTAGGGGGTGTTTACTTTCGTACGGTTCATACGTTTGCTGCTCGTTTTATATCTTGTTTTCACTCTAGACGCTTTATAGGGTTACGTCCCGTTAAACACTCATTTTTAAACGCTCACTTTTTAGTTCGCTTTACTTTACTTTGGCTGCCAGCAGCATTTCCTCCTGTGGCAGCAGGAGGAAATCAGGATTACGACGTCTGGGCGTGGTGGCCGTATTCGGCAGGTTGCGTTCGTGTTTGGGCGTTCCTTACTCGGTTGGCCATGCGAATGATCATCTGATGTGCTTTGGCGCTTCTGTCGGTGGCTTGGGGTCTGCGGTTGGCGCTATGTATCATGTGATCGTTGGTGGCGTCTAGCCGCTACTTTGGCTTCTGTATAGTTTGTCTTGGTGGCTCAAACTTTATATTAGGCGCCGTACCCTTACGGTAGACGCTGGTCTGGGCAGGTGGGCTGGGTCGTTGATGGCGTTCTCAACGCAGGGGTGGTGTAGGCTAGGGTGGTATATGTACTGTGATATGATACGGGTTGGTCTCATCCCGGGGGGCTATTCCGCCTTGTGCTACGGAAATAGATGACTCGTAAGTCTGGAGTTGCCTCCATCCCTTTGCAGGGTTGGATGTGTCTTTTGTTAGACTGTAACATCCAGGGGTAGTGGCCGTGAGGACGCGTATCCCTTATAGCGCATGTTAGCTTCATCCCGAAGGACTACTAACCCCCCGGGGCCACGAGGAGGCCTGCGCCGGACTCGACGGTGTCGAGCCCTCCCGGGGGAGTCACGATAGGCTTGAACTTGAAGCCAGCTCATGGCAGCGCGCAAGCAGCGCGTCTTCAGTTCGACTCCTCGAGTCCTCTGTGACACCAAGCACGTGACTTTGTGACACTCGCGCCCGCCGACTCCCGCGGGCCGTGCCACGGTGGCGTCCACGGAGTCCACCGTGTCTGCTTGCTCTCTGCTAAGTACTCAGTGCCACTTACTATTCGATAAACAAATGGCGTCGACCTCGGACGTGCTCATTCAAAGGATCTACACAAGTCCCGGGCCCTGTCCGCTAATGCTGATTCTCTTCACTGACGCCTGGCGCAACTACACGCGGATAGTCCTGGATGCTGTCGGGGTTCCACTGCACCACTTTCCGAGTACGACAGTCTTCGTCGAGGCAATCCGTGACACTGTCCAAGGTCGGCCACGCTGCAATCATCACCATATGCCGTATATCGACTCGCTTGTTGTACAGGTCATCACCTTGTGATTCTAGCGGGGGTGCTGCACCGAGACATCAGCAAGGGCAATGCCATCATCTTACTGGGAAATGCACTGTTCAGAGGATTTATCTGTGATTTCGACTTCAGCAACTTTGTCGACAGCACGAAAACCGGCGGCTCGCGCCCAGATGCCGAAGATGTTCTAGATGAACACAGGGAGCGAATGGTACGTGTGTGCGTACGTCATTCCGAGTTACAGCTATTTTCAGAACGTTGGACAGTCGCAAACGCGAGCGACATACGATGACTAAGCACTCCGCCCTTCGAGATGTTGGAGAAAGCGGCACTCGCCCCATCGCACCGCTCTTCTTCCCCACTGCACAGCTAGTAGGCCAGAACCTGCGCACGATGATGCGGCCCTCGCGTGTATGATACGGCCTGCGCGACGCGATCCCGTGCGCCTTAGACGCAGAGCCAATAAACTCGCAAAACGCGTCTATGGCTCCTTCCGACCTTGCTTGCGACGGGCGTCGGGATATCCGAGGCAGCGAGCCGTGATGCAAGCTCAATTGTGGGAGTGCTGTATGTACATAGTTGGCATGCATATGGTAGACTATCTACTACCACGAGAAAACGTGATCGCGACGCATCTCAATGTCCCGCGCACAGTGGCAAAACAGGCTCAAGCGAACATAGACGTGCGGAGGTGCGGCGCGATGGCGCGAGCGCCGCTTTCTCCAACTTCTCGAAGAGCGGGGCTCTTGGTCAGCGTATGTCGCGCGCGTTTGCGACTGTCCAACGTTCTGAAAATAGCTGTAACCAGTTCTCAACGTTCAAACATCGGCGCAGGGTATGTTCTGTTACCTCGCCTGCGAATTACTCGCCAGGACAGGGCCAGTTATCCACCGCGCGCACCACGATCTCGAATCGTTCTACTGGGTCATCCTTTGGATTGTCCTTCGCCATACGGACCACGACCACCCAGAGGGCGCCGCCGCGTGCGAGAAGATCTTCGATGCTGAGACCGAGCACAACGCCTGCTGTTCCAAGACCTTCTGGCTCACGGACGAGGAGGTCGCGATCCGCAACAACGCACCCCTCACCGCGCTCCTCAACGACCTCACGGACCTGGTTCACGCGACACGCAAGCGCAGGGGACACCCGACGTGCACTCTCACCCAAGAAGCGTTCATCCGGGTCCTCGATGACGCTTTAACACTGAAGGCTGGCCGTCGGGTGATGAAGCGCGCCCTTTGGTGCACCCGCACGTCGACGCGGATGGTAGCGATGTCCAGGTGGGGACCAAACGCAATCGGGAGGCCAGTGATCATGACGAGGGGAGACGCTCGAGCAAGAAGCAGAAGACGTCAACGGAAAATGCGAACTTGGTACGACCGAACTCCTTGCAATCAAGTGGGTGAACTTGGATACAGAGCGAGACTCAAACGAGGATGCTTGTGAGGTCTCATATTGTGCTCTTCCCATCGCCGATCTCCAGTGTAGCTAAATGATTGTGGTTTACACTAGCACTCAGTATGTACTTAGCTATGATATTGTCAATGGTTGTTCTCCTGTACAATCTTACAACGTATCTCCCTAGTAGCTTGCGTCGTCGTAGCCCTGGAGTCCATTAATCCATTCGTTATCGTGCACTTCTGTACAAGAGTACGACACTCTTGCGAGAGATCGTCAACGAACGGAGCCTGCTAACGATTGTGCATACTTGCCGCTGGTACCAGTCTGTTGCATGAGGTTCAAAGTTGAACGTTGCATCATGGCTACATTAGCGCGGCCAAGAATGCTCAGTCAAATGTTACATACAGCGAACCCGCGACTCGGAACGTATCTCGTTCGCAACAGACTGGGACTACATAACACAGTCATAACACAGACACCAAGGAGACGAAATATGGCTACGCTTACAAGAATGCGGAAGATACGGTAATGACAAGGTGGTGGCTCGGTGCGTGGGCCGTCAGTCACTTCGAGGCTTAGTGCAACAAGCGACTTGCACTGGATGTCACCAGTGCCCTTTGGATCCATATCCCGGGTTCATCAGGCATCTTTCGTCAATGCCATACCGATCATCTCGCTCGGCGTCTGCGCACGCATGAAGGACACACTCTGGCGCCGCGAGCCTCCGTCACATCCCTCGTCCTAGGGCCGCCACACCGTATTCAGCACCGAATGACCCAGCGGAAACTCAAAAGCACGACTCACCGCGCCCCCCGATGCGAACGACCCCTGGCCACTCTCCCTGCGCCCCGCAAAGACATCGTACGCCGACTTTCTCGGGATCCTCGCCCTCCCAAGCTGGGTGCACCCCTCCGGCCCCACATCCGTCGGCGCGGATACCCTGCGAGTCTGCAACACCCGCGCCACGATCGGCGCGGGCCGCCCGAGACATGGTAGGGTCGCGCTCTCCCGCTTCCCCATCCCCTGCCAGCTCCCCAGCTCCTCCTTTTCCTCGCACCCGTGGCTCCCCGCGGACCCCGGGAACGCAAAATGGATGCTGTGCCCGTGCTCGACGTCGACGTCGAGCGCGGGCGCGCAGTCGCGGTCGAGGCTCATGCGGAGGTCCGAGCGGCCCGTGGAGTTCGTCGCGCTCAGGGTTGCTTTAAGGTTGCGGGGGCGCGAGTGGATGGAGGAGAGCGGGTGGAGGATGGCGCCGTCGGCGTCGACGATGGAGCCGGTGCTGCGGAGCTTGTTGCGCGCGTTGAACCTGCGTGCGCGAGGGAGGTTAGTATGACCGGTCAGGCAGGAGTGGATGGACGGACATTGCGAGGAAGGAATTCACGTAGACTGCCACAGGGTGTCAGGGTTGTGTCAGGGTTGGATTGGGGACAGACGCACGTTTGGTGAGTATCAGCTCGACGCTGATCACTGCGAATGACGTGGGCAGCGCTGCCATCTACGGCGACATGGAGTCACAATCAGAGATCAGTGTCTGCGCACCAGGTGAGGACAACGACGTACTGCAATGATCGCTGTGAGCGAGCAGATACTGAGTGTCGCCGTCACAGTCAATGGGGGGACAGTGTGTGAGGACAGAAGTGCGTACCTGGTGATGACGCCCGTGTTGAGTGTGAAGAGCATGAGGATGGTGATGGTCGAGTCTATGTTGCTACTGCACCCCCGGTCAGCGCTGACTCAGCGCGAAGTCCCTCGGTCCCTCGGAGACGCACCTTGTCGATCCGAGCCTGCACCGCTCGAGGAAATAGCATAGTGCCAGGGCGATCACCGCGTCGATGAAGGTCGCCGCTCCGAGCGGGAGGAAGGTCACCCACTGGCGGCGGGGAGGTCAGCTCACACAGATATGCGATTCGGTCCAGCGGGACAGCGTACCTGAGAAGAGAGCAAGTCGGTATAGGTCTGGTACTGTGTTCTGTCGCGGGAGCCGTGGATGCATGAATATGGGTCCAGAGATGGTGACGTAAACGTGGCAGGACGCACATTTCGTAGCAGAGTACTTGCGCCGGACGTCAGTTGGCAGGCATTGGGGCACTTCAAGAAATCGCTGTCACTCACTGATTGCCGTCCCTGCAGAGTCGGTTAACAGTTCATGAGTATACATTTCCTGCGTAGGGACGAACAACGAACCGTATCCTCCGAAGAACACGAGAAATGACTACCTCAGACTGTGTTCAGCGGTCTGTACAGAACCGAGTGATGAGTGGCTGAACGTACGACTGCTACTGGGAGAAGCTTGCGCCAGACGGACTTGCGGGTGTCAGCAGCGTTGACTAAAATGAGGACAACAATAGGATGAGTATCGGGGAAGCAAAGCGATGCGTACGCGTCTCACGTTTCCACAGGCGGATGGTGTAGAGACTAAAGTATGCGTCAGTACTAGTAGCAACGATGCAAGAAAAATGAGTGATACGAACGTATGGACGGAGATCACAACGATCGCCTGCGCTCCCTTTATCAGTACTCCAGCGACGGAACGCGAGACATACTCACATCTACAATGATCTGAGCCTATAAACTCAAATATCAGCCTCCACCATACACATCCCGTTACCCCGCCCCGCCATACGCACCTTGAAGCTCCAGACGATCTCCAAGAGTGCGAGCGGGTCGAGATAATTGGTGACGAGGTACCAGTAGATCATATGAATGCACAGCACAAGGTGCGTCGCGTCGAGTAGCCTACATCGCGTTGCTCCGCTTCAGCTTCGGAGAACGGGTTCTACGAAGAGAGGGCACGTATACCAGAGCCAGCAGACTGCGGCCATATTCCAGATCCTGTCGCGGGGGTACCGCTGGAAGTAAATGAAGGTCTGCAAGTTGGTTATACCGAATAGACTGGTACGGGACACGCTCAGAAATGCGTTAGCAGCGCAGTACAAATCACAAGACTTACACCGCGGACACAAAGGCACCCACAAGAACAGCGCCGTAAGTCCTGTCGAGCTCTCCCATGACGGAAAGTACGCGTTCTCCTGCACCCACAGCGCCGCGGGAGGAACTCCTACAGACAGGGATGGACCTTCGGGAAGGAAGGAACAAGGGAAGAAAGGAGACACTCAGACTTAGACTCAGACTTATGGCAATGCTTCGAGGAGAGCACCTTCGCGGAAAAGATCATCTGGCCAGCTGCCCTCGAGCATGGCCGGCGAGCGCAGACACGAAGTCCCTTTATGCTGCATTAATCGCCGAATTTTCCGATTATTGTGGACGCGCAGAGATAAATATATCCCGTTCTGGGGAAGAGCACATGCGTCTCGTGGGTCAATTGACAGGGATCAGGAGGCGCGGTTGTTGGCTCAGGCGCCAGACGGCTGAGGATGGTAGTGGGGTTGACGGATTGGGGGCAGACTGCGTGCGTGTGTCTTCGCTGGCGGAGGTGCAACGTGCGTTTCGAGACGGGCTGTATTCCGTATTACGTCGGTGTGCCATGTCTGCCATTGTCTGGACAGCATAGGACCTTGCTCGGCCTGACGGTGAATCGTCTGCTATTTGAGCTGTGACTTATGGAGATCAAGATGCAAAGACGCGGAGAAGACAAAGCGTCCGTACTGATTTACCATACCTCAGCCTGAGATAGTGGAGAGAAAGGTCCTTTATTTGCGGTGAGAAAGGAACAACTTGAGGCCAGTGAAGCCATCGAACCGCAGTGCTGTGGATAGTGAACGTCGCATTCTTGCATGACCACCGACTGGGTAATCTCTCATGAGTACGGTGGGATATCCGGATTCGAGGAGGAGGAGGAGGAGGAGGAGGAGGGAGGATCGGTTTGACCACACATTGGCCACGCATCAACGAAGCCAAAGCCCGTCGTCCGCCGCGCTGTCAGTGTCACGCTGGTGTTGAAGTTGAAAGCTACCCCATGCACGTGACCATGTTAAGCGCCGGAAGTACGCGGTACTACGCACGGCCCAGTACCGGTTTACTCACCATACTCGAGCCAACGGGGTACTTCTTCAAGAACATATCAGGAATTCCCTCATGGCACACAAGTATTAAACTTCTACCTCAGTTGTTAACGTGAATACACTCAGTCGTAGCCCTTGTGGTACTCGACTGTATTGCTGTAGCGTACCTGTTAACGTGAATACACTAAAGGATCGTGTTTAGTACTTGTACAAGTCCATAACTATGGCTACAGGAACTCACCTCAGTCGTAGCCCTTGTGGTACTCGACTGAGGTGCAACTATGCTACACACGCCCTTTACGCGCCAGGCGCTACATCACGTGTCCGTGTCACCGTCCCACGTCAACATCAGTGACCATACAGTCAAGCCGTTACAGTGTCAGCGGATCCGGTTGCCGCTGCCAGGACAGTACTGGCAATAGCGGAGTCTTCGCTTGCTAGTGAATGGCACGGAACAAGACGTATACCTTCAAGGTAGATCTGGTGCTGTGCTTGCTTCTGAAGTATCCACTATACTTATTCTGCGACTGACAAAGCTCCCTCGATGTTCATCGAGCTTGTTACTAGACGATCGCGACGGGTTTTGGAAGTAGCTACTATGTGCTCAATGACCGCAGCCGATTTGCTCTCGCTCTACCTCCCGTTGATCCGCGGTAAATTTGCCAAGTGAGTGTTCTTTTTCCTGTGCACACTGGCTCCCGACGTGACTAAGCCAAATATTTATGGCATAAATGTCACCTTGTCCAGGACGCCTGCTATGCAGGCTTACAATGAATGAGGTAAAAGACGTCATGTCCGAGTCTCACTTCCTTTCTTGACTGCTGCGCTGGGCCATGGGCTAACTTCCCCTCAGATCCGCTGTCAACACCATTCTTACGAATTTGTCAGGTCGGAGCTGTGGCGGGCTACTAGTAAGGGTCCTTCTCCTGGCAGGCACCCGGTGACCGCGCAAAAAAGGGATACGGCGGCGCATTGGTGGCCGGTGTGTTGGTCGGAGCCCTTCAGCTCTCGTTTTGACAGTGAGCGTTGATCTTAAAGTCCACAAACGGCATTGGTGACGCCTCACTCACAACATGTACGTAGGTGTGGCGCGGCGCAATTTAATTGCAAGGCCATGTTATCTCACGATGCATGTCAAGTATCTGTCGAAATTCTCGGAAGTGAGCTCGATGCGGGCTTCTCGAACGCATAATGCATGGCGCGTGTCAAGCCAGGTTGGAGAGCGTTCAGGCACTGCAATGTCGAGCGAACGACATCGTGGTGCCGGCAATGATATAAGAACTTGCGAGGGGTGTTCTCCCCAGCCGCACGTCTCTCATTGGACATCGATGGCTATGTTCCAAGTTCTGTCTTCCTATACACTCATCGCGCCATTCTTCTTGTTTGTCATCATCTACTCGCTTGGTCGGCGAAATTCTCGCCGTCTGCCGCCGGGACCCTATGGTTTCCCGCTCGTTGGCAACGTGCGTGAAACGCCGTTCGAACACCCAGAGTATACGTTTGCGTCGTGGGCAAAGAAATACGGTAAGCTTTCTAGGAAAACTCGCCCGGTCCACAGCTGACTCGCACATCGTACCGCCCGCCGTAGGCGACCTGATCTACAATGAGTTCTTCGGTCACCGCACGGTCATCATCAACTCGCAGAAGATAGCGCAGGAGCTGCTCGAGAAACGTGGCGCGAAGTACTCGAGCAGGCCGCGTATGACGATGCTCGCAGAGATGTGAGTGTGCTTCGCGTGCTGCCTCACGCCCTTCGTTCTGACAGTAGATGCATACGTACTATCTCAGGCTGGGCTGGAACCCCACGCTCACGCTATTGCCATACAAGGCGGAGAGCCGCCGCAAACAGCGCAAGTGGATCCATGGCACGTTCGGCGAGAAGAAGTCGGTGCAGGGCTTTGAGGGCCTGAAGAAACGGGAGACGTACATCTTCGTGTTGGGCCTGATGGAGACACCCGACGACTACGGTTTGCATGTCAAGCGGTAAGCCTCTAGTTTCCTCTTGTGTCCACTCCGGCGACGGACGTGACTTGGCCTAGGTTCCTCGCAGCGCTTGTCCTTGAGTCCGTCTATGGGCACCGGATTACGTCCCTTGACGATGAGTATGTGACCATGATGGACAGTGCGATGGAGGCTACGACCACGACGGGTGCGGCAGGAGGAACACTGGTGGACATGCTACCGTTCCGTGAGTACCATTCGAAACCTGCCATGTGCCGTGATGTCGACTCACTATGTCGGTAGTGAAGCATATGCCCGCTTGGATGCCTGGCGCAGGGTGGAAGCGAGCCGCGTTGCGCGCGAGGAAGCTTGTCTGGCAAGGTCACCATCTTCCATACCGCATGGCGCGAGAGGCGATCGTAAGAGCACACAGACATGCCATTCTGCAATAGAACATAATTCAACTGATACAGGAGTCGGGTGGCGCACCACCATCATTATTGTCTACCCTGATGGGAGATTCAACCAAGACAGGGCAGTTTGAACAAGAGGAGAATGATATCATCTATACAACAGGGGTGATCTATGCCGGTAAGTCTCCGAAGTTTAGGTCGACATCGTAAAACATGAATGCTCAAACGGCTTACCAGCTGCGACGGATACGGTAAACATTCACAGTTTGATTTTCGGTTACCGCTGAAGCGGAGTCAACTTATCATAGACGAAAGCGGCCCTACTGACGTTCATCTTGGCGATGACCCTTCATCCCGAGGTTGGCAGGAAGATGCAAGAAGAGATAGACCGAGTCATTGGGAAGCATAGGCTACCGACTATCGAGGACAGGCCAGATCTACCCTATGTTGACAGCGTCCTGAAGGAGACCTACCGGTGAGCGACAGAATCGCGCGGCCCTAAATCATGCCGATGACTAATGAGAATTGCAAAGCTGGCACGCGCCCCTCCCACTAGGCACGAGCTAATCTAAGAGTCACCTTAAAAATCTGCCAATGGGCTAACGTTGTCTTTAGGAATCCCACACTACATCACAGAAGACGATGAATACGAAGGCTATCAGTTGCCTCAAGATACCACTATCATGGCAAACATGTGGTAAATCGAGCACAGCTACTGAACTGCGCGTTCGAAGGATTCACGGTGATGCTTTTGCAGGGCGATATGCAGAGACGAGCGCGTATGGAACGACCCCACAGCATTCCGCCCGGAGCGCTTCCTTGAGCTGGATCCCTCCGAAGCCGAAGCCCTGGACCCCCGCCACGTCGTCTTCGGATACGGACGCAGGTCAGTGAGCCTCGTGCTGCTTCTCTAAAAACAGATGCTCACCAATTGTAGGCAATGCCCCGGTCGCCTATTTGCAGACACAGCGCTGTTCCTGGTCATAGCCACCATGGCGGCGACGCTGGACATCCGCAAGGCTCGTGATGCGGAGGGGAAGGAGATCATCCCGGAGGTCTCGTGGCTTCCTGCTTTTATCAGGTGAGTCGGATAGCGTACAGACGCGAACACATCGGACTCAGCATATATTACACTAGCCCTCCAGAGGATTTCGTCTGTGCAATTGCGCCGCGTTCGTCGTCGGCGAAGACCTCTGTTGCGGATGCTTTGGCTGGCGCATCCGCATGAGCCCATTCGTATGCCGTCGTGAGATGCTTCTTGCAATGTACATTACCATACCTTCTGCAGACTTCATTGGCCGAGGGTGCTGATGGGTAACATACGACGTACTGCTGGACATTGAGATGTTTACCAACCATCTGGTGCCACAATGCAACCATGAAGAGTAATCACTAGTTGACGCGGAGCTTGTGGAAATGTATTCCTTTTATATTCTCAACGCGCTTGACATAATACTATACAGAGCAGCAATAAACAAGAGGTGTACATACGGTCGTGGTGGCTTGAATCACGACGACTCTAGGCTTGCCAGTGTCTCCGCGACAACACTTATGGTCGCAGTGGAACGAGGTGTGATACTACATTCGTAATCTGCAGGGTAGCTGTCGTGTAGAGATTCTCGTAAGCCTAACAACAATCGTGAGCTTTTTCACAGACAGACAGACAGACCTAATGAACGAAGAAAGAAATTTTGCCTCCGGCGTGATGGCGTTACCTGTCGCGTCTTGCGCCTTGCCGATATTCAGCGTCGCCGCAACACTGGCCATCGCCAGGAAGAGGGACGTGTCACCGAATAGGCGTCCGGGACAAAGGCTATGTATGAGCGAGGCATGAGGCGCAGAGCTATGATTCCGAATAGTCGTATTACGGACCGTCGGCCATATCCAAAGACGATGTTTCGTGGATCCTTGAGGTCTTCATTTGCATGCGTCTCGAGAAAGCGTTCCGGACTGAAGGTATCGGGGTTGTCATAGGCCCTCTCGTCATGTGTCATTGACCTGAGGGGCGCACATTAGGCTTGAATAGAGGGGATCAAGATAAATATACGATACTTACCAGAGGTTTGCCACTACTGTGGTGTTCCGAGGTATATGATAACCTTCATATTGATCGTCTTCCGTCAGGTAGTGCGGCAAGCCTGCAATTTGCAATCCATGAGTGTCGGACGATTACTCGCAAAGAAGCAAAACAAGTCACCCAGGGGAACTGGCGTATTCCAGCTATGCAGAGGTGAGCAAGAATACACTTCGCTCACTGCAAGGGGGCCACTCACCGGTACGTCTCTTTCAGGATGCAATCGATGTACGGTAAGTTTGGTCTGTCCTCCAGAGTCGGTAACCGATTGCTTCCGACGACACGGTCAATCTCCTCTTGCGCCTTGACGTACACCTTAGGGTGGAGGGTCATCGCCAGGAAGAACGTGCGGAGCACCGTCTTCGTCTGCTCAATGTATGGTTATTTCTGGTCCTTGACCCAGCGAACCATAGGACGAGAGCATACCGTGTCCGTTCCAGCTAGTCATAGGACGTCAGCCCCAAACACCGGATGTCACATCCTGAGTGCTTTACGTACCAGAGTACAAGGCGCCAGCACTGTACCGAATGTTGTCCTCTTCCTCAGCAAGGTGCCCGGCTTTCGCTGCTCCTTCGATCAGCTCTGATACGTAAGAAGCTCGTGCATTGCCTGACTCCTAACCGAGCCTGGCTCAATCAACCCGGAGTAGGGCTAGAAGACGGCTTAAAACGTACGACGGCTTTGCGGACCATATCGTATGGAATATGATTCGCGTCCCACACGAGCTTCCTCGCATAAAGCGCCTTGCGCTTGAAGTCTGCACCAGGCATCCAGGCGGGGACGTACTTGACTATGACGTTGGTGAACGCCGCTTGATCGTCAACTTCCCCGAACCAGTATGCTTGAGCAACGTGAATACTGACGAAGTGGGAACATGTCCGCTATCCCGCTTCCTGCAGGACCTGTCGCGTTGGTGGCATCCATGGCTCGGTCCATCAGAGTTATATACTCATCCTCCAGAGACGTGATCCGGTGCCCAAAGACAGATTCGAGGATGAGCGCCGCGGCGAACCTAGGTTCCAGTCACCAGTGTCCAGCAACAAGATGATAGCATCACTTGCACGTACCGTATGATATGCATGGTGAAGTCCTTGGGCGTTTCCATCAAACTCAACAGAAAGATGCACGTCTCACGTCGCTGCAAGCCCTCGTATTTCCTAACAGCGCCCTTCTCCCCGAAAGCCGCCTGGATCCACCGCCGCTGCCTGCGGCGAGCCTCAGAGTGGTACGGCAGGAGGACTGTGTTAGGATACCAGCCTAACCTAGCCCCGTCGATGTATGTCAATGCTAACGTAGAATCGTAAGGTAAACACTACGCACAGCTCGACCATCGTCACGAGCCGCGGGCGGCTCGAGTAGATTCCTCCCCGCTTGTCCAGGAGGTCCCGTGCAACTTTAGGCGAGTTGACAATAAGGGTACGATGTCCAATAAACTCGGCATATATGAGATCGCCTGTGGTTGTAGCCAGTGTATCATGTCAACCCGAGTTCAGATGGGGTCCATCTACTGATAGGGATCTCACCGTATTTCTTTGCCCATGACTTGAAGGTATGTTCCTGCGAGCCTGAGGGAAGTTGATGGAGGTTGCCCAAGAGCGGTAGACGCTTCGGACCAGGTGGCAGAGGTCGGAAGTGACGCTGGCGCATATGATGAGCCAGCGAGTAGAGGAGAACGCACGAGCAAAGGACCGAGATCCAGAAATAGCCCAACGACGCTGAGAACTTGAACATCGCTCACAGTACTAATCACTGGTGAAGCGCGAGATACTTACGCGAGAGGGTTGTCCAGCCCTTTTATAGCCCTACCAGTAGCCTCCGGATGCACTACCGCGCGCGTAGTATACCTCCATGAACGCTCCGAGATGTGGCGTTACATAGCCGTACTGTGCACGCAAAGGTTCGTGTTCGCGTTACGTATTCCCGATGCATTGCAGAAAGGCGGCTGTGGTGCCAGTTTAGCGCTGCACACAGCGGTGTAGATAGGCTTCGGGGTCGCGAATTATGTTCGCGCCAGTGGCTTCGCAATTCAAACCGCTCAGCGCGTTGGAGTCCGATATGGGATCCAAGGGCCCCTTCATCTCTTGCTGATCGTCGCGCGCATGGCGCCTCACGAGTTCGACATTCCTGCGAAGCAGCAGCGCCGCTATCAGACATCAATAGACACGTCGTATCGCCGCGCTTCCCGCATGACCAGCGACGAGCGTCATATGGGTGAGGCTGAACGTTGCAGCTAAATTAGGATGAGAGTCGATGTCAACTGATAGACTTGGCTTAAGGCACGACAGAGGACGAAACGCTCGATGCAGATATGGAAGCTCACCTTGCTCAAGGAACTAGACCGTTCGTCGAAGCGTTCCGATGGACTGGCAGCCTCACAGGAGCACTAGTCCAGTATCCGTGAGAGGAGCTTGACCGACACGAAGGGCTCAGCATGCATGCGAGTGCCTGTCATAAGGTAGTGAAACGCCCGTCATTCGTTGGACGCATACCCACAGCGGCCCTGCGCAGATCGCGTAAACACTGATACACGCCGCGTTCGCGAGCGCATGCCATAGTTAGCATAATAAGATACGAGCAAGGCTGTTTCTGGCAAGATGCTGGCGACCAAATGTGATGTGCCTAGAAACATGTCTACATGCTCGCCCACGTCTCCGCGACAAGAGCCTTCGCTGTCGAAGAGCGTGGTGTTATCGCGCACACGAAGTCTTCAGGAGAGCTGGTAGTCACCGCAGTAAGTCTGAGGTCATGGCTTATCGATAAATACCCACACACCTGATGAACGCCGGAAGCAACGAAGCCTTTGGAGTGATCTCTCAAAGATTCCCTCCGCGTCGCGAGCTTGGCGCATGTCCAGTATCGTCACAACGTTAGATATGACAAGGAACAGCGTCGTGTCGTCAAACAGGCTTCCGGGACAGAGCCTGTGATTGATGTGCTTCGTCACTGTTGCTACTCAGACTGCAATGTAATGATCACTGACCTGCGTCCGTGTCCGAAGACATTGTTGCGAGGGTCTAGCGCTTCTGCATGGGAAGAGTCTAGTTCGAAGAAGCGCGCTCCGAACGGAATGCAGCCGGGTCACTCCAAGTGCGCTCATCTCCGCAAATAGACCTAGATAATGGATACCGTGAGTCTGATTGTCAAGTTCTAGTACCGGCGCGTGTGCTGGTGTCACCTTAGGTTTGCCATGACGGTGGTATCTCGAGGCAGGTGATAGCCTTTGATTCATCATCTTCTGTAATGTAGTGGGGAATGCCTAGGGGTTCGCTGAATTCTATATCTTCGATGCGAAGCGTTGGATACATCTCACCTAGTGGGAGGGGGGCGTGCCAACTGAATGAAATTCAATGAGTGATCGTAATGTTCTAATGAAAGTGCTACTCACCGATATGTCTCTTTCAGCACACTATCGACATATGGCAAATTCGGCCTGTCTTCAAGGTTTGGGAGCCTGTTCGTTCCTATGACTCGATCCACCTTTTCTCGCGCCTTTCTGAACGCTTCTGGATGTAGCACCATAGCTAGGAAGAAAGTCAGTAAGGCGGCTTTCGTCCGTTTGAGACATGATCAATGGTGTTTTATAACTAGATGTGGATACGCACTGTGTCTGTCGCAGCTAAAGCATTTATGAGCTCCCATGTCTATAGCCTCGAGAGCTCACCGGCATAGATGATCCCTGCGGTATGTATAATGACCGTCTCCTCCCGTTCAAGTCGTCCGGTCTTAGTTGCGTTCTCTATGAGGGTAGATATCAATGATGGCGGTGGACTGCCCGACGCCTACGCCTATCTTGTCATGTACTTAATCACATTAGCGTGCACTCACGAGCGTCTCTCGCGCCATGCGGTACGGTACTTATATGGTGGGCCCTCCCATACAAGCTGCTTCGCATGCAGTGCGGCTCTCTTCCAGCTTGCACCCGGCATCCAAGCGGATACATACTTCACTGTAAGTATGATCATGATCAACGACGCCGCGGTTCACTCACTATTCATGCTACCCACAAAATGGTATCATGTCCACTAGCGTTCCGCCTAACGCTCCAGTCGCGTTCGTTGCTTCCATGGCAGTGTCCGTAAGCTTGACGTACTGCTCCCCCAGGGACGTGGTTAGATGTCCGTACACGGATTCGAGAACGAGGGCCGCAAGAAGTCTAGGTCAAGTCGTAGTCTCAGGCTGTGACGTCAACAGAAAGGCAATGGGACCTACCTGTTAACGTGCAAAGTGTAGTCATCTGGCGTCTCCATCAAGCTCAGTACAAAGATATAGGTCTCCCGTCACTCGAGATGACCAAAGGCTTGTAGTGACTTCTTGTCCCCGAACATGTTCCGTATCCACCTGCGTTGTTGGCGGTGGCTCTCCGACCTGTACGGTAGTAGTGTAACTGTGGGATTCCACCCTGGGCTGTTGTGTACTCATCGAGATCAGTGCGGTCTATATCATACGGAGGGGCTCACATCTCTACGAGCATCGTGAGTCGCGGGCGGCTCGAATACTTCCCCCCTCGTTTCTCAAATAATTATGGCACGATTTGCTGTGAATTGATGACGACGGTGCGATTGCCGAAGAACTCGTTATAAATCAAGTCACCTAAGATGAGCGTTGCAAATAAAATTCCGACTGAAGCGCCCTTCGCTGTACGTTACCGGTTTGCTTGGCCCATGATGCGAAGGTATACTCTGGATGCTCGAACGGGACTTCACCGACGTTGCCCAGTAGCCGCCAGTGTTTCGGGCCCGGAGGCAGACAATGGACCTTGCGCTGATTGAGTGAGTAGATTAAGACATACAGCAGGAGTAGCGCACTCGGCGTATAGGAAAATAGGACCTGGGGCATGCCCACTGACGGCGGTTGCGGCAGACGAGCGATGAGTGAGAATACTTGGCCTTCAGGTCGCGAGATGGTCAACACCTTGATATCACAGAAAGTGGTGTCCATAACAGGGTGTTCCTCGCCCAGTGCAAGATGAACGAAGCGTCCAAAAACAGACCATGAATTCCAATAGAGATCGATATCATGACCCACGCGAGACCATGCTGCAAGCCCCGGTACGTGGACACTGGCGTCTCCCCAAGGCTTGTTGTGGCTAGAAAATGTATCGGAGTTAACTAGAGGGATTCATTGATTCATTTCACAAAATGCAGATTGCACGACCGGGGAACTTGCCTTCAACGGCCCTGGGATAACCTTGTTCGATATCTGGACGACTCAACGGCGTCCCACAGGTTGAGTCAGGAGCTTTCTGACATAATCTATGTCCATGTTATTTGCAGATAGCATTTGTCTGCTCAAATCGAAGCCCGTTGGTGTCCAGCATTGGTATCAGGAGCGTCCAGCCTTTAGCTTCAAAAGAGTATCATGAAACGTTCAAGAGTATGCGCATTGCGCGGGGCTTGCCAACGACGAATCAACATTATGTAATCGACGACGTCTCCAATGGATCACGTGCTCCTCCGAGTCACGGTCGTTCCTCCTTCTCCTCCTCCTGAGTCCTCCTCCTCGGTCCTGTAGCATCTCACTCAGACGACCTTTCTGAGAATTAGAAGGAGGGGTCATAATTCACAACGGCCGCCCCTGATTTTTGCATATCCAGATTCTGACTGCTCATCACTTCCGAGGGCACGCCGGTATAGGTCACATAACATCGCTTGAACATCGCCTGTCCATCTCAAGATCGCAATTGTAAGACCCATCGCAAGCCTATTCTGACCACTTACAGCGAGCGGATGGGACGTCGCGGTGGTATACCCATGTACGAGGGATATAGGGGGATCATGCCGAGAACACGGAACGAAACGCGTGGTGTGTCGTCGTCCTTGTCTCCACATCGATGCCCTGCCAACGCGATTCTGAGGAATGTATAGCGCCTCGAGCGTAGTGTCGTCTTGGCATACGAGCTTGATGAAGTCCTCAGGCTGAGTTCCGATGATGCAGCTGGACATCTTCCGAGTCGAAGTTCATTTGCACGTTGCAATGCTCATACACAAGTTAGTATGCGTTGGCTGATCGATGTCATGTCGGCATCATAGCGATTCTGCCACCGCTTTCCTGCTAGGAGCAAGCATCATCAAGCGTCCTATGGCCGTTTAGATTCTCCATGCTGCAAAGCTCTCGCCGGTTATCCTCCCGGGCTAGGTTCGACGCAAAACCCAACATGCAGTGATGCACGCTTGCGCGGGTGTCATCGTGACAGGTAAGTACCCCTTGATTGAAATGGCACCAATCCACATATTCATGAACCCGCGACTCAGCCCAATCAGGTCAGACTAAGTCGCGATCAGCCCGTGTGGTACGTGTGTGGTTTGCCGCACTGATGGTGGCGGGAACGGGACGACGCTTGACCGCTCTGTGGTGAAGACACCTTCGTAGAAGCTCCTCTACCAGATGATTCTTACGGGTGTCGGACTCGCTTGAGCTCCCTGATCGGCGTGCATGCGACCACATAACCCGCACCCGACCACACTGGCGGGCAGAGATTTTCATGATTGACTGTTCATGCTGCGCCTCCGATCGCTGCCTTTCTGATAAATACCCTCGCCGTCTGCACGGTTTCCTCAGCTCTCATTCTCTTTCGAGCACACCAAGTAAAGGCACTGGTTGGTAAGTTGCACGTTTACTTTCATCTTAGTGCGTAATCATGCTGACTGTTATGGGGCGACAGTCTTGCTTTCCTTTGACGACATTCACCTCCATTCCTTACGCTTTCTCTCTGTAACGACCTCATTCAACACCTCCGCTTTATCGCCGACATCAACATCCAGCTATGCGTTTCAGCACCATTCTCGCCCTTGCACTGGCTACCGCCTCCGCTGCGCCTGCGCTCGCCTGGTCCGTCGAATCGTGAGTTCAGTGTCTATTTTGACTTGTCTGCAGTGTATTCATATTATCCACAGCGACGCCAGCGAACTGCTATCCCGGGCTTACAAAGGGACTGACGGCAAGGTGCACTGGAGCCCCGGCGTGCGCCAGGGCAAACAGGGCTGCGGCAGTGCTAAGCCCCGGTCCGTTAAGGAAGAGCTCTACGCGCGTACTTACATTGGGCCGGGCGGGAAGGTTCACTACGCCCCTGGTGTACAAGGCAGCAGACGTCCTGGCTCCCATCACGGTCCGAAGGGGGCAGGCAGACCGAGGGAGCTCTATGAGCGTGACCTCTTCTACGGCTCGTTGTATTTGGATTGAACATGACAGTACATGTCGACTGTTGCGAAGTGTGATGTAGTACATTATGTGTGGTCGTTACAAATAGGATTGGCTTGTGAATGTCTCACGACTCTGGACAAACGAATATGCCACAAGACGCGCATAGCACCCATCCTCATCGGAGGATACATGGAGTTCATACTGTACAAATGTAACTAGAGTGGGGGTTTCGAGACTAGAGTAATCATAAACGCGACATTGAGGAGCACGATGTGAATCAATATGCTGACAGCTTCGACAGCTTCTCCGCGACGAGGCTCTTTACTGCTGAATTGCGCGGCGCAATGTCGCAAAGAAATTCCTCAGGATAGCTGGATAATGCTAGTGAGATCGCAGACATTCATTCACTGACAGAAGCGACTTGCCTGACAAGGGCGGGGTGGAAGGAGACCTGCGGAGTGATCTCCCTACCCCCTACATCCCGAGCTTTCCGGATGTCGAGCGTCGCCGCCATATTAGATATCACCAAGAAAAGGGTTTCGTCTGCGAAAAGACGTCCTGGACAGAGTCTGCCGCCATTCGAAATCCAGGTCATCCCCTAAAGATGAATGGGCAAGAGGAGCACACTGACCTGCGTCCGTATCCAAAGACAACCTGGCGAGGATCCATCGCTTTTGCTTCCTCGGCATCAAGGTCCAAGAAACGTTCCGGACGGAAGACATCCAGTTCATCCCCGGGCCACATGTCCTTCTCCCGGCATATCGACCTGAAAAACTATGGTGAGCCGACTCCTAGAATAACCCGGGGACGCATGTAGTACCACAGATTCGCAAGGACGGTTGTGTCTTTCGGTAGATGATATCCTTCGTATGTGTCGTCTTCCGTGATGTAATGTGGTAGCCCTGCATGTATCCGTCAGTCGGTGACGTGGTCGCGTGTCTCCACTGACCCTTACCTAACGGCAGCGGCGGGTTCCAACTGGTCATTAACGGTCAGTAACAATCGTGATTATTGAGCAGCGGTACTCACCGGTAGGTCTCCTTCAAGACGCAATCGACATACGTCAAATCTGGTCTATCCTCCAAAGAGGGCAGCCGATCCTTCCCGACGACTCGATCGACCTCATTCTGTAGCTTAGTGTACACCTCAGGGTGAAGCACCATCGCCAAGATGAACGTCAGCAATACGGTCTTCGTCTGTGCGACAAACACCTGAGCGGACAGTCAGAGGGAGAGGAAAAAGGATGTAGTACCGTGTCTGTCGCAGCTGTGGAACAATGAGCGTTAGTATCTCGGCGACATGACTCCCAGTAAGCAGTCATGGATTTCTTACCAGAGTATATCGCTCCCGCTGCGTAGATAATATCAGTCTCCTCTTCATCCAGGCGCCCCGCCGACGTGGCCTGCTCAATCAGCGCAGACATAAACGAGGCGGGCGCGTCTTCCGATGCCTATGACATCCCCCATACGTTAATGACTGCTTACATGCGGTTGATGTGCGTACCATCGACTCGCGTGTCTTGCGATATGGTATGTAGTGACTGTCCGACACGAGCTGTCTCCCGCGGGCAGCAATCCTCTGGTAGGCCGCCCCCGGCATCCAAGCTGGTACATACTTGACTACAATCCAGACCGGTGAGCGTACGGTCGTCATCGTTTTAGATGGTACTCACGGAAAGGCATGAGGTCAACGAGAGTTCCGCCTGCTGCGCCCGTCGCAGTGGTTGCCCCCATGGCTTGGTCCATGAGTGTCACGTGTTCATCCTCCAGAGACTCGATGCGATGTCCGTAGACAGTTTCGACTGCAAGCGCAGCGACAAACCTAGCGAATGTTCACTCAGTCCGATCCACAATCCGAACAGATGTCGACCATACCGCTTGACATGGAGGACATAGTCGGAGGGTCTCTCCATCAAACTCATCAAGAATATGTGCATCTCTCTCGTCTTGAGAGGCAAGAAACCCTTTACCGCGTCTTTGTCACCGAAGGCACTTTGTATCCATCGGCGATGCTTGCGGTAGCTCTCCGACTTGTACGGTAACGCAGAAATGGAGGGATTCCACCCTAGCCTGGAGCCAAAGGTACACGTCAACACCGGGACGTTACTATGATGCTACGCGGGACTTACAGTTCGACAAGCATTGTCATCCGCGGCCGGCTGGAGCAGTTTGCACCTCGCTTCTCGAGCAGATCTCGGGCAATCTTTTGCGAGTTGATGATGACCATACGATAACCGAAGGTCTTGTTATATATCAAGTCACCTTGTATCGACACCACCATCCTGCGTGTTAGGCTGATGATGTCGTGTGAGGTACAGCCTACGTACCGTATTTCTTTGCCCATGTTGCAAAGGTCAAGTGCATATACTGCGCTGGAGGCAGCTCGAGAACATTGCCCACGAGCGGAAGGCGCTTCGGTCCAGGGGGAAGACGGTGGTAGCTGCTAGGCCAGAGCATATAGATGAGGACGCATAGGAACGAGAGCGCGATCCACGCATAAGCCTGTATCATGGCCGCCGGTCAGTTTGGTGCCGACATTGCATGCAGACCCTGCTTAAGTACTTCCTGGCTCTCCTGAAAGTGCGGAGACTGACGTGCGTGGTTCCGTATGCCTCCGACGCTGTGGACGATTTTGCCCAGCGGTTTTATGTGCTGGACATCCCGTGACTCGGCAGATCTCCGCAACGCGCGACGCGTCTGGAGACTGGCTCGACGCGTTCCGGCGGAGCAGTTCTCCAACCTGCAGCTGGCATCACAAACAGTGAGTGAAATCCATGGAGATCGCTATGGAGTGTTGTCGGTGCATAGAAGATCGTAGTACTGCTTGTGTAACGTGTGTATGAAGAATGTGGCGGTCGGGACCGTCACCTTCCTTTTTCGTGCAGCTCACGGCTTGCCTTATTCGCTCGTTCGTACCTTTGCGACCGTATGATCTTTTCGTAGTCTCGTCACAAGACCCTCCTCGTGGATGTGAGGGGTTTGTTTGAAAGTAGCTCGTCCCTGTTTGTAATTATGATATACATTGTTGCAAAGTTATAATGGTATCATGAATCAGAAGATTAACTTGTGAGCAATCGTAGGTATGATGCAATGTATCGGAAGCTTGACTGGAACGCACGACTTTCAGTCATTTCTCACAGCAAAGACCGGTATGCCTCAAGAAACCGAAACCATAGTTTCCGCGACAAGGCTCGGTACTTTGGCAGAGCGTGGGGTTATAGAACACGCAAATTCTCGAGGATGACTTGTGGGCGTGATTCAGAGTTCAACGGCATGACCATACTACATCAACAACTCACCTCACGAGCCCAGGGAAGAAGCTAACCTCCGGCGTGATCTCTCTTCCGTGTCCATCGCGAGCCTTCTTGATGTCCAGGGTGGCTATGATGTTGGAGATGGCTAGAAAGACGGCAGTATCTGCGAACAGGCGACCTGGACAAATCCTGCGGATCATTGTCTCCATCTCAAACTTGTCGTAAGTAGTGCTAGGCAGCTCACCTTCGTCCATGTCCGAAAATGATGTTGGCTGGATCGGCTATGTCGGAGGCTGAGAGCTTGGAGTCGAGGAACCGCTCTGGGCGGAAGGCGGCTGGATCACCGTAAACCTCTTCGCTATGCGACATGGCCCTGGAAGTACACGGTAAGTGAAGTGTGAACGCTAGGCGGACACAAGCATACCACAGGTTAGCAATAACAGTTGTGTCACCGGGCAAGTCGAATCCCTGGTAGTCATCCTCTTCTGTCAGATAATGCGGGATTCCTAAATCGCACATTGTGAATACTAGAACGAAACGGTGGCAGACCGCGCACCAAGTGGAACAGGGGTATTCCAGCTTGACAAGAGTGTGCCGTCAGTCTTGCTATGTCTCGGGCCCCGCTAACAGACGCACCGATACACTTCCTTCAGCACGCACTCGACGTATGGCAATGCTTCCCTGTCTGCTAGCGTCGGAAGTCGGTCATTCCCGATGACCCGGTCAACCTCCTCTTGGGCCTTGCGATAGACATCGGGATGAAGGACCATGGTCAGGAAGAAAGTAAGCAGGGCTGTTTTAGCCTAGGAAGCGAGCGTGAGACGACGTCGCTCATCTCGAGTTCCTCACTCACAGTATCGGTTCCGGCTGGACCATATGCACGTCAATCAAACTTTGCATTTACCCGGTAGGGAGCAAGAACGTACCCGCATATAATGCGCTGCAAGCGCCGACGATGTCAGTTTCTTCTTCCGCGAGGTTTCCTTGCTTCATTGCTTCTTCGACAAGTGTAGTCATGAGTGATGGTGTCGCGGAGCCCGCAGTCTACGCATTGAGGCGAACGGTCGTGAGGTCGCGCAATAGCAGAAGTGTAGCGTACTCACAACAGCATTTCGGACCATGTGATATGGCTTGAGTGTAGCGGCCGTCACCACGGCATTGGCAGCCTGTGCCTTGCGCTTCCAGTCCATACCGGGCAGCCACGCAGGGATGTGTTTCACTGCAGTATGTGTCAGCATGGGGCAGGGTAGAGGACACTGACTGACCAGTTTAACTCACACAGAGGAAAGAAGTCCACAAGAGTACCGCCCGAAGGCGTTAAGACAGTCGTCAACTCCATGGCGTGATCGATGAGATTCACATACTCGTCGTCTGAAGACGTTACTCTGTGGCCGTACACGCTTTCCAGAATCAAAGCCGATATGCACCTGTAATCCTCCAGGCTTCAGAGAGAATATCTTTGTGTTGTTAGCCACGACACGCACCGCTTGATATGTTGTGCGAAGCCATGAGGTTCTTGAATTAGGCCCGAGAGAAGGACATATATTTCCCTCTGTTGCAGACCTTCGAACCGTCGGGTCGCCGCCTTGTCACCGAAAGCGCTCTGGATCCATCTGCGCTGCTTGCGACGGTTCTCGCTATCATACGGGAGAACGACTGCGGTCGGGCCCCAACCCAGCCTACCAGAGATGCGCATTGTCAACAGCAGCTGATGGCCACCGCGGGAGCACGCAAACCTACAGTTCACTCAGCATAACCATCCGCGGTCGGCTTGAATACTTGTTTCCCCTCTTGTCGAGCAGGTCTCTTGCGACCTTCTGCGAATTGATGATCAAGAACGGTTTGCTGAACATCTTCGCATATACGAGGTCCCCTGACCAGTCAGGGCGTCAGAGCTATCGTATCGTCTCTCACAGCGACATACCATGTTGCTTTGCCCACTGTGCAAACGTTCGCTCTTGGTACTCCGCGGGGACTTGGTGGACGTTCCCTATGATAGGCAGAGGCTTTGGTCCGCGAGGTAGCCTGCGCAGGCCGCCACGACCCAGCCACCCACTGCGAGAAAGAATAGGGACCAGGGCACATAGCACCGCAATCCACACCCAGGTGGGGGAAGACGACAGCTGATACATACCAGTTATGTGGTGCCAGACGAGTCCGACAGACGACTGAGTCGCACTAGTTGACTTCCACATTCCTTTTATACCCTGGCTCGGACTTCGAAGGCGCGATACGCCCGGATCTGAGAAGCAATCGAACATTCAAACAGCCGACCAGCTGGAGATGATTTATCCATAATTAACTTACCGCTGCACGATATGAAGCCCCGCTGTCAGTCTGTCAGTCTGAGAAACGTTCAACGGAATTCCGTACCTATGATTGCCGCGTCTGGCCCGCACTTGACTAGCGAGACTCGGACGGCCACATCACGCCACGCAACTAGAAGCTGAACCAGAATCAGCGGAGGGCGTGGAAGATGTCGAATTAGGTTCTTCGAAAGGGAATGGGACGAGGATCGCCAGGAACACAATCGACTATACCTCGAAAGACGCGTGAAAAGCTTCCGGCTCCAGGACCGGGCACAATTGAAATCTGGACTTTAGAGCTTACGCCGACCGCCAGCGCGCCAGGGCATCGCGGAGAGTCACAAACTCAATCAAGAAAAATTCAAAGAACGTATCTAAACTCTCGGTTCTGTATATCCGTCAAATCCAGGAATTCCTGCGCCAACAGAACACTGATCAGACAATATGCATGGAAGCGTCTGGCGACATAGGCGACGCGCACCTTATCCACCCTCTTGCGGACACGTATCCCATTCGTGTCGACAATCTCTATGTAAACATCGTTGTACGTCTCGTCCGGCCGCTCCAGGTCGCGTCGCTTGTTCTCGGAGGCTAGCGTACGCCGGATAAGCAGCAAGAGCAGAGGGCATGCCACGTAGCAGAGCCCGATGATGGTCCACGGCACGTGATTTCTACATCACTGTATTAGCCGGGCAGACATACATGTACAGCGACAAGATGAGCGCACCGGGGGCGATACTTCTCCTGCCACATGAAGGGTCCCAAGGCATTCCCAATGCAGTACGCAATGAGCATGATCGCGTTGGCGGTCACGCGTTTGGTATGGCCCGCAGTGACATTTGAGAGCCATGACAAGGATAGAACAAAGCCCGTGGTCCCCACGCCTTGATTCGACGCACATTGAGCGTCCATTACAACACTAGAGCGAACGCTAGGGACACGTACCGGTCAGCCACTGTGCGCACAAGAGCCCTATCCGGTTGCTCCACGGCAACAGGTTTATGAGTAGTACGCCGACGATGTTTGGTATGAAGTACATGGCGGCGACATACGCGCGTGCGTCCTTCAGGCGGGCGGCGAGGTGCACGCCCGTCCAAATGGTGATGATTTCGATGACGCCGTCGACGCAGCCGAGGAGGGTCGTTTGTAGGTATGTGAATCCGAATGAGGCGACGATGATCTGGCCCTGGTTGGTTAGACTGTTCGGTACGTTGTTGAGTGCGGAGAAGAGCGCGAAGAGCCACGTCTTTGGGTCGTGTAGGGCTTCGTGGACTCTAGTGATAAGTGAGCGCTTAGTGCTGAAATCATGTCAAGCGCGTGGGTATGACGGACTGCTCGATTTTGAAGTGTTTGTTCTCGACACCGGTTTGGTTCTCCTGGAGCAATGCATCAGCATCTTTCATCTCGGAGACAACTTGTTCCTGCACAGACCTTAAGGCGCCGTATCGCGATGATACGTTCCTTCTTCGTGAGGAACCAAGCATTAGTGGGCGAGTCCGGGAAGTAGAACCTCGAGCACATTATAAGCGATTCAATAGCGTGTGTCCTCTGAGCGGAGACCTTACCAGTAGACGACAGCGGTGATCAATGTCAAGGTGCCGGTAATGCACATCAACCTGACAATGTACCATGAACATCTCCATGCGTTACAGTACGGCGGTCGCGATACCATTGCCAAGGCTCGAAGCCTTCGGTCTTGATATGCAGGGTTCCAAAACTGATAAAACCAGATATGATTTGCGCTTGGTGAAGCATGAATGGGCGGCAGTATTCGCATTGCTTGACACGTACCTGTGCCATTCATGAGGACTACAGACGAGTGAATCAGGAGGTCTAAGTGGTCTTCGAAGGTGAACTCACACCAGTATCCGACACGTAACGTCTGTTCGTTGCGCGTATAGAACATAGAGCTGACGATCATGAAACCGGCGGTGATTGAACCTTCGCACATCCCGAGTATGAAGCGTACAGCGAATAGACCCGCGAAGTTCTTGCACGCTGCATGACCTAGTAAAGCGAGGCCCCATACAAAGATATTGAGACTGTGGGGATACCGAGACGTCAGTGGGCGAACCGATGTGCCGAAGACCATGTCCACCTCATCCATTTGCCCACAGGAAATCGTTGCAGAGCGAGGTTCTGCGGGTACTCGAAGAGAAGGTAGCTGACGTAGAATATTGTTCCGAGCCTTGTGAACCGTGTAAGACACCGGTCTATAATTGACATTCGCATAAGGCATACATGTTGTATCTGAGGCAGACAAATGTGAGCCATGCTCGTGCCACCGAATCGGTGGAATACTCACTCATTCGTTGTAAGATGGGTAGCCTCCCTACGCGAGACATGATGGGTTACTCATTCAAGAACGGATTGCCTGGCCTTTGTACCGACCTAATTCCTAGTATAGCCGAGCTACCGAGAGTAGTCTTGTCCATGAATTGAATCCAATATAGTGCTAGACGTCAGGTGAGCACTTGGCGACGTCGAGGGAAACAACGCATAGTACACGTATCATTGCGAATACTCACTGCACATGAGAGGCAGGATATGCCAATCAATCTTGTCCCGAACCCTGTTCGCATCTTCTTCGAGGAACTCGATATCTTCTCCTGCGAGGAGTTGGGCGCCGGTGTCAACATCATCGACTTCTATGCCTCCCAACGAGTCGTCCAACTCTGCACCCAGACCTCCCAGCTCGTCGCCCTCAACTACTTCAAAGGTGCCTCGCTTTCCAAGCTGATCTAAAGGTTGGTATTCAGGTCCGCTCCCGCGTCGGCCAGGAGCAAGAAAAGATAGCAGTCGTGTACTGAAAACCCTCCTCGAGCTGAACATTGCTACCAGGGGTCGCTGTGTCGCCTAGCGAGCTATTTGTTTCAGATTCCAGAGCTAGATATCCATAGCATATGTATGAACGAGCCTGCAGCACTGGCAAGACAGTGGGGACTGAGAAAGTACTGGCTCCATTGGCAAGTACGGTGTCGCAGCGTGAGCGCGGCGCGCGCTTGTACTGGGAAACCATGGAAGCGCCCGTTCTGGCGCTCGACCCGATAGATCTTATGCTCTCCGCGAAAGTCGGACGACCCCACTCGCCACTTGGTCGTAACCGTCCCGTTTCCCGCCTGCCGGACAAGCACCACACATTCAACAGCACCTAACAGGCATACCGCCAACTAGATATTACGTGCCGTTTCAGCCTGCGGGAGGACATATTGATCAGTCGGACACTACACTAGTACATCAACGGACCAAAAACGAGAGTACTTATGTCCTTTTGGTCAACAACGGAGTTCGAGCTTCGAGCACCCGCGGAAACTGCACGGCCATATAGACATTCAAGCCCCACACTACGACCCTATCCTTCTGCTGAGCATCAACCGAAAACCATTGAACACGTTGGCTGCGCTAGACGAGGTTCAGACGGAATAGTCAAGTCGCACAAAGTGAAGGTGGCACACAGGCGCGTGTCTGATTTTACAAAGGAATTGATTAGTTCTAGACATTCGCTCATCCTTGCCCTCAGCAGCTTTCAAAGGCATCAGTAGACTTGTGACCGCTACGCGGCGGGACCCTGCGTAGGAACTGTATGTCAGTCTCTGTTCGTCTAACCGCATGGGATCTTGACTTACTGTGACTCTCTGTACGAACCTCAACAGCTCTGTGACAATTTCGTCCTTGTGCTCAATCCACGGCGTATGGCTGCCACCTTCGATGGTATACACATCCATGTTCTTGAAGTGTCGCTTCGCCTCATCCACTACGACATTGCCGTCGACAAGTTTGTCTTCGGATCCGTTCATGACCAACAACGGCAGACCCTTTGCGCCCGCCTCATAGAATTTGGTCGGATCCTGCGTGCGCGTGAGGAGGTTCTGCGTCACCTGTGGCGACAGGAGGAATGCCATGCCGAGGCACGACATCTTCAGATTGAAGTCCATGCCATCCGGGTCTTGAAAGAGCATGTCGCCGAAGTCGGTCTTCGACTCACGGTACGTTGCCACGTCGGTGGCGTTCATGTGTCCCGGGAGGTAGGTGCGCCCTTCTTCCCTGGCGATCTGATTGAAGACTGGCCCTACGTAGGGCACGCCAGCCAGCCAGACCATCCCGGAGATGGTTTCGTTAGATAGGTGCGCATACATGTCGCATGCGATGGTCGCTGAAGCGCGCACGTCAGGGCTTTTCATACCTGAACAGTGGCAGAGACCATACCTCCATAGCTCCTACAGACAAGCGTCAGTAAGCTGATCAATTTGAATGAACAGTCCTATGCGCAACTCACCATCCGCACCAAATAGGTCGCTTCACACCGAACTCGCGCGCCACTGCCGCCCAGTCGTCTGCAAACAACGACGAAACATACGCCTCTGGGTTGGTAGGTTTTCCGCTCCTCCCGTGCCCCCGCAGGTCGTAACGGATCTGCAAGCTCTCAGCAAAAAGAAGCGCTTGTACGCCCGGCGCGCACTCACCAGGTAGACCTCCGCAAGTAGCCGCTCGTCGGTGAACAAGTTGTCGAATATAGCGGCGGACGCGTATATGCCATGCGCAAGGACCAGGCTGGGCTTACTACGGTCGCCGACGGCCTCGGCATACACGGGCGTCCCGTCGCTGGAAGTCAAGGTCTTTGCAATCCGCGGGTAAGTAGTCATGTTGGTCAGTTGTCGATGGGAGCGCTGCGAGTAGTGCTCAAGACGCACTGCGCAGCCCTGCCTAAGTACCGCGCCCAAGGCTGAGACACGTTGTTCAACCGCAGACCGAGAGAACCCGTGTGGATCGTGTCTATGATGAGTCGGATAGTGGGAGCTCGCCTCAATACTATGTGCGCGCTCAGATGCAGCGCGTATCGTGCTATTCTTGACGGGCGCTGCGGGCTGTGAGTCAAAGGTGCATTGGTTCTTTCTTCTTTCTTGCCGCATCGCGTATAACGGGTAGAGCTTCTAGGTTTTGTATCCAATTAGGGTCTTTGTTCTAGACTACAAACCCAACGTCGTAGAAAGACGCTTGCCACTATCATGCCGGGCTTCACGGGTGCGTACAGCGAGATAAGTATGTATATGGACACAGGGACCGTCTGACTGCCTCGCGCGGAGTTGCCGGTGCACCATCATGATTTTAATCTTCTACCGACTGAATTCGCAGGACGATAACCACCAGTTCCGAATATGTTCAGAGCATGAGACTGCGCAAAGGTCGGGGTCGCTACGTGTGCTGCCGTAACAGATTGCACACTCGTCCGAGGTAGCTGACTACTGCCTTCATATTTACGTAGGTCTCTTCGTCACTTCTCCTACGGTTTCCCACTTGTCTATGGCTGTGATGTCAGGCTCAGGGTACGCAAGGAGTGGGATCGTGGTCATCATTCACCTTGATGCGGTCAACGAACTTCAAGAGTTCGCGGACAACTTCCTCCTGGTGCTCGAAGAAGGGCGCGTGGCCTCCCCCTTTGACGACATGCACCTCCGCGTTCGTACAACACGGCTGCATCTTCTCCGCGACGAACGCGCCGCTCACCATCTTGTCCGCGTCGCCATACAGCATCAGCACGGGCACGCCGTTGCCCACCGCCTCCAAGAGCTTCGTCGGGTCCTGGGGCCGCGTGACGACGTTGCGCATTACCTGTGGAGTTTGCACGAACCCCGGCGCGAGCCATGTCAGCCGGAGGCGGTAGTCGACGTTGTCGATGTCTTGCCAGATCGCGTCGATGAAGGCGGTCTTGTCCCGGAGGTAGGACGCGACGTCCGTCCCGGCCATCTGGCTCTGGATCAGGGCGACGGTGGGCGGTGTTATGGAGTCCGGGAACATCGGCGGTGCGATGTACGGGACCGCGCAGAGGTAGACCACACCTGCGAGTGTGTCTGCGCTGAGGCTGGCGTAGATGTCACATGAGATTGTGCCTATCCAAGGTGCGAAGCATAGGTACTTGTGAGCATTGTGTACTCACGTACCACGGTATAGAATACGAACCTCCGTAGCTCCTGAGAACACCGATTGAGTTAACCCCGAACGGCGATACAGGGGACAGACTCACCAAGCGACCAGGATAGGCTTGGTGTATCCGAACTCGCGCATTAGCGTGACGAAGTCATCGGCATAGAGCGATGACTTGTACGCCTCTGGATCCTCGGGCTTGCCGCTTCGCCCATGTCCGCGCAGGTCATAACGGGCCTTCATACCGGTCAAGAAGTCGAAGCTTAGAAGCTAGCTAACTATTGAATGCTCACCATACAGACTTCTCGAAGCAAGGAACTGTCACGGAACATACCGTCGAAGGCGACCGAGGACATGTTCAGTCCGTGTACAAAGACGAGACATGGCTTCTGAACGTCGCCCATGAATTCAGCGTGGATTGGTGTCCCGTCGCTGGACTGGAGAGTCTTCACTACAGGTTCAGAAGACATTTCGTCGATCTACAACGCGGAAAGTTGAGGAGTCGAAGAAGATTGGTCGCTGCTATCACCTCGCCACACTTATAATCCGCCGTCAACGTCTTGGGTGCCTTCGGCTAGGATGGCAACATATGCACCAGATCCGCTGATCATTGTCTCTTCTCGTACAGATAACGCAGGCCCTGTTTCGCGGGTGCGTCCGCCGCGGTGAGTGCTGTTGATGTCCACGGATTTAGCAAGGATGTTACGAGAGCCACCAACGCCTGCCCTCGGGATTGGGCGATGATATAGCACAGGCGCTAGGAAGTACGGTATCCTTGTCCATTTGGAGAGGTCAAAAGTGCGGGAGGATTTTGTACGTCATCTGAAATGGGCTCGTGTCAGGAGCTTCTCACGAATGTATTGCCGCTTCTACCCAGAGAAGAGCCAGAAGACAGAAGAATAACGCACTACGTGCTGATCTGAGAACCGATGAATGGCTTTCAAGTGATTAGTGTCTGACGACTTACGCCGCAGCCGACTCATCGATGGGTGTGGACATCATGCTGGGGTTCCAGCCTCACATATGAGAGAGATTGGCGACCGTACGGGTGGCCCATCCGGAGGGATTGTGGGCACAAGTGGGGACGGCGCACATGATGTTTTGTTCTGCTTGGCATCGGGGTTCGCCGACGCTACGGGCTACGCGTCGCGATTGCCAGCCTGTAGAGGGTAACGGAAGCCAAGCCAAGTGTGAGACATGGGCGATGTTATGAACTAGTTCTAGATGCTACTCACCGATTTGAGCGCGAACTTGGAGAACGGAACAACACACAGGGCGGTATAACGTAACGGGAATCCTCATGATATATCTTGGTTCATGTCTTACAAGAAACAAGGGGGTACTAAGAGGTGGAAGCGGGAACAGCATCAGACACTTGTATGAACCTAGAGCGTATGAGGTCCTGATAGCGGTCATCACCCAGGTCAGGTCACAATCGACGAGTCGATGCATACAAGGCGCGTCTTAACACCTACTTAGGGGTTAGGTTGACCCCAAAGATACGCGGTACTGGTACGGCGACATCGAAAATGTGTACAATGACTTTGCAACAGGGGACGTTCATACAGGCAACACGAAAACAGTCTCCCTAGGAGTCATGTCGCGGTGGGAAACTGGTGAGAGGATCGAGCCTGTTCAGATAGAAGAGCGGAAGTACGTTGACGTGGGCCTGGCGGGCATCTCCGCAGCGGCATAGACGCTTTCCACCCACTGCATCTGCTTGACAGGGTCGTCGTGCGTAGACCACGTCTTCGGAGTGCGACCGCGCACCTTGTCCACAAAGGCTTCGAGCTGATACCGGTACCTACAGCGACCGATTAACAAAGACATCTGGTAAGCATCTAGGGGCACTCACGTCGACCACCACTCCTTCCCTAGGCCATCCTTATACTCGTAAACCTTCTCGACGCGCGCCTTCTTCCCGGTCGGCTTGACAGTGATGCTGTGGTATAACGTAGGCATCACGAAGTTGAAGAAGTCGATGGTGCCGCCCTCAAGTTCGAGATGAATGTTACATTTCACCATTCGCGGGATAATGTGGAACGGGCCCCATCCCGGCATGGCATAGTCGACGAACACGTCTGCTTCGACGGATGATTGCAGGACGAGATGAGTCTGCATTGCGCGGTCAATCCTTGCGGGGTCGCGTTCGTGTCCAATCGCCTTGGCACTCTCCACTTTCGCAAGATCGCTAGAGGAGAAGAACCGGATTGCTGAGAGAGGATAGACTGACGAAAGCGGTGAGCGATGGTGAGTGTTTAGGAGGTGTAGAGCGCCCACCACCCATGTCCATAGTGACCCCGCCACCCAGATCATACTGGAATCGAACGTCATCCTCCAAGAGCACCAGCCCGTGAGGGAGCGTGGGAAGAGCGAAGTCAGCTTTGATGTTCTTGAGTTCGCCAAGCTCTCTGCTCTCAATGATCTCCTTCACGCGTTGAGAAGCTGGATGGAAGCTGGTGACATAACATACTTGTCAGTCAGCTTGACGCTTCAACTGGAGAAAAGACCTTACGTCCAGTGAATAGCTTCGAGCAACACGAGATCTTTCTTGTCCGCGAGGTCGATCATTTGCTGGGCCTCAGCACTCGTGTCAGCAACGGGCTTTTCAACGAGGACATGTTTGCCCGCATTGAGCGCTTTCACAGTCCACTCATAATGGAGACCATTCGGTAGCTGAGAGAATGTCAATTGTCCCCAGTCTTAAATTATTCTCACGGAGTTGTACATACCGGATTGTACACCGCATCGACATTCGGATCGTCAAGTAATTCTGCAGGGCTTGAGCTTTTGAAGGGAAGATTGCAGGGACCCGGGGGACGCCCACTTACGTTGATAACAATCGCTTCCGTGATAGACCGTTGGTATCTTGTGCTTCTTTGCGTACGCGCTAGCCTTCGCCTGGTCCCTAGATGCCACAGCTGTGACCACTACGTCGGCATGGCTAGCTGCTGGAACGATGAGAGCATTCGGCGCAATCCTTGCGGCACCCAGTATTCCGAAGCGCAGCGCATTTGGTAGCTTGGCGGGCACTTCCGGCGGATTGTTGAGCTACACGAACACCGAGCGAACATCAGTCCTAGCGTACATTGCGTGAAGATCAGTCGAAGTACAGTACCTTTCGAAGACGACTGAGAAGGCTCGCAACACCAGCCATGGTTTGGATGTACTGTAGTACACCTGAGAGACCCCGCGATGCCTACAACTTTAGTACAACTTTGCCCGTCGTGTACCATGTGTGCAACCTAGTCTCCGTTGCTGACGATAACAGCCGGCGAGCGTCGTGTGCAACGGCTTGCCGGTCCCAGGCCCCAGGGCCACTGCACGATTGCGGTGAGTATGGGTCACATGACATCGCCACCACACATCGAGATTGCGATTAGTCAGGCCGTCCGCAAACGTGTCACTGTCCTGTGTCCAGTGTCCCTGACCAAGTCCTGGCGACAGCGAGCGACAGCGAATGTAAGTAGGAGACATCGTGGAGGTTTCAGATACGCAAGGTGAGTTCAAGTTGTCGTTTTCTCTACATCTATACCCTGCTGACACGATTCTGAGTAATGTAAATCCAGCCAAGTTGTCGACAGAGGGCGGAGGATTGAACATTTGAAACGTTGAATCGCGGAAACACCACGGAAAGACGTCGACTGCACCAAGACTGTATGTACGGTCTGAGTGCAGTGCAGGCTTGGCGCGTGAGCCTAATAAAGTCCTGACAGAATTATGATGATTATGCTCAGGCTGACGTTCATTTGATGCAATGCCCATATGCCATGTTAGCTGATGCTGTCGTCGACACTGCCACCGCTGTCCTGCTAGAAGTCACTATGCTAGTCACCGCGCATCCCTCCGCGGATTATCAAGCGTTCTATGACGTAGATTCGCCGTGTTGCGAAGCTCTTGCAGGCAATCTTCCTGAGCTATGTTCGACACAAACTCTACACATGCATGCTTGTGCCGCGTGAGTGTCATCGTGACAGGTAAGTACCCCTTCATCGGCGTAGTGCTAGCATGTTCATTGACTCGCGATTGAGCCCATTCAGGTCAGAGTATAGCTAAGTCGAGATCATCCCTTGTGGTACGTGTGTGGTTTGCCGCAGTGATGGTTGCGGGAACGCGACAACGCTTGACAGCTGTGGGTAAAGGGACATTCGTTAAGCATCGTTTACGCTCCACTGACCGGCCTGCATAGGCCTGCATGCGACTATAGCATCCGAATCTGACAGCATTGTGACAGCACTGGCAACCGCCATTCGGCGGATGAGTGTTCAACGTTCAGTCCCAGGCAGCACCTCCGATCGCAGCCTTTCTGATAAATACCCTCGCCGTCTGCACGATCGCCTCAGCTCTCCTTCTCTTTCGAGCACACCAAGTAAAGGCACTGGTTGGTAAGTTGCACGTCTACGTTCATCGTAGTGCGTCACGCTGATTTTTATGTGACGACAGTCTTGCTTTCTTTTCTTTTGACGACGTTCACCTCCATACCTTACTTTTGCTTTCTGTAACGACCTCACCATACACCTTCGCTTCATCGCCTACACCGACATCCAGCTATGCGTTTCAGCACCGTTCTCGCTCTTGCACTAGCTACCGCCTCCGCTGCGCCCAGTGCGCTCGCCTGGTCCGTCGAATCGTGAGTTCAATGTCTCCTCTTACTTGTCTGCAGATTATTCATAGTACCCATAGTGACGCCGGTGAGCTGCTGTCCCGGGCTTACATCGGGATTGACGGCAAGGTGCACTGGGCACCTGGCGTCCTCGGTGGTCACAAAGGAACCGGTTCCCGTCCGAAGGGAACGGGCAGCAAGCCCAGGGAGCTCCAGGAGCGCGCTTATATCGGAACGGACGGGAAGGTGCACTGGTCCCCCGGTGTACGCGGCGGCGGAAAGGGCACCGGCTCTCGCCCGAAAGGGACAGGGAGCAAGCCCAGGGAGCTCCAGGAGCGTGCTTATATCGGAACGGACGGGAAGGTGCACTGGGCCCCCGGTGTACGCAACGGGGGAAAGGGCACCGGCTCTCGCCCGAAAGGGGACGGGAGCAGGCCCCGTTCCGTTGAGGAAGAGCTCTACGAGCGTGAGGAGAAGCAATCCCTTTGGCGCCCTGTAGCACGCCCCGGACGCGGTCACACTGAACCCGCTCCTCACAAGGAGTGGTCACACCAAACCCGCTCGTCCGAAGAAGAGCTCTATGAGCGTGACCTCTTCGACGGCGGCTCGTTGGATCTGGATTGAGCCTGACGGTACATGACAATCATTGCGAAGTGTAACGTAGTATATTATATGTGGTCTAAGTGTGGTCGTTATGTAATGGGATTGGCTTGTGGATTTCTCACTTCATGCTCACTGCTGAGACCAACTTGAAGTGCACCGATCATCACGCGCAAATACTCCATGTTCATGTACAGAAGTCATCTTAAGTTGTTGTCATCATTCCTTCCATTCGCTGATGCTTATTCCGACTGCGTCCGAGCTTTCGCAAGTGAAAGGTTTAACACGGTGGTGAAGTCGATGACCATGGTATCGGTTTGGGTGGAGCGCGCTTGCTAGTGGTTTGTCAGCCACCTTCGGGTGTCCGACCGTCACCTAGTCTCACCGTCGGGCCCTAGGCTGCGACCGCAGATCAGACTATTGTTGAAGAAGACTTAAACAGCCGTTGGTAGAACTGCGCCCGGGCCAGTACAACGCGCGCCACCAGCGCTCCAAAATCTGTACGTTCTCCCTATTCATTCCGGTCATACTATCATAGGCTGCTTAGTTACTTGACTTGAAGGTACTCGGTTAATGATGCCCATTCGAACTTGCCCTTCCACCGCGCGTTGCTTACGCCTCCAGAAACTCGCCCACAACCTCAAGGTACCGCTCCGGTTCCTCGAACTGCGCGAGGTGCGTACTCTTCGCGAACTGTACCCACTTCACTCTAGGGATCTTGTGGAACATTGGCCACTGGTTCACGTCCTGCGCTTCACTTTCCGGCGCGTTCAGGAGGAGTGTCGGCGCGCTGATGTTGTGCAATTGGTCGATGCAGGACCACGTCTTGAGAGTGCCGGTGCAGCAGACCTCCGACGCGCCGATCCTATGAGCTGCGGGCTTGTATCAATGAACACAACCAAGACGGGAAGGGACACGTACATTGCGCTGTAAACCGTCGGGTCCTCCCCCATCGCCCCAAAGCTCTTCGCAAGCAGCTCCGGCAATGGGTTCGCCGTGCAGATGTGCTTCGCGAACCAGACCTCCATCGCGTCGTGGTACTCCTTACTATCCGTCGTACCTTTCTCCTCATGCTCCTTGAGCACCTTCTGCACGTCCTCCGGCAGCCTTAACCTCAGCGCGTCCGTCCCTTTGGTCCACAACTGCATCGAGCACGTCCCGTCCGCGAGGATGAGGCGCTTGAGCCCCTTTGGGACGCGGTTGCTCGCGTAGTGCACCGCCAGGAAGGCGCCCCAGCTATGCCCCAACAGGTCGAAGTCGCCCTCGATGCCGAGGTATTTCAGGAGATTGTCGAGTTCGTCCATGAAAACCTCCATCGTCCAGAAGCTCTTCTTCTCCTCCCCCTTCCCCTTCTCTGGGTGCGATGACTCCCCGATGCCGATCTGGTCGTAGAACACGACAGGAATGTTGAGCCGGGACACGAACTGCGCGTGCGGGAGCATGTAGTGGTGCGAGAAGCCGGGCCCGCCATGGAGAGTGACGAGCGGGCGGCCGCCAGACTTAAGGTCGCCGACGACCTTGTACCAGGTCGAGTAGGTCTCGCCTTGAAAGGTGAATGGTATCTTTCCGGTCGTCTCTGGAGAGGTAGCTGACATGTTCGGTGCGGGGGTGTGTTAGGACAGGGTGATCGCTGTGGAGGCGTGTTACCCCTATTGAGGACGCGGGGTATCAGCCATAAGTATCATCGCTCGTCCTTCTGCTCTTCCCTTTGGATGAGGCGGTGACCGCGCGCAGATGCGATGTCACTGTGCACACCCCGGCGCGCCAGTGTGTAACCTCCGAGATGTCCGGAATCACTGCATCACTGCGCCCAGCGCATGCTGGTCAGCTGTGCAAATGTCTCCCGCTCCACTGGCAAAGCCGTTTTCAGGCTAACACTCATTGACAGGAGTGGTGCATGCACCGTTACACAGCCTCGGCTTCTCGCTATCGGTGGGCGGCGCTCATGGAAATGGAAGCAAGTCAGACGCTGAATGACGCAGCACACATGCAAGTGTCCAAGACAAAGCTGTAGACCGCGCGCTGAACTCCGCGGGGCTGGCTCGTGTGCTGCAGGCCGCGAAGAGTGCAGTGAAGCTTAATTTGCATTCTCGACGTTCACTGACTGCTAGCCACTACCAGACGGCAACAGACCAGCTCAGGTCCTCAGGATGGGGCCGGTCGGTTTTGCTTGCGAAAGCGAGCCTGCACGCCACTTGCGAGCGAAACAACACCCTCTTGGGTTGCTACACAAGACGATATTTCATACCTCGGTTGCAGTCGCGTTAACCCAGGCACGGTACGCTCCTACGTTCCTTTCCGCCTCCTCGTATACCCTCGTCCAATCCCTACACACTGCATCGTACCCCCTCACTGCTGTTCCCTCCGAGTTGACTGCTGGTTCCACCTTGATATTCGGCCGACAGAGGACGGTCTGACGCAGATAATTGAGGCAATGGTTGGTGAGCGGGAGACGCGCGTCCGACGGATCAGCGTACTGCGCCCGAACGACGTCCAGGCATTTCATCTGGTGGAACAGAGTAACCGTGTACGCCTTTGGGCCGGCGGAGGTCGTCGGCGAGCCCGTTGGCTCGTCGAGGTACACGAGATGTCCGCTGGAGGGCAGGAGCGCTGCGAACTCCGCTGCGCCTTCGGCTGTGTCGAACCGGTAATGTGTTGTGAAGTCTATGTGCATTCCCACCGGACCGTCGAATGCTGGAGCGAAGCTGAAAGGTCCTATGGACGGTTGAGTGAGCGGTCCGCATTACAAGACGTCCGTTACTCACTCTTAGATGGGTGGCTAAGCGCACTCGGCGCGTCTGCGCTCCAGCCATGTCCTCTTAGGACGCCAATCACGACGAGAGGAACCTCGAAAACCAGCAGGAATGCAGCTAGGACAATCCCGAGCGAAGGTATGGGCTGCTGTCTCAGCGAGATATGTAGTCTCTGGGGTAACATTCTGAACGATGGCCGGGCGAGCAAAGGAGATCGTGGACGTGCCTGAACAATGCACTGAAACCCGTCCTCCCCATTTCGGTCTACAGAATGAATAATTCGGAAAAGTCATAGCGTGAGCTGCAGCGCGCGCAGGAGCGCCCTACCTGGTTTCGTGACACTGCCCCGCTGATCATGGCACCGATTGTGCTAGCGGATCGTAGCGGCTCGCATTTTTGTCCGGTGAGGTGACACCGCACATCGCGGAGCATCATTTTGTGCTTGACTCGTGTGGGTCGTCCTCATGCAAAGTGCAGATGAAACACTGTCGAAGCGCTTGAGGTCATGATTGCATGACCAGGCTATAGCAGACTATCCTTGGCCGGTGGGTCATGCCCTCACTGGACGACGTGGTGCAGCTCGACTTGTCCTAAAGCTCAGTGAGCCAGGTTTCTTTCAAGAAACCTTCGCAAGGTAAGTATCATGACGTACGGAAACCATATGTTGCTTACTCTGTCTGAGTACAGTGGTGACCTCTGTTCGAGGGGAAGTCATCATGTCCATACATGACGTCCTCACCAAGCATGGCATGTTCATATTCGTTCTGTTCAACATCCTCCTCACCTCTTGGCGCTTGGGCAACGCTTTCCTACCATCGCAATTTCGACGCAACTTGAATGGTATGTGGCCACGACGGTCTGAGCTCCTAGCACGCAGCTCATCATACATATGATCGTTGACCAGGCGAAAGCTCTCGTCCCTACTCCTATCTTGGTGACGACTATCCACTCGACTACCCCTTGGGGGACCTCGACGCGGTCGCCATGACTTTGCAGGAGTCGGTCCATTTCACTCTGAACGGCAGTGACCCCGTCGTCACCGCCGAGTGGGAGAGCATTGCCGCACATCCAGACGGATTTGGCCGTACACGACTGGGCCCCGACCATCGTCTCTTCGTCATGACGTTCTACCACCAGCTGCACTGCATCTGGAAGTTCCAGCAAGCGCTCGTGGATCGCAACGATCCCACTGCGTCTGAACACCATGTGCAACACTGCTTGAACTACCTGCGGCAGACGTTCATGTGCGAGGCCGCAGACAGCGTGGAGGAGGGAGACTTCATGACTAGAGACTTCGAGCAGGATCGTATCGGAGATACGCTAGTCTGCAGGGATTGGGGCAAGGTATACGATGTACTAGATGAAGCTTACGCGGGATGGGAACAATGGAGCAAGAAATGGAACTGACAGTTGTGTCATCACTGATTGCCAACCGCCCCTTGTTTTGAGATAGTACCTACTCATTGGACGCATAGAACTGGCCGGACCAGTAGATGTTGCATCGATGGCGTCGCATATTGACCATCACGCAGAGTGGCGTCGTTGAGTAGATGGCGGAATGCATACTCATCTTGTCGAGCATATATGTAGCGTATCTTCATGAAAGTCGTCGTCAGATGAGAACTTGTAATACGTAGAATAAATACACAATGGCGTTGCTCATACTGCTTCACCGTAACCTCCACCATCAGGCTCCGAATACCGCATCGGTCTAACGCTTCCCCGCACAGTGCTGTCATCTATCGCAACCAGCTCAATGTCCGTTCCCTTCTGGTCCGTCGCCCTACCCATGAAGCTGTTAGGTCCAGCCTTGACGTAGGATCCAGAGAGATTCTTGGCACTGGTATTGTTCCTCGTACTGAACGTAGTGGAACGCGTCTTCCCAGACATAACAGCGGTGGAGGTGTCGGACGTCCATCCTTTGCCTCGGGCGACACGGTAGATAATGAGAAGAGGTGCGATGATCTGCGACATGGACATGAACGAGCGACATCTACGTTAGGCGATTACAACTCACCTGCACTTGGGACAACGCCTGAAGGAACGTATTGGCGATCGAGTTGTTCACGCCGAATGGGATAATGAAGAGAAGAGCGAAGGTTGAATAGATTGCCGCCGACTCGACGATCATGGCTGCGATACCAGTGTAGTGGGACCCGTGGCCCATGCCGAGAACCGACGTGATTCGGTATCGGTACAGCCAGAGCCGAGCGGCGATCATCAGAGTGACGACGACGTTCAGGGATACCGCGATGCTGAAGTATGGCACGGTCCAGTTGATCTTACTCGCCGAGCCTGTTTGGAAAGGCGAGGATGCGGGCGTAGAGATCTGGACGAGCCAAAGAAGCCCCATCGCTGCATTGAAGAGCATGAGGATCGGGCATAAGCACCAAGGACAACACTCACCCAGCTCGGTGAGGTACATCAGAACCGGTAGCAAGAGTGGTATCCAAACAGTCGTTGCAACGCCTCGAAAAATAATAGAGCAACGCCAAACCTATACATGTCGTAGTCAATCGCCGCTTGACGATGATGAAGGGATATTGCTATTGCTTACCAGTAGGGCATCGGCAAACCAATTCGTCAATACAAACGCAACATTGCCTGCTTCATCTGCGGGGATGGAGAACTCATCGTTCTCGTATCCACTAGGGCCTGTCGGATAATTGCGGTACTGGATGAACGACAGCTGGGTCATCTCCGCACAAGCAGCCATGAATATCGTCCCGAGAATGAACATAATAGTGATGTATATCAGAAAGAAGACCCTCCGCTTCATGTTCGCCCGATTCATGTCGAGGAGAAGAGCACGGAAGCATTGGGTGAAGAGGGTGAAGACAATCCCATAGCCTACGCCAGTCAGAATGGCGCCTTGAAGCCAGGTCTTCTCGCTGAACAGAACGTCTGCAGGTTCATCGGGAGTCCATGAGGCGTTTGACATGACGGCGGGATGCGGGGACAGGACAACGGTCCCTGCCCATATACTAGAGCGCCGATGAGAGTCCAAACCTGCGCGCATTTCACGGGCGTCGCATACTCCATGAGATACCTCGCATAGCCTTGGCGCCGCTCCTCACTAACTCGAAGGGGCTCGCAGACCGAGGCGTGATGATCTGACAAAGGCAGTCTGCCTCATTTTCGTTGTGCATTGCTCTGCAGTCATGGGTGTCCATGGCCATTGAGGAGCATGGCGCAGAACAAGCCAGCATCGCCGAGGACACGCCGGAACATGCAGTGCGATCGCCAATTCGACCAAAACACCCGTGTAGGCGGAGACACAGCCAGTAGATCCCGAGCACGAGTAAGCAGAGAACGCCCAGCATTGCCTGTAGGAGATCGTGGACCGGAGACCCTCGAACTTGTAACGTCGCTCATAGTTCAGTTTCGGCCAGCCATGTCGGGAAGCATGTGCCCATGTGAGCTTGCCTCCGAGAGGAAAGTGAACTCCGTCCTGCAGAATGATGAAACACGACATGCTGTACGTGCCGGGGTATGGCGCGGAAGAGAGACGAGGGCGCTGTCGTGACTGATGCGCCTGTGCATATGTAGATAATGCGATAATGCAGAGGTGGAGTGTGCAGATCTGCTAATGTTGATGATATTCAACGACCGTACGTCCTTCGCATGTCCAGTGAGCGTGGTTCTTGTCAGACTCCAGAGAAGACACAACCAATGAGGGGGTGTTTGAACGTGCCGAAGGCGCCCCAACAGGCTTAGTCCAACATGGCAATCCGAGGTCAATCGCCGAGGATCTCTATCTAGATCGACCGCAGCGCCCAAAATTCGTCTGATCCTCAATCCCGGTCCCGCGTCACCGACCAACGCGAGGTCACCGCGCCTCTACACAGTCGCGTGTTGTCTGACGAAGATGGCTGCCAAACGGAACGGCGTCAGCTCGCCATCCCAACGCTCGTTCAATGATCCCTTACCTGTCGGAGGGTCGCTCTTGTTCTGCCACCACTCAACACGACATTCTCCATCATCCAGCGTCGGCTGACACGCCAGTTCGAACGTGAGGACTTCGTCCGACGCGCATCCAAAGCTGCGATGCCAGTGCGTATCAACGGCGCCGTTCATTTGTACCGCGGCCACCTTCGAGACGTGAGGCGGCCGCGTCTTGTACGTGAGCGCGCGCGCGTCGAGCGGAATGGTGGAATTGAGGCGGAAGATCTCCAGCGTGAAGGGCTTAGAGGAGATACTGGCGGACGTCTGTGGCTTGGTCGTCAGCTGGAGCTCGCACCGCTCCATGCCAAAGTCGATAGCGCGGAATTGGACGATGGTGGAAACCTAAAGCATGTTAGTCCGCGAGTATTATACTTTTGCATTGATGTGAGAACGACTGACCGTCTGTGAAACATGCACGCGGACGTCTTCGGGGACGATGGTACCGCTATGGACCATATGCCGATTGGCGGCATCGTCGATAACCTTGTTCGGGGAGGCCGAGTCAATCTGCGCGACGACGATGGGATAATTGTTGAATTGCCTGTCTACGGGCGGCGAAGGTCGAGGAATCTCATGAAGACGGATATACTGGGATGGTCGTCGAAGTTTGAAGATATCTTGCCTAGTCAGAGCAGTTGTGGGTGCGGGAGGAGGAGACTGAGTTAAGGATGCGTGGAAGAGGCCGAGGTTCACGACAGTGCAAAGAAGGCAGATGAACAGAGGCCAGAGAGACGTGCGACAGGGTGCAGCAACTGCGTTCTGCCCGCCGGAGTAGACTTCTTCTGCTGCCTCCTCACCTTCCTCGCCAGTGCCCTCGTTCGTGCCCGCTTTACTGAGGAGGCGATAACCACTACGCGATTCGAACATCGTGGTCAAGTCGTGACTTCGTGATTCGGAGAGCTGCAGCAGGGCTGATGTAACGGTGCATGAGTCTGTCGAGACACGGGAGCTAGAGCGCAGCCTCAACGGCAAGACCATACCTATCTGAGCACGCTGCACAGCGCACACTGGTGCACAGCCTGAGTGAGCATGCGCGGGAGGCGTGGACGCCAATGCGTAGCGCCCGAGCTCCTACAATAATGATGCAGATGCACTCCGCGGTGAGGCATTCCCGATGCACAGCGGCCCAAAGATGAGGGTTCCGCGTGACTGAGCGCAGACCGAGGCCAGGGGAACGGGTTGTCAGGCAAAGCACACTGCGTATTCCGCCAGTTATACCTTTACTATACGGCAGTCAAAGCTAACTCGTGCGCGATGCAACGACCGCTGCTCGACGCGGAAATCAAAGCCCACTGACTTCATGTTTGATTTCCAGTCAAGGCAAAAAGCGAAGGCGCTGACTGTAGCTGTACGAATGAAGCATGGCCGGTTAGCATAAGCCGAGGGACTGCATATTGGTGTACAACCTTGTTTGATGCGGGATAATGGACAGCCCGAGGACGACTTGCATGGCGGCTCTCCTAGGGTGACTGTCGGACGGAATGATTGGACGTTAGCCCCATGTCGCACCCTTGATCTCGAGCGCGATCAGCTGCATTGTAAGTAGCTCACAGTCAGCTCCGGAGGCATGAGAGATACGCAGCGCCTCGCACCCAAGGGTTCGTAGGCGCATCTATCTGACTGCGCGCCGGCGTATCTTGTATTGTGGGGACACGCGGGCACAACGGGATGTTCATGCGCTATCCCGCTCTTGGCAGGTACACAGGTTTGCAGGTAATCCTATAAGTCAAGATGGTCATGCAAGAGACGTCGCAATAACGTAACGCCGCACCAGTGAAGTTATGTTCTTCTACAAGCAGCTCGCCTTCGCCGCAGTCTTCGCTATGATGCTGGCGCAAGGCCATGCAGTCCCTGTTGTCACGGAACGTCAAGTCTGTACGCCAGGCAGCGACGCTGAGGACGTCGCTATAGGTGCGTTGTGTCAATCTCAGCGCGTAGTGGATCAACTGAGCAAATCCGCAGACAACGTTGCACGATGCCCGTGAATGTTTCGTAGGCGCGGAGGCTCAGACCGGGGGACGAAGGTAGCTACAGCGCAAGAGCTCGCATTTGAGTTTTCTGATGAGCGACTTGATTATCTAGGGTTGTACGACGGGTCACGACAGACCACGATTATGGCGACGACCAGTGTGGACCAGGACACGGAGTGTTGTGGTGATGTGTGTTTGTAGAATGTATCCCTATCATCACCGCGCATTAATATGCGTGCTTTCATCTGTTTCAACCGATTTCTTGCTGAGGGGATAGTGTATGACACTGATAGTTGTACTCACAGTTGCTTAAAACCCAGGGCCGTTCGTCAGCCGACTGGCGGCTTGCGCCGTGGCCCGTCAGTCCTGTCACAGCTGCACCATTTCCAGCACTACTGATTGTCCTTTGCCCCGTAAGTAGTGCATGATTGTCTCACTTCGCGTGCGGGAGCGTGGTTGTTGTTGCCTAGTCGTGCCATACCAGTTCGTGGTCCGTGACTTGGAGATACAGGTTCGGTTCGGCACACTAGAAACAAGAGTTCATGATATGTTGAGCTTAGGCATAAGACGTTCGCGCAGAGAATGACATTTGAGCAGGGTGAAGCTGGGGTGAAAGTCAAGAGATGCGACTTGGACGGGATGGTCGTTTGGTCGACGTTGGTCGCCGCCACTACGCAGATCTGAGATCTACGTAGGCGCCAATCCTCCTTTTCGTCGTGACGGCCGCTAGTAGTAATACTACTACAAGTACGTAGGTCCCGTCACTACTGGTACTGCAGTGTGCACTCACTAGTACCAACCGCACTTCACATGTCTCGAAACGCGCAATACACGGTTGGCTGTGTTAGCTCTGGTGAGTGCTCCCGGGTCTCCGACATGAGTGATTCAAGACTTTTTTTTTTTTTTTTTTTTTTTTCACCGTGTTTATAGTCCCTCGCCCGAGGCAAGATGTGGACACTAATACATCATAACGGCACGCTAAGACCGTTCTACTCGAGCCCCATTTCCCCTTACGGGTCCCTGCCGGAATCTCCTTTTCACGTCAACTTGAGCGCACCGGCGACGCTAATTGGGCGGTCCTCCTGTAGGTAAGCGCTCAGGTCTTCATCGTCATGGCCCGCGTAGGTGCGATAGCAACATCCCAGTGATGGTACGGAAAGGTGAATTTGAAAGCGGCGCACCGCCGGGTGTTCACCGGGTCACTTCCGGCACATGTCTTCTTCGTCTCGGCCAACCGCTGGCCAACACCCAGACAAGTGGGTGCGGTGCGGAAGGCATTGCCCCTATCGCACTACGAGCGACGTCGGGAGTCTATGGGCGCCAGCGGCATTAGTGCAAGGCGGCCAGCTTCCCACCCAGGGCGATACGGGTGGGTGTCACTCCAAGAGTCCGTCGTCGTAGAAGTTGAACCTACGGACACGACTAGATAGCCGTGCCCTCCATCCACCTCCCTCCAGAAAACGGCTTATCCCACCCGATACAGCGTGCAACAGCCCATACGAATTTACCCCACCCAGGCGGAGGGGGAATCTAAACCTTCCTCGCTTTAAGCCGATTCTCACCTGGGGATCAGCTTGCCTCCTACACGGTCGTAGACCGGTGCACCGGACTCTGAGAGTACTCCCGGGCATTCAAAGTAGGGGCTAGGTGTTAGGGATAGAGGCTTGATAGCCTCAGAGTGCACAGAAACTCGTTAGAAGTGTTTACTTACCGAGTGGCTGCATCAGTGAAGGTTTGTTATGTGCTTATCTTACTCTCCTTATCTTTCCTTTATTTCTCTCAATGGACATCAATGTAGCGCTTTCATTGTTTTATTACCGAGGTATTGATTACCGACGTTTTAATGCTTTAGAAGCGCTTGTTACTGTATCTACTAAACTGACTATTACTGAGTTTCTAGTGTGTGTTCTTACTTATTATGACCAGATGCTTTCAGTACTGATACAAGAGCTATTGTATGCTCGGTAAATGATGGTTATTACCGATCAATTACCGAGTTATAATGGGTTTGTATCGGCATAGAAAGGAATGGCTGTGCGACAATTACCGAGCCATTCCTGAAGCTATGTTGAATGGCTGTGCTATCCTTAGGCTGTACACCGAAAATGCGGACTCTTGCATGCCTCGGTAATGCCTCGGGAATCACAGTCCTGAAACTGTGGCTGTACTATGGCTGTACTAGGATGACTCAATAACATAGCTTGCCTTGTTGGAAACAATGAAGTGTAAGGCTATGATCTTATTGTTCTCCTAGAATGGCCTCTGAAGCGGTGTAAATGAGTCAAGGACATGTACTATACACTTCTACGACACTCCTTGATTTTCTATATACTTCCATGTAGCTCCATTGGCTGTGTCCTCGGGAATGGCATAAAAGGGCATTCCCGAGCACGGTCAAGGACATCTATCATCCAATCCACCATCTACTCTTCACCGAAACACACCCTGTGTGCCACTCAAAGTCTTACTTTGTCCCGAGTGCTAAGTTAGCCATACTAGCCACTCAACCACTCTCGCCGAGTTCTTACCGACGCGCTCTAAGACCTGCGACAGTGAAACCTTACTTAGTACAGTCCTCGCGCTACTAGTAAGGTTTAAGTAACCCATTGACTGACTTCACAAGTTGAGTTCAGTAAGAGAAGGTGCTTAGTCATCATCTACTTCTGTAAACTTGTTACCAACATCAATAGATCTCTGTATCAACTAGTTCCATACTAGCACGTCTCAGTGGCATTACTATAATTAAAGTGGTTAGCCTAACCAGCAACTCACTTGACACTAAAGCAAGCCTTATAGCCATTAGCTGGTTGAGGATTAATTGCCTTAGTGAGTCCCTCTTGAAGCACGGCCTCGCGCTGCTACATTAGGGTTTTGTAACTTGCCATCGTCACTGTGCAGTCAAAGCTAGCTGTACAGACTTCCATTCAACTTCTGTTGTGTGACTTCAAAACCAAAAAAGCCCATTCCTTCGGAATCAACCTCTGGATACTAATCCTCTGTATTCAGACTTCATCCTCTATTCTGAAAAGCTCTAAACCTCGGCAATAATCCCCATTCATTGCCGACTCAAATCCATTCATAGCTTACTCTTCCCAGTTGAAGAGCAGTACTGCATACTTGTATAGCAGCACTGACTAAAGTCCCACCCTCTTTTGTATTTGTTGTGGATCTGGTATCCTCATTACAGCTCAACTTTGCGCCGTCTCGGTAATTGCATTGCCGAAGATTACCGAAGGTTGTACCGTTTGTTACCGCTTTGTATAGGCAATACAAATCTCTATCACCGAGGTTACTATTCCTATTGACTCGGCAATAAACTCGGTAACTAGCTTTCTATAAACAAAAACAGAACCATAACACTAGGGCACGTTAGGCATGCAGAGGCCAACGGGGATCAGCTTGCGTTGGGCCTCTCGTGCAGACTCTAAGAGTCTCCTGCAGCGAGGGAATACACCCGGACTAGGGCGCGTTACTAGAGAGACCTAGCGAGGGGACGTCGGGGGTTTAACGAGTTGCGGTCCATGGCACTCGGTGTCGGTCAATGCGTCGTGGTTTGGGTGCCAGCCTCCCATTGATCCCAGGCCACCCCGTAGGGCAGCCCGGGCCAGGGACTCGGCGATTGTTCGTGATGTGTCGAGTTTGTCGTACGTAGAGGTGTCGTAAAGACTGTGGGGACCGAGTTGGACGGGTCTTGACACTAGGGGAGGAGGGGAACGGGCGAGAGATGGGGCAGATGGGGGCCGATAAGCGGGCGCCTAAAGGTAGATGGTGGTGGTACGAGGTCAAGGTGCTGAGTGATTCAAGACTTGACGAGATGCAAGAGCTGCTTATCCTTGACTAGTACGAACTCGCCCGAGAAGGTTACAAATCGTGCTGAGACACCAAAAGTTTCGCACTCACTACTGCTGAAACCCAACTACGGACATATGCAAGAACCAAAAAGTTGTGATTGCTTCGCGGCCCCCGTGTCGTCTCTGTTTTCCAAGGCTCTGGGATAGTCCAACGGCGCACTCGTCATCGTGTGATCCATCATACAACAGCCGCAGTTGTCGACGACGAAAGGGGGAAAGTATAGTCTCCTCAGGAGGCCTCCCGTACGCCGACGGCAAGTTTCTGGTCGCCATCAACGAAGACAAAAAATGCTTCCCACATGGCCTCACCAAATTCTTGCTCTGCGACGTCGTGGGGGACGGCGGTGTCCTCGGCAGTGTCAACCTTCCCGCTCTCCTCCAAGCTCGCGAGCAGAAGCGACTGAACACGAACGGAGGTGTGCTGCTGCCCGTCCACGTCCGGCCGAACGGCGATATCGTCGCGACGTCCTCCGAGGCATGGGGCGGCAAGATGGAGGTCCTGTGCTGGCGCGAGGCGGACGTTCCGAAGTCCCCGGAGCCAGACGCGAGCCTCACGCTCGAGGTCGGAGTCGAGAACGGCGATCAGATCTACCCGACGTGCAGCGCGGTTCTGGACGAGAAGACGTTCTTGCTCGCCGTCTACCAGGCGGACGGTAGCGCACTCCCGGTGCAGTCCGCTTGCCAGACGTTGATTTACGCCATCAATGCGGAGACCATGACCATCCGGTGGCACGCGAAGCCCATCGAAGGTCAGGTGCACCATTCGATACATCGCTGCACTGGACGTCATCGTCGCCTTCGGACGGCATGACAATGGCGACGGCTTGAAGCGCGATGAGTTCGAGTACGCCGTTGTCCTCGACCCCGCGACTGGTACCCATCGGCGTATGGAGACGATCAGCTACGACGTGCGCGGCAGTCCTGTGGTGTACAGTGGCATTAGTCGGGCTGGAGACGACTTCACAGTCGTCGTCGTCTTCCGCGATGGATCGACATGCGCCGTTGACCTGAAGTGTTTCCTTGAACATGGCTTTCCGAGGGAAGGAGAGCGCTTGGTAGCTTCCAGGCTGCCTCTGGGAGAGGGATCTGATGTCAAAGAAGTGGCCGTAACTGGGCAGACGGTCATCGTTTCGGTCTCGGGATGCAGGAACAACAGGTCGCTTGCTAACATCTGTTACAGCCAAAGCTTGGCTATGGATACCGCTCATGAGATTGTGCGCATGAAGCCCAGTGCTTCCATTTCTACGACTTCTAGAATATAGAGCAGATGAGAACATCTGCGGTGAGTTCGGGCACGAGAGAACACGCACACTATATTAGTGATCGAGCTATTCAAGGCTTCAGACCGAGACAACACACACACATTCCGGCTCTGATAGAATGGATCGAGTATTCGAGTTGCGGCTTTCTGTCGGACCATCTCAGCTGAGGTCAGGCAACACTCAGACTTCGGGAATCGCCGCTGGGACCAGACACGAGTTAACCTGTCAAAGCCCCGTCGTGGGTCGCCCTGCGCCCGCGGCGTAATCCAGTCCATCGAGAGCAGAGGTGCGTTGGTGATTGCATCCGCATGCAATCCCATAGTTCACTGACACCTCTTCAGTGTTGTCGAATATGGCCGATCCCTCCGTGCCAGTGACCGACGGTCATGCACCGTTTGTGTACGAAAACGAGACGTTCGACACCTACTTCAAGGTATTCGGTCAACTGGACGGCCGTACACGCGACCCACTAGTCGTTCTCCATGGAGGGCCCGGTCTCACACACGACTATATGCTTCCTCTCTCCGATCTCGCGACAGTCGGCATACCCGTGATCTTGTGTGGCCAACGACATCCTTGGTGCTGACTTTCAAGAAGATGAACGTGATGACGCACTGGAAGTAAGTCTTCTGCCGATAACTTTGATCTCTTATGACCTGGCTCATTGGCATACGCCGTAGGTTCTCCAAGAATACATCATGGACGGCAGAATGGTCATGTCCCGAGAAGATTATACTGCGTTCCGTAACGACGAGGAAGCCGCAAAGAAACGCCGAAAACCGGGCATGCCACGCACGCGGTACATATTCACGGCGACGGAGACGGATGACGAGTACGGTTATGAACACTGATGTTCGACTCGACTACAGAGATGTATCCCAATAGCAGTTTCAGTCTGAGCATGGTCGCGTGGTCCTCCAGGTGGTATGCGAGGCAGCTATCAACACCAGGTGTGCATGTCAGCGCAGCATCGGAACGAGCTTCCGTTTGCCGCAACGTGTGCTTCATAAAGCGCACTTATTAACTCTTAAGTTCCCTAGTACCGTGTATTGGCGAATTCTTTTCGGTGAGTATCTCGCAATTTTATCTGTGTATGGCGCCTTTAAGTACGCCAACTTGGCCGAGATAACACGATCCAAACCTGTAGGACTACGACAATGCAAGTCTACAATGGTTGCATGGTCAAGAACTCTCCCACAAGCTCAAAATATCTCTCCGGCTCCTCGAAGAATGGTTGGTGTGTCGCTTGGGAAAACTGCACCCACTTCGCATTGGGAATCCTCCAAAACAGTGGCGCGACGCACATGTCAGTTGCTTGGTCGTTGGCACCGTTGATGACAAGCGTGGATTGCTGGATGTCATGTAGGCGATCCACGATATCGAAGTTCTTCTGGTTGCCTGTGCAGTAGAACTCGGAGGGGCCGTGTCTGCCGAACTCGCTATTAGCGTCGTTTCTATCATCGCCGGGATGACTCACATCGCCAGATAGACTGTATTGTCCTTCTCCAGCTCCGCTATGGTGATTTGCATGTCCTTGGGCAGAGGATCCAATGTGATTGCGTTGTTCCCTCCCGCTCGCATCTCTCAATTGTCTCCTTTACATCCCCGGGTAGCATCTCGATCAACTCGCGGCATCCCGTCTCCCATAGATGCATAGATGCATAGGTATTTGCCAACACCAAGCGCTTCAAACCTGTCGGCTAACGTGCCAGCACATAGGACGCCGCCAACGCTCCTCCCCACGAATGACCGAGCACGTCAAAGTTGTCTTGTATTCCAAGCTTTGTCACAAGGTTCTCGAGCTCGGCGATGAGGAGCTCGAACGTCCAGAATTCCTTGGGCTTGTCGCGGAGACGCGTCGACCCGCCACAGCCAAGTTGGTCGTACAGCACGACAGGGATGCCTCGTGACTCCCAGAGGCGAGTGTGGCAACGCACGTATATGTGCGGGAACCCGGGTCCACCATGAAGTATGACGAGAGGCCGAACGCCACAATCGATGTCGCCGACGACCTTGTACCAGGTTTGAAAGGTCTCAGACCCGACGGTGAAGTCGACAGTCCCAGTGCTCTCGGACATGGCTGAAGCTGTGTACGCTAACATCGGGTGAGCTTCCAATGTGCCAGTGCGAACGGCCTGTCTGGGACTCACCTTACTACACAGGATGTCCAACGTCAACGCCGCTGATAAAACTGGCGATGAGTCAAATGATATCGAATCATGCTATGGGCGCTGCTTACCATTGTTTAGTGATATTGAAGGTTGTGTGCGACGTCTGGATCATGCCTGCGATACAAGAGTTCTGGGCAGATGCACTGTTCTCCTGCACGGCGGCTGCCAAATGGCTGCCGCCTTCGGCCTTCTCGGCGGTGTGAATGATACGCTGCGCTTCTGCCCTCTGTCGGCGCATCATATGCGAACAGCATACGTATGTTGATGCATACCGTTGACGACGATTCTTCCGCAGTACTGTACCCACGCAAAGATAATGAAACTCACAGCTGTTTCCAAAACGATTGACCCCTACGCCTGGAACCGCGCAGAGGCGGAGTCGACATTCGCACAAAGGTCGTACCGCGCCGGGGGCGAGCCAGACCCTAGCGAGTGGCTCTGAAGGTCGAACCGACTCGAACGGCAGAGAATCCGACGTACTCCGTTTATGTGCTCGTCGAGGGGGGGGGGGGGGGTCCATCAGTAGGGAAACAGCTGCAATTGGCGACTGTTGGACCTTGTGATGTCTCGCTTCCCAGATGAACCTTAGAATATCAACAAACTGGTGGAATATACATCAACATCGCGGATGAATTGGAGGGTATATACTGGTAGTACAACGGCGCACATCAGATGCAGGGTCTCAGGCTAGGAGTGCCCGTAGTGGGCCAGAGGCCGAACGTACACGATCACAGACTGAAATCAGAGACTGTCAATGTCGTACCCAACTTTGGGACTGCATAGAAATCGGGGTGATGGCTTTCGAGAGTGTACAGGCCGAGTCCCGAAACGTCCTCGAACGTTCGCTGTTCGGTTTCGATCTCCTCATCTTCATCGTCGCTGTGCCCCGTCACTTCATCCTCGGGCTTGTACGAAAGGGTGTTGCCGATGTTACCGAGGACCGATCTTCCGAAGTACAAGTCGGATGACGGGTACGACGGCAGCGGCGACGCCGCTTCTCGGAGATTCATGAAGAAGTGCGAAAGGAGTATGGTGCTTAGCCTGTTGAATTTCATGAACACATCGTTACCTAGCATGAAGAAGAGCAGACAACGGACGTATGAAAGAACAATGTAGCGTTTGGGAGGACCTAATTGAACTAGGCATCACACAACACGAAGGAAACGTGAGAGGCTGGCATCACGCACGTCTGTGACCCATAACACCGATGTAACAATATTCAACGCGAGGAGCACACTGGCGTTGCATGAGGTAAAGCTCGAGGAGCCGTGGTATTATGTACGTTACCTGAAGTACATCGTACCTTGATGATCATCAGCGGGTGTATGGTCTTCACGTTGAAATAAGTACGTACCGTCCCTGAGTAGAAGCCACGTTAGCGGGGCGTCACGGTCCACATAGAAAGTTCGACTCCAAATCAGGATGCTGTATGTCTTTCTCCAGGTTGCGAACAGAACAAGCGCCTCGGCCGTCACGTTGCATATGTGCAGCAGTATATCGACTGATTGACTATTGTCAATCCAAAAGGAGCATATGGGTGGAATTTGCGCACAGCTGGTACAGACTGTCAGTAACACATCGCGTCGAGCTGTGGAAGACGTCCACTGACTTATTCATCATGTGAGGATTTCCAAGTACGACGACACAGTCAGCTTCTGCTTGTGGCGTGGTAGATGACAAGTTGACGCAATAGTACTGGGAGGGATGTCAAGGCCTGGGTAGTTCTTTGCGTGATGAGGAAATCGAAACGGACCACATTTCCAACGAGTCCGACAATGAAAAGCGTAAGGATAATTGACGGCATGATATAGTTGCGTCCGTTGATGGCATACACCCGAAGAGCTGCGATTGCTGCTGTTCCTGTCAGTATGTTGCACCGAGCGATGAGGATCAGACTGACTGCCATAAATAAGATACAGAGCGGAGGCAGTGGCGCCCGCGGCGATCGCGATAATATAGGGGCTACCCAGTTGAAAGGTCAACGAGAGCAATCCGCTGTGGTATATCCACCGACCTCTACATGACCCAGGTTCTTGTAAGCTCAAGTAATCGGACCCAGAGTTGACCACTCACTTCGCACGAGACAGTTGCGTCCCAGGAGAGCGCAGCGTGGAGTACCAAATATACGAACACCAGGACATTCATGGCGACGTAGAGACAAGATACCAGTGAAAACGAGCGGATTAAGATGAGCCTTACTTCTCGCTTCGATACGAGGATGCGCTCGTAGATGAACAACGCTACAATGACGAGTAACATGAATTGTTCAAGGCCAACATGCTGAGCCCGCGGGTGCGCTACTCACTGAGCATCGATATGGCACAGAAGCGGTCCAATGCGCTGCAGTAGACTCGTCAAACATACAGAAGTGACGTAGCGAACGGGATGACGCACGTTGACCGACTGGCAGAAGACATTCCTTCCATGACTTGGGCGGGTTGCAGGTTGAAAGGCATCGAACGAGGATGTCAGAGACCTCGAGGACAACGGATGCTTATATACTAAGCACTCTGAGCGAACATTCAATAAACGGCAGTAGCAGCAGACCCAGGCGCAACGTGGTGTCAAACACAGGTTATGGCTGTGTTACGGTTATCCTGACGCGCCCGGCCAGGTTGGTTGTATGGATTAAGACCACCATTTCATTCTAAGGTTGGGGCCTCGCGTTCAATGGGGCCTCACGATCGAACGCGAGGCCTCGCGGTTGGCATCTACCATGAACCTATGCACATACTAGAGATGAATCAGTACGATACATCGCTTAACAAAAAATCTCACCACATACATGTGCCCAATACAGACACTCTCCCGCGACTTTGTCCTGATACTGGTACCGGTATTGCGTGTGTAAGAGGTGAGCAGTGTACTATGAATATTACTATGATATGATCCTCGAACGCGCGAGTCTCGGCGTTGCATGCCATGGATCTCCGCTATCTATGCGGTTCACACTGTTGTCTTTTTCATACCGCGTCCGCATACTGTGAGTTGAGAGGCTTGTAGCTGATGAGTCCGACACCACCGAAATAATCAGGATGGTGCCAGGGCCAAACCCAACTTCCCGATTCGACAGCTCCAGCTTGCCACATAGCGCACGGACCACTTCTGTATATCCGAGAAGATTTGTCTTTCTTTCTTGAAGCGCAGAAAATGTATGTCGCGGAGGGATAACGTGTCTGAGTCTGAGTCGCTGCTGTCCAACTGGCGGTACATGCTGGATGCTACTGGATCATGATGGACGAGAGGTGTGATTACAAGCGTGTGAATCACAGGTTCCAGAATGGGTATGGCGTGACCAACGTTCGCCAGTCCCGAAAGGACCGTTACTTACGACACTCGACCTCTGCTCGACTCGCTCATCCGCGTCCTCGCCGCCCTCAACGCGCAGCGACCTCGAACCCTCGCGACAAGGCGTGTCAATCTCAACGAGTGAGACAAGTGTCGCCCACACTATGGACGAGGACCCGCAACAGTTCGTGCATGCCCAGCTGCCCGTGCACTCGCAGTATGACCGAGACAGACTGTGAGTACCATCCTTTCGTTCCGAGCTCTCCCCCGCCGGCAGACATCTCGGGGACATGCGTGCATCCTGGGTGTCATCTTCGTGTCGTGGAAGACGCGTTGTCGTGGTGTAGGTTATACACTGCCAGACAAGCGGGAGAGCTCTACCCCAGCCCCAGCCTTCATCCACACGCAACGACCTTATGCCGGACGCTGACACTTAAACCCTTCACGCGCCCGCTAATCTCATTCATCGCTCGATTCCCCACTCCCTCCTCCGACACCAACACTTTGGCCACCAACCGATGGATTGGTACCGTATGAATAGCGAGTACGAGCTCGTTGTTCGGCAGGAACCAAAGCAGGCCCGGATGTGCGGCGTAGGAGGTGAGCTCATGCCATTTCATGCTGTGTATGTGTGGTAGGCGCAGCCATACCCTCGCTGTCCCCTGTGCATCGATAGGGGATCGACTGCTAGGTGTCTGTCCGGCTGCCACCCAGCGGGGCATATTAGCAGGCCATATCCGCGTCGAAGGCGCGCACACATTAGTCATCAGACATATCCTGGCCAGTTCTCAGATCTCAGCGTTGGTATCAGGCTGCGCCGGCTGTTCACCTAGAAATGCGAACGGCATACTGATCACTGTCTGCAGCCGACCGCCGTCCAATCGACCCGCCGCCCATCGTCCAGCTTCGTGTCCTCGACCCTTCACAACGCAGGCCAGGTGGAGACTCCCGGCCAAGCTCACCCGGTGAGTGGCTCAGCTTTGTCGTGATTGTCCTCTCCTCCCTCTCTTCTCTGTCTGGACATTGTTGTACAAATGCGCCCGGCGCGCCATATCCCAGCGCTACATACCCCTGTACGTCCATAGGAGAGGACATTAATTGCTTATGTCACGTATTGCTGTCGTATAATCCGACATTCCGGGACCCCTATGTCCAGGGCGCGTCCCGGACGCGTCCCCCGCCCGAGAGTTTGGCTGTAGAACCGAGCGTACGGGACCGCACTACGCGCACGTGTCCCGCGCGTTTCATTCCCCGCACATCGTTCTCGTTCGCTGTTGCTTCCCATGTACGGTACCGCACCCCCGGGCTTGGCTAGCTGACGCACATGTACAGATGGAGCCGCCGCTATGGCTGCGTCACAAAGCTTCCTGCAAAACCCGTACTATTTCATGTTTGCCAGCCTCGCGAAACCTGACGAGGATGTCGAACTTCATTGGCTCAAGGTCGGTCCCGTGCGCTTTTGCTCCCAGCATTCGCGTTGCTGATTTGTCGCCGTCCTATCGTATATCATGCTGCGCTATCTCGTTGGCCCGACCTCCACCTCTGCTGGATTATCGCCGCTTCGACGCCCGCTTCCTCCGGCGTTCATCCAAAGGATGGCAAGACTCGGTGTACGACTGGCTCGGTCGTATCATCACTGTACCACCTCAAAGACGCTGAGGCAGGCGGCGCTGATGCCGGCTTCTTCGTCTTCCCCGATCTGAGTGTGCGAACGGAAGGGAGCTACAGATTGAAGCTCAGTTTGTTCGAAGTCGTCGGGTGAGTAGCATGGCTCTCCGCTCCTTGTGGCTGCCATTTTCCGATGCCAGTGTCGGAACGCCTCTGTGGGCATGAGTATTGGTCGCTCTCCTTGAGTGGCCCACGCGCTCTTGGTGGGCGCTCGATATTGACGTTCCTCGAATCATTTGGCTCTGCGGATATACTCCCTCGCCGTTTCTCGCGTTACATGGACGTGCTATGGGTGGTCCTGAGCTGATTTGGAGCACGTGCAGAAACGCGCAAAATGGCGTATCAGCGGCTTGGATTTACGGCTTTGCGACGCGACCATAGGTGTCAATGTACCAGACGTGCAGCACACGTATTGTCTTGAGCACAACTTCGAGGGGGCGTATAAGATCAACGAGGCACACTGGCATCTTGGGCCATCGCGGCTCGCCCTGATAGGCGGGCCTTCCATGGCCCGCGATGATCTGATATGGGAATAAGCAGTCACTGAACGTTTCATGACAGGAATTGCGTGGACCACTGCAAATCAATATTCTCCGCGCCATTTTATGTGTACACCGCAAAGAAGTTTCCAGGGATGGAAGGTACGTGGAAAGGATCCCAGTTGATTCTGATTCTCATCGTTCCTACTCCTCACCGTCCCTCCCTATGATTCTGACTTGCCATCACCTCTCTGGAACGACTTCACACCGTCGTATCACATTCATCCTTTCCCCTTATGTTTGCGTGTAAACATCTATCGTGATCGTGCTGACTATCCAACCCGTAGAATCAACTCCCCTTTCTTGTTCTCTGGCTGATCAAGGTATCAAAATTCGGATCCGCAAAGACATTCGCGTGCGCCGGAGACCCGCTCCAGGCGGCGAGCAGCCGATCCCTATACCCATATTAGGACCGCCGCCTCCCGGGGGTGCATTCGGACCCGTTCCTGTGCGCCTGGACGATCCGGTGACGGATGAAGAGCAAGGACCCGAGGAGAGAGAAAGGAGACTCAGCAGCAGCAGCTCGATCCCGCCGATGTCTGCGCCCGACAGAGAACCCCTCCGGAGAACAGACAGCGATAAAGAAAGCGACAGGGAAGAAAATCAAAGACGTGCTCCGAGGCGCGTCAGTGAATCGGTTCCCAGCGCGGGCCGGCGAGGCAGCGGCAGCGATAGGGGTTCGAAACGGCGGAGAGGTGACAACAGCGGGCTGAGCATCGGGACGAGCGTGAGCAACAGCACGATGGACGGCCCCGACGTGACGCCTGTCAGTGCGGGGCCTTCGAGTGCTGGAACCGGTTGGGGCGCAATTGACCCAGCTCTGAGCGCGGCTCCGACCACGCAGCCATCTCCTGCGACGCCGACTTCTTCGTCCACGGATCACCACTACGTGCCTGCTCCTGCTCCCCAGCACACAACCACAGGGTACGAACATCGGTATTCTGCGCCTCCTGCTCAGGCGAGCGTACCCGCTCCCGCGCCGGCCTCTGCCCCCAGCTACTCATATGAAGCTCATCAGTCGACGCCGCCTGGGCACCACTACTCTGCACAGTCAGCACCACATTCCTATTCACATGTGCCGCAGACACAACAACATCATGCGTCTGCTTACCCATATCCTCCAACACAACCCGCCCCTTCGGGTCAGAGCTGGGGATACGACCCGTACGGGCACTCTCAGCCCTACAACATGCCGCCTCCTGGCCCTGCCCCTGCTCATCACGCTCAGACACAACCACCGCCTCCTCCGCGTTACCCGGATTACCCTCCCTACTCCCAGCAGCAGGGGTATGGCGGCTACTACGATTCATCACAGCATCATCAGCAACAGCATCATGTGCCTCCTCCGCCAACTTCACATCCTGCCCAGCATCCCTACCACCATCCCGGATATGGGCCAGCCCCGGCGCCGCCCTCTCCGAGTACCAACCATGCGCCGGCGGCTGTATCTGACTACTACCCATCCGGAACAACTGGACGTACAGACAATCGCTCAAGCACCGGTAGCGCAGCTGGGGCTGGTTATACCCAAGCATCCTATCCGCCAGCTCCACCTCCGGCTGCGCCTGGACAGAATCCGGCCATGCATCACCACTACGGTGCACCCGCGCCTGTGTACTCCCAATACGCTCACAATCCCGCCCAAGGCCACGCGCAGCAGCAGTCTTCTGCCAGCGGTAGCCAGAGCAGTGGCCAGGCGGGCGCGAGCTCAAGTGGACGCGGCCACTACCAGCTGAGCACGCCGCCGCATCAGCACCAAACGCAGCCCTACAGCGCCTACCCTCCTGCGCCCGTCCCTGGCACCAGCGCAAGCGCGAGTGTGAGCGTGGCCGCCACCGCTCCGCCGGAGGCAGCTTGGGCATACCCCCCTGCTCCTGGCCCCGGCGCGAACGCGGCCGCTTGGGGCGTGATGCAGGACGGGCCATATGCTGCCGGCTATGGTAGCGCAGGTGCGGCAGGCCGCGATGTCCATGGGCATGGTCCGAGGTTGGCACCACTGAGGGTAGGCGGTGGAGGTACGCCCCCGCCCGGATCAGAAGGCGGGAGGGGTGGCTCGAGCAAGAAGAACAATCCGCTGAGCATCGGCAATATCATCTCGGAGGATACTGGTTAAGGCGTCAACATCGGACGGTAAGGAGGGGCTGTAGTTGCTGGCTTTCGTCGGATGAAAGGGAAGTATGTCTGAGGTGGATCGTTGCTATCGTGTTGTCGTGCTCAGTTTTCTGCTTCGTTCGCTCCGCGCTTTTACTTGTAGATTTGTCGTTCAACCCGCGCGGGCCTGGTCTAAGCTGATCGCCCTTGTTACTTGTATTCGTACTGTATATAGACCAGGGTTACTCTCTACGTAGTTCGATTGGTTTTCTTGACATACGGGGGGCTTGCTTGCGAGGATGCTATGAAATCACGACAATCTATGTATGCCAAACGTTTGCGCCCATTGCGTGCTTCAATATTGTGCGCTACGTCGACCGTCTTGTATTCCTACGAGACAGGGCCTGCACTTGACATGCGACAATTCGATGCATCTCTTTGAATACGGTCTCTAGTTATGAGACACGACGAGTCGCAGGATACACAGCTGAAGACAGTCTCAGCCCCTAATACGCTCATGGGGCTCCTGCCATGGTACACCTACAGTAAGCAAAGCGCGTCAACAGAGGGAAATCATGTCCAGAAGCTTGGTGCCTACCTAGTATTCGAAGAATTTCCTCCTCCGTCTCAGATGCTATAATAGTGCCTGCTCCCACAGATGTAAGTGCATACCCGAGATCAAGAGACCGGACGTTACCTTCATTCAATTTCTCCAGCTTGTTGCTCGGGTTGCGTACGATACCTTGGTATAGGCCGCGCTGGTTCAGTGAGTATCCCATCTTGTTCGCCTTCAGCCGTAGCGATCGGTTGAACTAGAGGACAGATATCGATATAACCACCTGTGTTACTAAGTACCTTGTGACTTACAATGTCATCGCCCTGAAGTCGTTGATTGTCAAGATCCGATGAGGGGTGGGGATTAAGCTTCTTGACTTACAGTGTAGTAAAGAAGAGCTGCTCCCCTCGACTCGTATGGTACAGTCAAGAAATCTATGATCGCGCGCCGTATCAGCACGCAGCCAGAAGGCCAGTAGAGAACCTTGTTACCAATGCGGCGCCTTGGACTTGACAAATCCCGACGACACAGGCCCCGATACACAAGCTCTAGGTCATCGAATGTGTCTGGTAGCGACAGGTCTTCTGTGATGATTTCTCTTCGGTGCAATTCACCCAAGAGCTTCCGGAGAACTCCTGAAGAACGGCGACGTCAATAGCTGGGATATGATATGCCTGTCAATCGGAGCACGAGCCTTGGTGAGTCTTTCCGTCGCCTGTAGGGCGAGTGATAAGAATATCGACATCTCCACAATCTGGCTTCCCACTGAACGACAATATCAGTGTCTCGTGCATGTACCGGATGATGGATGAAAGCACCGTCGGTAGCTCCCCATGATCTCGACGGAGAGCTTGGAGTCGATCTGCAAGGCTATTAGAGCAACGGTAAATCAGAACCACTCAGACGCCGTAGGTGCGAATATCGTGTCAACGGACCTATAGGCCTGATCAAGTTATAGATATCTGCAGCCTCGCTTCTGGGCATTCTGGAGTTGATGTCTCACGCAGATGTTACAATCATTTGCTTGACGACTATATGGAGAAGTGACGACATACCTGCATAATATTTCAGCCCTATTTCTTGGCATGTACTCAGTTTGATGCCACCCTTCCGCGCCCGTACGTCGTCCAAGGTACGACATCCATTTGCATACCACTTGTATGCGGTCTGACGGCCTGTGCGCAAGTCTAGAGCCCATGACGTATCTCCGGACATGCACATCCACTCACCGACTCCATAGATACCCTGGAACATGTTGATCGCCTCGATGTCCTCCGTCTTCTCGTATCCTATTCTCCGCAAATCCCCCGTTTGCAGAATTTCAGTGATCTGCAGAGCACGTAATACTCAATATGCAAAGCTTCCGGAAGAACTCGGAGCTGCAGCAAGAAGACGGAGACGCACTTTCTGGGCCGTTTTATCCCCAATACCTGGTATGGCGAGCGCTTCCTCGTAACACCGAATCCTCGTAGGGTAAGACCGAAGTGCCCTTATGGCTGCGCAAGCGGCGTGCAGGGTTTATGAGACAGGTCACGGACATTCATTCTTAGCGTCTGGGAACCAGTTCGGGACGACGGAGCCGCACACACCTTTGTCATAAGTGTAGACTTTCCATGTATCCTCCTTCGACAACTTGGCCTTGTGCAACTCCCTCAGTTCTTGGAGCTAAAACACGCTCAGCTATGTCACAAAGGCAACGAGATAATGCAGCACCTTATTGACAACGTCCTGATTTGCACAAGCAGTATGCTCTTCCGCCTTCGAATCGCACAAGAAGCCCTGAATCAAAGTCAAGATAGCCCTGCAGAAGACGTGCACAAACCGGCGCACCCTCTTCTTCGACACCGCGTGTGTCGCAGCACGCTTCCCACCATTGCCAATCTCCTTGGCCGATTCTTCCTCGCTGCTCAGTCCAGACCGCAAGTCCTGGACATGAGGCGGAGTAGATGAGCAAGCATAGCATGATAAGGCCCAAGCAAACGGCTGCTTACCTCTGCTTCTCGCTCCGCACGTGCTTGATTGTAGAAAGGAGCTAATGAGTCCACCTCAGGGGTAGAATCGCTCTTGTTGTTCAGCGAAGATTTCGGGTTGTCGGTGACAGTAGCCCTCCCGGGTACCCCTGCGCCATTAGGACCTGCGGCCAACTTCCCCAAAAAGGACGAATCGTCGAAGTCGAGTATTGCAGATTGCTTAGATTCAACGCGGTCGACCGTAAACTCCCTACAGACACCGTCAACTATTTGAATTGTGGCTGAATGGCCTACTCAAAACGTACGCACGATATGATACTGGTGTCACTGCCATCTCGTCCACTCTTCGGCTCCTGCGGAGTAGGACGGGAAGGACCACTTGCCGCCGAGGTTGCGGATTGCTGTGGCTTCGAGCGGCCCTTATTCGAAGGTGGCGGCGGCATGCCAGCGTCTAACCGATCCTTGAACGCCGCGTGAACGATGAGATGGTAGTCGGCTGTCGGTTCAGAACTGCTGTCTTCGATCTGCTCAGTCTTGTCACCCTTGTTGTTGTCGGCCACGTCTGTGCTCTCTCCCCCCTTTTCGACTGGCGTTTCCGGGATTACTCTCCTGGGCGCACGAATGACCCAGCTCCACGTCACCGTCGGAATATGGTTCGGGATGTCGCGGAGCGAGCGCAATCCAGTCGCCCGCAGGAACGCTGGCGCAGACGGCTTTTCGGTCGTAACAATGTGCGTGATGACCTCTGGATCGTAGGTCGGCACCACGGTGCCTCCATACCTGATGATCTGCGGTGAACGGTGATACAGCGGGTGAATGATCGTTGTCAAGGCCGTACAGATCGGCTCACATAATCCATACGCTTCCGCGTCTCCTCGCTCGCATACTGCATGTCACCGCCGTGGTAGTAAATCCTCTCCCCCCGTAAGTACGGCGAGGCACGGCTCTTCCGCGTCGCTGCCACCTCAGACAAGTTATCTTGCAGGCGCTGGGCGTACTCCCGCGGAGTAATGAGCTCTCTCTTCTTCTTTCCCGACTTCTCCTTCTTGAGCGCGTCCGTCTTCGGCTTCGGCTCTTCCGCCTTCTTTGCACGCGCGCCAGACGCTTTTGACGAGGACGGTCCTGGAGCCGCGGGGGTAGTAACGGAACTGCTGCTAGGGGCCGCAGCTGGGCCTGGGTTGGCGGTGGATACTTTGATGACCTTGCTCTTGACCGCCCGCTTCGCATGACTGGAAGATCGAGCGTGTGTAGTTCGGGTTGCGTCGTCGGATGCCTGTTGCGGAGAGGGGACGTCGGGTTGCTTGTCATTGTTCGTCGCGATGATACGACCAGTGCTCTTGCTATAGGGATGCAGCGGTGGGTCGACATGATTTGCTTCATGTTCGCGAGCTTTGCCTTTGTCTGGTGCTGGAGAGGTGATTGTTGTTTTATTCACAACCGGTTGCTGTAGAGGCAGCCGCGCGACGGGACTCTGGGGACCGGCTGCGTCTGTAGGCGGTCCAACAGATGTCTGGTGTAGTTCATGAGAATCTGGATTGTCGGACGCAGAGCCCGTGGCATGGGCTAGGGTAACCGAGGCAGAACCCTTCTTATGCTCTGGGCTTAATCTCCGTTTCTTTGAGTGGCGCGCAGAAGGATCTACAGTCCTCTCCGTCGATGATTTGCGCTTCGTCGTCCTAGCAGGCTGTCAATAGGTGGAATACGAGCGGTACAGTCGGTGTCTGACTCACATTCCCTGGTTTAGATGTAAATCTTCTGGTGGAACGGTCACTTTCGGCACTTCATTACGCGACTCGGACATGTCGACATTCAGCTCCCTTGGTTTGTCGGCATCCATTATGGGCGCCTTTGAGGCCCCCCCTTCGTGAGCGACAGCTGCATCTTCACTACGAGAACTGTTCAGCTGTTCATTGTGTAGGATGCGACAATCCCGGGTACAAACCTGGGCCTATACCCATACACACGAGCGAGATAATCCTCGTCCGTTTCTTCAGGCATGTCCAGGATCCTCTTCTCCTCTCTGAAGAACCACTCAAGGTCGGACATAGTCGAGTGAGTTTCCCTTGGATTGAATGGTGATTTATAGATGTGAGTGTTGAGTAGAAAGACAACCCCGGCGTGCAACCGGCGTGAGCCACAGAGCCACAGGTCACAGGTGGTATGGATACCATATTTGGACAATGTGGCGTGTGTCCAAATTCCCACGGCCCGCTTGGCGAAGTCGGGCACCGTGTTGCAATGTTTCACATGTGACTCTTTGAACCACAATGGCACAACTCAGCGTAGCTTCGCCTCAAAAATTCTACGGGCCACACCAGATTGTGTATTTCATCGACATTGCCATCATTCTCTGCTCCATTCTCGCTAGCCCGAATCTGGGACCTCACCTTTCACTCGACGTGATTATTCCTTCAGAGCGAACACACTTTCTCGTGATGCCAATTGGTTCCCATAATATGTACGTCAAGACAGACATGTTTCCCGTTATCTGACCCATCGTTTTCCACGCAAGGGTTTACTCAATGGTCCGAATCAGCACTAGACGCCTTCGAGCGTGCTTACCTCTTCTGGCGAACACCAACTTCAACAGAACGACTTGGCGAACAAATCACGGGCACGCTTGCGCGAGCTCATTGGCATCCGCATACGCACACACCCTTTCCCGGTCTGTTTCCATTACTCTGATATCTGTACACTCTTCATTCCCTGGTGACGGTGCCGACGACGGTGTGGACCCACACAGTCAAACAAGGCCACAACAGTCTGCACATGGTCGAGGAGCTTCCTACTTGGTCAAGCCGAGCGCCGGCCGCATCACTGGCAATTCTCCCATGTTGTCGTGCGGCTCTTCTAGACCGCAGCAGGTTCCTCGGGAGCGTGTGATGGCGCGTCTGCCGCGAATTTCACCCTTCTTTCAGGGGAGCGACGTGCTAAATGCCCCCTTCTGCCGCGACTTTGCTATTTTCGGTGCTTGCCCAGCATGCGCGACTCTACCATGCCCCGTCCGAGGAGGCGGCACCCGATTAGCGGGTGCCCTCAAGGCCCTCTTCTTCCTTGGCACTGCAGCGCACAGACCAAGCGCTGTTTCTGCGCCCTCGCGTCGTCGCTCATTCGACATGGATCCTCAAGTGTTTCAGCTAGTAGAATGGCGGCTGCAAGACAGGCCAGTATGGAGATCAGGCCAATCGGGTGCTTCTGGTGCCTAGCCATCGGTCGCATGGAACTTGTGCAGATGATGCTCCTCGATATGGGTCAGCTTGTCTTCTTGCGGTTGCCACATCGCGGCCGGACGGGGTGGCGGAGTGAGTGGACTTATCGCCCCTCATAGCTCTGCAATTGAATGCAGACGTTCGCCGCGCGATACCAAGTGAAGCGCGGACGTCGCCCATATCACTCTTCTGGGCGTCCTGGAGGCCGGAGAACACGTTGAGGATCCCGACCAAGGAGCTGATCAGCGGCATTCTTGGGCTATGCTGGGCCGCTGAGTTAGCGTCGCCGTTCTCAGTCGTCGGAGTTATTAAATCGCGACGCACCGGACACAAAAGTCGACAGGCGGCCTCTTGTTCCTCTTGCGCTCTCGTCTCTCCGTTCTGCGCCTCTGTGGTCACTGTCATGGCTATCGAACGCCCGCCGTGCCGCAATGGCACCTGGTACACACCTGGCAACGCGTCGAGTGACGAGGAGATCCAGTCCGATACCTCCTCAGAGCTCGTCGAGATCCAGTCCGATGAATTCCCTCGCTACTTCGTCGAGCGGAATGGTCGCCTCTTCCATTCTCATGGTCCATCGCCGTATCCTCTGCCTGTGGATGCGGACGAGCAGCATGTGCGTCATCTTCTTATCGAAGCCTATCATGTTTGGGATGTGCAAGAAAAGAAGTACCTGACTCATCAAACTATGGCAGAGACAAAACAGGCAACATGTCCTGTTGTACAGCCTCATTGGCGCGCACTACGTAGGCCCAGTCCAAGACGTATTGCGACCTATCCGTGGGGTACAGAGGCAAGCAGTAGACTTAGGGACCGGTACTGGGAAGTGGTATGTCATTCTTAGTGCATCCGTATGCGCGCGAGGGCCTCATATGTTCCTGAAGGGTTATGGATATGGCAGACCGTTTCTCACATGTGAGGTTCAGCGGGATCGACATAGGTACGCGCTATACTTGCGGTGTATCTCACGAAGCCAACTCACCCATCCTGATGTTGCAGTGCCGATCCAAACCAGGCACCCCCTGCCGAATGTATGGTTCGAGATGCACGACCTCGCTGAACCGCTGGGGTACGCGCCTGGCAGCGTCGATCTGATCCACGCCCGTGACATACAGTTGGCGGTGAGTTGGCCGACATCGGTGCTTCGATTTAGCTCATGGCCCAGGCGAAGGTCCGTGATTTCCCCAGGCTTCTGAGCGAAGTAGCGCGTGCGCTGCGTCCCGGCGGATTATACATATCCGGCGAGTGGTACGGCTATCCGACCATGGAGGACGAGTCGTGCCTCAGCGAGCGCGCTCCGCGCACCTGCCGATTCTTCGACCTGGTGAACCACTACCTGAGGCAGAACGGGATTGGCTTCGTCGCTGCCAACGTGCCCGAGTGGGTCCGGCGCACGGACGCTTTCTTCAACGTGCAAGTCGAGGATCTGTATGTTCCCATCGGTGCCGGGAACCCCGGAGTGTATCACGCTGGAGAGAGGCTCAAGACTAATCTTCGCGTGTTCGCGGCCTCCATGCAGCTCTGGTTGGTGGAGAGAGGCTACTGCAGCCGCATGGCCGCTCAGGACCTCACCAATGGCTTCCTGCTCGAGCTCGACACCATACAGGGCATGGAACTGAAGTATCGAATTGTCTGTGCGCAGAGGAAGTGAATGGAACGTCAGGCTATGTTGTTGCGATCGAATGTACCATTAGTTACCAACCGTTCTTGATTGGCTTGTAAATCGTCTGAATGGAAATTGATTTCTTGCGCACGAGCGGGACTCGAAGGAAGGGTTTTGGAAAGCGCCGGTCGGCTCGGCGACAGCCGGAACCCGCGTCGAGCTCGCCGCAACGTCGACTGCTCTCCGCCAGCTCTTCGCCATCTCTCTCTCCTAATTATCCATGCTCGCTTCGAGGTCGTCGGCGGCGCGCAGCGCGTCGCGCCTTGCCCGTAATTTTGCGACTGTCGTCGACACCGCTGGCGTAAAGGTCGCCGCGGTCGACAACGGAGAACCGACTTCGGCGGTCACGTTCCTGGTCAAGGCGGGCAGCAGGTTCGAGAGCAAACCCGGTGTCGCTCATGCATTGAAGGGGTTCGCGTTCAAAGTGAGTGTCTTCGAAGTTGTGTTTTCCAATTTTGTCTGACTTGTCGCAGAGCACGGAGAAGCGGTCGTTCTTGGGTACGATCCGCGAGGCCGAGTTGTACGGTGGTGTCCTCTCGACAAGTCTGACGCGGGAACACCTCGCCTTCACTGCGGAGTTCCTGAGGGGCGACGAGTGAGTTTGTCTGTTCTTCTAGTGCTTCAGAGGCTGGCCTACATGGTCAGGGACGGCTACGTCACTACCGTACTACTCGTGAAGCGTCGCCTCGTACCAAAGCTGACCCTTTCCGCAGGCCTCTCTTCGTGGACATCATTTCATCCTTCATCAAGTCTGCGAAGTACACAAGACACGAGCTCGACGAGTACGTCGTGCCCGTATGCGAGGCCGAGTCTACCACGGCCTTCTCTAACCCCGCCATCCGCGCCCTCGACCTCGCACACTTGCTTGCCTTCCGCACGGGGCTCGGCGCGTCGCCCTTCACCTCCCCCGGCACGCACGTCTCGGTCGAGGACGTCAAGGCATACGCGCAGAATGTCTTCACACCTGGCAACCTCGCCGTCCTCGGCACGGGCATCGACGCGGCGACGCTCCAGAAGCTCGTTGAGCAGTCCCTCGGCTCACTCTCGAGCGCGTCCGCACCCACGTCCTCGCCAAGTTCCTACTTCGGCGGCGAGACCCGTATCGAGGCGCACGGCGCACCGGAGACGATTTTCATTGGTCTTGGCACGACGGGCGCGCCTTCCGCAGAGCTGGCCGTACTCTCTGCGCACCTCGACCCTACGCCGTCCGTGAAGTGGTCAAAGGGCACGTCGCCCATCGCCGCCGGTGTGCCTGAGGGCATCAGCGTGAAGACGGTGCTGCTCCCGTACTCGGACGCGGCGCTGTACGGCATCCTCATCCAGGGCGAGAGCACGGAGGGTGTTAAGGCGGCGAGCAAGGCGGCGGTTGCGGCGCTCAAGGCGTCTGGGGACCTCAAGGGCGACGACCTCAAGAAGGCAGTTGCCAAGGCGAAGTTTGCTGCTGCAAGTGCTCTCGACGGCCGTGACAACCTTGTCTTCGCCTTGGGTGCACAGGTGAGCGGTCATGTCTATGACTTTCCGCTTCTCCGCTGACGGGCTTGGCAGGCGTTCGGTTCGCCGGCGTCTCTTGACAGCACGATCTCCAACCTTGACAAGGTCAATGCCTCTGCCTTCTCCAAGGTGCGTTATGCTACACCCTTGCAAGATGTTGTGCTCACCATCCGTGTGCAGGCGGCGACGTCGTTCGTCAAGGCCAAGCCGACGTATGTCGCGATTGGTGACATCAAGCGCCTCCCCTACGCGGACGAACTCGGGCTATGATCACAAAATAGATAGATACTAGCGAAGAACAGTATTGTTACTTCTACATCCAGATTAGTGTCCGTGTGAGCTAATTCATGAGCCTGTAATGCTACGTGCGCAAGGGGCGTGATGGCCAGGTAAGCTGGTTCTCCTTGTCCCTCTTATGTATTTGCTGTCACCAACCTTCGCGGATCTTTCGAGTATCTGAGTTCCGCTTTGCTGGGCTGCCGTTCACATATCGTAGCAACAGATAACCGTCTAGAATTCGAGCGTTCCTAATCGAGGGAACGTACACGGAGGCATGACTTGATGTGCATGAGGATGAGAAATACGGTATGAATGGCTGTCGTTAGTAGTCCGTGTCATTTCAGTTTGAAGGTTGGTACATCGATGCTTGCAGACTTGTATCGGATCGATTTTTTTCGTGGTTTCCACGGTGTTGTTGCAAGTTAGAGGTCGTCATCCTGTGAGCCGCATGAGCAACGGCAATACACAGCAATGGCAATGCAACGGACCTCTGCAGGATGCTCTGCGCCGCGGCGGTACTGATAGTACTGATCCATGATCCGCGTCCCCCGTCTGCTTATGCGTCCCAAGAGGTCGTCCGTCGTCGCGTCGTTCTCCAGGTCCACCACCACGTCTTTGTCGAGGACAACGTACGGGATGCGGATCTGTCTTCCCAGTACGTATGGCATGGTCAACGTTCCCGAGCCCCAGCACTTTGTCCAACTGATCATGAGGTACAGCGCGTAATCCGCCGGGTTGAACCCTAGCAAGAGCACCTTGTCGTCCTCGGTCACGAACGCCGCTGCAACCAGCTCGTGGAACTCCTCCGCCCGCAGGACGGCGCCGTTTGGGAGCACCTGCGGCTGGAAGCGCAGAGGCCGCACCTTGACCAGCCTGTGGCGACGGTCGATGACCGGATACCGGATGCGCCGGCATGCGCGGACGGCTATATTTGTCTGCTCTGAGACGGCGGCGAAGTTGAGCAGGTCATTGTCGTCGAGATGGTCAACGATTTGCGACAACAGTTCGTGTGGTAAGTTCATGAGCGGCCCGCCACCGGGTGGGGGAGGGAACGAGTGGAGAGGCCCTGGGACCTGTGCAGCCGGGTCGATGTCTGTCAGGAGCCGGTAGAGAATGGAATAGTCTAGCCATGCGCATGGAGATTGCCCTAGACGGACGAGCGCGTTGATCCCAGGAGTTGACGGACTCGTCCCGAAACGGTCGGGGAGGAATCGCAGGAGGGGTGAGCACGACGCAGTGCGCGACTCTGGCGAGGCGTCCTGAAGCCCGTCGAAGCACACAATCGCGAGGTGCTCCCCGGAGAAGAGAACTCCAATTGCTCTGTCGCTCTCCGCATCATCTATGTCTTCGCTCAGTAGCTTCATTGCTACAGAACGCAAGGAGGCCTCCGACCGTATGCCGACGCAAACCTGGAAGAAGAGGTCATTACTAGGCCACCGCCGCTCCCTGCTACGTCCCGCTTCGATTTTGTACTGACTCTCCGATTTGTAGATCATGGTTGTCATGGCCGGCCAGAGGAGGGACAACAGCATCGTCCTGAGCTGCTCGGCGTCTTCACTGTCGTCGTCTGCCCCGGGACGCGAGCATTGTTGGAAGCCGTGATGATATTCGCGAAAAAACTGCCCGATGATGACTTCGTAAAGCCGTGTGCAGACACGCTCGCTGTCTGGTCGATCCACGCACGGCCCCACGAGGTCGTCCAAGGGGACGTTCATCTGTATATTGACAGGTGCGCTATGTAGCTGGTCGGGCATTGGTATCCACTTCGTGCGGTAGCTATAATCCTCTGGTACGTCGGGGGAACACGCCCAGAGGCCGTAATGGTCCTGCGTGATGTATCGTTCGCACTCATCTGGGGGTGGTATCCGATCCAGACGGAACATAGGCTCAGCCATGAAGGAGAACACGAGCGTGTCAAGGTCGAGCTCGTACGTCCAATCCATACACGTCCGCCCAAAGTCGGGACGTGTCTCCGTGATCATCTGCTCGCTTTGGCTGTAGTTCCCGCCGTACGGCAGCCGTTTCGCGACGCCCGACGTCCCGAGGCGATCGTCGAGCTCCTTGCGCTTGCTTTGGAGCCATGTTTCGAACGGGGCGGACTCTCGCGGGATGGTGAGCATGAGATCGTAGCCGGCGATGTCCCGGAAGCTGGGGGCGGCTTGGTAGTTACTGAAGTAAAGACCACGGTGCCGGAACAGGGTATTGAATATCGGTGCCATGGTCGTCCGTCCTCTGTGTGGACGCGAGATTTAAGGCCTTCGCGAGCGGTCTCACTGAGTAATGCGGCTTCACGAGGCTGTCGTCAGCCAGTGGAAAACTGCAGCGCGCGACCCGCTAAATTCGGTCCTAGAGAGAGAGAACGGCTGTTGGAGGCTGGCGGAACAGGCCCACCCCTATGCCCATGTACCACATAGCTCTCAGAAGCTCTGCCACGATATGGCCACGATAATCTCTAAGGACATAAACGCTCGCACGTCAAGTCACGTTCGTTGAACCTATGCCGTATAAAAACGCGTTCATCACTGGAGACAAAGACGCCTAACGCTTAGATTTAAACATTGATGTTCCTCACCTTCTCCGCCAACAAGAGACGCGACGACGCCTCACTGCTGCAAAGGAATGCGCCCATAGAAGGTGAGGAGCCTCCAGCTACACCTACAGATGTACATGTATCAACGATGAAGCGTCTCTAAGAACCACTTCAAGCCCACGTACCTAAGCCGCCAAGCTATGCAATTGCGGTCGACGTCTACGTGCACCAAGTCACAGAGAAAGACGAGGCGCAAGGCACGGAGACGTGGGTAGTGGAGGGTCGTCCTGAGAGACACCTCGCCAGAGGACATGTACTGACCCTCCGACACGAACATCACGTGCTTGGATCGGGACGTATCTCCAAAGTCACAGGCCTCACGCGTCACTGGGTCACGTTCCGACTTGCCGGGACACGCGAAGGAGCTCAAATCCGAGTCCCCATCCCCTGGGCAGGCCTGAGCGGCCTCTACTGCTATACACATACTACGGCCTATCACACCCTGTCGCAGACCCCAGAACCGCATGCGGTCTTCAGAGGCACGCCCCCCTTTGCCGATCCCGAGGAGAATCCGTACGAGTTCGAACTATCTCCTGGGAAGCTCCTCCGCCTCCGAGCGAAGTTTGTCTCCAACCGCGAAGTAGAGAGTACGAGCGAAATGCTTGGGAACGATTCCATCTGTAACACTTGACCAGCGATAGAATACCTCGTGGAGGCGTGCGAGGGGTTTGTGTCGATCTTAGAGCGTAGAGCTGGTCCGCCCTGTATTTTTTTCCCTCAGACTATCCAATCACTTCATCTGATCACCTACAACTCAACAACTGGTGCCGCTTTGACGTTCATCTCCTACTCGGCTGACGGACATGCACAGTGATACTCGAAGGGGGGGAAGACGAACAAGGAGGGCGAAGGTAGTACGGTATACGCAGTTGCAACGTCTACACACAGAGGGCCCCGCCCTCAGCGTCAGACCAACTCACCAACAAAAGTTCATCTCCTCGCCCAAAGTATGATTTGTGACCGGGGAAGCATCAACGTGCCTAGCTATCATTACACCGCCTACAACATAATGTACCAATAACACAAATGGTGTACAGAACGTCCATCGAGGAAGAGTGAGTGCCGAATTAGACGAACGTACACAAGACCAGAGAAATAGTGTAGATGCGCGAGTGATGCAGGCGAAGCAGAGACGAGGAACGGCGAGCGGGGATCATGCCTCGTTCTCCATGACCTCTTTCTCGTATTTCTTCTTCATGACGCTCACTAGAGCCGAGCAAAAGTCAGTAAGAACAGACTCACAGTGACAAAAGGAAGTAGTACCTTCGCGAGAGATCTGCCCAGATGACAGCCAACCTTCAGGGAAGGCGTTCACGATCTACACCTCGAATCAGCCACGAATCACACGCGGTGCGTTTCAACCAGTGCTCACCTTCTGGTACAGCGTCTTCCGTACACCCTGGTCGCTCACCACCTGATTGCTGTTCTCCAGAATACTAACGCAATACGTCAGCACTCACCCACAGGCAGACACCGTCCGGCGACTCACTTCTTCTCGTTCTCCAACCGCACGACCTCGTTGCTCAGACACACGAGCTGCCAGATGATCGCCTTCATCGTGTCCGTCAGCCGATACTTCTTGCCGGGCGGGTGCGCATCCCGCTTCGCCGCCCCGCTCTGCGCCGCCGTCTCGTCGTCGTGGTGCTCCATGCCGGTGTCATTGCCGCCGTCGTCAGCGAATGGCCGCGGCGCGAGGCGGGGCGTCGGCGTCGTCGTGTCGGACCCGCCCGGTACCGGTGTGCCCTCGACTGAGTGCACGACCGAGCCGGCCTCGGTGGCCGTGTCCTTCGTACGGTCGTGCCGGCGCTCCCACGCCGCGACGCTCTTCTCCCATTCCTCTTGCGCCCTCGGGAAGCCTTGGTCGGCGAGGACCTTGAGCTCCTTGAGCAGAGCTTCTTGTCGCTCGACGAGCAGCGTCGTGTGATCTCGCCACACCGTCCGCTTGATCAGTTTCTGAAGAGATGTAAGCATCACAACGAACGAGGGTGTTGCTGGGACCTACCGTCATGGTGAATTTATTGTACGGGAATAGCGTAGGCATCATGTTGAAGAAGTTGTCGTCGTACTCGCCGAGGAGGATCGCCTTGAGTGCGATCTTCGCCAATACAGGCTTGAGGCCGGGAGGGAACTTGCCCTTGACATCCCAGTTCTCTGTGACTGATCAGTCACGCAACGTTGCTCAGGTCGCAGGTAGCCACGTACCTTTGGCGATCGCGGCCTTCAGCTCTTCGAAATGTTCTTCTAGCTCTGGGTGGAACGGTTGCTGCAGCTGCTGTCAGCGCGGTCCCGGCCATTCCAGAGGTGCACTCACGATCTCGCGGGTTTTGCGTCGCTTCTTCGCACTCTCCTGAGAGCCCGTTAGAACGCTCTCGGAACGCGACTCCTCTGCTTTCCGCTTGATGCCTTGCGACGCGACGTCGTCGTTATCAGAGGGCAGTGTGATAGGCTCGTCACGGGTGCCATGCTCGATCTTCACCTTCTTTGGCGACGACGGTGGCGGCTTGGACGTACTTGGTACGAGCGGCTGTGAGAGCGAGGCGGCGAGAGACGCAGGTATGGGGCCCGATGAAAGGGCGGCCGCGACAGATGCAGATGGTGCAAGGACGACCTTCTTCGACTTTGGTTTCTTTGTTGCTGGAGCACTGGGTGAAGCATGTCAGCGGCAACCCGGTGCGGAGGGCAACGACGAAGATTGAGCTGCGACATGAAACATACGTATTCATCAGCGCAACCTGCCCGCTCGAGACATAGAATCCCTTCTGCTTCGTCTGCGCGAAGAACGTCCGCTCGTCTTGCGCGAGCTCGGAGTCGTCGATGAAAGGGTCGGTTGTGTCGTAGTACTCGGACCCACGGTTCTTCTTCTGCCCTGACGATGAGGTCGCGCACAACAGTACGAGGCAGAGGCGCACCTTTCTCCGCTTCTTCTTGAGCTTGTTGCCATCGCCCTCGTCGTCGCCCTCGCTGTTGCTCTCGTCGCTGGTGTCGTGCTTCGCGGGGGCCGGGGGAGTGGGCGACCGCTGGCCTGTGACCTTGCTGAGGGTGGCGATGTCGACCTCATAGTCTTCGGGGCCGCCGAGCTTGATGTCGAGGCGGATGGTGCAGAGGGGCTGGGGCGGCGCGGACGGGGCGGGCGACGGCGAGCGGGCCTTGGAGGACTTTGGTTTAGCGCCGGCGGGGCCTGACGCGGGTTTGGCTGCGGTGACGCTCGAGGCGGGCTTCGATTTCGCGCCCTTGCCTCCGCCGTTCTCCTCGATGCCCACGACCTCCGCGGACCTTGCTGCTGACTGACCGTTCGATGGTGCGCCGGGTGCGGGCGGCGGCGGGGAGGAGGAGGAGGCAGAGGAGGCGGGGGAGGACGCGACGACGATGGGGCTGTGATGCGAAGCGGACTCGGGCGACGACGGCCACTGGAGGTCGGCCTTGTCGAGTTTGCCCACGAGGGGCTCGGCAGGGAGCTGCCCGTCGACTTTGAGGGCCATGCTAGGGCGCAGGGGGCGCAGGGGGCGGGGGACGGGGGGGAGGAAGTTGTCCAAATTAGGCAGTTTTCGGGGGAGGAGAGAGAGGAGGGCTGCGACGAGGCTGCGACGGTGTCCCTCTCCTCCGCTTTGGCGATTTGCCAGCAGAGCCGCGCCGGAATGTGCGCGACAGTCCGAGTTCCTGCGTTCTGATTGGCTCGGCATTTCCCATATACGACGCGTCAAATCATCTTCTCATCTCCCCCTGGGCCGCGCTCTCTTCCCCCGCCTCCCACCCTCGGAACTTTCGACAACGCAAATATGTATGCCTTTCCTGATTCTCCACGTTACATCTGCCGCTTGTGTATGCTGCAGCGCCTCTAAATACTTCTCCGTGTCTTGTTACTTGCAACGCTGGTGTAATGCCGCGCCAACCGTGGCCCTCAGACTTGCCTGGCCCGTCAGGCTCGCTATGATACCGCCTGAACTCCACACACAATTTCGTCTTTCGCGAGTGCGCAACAATATCGAACACCACTTGTCCAAGGAGTTTCGAGAGTATCGCAGAGGGTTTATGAACGAGTTCGAAGTGCAGCTGTTGACTTGTGGCTGAGAGGTACGAACTGACTTCGGGGATGTCTCGGACATACCTTACATGGTCATACCTCCTAGATTCTGCATGTAGTACCGCCGGCGGGTGCCAGTACTTTGACGGTTATAATCACCTCGTGTTCCCCAAATACTCTGTTGCTATCACGAACACAGGAACTCAGAGTTTTGGGACGCTCTGTACGTGGGGCATACGTCAGCTGATTTTGACTCCGCCAAGGCCGACTTGCTGAGCCTGAGTTCTTGTCGGCGGTGGCAGTCTACCGTTACTTACGAGCATCCCGTTGCTCGAACAGAGACAAGATTCATATTTGCTCTCAACAGCCTCCAACGGTCACTACCAACGATGCAGGAAGAAAGACCATTCATTCATTCATATGAAGATGCCTCCGCGCTATCATGATGCCACTGCCGTCGCATCACTCCTCTCGCAAGAAACTAGAACTCTCGGCGAAGTATCTCTCTGGCTCCTCGTAGAACGCAAGGTGTGTGCTGCCCACAAACTGGACCCATTTCACGCAGTTGATCTTCTCGAACATAGGGACGAAGTTGACGTCTTGCGCCTCGTCCATGGGCGAGTTGACGAGCAGCGTCGGACATGGACTGTTATGCAGCTGATCGACGCACGACCACGTCCGCAGCGTCCCGACGATATGTATGTCAGATGGTCCGATCCTGAAAGCGAGCTGAATCAGTACGTCGATCATGTCGTACAACAGGTGGGAGACGGCTCACATCGTGCTGTATACAGTCGGATCCTTGTCCATCGCCTCAAACGACTGGAGCAGCTCCTTGGGCCACGGGTCCATGTTACAGACATGTTTCTTGTAAAATACCATGACGGCATCCTGGTACTCCTGGCTGTCCGTCGTCCCGTGGAGCTCATGCTCCTTCAACGTCGCCTGGACCTGGACCGGCAGCTGCACGCGCAGCGCATCCGTCCCTCTCGCCCACAGCTCCATCGACGGCGAGCCATCCGCAAGTACGAGGTGCCTCATCCCCTCCGGGTGGCGACTCGACGCATACTGCACGGCGAGCATGCAGCCCCACGAGTGCCCGAGGAGGTCAAAATCGTCGTGGACGCCGAGGCGCGCCAGGAGGTTGTCCAGCTCGTCCATGAACAGCTCCATGTTCCAGAACCCCGGATGCGCCGGCCTCCCCGTAGGGTGCGCCGACGCGCCGATGCCGATTTGGTCGTAGAAGACGACGGGGATGCCGTGCGATTGCGACGTGCGGGAGCAGGTAGTGGTGCGAGATCCCTGGCCCGCCGTGGAGCGTGATGAGTGGCCGGACGCCTGGCGTGAGGTCGCCGACTATCTTGTACCAGGTGTGGAACGTCTCTGAACCGTAGGTGAAGGGGATGGTACCCATGTGCTCTGTCATCGTCGGTGAACCTGAGGAGAAGGGCCGAGCAAGTGAAGATAAGGGTGCAAATTGTGTTGTCTGAGAAATCGTGAGCGTTGCTATAGTCGATGTCTATGGTTCCAGTTCTGATCTTCCTGACGATGCCCACAGGTTGAAACTGGGAGCTGCGGATCACGCTCCCAGCTGTGTTTTGCAGTGACGTGCGCTCTTGGACTGGGTTCCATCATGTATATGCGCATGTGCACCACCCATCAGGAGACGCACACAAATGCATAGCGTCGATACCACGTCGTTGGCTCAGCACACACCCTTCAGGCGAGAAGTTCGAGCTGGCTCGAGACGGAGCCATGCACTCCGATCCCAACAATCAGCTCCGCTGTCTGCGGTGACCATTTCTCATCAACAAAGACAGTTGCATAGAAATTGTAGTAAGTTCGCACTTATAACCACCCCGCCCATGCCACAATCTCTTTCATGGAGTTCGTGCGCTCAGGCTCGTGCCAATCCTGAGTCACGAAATCATGGGTCGCGTCCATGACCTCGACATACGTGACGTTCTCCTCCCCGATATCCGCCACTAACCGGTCGCGAAACGTACGGTACGCGTCCAAGAGGATCTCAGCGTCTCCAACGGTGACATACGTCTTTGGCAGGCCCTTGAACAGCCCTTGTGTTTCCCGGAGGCGCAGCGATCCGGGGGAGATCCACGGGCTAGTGGCCGCGGCCTCATCGGGCATGTTCCCCAGCAGGCTCCGTTTCACGTAGCCCCAGAAGAACGGCGTGCAGTAATCGGAGGAGAGGTTCCTGCCGAACGACGCGTGAGGCCCGTCGTGCGTGATCTCCCATTCCACCGTGGGACTGAGGAGGACGAGTCGCCCGGGCATCGGGAGGCCCGCAGGGCGGTAGAGCGCGATATAGCGTGTCAGTGCAAGCGCGAGGTGCCCGCCCGCGGAGTCACCGCTGATGGAGACGTTTTCTGCGCGGAAACCGGCGACGTGTAGGAGGTGGTAGTATCCTGCGAGCGCGTCGAAGAGCGCTGCTGGGAAGGCGTTAGTCGCGGGGAAGGGAGCTGACGTCGAAAGGCGGTAGCCGCAGGAGAAGATGCGCCGCATGCTGGTACACTGGGAGAGCAGGTCGTGATAGAAGTTACCGCAGCCGTCGCCCTCGGGGTACGACGAGGTAGCGATGTATCCTCCGCCTGTGGCAATCGTCAGTATCTTCAACTTGAATAGTGATAGGAAGCGAGGCGCTGACCGTGGAGATGCATGAGGACTTTCTCGTCGGGGCCCGCTTTCTCGTCTGGCTTCCCGGCGGCGCCCTTCAGCTTGATCCAATATCCGCAAAATGGCTCCGGCCTGACTCTGTTCAAATCTCCAAGCCCCTTGACCTCGCCAAGTATCAGATTTTCTGGGATGGGCTCGTAGCGAGTGTACGCAATGTGCTCCGTAGGTGGGTTGGTCACGAAACGCTTCGGGTCCTCTGCGCGCAGTGGACGAATGCGTATCATGAGCAGCGTCGCGATGAGGTTCCGCATTACGTCTGTCATGATCTCCCGTTTCAGCGTCCATGACGGGCGGGTGCGCAGCGATGGGATGGATGCTCGTAGAAAACAGTAGGGCAGCCGTAAGAAAATACCGGTTACGACGACGTATGTGAAGTATACAGCCCTCAGAGGCTGGTTGCGGAATCCGAACATCCCTGGTCGCGATATGCTGGACAGAGAATGTGTCTTCGTGAGGAAGGGAAATAATAGAGACTGTTGCGGGCGACTGGGGCTAGGATTTCTTGTTCGCAACAAAGCCGATGCTTTGTACTCTTGCGTACCACCAAGATAGGCGTGGACTCAATGTCATCGGACAACTCGGGTAGCAAGATGACTGGAATGGGTGACCGGTAGGTGTGTAAAGCGCGGCCCTGTGGGGCCGCGTCGCGCGAGGCCCTCAGGAGGGCGCATCACCGCGTATTGTGATTGATGATTTCTGTCGTGGAACCGTAAACGGGTCGTCCAAAGTATGGGCAGACGTATCAATACAAAGCCTCTGAGACAAGGTTCACGCTCACTTTGTCCTTGAGACGGACTCACGACATAATATGGGATGCGACTGTCCGAACTGTATGAGTTGCGAAGGCTATACAGACGGCGAATCACTTTAGGCCCATCCTCGCAATGGTGAATCTGCACCCGAGTCACTGGCAAATTGTCTAGGGATTGTTTTTCAATATAAATGAAATACACCGTCACCGTGTAGCTCGAGGCGCTGAATTGAGCCACATCTCGATGGGCATCTGTGAGGGCACACCGCGTACGCACTGCTGATGAGCCATTCAATTTCAGTTGTATGAGACTGTAACAGAGCTATGTCGAAATAACTGCAGGGAGTTCGAAAGTATTACCGTGATGGTCTAATGGTCTAAGGCGAGCGTAGCGGCGGTGAGTACCAATATCTGGCGAGCATCGTCACTGGTAATGAGCATGTCAGATCAGGATATGTATGAGTACATTCTATACACCTTGATTGTTGCGAGCGGAGAAAGTATCCATTGTCTTAATAGGAAAGATGAGTGTGGTACGTCTTCTTTGCAAGTTGTCGCCTAGAGACAAGTCAATTCAAAGACGAGGAGGAGGAGGAGGAACGAGGAGAGGAAGCCGCAGGTCAACGAGCGCCCGCCCTGTCACAGCACGTGATCAACGCGACTCTGCTTGGGCGTCGAAGTCTGAACGCTCTGAACTCGCAGTTGACCACGGACCACGACCACTCGCGCAACGATTGCATGGCCTCGTTCATTCCCGTCCTCTCTCCAAGTGACATTCAACGCGCCGCAGAAGTGGGTGCTATGCCTTCGAATAATGCACTTGGCTCATACTGCTGCAGCTCATCCAACAAGCCTACGCGCCACAAACCCATCTATCATCCGAGGACCAGAGACGAACTCAGCAGGAGCTCTTCGAGATACAGAAGCGACCGGAGGCATGGGGTCTGGTGCTTCCCTTTCTAGATCATAGTGATCCAAACGTGCAGTTCTTTGGGGCGCACACGGCGCAGGTGAAGATCGCGAGAGACTGGTGAGTGCGACGAGTCGCTTGGACAACTTTCAGTATTCGTCGCGCTGACCATGAGTCTAGGGCAGCATTCCCGGAAGAACATGTCCTAGAACTGCGTGATATGGTCCTAGACGTCACGGGTCGCTCCATGGGTAGCGGCAAGAATAAGGTCATTCTGCGCAAGCTCTTCGTCGCAGTGCGTCTCGTCAGCTTCATTGATTGTCGACCGTATCTCACTCACACATGTACAGGTGACGTCTCTAGCTCTGAAAATCGCGCCTGGAAATCCATCGCGGTGGCCAGACTGGCTTATGTCCTGCATCAACACCATGTCTGGTTTGGGTGCTACGAACGAGCAGATCATGGACTTCCTTGCCATCGTTTCCGAGGAAGTAGAGAGTGCAGACCTCCTGCCTGCAAGTAAGTAAGTGCACCAGTCCACCTAGCTAGTCAACTCGCTCATGAGTTGCAGGATCCAGGTGCAGAGTAGCCTCGGAAGCGTCGTGCCGATCGTCGTACAAGCGATCACGTCGTGTATCACGGTCCCACAAGCTCTCAGTGCACCACAACAGCTGTCGTCCGCGTTGAAATGTCTCCAAGCGTGGTTCCCAGTTTTACCGGCAAAGTGCGTGCAATCGGTCGTTAGTCGCCGCGCGCTTGCTTATACTCGTACTCAGCGATCTCACACCGCTCATACCGCTACTTATCTCACTCCTGAACCCAACGTCGACGACACCTATGGAATTCGATGAAACGGCGTTCGTGGGCGCGTCCGAGACTTTGCAAGAACTTATGACCAAGTCTGCGCTTGCAGATGGTTCGGCGAATCGGACTCTTACGGAGCCGCTCCTCATTTGGTGCCACGCTTATGGTGGGCGCATAGTCGAGGAAACTCTGAGTTGTGCGTTCTTTGACTAGGTTCTTCGTGACTCGACTCATTCTATGTTCAATCTTAGCTGGCCTTGTTGATCCCGTCTCGCACTCGTTCTGCAAACTACTCGTGGCTCTGGGTGATCATTCGACTTTATATCTCGCAGCAAATATAGCGTCTGCGCTACCCCCCAAACCCTTCCCTGAACCCCCGCCGCCGACCACCTTCCCGGCTCCTTCTCTGCCTAACAAGTCCCAGCTCGTGCAGGCCTTCCTCCGTCTGCTACTCGCATATGCTGCGCTTCCAGGTTTTTATGGCGTAGACGAAGAGGAGAGCGAGCTTAGTCTAGGCTTCTGGTACCTCTTTCAGGAAGCGCTATGGAGTGCAGAATATGAGCAAGAGTTTGAGTTCGGAGACGGGGACGTGGATGCCGCGCCGGGCACGGACAAGACGGAACAAGCGCAGATGCGCGTGGCAAGGGTGGTTTACTCTGAGCTCGTGCAAATTTTGAGGGGAAAGGTGGTTTGGCCTGGCGCTGCTACATTGCGGACATGGAACAGAGGTGCGTGAACAAGTGATCACAGCGTGTTGCGGATATTCAAATGTACGTGCAGATCAGCGTGACAAGTTTCAAGCGTACGTCAAACGAGGACCTCTCAAGCTCGTTCCGAAACTCAGATGTACCATTCCACAGTTATCGAAGAGACGTAGGAGACATCCTGATCAACGCGTGAGTTTAAGTCACCTTTGTTATGCGAGTTAGCTCATCTCCTATTACAGATACTATATTCTTCGAGACGGACTCCTCGCCTACTATGTGAGCGACTTACTGCAGCGGCTGTCATCAAGGTCGCCGAATGACAGCTGGGAGGTGAGCAAGCCCAATTGCACAGTCTATGTCATAACTCATCCGCGTTCTGCAGGATATCGAAGGCACATTGCATTGCGTCTTGGCTGTCCAAGAAGCCGTACCGGTCGAAGATAATCTACACCTTGCTCGGATTTTCGGGCCTGAGATAATGGGTCGTCTTCCTGTCACAGGGAGTGACAGGGTACGGCGCACGGCTTTGCTGCTCATAGGTGTGTCCTTATTGCGGATCAGTTCCACGGGTCCTGAAAAGCGTTGGTCAAGGCTCGTATGCGTCTTGGTTCACCACTCAGTCGAAAGACGCATCCCCTTCGACGTCATTGCTCATGAACGCGATTTCCTACATCGCCGCCGCTCTTCCGGACCATGTACTGTGTCTACCAGCTGCGAATGCTCTCCGTGACCTATGCGACGCAAATCGGACGGCACTCGCACCTCACATAGCTGCGTTTGGCGAGTTGCACGCGAGCCTCACTGGAATACCCGTACGTTGACTGGTTCGATCGTAGTCAGCTTGCATCTTGACGAGCATGTCGCACAGGACACAGAGAAGGCGAAGGTGCTTCAGTCTATCGCCAGTGTCATTCAAGCACTGCCCCCTGCTGAAGCAATCCCGCCAATCGAGGTAATGCTTGAACTGTCTGTGTAACATCTTGTTCGCTAATCAACTGTTTAGGCGATCCTTAGTCCTGTAGTCGCGAAGCTGCACGAGGCATTGCAGTCATCTGCGCAGGTATGTGCACCGTAGGGTAGTATATCGGGCCAAGAGCACTTACGTGCTCGGTTCAGCTACCTGAGGAAGCCCGGGCGATCACGATCCAGCAACTGGTGACGATCACCGGAGTCGCCAAAGGCCTGACGCGCATGGTCGACTCCTTGCTTGTCGTAGACGAGACTCCGAGTGCTCAGGAAGAAGCCAAGCAGATGGTGCAAGCAAGAGATGATCCACGCACAACTCAGTTGCGGGAAGGACTGCTTTTCGCTATTAGGCGAATAGTAGAGCTTTGGACAGAGGATGCCAGTGTATCGGATGTGAGCCGATACGCTGTGACATTTACTAGTATCTTCTGACCGGATTTTGCAGGCTTTAAACGAGTTGATCAAGGCGATCACATCATTGCCAACCGATGTCACCCTCATCTCCCTTCCCCCAGGACCTCTGCTGGAAGCGGTCTGCATGGCCGCTCAAAAGCAGCTTACCGCGGTGTGGCTGTCGTTGACGACCATGCTGATCAACCAGCTCGACCCGCCGTCCCTACTTCCTACCACTTTCAAGACCATTCCCACCCACGAAGCTGAACAAATCGCCCTCAGTGTACTCGGAGTACTGCTTCAAACTAGTTTGAGTGCCCTCAGTCAGCCAGACGCATTGGAGGCGGTAGGTCGCACAACAGCGTTTCACTGAAAGCGGCTGTCTCATGCGTGAGTTTGTAGAATCCAGACATCGTACAAGCATTCTTCGGATGCATTGATACTGTTCGTTATGCATCTCACTCTTTGCTCATTATATGCTCATGCTTCGGCACCTAGATGGCTCAGCACTTCGTGATTGCATTTTATCGACTCCCTCCAGATATCTTCAACGCACTAATGCAATGCTCGATCACGTCACTGGGACTACAAGAGCGATATTCGCTAGTTGGTGCCTGCACTTTCTGTGTAAGTCTCATCGCGATATACTGGATGTCTCTCTGCAACTGGCACTTCTACAGAGAACTCTTATCAATCGCACGTGCGCAGTAGACGAGCTCAGTGACGCCAAAATCATGCTTGCACGAACACATGGACCCTCAATCATGAGAGCCGTACTCAGCGGCTTTGCAGGCGTAGCTCCTCGATCCACGACTCCTAACCTCGTCGAGCTACTGTCGACATTGACGCAGCGATTCCCTGAGGACAGTCGCCAGTGGATGACAGAAGTTCTCTTTGCCGTAAGTCGCAACGTCTCCGACGCTCCTTGTGTCTGATCACGTTCCTTGCGATGTCAGGACGACTTCGTGCAATGCAAAGCAAATGACGCAGCCAAGGAACAGCTCATCAAGGCAGTCTTTGGGTAGGTTGTTTCGCAATGCCTTACGCTGGTCCCAGCTCTGATTGAAATCAGGTCACGTTCTATGAGACGCGTGAGAGACGCAGCTCAGCAATTCATACTCATAGCAAGAGGCTTAGAGGGTACTGGCTTTGGCTACACGTCGGTCACTATGTGAAGCGCAATGCCAATCGGACATTTCGACAAATCGCAGTTCAAGAGAATGTTGTATATGTTAGTAATGGAACCAGTATCATCTGCGCTGCGATACGCGCCAATGCAGTATTCAATCCTCGATATGTGTGGCTCTTCACCCATTCGCGCTCTCATTACTTCTGCTAACGTCACAAGCGCGGCTGACAATGGGCCGCAGATGCATCGAGAACTACATTCAGAGTCCACGAATCGATTCCATGAACAACGCCCAGTCATAGATCAAATATTCGGTTGTGAACTGTCTAACTGGTCAGCCACCATTGTTTTCACCACCCTCTTCGTACTCCCCTTTTCGTATTTTAACGACACAGAGAGCTCCTTCCCCTGCGCCTGGTGCGCTCTGGCTTGACAGACATGCCTGTACGCGCCCCTGCTACGCGTCACCGACGCCCTGCTACCCTTCGACGCGACGTCTATGTTCGGCCACGTCGCTCCTCGCCCGTTGCCGCGGATGTTCTAGCTGGCAACAACCTAGTTTTTGGGCCAGGAGGCGAAGCGGCAATTATCCCAGATCAAGGAATCGGAACTACTCCGGGCTCTGGGCAAGCCACTGAGCCAGCCGATACTGCGACAGAAGCAGGACTTCCGTTCAGCACAGGAGCGGTCGCGGTCATGGAACCAGGTACAGGACAGGTGGGTTTTCGGTCGACACTCCACCGTCCTCTTTCTCATACACTATATCCCAAGCCGTCCGCGAGCTTCGCTGATGTATCCTTGAGCATTGGTCCTGTCTCTACTTCACCCGACGTGGTAAATACGATGTCTGCGACAGCGTCCTCCGAAGCAATCATGACTGTGTCTTCCGAAACCATACCTTCCACCACCAGCACTCAGGTCTCGAGCTCGCTCAGCTCAATGACGGCGACTAGCTTCACTGTGACAACCGGTTCTCAGACGCCCTCATCCTCCGCTTCAGTATCGACGCGGATGTCGTCCAATCCGTCTGGCGCGCTTTATGCCGACAAGCCAGGCTTCAAAGTCGGTGTTTCCTTTGGGGCCCTAGCGACTATCGGCTTGTTCGTGGCATTCGTGCTCTGGCGGCTCCGCGCGCGCCAACGAACGCGTACCCAAGAACTGGAGAAAATGATCGTCTGGCCGTGGGACAAGGAGACATCAAGCGGCATGCCCAGCAGTCCTGCAGGTCTAGAGACAGGGTTCGCGGCAACTTCGACGAACGGCGACGGGGCTCATGCTTGGAGTGCTGGTTGTCTTGATCGTCTGGATGCAATCAGCCCGACCGATGGGCGCCTGCCAACCCTTCCTCCTGCTGTGCACTCTCTGAACGAGACTCCATACCAAACGGTGCAGCTGCATCATACAAACAACAGTGTACCCGACCTCGCACCAAACATGGGAGCGCTCCAAGTCACGAACCTCGTTCCCGGTGATATCACCTCTGGGTCTGAGAGCAGCCGCGCAAGTTCCGTATTGAGTATGGCCTTCATGGGTCATACCCCAATCCCCGAGTACGGAACTCCCTACGAGCCCATGGCTGGAGAGCGACCTCGCTTCTTGGGTGTTCAAGACTATGCGTTACCTGTTCCATGGGCCCCTCTTCACACCCAGCGGAAAGCGGCAGACATCTTCCGCTTCAAGTCTACAAGTAACATCAGCGAGAAGAGCGTGGGTCCTTTGCCGTATCCGGGGGATGTTCACCATGTGGGCTCTGCGCCAGGCGGTTGGGCAACGTCGTTCAAGACGAACATAGTCAATGCGTTCAACGCGGTCGTCGGAGGACCTGTACAGAATACTTCTGCGTCGGACAACTTGACCACATCGCCGCAACGCAAGAAGCGCGGATGGAATGACGGTAGTGGCATCGCACCCTCGATCCGTTCTGTCCACTCGGACGTCAAGGAATGGCCTTTAGATGAAGCTGATGGCATCGATTATCTGGATGCTCACGCCGGTGAACTGGCTAGTGCAAACTCGTGGTCGTCAATCCCGCTCGAGGATGCTCCACAGAAGGATGTTGCCCAAGATACGATGGATGGTAATGTCGGCGCGGCGCGTGACGGAGACGATAAACAACTGGACATCATAGAGGAATACTACTCGGAACAGCTCCAGGAGAGCGATCCACCCCAGGTTGATGCGCATCCTCCGCGTCTTCCAGACATTCCTCAGATATCACGCACACCCTCACTGTCATCACTAGCGATCGTTTGCGAAGGGCGTTCACAGAGGAAGTCCACGAAGTTCAGGAAAGGCGGTACACGCAAGAAGACTCGCGGGTCGCGCAGGCCGACGTTGGTAGCTCGAGCGTCCTCCTCGTCATGCTCTGTAGGGTCGGACATATCTCGGCAGTCAAGTGTTCGCTCCGATAACCTCACCGACGCTGAAGTGTTTGCGAAGAAGATGCTCAGGGAGAGGCGGAGGCGGGTGATGGAGATGGGGTCTACGAGACATTGCACCTGAACATCTGATTTCGATGGACGATTGAGTGTATGTTGCCTCAAGCAAGGCAACAGAGCGAAATGCAAACCGTCTTCATCGGGGTTGTTTCGTGGGGAGAGATTGAAATATGTTCTTGTCACTGGTCCTAGCTGAGGGAAACACGATCGTAGTACAACATGCGCAGTCGTATCTACAACGCCAAGACATCATCCTGCTCACTCTATTCAAACACTATCGTACGGCCGGTTGCTCTGTACCGGTTTGGTGACGACAATCTGCGTCTTGGAGAGGTCGCCCGAGGAACCCAAAGTATCTTGAGCAGCGGTCGACGATGTGGTCGCAGTATTGAAGCGCATACTTGACATGTTCCAGAGATGAAGTCCACGAGGTGCTGTACGACTTCCATTTTGATTTCCGAGAACACCGCGCCGATTTGTAATATCACTCGCAGGGATAGGCTTCCACATTCGCGTCGTAAGGGAAAGCGTCTCGCGCGGACCACATAATCCCATTAGCCATGGATCAGCTGTATCTGAAATGGAAGCACGACTTTTTGCTATCAGCGTCAACGGTCCATTGGTCTACTCACGCTCACACAGTATACGAGACCATATGAGCAGAGCGTCCCGCATGCTACGAGTGTGTGACCGTCCTGTCTCGACATGTACGTATTGATGCACGCCTTACTCTCCCTGGCCATCCTACTGCATATTGCGCGCACTGAGCCATATTTCTTCATCCGCGAAGAAGTTACAATGCCTGCCAATGAATAAACACCAGATAGTAGTTTGTCACGGCGTTGATTATGTACGTGCGATGTGGTGCTTGATATCGAGCCTTGTACTTCTCGGTGCCGGCAACGAGTCCCGTCGCAATGACGGTATCCAACTCGTTGCGGTGCCAGTTGATCGGGACCTCCGCAGACGAGGAATATGCAAGGTTATTGTCCTCTGGCGGTCACCTGGTGTATATCGGCAGTCAGTTTGAGACACCCGAGTACGGCGCGCAGGGAAACTTCATTGCTTCAAGCCATAAGGCGTACACTGTCACGCTGGTTCATCAGCTCAAATGCCTTGACATCATCCGACGGGACCTCACCGACGATAGCCTCGAGGCTCCTACATAACTCGCCGCTCTCTGCATGAATCATCTCCACCAGACGATACTTGCAGTGCCACCGCGAAGCTGGAGTCCTTCCCCACCCCATCCGGACTCAGTAACTTCATAACGTGTGATACAATCTGCAGGGATTGGGAGACGGTGTATGACGAGGCGGAACGGAATCAGAGGGCAAATATTCGTGGCATGGACGAACAGCACTGGGGTATGATGATGATGATGAAGTCTGCATTTATAATCCGCAACAAGCAAACTCTAATGGTGCTAAAACAGCACTGGGGTACGCAGCCGCCAACAACTCGAAATGTCACGTGGTGTGGAGGTTCGATTTGGAGCGCCCAAGGAGCGTCTTGGCCAGGGGCCCTTCAATTCGCTCAGGTTTGTAGTCTCCGTTGCCGACCATAACTTGCAAGAACGACAAGCGCTTCTGTAATCAGGGCTGGTCTGAACATATTCAGCCTAGTACGGCTGCCATGTCGACTACATGCGGCCTTGAGCGCGGGCTGCCGCCAGTGAGTACTCGAGTGGACAGTGATTTCTAAAGGTCTGCCAATTATCCGGAGTCTGTCGCCTTGCATTGGTACGAATCTCCGAGCCCGACTCAGCCCGGAGCAACGAAGATACACTGTATTTGCCACCTACTAGCCATGTCGTGCTGATGCAGCTGTGATACCGAGAGAAGCTGCGTGCATGATAGGGGGGGTCATATCGGAAGTCGCCGCATCTTTCCGTGTTTGTGTAACAGATGTATATGTAGTATCTCCGTCTCGGAGCCTGGTGGGCCTCACAGTCTTCTAGTATGAGCGGACGTCGCTAGGTGTGATGCATTCTTCTCCGAGTGTGCAATGATTGGTTCTGACTTCATAGGCAGCATACGCGATCCGTGCCATTTCATCCAAGTTTGGCTATAGAAGAGACTCGGGCCCCGATCTGCCATCGCTGCGTGGCTTTCTCACAATTTGAACAGGGAAGATCTCCCGGTGCTCCGCCTGCCGCCGACGGTTATATACAACTCGTTTTGGCACAGCTAGTCGAGTCGTACCTAGCACCTTGTGGCGCGTCAACCCAGCTCAGTAAGTCGTTCCAGATTCAACCCGGCGAGCGGTATGTAACATTGAAAGTTTCTAGATACATACCAGCACTGCATTGGAGCCGAGCCATGTCCGAGACTACCGGTACCGTCGACTTCGTTGTTGGGTCGGAAACCTTCCAGACCTGGTACAAGGTTATAGGCAACCTAAAGTCCGGGACACCTCCGCTCGTGGTACTTCACGGCGGTCCAGGGCTTCTGCATATCTACATGCGCTGCCACGCGAGGCTCTGGGAGACGAAGGGCATCCCTATCGTTCTCTACGATCAGCTTGGATGTGGCCAGTCCACGCACCTTCCCGGCAAGCCGAAGAGTTTCTGGACATTTGAACTGTTCATCGCCGAGCTCCAGAATCTCGTTCAAAAGCTCGGTATCGAGGAATACGACATGCTCGGTCATTCGTGGGGAGGGGTGCTGGCGATGAAGTACGTTTTAACACAGCAATCAAAGGGCTTGAGACGCATCGTCCTGTCCAACTCACTCGCATCTATGCGTCTTTGGGAGGCTGGATGTCGCGAATTGATCGCGAAGCTGCCGAAGGACGTGCGGGATACCATCGAACGGTGCGAACGAGAGGGGAAGACGGACTCTCAGGAGTATAAGGACGCCGAACTGTACTTCCTCAAGCGGCATGGGAACATCATGGATCCGCTGCCCGAAGATTTGTTGCTCAGTCTCGAGGAGCAAGGGAAGGATTTGACGGTATACTTGGCAGTGTACGTGGCACAGTAAGGCCCAACAGCATCGCTAACGGTTCCGTTGTAGGCACGGACCATCCGAGTTTTACTGCACGGGCCATCTGAAAGACTTCGACGTGATCGACAGCCTTCACGAGATAATACAGCCCACCTTGGTCATCAACGGCGCGGCGGACCAGGCAACGGACTTGTGCGTTGCGCCGCTGTTCTGGGGAATACCCAAAGCCAAATGGGTGCAATTTGCTGTGGCGACCCACCAGCCGTTCTTCGAGGAAGCAGACAGGTACTTCGAGGTCGTAGGGGATTTCTTGACCATGTGAAGGAGGGACGTACCACATGTTCTGAGGATCGTGCGCGAATAAAGACAGAAGGGCGATTCTTATGCAGTGCGGATGCCAGTTCTCGATGCGAGTCATTGGTTGGATTATGTCTAAGTTCTTACCGAACCAGCCCTTCCCCTGCTTCTTCAGCGTTGATCCCTACACGAATCATGAGCCACCCACGTCGTCGTGGAAAGGGCTATACTCCTCGCGAAGTGACCAAACTCGGATGATACCGCATGATGTTCAAGTTCAGGTTAGTAAGTACGGCACCCGATACGTGCGCGTGAAGTCTAGCTCGATATCCAGTGACATGTGCGCTTCGCTTTGTGACAATGATACGATGTAGTGCTCCAGATATGACGGGAGTCTCGCGGCGCAACTTCTTGGCTGCGTGTCTGGTCTTGATCTCAGGCTCTGTGTAGACATGCCTGAACACGATGTCATATTGGACGCTTCTTCCCAGTGACTGTGGAGGTACGAGATCCATTGGCACCGCCTTAGGCCGCCGCCTGTGGAAGTCCATTCTCAGACTCATCAGAACGGTGCCGGTTGATTCTGAGTGAGAAGAGGAAGGGATGGTGATACCGAGATGCTTCGAAATGGATCACCCTCAGGCTCAAGATCAAGCTGCAACAGCGGCAATTGTGGTGTTTGCGCGAAGACATCAAGGGCGAAGAACAGTCTAATGTAGTACGTTACTAAGGCGCGTACTCCGGACTCGGATTTCTGACCACTGGTGAAGTGGACGCTGTTGAGCAGAACGCCTCGTTTATTCGGCGCGCGATGGCTGTACGGTGTCTTCGTAATAGAATTACCAACACACCTTTTACAGAGCGCGCAGGTCGGTAGCTTAGTCCGATCCTGTGCGAATAAGTTATGGCGACCGAATATTACGGCGACACCTCCTCAAACGAGTCTTGGTTGAGAATTCATCTACTAGACATCCTACCCGCGCGATCCCCACGACTGAATTCCTCATCTGCCGCCCTGCCTGCGTACTGCTGGACAGTGCCAATTCGTGAAACGAGTACTCCGAGTCGGCCCAGACGAACCTTGTTGATACGGTACACAGTGAGACCTATATTGTCATTACATGGAGATAAACACCCCTGTAGTCACCGCCAGACGAGGAGAAATTACATGTTAGATTCTGAACGTGGTCAACGGGATGTTCTCCACGACTGGAGCGCCCTTAGTGCTGGTTCCATCGACATATGTCGCCGCGTCGTCCGTGAATCCTGAAATGTACGACACCCCACCACCTCCGTTGAGGTGTCGACGGGCGTTCAGGCTGCCGCGGCAAAGAATTTGAAGGGCCATTATTCAGCATATGTAAAACCGGGGATGAGCGTGTGACTCACACGGCCATCATTGAGTTGATATACACTGTAAGATGTGCTAATGAATTGGTGCAACGAAGTAGACAGGACACGACTTACATTTTACCTCAATACAGTTGAATGGGAACCATAGAAGCGAGGCAGGCTTGACGCTGTACAGGAACTATCGCAACACCTCGAATTAGGTCACTTGCGGAGCGTTCAAAGTCAGAAGACGAACCACTCCCAAGTTTACGATTTGCATCGCGCTGGAAGGCCGCCATGCCACGCGTGAGGTATCTGGACCCGAGTGCAGCAGTAACAACTCACGTCAAGAGGATCCCGCGATTGACTATATAGCTTGCAAGTACACGGATCATATTGTCGGTGCTTGCGATGGCCACGGTTAGTTGTTGTAAGTAAGGGGCATTATAGGGCAAGACGGTTCACCGTGACCATTCGAACCCCGAGAGTCTGCCGCGCAGTGTCCAGCAAAGAGAGACACATATGCATAGGTCCGCCAGTGCGGCAGCACAATAATTGCCTGCGCTCGCAACCTGTATGAATGCCAAGAGTCTATGCATGCGCATGAACCACAGTTGTGTAGAAGGCGCACCTCGTCCGCACGAAGCGCCTTTTGGATTATCCAATCCTGCGTCCTGAGATCATATTAGCGTGCTGTCATACACATTCACGATGTGCAGCCCTACATACGCAATTTTGTACTCTCCGACTGCCGGCACAAAAATTGATCAGCCACTGCTATGCTCCGTTCGACGTCATGCCAGGCTCTCACCGAAGCCAAATACTAGCATCGTTCCCGCGCATGATCAGCGTACATTCGATGACATACTGCTTGGTACGAGACCCACCGAGAGCCATCAGGGACAGGCAGATCTGAAAACAGACACATCTCTCGGATACGTATATAATACTCGGACGCACAGACGTGGGGACTTACCGGGGGCATCGTGATCGCCAATCGTGCTTTGTAGGTTGTTCCGAACCGCGTGAGCACTAAAAACGGTCAGTTAGAGTATGAACGACAATCTGCCGGCGTGCATAGCTTACATGTCCAGAGTCCATGGATATAGAACCTGAAGATGGCAGTAAGTCCATGCGTTCATATGTTCGGCAAGAGACTTTGGCACATTTGAACAGCACATATGACAAAGCGCTATCCGGACGTCAGTCATCTGACATCGTCCGGTTGTGATCACGCACCACCAGAACATTTTCAGCCTACATTGCGATGGTATAGATGAACAATGGGTAGACATGAAACGCGACAAATACTACACTCACGGCGTACACTCTATGTGAAGTCCCACGTCAGTTATAATACCAGCAATGCGATCAGGTACATACTTTGGCTCGATCAGAACACTTGGAGGGTTGGCATGTCCCTCGATGACAAAGGCCCATGAAGTCTTCCCATAGCCGGTGTTCTCGTTCAATTACCAAACGACACCCAAGATATATCACGGACACATACCGCAGCATCCACCGCAGTGATGATTGTGTCAAATATCCTTGTCGATCTCGTCAACGCCGTGCGACCGAGTATGAAGCTCCTCTACCAACATTATTCCATAAACCTCAAATTGTGGTGAACGTCAGGGCTCAGAGTGCGGAAACAACAATGAAACTTACGAATGCCTTCACGAGTGTCTTGTCGCTGTTGTAGTAAGCCGACGAGTAGTACACAACTTGAGCGCACGTCAAGCCATAGAACCTGCAACAGAGTCACTGTGCCGGACGTTTCGAGATTCTTCACCGAAGCAACATACAGTGCAGAGAACAGTACACCGATGAACATGCTACCCACTGTGAGGTTGAGATCAAGATTGCGAATAGGTTGGATACTAGTAGCTATCGGCATTCTCCATGAGCCCGAGGTGGTCGAATACTTGAACTTCGGGACGCTGAACAGCGAGGGATAGCACAACGTCGCAGTACCAATTCGAAGTATTTAACAAGATGGCTGCGTACAGAAGTATGACGTGGAGAATTTGTAGTAGATTGAGGATTACTGACGACGGAGAAGCCTGAGAAGAAGAGGTTTCTATCTAGCCGTAGTGCACATGTGTTGACCACACGCGACACACAGGGATCCGGGGCATCCTGGTTCATCGCGGCTCGGACGACTCGGAGATTCGTAAGCGTTATGACATCTGCCTCCAGTTACGAGCCATCAGAGAAGCGTAGTCCATTCGCAACAAAGCGTTGGATCGCTGCGATGCCCCAGTGCTAAGTATCTGGTGAATGTCAGCGACTGCGTCGACGGCGTATAAGTAAAAGATAGGTTTATTACCGAGGAGGTAATTGTATTGCAAAGCTCAGACCTTTCCGGGGCTCAGGTTTTCGAAGATCAGTTGCCGGCTTGTTCTGATCGAGGGCGAATGTCACAGACGAACGGTTCTGGATGACTACAGGCAACTCAAGGGTCAGAATCACAGGATGAGAACACACGAGCTCACGTACAGGACGATACCGTTGTGAAACTTCGGCGATGGTGTGATTTCCTCCCCACGTGCGTCCCGCGCTTTACGGATGCTCATCGTCGAAATGATACAAGCTGCAACGATCTAGACACTGTTGTCGGCGAAGTATCGTCCTGGACAAACCCTAGAAGTTTGTGGTCACTTTTCAGTCAATTATGAACCGGCGTTGATGCGATTTTACCTTCGTCCGAAGCCGAATACTATCTTCCGCGGGTCGCCCAGGTTCGGATCATCGCCACGGTCGGTGTCTATGTTTGCAAACCGCTCAGGCTTGAACATCTCTGGCTCCGGGTATACTTCTGGGTCATGGAACATTGCCCTAGAGTGACATTCAGCCTGACGCGGAGCGCGATATAGACGTAGAGCGCTACCATACCATATGTTGGATAGTCATGGAGCCCTTCGGTATGTAGTAGCCACGGTACACATCATCGTCCGATGCTAGATGCGGGACCCCTGGACTCGGTTAGCGAAGGTGCCTGAGTAGATTTTGAGCGATATGGTTTACATACGTACCTATAGGAACTGCGGGATACCACCTAGGAACACGTCAGACGGCTGCATGTATGACTACTATGGCTCTCCGTCATACCTGTACACCTCTGTGATGATGTTCTCGAGATACGGCAGCGATGTCCTATCGTTGAACTCCGGGAGCCTGGTCTCTCCGACAACTTGAATGACTTCCTCTTGAGCTTTCTGAAAGATGTCAGGAGGTTGCACCATCGCAAGGATGAAGACCATAATCGACGTCAAAGTCTGCAACCACTAAGCATCAGGACGATGGAACCATGTATTTGCCCGTTACCGTGTCAGTACCCGCTGAACGAAGTCATCGTCAGTGATGCAAAGGGAGTCAACGCGATCAAAAGCATACCTGCGTAGAGTGTTCCAGCAGTGCCCTTGATCACAATCTCATCTTCGCTGGTCAGAGCGCCCTTCTTCAGACAATCTTGCATCATGGCAGTCGTGAACGAAGGTTTCGCCACACCGGCTGCCTGTGCTGTCAGCACGGAAACGACCCAGTGATTCAATGATTAGTAGCTTACAGATAGGGAAGAAGTCAACCAGCGCTGAACCGGCTCCACTACCGCCGAAAACTTCATATATCCCGGCTTCCACCAATCAAATGAACTCGGCACTCTCGACAGAGGTCACGGTATGTCCATAACCGATCTCCAAAATCAGCGATGCAGAGTAGCTATCCAAATGGTAATGAGTCCTTGTGACGATACATGCATAGCTTCACGTACCGCTTGAAATGGGAGATGATGATGTTGGCCACCCACATCGACGCCCCCCCGTTACCTCCTTGCCCGGCATCTACGCAATGGTATACAAGCTCGGCTGTTTCAATCGTGACTCCGACTATGCGGACGATACCCAACAAGTTTTGTAACGGTATTGCATTGCAAGAAAACCCGACGGACACGAAGCTCGACCTCACAAGACAATCTCGATTCAGCCGCTAAGCGTTCAGCAAAAAGTCGGATACGACGGCAATGTATCGCTCAGGCTCCTCGAAGAAGGCGAGGTGGCTGCTGTTGGCGAACTGGACCCACTTGACGCGCGGCAACTTGTTGAACATGGGCATGACATTCACGTCGTGCGCTTCGTCCATGCGCCCGTTGGTGAGCAGCGTCGGGCAGTGGATGGTGTGCAGCTGATCGACACAGGTCCAGGTGCGCAGCGTTCCGTCGGCGGACATCTCGGACGAGCCCCACCTGGCAGTGTTCACATCAGCACGTCGCTATCGCGACCCGCTACCAGGGCAAGCGGACGTACATGGTCGTGTACACGGTGGGATCCTTGCCCATCACGTCAAACGACTGGAGCAGCTGCTTGGGCCACGGATCGAGGGTGCAGACGTGCTTCTTGTAGAAGACCATGAGCGCGTCCTGGTACTCCTTGCTGTCCGTCGTCCCTGCAGCCTCGTGGCGCTCGAGCACGTCGAGCACGTCGGGCGGCAGCTGCTTGCGCAGTCTGGTCGTCCCCTCAACCCAGAGCTCCGTTGCGGGGGTGCCGCTGACAATAACGAGGTGCTTTAATCCCTGTGGCTGACGGTGCGAGGCGTAGTGCAGGGCGAGCATGGCGCCCCAGGAGTGGCCGACGAGGTCGAAGTTGTCGTTGATGCGGAAGTGGGCGAGGAGGTTGTCGAGCTCGTCCATGAAGAGGTCCAGCGACCAGAACTCCTTCGGCTTGTTGGCGGGGTGAGACGACTCGCCGTTGCCGATCTGGTCGTAGAAGATGACGGGAATGCCACGGGATTTCGCGAGCTCGGCGTGAGGGAGCATGTAATGGTGAGAGAAGCCGGGGCCGCCATGGAGTGCGATGACAGGCCGTATATCGGAGGAGATGTCGCCGACCACTTTGTACCAGGTCTGGTACGTTTCCTGGTTGTATGTGAATGGGATCGTGCCAGTCTCTGCCATCATGACAATTGCAGTGGGTGCGTGGGTCCTGAGTAACTTTCGCTGGTGGATGCAGAGATCTGGGTGATATCATAGCTTTTAGTGGTACACTTCCTCCGAGATGCTCGAACCACGGTGTCGTATCATTTGCCCACGGCCTACGCTGGGAGAAGATGTCAGCGCACCAATGCTCGCAATCCGAGCTTCTCTTCCTTGACACGTTGATGGTCGGGTGTGCAGCGCAAGTTCAGCGCCCATGGTTCGACGACGCACTTCTCCGTCGTCGATGCTAGATAAGGGAAGATCCGGCTGTGGAGTCGCAGGCTTACGGGGATCGGCAACGATGCGCTCAGGTGGTCCGCTGTCTCAGTCGGAATTCCCTCATTAACAGACCTGCAATAACTGAGCATCGTCAGCGTCTGAGATAGACTAGGTGGACGCTTACGAGACAGTCCCGGCTTGAACGTCTCCGCCGCAACGACGACAGGTGCAACGACAGTCTCTTGTACCGGTCGCGCCACTGTGTGAGGCTTGTTCAGCCTTCACGGACAACATCCTGACTGCATATACCTACGTTGTCTCTCTTCCACGGCTTCTACTCGGGGAGTAAAGCGCGTACTCCGAGAGCCGCGCACCCGTATGACCAGCGCCCACTTCTAGTAGTACGACCGGACTGTCGTTAACGAACGCACTGTCTGTGGCGCGCTTCTTGGCCCAGCCGTCATGTTTCATAGTCGCATCGCGCAGGGCACCCGCCTGCAACGGAAGTGTCAGTGGTATCGCGATGATCTTGCGCACAAACGCACCTTCTCAGGGTATCCCGAGGGCCCCGAGTGCGGTACACGTAACACATTGTGTACGCCTTCGAGACGCCCTCCGCGTTCTTGAGGCGACAGATACCCGTGCCGGCGCCCACCTCGGTCTCGAATGCGAACGAGAACTGGACGAAAGCCAGGTTTGGGAACGGCTTGCTCAAGGCTGGCGAAACTTGTCCTTCACTAGTGCGCCAACACGGCACTTCGCCACGGACAGTCGCTCCTGGTGGAATTGAAGTATACATTTGAAACCCGCGGAAGGAATGCTGAGCGGACAGAGAGAGATCAAGTGAGCAAACCAGCTACGCGTCTCGGATGTCCGAGTTGGTCTTGTACAGCGAGGGTCACTGACTGACGTCGCAGCAGGCTGAAGTTTTCATTCGCTCAGCACTGGCAGGCCGGATGTATGCTGTCTGAAACAAAGCATCGCAGCAAGGAGGGTCCATCCAGCGACGATATGAGAGATAATGTATGTAGTTTGTATGTAGCATCCGAGTCGCTCAGTGTGTGCTTAAGCGCGCCGCGGGTGGCTGCTTACCTTTTCGATCTCCGCCCGCTGGCACGTGCACCCTGAACCAATCTTCGTTCTTCTGAGTTATCGAGTCTACAGTTTGTCTACAGTCACCACGTTGTCGTAGGTCGCCGTCCACTTCCCTCTCACAGCCTTGAACACGATACTCACGCGTCGGACGAGCTTTCTCTGCGTCATTAGTACTCAGCCCGGCCAAGATCCTCATGTATAGGACGAGCTTCCTCTTCGCTGCTCGGCCCAACAAGATCCTTGCACGCCGCCCGAACAGTTTCCGAGTTGTCAGTGGCAGGCCAACCGACTGAGAGGTCCCAGGTGGGCCCGCCCTCCTCCTTCATAAGTAGCCTCAAGGTTAACACTGTCTATAGACGGTGTACACGACATGGTACGCAAGCAGCACGCACACAGCAGACCTCGTGAATCGCGATTGCCTCCCTGGTGAGTCCATGATGCTCCGAATCGAAGTGCATGTGCCCCTCTTCCCTTCGCACGACCTTGCAGCTTTTAAAGACTTAAGATGATGGACATTTCTCAAGAATGGACATTCAGAGCCGATATAGTGAGCATCGAGCGAGTTCGCAAGGGTCAGAGACTCAGAGTGGAGGACAGTAGTGTGGGACAGTGTGACGCGCGGTGGTGGCTGAGCGCAGAGTCACCGTGACCGTGACGTGGCGCGCAAGCCCCGGCCTCCATGATCTGCTCATATCCAATGCTAGTATATATTCACAGCGATAGGTCATACGACGGCCACGGACGACGTGGTGCAGCATGTAGTGCGCCAGACTCGGTGGCCTCGAGTCCTCCTCAAGCGCTTCGAGTACGAGCGTACTACAGCATAAGCGCCGAATCGCAAGAACTCAAGAACGTGTAAGTATGAAGACCCGCGAGAGTTTTGTCGGTAAGTGACGGTTGATACAAGTACTCGATAGGCTCAGCTCAGGACTTCGGCTTCGCCATAATACTGTCCAACATGCGGGGTAGTAGTATGATTGATTGACGACTCTGGTTACATACAGTGGTTACGAGACGTCTCATCCACGGCGAATTACAATTCCTCGCCACCGAGAGTCGAACCGACCGCCGCGCTAAGATACATGAGCTTCACCGAACAGGCATATCATAGTCAAACTACTCACTTCGCAGCGTTGTAACACCCAGTGCCCGCGGCACCTGAGCCGGAGTACTGCAAGATGGGGTCGACCGGGTTCTGGCAGTTCCCGTTTGCGAATATGGTGAAGCTAACTGCAGGAAAACGTAAGCGATCAAATACACATGACGATCGGGATATCAACGCAATGACTCACTCTCGCTAGCATCGTCTGTGGCTGTGACATACACCGAGTTGATGCCTGGAGGGTACGGCGGAGTGCAACATTCTCCCTCGCTGGCAACACATGCTCCGTTCACAGGATCTGCAAGGCACGACCTCAGTGGGATTTATAACAATTTGAGCGAGGATCAAATGCTTACTCTTGCAGTCATAGTCGCTGAACCACTGGAACAGCTCTGCACCGGCAACGTTCGGGACTATAGCGCCGAGAGCGACTGCAAAGATTGATATAGCCAACATAATCGAATGACAAGGGGGAGTCGGATGGGAGTGTAGAGCTCCTGAACCGAGATGGAGAGCATAACCTGCAACGTGTAGGCTTTACATACCTCGTGAAGGTTCTGCGCATACCTATGCTACTGGCGCTCTGCATGGTGACTCGAATGGAACAAGGCCAGAAAAGTGTACTTTGGCGTCATTCATCTCCCAGGCTTGTCGCTTCATGTTACTCTGAGACAAAGACTAATTCTAATGAGCGCGGGCAGGAGGTTGTCAACATCCTCCTCCTTGCAACCATGCGTCCGGGGGAGCCCATTTGTATCCATTCTGTCGATCAGAGCCAGAGCGTGCTGCGTAGTAGTGAGATACTGCGAGTACATGGTTCGCTGCCTGTAAATTGAACAGGCTGAGCCCCTCTCAGTTCAAGTGCAATGTCACGTCGGCGAACATCACACACACCGCAGTTGAGCGCACCAATGTCAGTTCTTGAGTCAGCATCCATCATTCTCCCATAGAGTTGTGATGTAGACGTTTGTGAATCGTGATGCACAGTTGGAATCAAGCCAACGGCGAACGTATTCCCGACATGCTTCGGAACGCCCTTTGACCTATCTTGGACCTACCACGCCTTTCGCCACCATCTTCTGATGCATTCAGCTCTCTGAATTGCAAAGAACGGATGTATAAGCAAATAGCGAAGAGAGGACGGTAAGTACCAGGAGTTTGTGCGTTGCTATACGAGTCAACGCATTGGGGTAGGTCCAAAATAGGCTGCTCCTCCTTCACGTGACTCAAGCAGATCGGAATCTCGCCCTTCGCATGACTCGGAGTGCATGCCGACACCTAGAGAAACGAGTACGAGTTCTTACGGCCTCTGGTTAATTTTCATACTATCACTTGCAGCATCATGGGGCGCGTATGCAAGGTGGGACACTTCTAACTCAGAATAGAGATAATGGACTCCGAACTCGCGAAGCAGTGCCAGTGGAGCATGTCCTGCAGTGAGCATAACTTGCACATGTAAAATGGGCGCCAGGTCGCGGCCATAGTTGGTCATTGACGTGATAGGTGCGTAGATGGCTGTAGCACCTGGAATCGTGCGACGTGGATGCTGCTACGCAAGACGGTTGCGGTTTGGTCGGGTCTCATTGCGAGATCGACGATCGCGAGACTGTCGATTACCGTCACATCAGTCAGGCAGTTCGACAAAAAAACAAATTCAACGTATGCATGATTGAGCAAGTAAGAGAAATTTCTCGTCTGCTCAAATCAGGGTTACAGTGGGCGCCGATATAAGTATACATTTCAAAATTGCAAATGAATCACAGGCGAAGCCACAGCTTCCGTTTTCCTCCCTTCAGGAGAACAACTTCACATTACTTACAAAAGTCAATTGCGACTTTCGTCAAAATCTCTGTGACCTGATCGATGCTACGGACGGTGGCGAACTCCTTCGCAGCATGCGCCCCCTCTCCCTGGACACCGAACAGAATGGTCGGGATTCCCTTCTCCGCAAGTAGAGCGCTGTCCGTCCAGTATGTCCCAGATATTACGGTGGGCTTATGTCCGATCACCGTCTGCGCGTGGCTCTCGAACATGTGGACGAACGGATGTCCTTCTTCGATCTCGTATGGAGCCCGAGAATCGCGCATATGTAGGACGTAGCGGAAATCCGGCACAGTGGTGACTAGATGGTCAAGAAGCACACGCAGCTGTGTTTCAACGAGCTCGGGCGTCTCGCCTGGAACTGTCCTCCGCTCGATCGACACAGTGCAGAGAGCGGGATATGAGGTGAGCTCCTCCCCGCCTTTGATGATTCCAGCGTGCACTGTCCCTGTCCCGACCTTTGGGTGAACTGGCGAATCGTTCACTTTACCAGCGATCAGCTCTTGCCCATATTTCTCGAGTGCGACGAGGAAGTGGCCCGCCTTCACGATAGCATCGACGCACAAGTCTGGACGAGAGCCGTGTCCGGCTTTCCCAAGGATGTCAACGTCCGCCCAGAGGAAGCCTTTATGCGAGAGCATCAGGCCGTGTTCGGTCGGCTCGCTCACCACAGCGGCGTCCGCTCGCCAGCCCGCAGCCAACAGCTCGATCGTCCCGATGCTCAGGTTCTCCTCGTCAGCCACGAGCGCAAGTATGATGTCTCCTCTCAGTTCGTGTGTATTGCGCGCCCGAAGGGCAGCCACGAGAGACGCGGCCACTCCGGCTTTCATATCGAACGCCCCACGTCCATGGACAGCACCATCCTTCAGCTCGCCGCTCAGGGGATCCCCGGCGTAACCGGTGAGTGTGACCGTGTCCACATGCCCGTTCAGCATCAACGACCGGCCTCCGCCACTTCCCCGGGCGACGCCCACGATTGTGGGACGCCCCGGCGTGCCCTCGAGGCGGTGCACCTCGAAGTCGTGATGCGCCAGCCAGCCGCAGAGGAAGTCGGCGATGGCGGTCTCGCCCGCGCCCGCACCCTCGCTGAGATCGGGGTTGGAGGAGTCGATCTGGGTGAGGATATGAGTGAGCTGGACGGGGTCGGTCGTCGTGGTGTCGAAGGGCTTGGGGTAGTCCCGCGTGCCTTCGGTGGCGAGAAGCACGACGACGCTGTCGGGTTTCAGCAGTTCAGAGGCAGTCTCGGCGGATACCCGGCGGAGCGCTGCAAGCGGTGCGGCACCGCATGGCCCGATGTCGAGATGCTCTGCGAGGAGGCTTTCAACTGCCTGATGTGCTGCGATGTCGGGAACGGACAGAGCTACATCAACGCCATCTCGGAGGATCGGCCAGGCGATAGAGGAAACAGTAGCGCAGTCTAAGCCGGCCATGATGGTGTGACTTCTGAGGGTCGTCTCTGGAGTATTGGCTTGCGGACGATTGAGGAGGTTCCGAAGAAGGCAGGATGCCGTATCAGGCTCGACGGTGACGACTTGGGTTCGTGCTGAGCAGTCAGGCTGTTTGTAGTGGGTTGTGACGGCTTGACCGAGAGACCCTACGCCGACGGGCGTGACGACGAGGTCTGGTCCGCGCTTTCCCGTCATCTGAGCGACTTGATCGTCGACTTCGCGAAGCAAAGTCGAATAGCCGTCGACGATCCACTGTATATTCTTTGAGTTGGTTCGTCAATAGTCTTGGTAACCATTGACTGACCTGGGATATCTCTTCGTATCCAGCGAATGCAGTATCCTGGATAAGGAGGCCACCCTCGTGTGCGTTCGCTGCGACATACGACTCGCGAACTGCGAGATCGTAATCTCCATTGACCTCCACAATTTGAGCACCTTCCGAGGCGATGAAGTTCCGCGTGGAATCGGGCATGTCGCGTGGCACATATATCGTGCATCCAATCCCGAGTAGCTGAGCAACGCGTGCAACAGCGCGGCCATGGTTTCCCTCCGTCGCGGCGAAAAGCGTCAGGTTGATGTCACTGCCTTTCAGCACAGAGGCGAGATCGCTCAGTGGAGGCACGGCATCCTGATCCCATGGCAAGCCCACATGACGAGCGACAGCGCGACAAGAGGCCCATGAGGCTCCTAGGATCTTGAAGGCCGGTAGGCCGAGGCGGGATGCCTCGTTCTTCAGCAGGACATGGGCTACACCAAGCTCGCGTGCGACGGAAGGTAGCGAGATAAGTGAAGTTGGCGCATATCCCGGGAGTTTCTCGTGAAAGATACGAATGTGCGGGGACGGTCGCGCTGATGGTGGTGTTGTACGTTGGGTCACGGTGACGTTTCTGTATATTCGAGGCATTGTGCGTGAACAGTAGTTCGCAGTACACGCGATGATCTGTTGGTTTCAAAAACCAATTAGCGAGTACGTGGATAATGGATCTGGTGTCACAAACCGATACCAAGAACGCCAGTTACATCGACTTTGGATCGAGTCAGAGTTGATCTAAGTATGGGTCTGAAGAATACATACCGACCCGTGCTCATGAGATCAGCCACGTGCACTCTCGGTCACACATCGATCTGTGCGTCTTGATTCGTCTCTCCTCCGTTTTCGTCTTCGTCTTCAAGGTAGTAACTTACGTACCGTACCATCGACCTGTGATACATTAGCCAGCTGGCAACGCACTATACTACGTTCACGGACCGCGGTATCGCCTCAAGCGAGGATACTTAGTTCCAGTAAGCTTCACTTTGACCTGAAGGATTTGATGGCGACGCTTACTCAATTGCAGTACATCTTCAATGACCATTTTTACTTCAGTTTAGGAGTTCGAACATCTAGTTTCTCAACCAAATTAGTATGAACGGTGAGCCAACGAACTGTCACCATACCCACTGGTTGCGCACTATAATTGTTGACATTGGTTGTCGCAGGGTCCGGGCGACGGGTTTATGCAGAGCGTGGCGAGACAATGACCATAACAAGTCTCGAAACGACTCCGGAGAGACCCTGGTGAACCGATGGTGAACCCAAGATGAGGCCGACGAGCGACGAGCTCACCGGTGGCACGCCGGAAACGTTTCCGGGCAGCGGGCCCGGCTTGGCCCGGCTTGGCTCGGGGAGGGACCGGCGTCTATCAGCCGGCGCATCCCACGTTGAACCACTCTGCAGCCCGGCCAAAGTTCAAACATTCACCACCTTCGTGCTCGTCTTTCTGTGTCTACCAACTCACTCGTTCGGTGTCGGCTCGGTCCAAGACGTTGAGTACGGTTCAAAATCGTACTGAGGTACCGTATTGCTGTGCAGACCTGAGCTTCGAGTAAGAACAACGATCTAGTGAGTACCTTCGGTACTGACACTCACTTGTGGCAATTAATGAGCCAAGTCCGAGTTGCGTGTGCAGGGCAGTCGCAACAGTTACCGTCGCAAGACAGCGAGCCAAAGAGGGACATGCGAAGGACGACATTGACTGGAGAGATTGTCGAAAGTGACTAGTAAGTGTTGAGAGCAATACTGCGCCTGAGACGCCTAGTACTGCGAATATGCTCCCATCACCTACATACAATGGCGCTGCATACTGCCGAAGGCGTTGTGGTGAAACAGTGCGCGTTCCCCGAGGCTTCGTAGCGGATGTACTAAAGTCAATGGTCGTGTCAGCGCCGTCCACAATGAGCGGTTGTCTGTCCATGAAGGCTCACGAACGTCGAATCCGAGACGCCGTATCACTGTTGGAAACACTGATCGTTGCCTATGCACATCGTCCGCTGGACAGTTCGCTGATAAGCAATTGTGCTTGTAGACTCGATAGCTTGATCTTTGCGGCTCGTCCACAACACCGCCTCATCAACGTCTTTCCGGCTTGGCCTCAATGTGTCCTGAGCTCTCTCAGAGTTTCTCACTGTTCAGCCCGGATGCACCTTTCACAGGAGGTGAGCATTACGACAACCTATGTGGTCCTTGTTCCGGTTTGCTCACCGCCGAAAGCCAGTGTAGGACAAGCACTGCCGGGCCAGTACCGGTGCCATAGAAGCTCTGCCTCGGATAGCTTGAGCGCTCATACTAGTTGATCGCGCCTTGACATTGTCCGCGGAATGTGCGCGCAGGGATGATCCTGGGCGTGCGATACCGCCTCTTGTGTTTTGATCATGCGCGTCACATCCCGTCCGTCGCACCCGTCGACGATACACTGATGAATAAAGGGCTTGTGCCTCTGTCCGCATCTGGTATTCATTTCTCCCCGCCGATTTGCCCCTCAGGGCGCCGTTCGTGTTGGCTGTTATACTTTTTCTTCAATCATTGTCGCATCTTGCTATTTCTTTTTGCTTTTGCCTTGCACCTTCGTATTATCCATTCTCGCTCTCGGCTCGATGACCTCCAGCATGCGCGACGATTCTGTGGCAACACTACCGGTTGTTCAGCAGTCCAAACTGGTCGTGGATTTACAGACAACCGGCCAAGAGAGACAGCCTCGAGATGCGAGTTTCTGGCTCGTCTTTCTGGGTATCGGAATTGCAACTATGATCACTGGTCTCGAGTTGGTACGTGTACGTTTTGGTCAAATGATTGATGCCCGACTCACCGGCACCCAAATAGGCTGCAGTCTCAAATGCGCTCCCGACTATTGTGCAGGATCTGCATGGCTCGTCATTCATATGGGTCGGCTCGGCGTACACGCTAGCAGGAACAGCTTTCATCCCTCTCAGCGGAGGTCTCTCTCAGGTTCGTCCAGTCGCGTGAGCGAACCGAGGCTATAGCACTGACAGTACATGCTCCCGCAGATCTTCGGAAGACGTATCGTTGTTCTGTCTTCTCTGGCGATCATGGCCCTAGGCAGTGCCCTATGTGGGTCTGCGCAGAGTATGACCCATCTCATTGCTGGACGAAGTACGACGTGGCCCCTGACATCTGCAGTATATTCGTTGACTCTGCATGTCAGCTGTCCAGGGCCTCGGTGGCGGCGGCATCTCCGCGACAACTGCCATAATCATATCTGATCTTGTACCCCTCAGTGAGCGTGGTATCTATAATGGCCTGATAGGAATGTAAGTCCTACTCTCGACAATGATAGACAAATTTACTCATGGATAGTCTATTGCAGTGCTTGGGCGATGGCCAGTAGTATGGGACCGATTGTCGGCGGTGCCCTTGCTCAGAACGGCCAGTGGCGGTGGCTCTTCTGTGGGTTTCGTTTTGTTCATGAAGATAGCATCCAAGCCTGATTCACGGTGTCGCAGATCTCAACCTCCCAATATGCGGGGTCGCGGGCATTATTATGCTATTCTGTCTACGTGTTCGAACGCCGCCAGGGACGCTGAAAGAGAAGTTACGCCGAGTTGACTGGCTGTAGGTGTATCTTGCCCTGTTGCGCAATCCCACGCTGACGCCGTGCTTGCCCTTAGTGGCACGTTCCTGGTCATCGCTGCGACGGCGGCTTGTGTCATTGGACTGACTTGGAGCGGCATCCAGTACTCCTGGACCTCAGCGCCCGTGCTCGCGCCTCTCATTATTGGGATTGTTGGGATGGTGGCGTTCATTACGTATGAGTGTATTTTCCCGGAATACCCACTTGTGCGTCGCATTCCAGCCGATGTCCGAGCACGACTGATTCGTCGGCAGGTGCCCTCTGCTTTGCTGTCCACGATCACTGGTATCAGCGGTTATATGCAGACGTTCCTCATGCCAATAGTGATGATTGGGCTCGTCTGTGAGTGCTCAGCTACTTGCACATGTGAAGTACACGCTGACCGGATTCGCAGACTACATTCCAGTATACCTGCAAGCATGCAAGGGCGCCTCCCCCATTGGCGCCGGCGTAGACACGCTATCCTTCTCGCTGATCATCGCTCCCGTTGGGCTGCTGGGAGGTGCGCTCGTGAATCGCACGGGGGGATATCGAGTGCCCTTGTGGACGGCCTGGGTGGCCCTTATGGTAGGCACGGGCCTGCTCATTACTTTGGACGCGGATACCCCGCTTAGCCACACGATGGGCTTCATCGTACCGTGTGCATTGGGATGTGGACTCCTGGCGTTCTCGACATACTTCCCGGTACTCGCGCCGCGTGAGTCTCCAATTCAATCTTCCCTAAAGTCTCATTGACAAGGGAATGTGCGGCTAGTCCATGTTTCGCAGAATGGTCTCGCCATTGCTTTCTTCATGTTCCTCCGTAACTTTGCGATGGTATGTCTATACATCCTTCTTTTCTGTAGAAACCCTGACACGTGGATGAAGGTCTGGGGAATAACGATCGGCGGAACCGTCCTTCAGAACGAGCTCCCGAAGCACTTACCGGCTGCCTTCACTGCTCAATTCCCGGAGGGCACAGTCATTGCGTACGCGACCATTCCCACCATCTCGAGCCTTCCGGAGCCGCTACGGACAGAGGTTCGACAAGCCTTCGCAGCCAGCCTCAAGGTCGTCTGGGAAGTTCTTCTGGGCGTTGGTGGCCTCGGGCTGTTCTCGAGCCTTGTGATGAAAGCGCTGCCTTTGCACACTGCCGTAGATGACAAGTGGGCGTTGCAGCAGAAGGAGGAGAAAAGGAGCAATGACAGCCTCAGTACTACTGGCACGGCGGTATAAGGGTTCAACGTCGACTATTCACTCGTCATCCATTAGTCTCTTGAATGCATCCGATGATGTAGCGATACTCCTATCTGTACGGTCTAATATAGTTAAAATATATGTATTGCTTACAGTCAGTGGTGACTCGGATTCCGAGGTAACTGCACTATGCTGTGGCGGCGTGGCCGCGTTAAGATGGTAGCAGTCCTGGCTGCCCTTGGCTGCTCGTCTTATCCTGTCGTTCGCCTCATCGGAGACACACTTATCCCGCATAATGTAACGATAGTTCCACCGCATCATAGACGTATTTGTGCTGTCTTGGTGAACCTAAACATAAGGATGGTGATATGAAGGCACAAGTACGGGTGACAACGGCGAAGATTACTGTGATGACGCAGTGGTATCTTTCGAGTCTAAGTTACTGCCCATTGCTCTGTCCAGCGCCATCGCCTTCCATCTGTCGAAGTAAGCCTCTTCGTCCCATACGAACGGTCGATCGCTCATGAAAAGTCGATCCATCTCTTCCAACGTACGGCCCGCCGTCTCTGGGTAGAACGCCCACACGATCGGGATGGTGAGGAAGTTCACCGCGCCGAATACATGCAGAGTGTTCTCGCCGATGCGGTCGAACATGATCGGATTGAGGAGAGTCATGCAGCCATTACCTGCGATGGACGTCAGCGACGCGCATACTTGTGGCATGACCCCGGGATGTACACACCGATAGACCACCCAACTATTCCCCATGTGCTGCCCTTTGCCCGCACGGACAGAGGGAATATTTCCGTCTGATACACCCACGGAATGGCGAGCCATGTCGCACCGAAGATAGCTGTGTACGTGAAGACAAAGAGCGCAGCGGCTCCTCCGTACTGTGCAGCTTTGTCTGGGTTGTCCTTGAGCAAACGGCTGAAGGCGCCTGCGAGGATGAGGGATGTTCCTTGGCCGACGGCTCCCCACCATAATCCGATACGACGGCCGACACGGTCGATCGCCAAGACACCGAACAGGGTGCAGAGCGTGTACGTGATCTTGTAACATGTGCGAGTCGTCACTGCGTGGACGTGGTAATCGGAGGAGAGAACGTACGTAGTTGAGGCCAGAAAGCCACTGAGACTTGCGCGGAGAATACCCGGCGTTAGAGAAAATTGTGGAGGCATAGAATATGATCGCCACGATGCCCGTCCACCTACGTATCTCAGACTTCAGCGGCATGCGTTACGGACGCATCGTCGATACATACTCCTGGAGGATCTGCAGCCACATCGAGAGTTGCACCCGACGCGCGACGTGGAGGTCGTCATCGTGCAGGCCTAGGAACATCGCGATGTATGAATTTCCTGCGGAGTGCCGCTTCTCCAGCTCAACCGCCATTGTGACCTCTTCGAACTCGACAAGAACCAGCGAGTCCTCCAGATCTGCCGCTTCGGAACGAAATCGAGCAAGGATGCGAAGAGCTTCTTCACTGCGCCCCATCTTCAGGAGCCACCTTGGACTTTCTATATTGACGTGAAATAGAGTTGTCAAAACATGAACGCCATGAGACTACCGTTATACTCACCCGGCATCATAGGAACGCAGGCCTGTAGGGATTCAATGATGACATACGCCGGTATCCAGGAGCCGAGGATCGAGCTCACCATGAAAATGAGTATGGGAACAATTTGGATAGCAATGGGAAGCTAAGGAGCGATCGTTACCGGCGATCTGAGCATAGGGCATGAGAAGCATACGCACACGCCATCGCACCTGGCTAGTGCCGTCGCCGACAAAGCTCAACCCGAACTCGATCCAATACGCGACTACTACGCCGACGACATTCAATGTAAATTCACTTGCAATGAATGCACCTCGGGATCTCAGGCGATGCGACCTCGGCGCTCCAGACCGGTACGACCGCGTTGAGGTATCCGGTACCAATGCCGTTGATCAGTCTGGCGCAGAGCATCCTATGGTCGAGTGAGAACGGGATAGGACGAGGTGATACTATACCAGGCGACATTTTGTGCAGAGCACTGCAGCACTGCGCCTAAGAGTACCCAGACGCTGCCCTACAGACGCGGTCAATGTGGTACAGGGAAGAGTTACGTGCATGCTTACAATGAGCAATGTCTTGATGCGCCCAATACTAGAAGATAGCTAAGAACAGAAGACGCTGTTCATTGGGCTCAACGGACAGACCTGTCGCCCAGCGAACCTGCGATGAAACAGCCCAGTAACGTTCCGAAGTAGTACATGCTGACGATACCGCCTTGCTTAGTGGGCTCAGTGATAGTAATCACATAGCCCTCGGAAGGACCGTGGTACCTAGTACAGATCAGATGCGAATAGCGGAGGGTGTGTGAAGGATTGCGCACGTCGAATAGCCCAGATTCATGACGCGAACATAATCTGGCGAAGTGTTAACACCTATAGCGAGAGATCAGTTTCGTTCAAGTGTAGTTTATGCACAGTTTTGTACACACCTCCCATTATCCCTTGGTCATATCCGAAGCTTCACCTTCATCAGCGTCGGAGGGCTGCCGAAGACTACTGGAGCTTACAAGAAGATAGCCAAACCCGCTATGAGATTGATGGCATAACATAGTCGCTGTCCAGTCGCAGACGTGAGATACTTCATCGTCGTCGCTCCCGTAGGGATGAAGGGTCGACGTACCTGTTATCACAGCCCCACTGAGTTATATCGAGAAGACGGAATCGGAACCGAGCAATGAAACGCCCCGAAGGTCATCTGAGAGTTCTTTAGCGTCTGCCGGGGAGAACGTTAGTCGTAAGAGCAATTTTCCTGGCACAGGATGGTTATTCGCGTAGCTGTGGCAACGTAGGAGCGGGGGACATACGCCTCATAGCATCGCGCTGGCAGGACTAAATGACTCATCACAAGCGAAGCGCACTCAGTCAGATATTCGTGCCAACTATTGAGAGCGTTAGCATGATCAGACGTCGGACGACACGCATACGCCAACGAGATAGGGATTCGAGTTGCCTGGCTGGCCTGGCCCTCTACTAGCACAGCGACCACTAGCCCTGGGGATTTGGATCGCCGTTCAAGTAGGATTATTGCCTGGGTGGGCAAGAGATCAGGTTGGGCATTATTTCTTGATACAGTTGCAATGAACATACCAACGACTCGTTATAATGCGCTCAAGCACAGTGTCGGTGGCAAGATCATTACTAAATCACAACTTGAAGGCGGCGTACGACTCATATCCGAGTGATCCGGACACCGTAATTCCCAATGACTGGTCATCATGCAGATAGCAGGCAGATTGAGAAACTCAACACCTCTAAATCCGAATGAGCACTTACTGGGAGGACTGTTGGCTTGTAGAAGGGCAGAACATTCAACATTGACGCAGTGCGGGTCAGGGGCTAGGTCCTGGTCAGGGGTACGCGACGCGACACGGTCACGCGCTTGAGACGCGTGGTTCACCACGAGCGCTTGCAGTATCTACGTAATCCCAGTTATGTCCAAATATGGATAAATCGCATTGACATCATGCGGGGTGGGTGTCACTGGGTGCGCGCGGCCGGCAGCAAGCGTCTCCTCGCAACTTACACTCAACCTCCACCATGCCCTCCAAACGCTTTCCGAACCCAGGATCAGTCGAAGTCGGCCCAGAGAAGGTCGAGGGCGAGACACGGATACGACGGAGCGTGTTGTCGCCCGACAAGCTCGTCACCCAGCCATGGGAAGGCATCGACACCGTCTACGACGTCCTGATGTACGCCGCGCGCACGCACGGCACCAAGCAGTCGTACGGCTACCGAGAACTCGTGGACACTCACGAGGAGGAGAAGGAGGTCAAGAAGGTCGTCGGGGGGAAGGAGGTGACGGAGAAGAAGACCTGGAAGTACTTCCAGCTTAGCGACTACAAGTACCTCACCTTCCAGCAAGTCAAGGAGGCCGCAGTCGAGGTCGCGGGGGCTCTCCTAGAGCTTGGTATTCAGAAGACCGACGTGGTCAATGTCTACTCTGCTACGAGGTGCGTGCTGTGTCTCGTCACATAGCGTTTCCGAGCGTGCGTTCATCCTCTTCTCTCTCCTGCTCTTGCTATTCGTATCCACCGAGGGGAGCGAGGGGGCGATGGATGTTGCGACCGACAATTAGCAGCAGTACTGCATCATTTCAAAACTGCGCAGTATCCGGGCCCGAGGCGTGTGCGCGTCCACTCGCCCAATGTCTTATGTCATCGGCAGTACTACGCCAGGTGTCTTTTCTGGTCCTGCGAGTTCTCCTAGTGCGTCGGACAGTGTCATGGGCCGTGACTGCGGCTTGTATTGCCTCGGTCCATATTCGTGCTGAACTGTACACTGCGACCGGTACCAGAGAGCGTCCGACAGCACGAGAGCGCCCGCTGCTGTCTAATTTGTGTTTGTGCCGTGTGGTGCCACTCTGTGCTCCCTCGTGCGTGTTGCCAGCATGAATCTAGGTGTTTCGTTTGCTACGATTGCCACCTTGCCCACTCTTGGACCTTTGACACATAATGCGTTGTGCTAACATTCGACTTGCCTGGCAGCCCGAACTGGCAAATCATGTCATATGGTTGTGCAACCATTGCAACAGCCATTGCAACAGCCTACGAGACCCTCGGCGAGTCTGGTCTCCAGCACGCGCTCAACGAGCCGGAATGCGTAGCGATGTTCACGAACGCGGAGCTACTCAAGGTCGTCGCGAATGTCGCACCGAACGTGCCGTCTCTGCGCATTGTCATTTACGACGGCAAGGCAGACGAGACGCTCTTGGAGAAGATCCGAACGGCGCGCGAGGGCGTACGTGTACTGCACATCGATGAGCTGCGACAACTCGGCAAAAACACGTCGGAGGAGACGCTCAAGGAGCGACGGCCAGTGCCCGAGGACACGGCGTGCATCATGTACACGAGTGGAACGACGGGGGCTCCGAAGGGCGTCATCATCTCGCACGCGAACGCGATCGCGTCGGTGGGTGCTGTGTACACGTTCATCGGACACCACCTTAAGTCGGACGACGCGTACCTGGCGTACCTCCCGCTCTCGCACGTGCTCGAGTACATCGTCGAGATGTGCTTGTTCTTCGTAGGAATGACGTTCGGGTACGCGCGCGTGAAGACGCTCATGGACACGTCCGTGCGCAACTGCCTCGGCGACATCCGGGCATTCAAGCCTACGATCATGGTCGGCGTGCCGCAGGTGTGGGAGATGATCCGCAAGGGCATTGAGGGCAAGGTCAACCAGGGCGGCTCGATCAAGAAGAGCATGTTCAATGCGTCGATCTCGATTAAGAAAGCGGGCGTGCCGGGCCTGAGCGAGCTTGTGGACAGCGCAGTGTTCTCGCAAGTACGTGCAGCGACGGGAGGCAGGCTGCGCCTTGCCCTCTCGGGAGGTGCCGCCCTTAGCGTCGAGACACAGGAGTTCCTTGCCCTGGCTCTCGTCAAGATGATTCCCGGTTTGTCTGTTCGGCCCTAGTCATGTCTCTCGCACTGACGTGAGACTTGTTATAGGGTATGGTCTGACCGAGACATGTGGTATGACCGCCATCTTCCCGCCGGAGTACTCGAAGTTCGGCGAAGTCGGCCTTCCAGTGCCATCCATGGAGATCAAGCTGAAAGACGTCGTGGAGGCGAACTACCTGTCCACGAATGACCCACCACAGGGTGAGGTTTGGGTCCGTGGCGCGTCGCTGACCAAAGGCTACTTCAAGCGCGATGACCTGAACAACGACCCATCCATCTTCACGCCGGATGGCTGGTTCCGGACGGGTGACGTCGGTCAATGGAACCCGGATGGCACCTTGTCTTTGATTGATAGGTTTGTGACTTGTGTTTGATGCGCAAGCCCACGCAGAGCGCTGACGCCTGTTCTGATAGGATCAAGAACCTGGTGAAGTTGCAAGGTGGAGAGGCAAGTACTCGACCCGGAACTCACCATATCAGGTCGACTAACCGATTCCTTCATAGTACATCGCCCTAGAACGCCTCGAGTCCGTCTACAAGTCGTGCAACCTCGTCTCCAACATCTGCGTGCACGCCCACCCCGACGCGAAGCAACCCATCGCGATCATTATTCCGCACGAGCCGAACCTCCGGCACGCGCTCGAGAGCAAGTCCCTGGGCCTGCCCGCGCACACGGCGCTGCCCGATCTCTGTAAGGACGACCGCGTACGCGAGTTCGTGATGAAGGAGTGCAACGCCGTCGGCAAGAAAAACGGCTTCAAGCCGATGGAGATCCTCGAGAGTATCGTCCTCACTGCGGATGAGTGGACGCCAGAGAGCGGGCTTGTCACAGCTGCGCAGAAGGTGCAGCGCCGCAAGGTGGCGGAGCACTATGCCGATGAAATCAAGGTATGTGTCGGCGCTGCTTCTTGAAGAGTTGGCTAATGACTCTGAATTGTCGTAGGCAATCTACAAGCCAATTTAGAGGGACAACATAGACATGCTGGCGGTGCATACTCCTGGATCATTCTCACTCACGGACGATGGCATATTGACGGGCATTCTTGCCCTTGCAACTTTCGAGCTTATCTTGTATCTTACTCAGCTTTCCAATGGCCCATCACCTACTGCCTCGCATTATATGCGGCGTCGGCATGCGTCATGCGCCTACGCTGTTTGACGTGCGCGATCCTTTATTCGGGGCACAATTCATCCCTATGAGACATTAAGGCCCTTCCAAGTAGTTTGTGGTGACCATCGTTCAGCCAACCAAGCAAGACGGTGTCGTCAGCATGTATGATTTTCGGATATTTGATATATAGCGCTATAGCGTGCTCGCTAGGCGACGCGCTAGTCTCCATGGACAAAAGTTGGATTCCCGATACAGTTCCATTGCTCAGGCCTCAGGCCTCAGGCCTCAGGTCCCAGCAGAAGCAACTGCTCAAGAGCGAGTCTGTCATGACGCGCATGCTCTCCGAACTGCTCTGCAACGCTGTTGGATGAGTGCTAAGTTATGACCAATGCTACGTGCATCGGCCGGCCTTCGCCACTGAACAATGTGGTGGATCTCAGGCTAAAACTGAGCTACAGATGTGCATCTTACCGTATGTGCGTGGCCTGCTACGGCTACAATGTATGCCTGCAAAGTGCAGAGCGACACTGCCAGTGTACTTTGGAATCCGGGTCACTACGAACTGTGAGTAAACCATATGATTAACTGCATGGGACCGTATAGATATGGGTATGGCTACATCATCGGATGCAGTCGGGGCCCTGGTAGCAGTGCGAAGTGACAATGAATGTGGAACGAACGGATAGTTAACCCTTATACCGCTGTACCAAGAGTGCTGAGGCTGTCAACGCTCCCCTTCTCCTTTTGCTGCAACGCCCATTTATCATCCACGGCTGTGTGCAAAGGCAGCGCTTTCATCGCAAGGCTCGAGGCGAGCCCGAGGCCACCAACCCCCAGGAGGACTTCCCAGACGACCTTGAGGCTGGCTGCGAAGGCTTGGCGAACCTCTGTCCGTAGCGGCTCCGGAAGGCTCGAGATGGTGGGGATGGTCGCGTACGCAATGACTGTGCCCTCCGGGAATTGAGCAGCGAAGGCAGCCGGTAAGTGCTTCGGGAGCTCGTTTTGGAGGACGGTTCCGCCGATCGTTACTCCCCAGACCTTCATCCACGTGTCAGGGTTTCTACAGAAAAGAAGGATGTATGAACATACCATCGCAAAGTTACGGAGGAACATGAAGAAAGCAATGGCGAGACCATTCTGCGAAACATGCACTAGCCGTACACTCCGTTGTCAACAATACTCTGGGGAGGATTTAATGGGAGACTCACGCGGCGCGAGTACCGGGAAGTACGTCGAGAACGCCAGGAGTCCACAGCCCAAAGCACATGGTGCGATGAAACCGATGGTGTGGCCAAGCGGGGTATCCGCGTCCAAAGTAATGAGCAGGCCCGTGCCTACCATAAGGGCCACCCAGGCCGTCCACAGTGGCGCTCGGTATCCCCCCGTGCGGTTTACGAGCGCACCTCCCAGCAACCCAACGGGTGCAACGATCAAAGAGAAGGATAGCATGTCTACGCCGGCGCCAATGGGGGAGGCCCCCTTGCATGCTTGCAAGTATACTGGGATGTAGTCTGCAGACCCGGTCGGCGTGTATTTCACATGTAATACTTGCTGAGCACTCACAGATGATTCCTATCATCACTATTGGCAAGAGGAACGTCTGCATATAGCCACTGATACCAGTTATCGTGGACAGCAAAGCAGAGGGCACCTGCCGACGAATCAGTCATGTTCGGACATCGGATGGAGTGCGACGCACAAGTGGGTATTCCGGGAAGATGCACTCATACGTAATGAACGCCACCATCCCAACTATCCCGATAATGAGAGGCGCGAGCACTGGCGCGGAGGTCCAAGAGTATTGGATGCCGCTCCAAGTCAGTCCAATGACACAAGCCGCAGTCGCAGCGATGACCAGGAACGTGCCACTAGATGCGAGCACGGCGTCAGCGTGGGATCGCGCGAAAAGGGAAAGGTACACCCACAGCCAGTCAACCCGGCGCAACTTCTCTCTTAGCGTCCCTGGAGGTGTTTGAACACGTAGACAGAATATCATAATGATGGCCGCGACTCCGCATATTGGGAGGTTGAGATCTGCGACATCGTGAGTATCGCTTGATACTATCTTCTTGAACAGAACGGAACCCACAGAAGAGCCACCGCCACTGGCCGTTCTGAGCAAGGGCACCGCCGACAATAGGTCCCATACTGCCGGCCATCGCCCAAGCACTGCAATAGATTATCCATGAATGATATCGTCTGTCATCGTCGAGGGTAACACGTACATTCCGATTAGGCCGTTATACAGACCACGCTCACTGAGAGGTACAAGATCAGATATGATTATGGCAGTTGTCGCGGAGATGCCGCCGCCACCGAGGCCCTGGACGGCTGTCATGCAGAGTCAGCGAACATCTAGCACGTAACAGGGCACGTCGTACTTCTTCCAGCAATAAGATGCGTCATACTCTGCGCAGACCCACATAGGGCACTGCCTAGGGCCATGATCGCCAGAGACGACAGAACAACGATGCGTCTTCCGAAGATCTGCGGGAGCATACACTGTCAGCGCTATAGCCTCGGTTCGCTCACGCGACTGGACGAACCTGTGAGAGGCCTCCGCTGAGAGGAATGAAAGCCGTTCCCGCTAGCGTATAAGCCGAGCCGACCCATATGAACGACGAGCCATGCAAATCCTGCACTATAGTGGGTAGTGCATTTGAGACTGCAGACTGTGTGTACCGGTAAGTCGTGCATCATTCAGTTGACCAAAACGTAGGATTGACACACCCATTCGAGAGCAGTGATCATGGTGGCGAATCCGATACCCAGAAAGACGAGCCAGAAACTCGCATCTCGAGGCTGTCTCTCCTGACCGGTTGTTTGTGGATCCACGACCAGCTTGTACTGCTGAATAACCGGTAACGTTACCACAGAATCATTGTGCATGCTGGGGGCCATCGCAGCGAGAGCGAACAGGGATGATGATACGAACGTGCAAAGCGAAAGCACAAAATGAGCGGGAGGCGACAATAAATGAAAGAGTACACGATGCCCAATACGAACGCCCTGAGGGGCAGCAGCGAGAAGTGAAAACGGGATGCAGACACAGGCACAAGGCCTTTATTCATGTTGGGCCAACTGGGCATGAGCGGATCGTCGACAGGTGTGATGGGCTAATAACGCGCATGATCAAAACACAAGAGGCGCATCGCACGCCCAGGATCATCCCTTTGCGCTCATGTCGTAGACAATGAGGCGCTATCACTATGGGCGCGCTCAAGCTGTATGAGGCAGGGCTTCTATGGCGTCGGTACTGGCCCGGCAGTGCTTGTCCTACACTTACTGAATATCGGCGATGAGCAGATTATAAAGAGGAAACCACATAGGTTGTCGCAGTGCTCACCGTCTATAATAGTAAGTACATTCGGGCTGAGAGAGAGCCCAGAACGCATGGCTACCAAGCCGGAAAGACGTTCACGAGGCGGTGTTGTGGACGGGCCGCAAAGAGCCAGCTATCGACCCGACTGTTGACTTTAGTATGTCCACATTGGTAGAGAAGCTTCAAAGAACGCGCACCGTTTCACCTCCACGCCTTCGGCGATATGCAGGGACACTGTCATAGGATGAGTAGGTGATGTGAGTATATTCGCAGTAGCCTGATGTGTCTCATGCAAGGGCAGTATGCCCGAATTACGACATACAACTCCATGCGGGCGGCACATCATTATCCGATGAGCATAGTCAAAGCATAGTGGGCAGGTACTCGAGTCGCAAGGAGAATATCGCGGGCAGTCGTTGCAAGTCAGAACTAAGCCCCACTGTGGCTAGTTGTCTGTCGACTCGGACGAGTGCTGTCGGGCTGTTGGCAGGCTGAAGGCTCAATTGCAATGTTCTCAGTACTTACTACTAGTTACTAGTCATCTCCTTCAGTTGATATCGTCCTTCGTATGCCCATTCTTGGCTCGCTGCCTTGCGACGGTACATCAAGGTCTGTGGCAGCAACAGGGTATTTCAGTGAGCTTTTTGAATCATAGTCAACGTCTTGAACGAGCGAACACTGAGTGACAGGTCTAGAATTGGGAAACGCGAAAAGAAGATGGCTGAAGAGAGCTGAAGAGATGCACTGGCTAATAGACGCCGGTCTCCTACTGCGCCGGCAACTGAGTGTTCACCAAGTTGTTCATGTGCCCCCGATCTCGCTCGCTCCTCTATTCATCGTGTATCTCCAATGTGAACCTTGTGTCTCAATCATCCATGTATACACGCGCGAGAAATCAAGAGGTACATGCGAAACAACGACCCAATGCTCGGTACAACTACAATAAGATGCTTCGACCGCTACATAGTACTTATGACCGCCAGTAGTTTGCTCCTTCTGAACAAGCTGCACAGCTCAGGCTCATGAAGACCCCTCGCCCGTCTTCGCCTTTTTCGCGCTCTGGATGACCGGGACGGCCGCCCCGCGCTGGCCGACGTGGGGCCCGCCGTCGGGCTCCACAGCGCGTTTGCGCTTGTCGCCCGCCTGCTCCTCGCCTGGAGCCGCCGCGCCCGCTCCTTCGTCCTTGGAACCCCCGTTCGAGCGAGCGCCGCCGCGCCCACGGCCGCGTCCACCACGCCCACCACGCCCACCGCGTCCACCACGCCCGCCCCGCCCCCGGCCCCTGCCGGAGCCGCGGCTATTCTGGCTATAGTGCACTGCGCGGCGGGCGGACGCCTGTGCGCGCTCGAGCTGGAAGGCGCGTTCTGTCTCCTCTGTGGTGAAAGGCCGAGTGTGAGACAGGTGAGGGCAAGGGTGAAGGGGCAAGACGTACCGTCGGGGATGCTCCAGGAGACGTCCTTGCCGCCGAGCGTCTTGAGGTGCTCCTTCACGAATGTGATCTCGTCCTCGGTGAGGGTCTTCTCGAACCCGACGAGGCCTGAGCTCTCTCCGCGCGTGTGCTGGACGTACGGGGCGCGCGAGAAGCGCTCCTTCAGCACGCTCTGCGGATGAACGGGAGTTAGCACACAGGGCACCGGACATTCGAGCAGCCCAACAGACCTTGATCTCGTCAAACGTGGTGCTCTCGCCGGCCCCGTCAAACTTGAGCGACGCGCCCTTGGCGACGGGGACGTCTTCGTCCTTGACGCTGCCGCCCTCCTCGCCCGGCTCGACACGGATCTTGCTGCCCATGAACTCGATGAAGAGCTCCGGCTCCTTCTTCTCGTCCTCTTTGCCCTTGCCCTTCTTGTCCTTGTTCTTCTTCGCCTCCTCCATCTCGCGGAACGCGTTGAACCCCTTCCCGGACTGAATGGTCTGCTTGCGCAGCCGGGCGGCCTTGCCCGTGAGGCCCTTCTCCTTGATCTTCATCTCGCAGTAGGCTTCTCTGTTTCGCGGTTAGTGAGGTGACTGGACGCAGAGGCGTACGGGTGCAAGCGCACTTTGTCATAATCTTCAGCTCTTCGTTGTTCCAGGATGGCTTGGGGATGGCATTGAGGAACGTCTCGACGGACTTGAAGTCGGCGAACTCGACGAATACGGAGCCCTAAGTGTGATGAGTACAGCTTCGTAACAATGGTGAGACGTGAACACATACCTTGAACTTCTTATCCTCAGTCCTCCGCATCCTGACGGCGTTCGTCCGCCCGTACTTGTCGAAGAAGTCCTCCAGCTTCCTCTGCGTCTCGGTGTCTTCCTCCTCACCAAAGCCTTTCTGCAGTTGAGTGCTTCCTTGAGAACACGGATACCCTTGAGCGAGGATAGACTCACTGCGTAGATGCTCCTCTCGAACTGGTCCTTCGGCGGCTGCACCTCCGTGCGCCGACGCACCTTGGTGCCGTCCTCGCTCACCTCGAGTTCTGTCGACATGCGGAGTGCATTGGTAATCCATGGTATCCCGTGCTTCTGCCAATCGCGCATACGCTTGAAGGAAGCTACGGTGGAGACGGGCACCCAGTGCTCGGGGTTGGCGGTGTGCAGTGTCCACATGAATCTTGCGCGCGTCTGTCAGGATGTGAAGTGTTATATCTCCGATGTTTACTCACTTGTCGAACGGAAGGTTGGAGTCCGCGAAGTAAAACTCAACTAAGTCGACTAGTCAACACCAGTCACGGCATGATATGACTGTGTCTCACGTACTCTGCCGCACAGCGCGCAGTTTCTCCTCGCTGTCGCTTCCGTCAGCCTCCTGCTTGGTTTCCGATCCCGCGTCGCTGCCTGCCTTCACAATCGTCGGAGGGACCACCGCAGTCCCGGACTCCGTCTGCTTGGCCTCACTCGGCGCGCTGCCCGCGTCCTCCACGTCCATTTTGACCTCCTCGACGGCAGGTTTGGCAGTTGCAGACATAACTTCTATGCAACAATGAAATATAGAGGGACACGAGGGAGGGATAAGGGGGCGCAGAAGGAGATGGAGGAGGAAATGAAGGAGGAAATGGAGCAGAAAATGAACAGGAAATCGCGTCGCGCGATCTGCCCGATCAGAGATCTCGCGCTAAATCTCGGCATCTGCCGGCGTGATCGAGTCTCTCGGATAAGCGCCCAGTGGGAGTGGCGCGGGATTGCGTTGACCGCTCGCTCAGCAGCGACTTGTCTGCAACAGCCATGTCCTCGCGCACCAAACGAAGGGCGGAGCCGTCGGAGAGCGACAAGAAGAAAAGCAAGAAGTGAGTAAGACTTGTTATAATTTTGCTGATAATGGAATCTTATGCGGTGCAAGGTCGAAGCGCGATGAAGAGTCTGAGGATGAAGTCGGCGGCAGCGACGATTCTGATGCTGGGGTCGATGAAGGTGCGCCTGTGTGGCATAAGCTATTGGGAGGGCTACGCACTAATATATGCAACATATGCAACAAGATGAGCTTGGTGCGCTCGATACGAGCAATATCATCACAGGAGGGCGCAGGACCCGCGGTGTCCGCATAGATTACACCAAGGTCCAGAATCTCGACCAGTACGATGAAGAGGAGGAAGAGGAGGAAGAGCGTCCTCAAAAGAAGAAACCGAAGGCAAAGGCAGTTACCAAACTGCCCGCCAGCGCAACATCGAAGCAGAAGCAGAAGAAACCCGGCTCTTCTTCCTCGTCCAAGGCTAAGGAGCAACCCGCATCGTCGTCGAAGTCGTCGAAGCGGGTCGTCGAGTCTGAGGAGGAAGAGGAAGAGGAGGACAAGGGTAACGGCGACGAAGAGGAAGAAGAGGAAGCCGAGGACGAAGAAGACGAGTGATACCCGGATATTTGTACACTGTATCATATTGTGCGTGGTGCGTTTGTATGTTTCTTATCATGTGCAAACTTCGTTGAGAACAAGTGGGCCGAGTCGGCGTCATATCCTACATATCTGTCCAAACGTTCATGTGATCCATCTCTAGATCAAGAACCCTGAAGCTTGCGTCTGTCGGGACAATCAATTTGGCTAGGGACCATGCGCGGTCCTGTCCCCACAGAGTCACTATAGGCGCAGCGCCGCCTTGCCCTTCTCATTCCGCTACCAAAGCAGTACCGCTCTATTTCCGTTGCAACGCCCAGTGGCTGCCATTTGTCATCGACTCATCCACAGTACTCTGCAAAGGCAGCACTTCCATGACAAGGCTCGATACTAGGTTCAGCTCAGCAACAAGGCTGACTATGTCCTAGGTTCTATTCGAGCTGGCTGGATTGGGTGCGTACATGGCAGCAGCTAAAGTGGCATGTGTTTATCTTACGTGGTCATATCATGCGTAGCTGCGCTATGCTTGCTGCGTTACTTGTTCCTCGCCAAGTTACACTCTAGGTGAGTTTGCACTACGTCACAGTGGCCGTGCTCGTTCAACTCTATGCACGCAGGTCCCCTTCCCTTCGCTGGAAATATTTCACAGGTCCCACGTCGCAATGTTACAGCCTCCCTCAGGCTCGCATCACTGTCGAAATCCTATGGTTAGTGATCAAGTCTGTCAGCGTAGGCACTACATTGAATGATGCTTGCTGTAGGGAATATCGTCTACGTGCCTGTCTTTGAACGGGAATTCGTGGATCCCCAATCCCGCTAGAGACGCTCTAGGGCTACTCAATCTCCGCGCATTGATGCACCGATTCAGACTCTGCACCACTGTCCGGCGCGTGAGCGATGGATGACCTAAGTTCAAGTACTATATGATGTGGTCACGGTAAATACCAATCTGAATTCGTAGTGGCAGCTATGCACCTTGGTCACAGAAACCTCGGATCAAACACTGAAGATGCGGCTCCGTCCCAGAAACTTGACAGTGGCTGCTCAACGTGTTTTTGAATGCGTAGAGCGGCCCGCGGTTGTCGGTGCTTTTCACCTGACGCGGACGTCCACGACACGATTGCGAACCACTCGTGCGCGATCCCATGCCGGTCATGATGATTTAAGCAGTTGGTGCGTGTCAAACGTCAGGCCTCCTCACCCCAATAACGGAACATTTGCTTTGGACGTCACAGACGGACATGATATTCGAGAGGTGCGCGATAAGGCTTTCGAAAGTACTCTGCAATATACCGGTCAATAATTTTTGCGTATCTTCGTCGTATACAGGCCTGTGGTACTGCCGCTGATCATAGCTTTAGCTTCAGTCCACCTTTTCACCCATAATCGATCATACCGGTGGACCGACGATATTTCGTGCGCAGATTGTACTTATCGGACACAAGTGTCGGACTGTTGGTAATTACAGAAGACAGGCCGGGCGGCGGCACAGCACACGGATCGGTCAAAATCCAGATCCGATGCTGCGCGCCTTTTCGATGAGGGGCTCATCGTTATGGAGTCAGAGCATCCGGTATGTAGGGCACCTGGAATATTGATACGAATCGACGACTGAGAGGTTATATAGCATAGGTACAGAGCCAGTGGACTGCCTCAGATTTCTTCGCTACATCAGGGCCGCCCTATCTCATCTCCTGGCAAGTATACGTCATGAGTTCTCCGCCGGCGTTAGATGGCCTTCTCGGGGCAACCTTCATTGGAATCATCCTGTCCACGATGTATGTGTCCCTCCGTACATCCGTTCTACAGCCTCCTCATGAAATCGTCGATTCCCGACTGTCTAGCATCTACGGAGTTACATGTATGCAAGTTTATTCCTACTATACTCAGCACTCTCGCCGAGACGGCCGTGGCATAAAAATATATGTAAGAAAACACCGTCTCTGAAAGGAAATATGGACTCAAACTCGCATACGCAGGTTGCAATTCAGATGTACGTCCTGCATTGAGCCCCAATCTGAGTCATCTTCAAACAAAGCTAAATAGCATCAAGGGCTCTCGATTCCTTACATGTCGCACTCTTGGTTACTACCTATTACTACTATACAGTGACTCATTTCGGCGACTACGTGAGACTTCAGGCGGATACTTGGTAGGCACGCATCAGCATGGATATACAGCCAGTCATCTGACACGTTTTATCGACTTTGTAGGAGTTTATCGGTACGAGTGTTTTCATGAGCCAGTTCAATGCATCGTCGCACTAACGCTGAGCCGGACAACGCAGGTACAAAGCACGGTTGGGGTCAGCAGCTATCACGCTATCGGACCCTGTATGCGTCTCGCTAATCATGCGGCTACATAGGGTGCTCTGAGTTCAATGGCTCAGCTGTGAGTTCCGAGTGCTTATGGACGCTTGTTGGGGGACTCACACGGACATTCCAGTTTTTTCGCGTATCGCCTATACAAATGTGAGGTCATAGCCTATACTTCGTATTTGATACCTATAAAGACATCGTCTTGTCAGTCAACAACAAGAACTTGTGGTTACCGATTACAATTGTGCGTGCTGCTACCATCTCACAAAACGCACTAGTACTATCCATTCTGAAACGGATTGGCGGTACAAAGTGTAGCTTCTCAATCGCGCAACTTGGTGTGTACCGTTGTCCGCTACATAGCCTTCAGCCGCTCATGTGTTGTCCGCCAGGTTGCTCGTTCGGTACTACCGTTATCTTGAGTTTCGCCTCACAATCAAGTAACTGAAGTCTTTTTCTCAACAACATAGCATACACAGTTGTGGGGTACGAGTCTGGTACAGTGAACAATTATATGCATCGTTAACTCATCGAGGCGTTGTACAGATACAACAACCATTACTTTGACTCGTCTCCAAAAGCGACGGTTCGTAGACTCGTACTCATTGAAGGTGGTTGAAGACTCATCAGGACTCGATGAAGGCATACGTTGCCGCAGCACTCGTTGCTGACATCGTCTGCGATTCAATGATCGCAGCGAGTACAATTTATATCCTCCATATGGGACGCACCGGGTTCTCGAAGTGGGTTCAACCGTCACCAGCGTACCCTTTGCGACACTATTGACGATGACTTCTCAGGACCAACAGGGTAATCAACCTACTGATAGCATATGCGTTGAACACCTGTACGCAATTACTCTGATATTGCCCCGTTGACACGTAGTGCTGATGACTGCGCGGTCGCATGGCAGGCCTTTTGACAACGTGAGTGAGCACGGAGGACCGTACATTAATGTCTGATTTCCTTTTCAGCGTTTTCACAGCGATATGCCTCATCATCGTGAGATGACATTCGCGAAGGTTCATGCTCATATATGATGGCTGATGGCAAGGTATCATCTAGTGGTATACCTCGACGGACACGCTGATTTATAGTATATTCTACTTCATTCTCGTTCGACGTGCGTCCGTTATAAACCTCTGACATATCACTGCGCAACTGACTTCAAGATCCCTGACAGTGTACTCCTGCTCCATAGTATCAACGTGAGTGACAGATTACTGCAACTCGTGTCCATTCTGATCTGTTTCCATTCAGCTTGAACACGAGAGACGGGATGAAACACTTTCTGGACTCCGGCTCTCACGAACTGTTTAACATTCGCCCCGCCACTGCAGTAACGCCGGATGAAGGTTCTTCCGGGCAGCTAGCTCGAAGCAAGGGTTGGGTGGCTCCTCAACCTTTGACCATTGATACGAGGACGGATGATATTGTCAGGGACACCATGGACGAAGACAAGACCAAAGCACTGGCTTGATTATTCTGATTATATTTGTGTCCATGAACTGCGATAGAAGTAAATAACGGCTGGCAGCTGTATATCTACCGTTGAATGAGCTTCGCGACAATAGAGCGCGAGGGCGGGCAAATCACGGAAACGGGTGAGGTGCGAGGCCGGGGCGAGAAAGTGGGGAGAAGGGCGGGTGCAGGCGCAAGCGCACCAACCCGCGCATTCAACACTAAGGTAGGTGAACTCGCGGTTCACTGCGAACACCGGCGGTGAGCCCGGGTAGTAGGGTACGAGTAGCACCGTATGTGGGTACGGGTATGTGGGTCGCGGGTGTGGTATGCACCCTGTGCACCCGCAGCGCTACCTTCTTCGACGATCGCGGGCTTTCCTTCCCAGAGGGCTCTACCTAGCAGGTGCATGCAAATGTGAGCACACGATGTTCATTCCCCCTTACACGACGCTAGCTGCTGACGAGTTATTGATCCACTGTAGGTTACCCGGTCCGTGGCCGAGATAGATCCTGTTCATACCAATAAGATCCCTGTTGTAAACAGACTCACTCCTGTCGAGTACGTGATGTCTGTACTACTGTGCATTGTACACTGACCTCTGGCATTCTCTGACTCTAGCTGGAGCTGCCCGCCAACTTGGAGGCAGAGCCGCAGTACTCGGATGGTAATGCCAACAAGCCCGTGACTGTCTTCCGAATCCTAGCGCGAACTGCTTGCAATGCTGACGAGATCTCAAAGTTCGACATTTCTCCCGGGTCCCGAACCGTATGTCTACTCGGTGAATGATGCTAACAAAGCGACGGCGGGAAGTACTGTCAACACGTGCGTCAGCGTAGAAGTCCACCTACGCCCTGGCCGTGTCCCATCACAGCCCAGATTCCTGATAGTGGTCGCTACTATAATCACTCGAAGCCAATCCCTGAGGCCGACAACAAGTACGTCGCATTCAAAGGTCGGCTGACTGGAGTCGAGCGCGACGGGAATGGTATCGCTCTGTGAATCTACGTCGACGTTACAGATGGTATTTCCTTCCTTGGTACGCCGGCGGCTGTTAGTCGGGGTGTTCAATCACAAGTTATTTCGACTTCCGAAGGTTCCGGATGGTGAGTACTCTTATCCATGCATGCCAATTTGACGAGTATTCATACCTTCAAACGCCAGGCATGCCAGCCTTTAAGAAGTTATGCAGGTCCGGTTTAAGTGTAACCCGTGTCAGGGAGTCATCTCCCACGCCCACTCCTTCGAGAGGCAAAAAACATACCTCTGGGCCGGCAGAATGGATGTGCGAGTGAACTCGCATTGGCGCGGCGACACCAGTGGCTGGCGTGTGTAGTAGTTCATCGTGAAATTGTCCGGCATAGAACTGTTACGTTGCTGCGATATGATAGACAACAATAAGGCCTTCAATGCAATGCTGCTCAACCGTAGCGGAGCACGGGTATCCGCTAGTATAGGATATATAGGATATAGGATGGGATAGGATAATGCCCCCCCGTTGATGGCCCGGGGTTTTCGACCCGGAGGACTCCAATCCTACACATATCACAGCGTTTCCACTAACCTCCTAGAAGCCTCCTGCATACGTTCCATCGAAGTCCAGCTGCGTAGAAGGAGGTGCCCGTTTGGAGCGCATCTGTGCGGACAGTTCCGAATTGGCCTCTGTGTGGACCCTCTGGGCTTCGACAATCGGGATGCTGATGAGGCCGTGGGCTTCGAGGACGTGTTTCACGGTTTCCCTCGAGTTCAACCTGGACACAAACATCATTCTCGAGTAGATTCAATGAGAATGCATACGCACGTCGAGAGTGTGGTGCAGGTGTACACTGAGGTATTAGAGTCATGAGGTGCGTGACAACTCCTGATAGCTGGGCCTACTCACGGCGAATCAGGACAAACCAGAAGACAGTGTACACCATGGTCTCAGAGTAGATGAGAAACTAGTAACGTTGTTTAGCGTGGACCGAAATGGATACTTGGTTTCTCACCGTTATGAGGTGCAAAACCGCAAACATCCTGCATCTTCGTCAATGACAGTGGCTTCGGCAAGTGAAAATCGGCCTTACGTAGTAAGCATACCTATAACGACCACGAGTCAATAAGAGAAGCAGTATTGTTGAGTACCAACTACTCACATGTGTTCAATGCATACACGATGAGCAGATTAATGGCACGTTTCGTCCTTTCGCATAAAGACATTAGCTGGTGAAGAGTAAACATCTTGGAAGATCGATGCGTACTTAGGGAAACCCGTCCGTCTCACGCGCAGGTAGTAAATGAGGGTGACGACAATCAGCAAATCGCATGCTATGCCGACCCCCAAGCCGGCTACGGTGTATGGCTGGAACGGACATATCATGGAAAAGAACACGGGAAAGGAGTGCGAAGCGTACCAGTAGTGCATCGGCTTTGGTGAGGTGTATAATCTCAACCCTGTCAAAATCAGACGTGAGGTCAGTTGGGTGTACGGCAGAGCACGCTGATATCAGAGTACCCAACGACAGTGTATGCTAATAGAATCAATTCATTGGGGACGAGTCGCATAATATATGTGATACGCGTACCTATTCCGAGAGCTAGAATTTATTCGGATATGTCAAAAGTATACGGACCGATAACGTTGAGAAATGGACCTAATTGTGAGATACTCAACACAGACTGGCGTGAAATTAGACCTGAACCTCGCGTGTAGTGACAACAGTGTACTTACTATGGAGAGAGGCAGCAGTATGCGTTTGTTGCCAACTTGATCGTCAATAGAGTATTCAATGACATGCCAGTGTCTGCGTGCGCCAAATCTGGTGCGACTCACGTATATAAACTCGGTATGCGAAGAAGCTTTGACAGTTGCATGTCGGTGCGGCTTCAGCAACAATCGGCAAAGTGATTCTTACTGTTGGACCATAGCACCTAGTACACCCTGTAAGCTGTAAATCAGTGTGGCGTGCCTTATCTACGTCTGCCGTATGACTCACACCGACAGTGACCTGACCCTACAGAATGATGAGCACGATAAGATGACACAAAGGAACACACGTACCAAGAGGGCCCTGATATCGATACGGGTAAGATCTCTGTGCCAGTGCAAGATGAGTACGAACATACACACCAATAGTTACTGTCTAACGCGAGCGGGTCATTGAACGACGTCACAGTGTAATGATAGTTCGTCAGTATTAGCAATACGACGTGCAAACTATCGATTGTCCTAGTAGCGTTGTCAGCTTGGGAGCGCCGGTGGTAACAAAGATTGGACGTCTACATGAGCGCAGCGACCTTCCGAGACAGCTCCGACAATCAGCGAGGCTTATATGCATCGAAGTTAGATCCAACCGTACATAAAGTTTGAGAGTGATTCCGTCCTTGTTCGAGAATCTCGTGTAATAGAGATACAGTTGTAGGCAGGTTATCCCGAATAGACTTGGTGACGAACGTCGGCGTCAGTACTAGGAGTGTCTTCAAGGCAGCAGCATACTCACATGCTCGAGACGACGACGCCAATGGACAATGGACCCAATACAATGGACGGTAGCGGTGACATGGCTAACAAAGTTGTGTACCGATATCGACAAACTGTCGTTTTTGTACCTCGATGCGAAACTCAATCACTGACAGACAACTTGAAGGTGAGACCCCTTGACACTTGCCTTCATAAGACTCGTGATAGTCAACTTGAACGAAGCTCTCGTAGAGTTGGCAGTCGTGAGCATGGGCCTATCATACCGCCGAACATATCAGTGATACTGATGAACCATAGTAGCCTATTAGTAGGTCGCTGAGAAGTTCAAGGTACGGAGCATCTAAAACGTCCAGTCCCTTGATCACTGTGAGCAATTCGCAGCGGCACTTATCCCAATAGCCGGTCTATCTCTCGAAGTCCTCACATTAATGGCCACGACATCATGGGCCAAACCGGAGCTTACTCTCGATCGTTTGGACTTCTCGTGGAACGCGAGCCGAGTCGCAGCCCTCCATATCGGAGTATCAGGGTCCAATAGCGGTGTACGGGCAGACCGACCAGCCTTCGTGCTGCGCCGACTCCGAGATACACCGGCGACTCATTCCCTCAGGCGTCTCGATATCTACCCGGGCCCGCTCCTACAGCATTATGTCCACTGGCAGCCCACCCCGGAGCACTGCATGAAGCCGGCTGCCGGACAACGTCTATCTTGGCGAGATTATTGCATCCATGCTCTTGGATCATCCAGCCTTGGTAGTGACCTTCCATGCTCGCGGTCTGGCGCGGGCAGCCGAGTTCGCTCGTCGCGGCTCCCTTGCGGTATATGTCATACGATCTTCCCTGGGATTTGCCTCTACAAACGCACGCACACGCTTGCGGTTCGTACATGATTATGTGGAACATACCTTTCTGCATTTGAAAATCGGTGGGCACATGATTGGGACATTGAACGCGGCGGATGTCTCGGGGAGTGTCCTTGTCCTATAGACCGACCCTTAATCAGTAAGTCGAAACGGCGTGGGATGACTTAACGATAGTAGCGTTGTTCAAATGCGCGTCCAAACGCTGTCTGAGTGTTCCGCAATACGGTCATCATGTGTAGTTAGTACGGCTCGACGTGAAGGAGGGTGGTACGGACAATGGGAAATCATTTCTGAGCGATGTAACGACTATAGGTGACTAGTACAACGCCCCCTTGAAACAGAAATGCAGACGGGAACCAGCGTCGAAACTAGCCTAGTTATACACCAAATGCGAACACTTTGTAGCACAGTAGAGCGATATCCGTGAAGACTGACTGATAACATCATGGCTCTAAGGATCCTGACACAGACAGTACTCTTATGTAGCTTAGTCGGCAACTTCGATCATCTTCACCCATAAACCTCCCTGCCGAGATCGAAAAGCTGTAAACTAGGAATAGCTCGGATCAGGTACGAAAGGTGCTCACATTCACGTATAGCGTCAGGTGAACCTTGGGCCATATCTTCTCAATGCTCTTCCTACCCCAGGCACTCGACCATGCCCTTGGAGGAAGGGACTCCGGAGGTTGAGCCTCCAGATCGAGGCTCATTGAGTCGAATCGCTGTAGCAGCTTGATGAGGAAGAACGATACTTCATTGTACGCGAACTGCGCCGGAAAAGATCAGAAGGGGCCGGGATAAGGAACCCCGTATAGGGTGAGTAGGCTGACCTGTTGGCCCAGACAGATACGGGGTCCTGCGTTGAACGGCAGGAAAATAAATGGATTCGGTACCAGATATTTGTTTAGGCGCTCGTCCAAGAATCGATCCGGGTCAAATTCCATGGCTTAATATGATTCGACGGGGTCAGCTCCCCTCGCGGTACTTCGGGAAAATGCAAACATACCGTCAGGCCCCCAGTAATCTGTGTTCCGGTGCATGACAAAAGGATAGTACGACACCCTAAACACTCGCTTGGTGTCGGTGCAGATACGACGTGAACGATGATGCTGAATACGCTCACGGAGTTCCAGGAGGAACATAGAATGGCTTTCCCTTCGGATCTGTGTTTGGCAGGAACCCCTCTTCGACAGCATACCTGTGATACAGTTAGCTATCTCCAACAATATTTTAGACGTCGTGCAGCATACCTCATGTTGAACGGGCTGCATCAATAGAGACATGTCAGCGAATGATGATGTTTGCAGTATCATTGACGCGCTTACACGGCAGGGTATAGACGCAAAGTCTCATTGATGACTGCGCGTAGGTACTTCATCTCTTTGATGTCCTCGTACGTAGGTCGACCGGATCGTCCGACCTTCTGAAATATCTCCGAACGCAGACGTGTCAAGACATCTGGATGTTCGCAAAGCAGATACACGGCAAACGTGAGGGTTGACGCCGTCTGGCGACGACGGAGAGATCAAGTCAGTTGGGAGTCAGATCTATATGTTGTTTACAGACCGTGTCACGTCCAGCCAGGAGTATGTTCAATACTTCGTCGTGGAGTATTACGGGATCTGTGCATCCGAAGTTGAGTCACTGAACAGAAGAACAAGGAGGGACACGAACCCGACGTGTATTGCACAAGATTTTCCAGAAAGGTCTCCTTGTCATCTTTGTCGGCACCGCTTTGTCCCCGGCGTGCATCTGCGGATGCGGCCTTCTTCTTGAGCGCGTCTTTGATGATCGGTTTTAGGAATTCATCTACAACTTTCATGTGGCTCGTGCTTTTGTTCTCCAGAGTCTCAAACAGAGGCCAGATCCACCCACGCCAAGCTCTCTCTGAGCAGACGTGTTCTGCCTCCTGAAAAGCGGTAGCAAATCTCCGCGCTGTGATCACTTGTGTGGCATCGTCCATCAAGCTTCCTTCAGTCGTGATCTGAGGGGTTGACCCTAGAGAATCGACGCAGAATCCAAACAAAAACTCGCTCGCGGAGTCGAGAGTAAATCTCGAGACAAGATCCTGGTAGAACACTTCCATTGATTGATGCTGACCAAAAATATGTCTTCAGGGACCAACCTGGAAGTCGATAGCAGCACCGGAACGAAATCGGTGGCACATTTTCTTGATTGCAAGATCTGGAAGAGGTTGCCTCGTCACATTACTTCATTAGCCGGTGCAGATCGAGTGTTAGTACAGACCAGCACGCTTATCGAAGAGCTCGAAGTGGCTAATCTTGTCCTTGCTGAAGAACGGCCTCGTCATAGCCCGGTGGAATCTGAGTGATATTGAGTACACATATCGAAGGACAGTGCGTAACGGGTGGTGAATACTCACTTCCACATGTCACCTGGGTCGGATATTATATGATTATGAGCATGAGCGTAGCCACTACACAATGACTGACTCGCCATCACTGTTGAAGACACCTGTACCCAAGAGAGGGCTCATGAAACCGGAGAACGTCTCGCCTACAACGAACCAATCCCAGGATGACCTCAGGATGGTTCCGACGACCCCGAGAGCTACCCACCTTTGACATAGTTATCAAATTCTGTAGCGAGAATTGTCTGCGCGTCACATATTAGATGAAGTACAACGGAGTCCGCAACGCCCACCTTGATGACATTTGGATCGCAAGTAATGTACTAAGTAGACGGATGTCAGAGTAGGTCCGACGCTGAGGGCAGAATATATCACCATCGGGTCCCAGAGAATATTGGTCTGTACCGTGGGACCCTGCTTCATGAATTGGGGCCACGCAAAATCGCCTTCAAGTGCAGAAAAATTCGGGCATTAGCGAGGAAACGTAGAGAGACAAGGACATAGCCTGATAGTCTGACATAGCCAGATACGTGGTCATCCAACGTTCGAGCCGTGGTGAGCAACGGGATAGCAGAAGGAAGCCGCGATGCCTTCCGCGACACAGCAGACAATGCATGTATCAACTGAGCTGAAGTTGATTCGCCCACCTGGGTAACCTTTGTTTAGAGTGTCCACCATCTCCTGCATTACGTCGAAATGTCCTGGTAGTTTCCCGTCCCATCTTGGAGGGAGAATAGCGCCAGCCCGACTAGCAGCACGATATATGGCCCGATATCGCTGACTGATGCGAGCGGCTACGAACAGAGGTGCACTAGCAAGGGTGAGTGTCCAGACGAGGGTACAGGATAGGTTGAGGTAATGTTGCCATGTTAGAACCGCGTACACGACAGCAGGAGGAACGACGACTGTGACAGAGTTTTGAATCAGGAAAAGGATGCCCGGAGGCAGGCGAGCCATCGAAGGGAGAGATAACAAGTGAGCAGCGTATGCGAGCAAAGTTCGAACAAGGCTCCTAGCTGGGCTACACGCGGCCGATGGGACTGAGTTACTTGTATTGCAGATGCAAGTCACGGCGCGTTATAACTTATAAGGATGTGCCCATCAACCCAAATCGGAGCCCGTCTCGGAGCCGGGAGCTCGAGGAGGAAGAGGTCTACGCGTAGCACACGTGCCAGTGTTGACCATACGCGACATCGGAGTAGCGGGGGTCTCAGTGAGTGGGCGTTTGCGAGGATAAATTTAGCCCGACCATGTCAATATCGCGGGTCGTCACGTTCACGTGATCAACTGTCACACAGTCAACACATTTAGCCATCGGCCGCAGGTGCACGTGCGATCCTCGGCATCTTGACGGTGACAGCGTTCACTACTTATTTACAACACCACAACCTCTAACTTAGTGCTACCGACTACATTTCCACCCTTTGTACAAGCAACCATTCGATCCTTACCACTCTGGACCGACCCCGCAAGCCCTCCTCTTCCGACATCGCGAGGAGGAGGAGGAGGGTTCTGATTTAGCCACCGGCCGCTCACGCTGTCGCACGCGCGATCATGGGCGTCTTCACCGCGGTATGTAGGTGTGACAGCGCTCACTATACTGTTCCAACACCACGACCCACAGTACCACCGGCTATACTACCACTACTAGCTGTACCAGCATTATCCTGATCACTACTGCCGCGCCCGAGGACATTCGGACAGAGAAGGCTCAGGTTATCTTCGATCGGACTTGTCACGCCCTAAGTGAGCTCGTCGCAACGGCATCCTCCATACTAATTGTTACATGCGGCCCAATACGGCCCACGGCGGCCAGTCACTACGCTTCTACGTCTCACAAGCAGGGCAGTGTCAATTACATCTCTCCAATTCCTCCACGATTGTTCATCTTTCGTCATGAACTCGGTACGTATCATGATACATGTGCTGGGATAACGCGCTGCTCATATTCGTCTATCAGCGCAGTCGCTAACAACATTCTTGATTCGGAACTTGAAGCTTGTTCCGAGTGGGAAATTCGTTCAGGAAGCCGAATGTGCGACTTCTCACTGCGACTTCTTGAGGCTATTCTCTAGATGCCCTGTACCCCGTGGTAGCCGCCTTGAACCGTCAGTCTCCAGGCCTCACAGGCTAACTCGGACTTCTTCCATGCGTCTTCCCTCCGACTGGCACGCCCTTTTGTACACTGCAGCCTGCTCTCACACTACAGGTATCAGAACCTAAAGTCATTCTCCTCCCGTCTCTCATGGCCAAGTCTCGCAAGACCATCTTAATTACAGGGTCTGTAGTCCCTGCCACTTGCCGTTTTTGGGAGAGAAAGCTTAGGCCGATACGGCGGTACCTTTTTTACAGATGCAGTCGCGGCGGTATCGGTGACGCTCTCGCGCGTAGATTCCACGAAGCTGGTGAGTCCGCACCACTCCGCTTCCATCTGTGTTCATGCGCTGAAGGTTTTGATGTCTTCGCCACCGCGAGGAGCCTCAATAGTATGGAGCATCTTGCTTCAGTCGGAATTCGGACCATGGCGTTGGATGTGACCGACATACAAGCCCTTCGTAAAGTCAAGGCCAATATTTCCGAGATTACGGGTGGCAAGCTGGACATCCTTGTGAATAATGCGTGCGTGGTATATCCTGTCTACTGCAGAAGAGCACGCTTAATGAAGGACTACAAGCGGACTAGGTATGCACGCGGCACCACATTGAGGAAACATACAGGTGACAATCTCGGCGGTTTGAAATGCAGCTTATCCTGTCGCCGCCACGGACTTCGATATGTCCGAAGTTCGCCCCTTGTTCGAAGCGAGCCTCTTCGCAGTGATGACTATGGTTCAAGAGTTCGTCAATTTGCTCATCGCCTCCGGAGACGCGTGCATTGTACAGACCGGAAGCGTCTCAGGATTCACTCCCGTACCGTTCAGTTCAGCCGCCTATAATGCGTCCAAGGCTGCTCTGCACGCGTATGGCAACACAATCCGCGTCGAATTGGCGCCATTCCAGTACGTTCATCCGGCAGTTTGTCGACCTGCATCGCGCTGAAATTCAGTGTCATAGCATCAAAGTAGTGAATGTACTGTCTCGGCGATGAATCAGACTCGCATATGCTGATGCTGTGCAGATCATCACGGGCGCCGTCAAGAGTAACATAGCAAAACCACGTTCGCTACCCTCTAACTCTTTGTATCGCCCAATGGAGAAGCTCTATCAGGAGCGTCATCTTAATACTTCTCAGCGTGAGTGGCCCCTCTCATTATTGACACGATCACTCATGACCGCTGAAGAGAACGCCACTGACACTGATGTGTACGCGCACGAGGTCGTGTCTGAAGTTCTGAAGCCAAATCCGCGTGCATGGTTCTGGGCTGGGGCACGAACTATGTCGGCGTGGGTCGTGGATACCTTCTTGCCCAGACGTACCTTCGTAAGTGTTCCGTTGGTCGCCTTGATGTTCAACGATGCAGGGACTCATTATGTTCCAGGACTTGATCATGAATAAAATGTATGGTTTTGATACCTTCGTGGCTATGCTGCAGGAGAACTCCAAGAATGTGTGAGGACGTGCTGCACCCTGATTACTCGTGAAGAATACTAGGGCAAGTGTACCGACTCGCAACACATCGTAATGCCAATCTCCGACTCACAGCGAACGCTATGTACCGTCGGTATTCCTGACAAGGATAAAGTTTATTCCGATGTCCGACAGTTCACGAGCATTGGTATGACGAGTCACAAGCAGTTGCTGCTCGTCGTTTGTTTCTCGAGTGAGATTTCCGCCATAGCATCGTTGTGCGGAACTGTTCACAATCCGTGTGGTTCATTGGCTCAGAATCGTCATATAATAGCGTAACAACAGTCATGTAATGCGTGCAGAACGGCACCAACACCCGACTTCGCTTCCCCGTAAGCCATACAATCCTACGCATGAAACACCCTAGTCGCGCTGCAGGTACCGGTCACCGTGCACCACTCTACTCGTAGGTGACAATAACAGAAAAGAAAGTCATGGCGGGCCTCTTGGTCAGGACGTCATAGGTACAATCGAAGAAGTGAGGTGACCCTCGGAGCGAACAACTGTCGTATCACCGGGAGGACCTACTACGTGCGTGGCGCCATGCCGTGCGGCCATGCGCGTACCAATCTTGGATCTACACTGTCTTCTTTGTCGACGTACATATGGCCGGTCAACATGATCGTCAACGGCCAGCGCCACGTCCGCAGGCACTGCCAGGAGATGAGTCGAATACGTGACGATCTGTGATGATACGCGTATGAGTGGACTCGCCGATCCGAGTACGGCTGACCCGCGTGTCGAAGCACGGTGACCGAAAGCGGGTGGGGAACTGTATTCCGAATGTGCAAAGGTACGAGGTGGCGAATGTAAGTAGCAGGAATGTGCGCGTACCTTATATAGGAACTGGGCGATGCGGAGGGCGAGCGGCAGCGACAACGCTGGTGCTTTGGCACTGGATACTGATGGGACGGGAGGTTGAGACATGCATGCAAATGCACCACGAGTTAGGGCACAAGCCCGCCTTGTCCTCGCGTCCATCATGCTGGTCTGTATGGTAGATGGGCAATTGGTCGTATGGTTAGAATGTCAGAGAAGGCATACTCACAATTACGTGGTATCCGTAGCACCCACTGCTGTCACTGTGTACACGCGCGGCAGTCTTGTTCATCGTATCTCTGTCGATCTGTGCTGCTGGCAGCTGCAAGGGTGAAGAGCAGCGTGTGGCGGGGAGGCGGCGACACAACGCTCGAAGGACAACCAACCGCGACGCCCCAGCACTCACGTCCGGCCTCGCCACACAGTGGGCTAGCCTCGCCGAGCAGTCCGTCGGGCGACTCCGTGTCCTCCTTTCCGTCCGAGATCTCGTCCTCCTTCCTCTTCTCCTGGCAGCCCTCCACATTCAGGCCTCGGGGAGGCGGCGGTCGCAGCTGCGACCGCACGTCATATCAGAGTCGATGACGTTCGCCCAGAAGATCTCGTTCGACATGGTAGCCTCCTTCTGAAGGGATATACCGCGGGCAGTGGAAACGGCCGCCACTGGGCGTTGCAACGGAAAGAGAGAGATATGTAGTGGTTTGGTACTAGGAGCGAGAGTCAGGAGGCAAATCACCACTTGCCTTTTTCATCCGGAACCCTTCAGGCGCGGTTACGTCGGACCAAGAACGAGAATAACTCTTTTTGGTCAGCAACGGAGACTAGAACGTTCTGCATGTTTTTAGAGCATTCGCCGTGGATAGACACGAGTAGCTATATAACCACCAGCTACCGTTACCCGCTAGTCCGTGGATAAAGGTCTCGCGCCACACGCCTCAGCCACCTCGCGTCTCGCGACTGTCGCCTTCACACAACGCTCCATGCCTCGCTCAGTACTCGTTCTATGGCTACGACGACCTTGTTTTCGGAATCTACGCGTCAAAATCACCTCAGGGAAGGTCTCGGGAAGGCCATATCGACAGTAAGTGACTCGCAAGACCTCCAGATGAGTCGGCGAACACCCGCAGACCGCAGGACTGGCGCACGGGTCTTATACATCGCGTGTTGGGATGCTAGGAGAGAATTGGTCGAGCCGAGGATGTCGTTTGCTGGGGTGGAAGGGTAGAGATTGTTCGATGTTAGTGAGTTGTCCTTCAGTCCTTCTGCACAAGTTTCGCGGTGCCAAGCAGCCCCGCTCAGTACCGCCGGGCTCATAGCATAGTTGTTCGCAATTTTGAATGTAGCAATACACCATCAGTGTTGAAACACTCAATTTTCAACCTCGATATGTGAAACATCAATGACACGACCTTGTGTCCAACGCCAGCGCCACCTCCCGGACCCGCCGCGCTCTGCAGGAGGTCCAGCTGCTACGCCGATACAATCGTGTTCACATAACTATGTACCGGTATACAGCTGCATGTATGTGCTCATATTCCACACTTAAGTACCAGAATACATCCCACAGCATACATGCTGTAATTCGTTAGTGCGACAAGAAGCCGGCATCCTCACTGACACCACCAGCCTGAGTACCATATCCTGGAGCCAAACTGCATGACCGTTGACAAACTGGGTCGTGTATACTGTCTCAAGCTTTTCGTATAAAATACATACTGCGATCTAGTCGCCGTACAGTCTACTCCAGTATCCCAACACGCGATGTATAAGACTCGTGCGCCAGTACTGCTGTCTGTGGGTGTTCGCCGACTTGTCTGGAGGTCTTGCGAGTCGCTTACTGTCGATATGGCCTTCCCGAGACCTTCCCTGAGGTGATTTTGACGCGTAGATTCCGAAAACAAGGTCGTCGTAGCCATAGAACGAGTACTGAGCGAGGCATGGAGCGTTGTGTGAAGGCGACAGTCGCGAGACGCGAGGTGGCTGAGGCGTGTGGCGCGAGACCTTTATCCACGGACTAGCGGGTAACGGTAACCAGCGGCCAGTCACAGCAAGTTGCGACTGTATGTCAAACTCATTTGGCTTCGCAGGTTCTCAAACGAGTTAATATACACCTGAGTTCCTTCACTGCTAATCCATAATAAATACTGTACGTCTGACCACCGACGATACTCGAGAACCCATGTGACGCTGCAGGGATCTCCGAAGAGAAGCTACCGTGCATGTAGCTCTTCAAGTTCACGGTAGCGCTGCGTGTTTGTCTTCATCGGCATCATTCAACGTAGCAGAGGCCTTGCTTGCTGTATCCGCCGTACTCTGTTTGCTGCCAAACAGGCGGTGTGCCGTCCCAGTCGGGCCATGGAACACCCTTCCCGAAAGTCCTTCCCCGGATGCTGCTCCGATTGCGGAGCGGATGTTGAGCAATTCGTGAGAGTTATTGCCCAGCACCTGCCTAACGTTGTTTCTAGTATTGAGTCTGAACAAAGGGCCTCAGCAGAGCGGAGGGTGCATAACTCAGATGATTGGAACTTACGTCGACATCAGCGAACACGAGTACACTGAGATGCATCAGCAAGGTAGTGACATAGGCACAGTACACGTGGACGTACATCGGACAAGAATGAAGTAGAACGGAGCGTAGATGAGAGTGCTCGCCAACATATACCACTAAAATCCCACCAGAATTGAACAATCCAGTATGCGTAAATTTACGTCAACTCACCGTGATGAAGCAAATCAATGTGAATACACTGAAACCATAGTCAGCTATAATGTTCTCTGCGAGTATCAGTGCGCTCACGTCGTGAGGAAGCCTATCATGAGAAATGTATCAGTACATGCTCAACTCATAGTACAAAGAAATGCAAATTCACAGGTATTCAACGCATAGGTAACCAACAAGTTGATTGCCCTGTTCGTTCTATGGTACGAGACATCAGTACAGTTAGTGAGCGTGACTGTGAGTTAATTTACTTCGGAAACTGGGTGCGCCTCCTGGACAGTAGGTATATCATGCTAGCAGCGATCAAAGAATCGCAGACGATGTCCGCAAGGAGGGCCGCCGTTACAAATGGCTAAATTGTCTGTAAGCGGGAGAGGCCTTTGTCCGCACTGAAGACGGAACACATCGACGAACCTTTACCCTCAACGACGTAGTGAAGTAACGGTTTCGGTATCTGTACTGCGTGTCAGAATGCATTAGTAGACGATGTAGAACTCCTTACCCCACAACGGTATACACTGCGTCACAATGGAAGAGTAACGCTAGTCAGAAGATCATTCTAGAGGGAAGGACGAGGTATCTGCACCGATGGAGCAAGCTACAAATGATCGTTCGGTAGTTATTTTTGTATAGACCAGCGAAGATACGAACCAAACTGCGCCAACCCCAGGAGACACTGCGCGGAAGGAACATAAATGAGCGTTTGAGTACCCGGGCGTATGCACACATACGCACAACAACGAGCGGTATCCAGATTGCGCGATCGCTGACTGGTGATGTTGTTAACTGGATACAGACCGGATTGAAGAATGCTGATGCTTACGATGGTATACACGGTACGCGAAAAAGCTGATCACACTGTCAGTACAGTAGGTTACTGACGGAAGACTTGAACGCTTACTATTGCACCAACAGGCTCATGATGCCCTAACATGTTCATGAGCTAATAAAAAGGCAAATGCTTCGGAAATACTGACTCCTATCGTGACCTGTGCCTAGGAACATGTCGATCATGCAGACTCGGGAAACTTGTGGATGATACAGAGAGTTCGTACCGACAGACTCCTACAATCGTTCCAAATAGTGAGCAATGTGTTGGACGGGTTGCAGAATTATTCACCAGGTGTCCTGCAGAAGGGTCATGTAGTTCCCGTAGTACGTTACAGCGTAGTGATAGAACGCCATAGCCAAGAGAACGACATGCAACGTATCAAGAGACCTAGCCGGTGGTGAGCACCACACCCTAGGAGATAAGAAACCGAGTCCTACATCAGAAGCGCAACCTGTGAGGCGTGAGTGTTTATAGTGTATACTCAAGCGTCATCAATCTCACATAGATTTTGAGTCCGCGACCATCCTTTTGGCAGTGTTGAGTATAGTAGAGGTAAACTTGAAGACAATTGATCCCGTATATTCTGTGAGAGGTAAGACAAAGAAGTAACGGACGCGAACAGCTACGCACACTGAGGATATCAATATACCAATGAAGGCGGCACCGAGAATGTTATCCAATGACGGCGCGGGCCCCATCGCTCACTACAGTAGACACTTTGGAGCGGAAGAACTAAAGCAAAGTCAGCTGTGACTGAAGTACTGAAAGCCGGCCCATGAGCCACTAACCGTATATATGCATCCGACAGGGAGATGAGACGTCAAGTTGAGTTATAACTTCTCAGTCAGTGTCAAGTCAGTGCATCACGGAACCTCCGTATCTGGCGCCCTCGATACTAATCGTGCAACAAGGATGGCACGGTAAGTGGCGCGTGAGCTGTTCATCATACGTGAGGGATCAATTCAATGGGTTTGAAAACAACAGAATGACTTCAAGACCCGGAACCAGAGCAAAGGAAGGCGACGACTTTGGGAAACACGATGACACATCAAGTCACGGACACACCTACTTATGTACGCCGATGCCCGTTTACGCGTTTACGATTTGGCTTGCGAGTCTGTCACCTCTTGATTTGGACTGTCAATTGCAGGCCCCGCTCGGAAAGCGCGAACAGAGGCGGAGTGTGTCGAGCTGGTCTGCGCGCGCGAATCCGTATGCACGCCGATCGGGCTGCGCCACCAGCCGGTGGCTGGTGTCCAGTCCGCTCTCGAGTTGCAGACCTCGGTATCAACTTCAAGCGCGTGCTAACAGGCCCAGGAACGCTCTGCATGCACTGAAAATTGACTTGAGCGCGATGGCATCGAATGTCTCACGAGTTACTGTGAGATGCGCGTGGCAGCGTACTAAACCGAACAGTAGGCCGCACAACTGTAAGTTAGAACCATTCAGGTCCTGTCAGCGCCGCGACGGGGTTATCATAAGTCAATCAACGCGAACCTGAGCCATAGATTTGGGGGAACGCGTATGGCAGATATGTATCAGCTCGTCGGCGGAAGAGGAAGAGGCATGCAGACGTGCGCGTGACGGTGGCAATGGCGCGCTTGGTGTGTGACAGCACTACAAACTTTCCGCGTATCTGTAACAGTATTACTATCAAGTATCGAGCGTGTTTCCCCGTATCGCTAGGCCCAGGCCCCAGGGTGTAATGGAACCTTCTCATAACCAGTCCGCCAATTCCGCGTCCAGCACGCGGACTCGCGGTGTGGAGTGCCACTACTACTAGGTGCTCTCAGAGTCACAAGGCCCCGCGGGGTCACGCAGCCCCGACCTAAGTCACGCTACTAGTACTCAGTACGGTACCGCGGTACTACCACCAAACCACCACTCCGAGTCCGAGTCTTGATCACTGCGTCACAAACTCAGTCGCACCTATGTAGCACCCAAGCACTCAGGTTGTCGTTCACCATTGAGAGGATCCGATGTATAAGAAACTTGATTGATAGCATCTGTACCGAGTCTGGTTCCAGTTTGTGATATGGAGTACAATGTGACGCGGATGGCTAGACGGACTCGTATCTCTTGTGTATCTACGGCGTTGTATTATGGCTTCTATCACGCGAGGAGTGGCAGTGCACCAATGAGGCTGGGAAATAAGAGCGACTTACTAATGTTTACCGAACTTCCACAGCCCGAGCGGCGACGCCAGCCTCTTCCATTGAACAGTCTTCTGACGGTTTCTTATGATCCCAGACTGTTCTTGTCTTTTGTACAACCATGCAAAATCACGAATACGCCGCCCGTGGTACCCGCACTCGTTTGGAGGTACTGATGTGCCCGATTCATTCATCAGATACTATATAGTTCGGTCACCACGCTGTCCAACCACACCGGTACCTCTGTCGGCGGTCCTATCGATCACAATAGGGAAAGTTTCTTGCCACGTAGGTGGCGTAGGAATCCGTAGACCGACTGTTCTGGAACCTCACTCACTCGAGGGACGGCATGTGGACACGAGCCTGACAAGTGGTTTCTGGACGTCCGACCATCTTTTCGGGGGCCCGACTCGGAAAGGAGGGTCATTCGCAGTCGATGATGCTGACCTGCCTATCCGTCGTGAACTATCATACCACTTCTCCGCGAAGGTATTGCGAGACGAAGGAAATAACGTCAAGGGGAAACGCCGTTGCCTCGTCTATGAAAGGGTATAGCATAGTTCTGTGCATAACTATACAGGTGTCAGTGCAAAGACAGCGGATAAGACATTTGAATGCTACCTCCAGACGCGGAGCTGTACCGAGACAATCAAGTTATATACATAGGGGACGATGAGCACGCAGTACCAGGTCCGACAGTCGCCCCTACATCGTGGAACGGGCCAAGCAAAGCTCCGCTATCGGATGAGCAGAGCTCACGTTGCTTCCCTGTTGGTCACACTCTCCTGCTCCAACCCCCATTCATCGTCAACGGTAGAATGCAAAGGAAGACCTTTCATGAAAAGACTTGATAGCAACCCCAGACCAGCAATCCCCAAGAGGACTTCCCACACGACTTTGAGGCTGCTTGCGAATGCCGTTCGGACTTCGGTCTTTAAAGGTTCGGGGAGCTGGGATATAATCGGAATAGTGGCATATGCAATTGCGGACCCCTCTGGAAACTGTGCCGCAAAGCTCGAGGGTAGGTGTTTCTGAAGCTCATTTTGAAGCACGGTTCCGCCGATGGTTACTCCCCATACCTGTGCGTGGGTGTCATGAGTAGCTGAAGGACAGTGCACGTAATTGCTCACCATAGCGAAGTTACGTAGGAACATGAAGAAGGCCAACGCGAGACCATTCTGTGAAACGTGGACTGCCGTAAATCACTGTTAGTCGACGATCAATGGTAGCCGCGGAATCCAACCCACGTGGTGCCAGTACAGGGAAGTATGTCGAAGTCGACAAGATCCCACAGCCGAAGGCGCACGGTATTAGAAATCCTACGACGTGCCCGAGCGGAGAGTCTGCCTTCAAGGTAAGGAACAGACCGATGCCAAGCATGAGAGCGGCCCAGGCCAGCCACATAGGCGGTCGATATCGCCCTGTGCTATTCGTGAATGCGCCGCCCGACAGGCCGACAGGCGCGAGAACAAGCGAGAACGACAGGACGTCGACTCCAGAACGGATAGCAGAGGCGCCCTTGCACGCCTGCAGGTAGACAGGGATATAATCTGTAATATAAGCTTAGTGGTGCGTATTGTGAGGAACACGGAAAATGCGCCACGCACAGATTATTCCTATCATCAAGATTGGCATGACGAACGTTTGCATGTAGCCACTCACACCAGTCACGGTGGAGATCAGTGTGCGGGGAACCTAAAGCGTCGATAAGTTAGGCTGCGAATGCATGAGCTCGATGACGCACCAAGGGATAGTCCGGGACGATACTCTCAAATGTCATGAATCCTACGATCCCAGCAAGGCCAAGTATGAGGGGCACGAGCACCGCTGCTGAGCCCCACGAGTACTGGATTCCACTCCAGGTCAGCCCTATGACGCAAGCTGTCGTGGCCGCGATGATGAGCAGGGTTCCGCTGTACGAAGAGAATCATTGGATGGTCGTGTCCGACGAAGTATCACACCTACCGCCAGTCAACCCGACGGACCTTCTCTCCCAAGGTCCCTGGTGGTGTCTTGACACGCAAACAAACGATCATGATGACTGCCGCAATGCCACAGATGGGGAGGTTCAGGTCTGGAAGAGACGGCGATTGTTGAGCGGACCGATGAAATCCAAGGCCACTTGCTTACAAAACAACCACCGCCATTGCCCGCTCTGTGCGAGCGCACCACCAACAATTGGTCCAATTCCACTTGACATTGCCCAGGCACTATCCAAATGCGATGTCAACGTGCTGAAAAGGTGTATGAGACGTCACTTACATCCCAATCAAACCATTGAAGAGTCCACGTTCACGCAGGGGTACAAGGTCGGATATGATGATGGCGGTGGTCGCAGAGATACCGCCTCCTCCGAGGCCCTGAACAGCTGCTACAGTCATGCCACGGTACTCAAACGGATGACCCGCAACGAGAACTTACTACGTCCAGCAATCAAATACGTCATGTTTTTCGCTGAACCACAGAGAGCACTTCCTAAAGCCATGATAGCCAAGGATGCAAGGATGACAATACGTCTTCCGAAGATCTATACACGACGGTCAACAGCATTCCCCGACAGGACAGTGACCATACCTGCGCGAGCCCTCCGCCCAGGGGAATGAATGCTGTTCCAGCGAGCGTGTATGCGGAGCCTATCCAAATGAATGTCGACCCATGAAGTTCTTGTACGATAGTCGGTAACGCAACAGAAACTGCAGACTGTGAATGGAGATCAGAGTAAGCTGAGGGGCTCGTATGTGAGTATGATGCACTCGCCAGTTCGAGCGCGGTGATCATGGTAGCAACACCGATGCCCAGAAAGACAAGCCAGAATCGTAAATCTCGAGGGTGTCTGTGCGGTTCTGACGGAGGACTCATAGTAGTACTCGAATCCTTGAAAGTCGACAACGGTGTAGGTGGATGCTCAGAGTCATGAGTCTCCGGCGGCATTGCAGGAACGTCGCTTTGAGCTACGCGATGAAGAATATGGGCGGGCTGTCCAGACGCGATGGGCGCGACACGTAGCGGGGTAAAGTAGGGGGTCCTTGAGAGGCGTAACGACTGGACTAGGAGCCGAGTTCCAGAAAATGGAAAGTAAGCTTCTGTTAGTATAATTGTAAGCAGATGCGCCGTCTTGAAGCACTCTGCACGACGTACATCAAGTTGGCAGCCTCAGGGCGTTGTGATTATGCCCCCAAGACTTGCGAGTGCCTGAGTGCTATGGTCAGTTCGATCGCGAGGTGACAGAGCCCTTCGCTTTGGAGATATCCGCTGGGTCGGAGCTACTACTACCAGCTGGGAGAGAACGAGGACATGCGCTGATACATACGGAAGCCGTAGAGGTAAATGCGGCACACGACATTTGACAGATGAGGATAGCGTTTGTGCAAACACAACACAGCCCGATCGCGAAACGATGCCGTCCGGTGGATCGTGCTCCTCGAGCCACGAATTCCCATTTTGGACCCTTATTGGACCCCGAGAACCCCTTCGACGGGCGGCGGTGGCTCGGAGGACAGTGGTCACTGGTCAGATCCTCCCAGATCACCCCGGCCCCGTCGGCTCTTTACGTGGTTACCGCACTACACGCAGCAAAACCACGCATCCAGTGCACCGATTGCCTGATAACCGTCTTGTTCGTCTGCCAGTATGCCGCAGTCGGGTCGGACCTCACAAAATCAACTCATATCTCGACCATGTACAGCGTCCTCGCTTCTGTGGACATGAGGAAACGGGACCGCGAACACAACCCACACGTCAGGTACGAGTCTCAGTATGTGGATGTGGAGATAGGCTACCCATCGGAGGTTGAGTTCGCTTGCCAGATGACAGCAAGAACCTGACCACAGTGAACCATGCGCTTCTGCAATGGAAGGCCAAAATGTACGAGAGACGACGTGCCGACGCATCAGTTAGTACGTATGATTCAGTGCTCCTTCGTGGTGTATCAGTGTTGTGTTCATCTGAGCATGTGGCTACGAAGAGACGCAAACAATCACGCTACGTCTGGTCTGTCAAGCTCAACCTCCATTCCGTGCGGTCTGCATTCCCATGATCCGAAGAGCCCTTTGGCCCTGTCTTCCATTCACGTCGCCTCGTCGTTGACATTGAGCATTCAACCACAGAAGACGTCAACTGATATAGCAGTCTCCTGTCCGGCGAAACTGGACCAACCTGTGCAAATTACCTAGTGCGTGTTAAGCCACACTGTCAGTCACGGTGGGCCTGAATTCGTGAAAGCTAAATACCACCCAACCTTGTATAGACACATCTTCTGCGCTTTGGAGGAGTCGAATCTTCGTGAAGTCTGGTATCGGACGGGCGGTGACCCGCGTGACACGCAGACTCACGTAAGCCACGTTACTGCCGGGACGGTGAGATGCAGTAATAGAATTTAGCAGAAGCTTATGCTCGCCGTACGCTGTACTCGACCGAACTGCAGCCTGAACGTACGCGTAAGCGAATCGACAGCTTCGTACCTTGTCCATAAGAGCGTCCATTCACGTCTAGGCGACACAGTAGGACTATGGCTTCACGTTCTTCCGCCTCCGCGTCTACCCGTTCCAAGCTCGCCAAGCTTAACCAATGCGTCTCTGTACTGGAGCCTCCACCTTCAGTGACATCGGACCCGCTGCACCCTTCGTGAGTAGCGTGAGCACTAATTCACGAGAGTATGCAGAAGCTAACTGACACTCACAGAGTTGTGTTGTTATTCGGATGGCGTAAGAGCATCCGCTCCCCTGGCAGATCGCTCTCACTGATCATAACGTTTAGTGGAAGCGGCACCTAGCTACTTGCAAAAATACGTGGACCGGCTGCACGATCAGTTTCCAACTTCCACTATCGTCCTCGTCAGGGCATACACGTCATGGTACTTCACCTCTTACCCACGACTGGTACGCTTCCTTGTAGCTCGTCGACGAGCGCTCGTTGATGTCTTCGAAGGAGAAGGAACTGTCGCCTGCGGTCGATGTTGTCAAGAGAGAGTCGAATAATGGGAAGAAATTCAGAGGAGTCTTGATCCACGTTCTGTCGAATGGTCAGTGGCAGTTTTGTCCGTCACGGTCCAGTTCTGACACGTCGCATTAGGTGGTTCCCTGCAGCTACTGGTCTTCCGTCAAGCTCTCATGAAGTCTTCTGGCGCAGGCGATCGGGGCGCAGCTTATTCGCCAACGCCTGTAGCACTCATCCTCGACTCGACCCCGGCGTTGCGCGAGCTTGCGTCGGCAATTCAGTCATGGGCACCGAGAAACCCGGTGTTGCGCTACCTCGCCATCCCAGGCATATCGGCGCTGTATGGAGGCTTCTACTTGGCAAATGCGCTGGTAGGAAATCCGCCGCTCTTTCCTACCATGCGCGATCAGTTGAACACTCTCAACCTGTTGCCTTCCATCACCAATCCCAATGATCCCAAGGCAACGCCTCGCTTGTACATCTATTCCAATACGGACCGTGTTACTCCTGCGTCTGAAGTAGAGGCGCACTACGAAGCAGCAGTTGCAGCGGGGCTCAACGCCAAGTTGGAGAGGTTCACGAAGTCTGCTCATGTTTCTCATTCGCGGGCCGACCCAGAGAGATATTGGGGAGCAGTGACTGCGCTATGGAAGGAGGCATTGCAGACGTGCGGTGTTGATACCCCTACCTTGTAACATGCACTTGCTGAGTGTTTTTCCGTCTCAATGTAACCCTATTCCACTTTGTTGAACTATGCAGACGTAGCCGACGTTACTCGGATCCTCTTACGCGACGCTTGTTCCTACGGATATTGTTGCCCACCGAGTTCTGTACCGCTAAGCCAACACATAAAACACCATGACTTTCCGAAAGTGCGTTTCTCAAATGTGGTAGGCCTCGTACAATAATATATTCCTTCGTACGCGAAAGCGAGATTCGACGTGGATCATGACTACAGTGACGCAAGAACTCGACCATGTCCGCTTTTCTGGAGTGCCCTTTTCCAAACATTGTTCACAGCGCGCCAATACCTGTCCGGGTCCAGTCTTGCATGCGAGACGTGCGCAGAGCCGACGAACCGCTCTATCGTCGCATCGAAGCCTAGAGCTACCACCTCCGCGTAGTGTGTCTCAACGTCCTTCATCGGCGTGATCACATCCTTGTTAGACGTGAAGTAAGCACGAGGAATTGCCTCGGGCTCGCCACGGTTCGTGACAGTCGGCAACAGGTCGGCCGATTTCAGTTCGTCCCGTATGGCGCGGAAGACAGGCGGGTGTCCGGCGAGCGCGTTAGCTATATAGAACCCCGTGTACAGCATCGTTATGGGTGGTATCGCGAGCCAACGCATCAGCGTATTCGCGGGTGCCCATGATTGGATTGCGGACGCAAGTTCACTCGATGCCGGTGTTGAGTCGAGTACGAGAGCTATCGGTAGTCGGGAACGTCGACTGGCCGGGTGTTCCGTAGCACCTGACTTGGCCAAGGCCTTGCGCAGAGTGACGAGCTGTAAAGCACCACCTACGAAATGTTAGTCACGAAGGCTCAATCGGATCAGTAGACTGACCGTTCGAGAGCACATGCACCAGGACTCCCCTAGTCCTGTCCGCATCGCTCAACTCTCTCCGAATGGTATGGACTGCGGGTAAGACTTCCTTTTCCTGTAGAACATCCTATGAGCGTAAGCCAGTGAGACTGATTATGGACACACCAGCGATGACTCGGAACTGAAGTACCAAGACGTATCAGCCTTGATGAGGACGATGGTAGAGGTGGGGAAATTGGCGTGCAGCCGATCCACATATTTCTGCAAATATGCAGGCTCGGCTTCAACTACACAAGATCTGTGAGTGCTACATTCATTCAGAAGCGTAAGAGTCTGCCTTACGCCATCCAAATAACAGAATGACTCTGGTTATTTCTTTCAGCTCCGCATCCAATTGGCATATGATATTCTGCTACTCACGAAGGGTGCAGCGGATTTGGCGATTGTACACGCGAAGAGTCCAACAAGGAGACGTGCGAATTGAGCTTGCGCAAAGGAGGCGAGGTGCTCATGGCAGGCGATTCGATGGAAACTACAATCCTTGCAGTCCCGAGACCGAAGTATCCACCCGGTGCGGCACTGCCAGTGACACATGATATCTCATATTCCAACTGATCCAGAAACGCCGCTCTACGTTTCTTTCGAATTGGTCTCTGTTCATCGCGAGGAAGGAACTCTTTCTCGAGAAGCGGAATTGACTGTTCAGGTTCCGACGAGGCTCGGAGGCTGGAGCGCACTATGGTCGACACGTTGTTGCGTCTGTCACGCACAATCTCCGCCCCTCTTCTCATGGCGATGCGTCGAAGCAATCAACTATTATGGTTTCAGCGAGCGGTGTTCGCCAGAATGAGTACACACTGGGCAAAGGGTATGACTTTGAGTGTCACGGTTACATTGAGCGTATGTGCCTGGAGCGCACAGCCGACCAAGTGCTAAGCACGATATATTATAATAAGTAATTAGTTATTACAAATAAGTCTGTTCACGATCCCGTGTTTCGAGCTTCGAATAAGCAACATGCATATGCGACTTCTGCGTTCGGCGAAGTACTGATTCCTGAGCGCGCCCGGGCCCCATTGAGCTTGGACGCGCAGCTCCTACACACTGACACACACTGATACAGCCGACCATTTGGGACAGCCACCTTGCCGTGGACCCACGACACCACGAGAGTCCGATTTGCCACTGGGATATGCGATGATCCTGAGCGCTGACCAGTAATAGTAATACTGAGGGGGTACACTTGGACGAGGATCGGCGCTTCAGCTAGTATTAATCGGAACCAAGCAATATTGATCACTGCCCGTGACGGTCATGCATTTATATCGGATGGTATATAACGACAACAGCCACAGGGGCCCATACTCATTTCACAGGAGTCGTCTTCATAACAGTAGTTCGCGATGATCCAGGCATACTACGTCTACATCGTCTCAACAGCTATAGCAGCACTATGCTTCGTGCATTTCTTAGCTCGCGCGAAGTTGCCTCCAGGTGAGTGCGGCCGTGTTGAACATCGCTATGACGATGCTATCTAACCCTTATTACAATGAGGTCCACGTTCAATTCCGTTTGTGGGGAACATCTGGCAGTTCCCGCGGCGCAACATTGCAGCCTCCCTCGCCTCCCTCTCCACAACCTACGGTCTGTACTTTATTCATCGTGAATCGTCTGCGAACGGCCCATTTTATAAAATTGCTACAGGAGACATGGTTTATATGCACGTCTTCGGGAGAGAATTTCTAGTTCTCAACTCCGCTGAGGACGCGCTTGAACTGTTCGATCACCGTGGATCGCTATACAGCGATAGACCTCGCTCGGTCATGGCCGGGGATCTGGTGGGGAAGAAGCACGCCGTGCTATTTCATTCATATGGAGAGGGCATTAAGAAACATCGACGGCTGCTTCGGACGGCATTCGAATCTCGCCGTCAGGCTGAATACTGGGAAACACAGTATGAAGTATCCCACAATCTTCTTTCTGCGTTGCTCAGGACTCCGGACGACTTCCTGGCCCATCTGAAGCGGTACGTGACTATCATTAAAGACTCGCTGTCGTCATCTACGGGATTGACATGGTAGGAATGCAGGGCTGCTTCGGAATTCACTATGCGCATCGCGTACGGCTATCAAGTGTCGGACGGTCCTGGAGAAGATCACTTTGTGACTCTGGCAGAAGAGCTTGCACGACTCACGGCCAAAGCTATGAAGCCTGGACGCTGGCTTGTTGATTCCTTCCCAATACGTTCGTTTCCCTTCCGTCGAGCGTGGCGGAATGAAATTGATACAATTCAGTTCGCCATATACCGACATGGTTTCCTGGTGCTGGCTTCAAGAGATGGGCGCAGAACGCGCGCATAACTACAAATGAGTTTGCAGCTGCGCCGTATCTCTATGCCAAGAAGGCCGCTGTGGGTCCCTGTTCAGATTTCATGGAATCGTTGATGCGACTTCGTTCACTAACAGGCTTCCGGTGTACGTTCTTTTGTGAGTGATACGGTTGACCTGCTAGAAGCAGAACTTGGACGTCCTCTCGGAAATGACGACGACGAGTTTCTGAAATGGACATCTGCGAGCATCTATTCAGGTGCGTTGTCAAACAGTTTGAATCTGTACCAGCTAGTGATGTGACAATATAGGAGGAACCGATACAGTATGCTCACAATACTATCGGCCAGTGATGTACTAACGGTGCACTCTTAGTCGGTAGCTATTGATTCGTCGTTCATTCTGATGATGGCGCTATACCCGGACGTACAACGCAAGGCGCAGGCGGAATTGAACACCATGATCGGCCCAGAACGTCTCGCCTGCATGGCGGATCGTGCCCATTTACCCTACATTGAAGCCCTCATCAAGGAGCTTCACCGGTTCAGACCAATCACACCCTTGGTTCCACACACGACTCTCGTAGACGACGAATACAAAGGTTACTGTTGAAGAAAGAGGTTTTAGGCTTAGTAAGCCCAGTGGCAGTGAAGGACTAAAGAGTGAGTGAACAGACCAGTCCCAAAGGGAAGATCCTATGCTGGCAGGCAGAGGAGAGGACGAAGGATCGTTATCATTACAGGGCAAACCAGCCCAGTATATATACACATTTGATACAGGTCACATGCTGTATCAGTGGTTCATCAGTAAGCACTAAGTCCGAGGTTTTGGGGATATGAGTAAGCTGGTAAGCAGCATGAGTAAGCCAAAACTCGGAGTTTGATGTGGAGAGATATATGAAACGTGATGGAACATCAGGAATAATATGAGACATGATGAAACATCAAAGAGTGATATAGGACGTGATGGGACATCAAGGAATGATATGGAACGTCATGGAACATCAAGGAATGTCGTGGAATATCATGGAATGATCCGGACTAAAGTCACATGACGTAATCTAGGCAAAGTCCATCAAAGAACGTATGTAATCTGACATCGCAGAACATAAGTCCATATCCGTACATAACTGATAAGATAAGAACACTGAAAACTCGGAAGTTCAACACTCCCACTTGTTCAAGATGTCGAGTATCTCATCATGCCAACCAAAGACCTGAATTTCTCGATTCCGCTGAAGGGAACATTCTTGGTCAAGGCATCAGCAAGTTGGTCTTCACTTGCGACAAAATAGATGTCCATCTCCCCACGTTCGTAGAACTCTCGAATGTAGTGATACCGGATTTCTATGTGCTTGGTGCGGCGATCCACGGCGGGGTTCACTGCAAGGAAAATGTTGCCTTGGTTGTCAAGACAAAGTGGAGTTGGATGAGACATGTTGTCTCCCAGTTCTTCTCCAAAATGACGCAGCCAAGCCATCTGACGACAGCAGTCGGAGCTGGCCTTATACTCTGCTTTGGTTGAAGACAAAGATACCGTTGGTTGGCGTCTTGACACCCAAGAAACGACACAATTGGCCATGAGGAAAACAAAGCCAGATGTAGAGTGCCTATCATCACGGTCTTCAGCCCAATCTGAGTCTGAGTAGGCGATCAGACCAGAGTTTGAGCCTCCATCGTAGCAAAGTGCAAGTTCCTTTGTCCTTTGAAGATATCTCAGGACATAGTACGCAAACTTCATATGCTCTTTAGACGGATTTGAAGAAAACTTCGCCAGACGTGTGACCGCGAACGAGATGTCTGGGCGAGTACCAAGCATAGCATACATGATGCTGCCAATGATGCTCTGGTAACGGGTTCGGAAAATTTCAGATGCAGTGTCGGTGTTCTTCTCTAATACTGCTCCAGCGGGAAGAGGCGTCCTTGCAGACTTGCAGTTGGACATTTGGAACCTCTCCAAAACAGACTGAATATAGTCTTCCTGGTCAACGAAGATACGACGTGCAAGACGTTCTCGACGAATGTGTAGACCAAGGAAACGCTGGACAGCTCCCAGATCAGTCATCTGGTATTCCAAAGACAGTCTCTGCTTGATGTTGTCGATGAACAATTTCGAGTCGCCCATGAGGAGCAAGTCGTCGACATACAATATGATTAAGCAGGTGTGTCCTTCAGATTCACGAGAGAAGACATAAATTCCGGCATCCAAATATGTCCGTTTAAACCCTAAGTCAAGGAGAGACTTGTGGATCTTAGCGTTCCATTGACGAGACACTTGCTTCAAGCCATAAATGGCCTTCTTGAGCAGACAGACCCAGTTCTCCTTCCCAGGTACAGCCCATCCTTCGGGCTGTTCCATGTAGATTTCCTCGTCAAGGTCACCATTAAGGAATGCCGTCTTGACATCCATAGACTCAATCTCCCAATCTTCAAGTGCTGCATGTGCCAATAGATAGCGTACGGATTCAAACCGTGCAACAGGAGAAAAAGTCTCGGTATAGTCTTGACCCCATACTTGGGTAAATCCCTTTGCAACAACACGCGCTTTGTAGCGACCATCGTGTTTAATCGCATAAACCCACCGGCACTTGATAACCTTTCGGTTTTTAGGCCGTGGAACTAGAACCCAAGTCTTGTTGTCCATAAGCGACTTGTATTCAGAACCTTCAGATGCATGCCATTTAGCCTTGTCTTGAGACTCCATAGCTTCCCTGTGACTCTGGGGAATGCCATGGTTTGCTTCTGCTAGCATCCGCACAAACATGAGAGTTTCAGCCTCAGATTGTTGACGACTTTGAGCATCGGTACGACGATCAATATTTGCAGGTGGCTCATCACCATAGGCATTGTCCTTGTTCCTCTTAGGATTTTGTCCAGCACCTTGACGACGTGGACGTTCGTACTGAGGTTGTGGAGGAGGTACAGGATCAGGTTGCGGTTGTGGAATGTCTCCCACTGGCTCTGGATGGTCTTCAGGTTCAGGTTCATGTTCCGGGATAGGAACGGGAATAGGTAAATCCTCAGAATCAGAATCCTCCGAGTTTGCATCCTCAGGAGGTTCATCAAACGGCTTATCCAGGGATTTCGGATTATTGCCTAAATCTTTACGTGCAGGAAATGTCTCTTCATCGAAGGTCACATCACGAGACACAACGATACTTCGAGTGGCCGGGTTCCAGAAACGATACCCTTTGGAACCTAACTCATAGCCAACAAAGATCATCTCGACAGCCTTCTTGTCGAGCTTCCCAGCTCTTTGTTCCTTCTGCACATGCACATATGCCTTGCACCCAAATACCCTAAAATACGAAATGTCTGGGACTGTGCTATCCCAGAGGGTAATGGGGCATTGCCAGTTAAGGTGTCGCATTGGTTGCCGATTATAAATGTGAACCGCAGCGTCAACAGCCAATTGCCAGAAACCATGGCTTAGTCCAGCATGATGAAGCATAGACATAGCCTTCTCGACAATGGTCCGATTCCAGCGCTCAGCTCTCCCATTCTGTTGAGGAGAGTATGGCATCGTCTTCTGATGTTCAATGCCAAATTTGCGCAAATGTTCGGTAAATTCTGCAGAGGTATATTCTCCCCCTCGATCCGAGCGTACAGCTTTGATTTTCTCGTCAGTTTGGTTCTCAGCCCATGCCTTGAAATCATCGAACACTTGGGTCGAATCATTCTTATGTTTGAGGAAATAGGCGCGGCCAAGACCGGAGTAGTCGTCGAGAAAGCTGATGAAGTAGCGCCATCCACCAATAGCGGTGGTACGCATAGGACCGTCTTCGTCGGTATGAACAATTTCAAGAGGTTTTGAAGCTCTCTTGTCCGACGCGGGAAATGGAGCACAATGAGACTTGCCCCATTGACAACCTGCACAAGGAGACTTGTCCTTGTCACCGATAGAATCCACACCCTTGGTGTGCTTGGGTAGTTGACGGATAACTTCTTCAGACGAATGTCCGAAGCGTTGATGCCAAAGGCGAAAATTTGACTTGTCCGCAGACTTAGCCAATTGCAGTTTCATAATTTCCATGTGCAACATATAGAGATTGTTGAAGGGCGTGTGATGCGCCTCCATGATCTTGTTACCACGGATTCGGTCAGAACCATGCAAAATAGGTTGGTCGAAAATGACCATACGGCCTCCACCTTGAACAAGGGTGAAACCTGAACGTTCAATAACTCCAGTTGAAAATAGGCGACTAGACGCAGCAGGGATATATGCGACATTGGTGATAGTTGACACAATATGTTTCCCTTCAACATGCACAACGCCTTTGATAGTGCCTTCACCGTAAGCTGCAATCTTACTCTTGCCGGCTGTGCTAAAAATCATGGGCTCCTCGTAAGGAGTGTAATCCCAAAAATCAGCCATGTCGTTGGTGATCGTCTTGGATGCACCAGAATCCATAATCCAATCAGTCGTTCTTCCTGACGCGGTGTTAGCCGCAGTATACCAAGAAGCAGTCATAGTATTCGCAGACGACGAGGAGGATTCTACAGTTACAACATTTGAAGAGTCCGACGCAGATGCAGTGTTAGAAGTACCAGAACTAGATTGACCATTTCCTCCATTCTTTCCCTTTCCTTTGCCCTTGCCCTTGCCCTTGTTGTTCTTCCCCTTTCCGCCACCTTTATTCTGAGGGCGGAGATGCGGGTACTTGGTCCAACAATTCTCGCTACCATGGGCCCCACCGCAGTGATCGCAGGGGTCCTTGGATTTATGCTTGACCTGGGACGTCTTAGATGCAGACTGTCCCATACCGGACCGGCGAAGTGATTCCTCGGCGAGAATTTTGCTCTGGACCGAGTCGACCTTTAGATCTTTGAGGGTCTGCGTCGCCAGGAGCGCAGAGATCATCGACTGGTATGACTCTGGCAGCTTCGACAGAAGGAGAAGAGCCTGAGTCGAGTCACCGAGCGTAATTCCGCCACCACTAATCTCCTTAAGCCGGGTAACCAGCTTGTTGATCTGATCCTGCATTGGCTTGGAGTCAGACATTTCCGGAGATTTGATTAACGACTGGAAGAGAGACCAGACGTATGCCGTGTCGGGGGTGCCAAAAGCGGTTTTGAGCGAGTTCCACATGTCCTTCGCATCCTTGAGATCACCAGTGTCTTTCTCGAGCAGATGATGCATCGAGCGATCGGTTCTCATAAATAGAACACCCTGGGCACGGGCATTCTGAGTGGCGAAGTCCGCTGCGGGTGTGCCAGTTGCAATAACGGCGGGCCAGGCTTGGATAAAAACCAAATAGCCGCGCATGGCGGCTGACCAATCAGCGTATTGGGACGCTGAGGAAAGCTTGGGGACATTGTCAGGCTTGACGTCACCCATAGTTGCGGATAGGAGGATAAATTCGTCTTGTGAGACGGATGGTAGTTCTGGGGTAAAAACTTCGAAGGGTAATTCCTCGAAGAATGGAGATTGAGGTCTCGACTCAGGGAGCGGGACTAGGTGTTCAGGATATGGAGGTAACTCCGAAAATTCACTAGCAAATAGGAAATTCTCCTGCCAAGGAGCGACCGATATTCCAGTTGAAAATCCTTCTGGAACTGGACCTAGAGGTTGATCGTAGCGATGTGGGCAACTAGCGTCGTCGCAGTTAATCCACTGATCTTCTTCGACGTCAAAATGATAATCGAAGTTCTCCTCGTAGTCGTAGAGATGATGATGGTCGGTGCAATTGTACGGTGGAATTACTCCATTCGATGCTTCACTATTTGAGTCTCGGTCAAATGTCTCTTCTTGAGACGAAGCCACAGTGTGATGCTTAAATTCTAGGGACGAAGATATACAGAAAAAATGCGACTACAATCGCTTATCTACCCAGTACAAGTAGTTGTTCTTGTACAAGTCCCCTACGTCCTTGATAATGCGGCCGAAATTCTGGCTAAGATTTATGAAGGAAATCTTCGCAATCAGCTCGCAGACAGAACAGATGTCGTTCAATTCGACTGCAGACCACGTGGTTCCTTCCTCCTCGATATTCGTCAGCACCCAGTTGAAACGCCTGCCAAAATCGTCCAAGTTATCCAACAAGGGAAGACGGGCGTAGAGGCGGTTACGGTGGCGATAGAGGGGCTGAAGGCGCTTCTGGACGGCAAGGAGACGCTTGCACAGGATCTCGACTTTGTCAGCGGTGGACTTCTTGCGGAAGTCGGACAGGAAGATAGGCTTAAGAGCCGTGGGAACGATGGGAGTTTCTCCGCTAAGACGCTCAATGAGCGAAGCCTTGGTCTCGGCAGCAGCGGCGCTAGCGGCACGAGCAGCAGCGAGTTCGGCTCGGCGAGTCTCGGCGAGAGCTTCGGCAACGTCCGCTTTCTTCTGCAAATACAAGAGGTGCTGCTCCGGCGAGGTGCGGCAGGACTCCTTTGGAGGAATGGACGTGTCTAAGCGGCCAGAGGCTTGGCGGCGGCGACGAGGGGTAGGAGCGAGGATGATGTCGATCTGGCGACGGACGGGTAGATGACCATACAAATGCCGATGACGTACGGCGATGACGTTAGAGTTGTCTTCGTCAACGTCGTTTCTCTCACGACGAGACGGATGATAAATTTCGTAATTGCCTTTTCGGGCTGCCCTAGAGATGCGCTCAGACAAGGCCTTCGGCACTATGTCATGCAGCGACTTAAAAATAGTCCAACAAAGGACAAAAATTGCCAACTCACTCTTTCAAGAGTTGGGCTTTGGAGCGCGCAAAGAGGGGTGCAGGTGATTAAAGAATCAGAGCGCAGGGCTCACAACCTGTTGAAGAAAGAGGTTTTAGGCTTAGTAAGCCCAGTGGCAGTGAAGGACTAAAGAGTGAGTGAACAGACCAGTCCCAAAGGGAAGATCCTATGCTGGCAGGCAGAGGAGAGGACGAAGGATCGTTATCATTACAGGGCAAACCAGCCCAGTATATATACACATTTGATACAGGTCACATGCTGTATCAGTGGTTCATCAGTAAGCACTAAGTCCGAGGTTTTGGGGATATGAGTAAGCTGGTAAGCAGCATGAGTAAGCCAAAACTCGGAGTTTGATGTGGAGAGATATATGAAACGTGATGGAACATCAGGAATAATATGAGACATGATGAAACATCAAAGAGTGATATAGGACGTGATGGGACATCAAGGAATGATATGGAACGTCATGGAACATCAAGGAATGTCGTGGAATATCATGGAATGATCCGGACTAAAGTCACATGACGTAATCTAGGCAAAGTCCATCAAAGAACGTATGTAATCTGACATCGCAGAACATAAGTCCATATCCGTACATAACTGATAAGATAAGAACACTGAAAACTCGGAAGTTCAACAGTTACCGTATCCCTAAGGGGAGCTGGATCATGGCGAATACGTGGTCAGCTCGTGGTTCTACCGGGTGTTATTTGTAAAGCTGACTCAAGTTCACAAGGTCGTTCATGCATGATCCGAATATCTTTCCTCAGCCTGAGAGGTTCTGGCCAGAACGCTTCCTTCCCGAAGGCATGGGTTGCACTGTGGATCCTCGCGACTATTCTTTCGGATATGGAAGAAGGTACAGTGGATTATTTCATGCCATGTTCTGTACTCAGCTTGTTCAGACGGTGTCCTGGCATGAGCGTGGCAGAATCTGCTCTTTTCATCACGGTCGCGCATATCCTTGCCGTTTTCGAGATCTCGCATCCTTTGGACGAGCAAGGTTATACCATCACGGAAGCCTTGGATTACACCGACGAACATATCTCGTACGTATAATCTCACTTGCTCGACCTATCTCAAATAATCCTCTTCAGGCACCCAAAGCCATTCAAGTGCTCTATTAGGCCCCGCTCGACCAATGCGGCCGATTTGATTCGTCACTTGGTTTTGTGAAGACATGCATATTCATGCTACCCTACGTTCAAGTTGTCTGGAAGGAGCGGTATGCGCAGTTCTCAGAACTATTGGTGCAGCTCATCTTGAGGTCATTGAATAATGTTGTTGGGCGTGTCGCGACGCGTGTTTCATGAACGACTCGCGGACAATGTGTAACAAACAGCGTGCGTGTTGTGGCGAGATTGATAGCCAGCCTGAACACACAATGCGCACTGTGGCCGTCAGTGTAATATTCCCGGTACCGAGTCTGGGTCCGACGAACGACATGAGCACCATCTCTACGTGAGTACCGTGCAGAGGTATCGGTACACTGTCTAGGCAGAAGTAATCTGGCTCAACCTTCTTGAGTCGGGCTCAGTGCAATTGGTTACGGCGTTCTACCTGGTGAGCGCTGTCACCAAGTGGTCACCGTCGGAGTCAAGATGAGTCCAGACGCACGTCCGTCTGTATCGATGGGCCTTCCCCTCCTAGCGCGTCGTGTCGAAGCACATGTTCGTCGTTATTCGGACCACCAGCGAGACTTTATGCGGCTTGATGAGTGCCTGATGCCATTATAGTTCGGTGAACGGTCGAACAGTTATGAATTGATTCGATCTGCGCGTCTGACCTTCTCCACGCCGCCGGCGACGCTGTGGATTCTACTGGTAACTTGAAACCAGTGGACGGCATATGTCACTCTCAGGTCGGTGTTTGAATTTTGCGCTGAGCGCTCCTCTGTAGGTTCCATCGCGAAGCTCTGTCATTACGACTTACTATGGACCAAGTTATGGTTTGCATCTACGTATATACTGTCATGGTATGACACGGAGGCCCCGTATTTTTGCCTTGTTTTATCCTATTTTTGCTCATTTTCTATGGACTTGTACGGTACGCTGTACGATAGACTTCGCCTGGAACGGCTTTCTGACTAGTCACGTGACACATCACGTGCTAGGGTCTGTCTTGTGACATTGTTCATCATGTGGCTGTGCTTATGTAACTTATCATGTGCCCTGCGGTAGCACCTAGCCGCCTGACTCGTTCTGACTCGTTCTGACTCACTCTGACTCATCCTGACTCATACGTACACATGACCTCAGTTCTTGGATCCAGCGTAGGTAGACCGGCCCTAAACCTAGTCAGTATATATAGGGCCCTGTACGCTGCCTAGCACTCCAGCTCGTCCTCTTGGAGTTGCTAGGTAAGCACTTCACATTGTACTAAGTAGAGTGCAATGTAACTAACTTGGAGTTGCTAGCATTGCGTTCGACGCTGTTAGACTGTTGTTGACCTCGGTCCAACACCTTGAGGTCAAGTGTTTCTGTTCACAGTTCTGTTTCTAGTCGCGTCAGACCTAGCTCCGCGACATTAGGACGAGCTCCTACCTCTTCTTACCTGACACGCCGCAGTTGGCCGCGTTGTCGCCTAAACCCTTAGCATAGTACAGAACTCCTAGCGTTGGTACCCCGTGCGCACGCGCATAGTCACACGGAAACGTAAGCGCTTGGGTTACATCCCTGAGCCCTGCATCTGGACACGGCCCTACCATAGGCTATAGGTCGGGTGTAGATTTACGTGGAAGTCTTGGTCTTCTAGACCTTGGGAGGCTGTGAAAAGCGGCAATCGGAAGCCAAGGCTAGCGCCACAGAACTCGTGTTTCTGTAGGCAGACAGGCGCAATAGGTCGAGGAGACTGAGCGTATCCAAGGCAGTCAGCTTAGCTACGTTGCGTGAGCTGTCGAAGCGGTTCCTGGAACCTGCGGGCTATACCGTAACAGGCATAAAGCAGCCAGCGGATTTCTGTTGAGTACGTACGCTTGTGCTCTAAGAATCCTGTGATAGGATAAGGGTCCTCGGGGTCCCTCACATAGAAGTGTTAGATAGCCTTAATCCCAAAGAGACGTGATACGGGGGTTAGGCCTACGGCGTCTCCAAAGGAAGCAGGTTGTCCAATATTTCTGACACCCTGGATTGCGACGGTCTTCGGCACGTTTACGACGTCCAAGACAACGAGGATACATACGTAACCCTCGCCGGCAAACTATTTGCGTGCAAAACCCACCCCTGCCCGAACAGGTATACCAACACCTATCGACGCAGTACCCGATACGTGGAGTGCACTCCCGAGAACGCAAACCTCGAAGAAGAATCGGACCTCAGCGAAGAAGTAGCTGAATCCTCTCACACTCATATCCCTCCGGCGCAAGAAACAGCGCCCGCACCTCCCCAAACAGAAGCACCTCCCCCGCCAGTCAACGTCGACGACATGGCAAACGCAATGACCGGCGCCCAGATCTTGGAGATGATCCAAGGTCTCGCCCAAGGCCTGCAGGCGACGCAGACAACGCTCGGGCAGCTGACCACGCAGGTCGCTGCTCTCGCCACTAATTCGGGTCGGCCCTCCAACAACAAAAGCACGGTTCAGCGCCCGGCTACCTACTCCGGCAAGTCCAGCCCGGATGCCAGACGCTTCGTGGCTGCCTTCTCCCTCTACGCGCAGGAGATGGGCAGCAAGCTCAACACGCGCGTCGGTAATTTGTGGCAGCGTGATGATCAGCGCTGGGTACGGTCAGCTCTGTCGTTCCTGACAGATGAAGCGGCGGTCTGGGCTACGCCCTACATCGAGGCAATGGTGGCTGAGAAGCCTGCGTTCACGAACTGGGATGCCTTTGTCACGGCATTCAAGCTGCGGTTCGAGACCCAGGACGAGTCGGCAGATGCGAAGAAGGCCCTTCGCGAGCTGTATCAGGGCAAGCTCTCAGTTCCGGAATACGCTGCGCGCTTCCGTGAGGTCATGGAACGGACTGGTTACTCGGACGGTGACTTGCGAGATCGCTTCTACGAGCATCTCAGCAACGACATCAAGGACCTCCTCCCGACGACCGAGCGCTCTACCAAGACGCTCGATGAACTCATGTTGGTCGCTGCGGACTTCGACACACGGCTGCGACAACGCCGTGCCGAGAAGGCCCGCGAGGCTGGTAAAACGTCGGGTACCTCGTCAACGAGTACCCCGGTCAGGACAACGGCGGCTCCGTTCGTGATCAGCAAGGATCCAAACGCGATGGACATCGACGCAACGCTGCAGGCGCCGGAAGGCGGTAATGGGAAGACTCGGGCGGACTTCCTCAAAGTCATGGGCGGTCGTTGCTTCGGTTGCGGCTCCAAGGATCACGTCAAGCGAGACGGTGGTCACGAGCGCGACGTCTGCGACTGGTGCGGTGGAACCGGGCACAAGGCCCCAGTCTGTCAAAGACGGTTCCTCGGGTTGCCAAAGAAGGCAACGGCAGCGGCGACGTCTTCGACGTCCTCTACGGACAAGGAAGTGGATGAGATCTTCTCTCCGGAAACTTCCTCGTCGACAAGCGAGGAGAAGACAGTGGCGGCCACCTCGCAGATGACCGATGTTGTGAACGCGATGCTCAAGCAGCAGGCTGAGCTCGCGGCGCAGATCGAAGCCCTCAAAAAGGCTTTTTAGATCGACCACACGCTACCGTGGCAGCGGCGTGCATCAGGAAAACCCTGATTTACTGAAACAGTCTTCAGCTAACATATTTGCACGCCGGCCAGCATTTGTGACCATCAGTGATCTTCTCACTACACCAGTGACTGGCTCTGACTATCAATGGCCAACTGAAGTAACGCAAAGTGCCAGTTGCATACACTAATGTAGACTCTATATCAACTCGGTCAAGTCATTCAACAGCAAGGCAAAGACTCCTGCGGCGTCCAAGACTGCAGCTGGATCATCGAAGGATGCAGCGAACGCAGAGAGTGGACCGTCACGTCCGTCGCGATCGAAGTCCGGCGCGAAGAAGGCCCAGGAGAGTTCGGGGGAGCAAACTTCCAGCAGCGAGCGTGAGGTCGATGAACTCGGCAATGAGTGGTAAGTCAGTCAGTGTCCAGTGGTTTCTTTGTATCTCACTGCGAGAGGTACATCACCAAGATGTCGTAGTTGTCCTGTCGCATCAAGGCCGTGAACATCATCAACTTTGTCTGTTTCGCGTGGCAGGAGCAGTAGAATCGGTCCATTTCCAAGGCGAGTGTTTCTATGCCCATACCACCTCTATCTACACTTACTCATACGACAATCCTGCAGCTACTATATCTATCATCCTCTGTACTACTACACATCAGACGTGCGTGCCTGCTACGTATCCCACTCTCCCTCTACTACTATTTGCCTGTCTCAGCCGTGGTCGTCATCCCGGCGCCGTCTGACCTCGAGTCTATGCCTATCTGTATCTCTCGTGGACAACATACTTAATCTAACGTGTAGTAGTAGGTACATTCTGAAGAACAAATGTGTCATGCGTCATATGAAGTATGTGTAGGACAGACATATGCTACCATAGGGTTTGATACGCGTACTTGGAGGCAGAGTTGTTCAGTAGGAATCTCTGCGCAAGATCTAATACGGTATTGGTGTTCCAGTCCTCCGGTATACTATCAGGTTTAGTACCATCATTAGACCTAGGAAAGCAAGGCACTAGCTGACAAGATTGGCGTATAATGGAAATGGGTATGATATCGCTGGGGGGCAGACCATTTGCGCGCAACGGGGGCTTGCTTACAGCGTACATCATATGGTAAGGATCCGCCTGAGCCGGTAATTTTGCATACCATTCAACGTACGCAAGGGCCCCTTGCTTCGTCCACTCCAATGGGGTCTGCAAGGTACGCTGCGTACGAGGGTCCTTCATCTCCGGTGGCAACTTGAACACCACCTTCACTCGGCCAATGCGAGTGCCTGGAAGGTGAACAACGGTGAGCGCACTCTGTATGTCAGGCCACAGGTTTACACACCTTGTAGCCCAGTTGCTTCAGCGTCTTCCCCTCGAAGTACGACAACAGTGTCGAACCGCGCTGGCTGAGTTTCTGTGAGCGGCCTAGCTTTCACTCCATCCGTCTCCTGCTTGTCGTCTGTCAAAGACTCAGGCGCGAACTTGAAGCCATGGAATATGTCCACATGCGTGAGTGGCATGTTGTTGACAGCGGTCTGGAGCTGAGAGGAGGTGAGAGCGCGTCCTTCCTTGAGCTCCCAAATGTACTGAGCAAGGGAATGTATGAATCCGGGAGCATCATGTTTGTTGACAACGGCGTGAAGAGACTGGCTAGGAGAGGTAGGGTGCTTGGGTAATTTGATACGAGCATTGTGTCTTGGGGCAGGTATGTTGACGTCTTCTTCGACCACTTCATCCTCAGATACATCACCGTTCCGTACGAGCTGACGGCGAATGGATGCGCCGAGGACTACCATCTTCTCGCGACGCTCCAGCCAGCGCACCATTTGGGGGCGAGCATCGCGATGGTTGGACGCTCTCCACGCGCTCTTCGCAAAGTCGATGTGCAGGCGTTCAAACGCCTCGGTGTTGTAGTTGTCCGTGGTCCCGAGAAGGCGGATTGAGTCGACGTAGTGTAGTAGAGAATGGAATTTGGGTATATTGAGATGTTCGCGTACTCCGAGGTCGACCAGAACGCTTTTGTTCTTGTGAAAGGTCTTGAGAGCGTCGTCCATGTAACTGAGTGTCGTGTCGTCGTGCGTAGTGTACTGTGCAAGGTAAATGAAGTCCAGGATTGAGCGAAAGGCAAGGATCGCCTTCTTGGGGACCTTGCCTACCAAACACGCGAGGAGAATTCTTGCAATGTGCTTGCGCTCGGTGCCGGAGACCTGCGACAACGATGATATTCCGTTCTTGAAATGGCGGGTACCGAAAGCTGGAGGGAGAGAGCGAATGCGTGCGTCAAGTTCGCGTTCGTCAACGAGTTCCGAGGTCCATTCGATGATATGTTTGAAGACGCCCTGGTAGAGCTGGTGGAGAACATCCGGCGTGATGCATGAGTGAATGTCGGTGTAGGGAAGATCGCGCCAGAAGGGGCGTACGACATAACCAGAGACGTTCAGCTCCTGACATGCCTTCTCAAAAGCATTGGAGCCGACCTTTCCCCCGCTATTCTTGGCTGCGCGACGTAGGACATCTAGCGTCCACAGCGAGTTGCGAGGCATCCCTGCCTGAGGATCTTCAAGGCCGGCTTCTGGCACCTGGCACTTGGGACAAGTGCCGTACTTGGAGCAGGTCACCAGACACTGCTCCGGGTAGTCCGCAACGTAGGCGGCAAGGACGGGATGAACGCGGCGGACTGAACCGTCAGCTGCGGTCACTTCGATTCCATGCTTGCCCGCTTCTATCAAGGGCTCCAGTATGGTGCTGACGGAAGCGTGGAATAACTGTTGGACGAGGGCGCGTTGTTTGCGCTGGGTGATGCCCTCTCCGCTCACCTTGTCGGTGGAGAGATAGCCTATAAGGATACAGGCGTGTTCCGAGGGTTTGCGACGAAGATCCCTAGGTATGTTGCCAAGCGTCATATAGACCGGGTAGGCGGACTTGCCACCAGAAAACTGGGTCAGCTGCGTTTTGTCCGTCGCTATGATAACTGGCGCGACCGCAGAGCCGATAGGTAAAAGACTCTGTGAAGGTCAACGCACAGTGAGAAACCCGCGTAGTACATCGCACTGAATCTGTACTTACCTGGACGGCATGCCACCACTTCCCTGTCCACATCTCGTTGTAAATTCTTCGAGTACGTGAGCCATCTGAGAAAATACGTCGAGGTCGGTATACAATTCGTTCCGCGTGTTCCGGATTCCCCAACAATGTGAGTATCGCCTGTATGATGTCACGATATTGAAGCAGATGCTTCTCGTTTGGGCGGTCCTTGAACGAGAGCCAACGCTCCTTCCATTCGGCTCGCTCAGGTAGGGAGTCAACGCGCTGTAGCAGCGCACGCGTGTTGTGGTATGTCAGTCCCAGACGCTCCTTGAACTAACAAACGTTAATACAGAGAGTTAGTGTCAATAAATACTGCGCTGCGCTCTCACGTTTGGTATGTCCAACGCTCGGTCAAGCGAGCTCAACTTAATTCCTTCTTCGATGGCCCAGTTTGCAAACCGCCAGTCCATCTCTGTATCAAACGGGTCCCAAGGGTTCTTAGTATCGTCTTCAGCTTCGCCTTGGAAGGCTTGTCAGACTATCTGAAGAGGAGACGAGCAACTGTGCTACTCACCGACATGCGTCCGACTTTCTCTGGCCTGTCGCCACCTCCTGCGCACCGCTTTATCCACTCGTAGAATCTTGGCAGCCTCTTCATTCTCTTCCTCCACCCGTTCGTCGTCGTTGTCATCGTCAAGTGCCAATGCCGTACGTCTTGTACCTGTGGATGCTGATGGCCTAGACGGACCTGCCTCGCCTCCTCCCCCGCTGTTGGATCCCAGAGGTGGGCACACTTCAATGAAATCGTAGAGTGACGATAGATCGTCCTCGTCATCAGACTGCTCCGAGTCCCCATCTTGGTCGGTGTTTCCATCTCCTCCACGCTGGTGATATTCAGCTTCTAATTCTGCATCTTCTACGTCCACATCTGAGCCGCTCGCCTCGGCCTGTTCAGAGTTGCGTATTGGGCTATCAAATTGGACCAGTGAGTCCTGAATCCCAGTAATATTGGGACAGATCACCGACGGTTTGTTCTCAATCTGAACGTTATCCTCCATGTCTTCTAGGTCTGGGACCTCATGCCCTTGCCTTCGGAACGCGAACACTTCCTTCAGTTTGCCTTTCTTGTACCAGGCACATTTACGGCTTGTGCTCTGGTGTGCTGCTAGGCCTTGCACCGTCTTGAAGGTTTTATGACATGCCCCACATGTCACATCCATAATTTGCTGCAGGGTGCGCTTCTTCCCGAGTCCGGCCAGCTTGGGTCTGGTCATCTTCTGCTGCCAGAATATGTGAGTAGCTGCCTTTGCAGACGGAAGAGCGATAAAGCTTACTATCCAGTACACAAAAGTCGTAGGAAACCTGCAACATTCATAGTTGTCAGCGCACTGTCACTTCAGCGGTGCTTACGTCTCTTCAGCGCTACCCGGCGCTACTTATGGGCGCGTAGGCCTACGTCCCGGCTTGCCTCCTACCTTCACACTCCTTCAACATAGTTCAGTTGGTAGTTGGTAGTTGGTACGTACCTTTGTGCCCGGGTTCCTTGTTATTTGCTCTCACCATCTTACAGGTTTCAGCCCTCTATCTGTTGTAGAGCGCCACGGTACTCTAGAGTCTAAGGTGAGTACTTTGTCTCCTGCTCTTTTTCCTAGAAGGTTCGGCGGCGCATCCGGTGGCGTGGGAGCGAGCCGCCTCGCGGAGGCGGCTCGCTCCCACGCCACACGCTCTCGCCGGACGAGCGACTCAGTGTCGGCAGGGACAGCGTTGTGGGCCCCCGAGTCTGAGGGGCGTTGAAGGAGCGCAACCCATTCGGGCGTCGACAAGCTAAGGCGAAATTAGCGCAACGGGACCGAGAACTCTTGCGTACGACCGCACGATGAGAGATAGAGCGGGATAGAACGGCTGGCGAAGGGGCGTGAAGCGCGTGGAGGGCTTAATTGAAGCCGTCGGCAGTGCAGGTGGCTGGTGGCAACCTGGGCCCGTCACACCCGTCCCTTTATGTGGTGCTCCGCTTGCTCGTCTTGCGCCCGTCTATCCTTGTTCATCCCTCCGGTCTTCTCCTAACTTACGAGAGGACTTCTCACATCCACCATGCCTACCACCACTTCCCGCCTTGCTGTTCGATCCCCCCCTTCTCGATCCCCCGGCCCTCCTCGATCCCCCGGCCCTTGGGCTAGCCCCCTCTTGAACTCCAAGCCGTTCAGAGACAACGAGGTCGACTCGAGGGACGGGGGAGCTCAGAGATTCTCTCAGCTCCAACTCAACTCGCGCGGTGACCGCAACCGCAAGCCCACCGAGAACGGTGAGCTCGTTAGATGATGGGATTTGAGGTCATAATCAACTCACATATGCATGTATTAGGTCCCAAACCAATTCATTGTCCTCGGTCCAAGATTGTCCAACCTACCAACGCTCAGCCAGGTGCGTACACAACAGTCTGTGTCAAGCACCCTCAGCCAACATCCAGGACGATAGCACAAGCTGCCCCCAAGAAGGCAGAACCACCACCGTACGAACCAACACCGATCTTCCCCAAACAGCTGTTCCCCGCCGTCGTGCACAAGGTCTTTGGCGAGGATCTTGACATAGTGCTCCTACACTTTCAGCGTTATTACTCAAAGGTGAGCCAAATGGTGGGCCGCAAAGCGTCTCATTTCTGACAGTGCGTCGCATGCGCAGACCGTCAAGGACTTCAGCCTAAGCGACTGGCAGGAGCTCTGCCAATTTTTGGACGAAGAATTCACATTCAGTTACCTTGAGTAAATTATTACATAATCAACTCCAATCTCTGTTTCGCTAATCAGATTGGCGCAGGTGGGAGTACTGCACGGACACTCAAGTCCTCATGGTTGTATCACTCAGTCACAATCATCAGGAGATGGTTAGCATCCGTAATGCGCACATTGAGGAGGCACTCGACATTATCCGCGCGGTCCCAATAGTCCTGAAGAAAATCATGGCACCGAAGGTGGTTTTCGGCGGAGATACCACACAGCTCTACTCCGACGCAAAGAGTCATAACGTCCTTACGCAGAAGGTTCCCGACGTTTTGACGACACTGCGCACGAAGCTCACGGATGACCTCGTGAGCCTTGATGAGATCATGTTCTCACAGCCGGATTACACGCCTGAGCCGAGGCCGCGCAAGGCGACGGCTAAGGCGACGGCTAAGGCGACGGCTGCAGCGACGGCTGCAGCGACGGCTGCAGCGACGGCTGCACAGGCAGATGGCTCAGGGACGACGAACGTGAAACGCCCCACTAGCGAGGGAGGGTTCACCAAGGTAGACCTTACAATCGATCAAACAGTTACCACCGCTGACGCTAAGTAGACCCTGATTTACATCAAAGACCGGGCGACCGCGATGCGTGAAGGCAGGACAACCCCTCTCGAGAAACTGTGCTCTGTCAACGTCATTGCGTTGCGCGAGACGTTCGAGCCGAGCCTGGCCAAACCCTATCGATCCCCTGCCGGGACGTCGAAGAAGTCGGCTCAATATCGGAATGCCTCATTGTGCAAGGGGGAAAACATGGAGCTCGACAACGCCATGTTCAGACGGATGCAGACCGATCATCAGCTCAACAAACACAGTTTCGACTACAGCAAGCACCTGATACAGGGTGCTGGACCGTGGGTCTGCAAAGCCGAAGGACATTCGTACATCTGGCACGGTGCCATGCGGGCCTATTGGGTCCACGTCAATATAGCAGACGACGATCAGGTGCAGACTTTCACTGAGCTAGTGGAGCGCAAGGCCGACATGGTCGAGTACCTGGAGGCGGGTCTTGGAATTGTAAGTTCAGTCGTTGTTGGGATCACTGCCTAGCTGACAGCAACGTTTAGGCTCTCCTCAATGAATACGAAGGCGCCGACCAGGAGTGTCGTGATGTTTTCCTGGGGAACGTCGCGCGCGATTACCAGAGGCAGCTCGACTGTCTTTTAGAGACCTTCCAGCACCTGTTCTTTGAGAAGGTGTTTGAAAAGGTTGCCCGTCTCCCGAGTCAGGAGGACCTTGACGTTCTCCATGCCCACATCGAGGACTCGGATGTCGCCAAACCCATCTCGCACTCGGACACGCAGGAAGGAGCATTGGAGGAGATCGAGCAATACTGGAAGGCAATTCGCGGCCACGCTGCTCAACCCATCGACTTGCGCATCAACATGCACGAAATGCTGCAACAAATGGTCGAGACGCTGCAGACCAGCTCCAAGAGCACCGCCCAGTGGCGAATTGAGAAGCACATCGGTGAGGTACAGGAGGCGGCGGTACGGGCGGCGAGGCCCTCGGCACCTCCCATGTTGTCCATCGAGGATCAGTTCGCGAGAGCCAGGCAAGCCTTGAAACGCAAGCGAGGCACCTCAAACGCCGCCGCTGACGACGAACGTCGCGCTGGCCCGAGTGCTGGCCCGAGTGCTGGCCCGAGTGCTGGCCCGAGTGCTGGCCCGAGTGCTGTCGATGGAGATGTGAGTCGCTACCAATCTCATACTTGTTGTCCGTTCATCATCTCATTGGCATGTCAGTGCGTCATCCGGGTCGTCTGATCATCATCGCTATTCTTCTATCGTCGCCTGCAAGTCATGGACCAACCTCGTATTTACCCTTCCCCTATCACGTTGACACCTTTATATATTACGAGCTATCGCTCGTTGTACAATAGAGCACCCTCTTCTTGTGTTACCCTCGTGTTGTTGGTCCTGATTTGCGCTGTTGCTGTGTTTGTTTGCTCGCGATACTTGTCCGCGCTGTCTACGCTCTCGATTCTCGCTCGCGCTGTATACGCTCTGGATTTTCGCTCATGCCTGCCTTGTTGGACATCGTAATATGACATCAGTGTATGGGTTTGTAGCACTTTGAGTTGTTATAGAACATGAAAAACAAGAAACGAGATTATATCCAGAACATACGTTCATGGCAAATCGGCAGTCACGTGACTGACACGTAACTTGAAGCTTTCAGCTCAGCAATACTCTCAACTCTCTGCAGCAACGAGCTCATCTTTCTAGTGTCGGCCTGCTATCCAGTACGTAGCAACCCCTACCAGCCTCTGATCATATTTGTTTAGGGCATCTTCGACCGTGGAGGCGACGGGAGGGAGCACAAGCACACTGGTCTTCAAGAGGCGCCCGCCCAGCGACCGACGGGAAGACTTCGCCCCCGTCCTTCAACAAGGCCGAAACTTTCTAGTCTCGGCCTGCTATCCGGTACGCAGCAACCCCTACCAGCCTCTGATCATATTTGTTTAGGGCATCTTCGACCGTGGAGGCGACGGGAGGGAGCACAAGCACACTGGTCTTCAAGAGGCGCCCGCCCAGCGACCGACGGGAAGACTTCGCCCCCGTCCTTCAACAAGGCCGAAACTTTCTAGTCTCGGCCTGCTATCCGGTACGCAGCAACCCCTACCAGCCTCTGATCATATTTGTTTAGGGCATCTTCGACCGTGGAGGCGACGGGAGGGAGCACAAGCACACTGGTCTTCAAGAGGCGCCCGCCCAGCGACCGACGGGAAGACTTCGCCCCCGTCCTTCAACAAGGCCGAAACTTTCTAGTCTCGGCCTGCTATCCGGTACGCAGCAACCCCTACCAGCCTCTGATCATATTTGTTTAGGGCATCTTCGACCGTGGAGGCGACGGGAGGGAGCACAAGCACACTGGTCTTCAAGAGGCGCCCGCCCAGCGACCGACGGGAAGACTTCGCCCCCGTCCTTCAACAAGGCCGAAACTTTCTAGTCTCGGCCTGCTATCCGGTACGCAGCAACCCCTACCAGCCTCTCACAACATTTATTTGTAACTTCCTTGACCGTGGCGGCAACGGGAGCCAGCGCGAGCACGCCCCGCCAGCCCAGCGACTGACGGTGAAGACCCGGCTTTCCACCTGTCAAGCAGGCCAAAACCTTTTGGTTTTGGCCTTTTATTCGGTGTGTAGCAACCTCATGAAGCTCCTCATGATGTCCACTTGGGGCTTCATCGGACGCACATAGTCGTATTAGTATTGTTGTATCACGTATAATCAACAGAAATGCATTATATTCCCTTGAGGGTGCTGTACATCGCAACAGCCAACGGTTTGAGGAGATTGTTCCACGACCGGTACCATATGAGAAATCTATAGGTCAGTGAATTCATGATGTCTAGTTTTAACGCTCTGGGACATCGGACCACCGTGACAGGAGAACTGTCACTACTCATCCTCAAACATGGTGTACTTGAGCAATGCTGAGGTTTTGGAACTGGGAACATACCTCTCACGAGCTGATACACTCAGCCCAACGTTGACAGCTTTACTGGGGAGACTGAAGCACAACAATGAAGACGCTTCAGACCAGTCTACGGGGCGGTGCGCCGAGGACTATGTGTCCATGCAACCGTCGGACTCTACACAACCTAGTACAGGTGAAAGTATTACATACCTACCTCTTGTACAAAAGCTGACCATTCAACCACTTGATTAGCAGGATCGACACCCTCGTTGCCTCACAATGGCAGTAATTCCAATGACAGGGAGCGTCCCAACAGCCTGAGTGCGACTGGGCCAGTTCGTGCACAAAAAGCATCACGACAGCGGCGGAAGCTGGCCAACGCACCGTACCCTGGCGGTGGTAAAGAGCAACAAGGCGGGCATGATCCTCAACCTCCGCGGCCTTGTCCCAGAAGCGGGACTCAATACATTGCAAGTCGCAGTCAGCCGCATGCCGCCTGGGAGATGATGGCGCAACCACACCAAGGGACGAGCACAACAATGGAGAACTTTCTGTATACACTGGCAGCCTATGACGTGAGGGACGATGCTCTACGTTACTATTCAGCCCTCTGGTCATCTCCTGGCGCCATGTCGCTCGCTGGACGCAGTGATACGCTGGTCGATCTGGTGAACAGATGTAACCAGATAGACGACAGAAGAAACGTTATCGAGTTCCACACTATGGTATTGTACCTACGCTTGGCCTTCAAATGCGCAAGGTAAGCAAGATTCGCTCATCTTTAAAACGTAAGAACCATTGATTATTGGACGTTCAGTATGTCAGGCTGGTCGGACGTGAACATCGCTGCCCTGTGGCGAGAGCATCTCTCGAAGCTACCAAAGGGACCCAGCGAACGCACGCTGCAGAAGTGGTATAAAATAGGAAGTAAGCTTGCGAAGCTAGCAGAGGGCGGTGCGTCTATGCGCGTCATATGTTGTCGGCGTTGAGACGGACAATTGCACAGGATCAATCTACATGCTTCTCTGGATGGGGTTCACGACCCTCAGAGTGCCATTTGTCGAGGCTGACGGTACATTGGCTTCTGATGTTGCACACATACTGAGGCGCTCCAATGCCGGTCAGTTGTTCACTGACTAACCTGTGGCATATTAACGTTCAAGCGCAGAAACGCCCCTTGGACGGCTGGTCCGACAGACCATAGTGCCAATCGTAGTTTACCTGAAAGATCACTGTCCCATGAAGTTCGGCGACCTCTTTGCTGAAGATATTCTGCTCGCACTGGGCATCCATCCTCATTGCCCCTGCAACGATTTGGCAGCCACGGATTCTTTGTTCACCCGTCTCCCACAAAAGTGAGTGTAGATTCCTAGTATCTGTGTGTTTTTTACAATTGAGAGCAAATACCGGACAGTTCCTTTGCTGGCATACCTCGAGACAAAGATGCATGGGTTGCATTCGACTCTTCAGTCGCAGCTACAAACCTAGGCAATGACTCACTTATGGCGTTGTCCCCGTTGACACCATTGTCCCGGTTGGCGAGTCTCAGCCCTACAGGTCGATCAGCCTCTCCCCGCTGTTCAATGCCTACGCAGCCTCTCAACCTTACAAGCGCGGTTCCAGGCCCTTCCACGATCACCCCGCCAGTCAACCTATATTCAGTGAACATGACATGCGGTGCGAGCATGGTTCCAAGCTCCTCAATATCTACCATAATATCCAGCTTCGATCCCGACCATGAGCACAACAAACGATTCTCGCCACCCAGAAACAGAGATAAAAACGCACGTTGGACGCAGAACCAACGCGAACTAGCTAGCAAGGCCACCGAACCAGCAACTCTCGAGGAACTGGAATCATTGGTGAGTGACGTACTCCTGTGCCCATCGTTTCTGACTCATGTATGCTAGTTGAAATCGATTTATGTGGACGGTGTTCGTCCCACTCAGAACGGCTATGTGAAGATCAAACACGACCTCGTCAAGTGAGATACACCGCTACTTCACTCTGTGAATGGCTTCTCACAAGCACTTAGGGATGTTCTAACAGTACAATCTCAAAGCTCCACCATTCTTGCGACCATATGCACGTCGATGCCAGAGAGCCTACGAACCGACCTTCTTGGACGCCTGGCCGCCTGCCTCGAACCGGATGTCATACAGACATTGGACACAGCGCAGAGTGGCGGCAGCCACGTCTTCAAAGTGCTGCACTTCACATGGTATAATCGCCATTGTACGACGGTCAGTGCATTGCCTTTGGACTGGGAAAGCAGCTAACTCACTCATATACAGGGAGAGGGCTCACCAGATGACGTACCACCTAGCAACCTCAAGAGAACCGGCGGTCTCAAGACTAACTACCACCAGTTCATACCGTACCCATCCAAGGATATGACAAACTCGACCAACCAATCGATCTACCAGTCCATGAAACAAATTCTGGCCCCTCTGTTCGACTGGTTGGATTTAAAGGTGAGTTGCTTAACCATTAAGGAGTTAGTAATGCTGAGATGTACCCGGCACTTTCAGATTCAAGAGATTGCACCAGATGTATACGACCACCTTGAAGCCTACGTCAGGGTGTTGCCTGGAAACAACCGACCGCTCGCCTCTCCTTTCCTAGGATTGGTCGTCAATATGAATGTCACCACGGCAGCACACAGAGACGGCAAGGACGACGGTATTTGCCTTGTCCTTGCCATCGGTGACTTTGAAGGCGGTGAACTCGTTCTCTACGAGCCCGGACTCATTGTACCTCTATGGAACGGCGACTTCATTTTATTCCCTTCCTGTGATCTGACGCACTTCAACCTACACTACAAGGGAAAGAGAAGTTCTATTGTACTCAACACGGACCGAGAGATGGCTAAGTGGTTGAAGGAACGGAATGGATGGTCTCACAACGTACATTTTGTTTGACGTGGCACATGTCTTGTACGCTCTTAGAATGACATATTATATATTCATCGGATTTGGCGCTTACCTCGGCGGTACATATTGAACCGTGTGTAATCGAACCCTCGATTATCTCGAGTGGTCTCCGTTTCATTTCGCGGTGAGTATCATCTCGCCTTAACTCTATCGCCCTGGTCAAATCGTACAACCCAAATGGACAGACGTATGACCCGATCCGCTGCCTCGAAACAAGCAGAGAATCCTGCAGGCCAGCGAAGCACAGCCTCGAAGGGTACTAAGGACAAGCAGAAAGTGGTAAAGGCGGCTGCAACATCGTCCGCCGCAGCTAAGAAGAAAAGTCAGAAAGCTCAGGAGAAGCAGAGGGAGAAGGAGGAACGAACGGATAGTACGTGCCCTTGTCTACTCCAACACACACTAATCAACTTCACTTTGCTGTGCGTGTCAGAGATACGCAAGAGAAAATCAAAGATGATGGAGGAAGATGAAGCATCGCATGATGAAGAGGACGTAAGGCCCCAGAAGAAGAAGTCGCGCTCGCGCAACGACAACGCACAGGAGGAGGACGAGCCTGCCAATGACACGGCGCAAGGCAACAAGGTAGCTGACGTGGTGATGCAAGACCAGACGGCTGACAGCGAGGGCGAGCAGCCCAAGAAGCCACGGCGTATGTGATTCATATACATTGGCACATGAAACTCACAACACCACGCTGCTCTAGCTATGCCAAAGCGGAAGTACGGCCAACATGCAGAACCTGCGCCTACGCTAGACGCGGACGAGGAGGACCTGGCACGAACATTGGGTAAGTCCTTTGGCCATCGTGCATACATCAAACTATGACCACCTGCTAGGCGGCGGACGAAAAGAACAGAACGCTCGGGCTCCTCCGAGCAAGTCGGTCAACAGCCCCTCACGAGCGACAGATGCGGCTGCAAGGGTTCGCACCCTGTTCCGTAATTTGCTCTTGGTGACATGACTCATAGTGACGTTCACGAAGAAGCAGGACAAGGGTAAGAATCGCGCCAACAACAACTCGGATGACGAGCGTAGCAAATCCCCGGCCGCCAGCGACGATAGTCGCAAGAATTCTGACAAGGCCAAGCGCACGGCTGCAGGCCCACATGACAAACCATCCGATGACTCAGATCAGGACGACAGCAGCAAGGATGATGATCAAGAGGAAGGAGAGGCGTATGAAGACGACAGAGATGAGGAGGATGAAGAGGAGACAGACCACGCAGAAGAGGGACAGAGCGACGACGATGGGATGATCGTCAGTGTCAATCATCTCTGCAATCATATTGAATGATGCAGACATCTCTCACACTTTACAGGTCTTGTCTGACTCCAGGCGCAAGGGCAAGGGTGCTCGTCCCAAGGCGTATCGCACCGGTGGGGCCAAGGGCGCGCGCCTCAGGGTGTCAGACTTGCCAACATGGCTTGTTCCACTTTTCCATGCAGCACAAGATGCGCTGCGCCTCCGCACCGCTCTGAAGTCCGCCTGGACGAAGGAGCCGTCAGTCGTCTCCAAGCGGCTGCCCAGCGTGGATGATCTCATCAAGGCGAGCGTTCAAGATGCATATGAGAAAGGCGACAAGAAGGTGCGGGATTCCTGGAGGATGTTGCAGGATCGGAAGGGCAAGGACAACAGCCAGAGAGAGCGTCATAGGCAGGACATGCACAAACTGGTAAGCAAACAGATCTTCTGATGCGTTGGCATGAGCTGATATAGCGGAGATCGTGCGCGCGTTATCTCAAACTCGAAACGAGCTCAAGGGGAAGGCGTCCCAGGTGATCCAGAAGGCTTACGACCTGAGCCCTCACCTATACTCTCTTGATGACAGGAGGCCAATTGCGTTGTGGCTGATCGGCAAGGTCAGCGTGAAGATGGGCGATCGAACGGCTTTGCTTCCTCGTTTCATCTTCGGGGAGATAGAACACAACCTTGGGAAGGAACAGGGCTCGTCCGTGGAGAAGAGTGTGAGTACAATGCCTTAGCTATACTACGGAAGGAAGCGCTGATCATGAATTACATCATGAGCAAGTACAACCGCTTGCTACCTTTCAGGCACCCGGCAATCCAAGAGCTGATCTACCTGTACTGGGGGCCCGCCAAACGTGAGGGTGCGTGCATCAAGGCGGCGATGGTAGACTTCAAGAAGGTGCCTCTGAACCTCATCGCACTAGTGTGCACCGCCGTAAGCCCTATTCCAATCCACGCACAAAACCAACTGACGTCATTGCACTTGTGTAGATAGAGGGAGCATTGGCTGACGTCGCCGCGCAGGTGGAAGAAGACAACGAAGTGAACCTGAAATTTGCGAACTCGGTCTACGCCAAGAAGTAAGTCTGCTTACCTTGTGGTATCTATACTAAATGTTGGGCGCAATTCAAGATGGGACAGCCTGATGAGTGCACTGGAGTACATGAATAACAAGCCGTACCTTCAGGAGACGCAGTCACTAATCTGGTCGTATATAAGGTAACTTCTCGCAATCAATATGGCTTGGTTTGCTCACTAGGGACGTAGGTCGAAGATGCAAGGGGACGAGGATGGTGATATGGACGCTGTGGAGGAGAACCAGGAGGAGGAAGAAGACGGGGAACGTGTGGGCGGTGCGGCTATCGACCTCGACCAGCTGAACGTCACCTTGCCAGCCGTGGCATCAGGCAGCAAGGCAAAGACTCCTGCGGCGTCCAAGACTGCAGCTGGATCATCGAAGGATGCAGCGAACGCAGAGAGTGGACCGTCACGTCCGTCGCGATCGAAGTCCGGCGCGAAGAAGGCCCAGGAGAGTTCGGGGGAGCAAACTTCCAGCAGCGAGCGTGAGGTCGATGAACTCGGCAATGAGTGGTAAGTCAGTCAGTGTCCAGTGGTTTCTTTGTATCTCACTGCGAGAGGTACATCACCAAGATGTCGTAGTTGTCCTGTCGCATCAAGGCCGTGAACATCATCAACTTTGTCTGTTTCGCGTGGCAGGAGCAGTAGAATCGGTCCATTTCCAAGGCGAGTGTTTCTATGCCCATACCACCTCTATCTACACTTACTCATACGACAATCCTGCAGCTACTATATCTATCATCCTCTGTACTACTACACATCAGACGTGCGTGCCTGCTACGTATCCCACTCTCCCTCTACTACTATTTGCCTGTCTCAGCCGTGGTCGTCATCCCGGCGCCGTCTGACCTCGAGTCTATGCCTATCTGTTGATCGTGCTATACCAGTAGTTATGTGTCTGTATATGTTGTACAACAACCCGCACTGCTAATATTTATGATGTGATCTGGTACATGTGCATAAGTGGACATCAGCAGACTTAATTCTGTACATAACTGTACTTCAGCACGCCCACTGAAGTACATATTGTAGGTGAAATAAGGGCAACTAAAGACCAAAATGACAACACAATTAAGACTGAATAAGACACAAGATGTCTTTATTGCGTACATTAGTGCTCTTATGCATAATATCAAAGACACAATAAGACGGGGACTTGTCTTAAGTGCCATGTTTTGGTCTTATGTAACATTTTATGTCTTTTGTGTCCTATACGTTCCTAAGATGTCTTGTAGATGACCTCTGATGAGACCTTATGTAGGCACGGTTTTTCCTGATGGTCGTGGTCGTGGGACAGGTATTGGCGTTTCTTCGATTCTATTCGCATAGCTAGTTGTACTATACCAGAATCAGAGCTTCGAGATGTACATTTACGTATTGACGTATCGGTCTCCGGAAAACGTCGAGAAAAGCAAGTAGCTGCCATGGTTGACTCAGGCGCTACGGGGTTGTTCATTTCCTCTCGTTTTGTACTAGAAAATCATGTAACTACCGTTCCTATGAAGCATCCGATCGTTTTGTATAACATCGATGGCAGTAAGAACAAAGCTGGTAGCATCACTCACTACGCTCGTCTTAGACTACAAGTAGGTAGCTTTGATGAGGTGTGCGATTTTTTAGTTACAAATCTGAACAAGGAAGATATGATACTGGGTATCCCGTGGCTAAGAGAGGTGAATCCTAGCATCAACTGGAAGGAGGGTACGGTCACGTTCGACGAGGAACCGCAGGAGCCGGTTTCATCTGAGAACGATGATCTCCCCTTTCAGAAGATTGCCGGGACGAGGAAACTCCGGCGCGAATGGAAAAAGCGCGGAGTTATAGACGACTTAGCCGATGAGCTCTGGTGCTGCGCAGGTGTAACATACTCAACCACGCTGGCAGCCCAAGCCAATCAGCAGAAGTCCAAGAAGACCTTCGAGGAGATGGTGCCGGAGCACTATCGAGACTTCGCCAAAGTCTTCTCGGAGGCAGACTCGGAACGTCTTCCCGAGCACAAGCCGTGGGATCACACGATCGACCTAAAGCCCAACGCGCCTGAGACGCTACGGTCGAAAGTGTATCCAATGCCGATAAACGAGCAAGCGGAACTAGACAAGTTCTTAGAAGAGAACCTCCGGAAAGGCTACATTGTGCCTTCCAAGTCACCGATTGCTTCGCCTGTCTTCTTCGTCAAAAAGAAGGACGGCAAGCTCCGGATGGTTCAAGACTATCGTAAGCTAAACGATGTCACGATCAAGAACCGATACCCGCTCCCGCTTGCTACCGACATAGTCAACCGGCTACGCCAAGCCAAGTACTTCACGAAGTTCGATGTCCGCTGGGGGTACAACAATATCCGTATCAAGGAGGGTGACGAATGGAAAGCGGCGTTTGTAACCAACCGCGGACTGTTTGAGCCGAACGTCATGTTCTTCGGCCTCACCAATTCCCCAGCAACATTCCAGACGCTCATGAATTCCGTCTTTGTCGATCTCATCGCCGCCGGAAAAGTAGCTGTATATCTAGACGACATCCTAATATACAGTACGGACTTGGACGAACATCGCAAAGTAGTACGCGAAGTTCTCCGCCGGCTACAGGAACACGACTTGTTCCTGCGACCCGAGAAATGCGAATTCGAGCAGACGAGCGTCGAGTACCTAGGCTTGGTAATCTCGGAAGGAAAGGTCAGCATGGACCAAGTCAAGGTCCAGGCGATCACGAGTTGGCCGGACCCCCAGAACCTGAAAGCACTACGCGGGTTCCTGGGCTTTGCCAACTTCTATCGCCGGTTCATCAAGGACTTCGCTAAGACAGCACGTCCTCTGAATGACCTGACCAAGAAAGACGTATCCTGGCATTGGGGCCCAGAGCAGAAAGAAGCATTCCAGACGCTTAAGGACGCGTTCACGTCGGAACCCATTCTAGTCACATGGGAACCCAACCGTCCCACGCGTGTGGAAGTGGATGCTTCCGGGTTCGCGACCGGTGGAGTTATCCTGCAAAAGACGGCAGATAACCTCTGGCACCCGGTTGCGTTTAGGTCACAGTCGATGGCGGAAGCCGAGCGCAACTACGAGATCTACGACCGCGAGATGCTAGCTATCATCCGAGCTCTCGAGGACTGGAGGCACTACTTGGAAGGCCTTCCAGCCCCCTTCGAGATCATCTCTGATCATAAGAACCTAACGTTCTGGCGAACTTCGCAGAACTTAGGACGGAGACAAGCTCGCTGGTCGTTATGGTTGTCACGCTTCGACTTCACAATGATGCATAAACCCGGAAAGACGAACACTCAGGCCGATCCCCTGTCACGTATCCCTTCGCTCCAAGTCACGGACGCGGAGGATAATCAAGGTCAGACCGTGTTGAAGCCTGAGCGGTTCGCGGAGATTTCTGCTACCCTCAACGAGCCAGAATCCCCACTAGAAGATCGCCTTCGTCAGGCTAGCGAGCGCGAAGCTGAGGTGCTTACCGCGCTACGCGAGCTCCGTGAGCATGGCCCACGTCGATTGACGAACGGACTCTTTGAATGGGAAGAAGACAAGGGTATCATTTACTACAAAGGAAAAGTCTATGTCCCTGCCGACGATGGGCTGCGCACAGAAGTCTTACGTCAGTGCCACGATGCGCCCACGGCAGGACATCCCGGTAGAAATGGAACCCTTGAGCTGGTCAGCCGCCATTACTGGTGGCCAGGAATGGCCAAGTTTGTGGAGAAGTACGTCGCAGGATGTGACCGGTGTCAGCGCTACAAGCCAGCAGCCCACCCACCAGCTCAGTTACACCCCCTGCCCGTGCCTAGAGGACCGTGGACTACGATGGGCGTCGATCTGATCACCGGATTGCCACTATCCAACGGATTCGACGCCATAGCCACGTTCATTGATCTCTACGGCAAACAGGTGCACTTCATACCCACGACCTCCACTGTAGACGCTTCGGGTATCTCCGATTTGCATTATCGTGAGATATTCCGGCTGCATGGGATCCCCGACGAAATTGTGTCGGATCGCGGTCCGCAGTTCGCTGCTAAGCTAATGCGCGAACTGTACAAGCGGCTAGGAATCAACTCGAGTCTCACTACGGCCTACCACCCGCAGAGCAACGGACAGACAGAGCGCGCTAACCAGGAGGTCGAAAAGTACATCCGACTCTTCTGTGATAAACGCCAAGACGACTGGTCCCGGCTTCTCCCAACCGCCGAGTTTGTAATCAACTCGCGCGTTGCATCGGCTACGGGAAAGACTCCCTTTGAAGCCATGTACGGGTTTACGCCGGACTTCACTGTCCCTGTGGGTAGGAAAACCAGTATTCCTGCACTCGACCAAAGATTGGCACTCCTTGCAGAAGCACGCAAGGAGGCGGAAGCAGCACTTCGTCTAAGCAAAGTCGCGATGGCGGATCAGGGCAAAGTCAAAGCCCCGGTGTTCAAGGTTGGCGACAAAGTCTGGTTAGCCGCCAAGAACATCAAGATCCACCAAGCAAGTCAGAAGCTTGGGCCGCGACAACTCGGACCTTACGAAGTAACCGAAGTCCGAGAGAGCGACGACTACGTGCTTAACTTGCCGCCTGCGCTCAAGGTGCATCCCGTATTCCACGTGGATAGACTATCTCCCTACAAGGGTAATGACGTCAACGGACTCCTTCCTCAGCCACCCGAACCAGTAGTAATCGATGGTGAGGAAGAGTACGAAGTCGAGACCATCTTGGATTCCCGGTTCTTCAGACGCCAGCTTCAGTACCTAGTCCAATGGAAGGGCTATGGTGCGGGAGACAACAGCTGGGAACCCGCCACGAATCTCGAACACGCCCAGAAGGAAATAGCGGAGTTCCATCGGAAACACCCCAATGCACCTCGCAAGATAAATGCTGCTCTATTTGACGGAATCGTATGGCGATCTCCAGAGAATATGACGGACGTCGCGCCCACAGACCTGGAATGGGAGACGGGGCGACGTGTCGGGATAGATTCGTCGGGACGACGTGTCGGGATAGATTCGTCGGGATGACGAGTCTTAGGAGGGGGGTAATGTCATGGTATGACATGGAGGCCCCGTATTTTTGCCTTGTTTTATCCTATTTTTGCTCATTTTCTATGGACTTGTACGGTACGCTGTACGATAGACTTCGCCTGGAACGGCTTTCTGACTAGTCACGTGACACATCACGTGCTAGGGTCTGTCTTGTGACATTGTTCATCATGTGGCTGTGCTTATGTAACTTATCATGTGCCCTGCGGTAGCACCTAGCCGCCTGACTCGTTCTGACTCGTTCTGACTCACTCTGACTCATCCTGACTCATACGTACACATGACCTCAGTTCTTGGATCCAGCGTAGGTAGACCGGCCCTAAACCTAGTCAGTATATATAGGGCCCTGTACGCTGCCTAGCACTCCAGCTCGTCCTCTTGGAGTTGCTAGGTAAGCACTTCACATTGTACTAAGTAGAGTGCAATGTAACTAACTTGGAGTTGCTAGCATTGCGTTCGACGCTGTTAGACTGTTGTTGACCTCGGTCCAACACCTTGAGGTCAAGTGTTTCTGTTCACAGTTCTGTTTCTAGTCGCGTCAGACCTAGCTCCGCGACATATACGTGTGCCTATTTAGATTTTGTTATTGCTTCAGCTTAGTATAAGGTTCCGATATGAATGAAATCAACAGCTGTGTAGGTGTTGCCGGCAGGAGTCGTGTGTGGGAACTGCTATTACCATGTCACCGTGAACGTCGCCGGCGTGAGATACCGTGGAGCCCTCGTGATTACGCGCCTTTGCGCTGTTTCCGCGCCTCAACTTACAGCAGTGAAGGTAAACCACCAACGCAGCTAGACTCTGGACTCCGAGTCAAGTAGTAATCGTCGGCGTGCCCTCTCAACATACTACGTGGTGTCGTTCCACGATGCCCAAGTCTGTCCTTATCACGGGGTGTACTGTAGGAGGTATTGGGCACGCACTCGCACACGAATTCTTGGCGAAAGGTCTGTACTGTTGTCGTATGCATGCCAAGGCTCACATAGACCTGTACTGAAAGGCTTTACTAGGATACCGGGTCTTTGCAACCGCTCGTCATGTTGAAAGTATGGGTAACCTTGAGCGTAGCGGTGCAATTACCCTGCCATTAGACGTCACGGATGAGCACGCTATCCGGAGGCTGCACGACCAGGTATCCGCAACAACTGGGGGAACATTAGACATACTGGTGAACAATGCGTGAGCGCTCTACCCACACCGTTGCATTGAGAAGATATCTCACCATTAGACCACTACTGACAGAGGACAATGTGTGTCGGGGTCGTGTTCGAAAGAGTCTGCAGTGATGCTCACTGCCATCTCCAAGCTGCCATGATTCCGGCCATCGAAATGCCCATGTCAGATACGCGTACTATCTTCGACGTGAACTTCTTCGGGCCCGTGTGCATGATTCAAGAATTCGTGCACCTTCTCATCGCATCTGGAGATGGGCGAATCCTCAATATTTCCAGTGTGGGGGCTGTAATGCCGCTGCCGTTTTGTGCAATCTACAACGCAACCAAAGCGGCCCTCGTGTCGCTGGGCAACACTCTGCGCTCATCAGAACTTCGGGAAAACCGCTGACGCTCACTGACACCACTGATATAGCAATATCAGTGACATTCAGCGAGCATCAGTGAGACTCAGGGGAGCTCAGTAGAGGCCCGTTTTTTCGTCGGAAGCATCTCTTATTTTCGTCAGCGAATGTAGCGCTCAAGACATCAGCAGCCGTCAGCAGCCGTCAGCAGACGTCAGTACATGTGGGTCCACAACACATTTCGCGCACTTCATTTTGTCGCTACAGATTCATTCGTTCTACGGAATAACTACTGTCTTAGACCTTGCAAGTCTCATGATCAATCCTCGGCACCACTTAACAACCCGTCTCCATCTGCTCCTGCCCACCGACCGTGACGTTGGGGCCAGGCTGGCCCTGAAAGCCGGGCTTAGGCATGGGTTCATTGCTGTTAAATTATAGTCATGTTAGCCAAGTCAGCGGGGTCGCACATCGAAGACGTACGTCATGACCGTGTAGCGGAACATGTTGATGTACTCGCCTGGCTTCGTCAAGACAATGGCGAGCGGCCGAAGTGTCGGTGTGGCTACACCGACGGACTTGAGGGGGACCATGTCGCACAACCGATGTTGAGGCTACCGCCACGCTGATACTCCCCTGTATCTGCTTCGCGTCAAACACCCCATTGTATGGGCGCGAGGGTGCAAGAGTGCGGAATGGATGGGGGGCAGCACAACCTGAAGACAGGGAGTGGTGGTTGCTCGCCTGCCTCAACCGGCGGATAGCAGACGTGCCAAGAAGCACACTACGCACCGGTGCTGGGACACTGAGCGAGGACGAAGACATGTCACACGCGGGCGGAGACAACAGCAGAGGCTGTGAAACATACCTTGACTCCTCTGCACTTCTTTACTCGCCCCTGCGTCCGGTGTTGCAGGCTTGATCCGCCATCCTCCCCCAGTGCGTACTCGAAGTTATTGTGCCTCGGTGCAGGCGGTGCGTGGCGAGAAGATCCCTGAGCTCGTGTTGACGAGCGCTGCGTGCGCCGGTCGTGTCCAGTGCGCGGCTTGTTTTCGTGGGCGCATTGGCGTTTGCGGAGCGCAGAGTCCCGAGGTTGCGATTCGTCAACGGGTTGGCAGCAGTGACGGGATGACGGGACAGTGGGCTGGACACGTCGAAGAGCAACTGAGCCAGCGGCAAGCGCATACGCAAGCAGGACGGGGTTTGCCGAAGCGGGCGCTTCGGACTTGACTGCCCCTCTGACCGCGCGCCGTACTTTGTCTTGCTCTCCTCTACATCGTCTTGCTCTCGTCTCCGCCTCCGTTCTCATGCGTCTGCTTCCACGCAGCGCATACGCGTCATGCCCACGCCACGCTTGCTGACCTCCCAGAAGAAGACCGAGTCGCCTGCCGCGGAGTCTCCGTCCATCATGCTCACATCGCCCAGCATGAAGGGCACCAAGTCACGCATGACCACGCCCAAGGCGACACCCACGAGGCCGACGGGACCCTCGAAGTCGCCAACGCCGACGAGGACGAAGACTACGTCAAGCGTGAAGGCGTCGCCGAGCACGCCTGCGAAGAGCGTCGCGTTGTCGAAGCAGCCTGCAAGCGCGGCACGCGGGGAGACGCCGCTGCGCCCGCTTTCGCTCATTCCTGGGGTGGACGAGGAGGACAAGTGGTTCTTAATGTGGGATGGGGATGATATGACGCTCGATATGGTCACAGACGTGAACGATCGGGACGTTGACGAGGTGCGTGGCATGCTGACTCGTCTGCGTACGTGTACCAATGCTCGCACAGACGGAGAGCGCACTGCAGGCAGTGCAGACGCTCTACGCGCGCAAATGGCTCCACTACAAGCGACTGCTCAAGCGTGCACAAGCGTCGACCGCCGCGCAGCTGCACGCGCTGCAAGCCGAGGTGCGCATGGCGTGAGAGGGTGCGCGAGAAGGAGCAGGGTGGCGTGGTCGTGACCGATCCCGACGCAGACGGGTTCTGCGTGTGCGGCGGGAAACGGCAGAAGGAGTATTGCAGTGGGTACCGTCGTCACTCGCCTCCGAGCCCTGTCTCGCACTCGCCCTGCCTCTCCTGTGAGTCACTCTTGGTCACTCGTTGTCTGCGCAACCAGTCGTCCATTCAATTAAGTTTGCGCAGCCAGTCGTCCGTTCAATTACTCACCTGTATGTGCTCGCAAAATTGTACCCTCATTCATGTACTCGCCCGCTCGTTCCAGCAATGTACATAGTAGTATTTGTGCTCTTTATTATGAAGCCCCACTGAAACAGGAAGCGCTCGGCAACTGCTCAACGTACATGTTTTGCTGATGCACTGAGACAACTGACGCTGCTGATGTTGCTGATGTACATGTGGCTGCGTTCGTCAGTGAGCATCAGTACGTCAGCAAATCCCCGAAGTACTGATGCTTGGAACTTGCGCCATTCGGGTCAGTCATTTATCCATAAGGCGACAGACGCTATTAACACCAAAGCCAGTGTCAAAATCATTACCGTAACGTTCACACATCCGAGATCATCCCAGCTCATACTGAGCATGATTCTATGTAGGTCATGTCCGGAAGTGTGAAGACAAACATTACGAAACCGCATACACTCCCAGCGGGGTCGATGTACGCGCAATATGAAGATACCTACCAAGAGAAGCGAGTGAGACCCGTGATGAGTATGTACACGTCCCCGATTTTATGTCGCCAGGAGTCCTGAGTTACTTATCTGCTCTGCAGAGAATGCGATGCCTCCTGAGGAATTTGCCCGGCAAGTTGTTTCCCAGGCGATCAAAGCTGTTCCGAAAAATTGGCTTTGGGTGGGAACACACTCCTTCTTTTGCTGGTTCATAGACACGTTCTTTGGTCAACGAGCCTTTGTACGTGTGTTTGTATTTGCAAACCTCATCACTAATGACGGTCCTTCGTAGCATTTCATTTTCATGCACATGTTCGGGCTGTCCGAATTTTCCGCGCTGGTGAAGGGGAGGAAAGCAAAGGCTACATAATGTATGTGTCTGTATCGTTTGCTACAGATGGTTCCGGATGGTCATTTATATCTCGCAAATTCACAGGGAGGGTAGAAAGATAGCGCATTGAATGATCATTGCAATCGATATTGTTATCTATAGCGAAGTGGAGCAGGGTCCAGTGCCTATGTACGCCGCTTATCTGTTTCATCCCTCAACTGGACTCGCTCACTGAGCTTGACCGAGCCGCGGGGACTAGCTTCCCTGGACCCTTTTGCTAGGATACGTCTTCATTCGGACTGATCCCGCAGGCGTTGCCACCAAACGCATGGGGCGATGTGATCCCTGAAGATCAGTGTCCTCTGTACGAGCGTGATCATCGCGGCGAGTCGAGTTCTAGCGGGCGTTCCTGGCACAAGTGACATGGTACCTCTGATGGGGTTTCAATTTACATTCCTGCATGACAGACGAGAACAGTCATGCGTGGAAAGCTGAGGGTTGGAAGTGGTACTAACAGGCCCTCCTTGTCGGACCACACGCCATCAGGAAAAGCCTCACTTGAGAATACATCAAATTACAGAGTATTGTACAGAACAATGAACAATTACAACTATTCGCCTGTTCGGAATATTGTAGAGAATTAGCTACCCCCCCGAACTCCTGTACGAATTTCAGACAATATATTGAGTATTTGAGTGCATTATGAGTACCTACCTCAATATTATGTGTCACAGATTGAAGAATGTAGTACATATGATTCATCATTATTCATGTTCTCATGTCGTCAGAAGCCTCACACAGACAGATATTGTAAGAACATTAGATGAATTGTGAGGTAGTACTACTGTCTAGATGGAGCGAGTACATGTGATGAACAAACAAAGTACTATTAACAAGCCTTGATTCAATTCTGTGTCCCAGTGTCCGTGACGAAGAACATGTATGTAAGCTGGAAGTCCCGTAGAGAACATGCAATATGCGCGACAGAAGCTTGAATGCAAGGTTAGAGACGAAGTCAAGGTTTCAAACAATGTTCCACGGCTCAGAGGCCCGCCGCAGATGCGAGTATGGCGAAGTTCGGCGTGCCAAGCCCCGTAACCTGCGAGAGCCATCATCGTCATCGTCAGAACCGCACAACGCACACGACACAGTACAACACTCACAGGATCCCATCCCTGCGCGGCGTAGAACCCAGTCGTACCCCCACTGCACGCGAGGTTGTTCTCGCCCACGACATCGTTCAGCACACCCATACCCGCCGCAGTGCTACACAGCCGCGGGTTCAAGAACCCGAGTATGCTCTTGCCCGCGCTGAGCAGCTGGTCATTCAGCAGCGTGACGATCACCGCGAACGTCGGCGTAGAGGTAGAGCAGCTCGTCCCACTCACGATGAGCGACACCGCGCTGGACTTGATGTCGTACCGCGTGCCGTACGCCGATACGTCCGGGTACGCGCGGCCGGTCGCGTTCAAGAGCCCGCTCGAGTTCGACCCAAGCGCGCTGAGGTACGAGGCGATGGCAGCAGACTGGTAGGCGGACTGTGCGAAACAGTTCGAGGAGCCGCCCCCGGAGAAGCTCGCTCCGATCTCTGTGGGCTGCTCGGTCGTCGCCCCGACGGTGGTCACATCAGAAGAGGTCAGAGGAAGAAGGACGAAGCTGGGGCGCACGTACTAGGGACAGCTTGTAGGGAAGACAGACACGAACTCCGTGCGGAAGTTGCTGGATGCCTGGTTGCCGGACACACCGCCGTCACCAGAAGCGTAGAGGAGGGAGACGCCCCGCGCACCCAGGTGGTGGGTTAGGCAGTGAGGAAGGCCAAGAGAGGGAATAGGACATACACGTACAATTCATGCAGCATCTCAGCCGCGCTAGCCCACTCTACTCTGCACCCGCCGCGTCCTTCGTGAGCACACTGGCGACGCTTTTGCAGCGTCGCTGGTGCTGTTATGTACTGCTGACTTGTTGGGTTGGACGCGCGTTGACGTCTCGAACATGCCGCGGCGTACCTGTACCTCTGACAGGCCCATGGTAGGCCTGTCTCTTCATGTAATGGCTGCCTTTCATGATCTTGAGGCGCGGACGAGTGGCGGTCGAGCGGCACAGAGCAAGGCCGTGGAGGAGGGAGTGAAGGGAGGGTCAGCACTTGCGCGCTGGCAGGACGGACGCAAGCGCTGTCGGACTTGCCTTATGCGGCCTGCATCGGAAGATCCCGAAGTGGGCGTTTAGGACTTGCTCTGCGCGCGACTCTCGCGTCGATCCTCCCTCCACCTCAGTCCTCAATCCGTGCACCGCCTTCACCGTCCCAGCAGCATCCCGCGGCCGCGCCACGTCCCAAATTGGACGCCCGCCGCATACATCAATCTCTTCGCCACCGCCACCGCTGCCCGCGCGTCGCATCCGCGGTGCTGTCAACGGCGAGGCAGCGCGACCTCGCTGCTTCCCAGCCTTCGCGGATGCGACAGAGGAACGTCGCTGTTCCCGCGCTCAACGCGAAGAACGAGCAGCTGGCGACACGACGCGCAAGAAACCGGCGCGAGACTGCGCCGCCCGCCTGCTACAACAGCCCTGAGCGCTCGCGTCCCAAACGCGAGCAACGCAGCGTAAATGGCATCCGGCCGGCTGGCTGGAAGTACCGCCAGCGACGCCACAAGAGCGTCGCCGGGTACTCTCCGATGGATGGGGCAAGAGAGGAGAGGATGCGCGCGGCAGAGCTTGCGCACATAAGGTACGTTAGCACGCTCACTCACACTCCCTCCCGCTCACTACCACCTCTCAAAGGCATCCGAGGATGCGGAGCAGACGTCCAGTCAAGCGGTTGAATTGCTGCGCAGGCGACACGCACGGCGACCGCGAGCGGGCGGGGCAAATGCCCCGCACGCAACGACGGCTGACGAACAGATGCCACGCGCGCAAGGTCGAGCGCAAGCGAACGGCGGCAGGTATGGGTGGGGGCGAGGTCGAGAGAGGGCTGCCGGCGGTGAGCAGATGCCGCAGGTGAGTAACACTTCCTGCGGTTACACCGTCCTCATTCTGCGCGTTCGCGTGTATCCCCGCCCACCTCCGTGTGTCCCAGCTGCTCGCCCAGCCTGCTCACGCCAGCGTACGTACCCATCCACCCACCACCATGATCGCTCGTTGCACGACCATTCACCTGCCCTCCCGCACGACCATGATTGCTCGCCCCGCATGATCGCCCCTTGCCCGCACGATCGCCCCTTGCGCGCGTGGTAGCTCGTCGCCCACCTGCATGCATGATCGCATGCACGCACGATCGCCCGCCGCACCCGCGTACTCGCACGTTCGCAAGCCCATCCCCCACCTCCTTGCCCGCCCGACCCTTCACCGGTACCCGCACCCGTCGAAACCCGCGAGACCCGCGGACAACCCGTACCCGCCGGGCAGGTACCTGACCCCCGTGGGTATGGGTACGGGTAAGCTCCCGGACACCCGGGAGTTTACCCCTGCTTAGTATTATTACAGTTCAACGTGCAAGGAGGAGGGCTGCCAGCACGCATACCTGGCTGCCGAACGCACGTGCACGCGAACAAGCAAGCAGGACAGGGCAGGCACACGCGCGACGACGACACGCACGGCGACGATGAGCGTGCAGGGCGAATGCCCAGCACGCTAACACAACCGATGAACTGCATGCGCACGAGAAAAGAACGGGCGAGGGCAACTTGTGAAGGGCAGTGGGCGAGAATGAGCCCGCGGCAGCGGGCAGGGCCAGTGCACGGCAAGACCAGGCGGGCGCGAGGGTGAGTGAGTGGGGAGGAAGGCCGGACAGTAGGGATGGGCGAGCGGTGAGGGGGGCCAGCGACCGGCGGGCACAGACGCAGTCGTGCCGCATTCGCAGAGCCACGCAGGATGTCCCTTATCCCGCGGCCCTGCGCCTTTGGTGGAGGAAACTAGATTAGTCTGCGCTGTCGAAGTACAAACGACTATGATACTCATGTAATGTACACCGATTGGTAGAATTGATACAATTTTATCAATGTTTTTGGCCCATATCGCTTGTTCGACACCAAGACAGATATTACTATATCATGTACAGCCCAAGTACAGCCCCTCAATGGCATTCTCAGTAATCCCTCGCTCATTCTAACAATACTGGGCAATGTATTGATTGTTAGCTATGTTCCGTAGAATGTGTCTACGTTATCTTTGTTCTGCGCAATATTCATAACTTCTCACGAATTTCCAAAAGGGGGTTTTCCCGATGGCGTTCGCGTCTATTTCGCATCCGAGCCGCCGCCCTCAGAGGGCTTGTTGTTATCATGCATAGCCTCTAGACGTCCGCCCTGTAAAGATCATAGAGTCCCTTATACCGAACACCTCTCGCCATCTAACAGCCATGCACTACTGTATGGCAAGTCGACAGATCTCAGTAGATTGAAACCTCATTGAGGCCGGGAGCATGCCAGCATAATCCATAAACGCACCGGCACCGCTGGATATGTCCGGGAGCAGTATGTGCAGGCATAGTATGTTTACATGATATGAAATATCACCGTTTCTACGGCTGGATCCAAAAGTAGGAGCAGGGTTCCATATTTACTAAGTTACTAACCTGGACCGCTGTCGCCGCCCGCGCGATCATCGGCGTCTTGACGCCGCCGATGACGGTGACAAGATGCCGGACGACCACCGTGACCCGACAGAACCACCGTGACAGTGCCAAAGCGACAAGCAATTAGCGCCCGACAAATTCGATCCTGAACTTGAATCAGATCCGTATCAACGCTCAAGGACAACTAGAAACACGGTAGACTCAGGTACTACTTACTCTCAATTTGTTGTCTTGTTCTTACACGTTCTGATCATCTCTCAACAGCGATGATAACAATGATCATGTTGATGTTGATGCTGGTAGCCCGACCGATGAGCGGCGAATGGCTAGTAAGATCTTTCCCTTTCTGCATCTCCACGGCTATCTGCCTTCAAGTTGTTTCAGTCGATGGGATTCCACACAAAACCGGGCATAGGGTATAAAATGGGGTACAAAGTCCAATCTGACCCGTGGTACGCAGCCGTTTAACATCTTCAGTGAGAACGTCCGAGTCGAAAGCACACGATGCGTCCTACTCGCGGTCTTGCTCAAAACCCTCTCTTTCAACTGCATCCAGAGGGGCACCCCCTTTCCGACCGCATTCACGTAACCTATGAACGAGCTAAAGCTATAGGACGCGCATATGGTACGTTCAACTCTTCGGTCACAGTACGCTATTCACGTCTCCCTCGTCAGCATTCACGCCGCACGATGTCTTGACCATGTCTCCGAAGTTTTGGTTATTCCACACTGATCCAATATGGAGCATCGATGGGGCGGCAGGTACCCTGTGCACGCTTCAGTACAATTGCTGCGCAGGAACGTTAGCCATGTTTACCAACGGACGACCCGATATCTCGGAAATACTTCAACAGGTCTTAGAGTTCAACGTATCGTACGTACTGTATCTCAAACTGATTCTAGATCTGTTCGACTCATTGAAATGTTCCACAGGGGCCAGTACTGCCTGACCGAGGTTGGTCACGGCCTGGATGCCTTCCATCTCGAGACGACCGCGACCTTACTCCCGAGCGGCGATTTCGAACTTAACACACCTAGTGAACGTGCCGCCAAGTATGTACTCGCGAACAACAGGCGACGAGATGTCGTTACTAATGTTGATCCATCAGGTACATGCCGCCGACGGCACCTGCAGGCATGCCCTGCATCGCGATCGTATTTGCTCGTGTGATGATCGATGGTGAAGACCATGGAGTCAAACCATTTGTTGTCCGCCTGCACAACGGCAAGGATATGAACAAGGGCGTTGTGTGCAAGTGAGTACCTCTACGGTATGCGCCTATATTCTCTTAACGTTTGCAGGGTGCTTCCTCAACGAGGTGGATCGCGGCCTATGAACCACTCTCTCACCTACTTCAACCGCGTACGCCTGCCTTACAGTGCTCTTCTCGGAAGCGTAGAGAAGGCCGTCAATCCTAAGACGGCTTTCTTTTACAATATCTCCCGAGTGGCGGTAGGAACTATCGCGATTGGATCTCTCGGAGTACCTGCCCTTCAGGTCGCTTCGTTCATCGCTGCCAAGTACAGTCTTCGCCGCACAGTCGTGGACACTGAAGGCTGCCGAAAGCCCATCATGGAGTTCAGGACGCAGAGGATCCCCATCGTCACCGCTGCTGCTCAATCTTTCGTACTGCAAGCGCTACATGAGAAAGCCGTCGCGCTCTTCCGCGACGTAAGCCTCGATCATCGCGTTCGCCACGCTATCGCGTCGATTCTCAAGGTTGTCATGATTCAACACGCACAAGCTGCGCACCTGACACTCGGAGATCGGTGCGGTGCGCAAGGTCTCTTCGAGGTGAACCAGTTGACCGCCATGCATGTACGTTCGACCTTTCCAATGCGTATGCCGCACTTCGCTTATGATATTGTTTAGGCAGACATGCGAGGTACAGCCATTGCCGAAGGCGACCTCCTGGGTATCTCCATCCGTACGTCATGATACAGCGGCTCTAATTTTCAGTCATTGAACAATGCGTCAATCTGTAGGTTTCGCGACAGAGTTGCTATTGAGGCGTTACGCCATACCCGACGCCACCGATCCATCTAGCCTCCTGGCTAAACACGAGGCCGGACTGTTAGAAGAACTGCGTGGTCAACTCGCCAACATGAAGCACCATAGAAGTCCCGACTTCGACAGGTTGATCCTACCCGAATGTGTCAACCTTGTGCAGGCGATAGGACATCGCATGGCGTATGACGCCGCTGTCGCAGCTGGTGTTGAGAGCGGCCTTATCGACCTCTACGTTGCCAGTTGCATCAAACTTGATGCTGCATGGTACGTGGAACAATTGGGCCTATCCAGGGCCGAGCAGCGCGCCATGGAGAATAGCGCGGTCGACGCCGTATTCCCGCGGCTTCAGGAATTGTTCGAGCGCATGGACGTCGAGCCGTACATCTCAGCGCCCTTGGTATCTGACGAGAAGTGGGACCAATACGTGAAGTCGTTGGTTACATATGGGGACTCGGAGGTTTTGGTATACAGCGGTCCTCCGCCGCTCGCCGCCGACGGGTTGCCCCAAGTGGCTCCTAGTCAGGTCGCAGTGGCTGTCGCGGCTTAGACACAATCCACCGATTTAGGATTGGTAGGCTACAAGTATACTAGATCCGCGTAACTGAATCACCGTGTATGCTCAGTGCACGACGCTTCTGGAACATGGGCTAGTCAACTAGTGAATGGCTGGGTCATGGTAGAATAGATCGTCGTTGTAGACACGTCGTCGACTCTTGTGACTGCTTGGTACGGTCTAAGTAGATATGCACAGCTACCACCTGCAATACTAGATTGGTGGCTGCGAGTGGACTCAGTGACTGTCACTCAGCTGTCACTAGTTCACTGTCGATGTACTTAGAATGGCCATGCCAAACCTGTGCGTTAACACGGTTCTGCCAACTTCTGCCAGTGTAATGTCGCGATGATGATCACTGGCACATGTACAGTAGGCCCCTCCTCTGGTGCCGCATGTCTACCGATTGTAGTAATTCGCTGCACTTCGAACCCAAGAAGCCACCATTCCGAAGCCCTCGCTTCTCAAATCCAAACAGCGCTGCGCACTATGCATCAGCACCCGCGATGCACGGTCCCCAGGAAGACATCATAGCCACCGTACGAATGAACCACCATTCAGGAACCCATTCAGCAGACGTGCGACAGCATGCGTGCACTGATTCCATCTGCCATCTCGCCCGGCGCACGGATGCGCGACAAGAGTTGAGTGCCAATAACTACCTCCAATAGATAACAGCCTCTCTCCTTCGTGCCCGGTCGGAGACTTGGAATCCGCAGTGTAGATCCCCCTTCGTGGCGCCTTCAGAGACAGAGGCTTCTAGGGCACGCTCATGGAGCTTCCTCAGTCACCACCAGTCATGTCCGACACGCCGCCGCTAGTTCTCGATCGTCCGACGCCGATCCCTCAGTCCGTCTTCCAAGGGACATACGGTACGCAATATTAATGGAACGACCTACTCATGTTTGCGACTGTCTTACATGGGATTATAGGTGGCTCGCTCATATGCAGCCAGTTCATGCTGGTTTTTTACGGGCTATCTGTTCTGCAGGCCCGTCACTGTTCGCTCCCTCGGCCTTGTGTTACGCTGCTGAATTTTCGGGTCGTGTTTTCCCAGACGTACCTGTATTTCCTGAAGTATGAGAAAGACCGTATCTATCTGAAGCTACTGGTAAGTCGATTCATTTATTGGTACTACCGTTCGGCGTGGTACCTAATACGCCTCTGAACCTGGCTCACAGGTTCTCGCACTATTGTATGTCTGTCAGTAGAGTTTACATGCACATCTCGCTCACCCACTACCCACTCATCAGGTGCTTATCGACTCTACATTCGATTCTCGGTAATCCGGTCTCACTACTGTTATACATACTGTACTGATCTTGGGTGTAGTATGCTACACCGTGTGGCGTTACCTGGTGGGAACTTGTCTTCTGCAGTTCGTTGACCTTATCGCCGCTGAGCTCTACACTGTACACAGATTACGAGCTACACTGACGTGGCCTTGATCATTGACGGGGAATGGTAAATCAATCGGTATCTTATAGCACCAAGTAATATCACTGATGCAATTTTTATACAAACAGGGCTTGCTATGTATGTGTAATTCTATCTTTACATTCACCGCGGCATTGAGTGTTTGCGTTAGGCGGCAACGTCTGTTGGGGTACGTCCTCCAGACCATACTGAGAAGTTACTCGACGGCACACCAATAATCTACAGGTCCTGGTCTGCTTCCTGGTTCAATGGTAACCGATTAGTTGTTATAAGATCCACGCCCCCGTACTGAACACCACCGGTGTAGCTTTTTCGCAAACACAATCTACCAACGTGAGTGCATCTCCCGACGTGAAAGGATATGCCTTCCTTAACCACTGATTCCTGTGTAGTGATGAATGGAAAATGGAGAATCATCGTCGCCGCTCTCATGGTTTGTTCTACTATTACTGCCCCACTAGCTTTTTCCGCTGATCACGTTTGATTTCCAACAGATCTGCTTGATCTTGGCTCAGCTCGGTAAGAGTCACGTTAGTACACGTCCACCGTTCAGTGAAGCTCATGCGCTCGGTCCAGGCTTTGGTATCAGTACGCTATCCTCCGGCTGTACGCTGGAGACTCTTGACTAATCTACAAATACAACGAATAGCTCTCTCGGTCAAGTTGTACGCTGACACTGTCCATTCGTGTGTTACCCGCCTAACCTGTCTACGACGATAGCTTCGTGATCTGGAAATTGTCCCTCCTCAAGGAAACAGTTGTACGTCCGGAAGACCTGCTTCGTCTCTCTTGCTCTGACTGACGCCTATCACTTCTGTAGTACATAGCGATGATCCCGCTACTCTGTATCCGGATGACGACGGATGCGGTCACCGCGGCCACGTTATGCATAGTGCTGTACGACTCGTCGACGCACTCGGGCTTCGAGAGGTGCTCTATTAGTGCCTCGAGTCTCGCAGTTCTCGCTCATGCTACCGCGACAGCTCTGTGAAGCTCGTCAAGATGCTCATTACGTATGCCGCAAACCGATTCGTAGCCACAACGTGAGTTATTGACTCGTACGGCAGTGCTGGCTTCTCCCGGATCCTCAGACATTGACTTGGCTTTCTTCGCAGCATTATTGTCGTAGCGCAGACAATCATAGTATGTCTTGTCACTAGTGCACCCAGTTGACATGGCCAAATGTTTCGACCCTTTCATAGCTAATCGTGAGGCCCAGCGAAATCTGGGCTATGGTCCTGGGGTGGGTCACGGTGGACAGTGCGTCCCATTTCCGGAATCGTTAGTTCCATCCCGCCTGACCAGCACTACCCGTGCACAGTCTACGTGAACAGCCTGTTGGCAACGCTGAATGCGCGCGAGCACCTGCGCCAGATAGGGAAAGGCTCGTCGATGGCCGTCGAGCCGTACGTGGGGTCGGAGCGGTCGGGACTGGAGTTCCGCTCGGGGGCGGCCAACCGCTTGCACGACACGGTGAACCAGTCGACGAGCCTGAGGGCGACGCTGGCGGAGCAGGTGCGCATCGACTTCAGGAGCCTGGGCCACTCCGGCGGGCAGAGTCCCGAGCTGGGCGACCTGGATGACAAGATCAAGGCATCTGAGCATGCCGCCAGCATCAGGAAAATCCTCACCTGAGGATTCCCGGGCAATCCTAGATATTCTCAGTAAAAGTCAAGAGCATCAGTAATCGTCCATCATTCTGAGACTAGACGCGAGAAATCTCAGCACCTGAGAATGATTTAGTAATTCCTAAGCAATTCCGTTCGGATACTACGGCAAGTCGCTGGCCAGTGTGGAGAATCGATAATTCGCCGAAAGTGTGTAATGACATGCAATCTGAGTCGCAACGAAATGCTCACTCGGCACATACAATGATACATGGGCACCTGCCGTGAAGAAGAGTTTGCACCAGTATATATTGATTCTGATCACTATAGGGTACTGTACTACATCACGCCTACATGAACTTGCCCGCCTCTATCGCAAAGAACGTCACTAGCACCGATATCCCATGTTCTACAACCGTGCCCCGCTTACACATCCCATCGCTGCTCGCCCCACAAACACAAGCGGCTGCACCGCCTGACTCACAAACACCCTTACATACCTCGCTTCCACATCCCGCTACCAATCGCACTCCTCACACCGTGTCGATCGCTCGATTGTCCTCCCCCCCCCCCGACACCATCCTGCTCACGTTTCACATGCCTGTGTCCGTGCATGCCACCGTCGGGTCGAGCGGGTATGTCGGGAACAGACCCCGGGCCATCGCAACGAAGACAGGGCTTACATATTGTCATGCGAGAACTTGAAGTCCGCGTGCGGTTCAGCGGGAGGTCGCGGGAGACTCGGAGGTGTCAAATGTGCGGCTGGTGTAGGTGTTGTCAGACTTGGAGACGAGGGTCAAGGTGAGCCGTGCGAGGAGTTCAGGTAGCCGATGCCTTAGATGGGCCGCAGGTGTTGCCGTATCTGATCCAGACTTAGATGAGTCAGTGTCAGGGAGGCGGAGGGAGGCGGAGGTACACGCCTGGTGCTATAGTATTCGTCCAGATGCCTCAGTACTCAAGCTTGTTGTGGATGTCCAGCCCCGCGTGCAAATCAGTATGCAGAGTCACGACTCACGAGCGCCGAGCGGGTGCGTTTTGCGCCTGGCACAGCCGCACTGAGCTCAGCGGTGATGTTCGCAGCGTAGATATTGAGTCACGATGTAAGCGTCGGGCAGGGATAGGCTGGTGCGTTGTAGACAGGCGGTACTTCAAGTTATCGTTTTCTGTGTTATCGCCCAGCCAACCATATGTCAGCTCGAGTCCCAGCGCGTGTAAGCCCGGCTGTCCGTACCCCCACGCATGCAGCCTAGAGTTCTCGCGAGGAAGCTTGCGTACGGTTGAATAGCCAGCGACGTGTAAGGAAGTTACGAGGTGAGAGTGTGAGCGTTGGGGCGGCGGACTTGCGTGCCAGCGGGTTGCGGCGGTACATATCACATGACCCATCGCCAGGGACTCCGCCGGCGCCACGTCATGCCCACACATCCGCTCGTCTTCCTCTTGTCTTCCCAATGTCTTCCTCCCCCTACTTCATCGCCGTCGCCGATGTCCACTTGGCGCAGAGAGCCAACCTGGTCTCCTCAGTGCATCCAAGTCAACCGCCTCTCAGACATTCTCCCCACCCTCGAGGGCGCCGCCCAGGTACGTTGTCAGCCACTCATCATGTCCGAGGATATCATCACGAAGGAGGACACCGTTGTCCTCAACGAAGGAGTCTCAAGAACGCGATCCCGACCACAGCTGAGTACGGCCACAGTCCACTGGCTTGCAGGCAACAGCCTTGCCCGATGTGAAGACTGCCCGGACGGTCAACTTCGACCGGAACTTCGACGTGTGGATCGTCAAGTGGGCGCTCTCGTACCTCGCGCGGACGATCTTCGCAAACGCGGGCGAGGAGAGCTCCGTCCTCGTCAGCACCATGATGCAGCAGTACGGCGAGGAGGACAAGTTTGCGTGGAGCTACGACATGTGCAAGGGTGAGTTAATCGATTTATTTGCGGCCAATATTGTTGAAACAGGTAAGGTTCTGTGTGCCGTGCTCGTCAACCTGGTGGGCCTTGTTGTCCACGACGAACGAAGTGAGCAGAAGGCTCCCATGTCAATCCACTATCATGCCGGCGGCCCGAAGATCGCGAAAGGTACGCACGTATTTTCCTCTCCACCACGTCGTGCTCACCCGCTCGCAAATGGTGTTACGGTCGCCAAGTCAATACAGCTAAAGGACAAGTTCGAGAATCTCGGTATTTGGTAAGCTGTCCCCTCGTGTATGGCATCTAGCTTTCCGCTAACCTGCCGTGCAGCCTCGTTCAGGATTTCGCCTCCAAGCCAAATAAGATTGCTGGTGACGGCACGACCACCGCAACTGTCCTCGCGTGCGCCATCTACGCGGAAGGTGTGAAGAACGTCGCCGCCGGCTGCAACCCCATGGACCTCCGCCGCGGTTCCCAGGCCGCCATCGAGCGCGTCGTCAAGTTCCTCTCTTCGCACGCAAAGACCATCACCACCACCACCGAGATCGCCCAGGTCGCTACCATCTCCGCAACGGCAATGCCCACGTCGGGAACCTCATTGCTCAGGCCATGGAGAAGGTCAGCAAGGAGGGTGTCATCACCGTCAAGGAGGGCCGCACAATTGACGACAAGATCGAGATCACCGATAGCATGCACTTCGACCGCGGCTTCATCACTCCCTACGTCGTCACCGACGTCAAGACCCAGGAGCGTGAGTTTGAGAAGCCCCTCGTCCTCCTCAGTGAATCAAAGACCAGCCGTCTCCAAGACAGCCTCCTGTGGACGCGGTGTTCGCGAGGGTCACGGTTGGAAGATACGCACCATGTATATACCTACTGTAGATACTATATATAATCGTCAATGTCATTATCTTAACATGATCTCTGTGCATATGGATCTGTCCTGCGAATACGAAAAATGGAGGGCTGAATAGTACTGATATTATGCTCGGAAACACCAAGTAATGTCCAGCTACTGCCGGAGAGATCCAGAGATTACCTGGTAATTCTGACTCGACGAGGCCGGACATGGCTAAAATCTGCGGTTTATCAGATACGAGGTAACACTCAATATTACCGCGAAAGCTTGATGATTCTGTAGTGTTTACGGTAATTCTCAGGTGGGTTATTTCCTGATGAGCCAGTGAGTGTCACTCCGTGCTCTCTCCCTCATTCTGCCATTCTCCGCGTTCTGTCCGGAACTGCTTAGCACTCATTGGCGAATCTGCGCTTTTGTTACTAGAATCGTTTGATATGAGCCCCGGGTCGACGGATGTGGTGTGGTGAACGAGAGTGTTGATCATATGTAGATGTAACTGTCAATTTTGTACTGCCTCCCTTTATCGCCTTCTGTTCACTGTGACGCGATGCATCGCGGTCAGCTTGTTTTTTTGTTTGTAATTCCCTTTCCTGTCAAATTCAATATCATCGCGAATGGCACATCTGGATTACGTCACGTTCGACTGGAGACGCCCGCCCGTCCAATGCTTCCTCCCTACTTCCTCCTCTCCTCCTCGGAGTCCTCCTCCTGTCCGGCGCAGGCCCTCATCCGTCCTCTCCCGCGCATATACCCACATCTGGTGCTCTTGCCGACGCTCCCGACGACAGTAACATGCTCTCCACGAACGGCGACAAGTACGAAAAGCTATACTCTAGGCTTAACGCATCCGACTATGGTCATCTCCGTCGGTGAACCGCTTCCCAAACGTCTCGAGAAGATCAATGAAGCCGATGACAAGGACACAGATTCAGACCAACACATCGCACCTGCTCAGGAACATCGGCTCTCTCATGGCTATTCCGAGGATGGCCCTGCAGGCTCGGATGACGCTCGTTCTTAGGCTTCGCAACACGGCTTGCGTCGGTCGAAGAAGGGGATCCATCACCCACGTCGAGGATGACGAGTTTGCATATGGGAAGAAGGCGAAGCGTTACAAAGGCTAGTGGACATGGCCCGTTGCTGAGTAGCCTCAGGACCTGATAGGATGTCTTGACTCGGTGCCGTGGATATCCATCGCCTCTGACTTCGCGACTCGGTACTTGGCCCCGACATTCGCGGCTTTCCCGCACCCAATAAAGCCCTCCTGGCCTCTCTTTTCACTTCACGACACCCCGAGCGGCCGTATTCGCGCATGTCAGAGGTCCACATCCATCCGCAGGGCGCGTCCTTGGACCTTACAGGACGCGGCGAGTACAAGCTGCTCGGGTAGAACCTAGGGGCGTTCGTTGACGGCCATGTGGACGCGTACGAGGAGGCGAGGAAGAGGTGGTCGAGTGCTCGACGGAGGAGTGGAGGGCTGGTGCTGACGGTGAGTTGACCTACAAGTCATCATGATTGAGACAACTCATGTCACGGTCGGAACGAACAGAAATCACGACGAAAATCGCGAAGATGCTCGACTTCCCCAGTTCTCTGGTAGCCTTAGGCGACCGTTTTTGACAAACGAACGTCAACGGCACTAGCTCAAGGACTGCATGACGTGCGTTTGTGTCCTCGCTATCAGCATTGTTCTTCTCGTCGGTACTGTCGTCAGGGGCGGTGCCCTTCCTTGCCTCTGCTGTGCACACGGAAAAGCCAAGTTTCACAGGGTAGAGAAGGTACGATCGCAGTGATTTGCAAGTACAAGTCTCATCGCCCCCGATATAATGACAGTCGAAAACACCATAGAGCACAAGCTGTTCTTCCGGACTGCACGTCGCATGTGCGTGCGTGCGCCCTTTATGCATTTCTGCTGATACATATTGACTTAGGTCCTTAGTTTACGTATACTGGTTGCTGGTAGACGAAGAGACGTACCGAATACTGCCGCCTTGTCACTGCAAGAACCCGACTTTCTTCCAATATCTCACTTATGTTCTGCCATCATATTCATCGAGCGGATGAATCGTAGCGAGAGTTTGGCTGACGCTGCACGCCTTGCTCGTCTCGAATGACGGAAGACCACCCGACTCGGATTCCTTCCTGCCCGCTGGCCGCGCCTCCATCTCCGCTGTGCCTAACGCGCGGAAAATTTCTAGCAACTTGAGGCCAGGCTGATGAAGATGAGAAAGGGTGCGCATGCTAGAAGCCCGTGTTGTATGACTGAACCTACAATCCTTCCCAGGTCCGATGGGGTAGTCTTGTCTGGGACAGCTTCTAGTTTGTTCACCCAGTCATGGAATGGTATAAACGGAAGTGCTACGCCGAACTCGTCCTGGATAGCCTCGAACACGACAATCCATTTGACGGGATGTGGGTGTACTACGTTGATTAGTTCGAACCGATTTCGTCTTGAATCCTTTCTGATGTGCGTTTGATAGGACCTGGCATGAACTTAGTCGAGTCGCAGAAAGACTCCTTAATCATAGCCGACCTCTTCCACGACGTATTTGGACATTCCGTAGTCAGACGTGCTGCGATACCGATTTCATGCAGAGCTACCTCCGGCACTTGTGTATAGCGTTGACGTCCTTTGACGTTCCAGCCAACAGCGACAGAGATGGACGACATGAAGAGATAGTGTGCTGCAGGCGCCATAGTGAAGAGATGAACAGCACCGGCTATCAGGCTCTCGAATGACGACAGCGCGAGGTCGAAGTCTACCCGCCAGGATGCATGCATGACATGGGTAACCGTGCTGCGAATCTATCAGATGAGTGAGCATTATGAAGTAACTGCGTTGATTCACACATTGACTCACGTCGTCAAGGATATCCTGCGGTAGACCTAGGTTGTCCCGTGTCAGATTTGCGGACAGCAACAACAACTTCGAGCTGTCCAGTAATCCCACCGGCAGCGCCGCAGCGTCGAATGCAGCGCTCTGGCAATGGACCAGATCCTCTCCGCGATTCACCACATACATACACGCGCTTCGTCCGCTCGTCTTTTAGCAACAATGCAAGCACATGCGCACTCAGGTTCCCCGTGGTCCCCGTGAGGAGTATAACCCGCTCGGGGTCATTGTCTTCCACTCGGGCCTCCGGGGCACGTGCCGGTAGCCACGCAGTGTAAGTACTGAGGGAACTTTGAATATACCCGTCAATAAGGTTCACGTATCTTACTCGTATCCGCTTTTGGTACTACCGCTGACCATAGCTTTAGCTTCAGTCCACCTTGTCACCCACAATCGATCATACCGGTGGACCGATGTCTCGTGTGCAGATTGTACTTATCGCCGATCGGACGCAAGTGTCGTACTACTACTGTTGGTCATTCATAGCATCTGCCACCAGTGGGCGGCACTGGCAGGTGAGTCATGCAATGATGCCCGCACAACCGCACGAAGAAGGAGGAGAGGTTTCCATTTAGGCCGCAGTGTATACGTGTCAACCACACTCGACACAGGTAGTACTTGATGTGCCTCAATCGTACACGTCTTGGCGCCCATCGAGGTTGACTGAGCTACATTGAATACCGCCGATGATAGCTTCCCTCCATCACGTCCGACATTCCAGCCATAGAAGTACCAAGATGACGGTGATTATCACGCCAGTGGACGATGCTGCGTAAGTGAACAACAATATGATACATTCGACACTCGGAATTTGTTCAACAGGCTTTCCCTCATCCCATCCGAGCTCTGCCATCTCAACAGCCCGACATCGCCGCGCCCTGTTCCTTCAGCGGTTGCAAACAGGTCACCGGACGGACTGACGAGAAAACTCTCAGTAGAAAGCCTGATGTAGTACAGAGTATATCAGGTCCCATAAAGCCCATTGAAATCAGTTGTGAATTCAGATACCTTGTCCTCCTCCTCCGACTCGGAGTCCTCTCTTCAAACACCTACTGCTACAGAGGTTGAACATCCTTTGACGGAACATGCCTACCTTACGTCTTGATCTAGACTCCAGCTTGGGTGGAGTGTTCATTGGGGGATTGTTCTCCGTCATGTGAGCCATAGTAGCTGCAAATGATTCCCGTCGAGACTTTAACATGGTCTTTCGTAGGTTTTACGGGTTTGCATGCGCTCAGATCGTGCATTACTGTCGATATTACCTGCAACGGGACACACCACTCGTGAAAGCTCTCGTACGCTCATTATTCTCTCATCGAGAACGAGATTATTAACTCAAACGTGGAGGTTCTCTCAATATGGTCTGTACGGATGCACCCTGTCCATTCATTTCGAGACTGACATAGCCGAAAAGGATACTTGACACAGCCATTACTGTGTCCGATATAAGCGTATGCGCTGTCATATCACCTTGTCGCTCCGGACTGCATACTAAAGTGTGCTGAAGATCCTGTGGGCCTTCATCGTCCAAGGCCATGGCAACCCGTTTGCCCTATCCGTTTTCTCGAAGTAATTATCCCCGATAGACACCCCTCAATGATGCATCTGGCTGACGAGAGTTCGGTCTAGAATGTATGAGGTGAACATAACGTTTTATCAATCCGCCGATTGGGTTTTTCACGCGTCTGTGGTAAATTGTAGCTGGAATACGCAACTACCGTGCGGCCATTCTCTATCAAATGCGCTATTACTGACATTGAACAGGCCGTGCTCATATTCATGGTACAAATGTGAGTAGTACTATCACCCTCTGCACACTGTACTGACGCCCAGGGATGTTATGTGATACTAGCTTCTATATCCACGGCATATGGCAGTGTCAGTTCTACATCCGCACCATTGTATACCAGCCATTCTGAAGTTACTCTCTGCAGTGCTCGGGCAAATGTGTTCCAGTTCGCTCAAATGGGCAGCTACTTCACTTCCAGTGAGTAGACTCAACTCTATCCCCTTTGTTTCGCGAAATAGAAAACAAACCGGATAATAGATGACGCTTTCCCTCGTGTCTGTCGGTATGTCTCAGCTACTCTCGGTTGGCGAGATGATGGCTTCTGATTCATAACGTTAGTATCTGCCATGGGTAAGTTCTGTGTTCCGTAATTCGTCATGATTTTCATGTGCTTACCGACTACCGTCACAACAGTCGGTATATATGTCGATTCGTCAGTAGGTCTAGAAACGATGTAAAGCAGTACACTGATGCGCTCATTACAGGAAACATGGATGGACAATCTCGCAGACTCTCCCTGCATCTAGAGTAAGTTGTTTAGGCGCGACGCTACACGTGTCCGGTTCACCGCATCCGTCGTCGTTCAGGCTCCAACTGCGATCAGAGTCTGTGCAGCTGCGGTGGCGGACGTCTACCTCTGTATCGCCCTTACGTTGGCGTTGCGTAACAGGATGACGGGATTCAAGCAGTGAGTGACACTCTCTACTATATGACCGCGTTACACCAGGCTCACGAACATACACAGCACGGACAGTCTGATTCAAACACTCACTGCATACGTCGTCAATCGCGGGATACTTACGACGTAAGCCCTTCTCATATCTCCTGCCTGCCATTGCAACAACTTGAACTGATCAAATAAACGCGAACCATGGAACACTGCCCACCAGTACAATGCAGATCGTACTCCTCGGAACGGTTCGTTTCTTGCCCCTATCAAACCGTGACGTATCGTGCTCACACTGTCCATCACGACATCAGTATATGAGCTCCATCAAGCATAACGGACTAATTTGGGCCATATTTCACTGCGCAGGAGCCAAGGGTAAGTCGATGACGCAATCCATCTCGCAGCTCTGACTGACCGAGCTGATAAACCTATCCAGTCTACTCCACTTCGATGTTGGCTGTGTGAGCAAAAGCCATCAGAGCATATGCATGCCATACATGTGTGTAGTGACTAACATCCTAATGCAGTTTGAACGCGCGTCGGCACCTGACAAGCGGAATATCGCATTTGTCTGGATTCGCAGAAGGCGCGAGTTGAACATTGAACCGCAGCGTGAGGACATCGGAATACAACCTCGCTGGATAGGATTCGGAAGTAGAACCGTAGTCGTTGATTAGCATTGTACTTATTGTCAATAACAGCAGGATGAAGAGGACGTCGAGTCTGAGTCGCTAGTCGTCACCTCAGGACACAGTGAGTTCGGAATTTCGGATACTAGTTTTGTGCCGCCCGGTGACGATTGGCTTCAACTGCGTGGATGACTGCCATGGTATCGGGAGACGAGCAAATAACGTCAAGGGCGGATGTCATCGCGATCATAACCGACTTACTTCAACATACATGTTAGCTGCTCTCATTCCAATCATTGACATGCCCATGTTGGATGCACGCGCTATCTTCGACGTCAACTTCTTTGGACCCGTCTACATGGTCCAGGAATTCGTTCAACTTCTCATTTCGTCTGGGGATGGGCGCATCCTCAACATCGCCAGCGTCGGCGCCGTCTAGCCGTCATGCCGTTGCCGTTCTGCGCCATCTACAATGCTTCCAAAGCTGCGCTTGTGTCGCTTAACACTCTGCGTTTGGAACTAGCGCCGTTTAGGTCAGTCGCTCACTGTGCCTTTCGATTGGTTCGTACTTAATAATCCCCTAGTGTAAAGATCATCACAGTACTGCCGCTGTATCTCGTATACCGTATGCGAATGCTTAGAAATTACTCGTAGGTCATGTCAGGACTCAAGCGTAAAGACGAACATCGTCAAACCGCATACTCTTCCAAAAGGATCTATGTATGAAGCCTTCGAAGATATCTACCAGGAAAAGAGGGTCAAACCAATCATGAGTGCGACGTCTCGTTACGGGCGCGAGGCGCGTCCTGATAGAACTCAAATTTAGTGGACGCGATGCCTCCCGAAAACTATGCGCGCCAAGTTGTCTCCGAGGTCATCAAACACAACCCACAAAACTGGCTGTGGGTCGGAACGCATTCATTCTTTTGTTGGTTCGTCGACACATTTTTTGGTCAGAGAGCTTTCGTACGTACACCAGCTATCCTCCGAATACAATGTTACTTACTTGCTCGGACGGCAGAGCTTCATTTTCATGCGGAATTTCGGTCTCTCCGAGTTCTCCGCGATGGTAAGGGAAGGGAAGGGGAAGACTGCTTGACTGTTACCGCAGTATTGCGTGTTATCGCACTTCAGTGGCGAGACGCTCGCAGTTTACGCACTTATGGACTGCACCTAGGGAAGCTCATTATAACCGCGCCCGTGACATTCAGTCGTCGGCAGCTGCTCTGCCCCAGTTAAATGCGAGGTACTACTCAATGAATCAACTCGGACATTCAGCATACTAGTTGTGGACGACGATAGAATACTATCAAGCATGGCGTCATGCGCTTCTTAGGTATGCCTATCAATGAGTGTTCGCATGTGGTGTACAAGTAGGCTATACACGTAGTTTGTCAATTGAACGAGTTCGTGGCGGTCACTGGTGGTACCGGCTACGTCTATTCAGATAAAATATGCAGAGCGATCGAGGCGATGCTAGCATTTGACCCAAATATCTGGAGCAGAGATGCCACACGGCACTGCACTCTAGACAGCAAACCACTACAATTTTGATCTTTCTCCGCGCGTTCCAGACAGCAATTGCCCACGACGTAACATCGGCTTGACGAATTGCTACATACATGTATCAAACACTGTAGAACTGATGTTTAAGTTCAAACTCACCTCATAGCCGTCCACGGGCTCTTCTGCGTTCAGGGGTTCCTTCTGCGCACGAGCCCACAATTGCTCGTAGACACTTCCATCATGAACCCCTAGCGCACTGCGTCCAGCATGAGTCAGGTAGGAAGCCAAGACCTCTGAACGACTCTGCACACCTATCGAGCTCCCAATCAGTGAAACCGAAGGCGTCTGTGAGCCCGATGACTTCCGGAAGGAGCTCAGTGCATAGAGCATTGATCGTTGCGCGCAGACCCCTACAGGGATCATCGCCGGGGTTCTGAGGTAACAGATCGAAAGATAAGATGTCCACCAGGCCAGATTCAACCAAGGTGAGAAGTGTCTACGAAGGACCATCAGTTTATCATCCGATTTGTATAGGCGTAGAGCGTACCAAGGTATACAGCTTGCTGACGACGCTTGCTTCTCGGGGCTGCAGGATTTGCGGCAAGCTCTCAATGAGCTCACGAACTCGCACACTCAGATAGGCATCTATTGTGGCCTTTGAGACACGGTTGTCCATGCTTGCATCGATGTCTGTCGTCTCCGCACGGTACCCCACCATCGCAGAGGCACGTCTCTCTAGAAGGACCACTACCTGTGTCGGATCAGTCCAGTCGGGCTCGGAGAGCTTCGTCGTGAACTGTGGAAGCAAGAAGCGGAGATAGGCGGAGGACGGAGGGAGCTGCGCTACTGCGTTGACCGAAAAGCTAGATGACTGCAAACTCTTGTATGCTTTGAGCGCACCGCGGACTATCTGCAGGTCTAGCACGAAGTTGTCACCCTCGTAGCTACGTATCACACAGAACAATTAGCGATGCGACACGATATCGAAGAGACGCCTTACGTCGTGGTGGGTAAGAAATTTGCATAGTATCGCCCGACGGCGGCGAATTCGCTGTAGCCATGTCCACCCATGGCCCGACGGGTTGTCTCCGCGTCCTGAGCGCCCATGGTAGTCGCTAGTATCTTGAGCGCGCACGACGTGAGATGCATCTCTGACACCATCGACGCGTCTCCTGTCGCGAGCTGCTTGTTCATAACTGCCATCTGCTCGAGCTGCGGATAACCGAGGTATGAGAGTCAGCCACGCTGCGAGTTGATTTGAAGGTAAGTACTACATACCAAGCTCTGGCCGAGAATGATGAAAATGTACGCATGGGATAACACAGGCAGGAGTCGGTAATACACCCCAGGATAAGTGATGACCTGGCGTTCGAGCCCGTCTGTGCTTCTGCCACCCTGTCGACGGACCGTACAGTACCGAATCGACACGGTCGCAGCTACGTATATGTGAGCGGCTGGTGCTATTCACCCTCAACAACTATACCTTTAGCCATGACCCATGCGCCCTTGCCCACGAGACTGCAGAGGAACATCTTATGTCAGAACAGTTGCGTGGGCTAACGTCCCTGATGCGTACAGAGAACGCACTACCATCATCTGTAATGAACACGGTGAGTGTTGGATTCCCGCTCAACGTGTACAGTGACATACCCCTCCATAGCTAAGTTTCGCATGAGGCGGCTTGACGTAGCGACCGTCTTCTGTGACTTGCGAAAACGCCGATAGCATGTTCTCGTGCGAGATTCGCACATGGTCAAACCTTGCGAAACCGTTGTCCACTGTTGTATAGCCTCCTAATGCCTTTGGACCTAGTCAAGACGATAGTATCCAGCAGCCTGCGACTCCCTCTGGAGAAACACGCTTACCTATGTCGCCCATCACGATGCCTGGAAGCAACCGATGATCATCTGACGCGGATAGAGGTCAGCTCCACGATCATTACGTTCGGGACAGCTGTTACCTAGAGAGCGCAACTGGACGAGAAACAGATGTGGACCCATGGACTTGCCACCAGGAAGTATCAACTGCGCCTGTACGACCCCATGTGTAGCTGTTCGACCAGCAGCGCCAGCCCACCACTTGGTGCTCGTCAGGGTCGGCGAATGCACTTCGAACTCCTTCGCTTCTGGGATGTAGGTTGCTGTGGTTTCCAGTGAGGCCACGTCAGAGCCATGCGCGAGCTCCGTTTGCAGGTATGTGCTACAACATATCATGCATATGGCTCTGACAAGAAGATGTGCCGCCAGACGCTCACCCTTGGATCCCTCGATTTACTACTAATTCGCCGTACTTCTCACGGAGGTATGGGCCACACTGATCCATGAAGACGGGATCGAACGCTGGCAAATCTTGGTCAATTGGAACAGCATTGGAAGATCACGGCACTCACTAGCGGAACTCAGGTGTATGGGTAGCTCCTCGTCAATGAGGTCGAGCGCTTCTGCCGTCTCAGCAATCGACCAACCATGGATGTCCCGTAGCTCGTAGATCCTGTTTGTCATGCTTATCGCCCGCTTGTATCGGTCCTTGCGTGCCAAGAACGGTCTACTCCACGTCATGAATCAGCCATTTCAACATGCTCCCTATGCAGCGCACCTCTCTGACTTGTCGAATACCGGGTCCTGAGACACGACCCTCAGCAAGCGAGCGTGTGTATCCCACTTCGATTGGCCACCTACGATAAAGTTGAGTTCTCCGCAGCGACGACGATACAAGTGAGACTCACCAAACAACAAGTTGCGGACTTGCTCGACATCAATGGTTGTGCGGACTCTTGCTTCCGCCATGTCTCTTTTGGCCCTTTCGTGGGGCAACATGGTGTTCAGTCTGCGGATACGTCGAACGCAAGTGGGTGCGATTACAGCCGCTGATGGATGTTTATCTTTATGAGGAACCTGCGATTCTCCTTGTGGAAAAGGAGGCTATCTGCGTCAGCCCGATGCCTTCACCGCCGGCGTTGGCATTGAATGGCATTCGGGGGTCAGCCCGTGTCGCCGAGCGCCGTTCAGTGTTCACCGTTCAACGTTCAACGCCTGGCCACGTCTTGTTTCACCGGCTTGTATTCTTGCTGTACCAGACATAGTGAAGTGATAGCTGAGTGCAGCTCTACCCATACACAGTGGCTCCTTCAAAGTGTCTTCTATAATACGTGCTTTCAACCTGCTGACCGTGGCCGATGTCAACTCATTATCAATTACTGATTGCGTCCTCCAAGCTGTCTAGACTTTCTATTCACAGTTACTAAGTCCGTTAACCTTACTTCATAGTCTAGAAAAGATCGGCGACTTACTAGTTGCAGTGATCCCCTCGAATGCTGCCATTGAACGTTGATATGCGGTCTGAGTGATGTACGGGGAGCCTGCGAAGCTGCGGACTCGTCACCAGAAGGCTTGAAGCTTGGAGGCGCCCAGCGCTGTTTCATGCACGTGAGCAGTTACCATATCCGTGAATCGGTACTACGGCGGCCCGTTACCGTAGTCGACGTCCCACATATGTAGTACATGTTCTATCATATGTTTTCCGCGATGACAGTAGCAGTCTCGTACCAAGATCCTCCGCACGGCGAGGGAGGGGGTTGTGTCGAACCTAGAGATGATAGTGAGTTCCTGACATCCTATAGGTTCACAGGCTACAGCGCTGGCTTCCGCGGGCCACAGAAGCTGACATAGTGCGTGTATCTTGACGCTGTAACTACCCACCATTGACCAGTGTGCCCCGCTCTAGATCCATCGTGGCTGTCAGCTGTTTTCGTATAACACGAATTACTTTCTTCTGGCGGCTATGGAACGTACCGCTGTATCACCTTTCCTTCTCGAACGAGTCGCGCACATGCACTATAACCAACGGTACGTCTCCTACTTGCCATACAGCGTTGTGGATACAGAACTAATGCATGCCATCGCATCTCTCAGTAACTGGGTGTATCAAAGGGCTTCTCACATTTTGGGTTTGCCCAAGAGCCGGCATCTGTCGCCGTCCCCAACGACACACAGTTTTCCCACAACGTTGCTCCGTCTATACGTACAGATGCTTCGGAGACTTGAAGAGAAGCTGACCTTCGGGCAAGAAGATTGCGCCGATAGTGCTGCGCACTGCCTCATGCCCACCGGTCTTGACGACGCACGGAAACATGAAGGGGTTATGCATGCTCGACTACTAGTACGCGGGCACGCTCTTGGCAGGAAGTGTCACCAGAAGGCGACATAAGTATCGCCATGGAACAGTGCCCGCGCTGCGCCTGCCCTGTATGCTACGTTCGCCTCCTCCGGTATGCCTTCTTTAATACCCCTTGACGATTATCTCGGGGTCGCCTTGATTGGCGTTTTCCTTTCTACTATGTGAGTAGCGTACAAGCTCAATCATACCTCTGGTCTAACGAAGACTCGGGCCAGTCTGTATGGAGTGACATGCCTCCAGACATACTTGTATTTTACTCAATATTGCAAGGAAGACGGTCGTGGACTCAAGACACTGGTGACGCATCGATGATTCAGTCATAAGTGTTTGTATCTGACATGCCCTTCCCAAAGGTTGTTGTTGTCGTGTGAGTGTTGTCCACGCGTATGCCGGGTAGGACGAATTCGACGCCCGTGGGCTGATCTCCAGCGCGGCCGACTCCTTTCACGCTGTTCTACTCGCTATGGCCTACTACCATTACACGGTCACAAACTTCGGTGACTATGTTGCGCTGCAGAAGGACTATTGGTAAGTGCCTGTACCCTATGAGGCAGTTCTCACCCATACAAGCAGTCACTCTACAGGAGCTTATCGGTCCAGGTCGGCGTCGGGGTGAGTACGGCGATTCATCCCAAGTTCACCACGAGCTTACTTCACTTGGGAAGGCTGTCGCAGGATTTCTTGTACAATCGTAAGTAAGATCGTTGGTGTATGCATATGGCGAGGCGTGCTCTCAACATCTAGCAGTTTCTTTGCCTTCCGGCTGTACAGGTGTACGTACCCACCTGCGTTTGCTGCTATATTTGATTGACACGGAACAGTAAGCGAAAGAAGAATCATCATACCAATTGTGATTGTACGTCAGCGCTCTAAGTTGCAGACAGTGTCGCTCACCGTTAGATGCAGTGCGCGTTGGCCCTCTTTCAACTAGGTATGACCCATTGCCATTACATTGGTGACGAACATGAAGTACCAACGCAAATTCGACAGCGTCTTCAACAGGTGATTACATATGTTACTCGTCTACTTGTCTACTTAGCAACCCTTTGATAATGACCTACTCTGTAGCGTACACCATCATCGGGTCCGTCTATCTATGCTACGGCTCATCTGAGTGTATGTGCTTACGTCGCGCTAGTTACAAGGATGAAATCGTTGACTCGATGGCAAACGGGGCAAGGGTACTGTAACATCACATCATCTATCACATTGCGATGACGTTGATGATGTGCGCCTTAGGCAACCATAGGGTGTAGTCTGGCAGCGAACATTGCTTGCGATCTGGTCATTGCAGCTGCCAATGTTTACTACCTGGAGATTCGACGGACGCTATCTCAGAGGTATTGGAACTCTTTCCCGTTACTACTGGAAGCATAACCAGAGACGCTGTGCAGGACAAACAAAGCTATCAAGTTGCTGATCGTATACAGCTTGAATACATGTATGTATGTGTACGGTTCACTGTGAATATAGACTGACCAATTGCATTACACCAGATGCTCTTGCAACGTGTGTCGCTGTGTTCATGGTATCACGTTTGATCATCTTATTCATTTGCGTGACAGTGTGTTCACGCTCGTATGTCTTATCACGGTGAGCTCGCATGGTTCTGACTCGTCAACTCCCGCTGATTCGCTCCAGTGGTTGGCATGCCCCGGCCTCGTCCATGCTGCCCTTGAATTCATCTTGGTGCGACGTAAGGGATATAATAAACTTACTGTGATCCATACGTGCTCATTTATTCGCAGTTTACCCATGTTCCCTTCTTTCTCTGTACGTCACGTCTTCCGCATCGGAAGGGGTAAAGGGACTAACCGCTACGTGCGCAGTCTCAACTCGCGAGAGAGTATCCGGCGGGCGTTGGAAGGACGAACAGACACGCGAATGTCATTTGACGTTTCTTCGATCGCTTCGCAGGACACGCTCTTCGTCGAGGTAGAGCCTCGAGTCAATGCAAAGCTGTCGCAAGATCCTGAATCGATGCCGGGAAAGGCGAGCTCTGACGGATGTGATTCACACGACAAAGTTCATAGGGATGCGGACTCAGAGGTATAGGCTGGCCCAGGCTGTTGTAATTGTACATTTGTAGCGATCATCATTACATGAATGAGGTCTGACCAAAGCAACTTTGGGTAGTGCCAACTTGAACTCGAACGTACTACTACTAGTGAAGTTTACCCAATGACTTGGACGAGGAAGTACCTGTATCTTGTTCAAAGTCCAGTGTAGGATGCTGTACTCCGTGCAACAAGATTACAGACGCAAAAGTAACCCAGGGTCTTGCCGACCACGATGCGGTTCTCAAATGTGTTCGATGGACCGCAAATGGACCGAGCGGCAAACAAAAGCTATTGTTTGTTCCCTGTACAGATAAGGCAACTGCAGCTGTGGCGCGAGCGTGAATGTGGCTGCAGGTGGCTGAATGACCATCGTAGTAACTACGACATCGCCATTGCACTTTGACATCAACAAAGGATTGTCATAGTCGGAACGTCGCAACAGGACAGCAGTCGTGGTCATACAGTGAAAGACTTACCACGATTCGTCCACGAGTAAGTATCAATGAACGCGTACGTCTGCCACTGCGTCCTCCTAACAGTCAGGAACTACCATTGCTATCTCGTCCAACAGCCCTGTCCGTACGACGCGATCCGTAATGGATTGTCCTCTCCTGGTTTGGATGCTATTCCTCAACCGGGAGATGACTGTCGAGGTGTGTTCATGCTCCGTGGCGGCTCTGAAATCAGGGTTTGTCTGACGAACATCGCAGGAATATGACCAATGCCACCATACCACACGCGTATGTGTGCCACATGCGAATGTACCATACGCACGAGAGCAACTAGACACATCGCGTGAGTGCACTTCATGATTTTTCTTGCGACTTGTCCCGACTGTGGCGTTTAGGGCAGATCATTGCACACATGCTCCCACTACTCATGATGCGGCATCGACGGGTACCTAGGTCAAGATGGAAAGACATGGTCAGCGAAAACGGGAAACACTACATCGAACAGGTATGCAGCGGCTGTCCTGTTTGTTGATCTTAGCCCCGGCCGAACCATCCGGGCAGTCGATGTCCTCGTGAATCCAGAGCTGCGTCGCCCCAACCACTGTGGTCGTCCAGCTTGGTGATCTACATGGCTCAAGTGAATGTGCGATTAGGATGTGGGCTGATGGGACCGACTCCGTCAATCAGAATGCACTGCCGTCCGTTCGTAGTCTGACCTGTTCTCATGCAGGACATCGACAACGCTATGAATCCGACCGGTCGCTTGCGGGCGATGATTGGCTATCATCTCGCGTACGACAACAACCTCATCGGCATGGTCATGACCCAGGGGCGACAGAGGGACGTCATCAACGTAGGGATCGGCATCAAGCAGCTAGCCGTGTCCCCGCCAGACATCTCCGTCAACGTGTACGCAGAGTCCTTCTATCACAAGGTACGCAGGGTGCGCGCACGCTCCGAACGAGGCTGACGGCTGCATGCACAGCTCACGCCACTCGAGATGACCTTCGTCAAGCCCGAAGAGGGCGATGAGGTCGTCCTGCGCCGGCTCTGCCTGCTGCTCGCGCTCAAACAAGCGTACATCAAGGCGATCGGGCAACCGATGGGCTTCGACTGGGCGCGGCTCGAATTCAACATCCCCAACAACTCCGTGACTGGGGACAACATCCCGCTGCTCGGCTGGGAGTTCCGCGTGTGGACGAGCGACATCGGGGGCTCGCGCGGCGAGGTGAACGTGGAGGAGAAGTACCAGTGCGCGATCGCGTTCTTCCGCGGGACGCCGCATACGAGGTTCATCTGGCAGAAGGAGCGGAAGGACATCGAGAGCTGGGTGCAGTTCATCAACCTGGACCAACTCATCAACGTCGTCCCCAAGCTCATGGACTGATGTCGCACGAAGACTGTCTTTGCATGTTTCCTGGTGAGCATATTCGCCAATCTGCGTGATAGCATTGCGATGACTGAACGCTTCGCACTAGATGAGGCCCTTTGAGTTGTTGTGCAACGGCTATAGCGAGTAGAGATGACAGGACAATGGCTGATTGCACCGGATTGGGGAATGGTATGGTAACCAAGAATCGTTGTCTGTACATGTCCGTGTATTGCTTGAATGTATCACTATGTATTCTGTCGCGTGCATCTTCTGCGACCATCACACATCGTCGGCACCAATCGTCATGATCTCGCACCCGGTACGCACACAAGTTGAGGACAAGTCAAGCTCACAAACAATTATAACATTCCTCGATAACCGAGGAATAGATAGATGCGTGGTGTACAAACGTGACGATCGTAAGTCGTGCGCAGCAGCCAAACTCATGCCTTCTCCTGCTTCTGCTCGTCGACCTTGACGTCGGCCACGTCCGGCTGCAGCACGGGCGGCGTCTTCTCGCGGTCCTCGAGCTCGCCGTCCTTCCACTTCTTGAAGTGCGCCTCCTCGTCCCACACGAACGGGCTCTTGCTCATGAACAGGTGGTCCATCTCCTCCAGCGTGCGGTTCGCCGTCTCGGGGTAGAACGCCCAGACCATCGGGATCGCGAGGAAGTTGACCGCGCCGAAGATGTACAGCGTGTTCTCCTGGATGGAGTTGAACATGACCGGGTTGAGGAGGGTGAGCCACCCATTGCCTGCGACGCGGGCGTTAGTCAGTCTACTAGAATCGCGAGTCGCGACACGCGGTCACGGAGACGCACCGATGGACCACCCGACGACGCCCCACGCGTTGCCCTTGGCGCGCACGTAGAGCGGGAACGTCTCGGTGGGGTACACCCAGGGGATCGTGAGCCACGTCGCGCCGAACGTCGCGGTGTACATGAACACGAAGAGCGCCGCCGCGCCGCCGTACTGCGCGGAGTGCTCCGGGTGCTCCTTGAGCAGCCTGCTGAAGCCGCCCGCGAGGAAGAGCGCGATGCCCTGCACGACCGCGCCCCACCAGAGCCCGACGCGCCGCCCGAGCCGGTCGATCGTCACCACCGCCAGGAGCGTGCTCAGCATGTACGTGACCTGGATAGCGTGGTGTCAGGGTCTGGGGACGCACAGGGGTGCGGGCAGGCAGACTTACGTCGTTGAGGCCGGACAGCCACTGGGCCTTGCGGGACGAGTAGCCGGCTTGCGAGAAGATGGTGGTGGCGTAGACAGTGATGGCCGCGATACCCACCCACCTGTTCGACAACGTCAGCTCGCGCCCGGGCTCGCAGACACACGAAGGGAGCACTCACTCCTGCACGATCTGCAGCCAGATCGACAGCTGGACACGGCGCGCGACGTGCAGGTCGCCGTCGTGCAGGCCGAAGAACATCGCGAAGTACGTGTTGCCCGCGGCGTGCTCCTTCTCGAGGCGCACCGCGCCCTGGATCTCCTCGTACTCCGCGGCGACGCGCGCGTCCTCGAGGTTCCCGTCCTCCGAGCGGAGCCGCGCGAGGATGCTGCGCGCCTCGTCCGCGCGGCCGACCTTGAGCAGCCAGCGGGGGCTCTCCGGCATCGACGGCACGAGCAGCTGAGGATCCGCGTATGCTCAGCGTCGGTCATAAGGCGGGTGCGCGGCACGTACCATGAAGGCCAGGACAGGCAGGATCTGGAACGCGATGGGGAACTGGGGGAGCCCTGGTTAGGTGGATCGTCGATGCGAATGTCCTGACGTACCCTCCATCGGACTTGCGTGTTGCCGTCGCCGACGAAGCCAAGGCCGAACTCGAGCCAGTACGCGACGACAACACCGAAGATGTTCAGCGTGAACTCGCTCGCGATGAAGGCGCCTCGCGAAGTATGTGAGGCGACTTCTGCACTCCAGACCGGGACGATGGCGTTCAGGAACCCTGTGCCGATCCCGTTGATGACACGTGCGCACAACATCCTGAAAGGGAGAGCCACTCAGTCGCATTCAGCGGGAAAGTTTCATGCGAGTGGACGAACCACGCAATGTTCTGGGCGGAGCATTGCAGCGAAGCGCCGATGAGAACCCAAAGACTTCCCTGAGATCCGTAAAGCGTGTGATTGATAAGTCGAGACCGAGAACGACGGGGCTTCACTCACCACAAGCATGGTCTTGATACGTCCAATCCTGTTTGGCGGGAACGCCGGTTAACGTCCGCTCGCATACAGCAGAGTTTGAGTAAACGGACTCACCGGTCACCGAGAACACCGCCCATGAGGGCCCCAATGAGGGTGCCCAAGTAATAGATACTAACAATGCCGCCCTCTCTGGTTGGCTCTGTAATCGTAGCGACATAACCCTCTGAAGGTCCTTCGTAGCTGGTTTCGGCGACGGTCAGACAAGGGGTAAACTTGCAATCGGTGGGTCGCGTACGTGGAGTATCCAAGCTTCATCACGCGCACATAGTCAGGCGACGTGTTCACGCCTTGAGCTAACGTCAATTGGTGCTACCAAGGGTACAAGCGCGACACGTACCGGACATCATTCCTTGGTCATATCCAAAGCTGGACGCCAAGGCGGGCGTTCAGTACAGGAACGGGCAGCATGACCAGAACGCTCCACTCACAAGAAGATGGCGAGGCCAGCCACCAAGTTGATCGTGTAGTACAGCCGCCGGCCCTTCGTCTTTGAGAAGAAATCGAGCATGGCGGGCAGATGCGCGAGTCGGGGGCGCAGGACGGGCAGAACAGTTCCGGGGCGGCCCTGTTATATGGGGCGCACGGTGGGCAGATGTGGCTGACTCGATGCGCGCGCACGGAATGGGAAGGGCCCGGCAAGAAATGCAGCCAGGAGCCAGAAGTCTTGTGATCACCATGCTCGCCAGGGCGACAGTGCGGAGTCTCCACAGAAGATATGCTCCAACCGTCTTCGGCAGCGTCGGACCGCCAAGCGCGTCCACCGTCGAGCAATGGCCCATGTCCGCTGTGCCCTTCGGGGCGTCCCGGCCGCCCGCATGCTGTCGCCTGACACGCCACAGGGCGCGCGCTGGGTTCGTAGGGCGTATATCGGCTGCAACTCCTCGAACGCATCCGGGGCCGGGTCCCCGCGTCGAGCCCCGCTTGTCCCCCGCAATTGTTCGAGGGCAAGGCGGGGTCGGGACACTGGCGCCCGCGAGCGCTGGCGGCTGCGGTCCCAGTGCGGTGCCGGGCCTTGGCACAGTCCTGGACGATCGTTATTGCGCCGCGATCACAATGATCCGTCGCTATCCGAGTCCTCCTCGATCGCCTCAGTTCTTGCTCCACTCGCATATCCTGCGCATATCATGGCAAAGTGAGAGCAATGAACAGCTCTGGTACGCGTGCCATCGTCGCTCGCTGCCCAATAAAGCGTATCAGTCTCAACGCCCGAGGCACCGCTACGACACGGCAACATCGCACAGGAGACGACAGTGAGTGCATGTCGTACCTGCTCCTATCCGGCAAATCATAACATAGCTCGTCCGGGGTGCGCAAATTTCCATGCGAGTCGTCAAACGTCACCCCCGGAGAGGCGCCAGGGGGCCCCGCAACGCCTCGGGTGTAGTTCTGCAAGAAAAATGTATCTTTGGAGGAGTGGGCAGTACGAGTGGGCTTCAGTATGTCACTGTGAACACTCACTGCATACGAGAACAATACTCGCAGTATACATTGCATGGAGTACATCCGAGTCGTAGCATCTCCGAGTCGAGGCCGGGGGCGGACCCCGCATCCACTAGTTCAGCACGCCGTTTGACTTCAGACGAGTTGTCCGCCGCCCTCCGCATGGTCAACATCTTCAATGCAGGAGTGAGAGGGGTGAGCGTAAAGTCGAAGTGGGGTGACATGGGAGTCTGAGGTAACTCTTGTAGACATGGGTGCCTGCAAGTGGCTCCCGGCGGGGGTTTTTCGTACTCGTTACCAGAATAGTACGCGTAGTACCAGAATAGGCACTTCCCGAAGACGCCAGCTGCATATACGTGGCATATGTACATATATTCTTAAAAGTAACGCCAGCGATGTCGACTGAGGATAGGCATGCACACCGAACCCGGGGCCCGCGAGAGAGTCGCTCTTGTGTCGAAACGCGCCTGACTCGCAAGCCTTCTGATTCGGATATGGAGCATGCGCTTCATTATATTGTGTACCTTGACACTCAACGTCGTAGACCTTGTTGAAGCAGCGCGTAGAATTCAGGTGAGAGCAGTTGCCGTCTCTATTTCGTAGACAGAATCTATGTAAATACTACGGCGCGCAACCGCAACTCCGGTAGCATATATGCGGCGGAAACGCTGATTTTCCCCCCAAATTATTTATACTCTTGCTGAACAGTCATCGAAATGCGAAACGGAAGGCGGGAAAGCACTCAGGCTTACATCACTCGAGAGTCGACGCGTGAAAGCCTGGCTGAACGCGGTCACCTGACCGCGTAAGGGCGTCTCACAGACATGCCCAGCAGTTGCAATAACGGTAGACCACTCCTCGTAGCGCGCGCACGGGAGTTGGCTAGGATGAAATACGGTGATCATGAACGCCTACTCGCCACGCTACGCTCTAGATCATACACGATCGCCTCAGTTGCTCTCCAGGGCCTCTTGCTCCACTCGCATATCCTGCGCATATCACAGCAAATTGAGGAGCAATGAACATGGGCGATACGCGTGCCATGGTCGTCCACTATTCGTCACTCACCAATAAAGCGTATCAGTCTCAATGCCCGAAGTACCGCCACGACACAGCACCTACCGTGCCATCGCTCAGGCATGTGCATCCGAGTCTACGGTAGGTAACACGGCAGTGGGGAGCTCCTTGCCAGTGTCTGGGGCACCGTCTCGAGCTTGGACAACTCCAAACTGCAACTTTCGTTGGATTGGTTGCGTGGGTTCACGCCCCGCCCAGCCTTCTTACGTGCACTACGTAGGCTCGTCTATCATTAAGAAAAGGGTTGTCGAAGTCGGACTTCTCTCTAACTTCGACTCTAGATGAGCTCGAGCACGAAGACCACCGCACCGGATGCCCGAGAGGAATGACTCAGCGCACAGCTGCAGCGTAGTGCTGTCGCGGTCTGCGCCCGAACAATCCCGGTCCTCCGAATACTGTCTGGGAATGGACCGTGCGACGAGGCTCGTCCGGCCCGCATATACTGCCGATATTTGCTCAACGCTGACGAGTATGATTTTCTAGAGCAAGAAGAACAAGTCCTCTGGCCCTCGTTCACCAGCAGCTGCGGCTTGTTACGAACAAGCAGGCCATTAGCTGCGGTCGGGTCCGTGATCCCGCGCGTCGATCCTCCCTGTGCGACGTCGTTGTCCTACCACGAACGCGTCTTAGACCGGTTCTGCAGGCAGGAGCGCTCATTTCGCTCGTTGTTGACCGTGTTCTGCGTCATACAACTGGTTAGTACGCTCTTTCGGTGCGTGTTTATCTCTCCTGCACCCTTTCATTTCGCGATGTATACGCACGGCGAGTGCTTCCTGACGCTCACTCATTCCCGTGACGCCGTCTGCTCCCGCGCGCCCCAGGTCGTGTCCTGCGCCCCGCTTTCCCTTATGCGCACAGCGATTCCTCGGCGTAGGACTCTGCGTCCGTGGGTGCAGCGCCAGGCCCGAGCTATCCGACTACGGGTCGCCGCAGACGCTGCTCCTTCCTTCCCCGGTGCGCCATGTTATTCCGAATCTATGCGCACCGAACTGGCGCTGGATCTCCCATTCAATGGCCCGATACCCGCCTGGGTGCGATCGCCTGCACTCGTGATCGACCGCTGGGCTTCTGGCAGCTCTCTGAGTCTCAGGCTTCAATGCATCCTGTGGAGTGCCCCCCGCCGCTCGTCATGCGAATTCGTGCTGACGGCCCCGTACGAAGGTGCCCTGATTTTGCTGGCAGCGTGGTGTCGTGCTAGGGGGACAGCGTCGTCAGTGTGCGCGTTCTCGTAGTGGCGCCGTGGCAGCGCAGCCATCGGCCTCGACGTCTCGTGTGAAGCGACCATGTAATTGAGTCTTGACTGACCTCCTACTCAATCTCACCGGCGCGTCTATGCAGGGGTCGCCCGTCCCCGTCCTGTGCTAGTTACGTTAGTGACGGATCTAAGGAGCCGGTTTGGCCTGACAGCGACTTCCTGTTCGCCGTCCCATATGTCTGAGAACCTATCGTCTTCCGTGTATTGCCCTTTCCGGTCACGCGTACCGCCGGCCCTGAGTCGAAGCGGGATCGCTGGTCGACCGCAGCGTTCGACGACCTGGGAAGGTAGGGGGCATGGGCATTGGGGGAACGCTCGGCCTCCGCCAGGCTTCTCGGAAGGCGATCTCGTGTGCACGTCGTCGCCGCGAAATTGACACGATTGTATGGCGAAGACGACGCGTCTTGGGGGCCACCCTCGAGCTTGTAGCGTGGTGGCACGCTGATAGACGCAGGCCTATTCATCGGGTCTCGCGCTGTCAGCCTGCTTCTCGGGCGACGAGGAACGAGGATCACTGACCGCAGGACGCCACAGAGACACACCGTGGCGCGCAACGGCAGCAAGCTATGCTCTGATACACATGTTGCGGCGAGGATGCGGCAGCAGCGCAGGTGTGTTTCGCGCTCGACGTCTGGTAGGTGCGCCGCTCGAGTACGAGGTCCGGAGAGACCTAGTTGGTGCTAGGCTGGCCGAACACGTTGGCGGGCCTCGTTCCTGGCATCTCATTTCGCGCCTGCATCCTGTCTTCTGTGGTCGGGTTCGTGATAACTGGCCTGCGTCCGCCGGAGGCGGGAGGCGCCGCACGTGATGGCACCGGCGCGCACACACACAAGTTCGGCGCTGGGGACACTCGGGATCGATAATGCGCCTTGCTTATCGGATCTTGGTACTCGTCCATGCACGCTGCTCGCGAGGGGGAGGGGAATGGAGAGGACCTGCAAGGCAGCTATCGTCTCAGCTATCGCTATCGGGTCCGCCGCCTTGCGGTGGGAGAGGAAATGGTCCGAAGGCTGCACTATGCCTCTCGCCGGCGGTGGTGCCTGCTTCTGCTACTTCTCTGTTCTGATCAAGGCGGTGAGTTCGCCATGTTGTTCTCTGGAAGTCGCATCAGCTGCTCTGTCCGTCCGAAGGCAAGAAGACTGGGATGCAGCGCACCTGTGGTGGCCATCGCTGTATTGCGGTTCGCCCGCCCGTGACAACTTTGGTGGCCAGGCTCGTGGGGCGAATTTGAATTCGCACTGTGGCGTCAATCCGTCAGGCCGAACAAGGACAGTAAACACCTCGTAAACACTCTGTTTGTGTCGTACTTTCGACACTCTTGGCAGCGGTGCAACTCTCCTGCATTTCGGGTCCGCCAACGGCTCGCGCTGGCCGGTCTGCGGATACAGACATGCCGAGCGCAATGTACCTGCAGCATGCTGCTATGGGCAAAGGGCAATGGTGTGCAGAATCGCCGCATGCGGTAGGTGGTGATGGCGCAATCCGCCTCGAGGCTCTCCTTCGGGCAGCTTGTGTACCGCGCTGGGTCCCGTGATCGGCGTTCCGTCGCTCTGTCAGCGCGATGTCTCCCGCCAGGTCGTCGAAGAGTTCAGAGCGCGAGTATCGGCACGACAGTGGCCACACTAGCGCGGGCCTGCTGACAGGGAGCGCCTTGTAGGTAAAGGGGACCATTTCAACGCCTTCTGGACGTACGCGGGGGCTTCATCAATCAGCAGTGTCTTCTTGTCTCGTAGGAATTCTGCGCCCGGAATGGCATTCGGAATTGCCGGTAGGTGGTGGAGACGCACAGCGTGCTCACGAAGAGGCTCACGGCAATATTTCCCGTAGCATCGGCTAGTGCAGCGGCGGCATTGGTGTACCGCTGGGATGTAAGCGCAGTTATACGGACGGGCTGCTGCCTGGCGAGCCACTGCCACACTTTCTGGTTCCGTTCACGGTTACCCGCTGTGGAGTGCGTATTAGCATCTTTCCAGCTCTTGGCAAGTCTATGTGGCCACGGGGCGGTCTTGCAATTGCAGTTGCAACACCTCCGTTCGAAACTCGTACGTTCGATGGTGAGTCGCGAACAAGTTGTGGCTGCATACTACCGAGCAAGACAGGCCACCCTGTGCACCACCTCATACCATGGCTTCCGACTCGGACACCGGAGCGACGTCGGTGGAACGGTGCCTTGGGCGACGAATATAGCCGCGATGGGGATGGGGCCAACCGCATGCAACGTTTATCCCAAGTGATTTGAAGCGACACGTGTGGACGCCGGAGGACGTGGGGCACAAGGACGAACCGAGCTGTGCGGCACACTGTGCGGACGGTCCGCGGCGGGCACGGTGTTCTCGGGACGGACCTCGCGTACCATACAAGGGATGGTAAGAGCGGATAAGAAACGCGGTTGTATGTTGCGTTCTAATTCTATTGGTAGCCAATTGAGAGACGCTTGTAACGCCATTAGAAGCCCTTTAAATGAACGCCGCGGGGTTGGAACTGCGAAACGTGCCTAAGCATATTTTCAGAGAACTTGACGAAATGTGGCCAAAAGCGGAAGGAAAACTCCGCAAAATTACACCGCCGATTAGGCGAGCGCCTTCTCTTATTTTCCCTTTACATAACTCTCCATCTCCCGCCTCGCTCGCTGATCCCCCCTCTGCCTCCCCCGCGCCCAGTCAATGCCCAACATTCTCAATCTCAAGTTCAAAGTCGGTTTCCTGAGCCATAGGAGACGGCGGAACGCTTACTTACCTCCTCTTTCTTGAAAAACGCCAGGGCAACAAGTCCTTCGTTCCTTTCAGCAATCTCAACGATGGCGACTCGCTGACTTTGACCTGGAAGGTACGTCCTCTGTTCCCCCTTCCGTGTATCGCAGCGACTCAGAGGGTGTCTGTAGGTCTGCACCAAGGTGGCAAGCGTCTTGGAGCAGGGACAGCGCCTGGAGAACCTGAGCTGGAGACTGTGGCACCTCCAGAACATCATGGTCGACTCGGACAACGCCAAGTCCAAGCGCGACTTCAAGAAGCTGTCGAAATGCATGAGCGACAAGCTGGACAAGGAGAAGGGACGGTGAGTGGTCTCCGCCATCGTTTGGGGGCCTCGGGCTTACCCCGAAGCAGGAGCATCGAAGAGCTCCAGGCACCGGGCTTCAAGCGTAACCACTCGACAGAGCTCCTCCAACAGCGCGCTGCCGAGAGGGAGCGTGAGCGCGAGGCGAATCAAAACGGCCGGCCCGGGACGATTCATCGCATGCAGTTCACCTTCAGCGTCGACCAGCCCGCGCCACCGACCGCGTCTTCCATCGACGTGAAGAAGCCCGACTTGAAGCCTTCTGCCGAATTCAAGGACAACGCCCTCAAACGCGGCCGTCCCGCGACCCGCTCAACCGCCAACCACGACGACACGTCCGCGCACATCGTCGACAAGGACCAGCCGCTCACGCAGCGCGGCCGAAAGCCTGACCCCGCCGCCACGGATTCTCGCAGCCCCAATCACGACAACATGTACTCTGCTGCCTCCCTCCGGTTCCCCACTTTATTCTCGAACGACTTCGGCCCGACCGCATTGCTCTACGCTACTCCCACTGCCACGAACCCGATGACCTATGGTGAAGGCGTCGGGTCTGGCAACAACCACGACTTCAGCATCATGCGCCCTACCATTGAACTTCCCCTTGACGAACTACTCAACGCCGACAGCCCGAGCGGCTGGCCTCATACTATTCCCATGCAAGAGGACATCGAGATGAAGCCATCGCACCGGGACTCATCCTACCCTGCCTCCAGCAGTTCTGGTCGCGGCAGCACCGACGAGGACGATGCCCTTCTCAGGTCGACCACGGCTCTGCGCAACGTCCCCCCTCTCTCTACGCCCATCGAGGATGTGATGCCTCGCACCATCACCCCAACTCGGCTCGGCGGCAACGGTACCACGGCTTCGTTGACCAACATCAACGGCAAACGTCCATCCCTGAGTGTGCGCACACAGTCGTCCGCGCGTTCCTCTGGCCCTAGCGCCACTCCGGTCAACAACGGAGGCTCGGGACCCCAAAGCTCCAACACGGCGCCTGGCGGCGTCAAGGCGGAATGCTCGAACTGTGGCGCAACTCACACTCCGCTCTGGCGCCGCGGCTTGAATGACGAGCTGAACTGCAATGCCTGCGGACTGTATTGCAAGCTGGTACGTCAGCACCCTTTAGATCCTTTGTACGTTTCGCTTAACATGACATGCATCATTACAGCACAAACGTCCTCGCCCGAAAAGCATGCGCAACAACCATGGCGAAGGTCGCACGCAGAGCGCCCCCCGAAGCGACGCTCAGGAGGTAGTGGGTAAGTATTTACGTACTCGCTTATGTCGAGGCTTCTGCCGTGACGGGTGGTTAACCGCTGACATCACAGCCCAATGCCACAATTGCCACACGACTGCGACGCCGCTTTGGCGCAAAGACGACGAAGGCAGGACAGTGTGTAACGCGTGAGTCAACGCGCCGTCTCGGTGATATGTTCGCTGCTAACAATCGCCTTCGCCTTCCATCAGCTGCGGTCTATAGTGAGTTTCCTTGGCTGCCGCCGGATTGTACGTATCACTAACCTTACCTGTTACAGTTACAAGCTCCATGGCTCGTCGCGCCCGATTAGCATGAAGTCAGACGTTATTCGCAAGCGAGCTCGTCACGATGCTCGCCGCGTCGGGAATGGTCCCTCGGAGACGCCCTCTGCAAGCCCAGGCGCCAGCCGCCGCGCGTCACCTATCACGGACACACCGACGCTCGCACCAGACTCGTCGACGTCGATGTACAACGGCGAGCACATGGACTATCGCCCCTCGATGCAATCCGAGCTCATGGGCGCCCTCGGTGACACGAACGGGTCGTTCGGCGGCGGAAACAACTACTTCTCATACTCCGGCTTCCCAGGCCCGTATAACCCGGACTACCTTGCGCAGACGCAGAGTATTCCCGCTGACGCACTGCCCTTCGCGTCCGGGGATTTGTCGGACGTGGACAATTCTGGCCTGGAGTCTCGCACGAATAAACGGCGCCGCATGAGCAACGACTCGGCGTCGGAGCCTCCGTCGTCGGCGGTTTCCCTCAACTCGTACGCGGACTCGTTCACTTCGGCGTCGTCGTCGACGTCACATTCGCAGCGGTCGTCGGTGGACTGGCCCTACGATCCGTATGGCGGGTACGGTTTCAACAACCGAAACAACAACATGTGGCACCCGCCGATGCTTCCTCCGGACAGCAACTCGCCGCAATTCATCCACCCGCCGATGCTGCCCCCGGACAGCTCGCCGAACGTCTTCCTGCACACGCAGGGCCTCCAGCACGATGACGATTCGCTGTTCGCGACGTACCTCCACCCGCCGATGCTCCCGCCCGACGACTCTCCGCGCATGGGCGGCCTGCAGTTGCACCCGCCGATGATCCCGAACGAGTGGGGCAAGTCTGCGGGTCACTCTGACTCGTTCTACGACACGCCCATGGTGACGTTCTGATGACTTCATGCCTCTCATCCTCCCGGGCTCCATCTCGCTCACGGACGCTGTAGCAAGGTGATTCTTAGCTTACTTGTCTCGGCCTGCGCGTGCGCGGGTACGACTGTTCGGACGCTGGCGTGTGTGTGCGTATGAGTTTGGTACATTCCCCGTTTCCATTGTGGTCTCTACAAGCTATCATTCCCTCGTGTGTAGATGTCTCAATCACTCTGCTCCTGTCGCATACCAGTCCGAGCATCGTCCCGTCATCGCATTGCTGTCGACTCTCCACATTTCCATTATCGCTCGATCGTCATCAGCCCGGTCCCCTTTCTCTCTCGTCCAACGCTCCTGCTATAGCCATAATTTCTCCTCTCGCTCTCGCTCTTCCTGTGGTCATACCTCTCTTGGCTTCTGTGTCATACTCCTCTCCTCTTCCCTCCCTGCCCTTGCCATCTCTCTCAATCTATCTATCTGTGTATAGGTTGTACGACGAGGTAGCAGTAGTCATCGCGAAGGGTCTCGCGCTTTAGGCCCCTGAATAGATATTTATCCCTCTCTTTCCGTAGTCACTATACCCTCCAATGTATGCACAGTATGTCTACGTAGGTTATGCATAAATTCTATGCCCTGATTCTCCCTGAAGTGAAGTGATCTGCGCGAAAGTGAAATGACCCTGCGACCGGAAGAAGGTTGGACTCAATCCGTCCGTGGTGGACCGGCGGCGGAGAAACGGGAGATGACGAGGGCGGCGCCCACGATCGCACGAATGTTCCAGTCGGCTGTGAAGGGTGCCGGTGAGGCCCTTCAGACTACACGACACACTGCCGACGGACTACCAAGGAAAGGCACCATGCGGTGAAGATTCATTTCGGTAGGTTCTGCGACAGCACACGTTGGTAGAAGCCATACACGACGGCCTAAGACCTGCTCGTCTGACTAGTACATCTCCAATTGCGCGATGGAGTGGGAGGGGCGGTAACATTCGCGTACAATACAGACACACCGATTAGGTATTAGGAAGGAGAAGGACTTCGTCGAGGTGCCACAGAGCGGCGGCGTCGCGCAAGCGAATGATCGTGCATGTGTTTCCCTCGGACGTCCTGCCTCCGAGCGTAGGGTACGCGTCATGACAGATCGAACTCGCTGCCCGGGGTCATTACCATCGGGGGCAGTGAGATCCTGCACGCGTTCCCGATGCGCGATCCCGGTAGGATTACGGAATGCGGGGGAAGACATTGACTGGCTACGTCAAGCGCGATTGGGATGATCAGCGCGGGCGATGGAAGGGGATATTGCGTACCTGACGGATGGGTCCGGGTTCAACATATCGCATTCACAGCTCGCGCGACGCCCGTTGATGCAATGCATCGAGACAGAGTCTAATACAGGCGGTCCTATAATGAAAGCGCGTAAGGGGTTATCCAGCAACGAATACTACGCTGGCTTAAACGGCAGAAATCGACGGAATAGAGGCCCCGTACTGTCCTAGCATGTCTACCGATCGGTTGGGAGATCAATGTTGGACGGGGCGATGCAATCTGGGATCCTCCCGTCTGACGTTGCTCGCCCAGTAGGGACAAGACGATCGATGTGTCCTGAATATCGGGCGGAATCGTGGATCGGCGCTGTCAAGCACAGAAAGACATGCTGAGGCAATGAGGCTTGCCAGACCCGCGAGCCTGCACATTGGCCTGGATCTGAGAGCCGCTAATGCGCATGGCGATCTGCGAGTGCTCATGAGCGGACTCGAGGCTGCCGCGAGGGTGGATGTAGGACGCACGATCAGACGTCGGGCAACGTGCATCACAACTTGGGCAAGAGACATGGCAAAGAAGCGACGGCCGTTCTGGTCGGAGTGTTAGCTCTGGGTTGGTAAGCCAGGGCCGTTTTGACGGGTGGATATGATTGTGAGTCCAAGGCTCGGACACACATATGTATATAGTGTAACCGTGGTGTAAGTTAGCGTCGTCGATGACCGCAGACTTGTCCTAATGTGCGCATGTGCAACCACGCCACGCTTTCGATATCCTCCGATCCAAGTCGTAAGCATTGAAATGCGTTTGAGACAGGCTCACATAGTATGAGACATTCAATGGAGCAACACACCAGGTGCGCGACGAGGCCTCAGAAAGAAAGACGAGGATAGGCGAAGTCAGTCTACTTGCCAGTCAAGAAGACAGGAAGATGAATTTGAGGTTCATCTCTCGAATTTGAAGGCAGTGTCTGCGCGTGACCGTGGGAACCGTCTTCCATCCGCCGCAGCGCGAAGGCTGCGCCACCATGCGTTCTACAGTCAACATCTCGGTGACCTCCAGGAATCATTCTCACTTGTGTCTTTTTGCTCGAGGTTGATTGACACCTCATACATCAAAGCAGCGCACGCCACAGCCGGCCGCGTAGGACCATCGCCACGTCACAATTTGCTACCAGTGAAGTGGAGGGGTCTGCGAGAACACTAGTATCTGAATATCAGCAATCCGCTGTGTTATGACTGTGGTGACCCTAAAGGCCTTCTTGGAAACTGGTTTAGTGTTCACATCGAGGTCGGTTTGTCGTCGGTCTTTTCAGCTTGTCTCGTAACCTCACTGCAACTTCGTAGGTTATGTCTCTTCCTGGCGTGTCGCAAGTACCTGCTGCGTCACTTGTATCATGACCTACAAGATCTTTCCGCTCAACGGACGACGGACCCTGGAACGCCGCCAGTGGCCGAAGCGGACAACATCGAGCTAGAAACGCTCCCAGAGCCATCTACCGCCACAGTGAAGCGAGCGTCATCTCTGACCGGACAAAGGCCATTCCACTCCGTCCTTTCCAGGAGCCTGTTTGCGTTGTGCTTTTCAGAGAGCTGCACTCTGTTTCTCTTGCTGATGTGTCAGGCTTTCGACATACTGGATGCCCGGTGGGTGTGGAATGTAGTCCTCGATAAGTCATCAGTCGTTCATGTCCTGTATAATAGAGCTCGTCTACTCAACTGGAATATCTCATTGTCGCTTCTGCTGGCGGCCATTCTCATTCTCATCCCGCTGTCCTACAGCCTTGTTGTGAGTGATTCAGCCACGGGTGCAGGTCGGTTATTTCTCTCTGTCCTCCGTCACAGGACGAACTCACATCACTGCAGGGCTTCGTTCCAGACAGCGGCCATCTGTCTTCCGGGTGCTACTGAACTTCATACCAGTCGGCTTGTTCCTGTTCCTACTCGGCATGATACCGCTACCCTCTGCGCTGCCAACGTCTGGGATCATCGTCGCGACACTGGCTCGATTGACTGTGTTGGGCACCATCATCCTCGGACTACTATCTGGGTTTGGTGCAATCAACACAGCATGGATATACTTCCCCGGGCTCTATGGAAAGCAAAGGTAGCTAAGCTACAGATATGATTTATGGGTTACTGTATCGTTGACTTGTTTACCGCGTAGTTCTCATCCATCCGATGACGATATCCGTATGGCAGAGCAAGGTCTACAGCGAGTGCAAAGCGACCTTGCCCTACGCCGGCAGGACGTACAGAAACTCCAAGCAGCGCAGGTGTGCAAGATACGTTGCACTTGCAGAACCGCCGTCTCACAACTTTCACTTAAGCAGCAGGCAAGCCCCGACACGGGCTGGTTCTCTCGGATGGCCACGAACCTTCGTGGCGATAGTCGTACGTCGCTTCATCAGTATCCTACCCTCCTCGCTCAAAGCGTGTTCCACAGAGCTATCAGCTACGATGCAGGAGCTGAACGGGCTGGAAGCGCTCGAGTACGAGATGTCGCGAAACTTGGAGACACTGAAGGAAAGGCAAGCTGACGCAAAGTTTTCGCGCACCATCGGCGGGAGAATATTCAACTGGGGCGGCCGGCTCTTCGCCATCTACTGTATCTTCCGGATACTCAATGTGCGTGTCATGCCCGTCGGCGGGTATTTAATGATGAAATCAACTCCTTGTACAGTCGCTAGTCAACCTCGTCACACCTGTCCCGCCGTCGACGAGTCCAGCACAGTCCCCTCGCAGCGTCGACATATTGAGCATCGGGCTCGCGAAGTTGCTGTCTTTGTTGCCTTCGGTGCATATTGGGGATGATGGGGTGGCCGTTATATCACGACAGATCAGCCTCGGGCTGGTGGGGGTGATCATTCTCAGCAGTATTCGGCTCGTGCTCAGAGGCGTGGCCAGGGTATGTCTTTCACGGCTCAGCCTTTTCCGCACACTCATCTCCTACCTTAGGTCCTTCGCGTCACGAGTCGGAACCTTGGCGCGTCACTCATGTTGCTCATCCTTGCGCAGCTCATGGTAATTATTCCGCATGCTCTGGCTTATGATCTCGCTGACTCTCGCGCATCGCACTCCACAGGGTATCTACCTCCTCTCCACTCTCGTGCAGCTGCGAACTGCCTTCCCTCCCCCTCCACTACGGCCCGATGTCTCGCCCGACGTCGGGCTCGTGAATCTCTTCTCGACACTACCTGAGTACCAGCTCTTCGGGTCTCTCTTCGACGGGTCATTCCTGCTCGCTGCCGCGGGAGGTGCGGTGGTGCGGTGGTTTGGCGACAGGATGCGTAATGCTGGACAAATGGATTGATAGGATACCCTGTGGATTTTTCCATCGTGATGTGCCACTTACATAACTGCCGCCGCAGTGTGGCGTTTACGTGCGAAGACGGTGGTGTATCATCGGGCCAGCGGTAATTTCCCCATCGACTAGCGTCCGTAACCTCGTTCTTCACCGCGCGAACTTATATCGCGGCTCTCAGCGCGCTGGACATACGATACAACGTTCTCGCCATTGTGTACAACGGCATGGTTCTAATAGTAAGAGCGCCCACTCCTAGCGATTAGCGCTTAGCATTGCCGCTCGGTCTCCCAAAAATCAAGGCGCAAAGGTTACCAAACCTCAATAATGTCTTGTCGAGTATAAAGCAGATGATACAGCGTTGAACCGGACCCGGGATAAATACGGTACCTGACAGTACTTCCATCGCTACACTTGAACACATGTCCAACAGTCCGAGCCAGTCTAAGTCCGCATGCCTATGAATTTTGTCATATGAATCCCATCCGTTAGAGCTCGCCTTTGCCGGCATCCGTGTCTGTCTGTCCTTCCAAGGCCCGCCGAATGCTCCATCGCGAGTTGAGGCTGCGCGCGCGCGAGCCAGTCAGGACTTCCTTACAGCTTGTTAACGCGAAAACGTGACGTACAGGGAAAGAAGGGTGCATGGGTAAACTGCGAATGAATGAGCACGTATGAATCGAAGTGAGGGTATTAGATGCCTTACGTTGCGCCAAGGTGAACTCAAGGGCAGCATGGACGAGGCCGGGGCATGCCAACCACTGGACCGAATCAGCGGGAATTGACGAGTCAGGTTCATGCGCACTCACCGTAATAAGACATACGAGCGTGAACACCCTGTTGCAGATGAATAGGATGATCAAACGTGATATGTACAATGAACACAGCGACATACGTTGCAAGAGCACCTGGTGTAGTGAGATTGCTCAGTCGATATTCATAGTGACTCATACACTGCACACACACATGTGTTCAAGGTGTATGCGATCAGCAACTTGATAGCTTTGTCCATCCTGCATAGCGTCGGTCGTCATACTTTCTGCAATAACGGTAAAGAGATACCTTTGAGACGGTGTTCGCCGAATGTTCAGGTAATAAATATTGGCAGCTGCAATGACCAGATCGCAAGCAAAGTTCGCTGCCAGACCACATCCTATGGTCACCTAAGACGCACACTATCCGTGTCATTTTAATGTGAAGTTGGTGTGGCGGTACAGTACCCTTGCCCCGTTCGCCATTGAGTCCACGAATTCATCCTTGTAGCTAGTTCGGAATCAGCACATACACCAAGATGGACGGTGGCGCAAATGAACTGACCCGACGATTGTGTACGCTATAGAGTAGGTGAAGATCAGTCAGCCAGTCAGAAAGCTGATAGACGAGTAATGGTTTTAAGTACCTGTTGAGGACGCTGTCGGATAGTCGTTAATTTTGCGTTGGTACCCGAAGTTCATCACCAATGTAAGGACAGTGGGTCATACCTAGTTGTAACAGCGCCAATACGCACTACGTACAACGGTGAGCACTGAATCTGTAAATCCGAGTGGGAGCGTGACGTACGATTGCAGCTGGTATGAGGATCCTTCTTTCGCTTACTGTTCAATGAGGAGTCAGGGAAGCGACTTCTGCGATATCAGCCCAGATGTGCTGTACCCTATAGTTGTGTTTGGGGCGTCGTCATCAAGAATCACTCACAGCATTCACGGCGCGCTCTAAGCAAGCCCCTGAGACTGATTATATTGACGAGGTACCTCGCGCGCACGGGATGCGGTAACAGCAACGGCGGAGCTTAACGACCGTCAGTTCTTGTATGGCCATTCCGAGCGGTGACAAGCTATCGACGCGAAACAAGTCAGCTGCGGTCGTGCTGAACAGATTGAGGACGTTCGATTGATGTGCGATTTCGAATAACTTACGTGCCAGGGTGCCGAGTCGGTGCCCGTAGTCCTCAGGCTGTCCTTCACCACTACTCATGTCCACTCCAGCTCCTTCGTACCAGTGTTCTCAACATAGGATGTATCTGGTGTGTTTTCGCAGTTTCGTTTTGTTATGCGCGAGGAATCAGAGAAAGCATGTCGAAGGCGTGGTCAATGTGACACCTCAGGCCTCAGGCGCTTGAGCGATGTACCGGGCCGGCGCTAATAGTTGGTTGGTTGGACTTTGATGTGGCCAAGATGTGGCTGAGGCTGGAGGATTTAAGTAGAACATCTTCGACGATACTTCTCTCCTGCGTTCTGCATCCTTGACCAAGCCATGTCACGTTCTGTACCTGAGAGGACTCGGATGATTGCAGTTCGCCTTCCAGTCGTCCCGGCTGCTCGCTCGACAATCGCCCCGGCAAAGGAGCCACAACCTGACCTCCCGCCCCCGTTCAAGCCTCTGTCGGTCTATGTGACGAAAGAGGTACGTAGTCATCTATCATAAGTGCTGAGCAGCGCTCATGCGGCTGTAGGTTGCACTGAGCGCGCGGGACGTCGCTCCGTTTACCCTGCTCCCCCGCATGCTCATCCCTGTGCCTTCGGCGCTGTGGAAGCCGCCGCTCATGCATTACGGCTGGCCTGCTCCTAGGCAGCGCCTTCTGGAGTACGCAGAGAGGCACGGTTTGATCAAGCTGATGAGCAGACGTAACCCAAAGGATCCTGACGAGTCCGACTCGGAAAGCGACTTCTCCACGGATGATGAGATTGAGGACGACGAAGATGAACCGGCAAGTAACAGCTCTCAGGCTGGCGAGTCCCAGCACTCGCCTGATGGTAGCGGCACGGTCATCCTCGCAATGACCACCAGGGCTCGTAAGCCGTGTCCGCCAGTCCCCCCGCCAGACGCCCCCCCAGACAAAGCGGAGTCGGCTGTCGACCAGATATCGACCATGTTCGCCGCTCTGATACATATCTATAAGCTGCTCAACGAAAACCCTGGCACGCAGTTTGGTCTGCCGCTCTTGCAGATAACCCCCACACTGCAGGATGGCGAGGGCGAGTGCCAGATCGTGTCGCTCTACACGAACTACAACTTCCTTCGCAAGGACCTCCCACTCCCCGAACACATCGAGGCATTTGGAGAAGCTTTCGGCGTCGAGACGCCGCCGAGGTGGTTCCTCGACGAGGAACAGCATGAATGGTGGTCGGTGAACTACCCGAGGCGACGGTAGTAGTCACGGTTAGCCTGTCGCTTGTTTGCTTCGTATGTTGCTAATCAGTATCTGTGCTAGTGCGTGGTTGGCTATGGTTCACGGAGCCTACCTTTCCATTTTCTCGTATCTACGGACTCCTTTTCGTGCTCGGTAATCGCAAATATATACTGGTGTACATATGGCTCTTCAATATAATGACATGATCGTAGTAACCTTCTAGGAATGAGGGGTGACTCGGATGTTACAAGGTATGGTTGTCAACGCTGCTCTCAATGCGTCTCGTAACTTGTCGTAAGTGCCAAATCTTCGGTGAGACGGGTAACAAAGTGAATACAATAGGCACAGTCCACCCGTGCTAATCTAACTGCGCTTGCCCTTCTTCCTTCGAGTCTTCTTCCCCTTCGCACCCGGAGGCAGCCTGGCTTCTTCATAAGCTGCTACCCGATCACCTCTGGTTGTCGACATCCACGTCTTGAATCGCCTCCCATATTCCTCAATCACAACGCTTCCGTCGTCATTGAATATCGCATTGAACATACACTTCACTTGAGATATCCTGGTTGGGACGACTTCCCAGAGCGCCCCCCTTGGCATGTTTGCGAATTGTTTCACAAATTTCTGGGTACGCTTCCGGTCGAATGTAGCGACGCGAAAATAAATACCAATATGAAGCATGACGTGTAGCCGGTCATCCCCAGGATACTCGTTAAAAGCTCTGTAGGCTTGCAACGACGTCTGTTTGAGAAAAGCCTGAGTGTTCATTGCCTCTGTAATGGCATGGTTCTTCGCCGCCGCATTCGTGAGCCTGAAGAACCGAGGTGGATAGCGTTTGACCTCGTGGAGGAACAGAACGTGTTCTTCGACTTCCAGCGCATCCGCCTCCATGAACGATATGATGGTCGCGAAGTCTGGATAGGAGACCTTCTCCTTGGGAGCCGGGCCAACCTCCGTGACGTCCGTTGTGAACGAGACCTCTGCCATTGGATCATGCGAGAGGCTTTGGTGACCGTGAAGGTCATCCTCCATCATCAGCACATCGTCGTCCGCACCGACCGGCTCCACGGGGACCTCAACTTCGATATTAGCGGCGCGGTAGTGTCGGGTGAATGCGCGATCCGAGTCCTGGGTAGGACCCGGCTCTACATGGCGTGAAGTTATTGTGAGCAGACGCATTAGTTGCCAATTGGGTGGCGACTCACCCTCAATATTGGCAATGGCGGATGGAGCGCGGAAAGGTGCTTGAGGGTGTACGGAGACCATGTACTCCGCGCCATCGGGCAGCATGCGCGCTGCAATGAAGTTCAAGGACACGTCCAGGAAGTGATACTGCTCGCATTCAAGATCGTGGTCTGGGAGGCGCGAGACCCAGACGCTCAGGAATCGGACATGCTGCCTCAAAGTAGAGGTGACAGTGTTCTTCCAACGGAACGCCGGCGCCGCGGCGGCCTTGGCTGCAGGTTTATCGGCAACACGAGACATGATGTGGAAGTCCAAGGTGTCAACGTATGCGGAAGGCGTGTGGTAAAGGGTAGAGATGAGGTTTCCTACCAGCCTTTATGTCCACGCGCGTTAGCCGTGGCCACTGTGGCCGACTTGACCGACTTTGCCACTGGCCACAGTCTCAGCGGCACCAATGCCCATGGCCGCATCCTGCGCAATGATCTGACTCATTGACTCGTGGTTGGCACTGAAAGCCCGGTAACCGATGCCTAATCCAGAGAACAATGTGAGACAAGTGCAATACTGCCGCGGTACACTACCGGAATGGGACCGTCCGTTGTGCCAAAATAAGAGAACAATGCTGGAGCGACGTGATGGCTGATCGAGATCATTGTTTGATCTGAGTTCGCTTGCGCTCGTGACCGTCTGCGCCTCTCTGATTGGCCACGGGAAAACGGCCCGTTCGTCCCGTGGCCGTGGCCCCCATCGGCAAAGTCCGAGGCGGTTGGTTCGACTTGAACGTGGCTGGAGGATGTTGCCATACTTTAAGTAGAACGCCTTCGACGATACCCCCACATCTCTTCTTCTCTCTCCTGCGCTTCTCAAGTCATGTCACGCTCTACATCTGGGAAGATGATTGCAGTTCGCCTTCCAGTCGTCCCCGCTGCCCGCTCGACAATCGCCCCGGCAAAGGAGCCACAGCCTGACCTTCCGCCCCCATTCAAGCCTCGGTCTGTTTATGTGACGAAAGATGTATGTAGTCATCTATCATTGGGCTTGAGCATCTGCTAAGGCAACTGTAGGCTGTACTGGGCGCACGCGACGTCGCTCCGTTCATCCTGCTCCCCCGCATCTTCATCCCTGTGCCTTCGGCGCTGTGGAAGCCGCCACTCATGCATTACGGTTGGCCTGTTCCTAGGCAGCGTCTCCTGGAATACGCAGAGAAGCACGGCCTGACCAAATTCTTGGGCAGACGCAACCCAAAGGTCTTCCCAGATGAAACCGACTCGGAAAGCGAGTTCTCCACGGATGATGATGAGACAGAGGACAATGAGGACGAATCCAGTGACCGCTCTAGCGAGTCGGGGTCCTCATCAGACGGCAGCCGCACGGTCGTCGCCGCACATGCTACCAGGGCTCGTAAGCCGTGCCCGCCGGTCGATCCCCCTGCTAAGCCGGCTAGGATCGACACAATGTCGACCATGTTCGGTGCTCTGCGACATATTCGCGATTCGCTCAACGGCGAGCACGGCACGCAGTTCGATCTGCCGGCTATGCAGATATGCCCGACACTGCAGGACGGCGAGGGCGAGTGCCAAATCGTGTCGGTCTACACGAACTACCATTTCCTTCGCAAGGACCTCCCACTTCCCGAACACATTGCGGCATTTGGAGAAGCCGTTGGCGTCGAGATGCCTCCGAGGTGGTTCCTCGACGAGGAACAGTATGAATGGTGGTCGGTAAACTACCCGAGGCGACGGTAGTAGTCATGGTCAGTCCACCACGTCTCTCGTTTGCTTTGTATGTTGCTAATCAGTATCTGTGCTAGTGTGCGGTCGGCTATGGTCTACGGAATCTTCCCATTTTCTCGCATCTACGGACTCCTTCTCGTGCTCGGTAATCGCAATTGTAACCTGGTGTACATATAGTTGTTCGGAATCAGTAATCTGTGTAATGACCGTAGTAAGCTTGAGGGCCTTTCTAGAGAGGGGGCGTGATGTTTGTTTCAAGGTATGATTATCAACGCTGCTCTCAACGGGTCTTGTTATCTCATTGCAACATCGCAGGTCGTGTGTCCTACTGCACTATGCGTATCATGGCCTCCAAGGTCTTTCAGCTCAGCAGACTCGGACGAATCTGGGAACGCTGCCAGAAGCTGAAGCGAACGTGAACATCGAGACGGAGATACCCCCGAAACCGTCGATCGCTGTAATGAACCGCGCGTCGCTGGAGCGTAGAACGTCGCAAACCTCATGTTCGGCCAACTTGAATGTGGCTGGAGGGTCTTGACATACCTCGATACAGTGCCTTCGATGGTACCATCATTCCTCTTGCTCCCTACCGCGCGTCGCATCCCTCTCTAAATCATATCTCATATACTCTTCACCCCCGCCCCCCAGGACGAGCGTCCGCCTTTTAAGTTCGAATTGTTGGTAACGTTGGGCCACATTCCCGCCAGCGCGGAGAGTCATGCAGTATCTCATGCGGTATGTTCGGTTCGTAGCACCTATGGAAACTGCATATTACTGATGCGCCGCACCGTGACCTCAAGGCAACATATGTGCCTCAATGACCTGCATTGAAGCCCTGTATGGTAAGCTGCCCTGTCTGCTGTACTTAGTCTGAGTCGAACGACTCGGCGCGCCTTGACGAGCGCTACGCTCCATACCTACGATGTGTTCAAGAGCCCAATCCCTGATGCACTCACACGATGTCCTCTCGGGGTACTGCACGCATGGCGAGGACCCGCCAAGAGGGTCGAGGACAACAATCATAGGGAAAGAGGCGTACGTAGTCATTCCGATCACGTCGCTTCCATGTGCTTCCGCCTTGGGTACTAGGAAGCAAGGGCGATACAGCTGACCCAGATACAGGTCGATAGCCTTGGCCATTGTTGGCCGCGGCACGGTGTCTGACTCGGTCATTGTATACACTTTGCACTGCCGAACCCGGCCGTCATCGGAGCGCATAGCATGGTTATTGGACGACTATACAGTGCTTCTGTTCACATCGGATCAATCTACGACACGAACTCCAGGATGAGGTCTACACGGAGCGCGAACGATGTGGGCCGCCTAGTCTCGAAGCTGTGGCGCCCCAGTGCAAGACTGTACTCTGTACGCTGGCATCGTCACGGTATGCGCTGGCAGTGCAATTACGGCCAGCATCGAAGAATCCTCGTCTGGCCAGGGGACTGCCTTCTCAGTATCCAGCATATCAAGTCAGGCACAACAAGCTTCCACAGAGCGCTGTCTACTGTACACGGGACGCTGAGGCTGATCCTGGAATGCTCCAGGGCGGCGATAGCGTAGTACGATTGAGCGCGGATGGGTACGAGGCCTTACACTTCGCCGTGCCCATGCGGGTACATCAGTTGTTCTCAAGTTGACAGATCGCTCTGTGCCGTATAAAAGCTCTCGCGGACGAGGACTCTTCAGGTCCCAAAGAGCCCTCTCGCCAGGAGATTGCAGACCAGTGGCAGATGCGCATCATGCTCACCTTCAGGACCAGCTTATGCCTCGCCTCTCTCTGCATGTTGGCCCTAGGCAAACCCCTTTCCCGTAGCCTCCAGCTGCAAGAATCCCGCTCGGCAGTCCCTGTAGGATTCACGCATGCTGGCACGGCCGACTCGGACGCGTCCACCGTGTTGAACCTTCGTCTTGGCCTCGTCAGCAGCAACGTCGACGCACTCGTCGAGAAGCTGTACGATGTCAGCACGCCCTCTAGTCCCAACTATGGTCAGCACCTTTCTAGGCCCGAGGTCTGTACCCATTCCGACTCCAATGAAAGGCGATGATATGCTGATGCTCGTCCAGGCGGCAGCATACCTTTCGCCGACTGCCGATTCCGCCGCTGCCGTGAACGCCTGGCTGAACGACAATGACTTGACTGCACGCACTCTCAATAACGCAGGGGACTGGCTCGAGATATCCGTGCCAGTTTCGCAGGCCAACGAGCTCTTCGGCGCGGACTTCTCGGTCTTCACGCACCAGGAGACCGGCGCGCAGAGCATCCGCACTCTCGCGTACTCCATCCCCACCGAGCTCGCGGGCCACCTGCAGCTCGTACACCCCACCACGACGTTCACGCCGCCGTCGGCGAAGCTGCCTCTCTCGAAGCAGCGGTACACCGGCTCCTTGAATAAGCGCCAGTCGGCGTGCAGCAGCTATATTGACCCGGATTGTTTGCAGGAGATCTACGGGATCCCTGCGACGCCCGTGTCGAACTCAAACCCGCTAGTAGTGACGGGGTACGACAATCAATGGCCAAGCCCATCGGACATGAGTGTAAGCCTATTTCATAGTGTAAGATCGTCAGATACTAGCGTTTTGACACTCTGGGATTGATCAGAACTTCCTCACAAACTTTCGGCCTGACATTGATAGTTCGACGACCTGGGCGACTTGGGGTCTGGACAATGGCACTTGGGACCCGAGCCAGCCCGGCGACGAAGCGGTATGATGTCACTGCGTCCCGCTGAAGTTCCCTGCCTGATCCATGATGCGGACAGGATCTCGATGTCGAGTATACCGTCGGCGTCGCTACAAATGCGGACGTGTACTTCCTGTCGGTGGGCAGCGACACCGACGACGGCGTCTTCGGATTCCTGGACACCGCCACTGCCGTGCTCGACTCATGGAGCGATACCTACGTTATGACCACCTCATACGGCTCGAACGAGGATTCTATCTCCACGGACGTCTTCAGGTGCGTTTCGCCGTGTGGCACAAACTATCCGGGCGCTCATCGACACATCGATTCTAGCAAGCTGTGCGATGAGTATGCAGCGCTGGGATCGGCTGGCATCACTGTGTTGTTTGCCTCCGGTGATGGGGGCGTATCCGGCGTGCAGAGCGGATCGTGCACGGACTTCGTGCCCACGTTCCCTGCAGGCTGTCCCTAGTGAGTATGCATTCTACGCATGTCGAGTTGCCTCCTAACATGCCTTTGTCCAGCCTAACCTCAGTCGGAGGAACGACGAGCTACAGCCCCGAGACCGCTGCCTCCCTCTCTGGAGGTGGGTTCTCCAACGTATTCTCCACGCCGTCTTTCCAATCTGCAGACGTTTCCGCCTACGTCTCCTCGCTCGGAGGCACCTACAGCGGGCTATACAACCCCAACGGGCGTGGCTTCCCAGACGTCGCTGCCCAAGCTGAGAACGTCGTCATCGCATGGCAGGGTGGCCTCTGGACTGTCGGCGGCACGAGCTGCGCGAGCCCCATCTTCGCGAGTGTGGTTACGCTCTTGAACGATGAGCTCTTGAGTGCGGGAAAGAGCCGGCTTGGGTGGCTGAACCCGTGGCTATACGCGAATCCGGGTGCGTTAAACGATATCACGAGCGGTGACAACCCTGGATGCAGCACTAATGGTTTCTCGGCGGCGACTGGATGGGATCCGGTGCGTAGTACACTTCAGCGCCGCAAGACTGTGGCTGACTCGGATCCTCGTCGATGTAGGTCACTGGCCTTGGCTCACCTAACTTTGCTGCTTTGAGGTCTGCGGCTGGGCTGTGAGTGACAGTCCAAGGGATATGTTTAACCCTCGTGTTCCGTCTTTGGGGTTCTCGCGGGTTTCTGTGGGATGTAATCCTACTGGAGTCTCACAATATAACGCGTACTAACGCTGTACGAGAATCACGGCGGAATAGGAATGTCATGACTCCGAGTCATCATGCATGTGCAGCGCAGGCCACATGCCAATGCGGAGTGTACACTGTATATCCTTTGAAGGAAACACAGGGTAGGTAAATGGAACCTCATAACGCTGTGGATGAAAAGCGACGGAATGAACTGGAATCCCGGATACCACTTCAACGCATGCACGTTTGAACCTGCGGATGATGAGCCACTGGCATCGATGACCCCAAGTTGAATACATACAGCATTTATACCCGCTGTAGGCGCAACTCCTACGTCTGACTGGTGCATTTGTGCGTGTTAAATTGCAAAGAAATGGATCTCTGACTCGGAATAGTATTGCGAGCGATTGCGAGGGCCAGTGCTCCGCGTCTTAGCCAGTAAGCGCTGGAGCGCGGCGGTGCACGTGGCCTTAGTTTCCTTTCTGAGCAACCAGCCCTGCGAAGTTCAGACAATGTTCGCGTTTGGAGGTGGAAAACATGTCGTGGCTCGTGGAGAAGAAGACAATACAGATGTGTCGGGGTTAGATGGGAGTTTTTGTGGTGTATCGAGCTAAATCGGCAGGCTGACTCGAGCGGAACGAGGATCGATGGCTGCCTGCCCTAAACAACATTTTTTCTGTTATCACTGGTCAGACAGACTTGCACCGCTTGCCATCCCCTCCCGACCAAAATGTCTTCCATCGGCACCCTCTACACTATCGACCGACAAGACTACGGCAAGCGCGTAAGTCGTCGCCGCTGAGCTCTACGTCGTGGCGAATAGCGAGCTGAACGTACTGTGCAGCTCAAGGCGATCGCCGCGTTCGCGGGACTTGCTCTCGAGGTGCCCTCGGGTTTCGTCTTGGGCGAGACGAACAAAACGCCTGAATACCTCGCCAAGTTCCAACACGGCAAGATCCCTGCCCTGGAGACGGCGGACGGCTTCAAGCTTTTCGAGACTCAGGCTATTGCACGCTACCGTGAGTTTTCTGTCGGTTGAAGCTTCGCACCAGCCTTGGTGATTTGGGAATGATGAGAAGATCACAATCAGTTATCCCTGTCTTAATTTTTATGTCGACAGCCAACTATTTCTCTGACCGCTATCCGCACTTCAATCCCTATGTGGACTTGTTTTGCTCACGTCTCGTCTGTAGTTGCGTCGCTCGCGCCTAACAGCAAGTTGCAGGGCTCTGACCTCAAGGACGCCGCTCTTGTCGACCAATGGGTTGCATTCACCGACAGCGAGCTCAACGCACCTGGCCGTGTTGTGTTCCAGCTTGTCAATGGCGCACTGGCTCCCTACACCAAGCCCGTGAGTAGTTTCGTCGCTTCACACCCAACATCAGTCGATGTTGACGTTCTACTGTCTCTCAGATCCACACCGCATTCCTTGACCGTGTCGAGCGCTCCCTCGGCACCCTTGAGAAGCACCTCACCAGCAACACCTTCCTCGTCACCGAGCGCATTACCCTTGCCGACATTACCCTCGCATCTGTCGTCCAGCGCCAACTCACCTACCTCATTGACGCTCCCCTGCGCGCAAAGTACCCCAACGTCATCCGCCACTTCGAGACTGTCGTCAACCAGCCCTCCCTGATCGCCGTATTCGGTCCGACGGAGTACGTCGAGAAGGCGAAGCAGTTCACCCCGCCCCCGAAGGAGAAGAAGGAGGCGAAGCCCGCTGCCGCACCTGCGCCCAAGGCTGAGAAGAAGCCTAAGGTGAAGGAGGAGGAGGATGACGACCTTGACCTTGTGCCGAAGGAGGAGCCGAAGGAGAAGAACCCCCTCGATCTCCTCCCCAAGTCCAACTTCAACCTCGAGGACTGGAAGCGTGCGTACTCCAACAAGGAGACACGCGGTCCCGGCGGTGCCATCGAATGGTTCTACGAGAAGTGTGTTCCCTTGCGCGCCCCTCGTACGCTTCATGTCTGACATCACTTGTAGCTACGACTCGGAGGGCTTCTCCGTCTGGCGCGTGGACTTCAAGTACAACAACGAGCTCACGCAGACATTCATGTCCTCGAACCAGATCGGCGGCTTCTTTAACCGCCTCGAGGCATCGCGCAAGTACCTCTTCGGCTCTGTGGGCGTGCTCGGCCAGACGAACGACTCGATCATCACCGGTGTGCTGATCGGCCGTGGGCAGGACATCAAGCCCGTCGTCGATGTCGCGCCTGATTGGGAGTCATACGAGTACAAGAAGCTCGACCTCAGCAATGCGGATGACAAGGCGTACTTCGAGGCCGCACTCGCATGGGACCTCGAGATCGACGGCAAGAAGTGGGTGGATGGCAAGAACGTACGTATGCTCTGCTCGCCTGACTCACTGGGGGTGATGCTGACTGCGCGGCCTGCAGTTCAAGTAAATGTATCGATATCCTGTTTGCTCTGTGTGTTAGATTGCCGTCTTTGCATGCTTCTGTATTGTGTTGTTACATCTCATCCCGGGGACGTGTTGTGCTGTTGCAGTATACTCAAAATGAAAAACAATGTGAAAGTATGTCGGACTACCCTTTTGTGCCCGTCTCACCTAGTGAAAATTCGCGTGATGCTGCCAGGTATGTCCTCTGCCTTTCCTACGTCTTCATTAGGTTTCAGGCAACGTCCGTGCGACGCCTCGAGGTTCGATCGAGGACAAATCGAGGATGGCACTGCCGTAACGGCGGGATCACCAGGTTGTACACTGGCAGGTTATCTTCGGCGCACTTATCGGCCTGGGTACCACATGCCTCTGATCCCACGAACGGATGGTATATATACCATCGGTGCGGACGCAGTCAATGTCCACACGGGTATTTCGCTCGAGCTCGACCGGTGCACAGGTCTAGGATGGCTCGCCTTGCGCTCGCTGCGGCCGTCGCTCTGGCAGGCAGCGCGCTCGCGGATACATGGTGCGTTCTGGTCAATTGCTCGAACACGGTGGCGAGGGGATGAAGGGAACGTGTTCCGTGCAGGTGTGGCAAGAACTATGAACAGGGGACGCCCGTCGTCCCACCAGGCGGCCAGTTCCCGGTCCCTGCGACGTCCTCCTCGCCGCTGCTCGCGTTTCGCTGCGCCCCCGCAATCAAGCCGTACGTCGCATCCGACGCTAGCAGCCCCGCCGGCATCCTCATCGACACGTTCATCACGAATTTCGAGATCGCAGGCGCGTCTGCGATCAACCTGCCTTCGAACGGCCCCTTGGGCGATGTGATTATCTCCGTGGAAGTCAATGGACGTGTCGTGACCGGCGGCGCGGTCCCTCTGAACTCCAGCAAGGTCGAGCTGCCGTTCAGTCTCGCGGGGCTGACGCCGCAGAAGAGCGCGTACGACGTGAGCTGTAGGGCGACGTACGCGGGCGCGGGGGCCGTGCAGACGTTCGCGGCCTCTGGGAATTTGAGTTACCTGCCGGATCCGACAGACGGCGGGAGCGTGGTGAAGATGGATGCGAAGACGGGTGCGCTGCTCGCGAAGCCGACGAATGACCAGGAGGGAGAGTACGAGACGGTGTTTCCGGTCGGGTTCTATACAGCGTTTGGGGACTATTTAGCGACGAATCTGAGCACGATTGATGAGGCGAAGGCGATGGGGTGAGTCGTCCACCAGTGTGTGGGCCCCAGTACACTGACATACAGAAAGCATCTCCATTGTACGAAGCGCTCAGGATGCATGGGAGGTCATAGAATGCTGACCACCTCGTCCACCTCAGATCCACCCTATCCCATCATACGACAATCTCACGCAGCTGCAAGAGGTAATCACGCGAATGGAGGAGGTCGGGATGTACCTCATGTATGACATGCGCTGGACCTACCAGAACGACACCTCTGTGGCGGAGCAGGTGAACATGGTCAAGAACTCGCCTGCGCTCCTGCTCTGGTACACTGGCGACGAGCCTGATGGCACGTCTGACCCACTGAACGCGACAGCGCATGCGTATGACTTGATCTACGAGTTAGATGGGTATCATCCGGTCTCGCTGTGCTTGAACTGCTTCGACTATTACTGGACGGAGTATACTTCGGGTACGGATATCGTCATGCAGGATACGTACATGATCTCGAACAACGTTACGTGGAGTGTCGAATGGGTGCGTGGTGTCTCTTGTGTCATGCATTTGCCCCAGCTCATGAGTACTTTGCCATAGGACACAACCTGCAATACGACGTATGGCGATTGTGGGTGCGATGATTGCCTTGGCAATTTCGAGGATATCAGCACGCGCATGGACACCTTTGCGTATCGGCTTTGGGCAACAGGTTGGGACACGACGAAGAGCGTATGGACGGTGCCACAGGGTTTCGGAGGGGGCGAGTGAGCGAAGTTCCATTTGACTTATTATCAATGAGTTGCTCACATGCGCTGGCCGGCTAGGTACTGGCCACGACCGCCCACAGGTCCCGAATTCGTCGTTCAGAGCGTGCTCGCGATAAACCACGGCGGCATGGGTAGGTTACTCTTACCTCGCAGTCCTTCAATTCTGACGCTTCATCTTCTAGGTGTGGTCTCATGGGACGCGCCGACAACTGATGACATCTGGGACTATGCCTCGATACTCGCCCAGGCCTCACCCACACTCAAGGAGTACATCGCGAATGATGCCGCGACCTTCGCGCACTACTTTTATGACCAGATTGACGTCGGCGCGTGGACGGTGGGCGGCAAGACACTCGTGCTCGCAACAAATCTCAACTACGCAGAGGTGACGTTCAGTTTGGGCGGAGTACCTGGATTGGCGGGTAGGCCAGTGACGCAGGTCTTGGACAGTGGAGCAGGCGTCAGTGGGAATACTCTTACGTTCACGAGCGTGGGTAGTGGAGGATGGATCGTCGGATGACGGTTTGTGGTTGATAGTACCGCTACACACATGCAGGAGGTCACTGAGAAACACTGACAATAAGTGTAACTTGTGCAGAGGGCTTCGGAATGGAAATTCACAGAGCGATGTCCATGAATTCGAACTGACATTGATCGAGGTAAGTTCAGGACGAGAATGTCAACGGTCTACGGATCGTCTATAGCCTATGTATGGATCGACAAGGATACCCGGAGTCCACAAATGCAACACAACCAATGTCCCCACGATATACGAAGTTCGCAAATACTACTCGTAAGGATGTCCCCGTAACGTCTGTGACCGTTCACTCTAACAGTGAATATGCTTGGCCAGTCCTCAGATAATCCACGTCATCCAGTCCGTCGAGTTCCTCACGATCGCAGCGGCGATCTCTCGCGCGACGACGCGGTCGGCCTGTTCCGATGGATGCACCTCGTCGTACCTATACGATGAGAAGCGCCGTTGACATGATCAATAACATAATGAGCCATGCAGGCACCCCGCAAGGTCAGACGCACCACAGGAAACTGTCTTGTGCGGTCCCCTCGGGGATGGTGCAGTCCGAGGGGCCGGACGTGCTCTCGTTCACCTGGAAGATGCACGACTTGATGCAGCCAGTGATGTTCAGTGGCGCGGTGCCGTTCAGGTAGTTCCCCGGGTTAGCATACATGTCCGCAAATAGGCCATACGAGTCGAAGTATCCTGTCCTCGAACGGCGTTAGCTGCTGACGCCGAGGGATCAATGTCACGAGAAACTGACCGAGATGCGCACCGGGCAGAGACGGCGCCATCGCCTCGAGCCATGCGAGCGCGAGCGCGTTCACGGCGTTGGTAAACTCGGTCATGACAAGGTTCCACCCTGTCGTGTTCCGCTCCGCGGTCCAGTACCCGTTGGGGTACGAGTCCGCAGAATACATCACTGTGTCTTGCAGCGGAAGCATCTACGCCGAATCGGTCTGCACGGTCGCTGCAAGAGACCAGCGCTAGACACTCACGCTCTGAAAGATGAAGTTCCGGGCCCCGTTCTGGTACATGACCTTCACCCAGTCGACCGCGCACCGCGTTGTGTTCACGATCGTGACGCCCGGCGCCTGCCCGCCCGTCAGGACCGCGTTTGCGCCGACGTCGTTCGTGCCGATCCAGAGCGTGTAGATCGTGCTCGAGGGATCGACGCTGATGGACCCGTTCTGCACCTCTTGGAGGTAGAGCGGGACTTGGCCTTCCATGACAGACGAGAACGGGCGGTACGTGAGATTGTTCGAGCACGTCGCGCCGGCGATGGCGAATGGATAGAGCGTCAGGTTGGCGTAGTCGGCGACATAGACTGGCCAAGCGGTGCCATTGTCCCCGGCATGCCCGTATCGCTGCAGAGTCATGGTAAGCGGTGTTCAGCTAGTGGATCGCTTGCACACCCACCACATCCGTGTATGAGTCGCCGAAAGTCACTAAGGTCTTGACCTGGCCTGGATCGGGTCCCTGGCCGTTGCTGGTCCACGCACAAGCGAGGCAGATGAGCGTGGTGAGCAGGGCGAGGGGAACCATCTCCAGCCGTGCCGGTCCTCAGTTTGGGACGCTCATCTTAAATCCTCCCCGGCTTCGACCAGGGACATACACGGGTGATGTCCAATGTCACTCGTTCCATGCGGCCAGAGGGTCACGAGTCGGGCCAGCGGCCGGCATGGGCTTCTTCTCCCGTCTGTAGCGGATGTGAGTGGCCGTCGCTGGAGGGAGAGACCCTGCCAGAAGTGATCGGAGAGCGTCCCTCTGGTTGCACGGCCGGCGGAGAGTTAGGATTAGGAAGCTCACCGAGACGCATGACCACGCATATGCGGACCGTGACGGCAGAGTATGTGAAAGTGAGCGGCCGGCAGCTGAAAACGAGAGCGAGCGGTAGTTCGAAGGTAGGGCTCCAATACTCGCGCTGCAGAGAGAGAGCTTATTTGTAGATCGACGTGCTGCTTCTCCTCGTTTCGGGCTGGCTTCGCGTAGGGATTGGCTTTAGACGCGAGGCGCTGCTATCCGCACGCGTGGAACGACAAGACCAATCGATCATCAGCAGTCCCTCCGTGTGAGCCTGGCTAGGCCAGGCGGAGCGTACGCTGTTCCATGTGCAGTCGCTTCGTCTTCGGTGAATCAATGGGGTAGTGCCTGTTATGGGCAACGATCTTCTAGATGGGTACTTCCTGGCGGTCGAGGTGGTTGCGCGAGCTGCGGGACGGCAGAATACGGGAGTAACGTCAGTGTGGACAACACAGCGCATGTTGATTTGCAAATGCATGAGTGGCATGGTTGTAAGAAAGGCGTAAGTACGCTCACCCGTTGCGAGCTACGGGGCCTAAACATCGGTGCACGCCTCGCAGCCGTGCATATGTAGTCTCATTGTACAAATGTACGTGTCCGAATCCTCGATGACCGAACGACAAAGCTGTATGTAGATCAGATCTGCAGAGTAAAGTGCGTCATTGAAGATGCTACGTACTCAACGGCGCTATGTACGCCACTTGCATACTCGCAAACGCAGTACAGCAGAATCCGGAGTCCTCGACTGATCCACCGCTTGCGTTGCGCACCGAAGTAACTGCTACCACGGTTCAAGTGGGTATCTCGCGCTAGTTCCGTCCCAGAAACGCGCACGAATATGATCCTCGGTTGTGAGTCTGCGCCATGGCTTGCTAGCCATTTTTCACCATTCCACTGGCACCAGCGTTCGCTTCCGCGTCTTGATGTCTGAGCTCTACAGATCGGTGGTGTGCATTGCAAGACCACTCCAGCGCTCGCCCCTTGCTGATCTGTTGGAACTTGGCGTGGATTATCGCCTGTTGTCAATGTTCAATGAAATACATCGCCTCCGTCTCTTGCTCCGCTTTGATCCCTGCCATCAACCACATTGCAGACGGCACTTCGTTCACATCGGCGGGTCAGCATTGAGGTCGGCGCTTCATATTATGTAGTATGACCACTCACCAGCAACAGGGAACAGCTCATGGACAACCCGAAGGATACGACCAGCATAATGAGTGCCTGGGGAAGCGAAGGGTGATAGCAACTATAATCCTGAACATGTGCGAAGCCAGTCTCTACTATTGAACCAGATTTGAGCTGGACACCGCACACGCGCTGCAGGCCAGCGGTAGCAAGCTTGGGAGTTTACACATTCACATGGCACAGGAGGACGATTGCTCCTGTTTGTGTGCAGTGCGCGGCAGCTCGTGGAGCGTATGGTAGTCACGACGGAAGAACGCCAGAGATGTCGTTGCAACGTCAGATACCCTTGAATGCCCGCGCACATCCACAGAGTGGATGGTGCCAAGCATTACTCGTAGACCCGTCGACGACGCGTATCAAGTACTACTCACAACAGGCCTCAATACAGAGACCGCGTCGGGAAGTCAAGATCAAGGATATCGAAACGAAGCATAAGCTTAAGCAGCTTGCCCACCGTGGGCAGGCCTCCAATTCGAATGTTTTTCCAGACTGACCAGCGTGCGACAGGAGACCTTCGAGTATCCCGGATTCAAGAACTTGAAGAACGAGCAGATCAGTGAGCAGTGACTCACAGACATGACGTTTGAATAAGTACGCGCACGGGTCGATACGACTTTGAGGGTCGACGCCGATTTCCGAACACCGTATCCATTGTTTTGGTTGTGTGAAAGTCAGCACCGCGTGTTAACCAAGCAGGGTGTACAACATTTCAACCTCGCGTTTATGCACGTCCATATGTTGGAGGTAGTGCCCATGGCCACTGGCAGACACCCCTCGCTCTCGTCCGGTACTAGACTACCACCATCGCCCTGGACAGGAAGCTATAATCATGGAGCAAGCTTGTTGCCGAATCAGCGACGGGTAGCGGGAGGGCAGAGCATCGAGCAGGAAGAACGTGAATCACGGTCGTCGTGAACGGTCAACGTCAACACTGAAAGCCAATTCGAGAAAGTTGAGAGATGCACTGCAGCGCACGTGACTATTGGACATTCGGCGCCAATCGCGCGACGACCGTGACCCGCCTTCACCAAGCTTTCATCGTCTTGAATCTCGACAGTCTCCTCGAATTTGCGGACTCCCATCCAGCTTTGGGCTCTAGTCTTGCTGCATCTCTTTCTCACCATATCTGCTGTTGAAGAACATCTGCGGCGCCAAGTCCGCACCGCATCCGGCCTGGTTCTGGTGCTGCACCCCTCACCCCATTCTCCCTGCCTGCTTACCGCACATTCTCAGCCTCTGATACCGAGTCATGGCTGCGGCGAAGGCAAAGAAGGCAGCCGTACCCGTCTCGCGACCGATGGTTGTCCCTGCGCCGCCGCAGGCCCCTGCGCCAGTGGCCGCGCACGCGCTGACCAACGGCAAGAAGAAGAAGAAAAAGAAGGGCAAGGGCAAGGGCCCGGACATCGACCCCGCATTCGAGGGCATGGTCTTCGACGACAGGATATACACTGAGGACGAGATGCCCGAAGAGATCCAGGCGCAACTGGCGAACGTAGTCTACCCTGCGGAGCCCGAGACGCGGTCTGCGTCCCGGACAGGTCTGTCGCCCGAGCTCGAGTCTGTCCACCTCTCCACTACGGCCTCGCTCTCTGCCTCGCTAGCTGCCGTCGCGCGCCAGAATCCCGGAATGGTCACGGAAGCGGACCTCGCCGCGACGGTGAACAATCTCACGCGCGGGATCGAGCCGGACGCGGAGGGGCGGTTTGACGAGCAGTCCCTGGAGCAGTTGCCGGACAAGCTACGGACCTTTGTACGAGACACTTACTTGCATCTGAGCGCGTATGGTGACGCGCCCGAAAAGACCCAGGCGATGTATGCGATCGCGCAGCAAATCCATGCCGGCACGGGCGGTGGCGGCGCGAACAACGTCCAGAGCGGCACGCGATACGCGGGCACGTACCCGACGACGCTGCCCTTCGACCCGGCGATGTTCTCCGACCCTGCGTTCAGCCTCGCGATGGAACAAGCCGCCGCGGCGAATGGACTTCACCCACGCGATGCGCTCTCGCCGACGGGTGTCGTGCTGCTGAACGAGTATGCCGGCGAGGAGGGATACGCGGAGGACGAGTACTACAGCGAGGACGAGCTCGACGAGTTCGATGCGGAGGACGACGAGGACGAGGATGCGCGCGCGGCGGCGACGGGGGTGCGCGACGCGGCGGCGTCGGGCGGCGGTGGCGGCGGCGGATTCGGCCCGGGCTACGCGCCACTGCGGAAGAAAAGGCCGAAGAAAAAGAAGAGGCAGCCACAGCGGGCGGCGAACCCGGAGGTGGCCGGCCGGCAGCGGCCGGAGACGCCGAATGTCGCGGCTGTGGGAAATTCGCCGCCGCCTACCTCTGCTCACAACGCAATGCCGACCGCGCGACCGCCGCCGTCGTCGAACCCCCCGCCCTCGTCGCGCGCGGCGGGCAAGCAGCCCATGTCCTATGCTGCCCCTGCCCCCGCCGCCAACCCTCCTCCCAGCCGCCGCGCCGCCTCCAAGGCCCCCATTACCTCCCACGCGTACCAACATAATCACACCCATCACCACCCATCGCCTCCATCTTCGAACGCCTCCGCACCTCACAAACCGCGCCCACCAGCGAATGGAACAGGAGGGGGAGGCCCGGCAAAAAACAACAAGATATGGAGCACGAGTACGACCGAGGAGCGCGAGCGCATCAAGGAGTTCTGGCTTGGGCTGGGGGAAGAGGAGCGCCGAAGTCTCGTGAAAATCGAGAAAGAGGCCGTCCTCAAGAAGATGAAGGAGCAGCAGAAGCACAGCTGTAGCTGTGCCGTCTGCGGTAGGAAGCGGTCCGTGTGCCTCTCCCCTCAGCGCGAAAATTTTACTGACGCTCGGCATTGGCTTTCGTGCTCGATCACGCTGTGTCTGCACTTTGCACGCTTGTTATTGCGCGACGCGTGCCCTGCAACAGGAGTGCAATAGAGGAAGAGCTGGAGGTACTGTACGATGCTTATTATGAGGAGCTAGAACAGTACGCGAACTATCAGCAGCGCTACATCTCCTCTGGCGGCACACTTCCTCCTCCGCAAGGCCCAGGACCGTTCCCAGGCAGCGTCGAGCTTGACAAGAACGGCGTCGTCATTGATCCCCATGCCCCCGCCCATCCCGCCACACGCCCGAAAGGCGCTGTCATGACTAATGGTCGCAAGCCCGTCAAGCCGCCCGAGAGCGAGTTTGACGAGGACGACGGTGAGGAGGACGAGTATGAGGAGGAGGAATATGACGATGAGGAGGACGAGGAAGAGGAGGATGAGGAGGACGAAGAGGAGCCAGATGCGGAGGACGAGGACGATGCCAAGCCACAACCTGATCGGCGGGCAGCGCCCAACCGGCGGCGTCCCATGCCCAATGGGACAAAGGCGAACGGTCGCGACGGGCTGGGCAACTTCGGCAATAGCCTCACCGTCACAGGCGAGTAGCGCGCAGCCACACTTTGTCCGGCCTCTGATCTCACCTTTGTAGGAGCAGGTAACATCCTCACCGTGGCTGATGACCTGCTGAAGAACGACGGCCAGAAGTTTCTCGAGATGATGGAGCAGCTGGCTGAGCGGCGGATGCAGCGCGAGGATGAGGCCGTACAGGACGTCGAGGATGAGAGTGAGGACGAGGATGACGAGGAGGGTGATGAGGAAGATGACGAGGACGACGAGGATGACGAAGATGAGGATGAGGAGGAGGTCTGTATCTGCGCTGTGTCGTGTGACAGGCGACTGACCCTACACCAGGTGATGACCGAGGAGCAGAAGATGGAAGAGGGCAAGCGGATGTTCTCTATCTTTGCTGCACGGATGTTCGAGCAGCGGGTGCTCCAGGCGTACCGCGAAAAGGTCGCCCAGGAACGCCAATTGCAACTCCTCCGCGAACTCGACGAGGAGGACAAGAATAGCAAAGAACGGGAGGCCAAGAAACAGACGCAGAACCAGAAGAAGAAGGAGAAGAAGCGGTGCGTATGCTGTCTATATGTCCCATTACTTATGTTCTCATTTCCGCTCGCTACAGTTTGCAGAAGCTTGCCAAGGACGAAGAGCGCGCGGCGAAAGCGGCCGAGAAGGCAGCCGAGGAGGCGGCACTGAAGGCCAAGCAGGCAGCGCAGGAGGATGAGCAGCGCAAGAAGCGCGACGAGGAGCGTGCACGCCGTGAAGCTGCGCGGAAAGCGGTTGAGGAGGAGAAACACCGTAAAGAGGAGGATCGGCGGAAGCGCCTTGCTGAGGAGCGCGAGCGCGAAGCGGAACGGGAACGCAAGCGCAAGGAGCAGGAGGAGAAACGCAAGGCAGAGCGGCGGGCGCAGGAGGAGCGCGAGCGCAAAGCACGCGAGGAGCGCGAGGCCAAGGCAGCCGCCGAGCGCGCCGCTGCAGCTGCTGCGAGGCGTGAACGCGAAGAGAAGGAGCGCAAAGAGCGGGAAGAGCGACTGGCGCGAGAGCGTGAGGAGAAGGAGAAGGCAGAGAAGGAGAAGGCAGAGCGTGAGGCGCGAGAGCGCGAGCGTGCTGCTCAGCAGCAGCAGCAGCGCGCAGCTTCGCGTAATGCCCGCCCTCCTACTTCACCTCGGAACGCCAGCTCGGCAGGACCTTCTCAGCGGTCACCGAACCACGCTGGGCCGTCCAAGAAGATTCTCAACAAGCCCGCTCCAACTCAACAATCCGCCACTCCTGCTCCCGTCATTCAACCTCCCCGTCCCCAGCAGCCCCGCGTGACAGTCGTGACCAGCCCTCCAGCTCTCCAGCCGATGCCTGCTCAGGTTCCGAATCACCTTCCTCCTCAAGGTCCTCCCATGTTCTCACCCGGTGTGATGGCGCCTCCTGTGATGTCTCCGAGAGGACCGTTTACACCGGGTCCTCCCTTCGGCATGGGCCCTGGCCCTTCGATGCAGCAAGGTCCACCGCCGCCGCTTGGGCCGTCCGCGATGCCACGAACCTTCGGGAATGGCGTACCCTACGACGCGCCATTTGTCCGGAATGTCCCTCCACCTGCGCCCATTGCTCCGCCCTCCGCCATCGCCCCTCCTCCCATCGGCCCCCCTGCGCCCATCGCCCCGCCCAACCGAAATCCTGCGAATTCGCTGGCCTCGCCGACACATCTCACTCCTAGCTCGAGCCGTCTTCCTGCTGCCGATCCTGGTCCTATCACACGCCCTGTTGCTCCTATAGCACCCATTGCACGACCGTCTGGAGACGCGTCTGGCTCTGGGTCAACGTCACCAAGTCGTCGCTCACCAAGCCCGAAGGGTGTCCTCGGCTCGTCTGCGCTCGCTGCGGATGATGACGAAGTTGTTCAGACACCGAGTCGCCGCATTGTCGCACCTGGCCCGGTGGGTGGAGGCTGGGGAAGTCCCCGCAGCTCCGTTCCCGATATGCGTGCGCCTTGGGGGCCTCCTGGACATCCCGGCTTTGCATCTACACGTCAGCCTGCTCCCATTGGACATCCCATCTGGACATCGAACCCTGAGTGGCATCCTTCGACCCCTTTCTTTGCTAATGCTTTTACTGCTCACAACCCTTCGCCTCCTCCACACAGTGGTAGTTGAGTGCATCTTGACGGTCTTTTCTGTTACCCACTTCATCTCGCATATTACCTGCAATGATTGTTATTGACCCGCACGACACTGACAACAATATAAATGCATTAAAGATTCGTAATTCCGCGTAATACCCATAAGCAAGGCATAAGTTAAAGCAGTTTACTAGATGCTGCTGGTGCTATCCTACTTCGAATGAGCTTGATGATATAGAGAGGGAACGCGCTGATAGCCACGATCACGGCAACCTTCCAGGCAAACCGCACAGATATGACGAATGTGAGATCTAGCGGCGCGGTCAGTGTGAGACACTCTTGAACGTATGGTGCATACGTACCGAAATATTCAGGAAGGAACGCGATACTGATGACATAGAAAAAGAGCGTCGCCACCTCCGAGATCACCATGTAGATGTGCCTGGCACACAAGATGAGCTGCGCGGTAGAGCGAGAGAAGGTTCGACTCGCCATGTCGTGATCTCTAATGCCACCATGATGAGCTCGTTCAGGATCAGCGCCGTGAACGATATCGAGACAATATTTAGGAACTCGTTCTCGAATAGCACCAGTGACATGATCATGATCGCGGCACCTGGGTATAAATGAGGTCTGAGGCCCTACATTGAGGAGCAGACAGACGCACCTTGGTAGACGCTGATCATCAACCACATGAAGAACGTCTTGAAGGATAGCACACGACCCTGAAGAAATCGTGAGCATCGACGGGAAAGCCAGGGGACATCAACTGACCTTCGTGAGCTCCTTGTACAGTTCCGGGTACAGTAAGGCAAGGTCCTCGTTGACATCCCGGTCCAGCACCAAGGAGAAGACAGGCGCCATTGTGTACACAGTAGCGTATCCTACCATTAGCCAGCCCTGGTATAGTGCTATGGGCGCGAAATAGAAGATGGCAGAGAACACCGCCTGCATCACAGAGATGATGAGGCCGCGATGGATAACGAATTGTGCCAGCTTTGCGGAACGGCGATACGAATTACGTCCGTGCCAAAGGAGGAGCTTTGTGAGATGGCTGAACTGCGTGACGGAGAAATCCGCAGCGAGAGAAGCCTGTTTGCCTTCCTTGCCAACGATTCCGACACCTAGCAATATAAGCCGGTCAGATGGTTGCCTACTAGTGTTCTGTCCCTTGGTACGCACCAACATCCGCGGCTTGAATCATACTGACGTCGTTGCCTCCATCACCGATGCAGCAAACACGCTTCTTGGTATGATGCCGGATCAAACGTGCTACATCAGCCTTCTGAGTAGGTGAACAACGGCATGCTACGACGGCCGACAACTTCGTGGCAATCTCGATGAACTCGTTCTTGAACAGGTTCAGACACAGCTGCGTATACTTGTCAACGGACATATCCCCGAGCACGCGTGTAAAGGAACCCACCTGCAGAGACTCTCCGTCGATCACTAGACAACAGTCCAACTTGTTCTGCAGGAACTCGAGCTGGTCTCGAACTTCTGACGCTGTCTTCACTGAACAAACCGACATCGCAAGAAACGTCAGCAAGCAGGTTTACAGGATGAGAATAACGCACGGACATTTAGCGACCTGGTGGATGTACTGATTCCGCGCTACCAGTTTCGTCGAGATCGCGATACATGTCGCGGTCTCGATCTTGTCACCCGTCAACATCCAGATCTTGATCCCAGCATTTCGGAGTAACTCCAGCGTCGACTTGACCTCGTCTTGGAGCTTGTCTTCAACGCCGGTCAGACCGAGCAGCTCCAAGTCGCGCTCGAGCAGCTCCGACACCACTGTAGCCATGGCCTCATTCCGACCCTCGAGCTTAATGCTCGCATGATGGTGCCGCTCCTTGAACAATGCATACGACTGCTCGCTCAACTTTCGACGCGCCATGACAAGCGTCCGGAGACCCTCACGGGCCATGTTCGCGCACTCCTCCTCCAGCCAGTCGTTGCGCTGCACAATGCTCGCCATGACCGCGTCGGCGCCCTTCTGCAGGAACATTATCTCGCCAGTCTGAGTGTCGCGCACGACGATGCCCATGCGCTTCGACTCCGACGTGAACGGGAAGAGGTCGAGGACGTCGTAGGTGATGCGGGTCCCGGACGGTGTCTGTAGTTCAATCCGTGTCCGGTCGCGGTAAGTAAGCGTCAGGCCGACAGACTCCGTCCATTTGACAATGGCCACTTCGTCCGGAGACGATGCTTGGTAGGTCACGGTGCCGTCGTCGTTCGTTACCGGGGTCACCTGTGCGGCCGTGTCGGTGACCAATTATATGAGAGGGTTCGTGTGCGTACGTTATGACAGAGCGCAAGGCTGAGAACGACGTCGTGCACGCGAGAGGACATATCACGACGCCCTCTCGTGGCAAGTTGCGCCCCTGTTGTAGTAGAGCCCAAGCGTTTATGCGCTAAACCATTTTTGAATAAGCAGTAGCAACATGGGTCAAGGCAAGCTCCCATACCATGCTCTGCAGAAGCTCCAAACGCGACGGCAAGCTGGTGCACGACTTCGTCCATGGAGTCGTATCCATACGACACCGTGCCCATGTGCAGCTTTCGCATCTCCATCTCTATGCACACCCTGCGTCAGTCGGGACCGCCGGAGCATCTGGTATGAGGCGCCTACCATTTTGCGTCAAAGTCCCAGTCTTGTCGCTCAGCAGGTACTCTATCCGTCCGAGTTCCTCGGGCAGCGTGCTCGTGCGAACAATCGTATTCGGGATCTCGCTGTCGCTCATGATCTGCTGTGCATAAACCGTCTTGCCCATGTCCAGGTTCACGCGAAGACTATAATGCAGCCGGTCGCATCCTCTTTCCTTGCGAAGAGCTCGCCACGTACCTGATAGGGATGATGGACGAGAACAAGATGAGGAAACGGAAGATGTAGATGTACCACAGCCCACGGAAGCCATTCAGAGCGACAAGAGCGAACGACAGAGCGAACGTGACCGCGCAGAGGATCTAGTCAGCAGAACATGGTACGTCACTGTTCTTCGATGGGATACTACGAGCGCACTGACCTTGGCGAGTCGATTGATCTCCAGGTCCAGCAAACCCACCTTTGTCTCAGGATGGCTCGTGTTCATGACTGCGCGTGTCTCAGGGCCGGTGTAGACGACAAAGCCGATGGCAGAGCCAGCCGCAAGAACAGTGTTCGCCCACAAGACATTCTCTGCCGTGAGGGGCTCGACGGTGGGCACCTGAACCATAGGTACACCGTCCTCCGAGGCAGAGCGCGGTGAGTTGATTGTGAACGTGCCGATGAACGTATGAATGTCCTTCGTCGGTGCATCCGCTACAGAACCATTCCATCCCCGTGCGTTTGTGACTATGCGAAGGAGTAGCGCACAGAAACTACTCACCGTAGATCTCCGCGTCGAGTTCCATGAGCTCTCGCTCGGATGGCAACTTCTGGCACGTGGGCACTGCGACGCGCAGCTTCCAGTCCGTCTCACCGTCGAGCTGGTCAGTCCTGATGAAGCAGGTTCCCGAAGCGTCCGAAGTGCGCAGTAGGACCAGGTCAGTCGGGACCCGTTGATTCTTCTCTAGAAGCACGAGGTCGCCCACACGGAGCGCAGAAGACGGGACAGAGCGCGTGTGTGGGCCGTCGTCGCGACCTAGGTCCGGGGAGGAGTTGGAGGTAGTAGGCGTGAGGATGAGGTAGCGCGCAGAGTTGGCTTCGCGGTCTCGGAGATTGCGCTTGTAATCATCATATGCCTCCTTGCCCATGGTCACAAATAAGACGAAAGCCAGGGGAGCGACATAGGTCGCGATGAAGCCTGTGTCCGAGTGGGTCATGTAGCACCGTTGAGCGTGCTGTGCGACGTACCGATCTTCAGTGCGGGTACAAATTGTGATAATGCGACCAGCAGGAAGTAGAGGTTGAAGAAGAACTTGAACTGTTCGTAGAATACAATCGGGAGGAATGTGAAGGCATTGTATTTTTGGTTCCGGACAATGTTTGCCGGGAAGCGGCTGCGTAACTTGTCTGTCATCGCATACATGCAGTCAACGTAATCCGTAACGGATGAGTGGTCCTACCTGGAGGCCTGAACGGAACTGTTCTCGATTTGTCTTGTGGTGGCTTGAACTTGCGCGACCAAGGTGACCGCTATCTCGTGTGTTCATCGGTGAACATAGGAGACTTGACGCGTTCTAGACGGCCACGTACCGGTGTCGACGGCTCCCTACGGTCCCTATGTTCCTGTTCTTCGTCGTCTCGATACTCTCCATCCTGCACATCCTCCGCATCGCCCAAGAGGCCCGCATGTTCTTCCGGGTGGTCCGCATCGTCGATGTAGCGCTCTCGCCGCTTACCTTTCCGCCTCGCAGACGCGGCTCCGCGCGGACTCAGAGGCATACCGTCGGTCGGAGAGCCGTGTTCGTCACCGTTGGGTGAAGGTGCGCTGTTCGAGAGACGCTCGTAACCGACTTTGGATAGCTTTCTGGGACGCCTGAGTTTGTGTAAGGGAATCTCAGACATAGACTCCCTCCAGAGTCCAGAAAAGAAAACACCCAGAGATCCAGAATGCTGTCAGTGATTGGGAGTGCTACGCCGCAGTAGTACCGTCGCGTCGGAGTGGTGGTCGGAGGAGGTGAGCACGCGTTGTAGTGTTCAACATCAAATCAATACAAAGCGCGCCTACTTACTCAAGTATTACTATGGGCCACTATTCTTGAACTCGACCAGTAGAACTACGTATATTCGTCCTCCACTCTTTGCTATGCAGTGCACGGTCTCCTCGGTAGTGCCAACAACCTGATTCACATCGTTGTCGATGTGTTACCGCATCCCAGCCGTCTGGAAGCCTTCACAGCCGATCACTGAGCAGCGTCCCATCTCACGACCGTGCTGCAGGTAGCTCTCATGGTAAGTAACAAGTTGTATAGCTAGGCTCATGCTTGTTTTACTCTTGACTCATGGATTGATTCAAAGGTACTCAGATGGGAACTTCATCTAATCGAGTTGTTGTTCCCTTACCTCAGCCTTGCCCCGGACATGAGGCCACTGGCAGCACGGCGCCCGCCCCGAGAACTTGGCCGCCATCTGCTGCACCAAGTGCGCGGTGATACTAGTACGCGTATAGACGTGAACGCTGCACCCCGTAGCGAACAGCGCCAATGGACCATGCCGGCTCATATAGGCTCGATACCGCCGCTGCGTCGGCCGCTCAACGGCAACCTCAAAGCTTGCTTCGATTTCTCCATCTTCTTCTCGGGCAAGACGGCATGAACACAAGCAACGCGGGAGTATGCTTGGTTCTAAGCGGGCATGTCGGTGTCAGCGCCGCGCGTTTCCAACGGTTGCGTGCGCAGCTTTCGAGTTGGTCCACCAGTCTCGATCGCGCCCAAGGCTGAGTGGGAGCAAGGCCCTCTCTAAATCATGATCTGGACGGCCTGAGCGTATCTTAGGGCGTGCCTCAAATGCACTTTTCATCTGGGCCCGTTCTTTGCGCTGACCCATACATTCAACCCAGTCACCGAGATGCGGTCTCTCAAATTCTGCGCACCGATCCTGTTATCACTGACCTCGTCTTCTTTCACCCTGGGTTCTTTCTTGACCCTCTACGACGTACAAGGTCCATTGGCGGTCGGGTCTACGACATCGACGAGTGACACGGCCGCCGGAACAGCCGTGTACGATCCTCCTTATGGATCGTACGGCGGATACGCCGCGTACAATCCTATCGTCCTTGCGCCTCCCGCCGTCCCTTCTGGCTTATCGACGCAATACGATCTCGTGTTACCAGGAAGTGCATCCAACGTGCAAGGTCTGAGTATCCCTCAGAGTGGTTCATTCCTTGGGTTCTCTGTCGAGATGTCGGTGGTCACTCAAGTGGGTAAGTGAGGATGCAAATCAGTGTATGAACGCGTCTGACTGATGGCTGCTTGCTAGTTGGGATAAACGCGTGAGTTGCATTCCAATGACGGTTCTCGCTGTTCTCTGATTTGTTGGTCTAGCTCATTTCTCCAGGTCCCTTTTTTGAACCTCATGCAGCTCGTGGCACAGCGCGGTGGGAGTGTCAACGTTCGCGTAGGGGGTAACACACAAGACTACGCTGTCGAAGTCAAGGAGCTTACGGATAATCGCGGCATATGTGTCAAGAAGGATACTGATAACACCCGTAATCCTGTAAGTCTGGCACATAGCAATTTTGAGCAGGAAGAAAGCTGACTATATTTCGAATAGACCGATACACCGACCCTACTATTCACCCCCGAACTGCTGTACATGCTCTCAAATGTATCGGCACTTGTGAACGTCAATTGGTGGCTCGGTATACCATTCAACGACACCGCTGACTGGCGCCTGCAAATTGCCGAGACCGGCGAAACCATCCTCGGCGACAGGCTCCTGGGCTTCCAGATCGGCAACGAACCCGACCTATACGCCTTACACGGGCACCGAGCTGCGAACTACAGCGTATGGGACTACTTTGGCGAGTTCGCCGAGATAATAGACGTCATCGCCAGCGATGACCAGATCCCGAAGCGCAACAACCTCATTGCGCCGAGCGTGAGCGGCACGTGGACCCCCGAAGATGTCTGGAGCACTGGGTTTCTGACGTCCTACAATTCCAGTCTTGGTGCACTGGCTGTCGAGAAGTACGTGAAACCGGACTTCTGATGTTGTTCAAAGCTGACGGGATTGTCCATAGGTACCCCGACGATAATTGCGCGGCCTTATATCCTGGCGGTGCATTCGGCCCCGCGAAGGATCCTCAAGACGTTTTCGCCAACTACCTCAATCATACGTCTGGACAGCTACTCGTCCAACCTTACCTCGCGTCGACAGCGCTCGCACAACAGAATGGGAAGCCGTTCTACATGTTCGAAACCAATACTGCGAGTTGCGGTGGCTTTCCTGGCATCAGTGATAGCTTCGGCGCGGCCCTGTGGGCAGCAGACTACGCTCTGCAGATGGCCTATAGCAATTTCTCAGCCGCAAACCTACACGTCGGTGGTTTGAGCGATTCGTATAATGTACGCTCTCAAGCTCAACATGAGGAGTTAACTCTGATTCTCTGTTTAGCCTTTCATTCGTACGAGACGCCAGTGAATTCATTGAAGAACACGATGACTGACAGATTTGCTTGTAGCGCCGCCGACGAACGAGTCCATGTTCGAGGGCTGGACGATTGGCCCGGTGTTCTATTCAGTACTCGCCACGGCCGAAGCCCTTGGTTCCTCTAATACGTCGCGCGTGATTGACCTCAATGCCAACAATGGTAGCATATACACGCCTGCGTACGCGATCTACGAGCAATCTGCCCTTGCAAGACTGGCGCTCTTCAATTACATCTCAGATAGCAGCGGTGCGAGCACTGTTACCGTGACCATATCGGTCGGTGGCGGTCAGACAGGCGAACAGCTGGGTACCCCGCAGACCGTGAAGGTCAAGTATCTTGCCGCGGAGAGTGTCGCTGTGAAGGAGAATATCACTTGGGCAGGCCAGGTGCGGACTTCTTTCGTTGTCTCGATTATGTATTGCTGATGGCTCAGACAGACCCTCGGTAATCGTTTTCAAGTCGACGGACGTCTCAAAGGCAGCGAGGAGGTCCAGACCGTCCAGTGCAATACCTCATCCGGCACTTGTCAAGTAAGCGTTCCCGCTCCCGGCATGGCGCTGGTCTTCCTCTCCGATAGCGCATACCAGGAGGTTGAGCCCTGCAGCACGATTACATTCACGACTACGTCCGTGACGAACCCGCTGGTGACTGTGACAGTCGATCCAAGTATACTCTCCATGTCGAACGGGAACAGAAGTGTCGTGCTTGGAGGCACGGACCATGGCAACCAGGCGGTGCGGGGAGTTGGCGCGTCTGTGTGGCTGTTCCTATCACTGGCAGTCGCGGCGGGCATCAGGTTGCTGGAGGGGATGTTGTGAGCAGCCAGAATGCCAATCGGGCTTGTTTGTCGTTGATAATGATATCGACCATTGTTGACGATCACATACAGCACCAGTGAACATTCTACATGGTGACGACTCGGAGACCTCAAGCGAATTGAGCTTTTATGATGTGATGTTACGTGTGTTCCACGAAGCTAAACCGAGCGAGTCTTCACATGTACATCCTTGTGAGTCTCGGCTCTGAAAAAAAATACAATCCGGATTGACAAGGACATGCCGTCGAAAACGTTCAGCAAGATCGCCTACTCGCTATCACGAAGGCATGCTAGTCTCTTCATACAGTTGCGGACAGAGCACGTCCTGCTACAATGACACCTACACCGGATCCAGCAAGTTGACTCCCTAACTAGTTGTCAGCATCGCAACCTCGGAAAGCGAGAGACCGTCCACCACTACTGCTAAAATGTCCGGGACTCCACCGGAACGCGCGCGCGCCTGACACGCGAACGGGAGACACTAGACCAAGGGGGTGGACGATGCGCAACGGGTTTCAAGGAGGAGATGGGCGGGCCACATCACATTACACAACAGATTACGGTACCTTATTCCTGGAGCTACGGCGGACGGACATGCGCTGGACGGTGAAGGGAGAGCCGGAGGAAAAGGGAGGAAGGATAGCAGGCCATCTTTTATGTCTACATAGGGCTCGGCACTCAGTGACAATAAAGGGACAACAAACAACCAATACAATACAGTCGAGGTGATGCGGAATACATAAGTACTGTGACGGGTAATGGAAGTTTCCTATACCGCGGTGCTCGTGAGTGATGCCGCCAGACGACCTGAAGCTCTGCCGTCATCCGCTAGGCGGTACACAGGAAGGGTGGTGTTGGGAGTAAGGCGATGCGACGACGGTCGCATAGCACGGGTCTCTTCTTCGGCGGATCCCTTGCCCTCGTTGGGACTGCCGGCTTGCGTTTCGAAGCTGGTCAGCTGGTGGGATGTGATCTCTTCCTCAAAGGCGCGTCTGACAGTCTCCCGAGAGTTCAAACTATCAGAATGTCAGCTGATGTTAGGACAACATGCGGAAACCATACGTCGACAAGAAGGAACACGGGTAGACTGTGCTCTCGAAATGTCAGAAACGTCGGTTTTGCTCGAAAGAAATGCTTACTTCGAATCAGTATCCAATAGAATACAGCATATATCAAGCCTTGGTTCAGCGTCACCCACTGTATGGAGCGGCGGACTCGTCAAAATCGGAATGCCTAGTCACAGGTACTCCGGGGGGCAGAAGACCTACTATGATCAGACATACGACACTGAAAATCCTGTAGCGCACTACTTAGACCATTGCTTGGACGAAGAGTGTTGAATGCTTACATGGCGAGTACACCTGATAAACCATCCGATGAGTGCGTAGTCCAATGAATCTCATGTAGGAACGTACAAGTACTAAGCGCGTAGGTCATGAGGAGCGTGACCGCCTTGTTTGTCCTTGACACTACGTGAGCCTGTGTCACACGCTGGCTGCTCTTATCCCATACCGATGAAATGCCGTCCGTCCCTCTTGCAGATAGTACACAGTAGTGCCCGCAATCAGCAGATCACACACAATGTTGGCTGTCAATGCTGTGCTCGTATATGCCTAGGAGTAGTGGTGTTAGATTGAATGCGCATGAGGATGTAATAGCATAACGAATCGTACGTCGCCATGGTGTTCTTGGCCAGATGCAGAGTAGTAATGATCTTTGAATCTATATGCCGATAAACATTAAAAATAGAAACAATGCCACAAGAATGCACTTACGCGACAACGGTATATGCTGTGAGAGCCAGTGATTCTCAATTGTAAGCCTACTGTTCTATGATCTGCATATAAAATGTAATGACCTATGGAACAGCCTGGGCGGCGATCAGTCACAATGACCTTATCGCGCTGAGCAGAATACAACATACCTAGTTCGACCACTCCAAGGAAACACTAGATGATCCGGGCTCATTCAGTATCCAAGTACTGCTATGACAGGGGAAAATCCACGTACGACGAGTCCGGGTATGAGCAGCTTTCGCTTGCCCACTATGTCAGGATTAGCCATTTTGATAATGCGACAGATCTGATCGCACTTACAAAAATAGAGTCTCGTCGCAAAAAATCTAACAGCTCCGCATCAGGGAAAGTGCCAGTGATACTGCCCATGGTGTTCTGTCACTCACAGTTGAACCAACAAGCCGACAAGTCCCTGCACAGACTCGACTCTGGTCAGCAGAAAGCATTTTCGGGATTCTCGGTTTCGGCGCACCCCAATAGAGATCTGAACCTGATTGCCTATCTTAAGCATGGCCCGGCCATTGATATGACTGGCGGTACGCACCACGATAGTCCTGTACCGATTGGTTAGGTAAGGATTCACGTCTGCTATTCTGGTTTTGACTTACCATGTTACCTGTTCAAGGGCCAAGTAGTCCCCGTAGTTTGTAACCGTATAATGGTAGTATGCCGACGATATCAGCGCCAGGTGTAGGCTATCTAGCGCACTGGCAGTAGCATTAGCCCCTCGAAGCTTGGCCGATGGAAGGCAACTCACACGACGAGGGAAACCTGTTCGGAAAGAATGAAACTACTATGTGAATCATACGACAGAAGCCAGCCAAATGATAGACTCACGAAGAGCTTCAGCCGGAGGCTGTCATTCTTGCAGTATTGCGTATAGTATAGGTATACTTGCAGGCATGATACACCGTAGAGACTGAATATCTCATGAGTGGCGTCAGTATACTACTGGGTACGAATGTCGGAGTGGTACATACATAGATGAGAGGACTAAACCTATAAGAATCGCACCCAGAAGATTATCAAGTGGGACGAGTGTGGGCATGGCGTACCGTTGAGGCAGGGCTATGAGGAGCCGTAGGTTTTCCGTATGTCAGGCGCGGTACATATATGCCGCTCAAAGTGATCTGAGTCTATCGGCGCGTGGGCATCTGCAGCATCCGCACAGCAAGAGCGGCATGCAAACCACACTGGTACGTCTGGGCAGAGCCCCTGTATCAGATGACGAACGCCACGGCACAGTTATGATCACTGTATTTTTTCATGCAACAACGGTACAATCCCCGGAGATAGGGACGTCGACCCTCACAGCCTATAACGCCCTCAGACGGACACATAAGTGCCGTTGGATACCTACGAAGACTTAGTTCGCCAAGGACAGGCACGACTCTTCGTCGTCGGCATACTGCTCAGGCCGACTCTTACCTTCGGCGACAAAAGAAGTCCGACAGGGATCTGTGCGCGCTGCTATATGCTTGCAAGGCGACTATCTGGACTCGAATCGAGGCTGTTAGTGTTCGGGCAGCACGGCGTGCTGACGGCGTGGATAAGCTGTGTGTGCGCCCCCGCAAGAACATTCTGCGAGATAACAAAAAAGGCTACGACGCCGAGGAGAGCGGTCGTACGCGTCTCGGACAATGATATACACCGATGAATCGGTGTGTATGAGTACGTATATTGAGCGATGTAGGACTCTGACGCACCGTTACACGCAGGTTAACACGACCTCAACGTTGCGTGGACCAAATTGCTGAGAATCGATATCACCGGAGACATGAGGAAGACATGAGCATGTCTGGTACAACTATGTAGGACGGGCTTTGCGGCGGGCTAAAATGCTTGAAATCTCGATACAAACTTTCCTTTTATGGGACAATTCTCGCCGCAAAGCCAATCCTATCTCTACGGTTTGGGATGGGATTTTCGCCCGATTTGCTACCATCACAGAAATGGTCACGTCTCCGATGTTGGCTGCTACAGCTTTTTCGACTTTCAGCGAACAAAATTGACCTGAGCTTACCACGAATACAAGTATCACAACGGAGGTGACAGCCTGATCTCAATTTGAGGCCATGGGCTTCAGGCTTCAGCTGATTGAATGGCCTCAAAAGCGACCATAGGCTATAGCCACAAGGATTCCACGAGGGATCCTGCACGGTTGATCAAAAATCACAGCGTCATGCAGCAGCGATGGCTTGACGAAAGCTCACCGTGACCTTGGTACGCTGGCTGCTAATAGCATAGTACTTGGTCAGTACAGCACCGAGCAAATATGTAGGTTACGAACTAATCTGTTGAGTGTATTTGTGCATCATTCATGCTCTAAGATTCAGGATTCCACTCAACTTCTATCTTCCACAAGCGAGCTGGCAGTCGAACCACGGCTCCGAGTTGGCCCAGACAGCACGGCGAGCTTCACGACATCGCCGGAGCTCGAGAATATTTGTCATGCAACTGTGATGTCGGGGCATCAGTCGCTCTGCAGTCGGTTAGGCATGAAGCTATGTAGTGCCAGTGGTGCGTTTGTCGACGTAAGACTTCAATCTGAGCAAGCCGAACTCTGCCGAACTTGCGGAGATGATTAGATCTGAACACGATCTAGATCACCGCATCGCGTAAACTTTGAGGCAGCCACCCCAAAGCCAACCGTCCGGAAATAGCAATCCACTGTCGCTCAACGTTCGACTGTTGCTCTTGCGTCTCGACGATTTTGTGCGATTCGACTGGTCACTCAAGCACTTGAGGACAACTCAAATGAGATTGTCTCATCTCCAGAGACACATTCTCATAAATCCAGATTCCAGGCAAGTGTCCCGCACAGTTAGTATCTTACAAACGTGTAGCTTCCATTACAGCATCGCGGACGCCTGGGTTCCGACCATCTAACGCAACAACAGGGGGCGACGAGCGTGTGTCTGTATCATATACAGACGGCCTCAGTAACATGCTCGACAGAGCAAGCCTGAACTGAAGAGGCAGAGTCAAGTGCGGGCTGGCTCAGGTAGCGACGATCGCCCGCGAGGGGCAAGGTACAGTAAGGAACGTCCATGCTACCGTAGCCTAATGGTACTGTAATGACAGATCAGATACCGACGGCAGGAGCGTCGGGGCAAATCAGACTGAGCGACGCGCTGACGCAGTAGTAGGGTGCGGCGCGGAAGGGCGGAACGAACGAACGGAAATAGAACATGATCGAGACCGGAACGGCGGACGGAGCACGGATTGTCGTGCTCCAACACTGCGGCTAAACGGAAAGACCTCCTCCTCCTCAAGGTCAACAAAGTCAAGGATATCTATAAATTGATCCTTGTGGCAATTTATTGGCGACAGAAGGCCACGAACTGAAGTCATTGTCACGGCTAGGCAAAGAACCAGTACTCTCAATTGACATGGTGTCTCCCCGGGGTATTACCTTCCATAAAAGCGGGTGAAGCTTGCCTATGCCTCCGTGAGTATGTTCAGGTTATGGACATGACCAGTTTTTTGTATGACTGCCGCTGCTCTGCATAGCGCAGTCTTGGTCAACGAGCATGACACTCGCCAGCCGTAACAGAAGCCGCCAGGGAACCGCCGTGGAGACGCGTCAGTGCCGGCGTGATTTTGCGGCGCCGGGTTTCAACGCGTCTGTTCGTGGTTTCGAAAGGAATAAACGGACTGCTGACGGAACAACCAGATCCAGGAAGTGTATGATCGTTGTTGAAGAGTTCGATTCGATTTCGCTGCTCTTGCTTCAACTGGCTCAGTTTCCGCTGCATCTCTCTCCACGAGCTCGAGCATGTCGATCACTAGTACGTCACGGTTGAATCGTCTCGGAGAAGCCCAGAGTCAATTGGATCGAAGGGAATTGCATGTCGGACGACGTGTCAACCTTATACTTGCCTTGAAGACGCGCCAGCTGCGGCATGCTAAAGGGGGTAGTAAGATGCGATTTCGTGCCGTGTATCAGACGTATGCTCACTGGTTCATATACTCGGACCCGGTGGGTGTATCTGCTATAAGAACCCGGTGCGTGTGCAAAACAGCAACCCAGACACGTCACTCACTTCACAGCCCATCCTCGCAATTTATTATAATACGATGCCCTCTTTTGCGGTGATCGGTGCCTCTCGTGGCGTCGGCCTCGAGCTCGTCCGTCAGTTGGTGCGTTCATCCTTGCCACTCCTTTGTTCGCGATTGCGCTGAACGCACGTTGTCGGGCAGTCTGCGAGCGCAGCAAACACCGTCATTGTGACCGTTCGAAACAAAGAGAAGTCTACACACCTCAATGAACTGGTGCAAGCATCCAAGAGCAAGAATATACACATCGTCGAGGCGAACGTTGCGGACCATCACGCTTTGGAGGTATGTAATTCCCTCCCTCACGTCCACTACCCTCCGCATTAACCGTTCCGACGACCACAAATTAGCGGGCTGCTGCGGAAGCCGCTCAGATCACCGGCGGTTCGCTCGACGTTCTTGTTCATAACGCCGCGCGAATGGAGGCAGAGAACATGATCAAGGGATTCTTGGACTAGTGCGTCGTTTCTCCCTTACTCCTTACAGTCGGCTCAAAAGGCCTATGTAGCGACACACCGGAGAAACTTGACGCGGAATTCCTTGCCTCTGTATGTATCACCACCTCTAATTCACGGTTCGCAGACGCTGAAAAAATCACACCAAACCAGTTCAAAGTCAACGTCCTCGGTGTGGTCCATACGGTCAACGCTTTCCTGCCCCTTCTGCGCAGGGGAACAACAAAGAAAATCATCATCATAGGCAGCGAAGGCGGGGATTGCGGACTCGTATGGAAGATGCGTCTTTCTAACGCCGCAGCGTACGGGACGACAAAGGCAGCCGAGAACATGGTTGCGACCAAGTACGCCGCCGAGCTGGAGAGCGAGGGCTTCACTGTCGTTTCCGTCAGTCCTGGGATGGTTGACGTGTCCGGGACAGCCACCTCGTCCGGTGAGAAGTTATTCCTGGTTGTGTCATTGATAAGACCGATATTCATCAAGTCCGTCGTACAGTCGTGTCCCCAGAGACCATGCCGACGGTCACGAAGATTATGAACGGCATTTTCGCGGCATTCCCGAAGGCTGCTATGATCACGCCGGAGGAGTCGGGCCGTCGTCTGGTCAGCTTCTTTGACTCTGTTGGACCTGCGGAGAGTGGCGTGTTTCGCCCCTCGATGGAGTACCTAGACTAGTGATTAGCCTGACTATTCTTGCTGCGTGTAACGATATGCTACATCGTGAAATTTACGGTGCCGCTGAGGTGCACTCGAATGAGTAGTACATTACATATCAACCCACAGAAAATCGAAAGTCTGCATCGCAGTCTTCCGCCTGGAGCCGAGCTGATGCGCATCGCCTCGATTGTAGTCCAGCGAGGGGGTGGTCACCCAGCTGCCTAAGCTCGAGCCAAGCTTGAGGACAGAGTAGGCCCGGGCCTCGGAGCCAGTCGAGGGGGGGGGGGGGGTTAGCGGTAGTGATGAGGGCAGTTTGGAGGGTTGTAGTAGACCTTAGACGGAGCCTCGGTCACCACGAACGTCGAACGGGGCCGCAGGGAATAGAAGTGTATAGTGCTAGTGAGACGTCGGAAGGTCGCTGAACGATTCAACGAAGAACAAAGTGAATTCAAAGTAGCATAAGTGGAGTCAGATCACGTGGGAGACTCTTGTGGGCGCTGTGGCTGCGGGCGTCGTCGTCGTCGTCCACAGCCACGACGTTCACGGCGTCCACGACGTCTGCGACCACCACCACGCCGCCAACACAAGCCACGTACTTGCTCCATGGCCGACCCCAACTTTCTAGCTGGTTCGAAGTCTGAGCCCTCTGTGAGCTCCGTCACGGTCGCATCTGTGCCGGGAGCAAACGCCTCTCAACCCGCTCAAGTCATACAGGAAACCGAGGTAAGTCTACCGATTGAGTAGCATGGAATATGCTTGACGCGGGCCGTCACTCCAGGTCAATATCTTCGTCGCTGCCCAGCGCGGAGATGTCCCCACCATTCGCGATCTCATAGAGTCGGGCAAGGCGAAAGCGACCGATCGGGACGAGCAGAACATCACCCCTCTGCACTGGGCCGCAATTAACGCCCAGGTCGCTGCTTGCCGCTACCTCCTCGAGCAGGGAGCCGAGGTCGACGCCCTCGGCGGCGACCTCATCGCGACGCCAATGCAGTGGGCCGCGCGCAACGGCTACCTCTACGTTATACAGCTGCTCATCGCGCACAATGCCGACCCCACCATCTCCGACGCTCAGGGATACAACGCCTTGCACCTCGTTACACATTCGTCGTCGGTCATGCCGCTGCTGTACCTACTCCACCAACCGATCAACGTCGACTCGCGCGATTCGCAGGGACATACGTCGCTCATGTGGGCGGCGTACCAGGGCGACGCTCTCTCGGTCGACTTGCTACTCAAGCATGGTGCGAACCCGAACACGCATGACGACGCGGGACTGACGCCGTTGCACTGGGCCGTCGTGCGGGGGAACCGAGTGTGCATCCGCCGACTGATTGAGTCCGGCGCAGACATCAGTGCGAAGGACGGTGAGGGCAGGACGGCACGGGACATGGCCGTCGAGCTGAAGAGTCTGGGGGCCTGGAAGCGTGCATTGGAGGAAGGTGGCATGAACGAAGATGGCACGAAGAAGCGGAAGCCTCTCAGCGACGTAAGTCTGTCCTTCAATTCCTACTGATCATCATTGATCAACGATGCTTAACAGCGCAACACGAAAATCGCAATATTCACGCTACCAACGATCTCCTTCTTCTTGATGTTTACGACACTGACGATCCTCCCGTGGTACACTGGCATAATCCTCTCGATGGCTCTGTTCTTCGGCATGCATCACGTGCGATATGCAAATAACTTAAAACGGGCGCAGAAAGCTGACTTTCTTCTTAGGTCGTCACGCGTGTTCTGCTAGACAAGTCCAACTACACCGATAGCGTAGCGCAGAGCCCCTATTTCGCGGGTATCATCTTCGCGTCAATAGTTTGGGTCGCGTACAGCTGGCTCACGCGTCTTGTGAACCGTAAGTCACCTCATTCGTGGATAAACTGATCGAAGTGCATATCAGCATTGACGGCTCGGACATGATTCGCTATTGGCTCAGTCGCCATTCATGCTACCGCGACTTAACTGTTGTCATGTCTCAACGGCTTACACGAGTCCCGCTGACACTCCTCTTCAGAAACACAATCCCATGCGTTCTCCCACCTGCTCTTCGCCATCAGCCTCATCCTGTGCGCGTACAACTTCTTCCGTGCGATCAGCTTGGATTCCGGAACCTGTCCCAAGCCTGCGAGCGATGCAGAGCTCAAGTCGGTCCGTCGTTGACTTCGTCGTCTGTCGGCTATGTGTCTCATGTGACATCAGATCATCGAGGACCTAGCATCCGAAGGCCGGCTCAATGGTCAAACGTTCTGTATTCAGTGCATGGTAAGCAGATACTTATTGCTTATCCACTCGGATAGTGTTGAATCCGCGCCTCAGGCGCGCAAACCGTTGCGGTCGAAGCATTGCCGGACGTGTGATCGGTGTGTTGCACGACAGGACCAGTACGTCGGCCCATCTCACTGCTGCCATACGTAATGCTGATTTTTGCAGCCACTGCCCATGGGTTTGGAATTGCGGTCAGTCACTGAATTTGCGTTCCGTCGACAAATATTCACTCTCGACGTGTAGTTGGCGTGAACAACCACCGGCAATTCCTCCTCTTTGTAACAACCCTAGTGATCGGCATCATCCTGTTCGACTACCTCACGTATGCCTGTGAGTGCCCACTTCTCATCCTCTTTGCGTACCTCACTCAAGATTACTGCATCGCAGACTTCTCATCCATCGATATTCCCACCGATCCCGCACACATATCTCCCATATGTATCCTCCCTAGCTACCTCTGCGCACTCACCGCGTACGACACCTTCCTCTTCTCTGTCGCTTGCTGGTCGACGCTTCAGCTGTCATGGACGATTGTCCTACTCGCCAGCCAATACTGGCAAGTCGCGCGCCAGCTGACAACGTTCGAGGTGTCAAATCTTGGGCGGTATGGATTCATGGGTGGACGCGGTGGCGCGAGCCTCAGCACACAGATGGGGCACCAGCACCAACATCGCCAGGGCATGTCCGATGGCGACGGCGCGGCCACACCGACAAGTGCACACCACCACAAGCACAGCCACAGCGTCTGCGGGGGTTGCGGGAGCGGCTTCCTCATGAACCTCCTCGGGTTCGACAGGTTCACGAAGGGCAAGGCTGCCGACGGACTCGCGCGCGCGGGCAAGGCACCGAACCCGTTCGACCTCGGCGTGCTCGGGAACTGCAAAGACTTCTGGACGAAGGGCCGTGAGCTGGGAGTGGAGTATGAGCAGCTGTATGACGTGCCGCCGGAGGGATTCGGGGAGGCAAAGAAGAGGAGACAGCATGAGGAAGGCGAAGAGTTGCATGGGGAGGGGAGGAAGGGGCTGAGGAAGAGCTTGTTGATGGGCTTTGGGCTGAGTCGCGGCGGGAGCAGCCGCGCAGGGTATGAGCCGCTAAACCAGGTGTAGGTGCGTGCGTGCTGCTTGAGCTGCTATGTGGAGGGAGGTGAAGCGTGTATCGTGTATAGTATGTCTTATCGCACGGACTAATCTTAGGATTATGTACTCTGGATGTGTTTCGCTTTTTGGCTGCGGTCTGGGTTCACATAAGTCGACACGAACGGAGCGGAAGTAAGGTGCCCGATGTCTCATTCTCTGGTGAGTCGTGACATGGCTGAACAAAACGATGCCCTCTACTCATGACTTTCTCCACACTGCTCCAGACACGAGTGAGGACTCCGCCGATGTTCAGGAGCTACTACAATTGCTTTGTCATATCATGGACTGCGCGCGACGCATTGACCAGCTGAAGAGCGATGGCGAAGCTGTACTTTCGCGTACATGCTGCCGCACATTCAGGCTGCCCAAGCGCGGGTTTCAGCGATGGCGGCATGAGGAGAAGACGTTGACACGCACGCTGCCAGCACGGAATTGCAGTATACTGACGATTCTCACATCAGATGCTGCACGGCATAATTGAGCCCAAACACGTACTTGTGCTCTGTGGAAGCCACACAATGTTGGTGAGGTATGTGCGGTGTTCGTCGTCGAGGAGATTCTGCGAAGCCGTCGTTGAGACAGGATTTAGTACGCCCACGGTCTAACCACTCACGATGGTGATCTCCACTACCTGCAAAACGCTGTATGGCCATGACGGGATTCAGAGCTCATGGCCTTGATGGCGCTTTTAACTGGTCGCTCACAGCAGTATCGCGCCCCGACTGGCGCTGTAGGCAAACAGGCGCGATACGATTGTCCCCAGGTTAGAGTCGTACCTCCTCAGCAGCCCTCTTGTCTCGACGGCAGAGTAGAAATCGTGCAGGATCCAGGTGAGGGCTATGGTGATATAGAGATCTGTCGCGATGTTCGTGGCCAGCTGGACAATGCCCATCCTCTGCGCAGCAGTCTTTCAGTCGATGAGATTGGCGTGAATTTGGTACCGGAGCGCACCGCTGAGATGCCTGTGAGTGCGTCCTCCGCTGCGTCGTGCAAGTTCCTGTGAAGTACAATCTTGTGTCTATGTGTTATGATCAAGGCGGATGGAAACATACAACTCAGTGATCCAAGCTGTTGTGCGTTGCATGGCAGCGAGCCTGTGTTAAGTTGAACCTGGGCCGACAGACGATGACGGTACTGACCGATACCGGTGGCTGGGGCACCAGTCGAAATTAGCGGAGGCGAGTGATGCAAGTCGTGAAGCATACCAAATCCAAGCAGCGCTAGGAGGAGCTGAAGGCGTGTGTCAATGAGGGAGTAGATATGCCGAAAGGTGGAACCTACCCCCGGTAATACGACGGCAATACGATATGTCTTGCGTCTCCGTGTCCACACTGAACGAAGTCTTCAGCATGATCGTGCATATGCGAAAACACGCGCACCTGAGTAGATTGATCGCAGATAGAAACTGCAGAAGTGCGAGATGCATTCAAGTTCATTCCCAGTGAAGCTGGTGTCGTGTTCGGAAGATCCAGATGCTTACCACTGAGACACAAGGACCGTCACGATCTGTTTGCTAAGTGAGCCGCTTGCATGATGTCTGTACTATGGCCCCGGCTGGGTACTCACACCGAGTATAGTCAGAGCCTGAACAGAGAAAATTTGGTCGCTGTCTGAGACTGGAGATCACTGGACTTACCGTGTATGCGCTACCATTTCATTGTACAGTGAGCTGAAAGGCAGCGGTCAAACAGTATGCAAAACTGACCCTGTGAGCGCAGCGATGTCGTACGGTGCTTGATGATTGGATACGGTGTAATAATATAAGATCTATCACACGAAGCATGAGATTGAGTGTCCACGTAGATATCGCCCCTTACATTGGCAGCTGCTGCCACCTTAGCCGTATCGACCGAACTGCCAGGAAGCTCATCAGCATATGGTCTGGCAAGGAGCAAATCATTGACGCACAGTAATATCCCGACCTAAGCATATCAGTAGGCGGCGGCTCTACGATGACAACGGATGATAGGACTTACGAGTACTTTGAGTTGCGGATGGTCTTTCCCGTAGTGGGAGTAGTAGTACACCGTTTGACCAAGGGTGCAACCATATAGACTACGGGGCGTGATGCATTGACGGTGCAGTATCATCAAGGGATGACTATGACGTTGCTTACAAGAAGAGGAATAGCCCTCCGATGAACGTCGTTTCTAGATCACTTCCAAGACCAACTTGCGGCGTGGGTTCGACCATCGTTCGCTCATCACGACAGCGGCGTACCGGCGTTCTTATAGACGATCAAGAGCGGCGATACATGAGCTTCGAGCCATTCATGCCACACATTCATTCGCCACTGGGCTTCCCAGACACCGAACTGGAGGCTGACAGCGAGGAGACTCAACAAGGTGCAGCTCAGGCGCCGCTACTACCGCGTACCGTAAGTCCCCTAGGGTGGCAGCTGCTCAGTATACGCCGGTATCTAGTGCTGATAGATCAGTTTAGAATTGACTCACTAAACCTAATGAGCAACAGAGTCTCAATTGACTCGAGCGACAGGAGTTCTGGAGGTGCGACAGCACCCGCCGGCGACGTCTTCCCTGACTCTTTCCTATCTTCCCTGCTAATAGTCTGAGTCAGCCGCTATCGGTTGTCAGCCACATTGGCATGGAATGAGAGCCAAGCACTGCATATAAACTGAAACCACACTCGGAGTCACTGAGAGTGGTTGCATCGACGCTAGCTCGAGACGGCCCGTACTCAGTTACGTGCCGGTGCTGGTTCCGCGGCACGGCTGAGCCGCTTACACGCTAGCTTTGGTGCGTCAAGTTCAACAGCCTGCGCGCGACGGCGAGCCTGCCACCAGCTGTCGTGGTTCATTCGATCGTCTAGCCAGGTGACTTCCCCCACACGCATTCTCCTCAAAGTGCGCGCTATTGACCCATTTACAATACGTGAACAAGCTCTTAATATCCACACAGCTAGGCTGCAATCCCGTCCACACATCTATCTAACATACAACACAATACGTCCTACGGAAGTGCTTCAAGCGGAGCCGAGTACAGACTATCTTCCGCGGTCAAGGATACACAGGATTCCCGTCCACTTCAGGAAGCCTACGGCCAGCGCCACGCATACGTCCTCCCGAGCATCCAAGCACCGAGCACCATCGCCGCGAGCATGACCAAACTCGGTGCTACGCCCGTCGTCCCTCGGCTAGTCTGGCTCTTCCCGCGGCTCGTGCTGCCCACATGCGAGCCGCCGCCTTGCGACCCATTGCTCGTCGCCACCACGCTTGGGTCCACCTTCGTCGACGTCGCGCCCGTCGCAGTGGTCGCGAAGGTATGCGTCGGGTAGGAAGCGGAAGACGAGGATTCGAAGGAGACGAGGGCGAGCCCTGGTGCAGGCACGGTGATGCTGCATGTGTTGGCGGACGTGTCGCAGGCCACGGTCTGGATGGTCTGTGCACCCTGGAGGCGGCCATCGGAGGCAAACTGGCCTCCCAAAGTCTGTCGCGAATACCTCATGGTCAGAAAGCATACGACAACCGTTAGGCCAGGATACGTACCTGCCCAGCCCAAGTGATATTGAAATGTTCGCCGACCGACGGCGACTGAAGGTACCTGGTGTTCTCAGTCATGATCACCCTAGTTAGACCACGGCGAAGAGCGACTCACTTGACCTGCACATTTGCGGGAACACCCTCCTCTACCTGGAGGTTCACCTGCAGATCATTCGCGCCCGAGGGATCCGTCATGAAGTTGATGAACACGGCACGTGCGAGCGTGCCTCCTTCATACACCGCATAGCCAGGGGTATACTCATTCCCGCCATTTGCGCCCAGGTCGATGACTTGGAAGTTACTCGTAGAGGATGAAGATATCGGCCCGAGCGCTTCGGCAATGGCGAGAACAGCATAGAACGTGGACCCGATCGTCCATTGATGATAGCTTGACTGGTTCGTGGGCGGCGCTATTGTTCATTGTTCCATATGATTCACGTTGGCACTGAGCCTCAGGAAGACTCACGTGTGAACGGCTGCACGACATGAATTTGTTTAGCCTTCACCTCCATACGAAGGAAATATGGGTTACTGACGTTATAGTATACGTCCTGCCCTCCCACATGGACCAAAGCGCTGCTGAACCCCGCTGCGGCCATACTCATCGCGTAGTCCGCCAACCACAGCGTTGCTCCAAAGCTGTCACTGACCCCAGGGAACCCACCGCAACTAGCCGAATTCGTCTCGAACATGATGAACGGCTTCCCTGCTGCGCTTGCTACATGAGTAGAGTTGACGTATGGCGCAATGATGGAAAGGGCGGAGGTATGGTTGAGGTAGTCGGGGAAGACGGTCTGCGGGTCTCGCAGTTGGCCGAAGGCGCTACCATAGATAGCGGCGCAGTTGTCGTCTGGGTAGCTGTGGGACGTTGTAAATTAATGAAACTATGTTCGGTGGTGTGACAAAGAAACACGGACTGTTCGACGGCCAAGGCCGAGAGACTGGCCTCATATGTATCAATGAAGCCCGTGTTCCAAACGTCTATGGATTCACTATGGGTGCTTGAGCCAAGGTAATACGGATGTCGTCCTACCTTCGGGTGTCCAATCGCCAGTGGCAACACTAGGCGCGATAAGGTTATTATTGACTTTGACGTTCGAGTCCGCCTGCATGGCCTGTACGACCTGCGCAAACTCGCCGAAATAGTCGTTGGGCCCATAGGTCGATTGGCGAAGGCCATGCCTTCGAGACAGTCATTCGTTGCACTCTTGTGATTCCTATTAACGCTCACCTTGCATAGAGATCCGGTTCGTTGCCGACTTGCAGCCCGAGCAGATTGCCACCGAGAATGCTCTCGCCGTACTCCGCAATGGCGAGGCGCAGGTTGGACGTGTCGTTGAGCGGGAGTCCGAGGTACCACTTCACGTCGATGAGAGACGATATATTAGACAGCAGGTACAGGAGCTCTGGGGTGTACAGCAAACTCGGTGTTTGGGTCTGCAAGCGAAGATGTAAGTCGTGGCATCGAGGCATCAACGATGCTCTGGCGTCATACCGGGTCATTGGCGTTGACAGCTTGTTTCTCCATTATCTTGTTCTGGGGGAGCGACTGAACCAGGGCAGCGTCCTCTTGCGTGTTACCGCCGACCCGGATGTGCACGCTGCCACTACGTTCCGCTACAAGCGTCATCAAGTTCAAAAACGGCACTTGAAGACGTGACCTACAAGGGCATCAGTACACACTCGGACTCTGAGCGTACGCTATACTCACCCATTGAGGCCGACTATGATAGATGGTTGTACAAGCATATGAATGAAATTGGACCACAAGAACCCCGCGCAGCAATCACACTCACGGACTTGGTCGACAACGGACATCTCGATGGAGAAACCAAGGAATGCACCCCCAGGCGAGATAGTCAATGCTGAAACATTCCCTGCGTTGTTTGAGAGCTGAACACCGAACTGCGTGGGTGGTGCTGGATCTGGAATCGGTGGCGCAGTTAGAACCGTCGGATCGTATGCTGCAGCGCCGGTGTAGACTGCATTCGGCGCAACGCTTGTTGGTGTTAGCCCTCCAAGAGGGGCCTGGTAGACTGTGACGGCATGTGCGCCTCCTGTTACGAACGCAACGGCGAGACATAACCAGCGAAGAGGTAACATCTTTGCCTGCAAAGAGCGAGCAGCTGTCACCAGCAGCTACAACGACTGGGCAACGAGTGTTCGCGCGTTAGTATGTAAGTGAGGACTGAGGAGGCGACAGTTTGAACGAAGGGACGGAGGTCGACAGAGCGACGGACCACCGCGACACTTTCAACATGTCACATTTCACGTTCCCGATCGGTGGTGCATCTCGACGTCTGCCCAATCGAGACAGTGGTAAGGCGACTGCGCGTACATTCGCGACGCACGGGGTTCGTATTGCAGCGAACAAACACATTGTATTGTTCGTGTCCACGGTATAATTCCATCGGAAGGGACGGTATCAGGTGTAACCTAGCGAGCCAATGTGATCAGCCTCATTCAGATCGCGAGCAGCGTGCAAGAGCAACATACTGGTGTATCTGGCTGGCATGGCTCACAGGCACATCATGAAATGAGCATGACTATGTTCGCTAGTATGAGATGTGTGATAGATGCTAAGTATGTATGTGAGGGGTACTCGTGTGCGAACATAAATATCAGAGCAGCAATGAGTGTACGCGGAATCGCAGACAGATGACGACATGGCTAGGAGTGCGGGGTGATGTGATGAGCAGAGCAGAGCAACTAAACAAGAAACGCAGAGCTATCGGACATGAGATCTTGTAAGAGATGAGAGAATGTACATTTTCAACCAGAACGTCACCATGCAGCGGAACGTCGCCAGCACGTTCTCACTCGCCGTTACTGCGCGCACCAGCACGCAGTCGCCTAGATACTGGTGCCCAACACAGACCTGGTGTCTGTGTCTCAGAAGATGACGCCCCTACTGGAGGACGTGACGGTCGACATGGTGCGCATGCGCATCGCTGTCGCCTGGAGGCTGGAGTACGACGATGTCCGATACATCATGCCCGTCCCCGTGCGCGGCGACGGCCTGGGTCCTGCGACCAGCGGGCGCGCACGCGGCGACGACGAGCGCAGAAGAGGTGATCCAGGACTTGGGCTACGCGGGGACTCTGTAGGCGTACGAGCGGGCGAGCGAGGGCTATATGGCAGTGGTTTCTGAATGGACAACGACGGAGTCGGCTTGTGTCCCGTGCCCTGCGGCATGCTGCCCGTAGAGCGCGACGTCGAGATGGTGCGCGGACGCGCGAGGGCCGCGCTGGGCTTGCCCTTCCCCAGCGTCTGCTGGAGGCCGAACTCGGAGGGCGGCCGGGACAGACGGGAGGGCGTGGTTGCTTGCGGAAGACGCAGAGGTCGGGGTAGCACACCGGTAGACGTCGTGCTGCCCCCGGACTGAGTGGACGAGCCCGAGCTGGAGTACACAGAGCCGGAAGAGTACACCGACCCGGTGCTTGCACTAGACGTGGTAGACGTCGTGCGGAAACGCAGCGCGGGGGCGGTAGGAACGGCGACAGACGCGGACCTGGCTTTGACCCCGCCGAACGTGCTTGTCGACTCGGTGCGGGTACGGGAGAGCGCGGCCTTGACCTCGGTAGACTTGGGTAGCCGTGGGCGAGGAACAGCCGCGCTGACTGTGCTCGGCGTAGAGGGCATTGACACCGAACTCGTAGTACTAGTAGACGGCACGCTGACAGAAATTGTCTGGGCGCGTGCACGCGACGCTGGGGGGGACTCGGTAGATGAGTTGCTCTCCGCAGTGCTAGAGCGTCCGAGAGATGACAAGGATGTGACCGAGACAGAAGCTGACCGAGCCGGCCCTGACTTGCGCCGAGGAGGACGTACAGGAGCAGGAGATGTTGCATCCTGGGTAAATTCAGAAGATGGGCGAGAGAGCGACGAGCATGGTCGGCGCGCGATTGAAGTGTGGATCAGGCGGCGGGTCAGCGTCGATGGCGCATCTTCGTCTTCGCTATCGCTCCAACCAAGACCCGTAGTAAGACCCATGCCTGCACGCAACAGCTGTCCATCGCGGTGCCGACGCCTGCGCCTCACTGTGTCCCGAGGATCCTTGAAGAGCAGCCCGGATTTGGTCATGACCGACCCCGCTGTGATACATCAACAACAGGTCTTGACGGGGATGTATCAGAAGACTCACCAGTTGACACGACACTCAGAACACTCTTCGATCTATCCAGTGCACTACTCTCCTCGTCCTCCTCAATTGAATATGGGAACGGAGATCCAGGTACTTGCGGAAGCAGCTTGGAGCGAGGGGACAGGAGGCCATCGCGGAACATGAGATGACTGTCAGACGCAGTCAGCCGGCCCAACAGACTGATCCACGGCTGGAGGACTATGTAGACTTACGGAAGAGGTGTGTGGAGGTCTATGCTCGAGTCGGACTCGCTCCCGTCATCGCCCTCCAGCCCCCGCAAGTCGTCGTCCGACTCCGGCTGCTCCGTGACATCCTGGTCCGGCCCAGAGGCCCTCCATCCGAACGGACTGGCCGCAGAATTCGTAGGCGACCTGACTGAGGACGAGGAGATCGCGACTGAGGTTCTGCGGCGTGGGCGCGGGGTGTTGGCCAGGATGGTGTCCAAGTCCGGGCTATCGGGCCTTTTGACTTCGTCGCCCGCACTACTAGTCTGACTTCTAGCTGGTGTCCTCTTGGCCTCGGACATCTTCCGCACCCTCGTCTGCATGGGACGGTCCGGCGACGCTGATGGTTGTGACGGCGGGAAGGGCTTCGGGTTGCTGGCTGTTCTTGCACGGGGCCGTGAACTTCCGAGAACGGCGCCTGAGCTGGGTGAGATTGGCGAAGTTGCCTCCATCGCTTCGAAGCGCAGACAAGTCACAACGAGCAGACGTTGAGACGAAGATGAAGAACAAGACAAGCGAAGAGTGAAAGGCGTTTGCGGCGTGCAGGCACCCACAACCGAATGCGGTACCTCCCTGCAAGTGCCGCGCACCAGCTGCCAGGTCGAGACGATAGAAGGAAAAGCAGAGGTACGTGGATAGAGTTCGTTCACCCCGCGTTCGTTTTAATGAGTCACACACTGTGCCTCATGCCAGTTCTCCTGAGAAGTGAAAGGTGGAGAAAGCGGCAAGACGACCACAGAACAGTGGGCAGAGTTGACACAGGTGGTCCGATGGGCCAGCAGAAGATACGACGCCTAAGCCTTGAGCTTGAGCTTGGACATTTGGACGCTTTCAATGACACAGGCAAGGCACGTCGAGATGAGGGTAACTAAGATCTTTGATGGACTAACAAGGTGTCTCATCATCCGATGATGAACTGATGTCAACGGCTATAGCGTCTACGAGGCGATGGTGTTACAGACACCTTGCAGACACCTTGAGTCGACGACCAACGTCATTCGACGACCTCAGTCGACGATGTACAACGAACAACGGCTACGCAACGCGGCTATTGACAAAAGTGAGTCCTCATTTTGGCTCGGGAGGCACATAGTTGTCTGCTATCACCTGAAGTCCGGCTGGGCTTCAAACTGTTTGACGAGAACAACAGTGGATATATGGCAATCATGATGTTGCTGAGCAATTGCTTCTGCAGTAGGGCCCTATTCTCCTTGAGGTAAGTATGCCGCGCAAGACACTGCATCGACCCATACTCCGAACTGATTTATGTAACGTGCGCCCATCCACATTCAATGCCCGGGTTCGGTCTGTTAGCGGCGATGGTTTCTGGTGCGAAGCTTCCGCCTCAGTCCTGGTACCCCAGGCTCACTATACTACCACGGCCGGTCACCGGACGTGTCCCAGTGGCATCTCGAGGGAACAGCAGTACATGGTACTGCGCGATAAGTATGTCATCTGGTTGCGGTTGCATCCCCGTTGTTCTATCACGATGCGACCATCCCATGCCAGTGCACCCTCCGGTGAGCAGAGCACCCATGGGGCTGAGCTCAAACCTCGATATGTCCCGCATATTACGCATTCCTCTCTTGATGGTCGTTGACGGAACATACTCACACGGTTGTCCGCACGGGAACCAGTGCCCTTGGTGATGAGCAGATGTGTTCGCGCGAATACCCATGGGGTGGCATCCACGACATAGACCTCAATCAGTGTCTAGCGATAGCATCCCTAGAGGCGGATGACCTTGAGCTCGACACTTCAACAGTTGCCGACCCGGTGGTCGCTGTCCGAGCGATGGCTGAAAGCGACGCTGGTCCTACCAACGTATGCGACCAGGTACGAAGTCTGCTACTAAGTATTGTGAACATTCATTTGCGCTCTCCAGATCCTCTAGAGATTAGGCTCCGCTCAACCGCCGCATCATGCTCGACGGACCGCGGCCTCCTGCTATCCGTACGCATCGTCCTTGCGAAGCATACGAGTCTTGACAGGCTACGAGTCCATTACTATGGGGAGAGGGGATACAACGAGTTATTGCCAGGAGAGCCTTTCCGATGGCATTGGCATGTCCGCTGCAATTACGATCGCGTGTCGCCGCATCTACAGCCCGCGCCGCGAAGGTCTTGTCATAAGTACGTATTTTATGCGAACGCGCGCTCGCCGTTGAGGTCGTCCCATGCGTCTCCGGAGCGTGGCCCACAATGGATACCGAGGACTGACGCCCTGTGTTGGACGAACGCCAGTCTGCGCATGCGCACACGCAGATGTTGGCGTCGTCTATGTCGTCGCGGTCGCTGCCCAGTCAGCCGACGCGCTCGCCTAATACCCTTCCAGTATACAGCCGGCCCCAACTCGCTCGTCCACTACTACACAACCCGCCTTGGTCTACTCTTCTCCCGCCTATGCCCCTCAGAAACAGCCGATGTCCTCTTATTCCTCCAGCGCGCAAAATCACAGTCATAGTCAATATTCCTCTGTCTATACATCCACGTCTGCCGCGCCCGCCTACTCTTCTGCGCCGACCCCTCAGCTATCTGGACACTCGCCTGGTGCTCGCAATACGGAAGGGTTTCTGGAACCGACGCGGAGGCCATCTTGTGTACGACCTGAGTCGCTGGTGCATCGTGTACGCGCCACGCAACTTGGCGAGCCCCTCGGAGCTGGCTCAGTACCCCTCGCCGCTGGATGGGTTCATGAACCATCATGGTCAGAAGGTGAAGTACGACCCGAACGTGCCAAAGCTGCCCGAGTCCCTGCTGCTCCATGGGTAACCGCCGAAACAGCCGTATGAAGAGGTGCGTCTCCGTGCTCGCCGGCGTACGTGGGCTCACGCGTCCCTACAGTTTGTGCAATGTCACCATCTGAATCTTCAAGTTTACTATCTTCTCGGGGTCCAAGGACTCAAGGATGTATTGTTCTGCTCACATTATCCCTCGCAAGATCATCGCATTTAGACCCATCTATACATTGCAACAGTGTACAAAAGAGTAGAATGTACAACAACATACCGCGCAACTGGAGCATAGATAAGTTACGACAATAACTGAACAGCGCGGTCACCCTCCATGCGTACACAATTCTCACAAACCTATCCCTCCGTGTATCAAACGCATGTGCTCGTAGACTTCTCCTGAGTTGTCGAATGTGGAAAGGCATGCCCAGCAGATGTGAGTATTGCATCGTGTGCAGGTCATATGATTGCAGCCTGCTTCGCGCTCGATCGCCGTCTTGCACTTCGGACAATCCTTGACGTCGTGGCCTCCCTTCCATTCATCGAAGAGTAGCTGGCTGACCGTCTCGTTATACCGGCAACTTCTCTCTTCATGGTACTCCGCGTGGCATTTCGGACAGATGCGGATGAGGCACGATGGGCATTGCAGCACACTGTTATCTGACCCAACACGGTAGACCTGCTCGCAATCTCGGGTCGGACAATAATGGTACTCCAGTGGACGCGAGTGGACATAGGCGCGGAAAGAAGCGTGCACGACATCTTCGAAGTCTTTCGACGAAAGAATGTCCTGAGCGAGGCCAATCGGTATGAGATGCGAGCAGCGGGCTTCATCCCCAAGGCAGGAGAGTGGGAACGTCTTGCTCTCGACTGACGCGCGGAGGTAGCCCTGTAGACAGGACTTGCACCATGTATGCCCACAGTCAAGCTTGACGGGACTGGTCACCTCGTCGAAGCATACGGGACACTCCACCCCATGTCGCTGCCTCTCTCCGGAATGACGATCACGAGCTCGCTTGACAGCGAGAAGAGCCGCCTCATGAGCCTCATCTTCACCTCGTATCTTGAGCACGCGTGCCCACGGATCGAGGTCAACATTCTCCTGGCCGTACTGACGCCGTAGAGCAGCCAGATCCGAGTGATGGAAGAGACCGATGAGACGGCCTGGGAGAGGAATGACGTGCGTCTTCTGCTTTCGCAGTTGTGCAACCTTTGCTAGGATCTCCGCACGGATAGCGTCACGTTTCTCAGCGGGCCCGAAAAGTGAGAGCACCCGCTTCCGGGGGTCCTTGTTGACCAGAACACCTGCGTAGCGCCGCTCGAGTTCCTCCAGATATTGAGCACCTCCACCTCGACTGAAAAAGCCATCCCACACAACCTCGCCGTTCTGTGTCACCTTATCTCCTCGTAAGAGGTGTTCGAAATGGGCCTTCATCCTCGTCAAAGACCGCATGTCTTGGGACGCAAGCTTAACCAGGACGGGCAACGTAGAGTCCGGCGAGTTCCTCCTGTCCACAATGGAGATGCTACTGCCGCGTTCATAGGACCTCCATACGTAAGAATTGAAGAGGCGAATATCGGTAGCTAGCGCGTCAAAGACGCCGGGAGGCAAGGTGTACTCCAACATGGGAGTGTGTGTGGCATAGAGCGTGCCGTTGCCACAGAATGATTGGACGGTCTTGTGCAGTTGTGCGCGAACGCGTTGAGCCGCGGCATAGGAATCGAAATGCGCGTACGCACGGACCGTGCAGCGTTTGTACGGAGGTGGGAGGATATTGAACGTTATCAGATCACCAGCCTTCTCCAGCTTGTCACTGAGACGGTGAATGGCCGACTGCAGCGAGGTGTAATTGGGCCGTTGGAGCATGCCGTCCTCGAATTTCCCATATCGAGCGAGGTCCTTGAGCTCTACATCGACCGGGAGGCCGCGGAGCTGAACCGTACAGCTACCAACGCGGGGAAGGCCCTCGTGTACCTTGGCGGTCACCCAGTTGCCTCTGAACTCCGTGCCGTTGGCTTTGGCTATGGCTTCTTCTGCCACAGCGCGAGATGGATAGCCAACGTAGGCAACTCTGTAAGGGCAGGGGAACTCCAATAGCACGTCCCCGTCTGTGAGTCTCGCTTTCCCGGGCATTGAATCTCGTCCGGTCAGAAGCCGCGCAGTGACGTTTTTGTCGAATAGATGCGCATCGTCCAACGACGACACGGCCTGGAGTGCTTGGCCAGGAGCGGCGAAGGTCACTCGAGCCATGGCTGTGCCCTTCCTGCACTCGTTCGCCTTGATGGAGACAACGACCGAAATGACAGCTCCAAAAGGCTCTAGGGCGGCAGTAATAGCCGCAGGGGTAATTCTGCGCGGCAGATTGCTCAAGACGATCTGTCGAGGCTCGAAGCCTGTCACCACCGAGCAGACCTCGAAGCCGGGACCGTACGTGACTCTGGTTCCGTTAAGGATCGTCAATGTGATGTTCATCGGCGCTCGGCGAGTCTCAGGGAGCTCCGTGCGTGGCGGATCGGACGACGTAAGAGACGCGACCTGCAGAGGAGCGAGCAATTGTAAGCCGGATGGAATGTGCCATACAAGAACACTCACGTTCTCCAGGCCGAGGCCCGGTGGAACCAGCGGTATTTCCGACTGTACGCCTTGAAGAACCGGCTCAGTCTGTGGTGGCTTCCGCGAACGCACTGTGCTCCCAAGCACATTCACTTGACGAGACGGACCAGCAAGCGGTGCGGCGATCCCACGTTCTGACCGTATCTCTCCCTTGGCAGGGTGTGCTACAGCATAGTCCTGTGTATATCGCTGAGTAAACGGCAAGTGACCCTTATATTGAGACTTGAGACTCACTGCGTTCTCTACCGCTCTACGATCTTGAGGCAGTATCTCTGTCCGTGGGCCAGCGAAACTGGGAGGCGTGCGCGGAGCGGCGAGTGATGACCACGATGTTTGAGAAGATTCCACGGATGTTTGAGAAGATTCCATGGACGCACTTCCATTGGTTTCCTGCGGTCACTACTCAGTATGAGATCTAATGCAACAAGAAGTAGACATACGTATCGTGGACTGGAGGAGTCGGATGGGAGACTCTCGCGGTGCACCGGCAGTCGGCTACGACGAGCGTTGCCATTGTTGTCCATAATCTTACGCTCATTCATCGACGACCACAGGCGTGGGCCAACATTGGATTGCTTGGAACTTTGCTCACCCCCAAAGAACAAATGCAAGAGATTGCGCGAATGCACATCCTGTCGCGTTTCATGGAGCGCGGCTTCGCCCAAATCTGGTGGGTAAGTGACTCTGGACTTGTCCTACAGGTGTGCGTCAGCCTCTCATCCTCGTCCGAGTCGTGAGGAATCGCACACACATTCCTCAACTTCGCGGATTCACCGCTCGTGTTCAAGTGAGACGACCTAGGTAAGCGCATAACAGGTTGAGTCACGTATCCCTCGTCTAGCAGAGAACAAATCGCCTATTGACCTTTCAGACGAGTTGTAGGCATCACCATCAAACTGCTGATGAGTCGTTTCAGTTTGAATGTTATGGAGGAGGTCGTGGGCCGTTGTGCCCTTCCCAGTCTGCCTTCGTGGGGGGCTCACTGGCGGAGTAGGCAAGTTCGCGGATGTACTAGGCACATCTGCCAGGGGTCGTCTCTGAACCTCCTGCCGTGAACGAGAACGCGTGGACGTGCACGTCTTAGGCAGTTCTGGCGGAGGCGGTGATTCGGATATGCGGTTGCACACCTACGACAACTAGTCAGTCCACAGGACAAGTCATTCGGTGAACTAACACACCTTCGCTTCGTGTACATTTGAGGGTCGCGCATACCGTTCTGGCAGTGCATGCGTTCGCTCGCAGTCATCGCCATACTTGCATCTGCCGTGGTAGTAATACACCTGACACACGGTGTTCAAGACCTACAAAGGGAGTACGCTGAGCCTATCATGGACGGAGAAGCTGTATCGACACATACTCGTGCTGGCCTGTGATCCATCTGCTCCTCTAACAACACAAAACGCGGCGGCTCCTTCGGGACAAATGTGTTACCATGCTATAGGAGTTCGCACGTTAAAGAGCTCGCAACGATCGCAGGCAGTGCGCACTTACCTCGCGGTGGCTAGAACCGTTGTCCGCAACCGTCACAGGTACAGTCGCCTCTACCTGCGACGATTGCAACGAAGGCTCCGCCACGGTGGCACCCGATGGCGTAGTGACTGAAGCCGCACCATCCACATCATCCACATCGATGTGGTAGCGGAAACATCTGGCTTGATAGACACAAAGCCCATGCAGGTAATCCTTGCATATTTCTCGCGTTTCCTGCGAAAGCTATGGGTGAGGATCCAGGAGGAAGGGGTGATGCTTTACGTACCCGCGCGGGTCGCCTATCCTCTATGAGCGTATGAATGAAGATACAGTGCTCGCCGTATTCGCATTGTCCTTTCTGGAATTTCCCGCATATTTCATCCGCATGCTGAGGATTCAGGTTAGCAAGGCGAATGTCTGCGATGTGAAAATCCTAACCCTAGCCGGACGACCGTCGATGAGTCTGCTCACTATGGATCTCGACCCTGAAGCCCGCCCGTTTCCCATCCTCTTGTCGATGAGCGGCTTCGAGTGAAGATCCGCTATGCCCAGATTCCGATCTTTCGAAGTGGATTGCACCGCTGGCAGGGGAGTGACGGTGGTCTGCTCTGGCGCTTTCTCCGGTATTGACGTCGTCAGTTCCTCCGGGGAGACTGGATCTGACGAGGGGGCATCATGCGAAGGTTCGGTAGTAGTTGGAGAGCACTGTGATGTAACGCTAGGTTCCGAGGGTCCGGGACGCACATGGAGGAAGCGACACCTCGAGCCATAGAAGCAGCGACGAGCCAGATATAATCGACAAGGTTCGGCGCTTGCCTGTTGAATCCTCTCAATGAATAGATTCAAGCCGAGACGAGGAATTTACCTTCGATGTCGACACAGCTGCTGGGGCTGCGTCCGCCCCTTGCTTAGAGTCTTCAGTCGACGGCTCCGCAAGCTGGGGCAGAGGATCCTCTGACAAAGACCTCGTCTGCTTCTCTGCGACTGGCTTGGTCTGATCTATCTGCGCGGGTTGTGGCGACGTAGTCTTCACGGGGTTGTTCGAATCATTTCCCTTGGCATCCAGAGAATTCCTCTCTACCAGATTCTCGTTTGCTACAGTGGATCTCATCGAAGGGGGAAGGTGCCGGCGTGGGCAAGCGTCACCTTTTGGGCAGCTTCCGCGAGCATCCCACGGCCTACATCGGAAAGGTAGCCGCCTGACTGGCACGGCATCTTGCTGTGGAATTGATCAATTTAATGGCCAATGCAGATACCACGCAGACTAACCGTAGGTGCTTCGTGCTCCTCTGTTATAGGGAGACTTGAAGCAGTTTTTGAGGAAGTATCCATGATAGCGCTCTTCTGTTCACTTGCATGGCCATTGGCGGAACTGAGCGGCCGCGAGCTTGCGCTTCCCGTCGTCGTCGGCGCCAACTTCACTACCGGTACCGTCTGGTCATCGTGTGGCGTCGGATTCTGAGCAGGGTGCTCGTCGTTCGTCCTACGGCCACGCGACGGATCCTTACCCACACGTGCTGGACTCACATTCCCTGGTTTTCCAACCTGCCATGGACATGTGTCACACCATCATACGGGGGCTGTAAGAGTCGGATGCTTGCCTTCGTCGACTTGGATGACATTAAACTCGGCACCTTCTCGCTGGTACTTGCAGAGACAGCCTTGTCTGCAGTACCTTTCTCGAGCTTCGTCGTTTGCTTACCGGGGGTAGCACCCTGCTCGGGCGTCGTACTACTCCCTGCTGTAACTGCGCCGTCCATCGCGGGGACCTAGGAGTACGGTATAGCCCACGTCAGCGCCGCGATTTCCTTGACAAGCACCGCTGTTGGATGTCGGCTCACATTGCGCGGATTCGCATTCCGTTGAGGAATGTCCTGTTTTGCCTTCCTGCCCTTCTTCGTGTCTCCCGAGATAGTTTCGTGTCCGGTCTTCGTCGTACTGGTGGCTTCCGGGCGCTTGCTCCTTGTGGCGCGACTTACGGTTACCGTCGTAGTCTTGGTAGCCATATCCTACTTGCTCAAGTGGTGATCACTGTAGTTGAACGGGACGTGTGTATGCAAAGGGGGAGGTCGGCAGGAATAAGAGAGAATCTCAAGTGGTCGCCGGGGAGTCAGCAGTCGTGTGATACTGATAGGTTTCGGCTAAGTTGAGTATGTATTAAATAGGCTTACTTAAGCTTGAAGCTTATCCCTGTTGCTGCGTTCTTGCCTGCGCGGGGCGCTGTGCGGTGTGCCCGTCTAGTGTCTACGTCCCGGACAGTGTCCCGCCTCTTATCGTCCTCTCCGTGGTGCCCTCTTGTCCTCTTTCAGTCCTCTCCCTGCGCGCAGCCGAGACGAGTCGATAGACACCACCCCTAATCTTTAAATCTCTATTGACATCCGTCGCATATTGCCAGTGCTTACGTTCTCAGTATACGGACAATGCCAAAATCTGGCGAACCGAACGGTTGCAACTCTGGGGACGAGGGGACATCCGAATCATGTCTCCCATGCCCTTACAAATCTGTTCCACCGGCCGGAGAGCAATGACTCCGACGTGTCTCAGGTGATAGGATTATAACTGTACGGACGAGGAGTACAACCTTCAAAATAGCGAGTCATTGATGCATGTTTCAGCTCCTCTCGTCGACAGACTCGACACGGAGCTCCTCGAACAGTGCTGTGTACTTGGCGTCATCAGGAGGAGAATATGAACGTACCGACCTGAATTAAGCGTGGTACAGACATGAGAGCCTGGCTGCGACGAACGGAGTGTCTGACGAGATAAGGTGAGATCGCCGCTGTCACACGCCGGTTAGTATCCCGCGGCGCGATGGCGCGGCACTACATATGCTGCACTCCACGATCGCGTCAATCGTTGCGCCAGAGTACAGTATGACAGAGTATGACATCTCTTTTCCCCTCAAATTCTCCTTGAATTCTCCTGTTCTGACTTGTGCTTCCGCACTATCGGACCGATTTTCCTGAACAATCCAAAATGCTGACTACGTCGGAGACGCAATATGCGGAACGGCTCAACGAGCGACTCGGACATCCACGTATAAGTGTACGTATACATCTGTATACATTCGCGTCTCTCTCCTGATTGTTCACGAACTCATACTGGCATACGCACTCCTCAGGGACCAGGAACAGAATCCGCTAAACTAATATGACAACCTCTAAGACAACGGTCTTCCTCACCGGAGCCACAGGTACGCCGCATATTACTATCTTGGCACCCGGTCAGCGCGGACTAACAGAGTCGGATTGGATAGGCTACATCGGAGGCTCCGTGCTCGCACGACTGCTGAGGCACCCGAGCGCAGAAACTTTCGATATCACTGTGCAAACGCGCTCTCCCGAGAAGGTTAAGCTTTTCGAGAAGTTTGGAGTGAAGGCTGTCGTCGGAACGAACGACGATGTAGATCAGCTTGAGGGGCTTGCGGAACAGGCACATATCGTGTTTTCCTGTGTGGGTACTCAAGTTGATTCGCATCCACAATCCACTCACTGACCAATTAACCTGTGTATGTAGGCCGATGCAGACCATCTATCGGCCATTAATGCTATTCTGCGCGGGCTTCGCAAGAGGCATGCCACAGTTGGCGACCTACCTACCCTCATCCACACTGTATGTACGCATCCCCTGTCCCTATTCACCGGGGCGCTCATAGAATGGATACTCCCGTCAGTCCGGAACTGGTGTGATCAGCACGCCTGCGAAAGGCATGTTCGCGTCTGACACGATCTACTCCGACCTGAACGTCGAGCAAATCAAGTCCATCCCGCCGGAGGCCCTCCACCGCGAGGTCGACCTCGCTGTCGTGGATGCGAACGAGAAGGGATACGCGAACACGTATATCGTGCTCCCATCGACGATCTACGGCTTCGCGACGCACCAGCTCGTTGACGCAGGGATCTCCAACCCAATTTCTATCCAGATCCCGAGTCTGATTCGTCCGTCGCTCGATCGAAAGCAGGCAGGTGTGGTCGGCGCGGGAAAGGCGATCTGGCCAGATGTCCACATTGACGACGGTGAGTACTTGATGCGTTGGCCCCAGGCGTAGTGTTCATGAGCGCCTCTGCGTAGTGGCGGACCTCTACATCGTCCTATTCGACTCTATCACTGCAAACCCAGATGGTGTCGGCCACGGGTGGGAAGGGTTCTACTTCGGCGAGAACGGCGAGCATACGTGGTATGACATCAGCAAGGAGATCGCCCGCACCTCCGTCGAGCTCGGTGTGGGCGGTACTGACGAGCCCACGTCATTCACCGACGAGGAGCTGATCAAGTACTGGGGCTCCGTGGTGCGTACGACCCGACTGTCAGTGAGGCCCGATACTGACTATGCTCTTGCCAGGACTCGGGAAACTACAGCGGGACCAACTCGCGCTGCCGGGCTGACCGCGGGCGGTCGATTGGGTGGGAGCCGAAGTACACGACAAAGGATATGATTACCAGCATCAAGCCGACGATCGAGTTCCTTCTGGAGAAGGCACGGAAGTAGTGGCAACGCCCAGAGATAGGCAACAAAGTCGAAGTATCGTGCAGTTGTATCATAGGCGAGCATGTCATGCTCAATGTTCACCATCCACATTTTGAATGTGGAAGGAACACGCGTACTGGGATACCGATCACAACTTGTCCACTGAATGCAAACTCTGGATTGCAAGCGATGAGGAAATACTGCGATAGCCATCGACACAAGGATCGCCGAACGGATTCATGCCGAAAGTTTAGGGGAACAGAGCTGCATTACGACGACATATCGACTGGAGACACGACACCATACAAGTACATGGATACACGATTGGGGGGAGGCATGATTAACCAACAAAAAAGCATCATTCCAAGCGAAGACACACGTCCACACACGAACCTATGATACACCATCAACTTGCGCGGACACAACACAAACTCGGCGGTAGTTCAGAGAGAACGCGGGGCCCACACGGAGGCTCGAGCTCACTCCATGCGGGCCTTCTTGGGATCGGACTCGCCGTTGTGCTCAGCCGACGCACCCTCCTGAGCCTCCCCCTCCTCCCTCTCGCGCTTGTTGCCGCCGTTCTCTTTGGAGGCATCGGGCGTTTTCGCGCGGTTCTCCCCCGCCGGTCTCGGAGCGGAAATAGACGTGGTGGCAGTATTTGCAACCGCCGCGGCAGCAGCAGCTTGTGCAGCGCCGAGGGACAGGCCCTGCTGGAGGCCGCGCAGGACCTCGAGCTCACTCTGGATGCGCTCGCGCGCGATGCGCTCTTCCTCCCACATCCGGCGCATCTCCTCGAGCTGCGCCTGGAGGTCGCCCATCGCCTGGTCCATGAGCAGCTTCTCGAGCGTCCACTTCTCGATGTTGCGCGCTTCGTTTTCCTTCAGGTGGTGGATATACTGGACGGCGCGTGATAGGATCGCACCCTTCGCCTTCTCGCCCGATCCGTTCGGAACGATGCGGCCGAGTTCGTTGATACCCTCGTTGATGTTGCCCCGTCGCCGGCGCTCAACCTCTTTCTGCGTAAACCCCAAGGTAAGCGTGCTGCATCTCAAGACAAATCGCATCGACGTACGTGGTTATCTTTCCTCTGTCGTGTCCACTCTTCGTTGGTCATGGTGGCGTTCCTACCACCCCTACGCGCAGACGCGGGCTTCCCGGTAGAACCAGACTTGTCAGTCTCATCTTGGTCATCATCTAAGAGCCCGCCGTTGGCTCCGCCAGCTGACAATGGCGCGGGTTCTTGGCTGACACGCATGGTAGGCTGCTGCCCTGGGGGTGGCGCGTTTTGCAACGCGGTATTCGCGAGCTGGCCGAGATTCGGGGGACCGCGAGGGTGTGTCGACGGTCCTGGTTCGCCACCCATGACCTGCTGATGTTGCGAGGGGTGGACGACATGGTATGGCGGAGGGGGCTGGTGTGGATGAGGAAGGTGACCTGGATGTTGTGGATGGCCAGGATAAGCCGCTTGTGCGAGGTTCGACAGGGCCTCAGCAGCTGCCGAGTCTTTCAGATCACCCTGTCAGTGTATTAGTACACCTGAAATCCAGCACCCGCCACTAATACTCAAACATAACAACACAGGCACGTAGTGAATTTCGGTGCGCGTATGTGCCAGGAGAATCGCCGATACCGATGACTTCCTGTGGATAGCCGTAGCGACCGACAAACGGCACTATCGAGTCAAATCCAGCTTCCCCATCCTCTATGTTCACTCCCGCTCATTGCCACACCGCCTCGACGATTCCACACACCGCGCTCCGGGATGATCGGCGCAGCACATCGCGCCAGGTGCGAACGTGACCGACGACAACGATCACGTGTGGCCGACACGGCGCGCATGGGCTTCATATACGCTGCGCCGATCACAACGTCCACCACAACTGCAAGCACTGCGAGCGCAACGAGATACTCACCCTCGGGAAGTTGATGCCCGGGAGCTGCTTCAGCAGCGCCATGACTTGCTCAGAGCCAAGACCGCTCATTGGCATGACAGGCGCCTCGCCCGCGACACCCGCGGGGGGCTGCCCACCAGGAGGGGGAGGATGCTGGCCTGATGGAGCGCCATGAGAAAGGGAGGGGTCGTGGTTGGGCGGCGGCGCGGTAGCCATTGTCGACGATGTGGGGATGGCGAAGGAAGAGGCGGTCTTGTCGGGCGGATGGGGTACTTTGCTGGCGACGAACAGTCTTGAGACTCTTGATGTTGTGTGGGATATCGAGTTCGTCGTGTCGAACGTCGAGCGCGCTGTGGACGGCGTCGGTCGCCGCGGTGCGCGGGGCGGGGAGATCACGGGGGGAAAGGACGAGGTCACGGACGACGGTCACGAGGGAGTATATATATGTTGCACGTGCGAATCACGGAAACAGGGACAAACACTTCTGCCGCGTGTCTGCGCACGGACCACCTTCTCTTCCCACACCTTCACCACTCTTCGGTCTCTCTATTCGGGCTCTTTCCCATCCGCTCGACGCCTCTGCGCGCTTTCTCGCCCTGTCGTAGTTGTTGTCTTCGAACATCTGCAATACACATATTTACCTGACAGACGCATACCGCCCTAGTTGGGAGAGACTCGCCACGGACAATGGCTTGTGGCCAGCAGGCCCAGCACGAGGGGACGGTCCCGACCAAGAACATAGAGGGTAGTATCCGATTGAACTCACCTGTGGTAGAAGTATGCGATACGCGTGGATAGTCGCCGTCCGAAAACATCCGACGCACAGCGCTGAGGGCCGCAGATCAACCTTGCGAGCCCCTCAACAGGTTGGAACTCTGTCGCAGTGACAGCGTACGTACGGCTCGGGTATGGTCGTGTAGACTTGTAGCGGGTAAGGGAAGACCTGCTGAAAAAGTGGTGGACTTCATACCGCCGACGCTACAAACTTTCAGGACGACCCCTCACGACATACATTAGAGCGCATCTGTCTGGTAGGCATACGAGAATGCTTGACTCACATGTTATATTGATGTTTTCACTGCATTACAGGCTAGTGACATCAGGCAATGCGAAACAGCCATGACCACCGTTCAAAACTCAGAAAGAAGGCCCCGCTGACGCAGTAGCCTTGTGTGTAGAGCGGTCGGGGATCATGGCCTCTCGACATGCGGTCGCTCAGAAGATAAGGCTTCCAGTTTCCAGTCCCAGGAAGATCAACTTCTCCAGACCTGCCCGCAGAGATGGTACCGTGGTGGCATCCTGGTGGCATCCTCCGTGGTGCTTACAGAGCGCCCAGCACGGCGATCGCGCAATTGCTTAGCGCCCGCCTCCTGACACATCCCTGCTGCATCTGGCAATTTTTAATTTGCTGGCGTTCCTCTGGTCGATGTACTCCCAGGGATTATTTCTTTGCCTGGGCTTCGTGCGCTTGCACTTCTCCAGTGTCTCGAGCTGGTCTCGAGGGTGGCTTATGAAGCCGTATCCTCACCATAGATGACGCGATCTGACCGCTGACATCGGATTGACCGATCGACGGACCGGATGCTAGGGAACCTCGATTGACTTCCGTATATAAGCGTCGATGCCCTGCAGCGGCATCTCTTCTGACACTGCATCTAACAGTGAATAAAATCGACATGACAAGCAAGACCAACATCCTTCTCTTCGGAGCTACAGGTATGTGCATTGTGCAATATATCACGCCGTACGCGGTGACATAACTTTTGTATACCATAGGCTATATCGGAGGGTCTGTCTTGAACCGCCTCCTCAGCCATCCCAAAGCAGATACCTTTAGTATCACCGCGACTGTGCGCTCTCCCGAGAAGGCGAAGCTCCTGGAGAAGCTGGGAGTCAAAGCCGAGATAGCCTCTCTCAGCGATCTTGACAAGATAGAAGAGCTTTCCTCGCGCGCGCATGTCATTTTCAACGTCGTCAGTATTATACGTACCTCTGCCTGTTGAGAAAAAAGCTGATACGTAGCTCTTCTGTCCAGGCAAACTCAGACGACCTACCGGCCATAAACGCCCTCCTGAAGGGTGTGCGCAAGGCGCACGAGACCACCGGAGAGCTCCCCATTCTCATCCACACTGTTAGTGCAGCGCATATGCGCGCATATAGTCCACTTTACGACTGACGATCACTATTAGTCGGGCACAGGCGAGATCGCAGAGCCGGCGAACGGAGAATACGCTGCGGAGACGGTCTATTCAGACTTGAACGTCGAGCAGTTGAAGGCTATTCCTGAGACGGCCTTCCACCGCAAGATCGACCTCGCCGTCATCGGCGCAGACGAGCAAGGTGGCTTCACTTCGGATATCAGTTATGACCCGGCGCACTGACACAGTTGTGCAGGCTACGCACGCTCGTACATCGTCATACCCGGGATGGTAGACGGCATTGCGTCGGGACCTGTCTTCGAGGCTGGGATCGCGAACCCGATTTCTATCCAGATTCCTGCCCTCATCAAGGAGGCGCTGGACAGGAAGCAGGCGGGCATGATCGGGCCTGGCAAGGCCGTCTGGCCGATTATCCACGTCGACGACAGTCAGTGATCCTTCCAAGCTCGTCTGCACCATGACAGCAGCTGACACACCACGATCCTCACACAGCCGCCGACATATTCATCGCGCTCTTCGACGCCATCAGCGCAGACCCGCAGAGTGCCGGGCACGGATGGGAGGGCTACTACTTCGGCGTGAGCGAACACGTCTCGTTCTACGAGATCGGGCAGGCCATCGGACAAGCGCTCGTGGATCTCGGGCTCGCAAAAGACGCGGAACCGACGACGTTCACTGACGAAGAGCTCGTGAAACACTGGGGTTCCGTGGTACGTCTCAGAATCTCCGCTGCGCAGTGCTTTCGACCGACCGACCGGCTGACTCGAACGTGTGCTAGCTTGCGGGCAAATATGGAGGCACGACCTGCCGCTGCCGCGCGGATCGTGCGCTTGCGATTGGGTGGAAGCCGAAGTATGGTGCTAAGGACTTGTTGGCGGGCATCAAGCCTGAGGTGGAGTATGAGTTCAAGCGCGCACAGGAGAATGGCGGGGTCGACTTTACGAAGCAGAAGAGACACGGAGCACTGTTGAAGAACGCGTTAGAATCGAACTGAGCCCGTGGGCAGCTGTTTCAAGGCTGCTTGGGAGGCATCAGGATAGTTTCAAGGGTCAGGATTGTGCTCGCACCAGTGCATCTGATGCTGTACCATGAGGATCGACCACTAGGGTCTCCATTCGCCTTACTGGCCAGCCCAGCTGGTCGAATCATGGATACGCCCGCGCCGGGCAGGATTCATCGATGCGATTGTATCCCAATCTGTGCTCGGTCTGTGCTGCCAATATATTGACTCATTCTGTGACTGGAATACGTTCGCTTCGAGGCCTGCATGCCATGGGCCAGAGTGGGCCAGTACGCTCCGTATCCACTTTGCTTACATAGCAGCCCCCCGGTGATCGAGCCGGATACTGTTGACATGTCCTCACGCGTCACGGCTGGTTAAGTACCTTGCCCCACATTGACCTCGATGCTGGACAACTATCTGCTGATACCACCATCCAGGTCAGCAAGCTGTGAACAGACATGACGAGCAAATGGGTTGTTGTTCTCTTCGGAGCCACAGGTAATCATACCTCTCTCACACAGACGATCTACCAATGACATCATACCACCAATCCAGGATATGTCGGAGGTTCTGTCCTGAACCGCCTCCTACAGGATCCAGCGACGAAAACATGGGAGATTATTACCCCTGTGCGGTCTCCCGAGAAGGCGAAGCTCTTGGAGAAGCTCGGTGTGAAGACTGAAATCGCAAGTCTCAGTGACCATGACAAGCTGGAATTGCTCGCTTCGCGCGCGCGCGTCGTCATCAACGCTGTGAGTTGACATATCCGCTGGCCGGTTCCTACGACACTGACGGAGGGTTGACCGCGTAGGCCGGCTCTGACGACCTACCTGCTATCAATGCTATCTTGAAAGGAATGCGCAAGGCCCACGAACGCACCGGGGAACTCCCCATCCTCATCCATACCGTGAGTATGGCGAGTGTCCCAATCCTGTTATCCGTAATCCTCATGCCGCGTGTAGTCTGGGACGGGTGAGATATCGGAGATGGCATACGGGAAGTATACTGCGGAGACAGTCTGGTCGGACTTGGACGTCGGGCAGCTGAAGTCGGTCGAGCCGACTGCGTTTCATCGCGGCGTCGACCTCGCCGTCGTCCACGCCGACGAAGGAGGTGCTGTCACTGATCGTTTGCGCAATTTGCGTAGACTTTGCTGACTTGAGCACGCACTGGCAGGCTACGCACGGACACACATCATCATGCCAGGCGTCATCTACGGCATAGCTACCGGCCCCGTCTTCGAAGCTGGTATCGCCAAGGCGATCTCGAAGGACGTCCCTGGGCTCATAAAGGCCTCCCTCGATAGGAAGCGTGCCGGTGTGGTCGGCCCAGGGAAGTCCGTCTGGGGCCATGTCCACATCGACGATGGTGAGTGTGCACAGCACGCGCCTCCACGACTCAGTAGGACTGATCTCTGTGGCAGTGGCTGACATGTACCTGGTGCTTTTGGACGCGATAAAAAGCAACCCGCAGAGCGTTGGCCATGGCTGGGAGGGCTTCTACTTCGGAGTGACCGGCCACAACACCTGGTACGAGGCCAGCAAGGCAATCGGCGAGGCGCTCGTGGGCCTTGGGTTCACAGACGACGCTGAGCCAACTACGCTGACCGACGAAGAACTTGAAAAGTATTGGGGTTCCATCGTAAGTCTCCAATAACGCCGCGCCGCTTCAGCATTGCTGATCGCTTCGAGCACAGACCGCAGGCGGCTACGCCGGTATAACTTGTGTCTGTCGCGCGGAGCGCGCGCGCACCATTGGGTGGAAGCCGAAGTATACCAAGGGAGCCTTGTTGGCGAGTCTCAAGCCCGAGGCTGAGATGCAGTGGAAGCTGGTGCAAGAGAAGGGAGGGTTCGACTTTTCGTATGAGAAAAGCCACGCACCGATGTTGGACCGTATATTCAAGCGGCGCTGAGAAAATGGGTTCATGCTATGTCACAGTGACAACCTCATGATTGAGGCTCATGAATGAATACGTTGTCTTAAGCAATGCGGACAAGATGGACAAGATGGTGAAACGGATCCACCAAGCATGCTGACGGCGTCTTGACGCTACCCAATGGGCCTACCTGGATCCCTCAGATATAAGTGCCCTTTGGAGTGCGCCTTTAAACTCCCTGACATTCCGAAAGCCAAACTTCGGCCGTTGTGTCTTCAGCGGAATTCAGAAGAACAAAATCATAGCCGGGAAGGACTGTAACGCAGAGGGTTGGGCTTGCTACCGTCACACGGTGCGCTGAACCAGGATTGAGAGCACTTGGAATGATTGACGACTCACTGGTAGGCACAACCATCTACGGGTATGACCCGAGTCAAAGGTACGTCTTACCTGGTAGTTGACCGGGTCGACTTGTAGTGCAACAGGATCATGATGACAGTCTCAGGTAACCAACCGGCAGTTCGTTTACTTCGCTGTCGCCCTGCAAGCTGCAAGGCCGTGTTCCTGTTCTCGAGCAGCATGGTGTCCGCCACTATCGATGAAGCTCTGAAGGTACGAATGATGACGGCCGAATTAGCTGACTTTCGTCTGCAGCCCGATGTTATTGATATATGTCTTCCCGGGATCCTTACGCAGTTTGCGCATTTTGAGAAGTATAATCTTGTCCGCTCTCTGCACGGGAAGTCTTTCAAGCCCCTCCAGCACGTTCCTGGCGTGTAAGCATGTTTTGATGCCGGGCCTGTCTCTGGTAAAACTCGCATCAGCTGAAGTAGGCAAGATCGGAGTGATACTGTACTAGACGTACCGCGATCAACATCGCCGCACACAAACGGTACCAGCCACGGGGCTCTATAAGTAGTCAATTTGTACGGCCTCGTCCGCTTCGCCGGATCAGACGTCGACGGACTCGGCGGACGTTCACACAACGTTGTCGAGATGATGACACCTCCGCACCGACTCTCGTCGGAGGTCATACCCGCATCGCTCCCGGGGCCTCGTGCCTACAAGTTACTTAAAACAACCATGTTAGCACTGAATAGGTTGATCCGCGAAACGCAGTCGCGATCGACGGGATCCAGCTTGCCAGAAACTCGGCCGAGTCAATGAATCAACCATGAAGACTGACGGGCCACCAGCTGCTTGTTGCTGGTCGCGATCGCCGGGGGGTAACGGTGACTACTCAGTCAACTATGTCCGTCCTTCGAGGACCCCATGGATTCCCGCTGCCTAGTCGGAGGTTGCTCGTCGACAGCTGTTTTGATTACTCACGCTTGGTCAGTGTACTATCGTGCAAGACAACGAGGGGTCCGAGTCCGCGGTAAGGCAGCACAATCTTGATTGAGCTGCTGCTGACTCAGCGTTGGTCGGGTACAGAGCACTTCAGGACTACCGCCCTCTGATCTTGAACAACGCGGATGTCCGTGGATCTGACAGATCATTTGCTTAGGCGCGCCCCTGAATAATAGGAAACTGACACAGGCAGCTAGAAAGAGCTAGAAGTCCAGTGGTCGCATACCTTAGTGCCGCGGTCTACACGGGCTGGAATGCGAGCGATATATAAAGGGGCGTAGATGGACGGTGTAGAGCCCATCCACCGCTCCCAGCTCCAGACATTCCAATCTCCAGACACAGCAAAACTCAGTCTATCACCGCACTTCCAATGGCACCCAAGACTGAGATCCTCTTCCTCGGCGCGACCGGTTCGTCTTTCCTCACTCTCCTGTCCCCTGTCAGTGAGCTGACGTCCCTTCCATAGGCTACCTCGGTGCAGGTATCTTCACCCGCCTCCTCAACCACCCCAAGGCGAGCGAGTTCTCCATCACCACCCTCGTGCGCAGCACCGAGAAGGGCGAGGCGCTCAAGAAGTTCAACCCGACGCTGAAGTATGCTGTCGGGTCCCTCTACGACAAGGCGGACTACCCCGTCATCGAGGACCTCGGTAAGAAGGCCGACGTGGTGTTCTCCGTCGTGAGTGCTGGTTTGCCACGGGCCCTGCGACAGTAACTAACGGGAGACACCTGGCAGGCGGACGCGGACTACCTTCCATGGACGACGGCGCTGCTCAAGGGCTTGAAAGCGCGCTTTGATGCTACTGGGGTTGCACCCATTCTGATCCACGCCGTGAGCCTCCTTCGAGCATACTTGACGCGTCGTATGCTGAATGTATTCTCCAAGTCCGGGGCAGGTATCCTCCTATTCACTTCTGACCCTGCGGGTAACCACTCGGACCTCGACCTCGAGGACGTCAAGGCTGTTCCGCCCACTGCACTCCACCGCAACGTTGACCTCGCGGCCATTGCCGCAGATGAAGCCGGTGAGTATACTGAGTACTCACTCTCCCGCGGTGTCCATGGGCTTACCGCCGCCGTCTCGGCATAGGCTACGTGAAGACATACCTTATCTGCCCACCTCTCATTGCTGGTCTGGCATCGGGCCCGTTGTACGACGCAGGCCTCGCGCATCGCAACTCTATCCAGGCTCCAGCCCTCATGCGGCCTGCGCTCGACCGGAAGCAGGCTGGTGTGGTTGGCGACGGCAAGGGCGTCTGGGCTGCTGTCCACGTCGACGATGGTGCGTGCTCCGAGCCCATACCACGCCGTCGGTGCTGATGCCGAACTGGCGATAGTTGCGGACACGTTCGTGCTGCTCTTCGACAAGATCATCTCTGGTGCGCCTGGCGTAGGCCACGGCTGGGAGGGCTACTACTACCTCGAGAATGGAGAACTGTCGTGGAACGACATCGCCAGCGCGATCGGCCAGACACTCGTCGAGCTCGATGTCGCCAAGTCGCCTGAGGTAACTTCCTTCTCGAAGGACGAGATCTCGAAGTACTTCAAGTCCGAGGTCAGTTTACTTGCATCGCGACTGATTCTAGCGTGAACAGCTTACTGATATGTGGCATACTTGCAGTTCGCGAGCTCGGTGGTGTCGTCGACGTGCCGCTGCAAGGGGGAGCGGGCGCGCGCTCTGGGATGGTCGCCGAAATACAGCGTAGCGGACATTCTCGCAGGCTTGAAGACCGAGGTGGAGTTCCTCTGGAAGAAGGCGCAGGCGGAGGGCAAGGTCGACATCACGCCGAACTACGGCGTCGATGCGATGCTCCAGCGATTCGCCTCCTTGTCGGCGTGAGCCTGAGCACCACGAATGTTGGCAATGAACGGGGGTGCAGCATCATAGAGGACATGACATGTATCATTACATATGCGTAGGAGCAAATTTGTATCTTTAGATTCATACGTACCGGAAGCGTGCCACAGCTCGATGCAACCGCCGTGCTTGTCTCTGCGGATGCCACCGTGTCACTAAACGCAAGAAAACCGGTTGTGTCGGGGGCTCTGGCATGTCCAGACTCCATGGTACGTGAGCGCAGTGAAAAAAGACGGCGCACTGTGGAAGCAGACAAACTCGGCCATACATCGCTTATATCACGTGATTATCTCAGTACTTACATCGCTCGACGCTCGACGACGCTCGTCGCTCGAGCGCAGCCGGCAGGTTTCAGCGTCCCAACCTCCACTATCGTCCAGTTGCTCTGTCATGCTCGAGCCCTCGGTTCAAGAGGAATGCCTGCAGGCAGGGACCCAACCGGCCGGGCTAACAAGCCCAGATGCAGAGCCTTGCAGCCTGTGGAGAACAGCGCGGTCATCGCTGCTGGCACTAGATCTAACGCGCGCGAATAAGTAACGGATGCTTTCCAACTTGTTCGGCGTCCTATTCTTACCTCCTTCTTTCGGACCCGAGGACGTGAGTAGCATACGACAGAGTCGGACGTCATGACGTATGATACTTCATACAGGGAGTAGCTCGAAGGTCCTAGCATCAAACTCCAGCGAGGATATATGTATGTCGACTTGCGCGAAATTCCAGTACGTGCGTCAGACACTGTCCGAAGATATTTGGTCAGACTAAGTACGCTCTCAGCGCTAGCACTGGCGGCATCACCAATGAAGAAGACATGGCTATATATAACGATCGCTGCGGAGGTTGTGCATTGTGGGGCGCAGCGTCTGGGTGAGAGCCCGATAGGCGAGAATAGCGATAGGAAGCGATGTCGGGCGCGCCTTGTGTTGCGCAGCAACTGCTGTGCGTCGCGTGGTGTTTGCTGGCCTCCGAATGGCATCCTTGACGTTCCCCGGTTGCATCATGTCTTCTCTCCAACAGTTTATATAGCCACGGCGACATCCCAGTCCCGCCGCATCGCTTCCCCCATACATAAGATCTTCTGCCACGTCCGCGACGACTCTGCAACCCTTCTGTTGAATTCATCCTTGCTTTGTATTGGCTCATTTCTCCTATCTGCCTGCGGACCACTGTACTGCGCACTGCAGCCGACAGTCGCACGGACCTTGCTGCGCTCAAGAGCGCCAACACTTACCCTGTACGTTCTCCCCGTTTTCGAGTCAACGCGCTGCAGCAGCCTGCTCATTCACCGGAGTCTAGATCGAGATATCCTAAGGGTGTCTAAGGAACATTTCATTCAGGGCGCCTCTGCATAATCGCACTTCGCACCTTTGCCCTGAACGAGCCTCAAAGGCACCCCTCCTGCTGCAGCAGTCACTCTTTCTTTCCCCAACCTTCCCGCCTACAGCGCTTTGATTCGTACTGCGGCGCGTTTACCGTTCCATCGAGACCATGAAATCCGCAGTGCTCGCTGCAGCCGCTCTCTACTCTGGCAACGCCTTTGCGGCGACCAGCTACAGCCTCGTCAAGGAGTACTCTGGCTCCAACTTCTTCGACAGCTGGGTCTTTTACGACAACTATGATAATACTACCAACGGTGCGTCACATCCCCTGTTATAACTGCGGTGATGGGTTCAGGATGGGGTTGCTGTGGGTCGATGAGTCGGCGTGTCTTCGCGCGAGACATGATCTCGGTCGAGATCAGAATAACCCAACCGTACTAGACAGGCTCTACGCAGGCAGCCGCCCGTGGCCGTTATGACACAACCAACGATGGACAGGTCTGTGATGGGACGTCTCACCTCGTCCGAGAGCTGTTCTGTCTCGTGTGTAACGCATACCGGACTGGAGGCAGTCTAACTGGCGCTCGCGCGGCGCACGTAGTGCTCGTTAGGTCGTGGATGTGCTTCTAGCGATGCAGTATCACTCTACGGCTACTTCATTGTACGTGAACTTGGCGTGCCATACACGGCACGCACCTCCTATCCTGCGCCGCAACCCAACTCCATACCCTTGTGTTTGCGCGAGCCTGGCTGACATCTATGTTTTGGCGCAGGTGACGTCGAGTACGTGAGCCAGACGAACGCGACGGAGAGCAAGCTTGCGTACGTGGACAGCAACGGCGCCGCAATCATCAAGGTCGACAACACCTCATTCGTGCCCTGGGATGACAAGCGTGACTCTGTGCGTTCCCAAAGCTTCCCTCTCCCCGGATGGCAATCTCGCCGGATGCTGTGCGGGCATTCAGGCGGGTCGCTGGTTTGGCGAGAGCGGGTTTCAGTGAAGTAGCGCTTGTCTGCTCACGAGGTTTCCCTATGGCAGGTCCGCATCACCACCTCAGACTTCTTCGAATCTGGCTCAGTCATCATCTTTGATGCATCGCATATGCCGTATGGATGCTCGGTAAGTCTGCTTCCTTTCTTCCTACTTACAAGCATTCGCTCTGCCGGGCGGCGAGCAACAAGGTGGACATGAGATCTACGCTGTATCGCGGTGATCTCTGTCCGTCGGCTACTGTGTTCAGTATGCACCCACCTACGGCAGTCACACTGGCACAGTAAATCAGGGGCATTCCTGGGCTCGTTTGCTGTCCAGGTTCACGTTACGGCAACTCGACACAGCACTGACCGCTCCTCGACGTAGATATGGCCTAGCTTCTGGACGAAGGGCGAGAACTGGCCGGACGGCGGGGAAATCGACATCATGGAGGGGATCAACGGCATGACTGCGAACCAGATGGCATTGCATACCGACGCAGGTTGCAACGCATCCAGCAGCGCGACGTACTCCGGCACGATCGGCGCGACCAACTGTAATGCGACCTCCGGCTGTCAATTCGTGAGTGTCCTGCCCCATGCGCGCAAATCATAGCTTACGCATCTACCAGAGCGAGACTCAGGACAATAGCTACGGTGCAGGCTTTGCATCAAACGGCGGTGGCGTCTTCGCGACGCTCTGGGACGACACGCAGATCGCGATCTGGTTCTGGACGAGGAGCAGCGTGCCGTCGTCCGTGTCGAGCGCGACGAGCAGCATCGACATCTCCGACTGGGGCAAGCCATCGGCGAACTACACGTCCACGGACTGCAGCATTGCGAAGGCGTTCGCGCCGCAGCAGCTCGTGCTCGACATCACGATGTGCGGCGATTGGGCGGGCGTGGACACGGTGTACGAAGATACTTGCACCATCCAGGGCACTGCGAACTCGAGCTCGTGCTATCTCCAAAACGTCTACAACAACGGGAACCAGACTGCTCTCGCGTCGGCGTACTTTAGTATCAACTACATCAAGGCGTTCAACGCGAATGGCGTGGTCCTGAGCGCGGACGGCACGACGACGAGCGTGGACGCGAGTAGCGTGTACGCGTCGGCGACGGTGAGCGGGGGAGCATCCAGCTCGACGTCGAGCAGCTCAGCTGCCGGGCCAGCGGTGACGAGGCTAGGTGGTGCGGCGAAGGTCTGGGCTGTGGTTGCGAGTACTATGGGTGCACTGTTTGCCTGGACGCTCATGTAAGCGGGGGTCCGAGAGTCTCGTATCCAGAATGGAACATCGAGACTTCACCAGCTTCACTACTTGTTCCGACAATTGACACTGCGCGTAATCGCCGGACTTTTTATGTATTCACTTCTACGGTCTTTCACTGATACTGTCGTTACTTTGAAGACATTGATGTCGAACCTGTCACCTGTCTTGAGGAAGTGCGTACCGATACTTGACAGATACCATTGGCAGTCTGATATATACTCTGCCATTTCATAGGGTTCGCTAACATATGTCCGAACGCTATGTACTTCGGCATACGATGCTCTAGTTTGGGATGTCGGTACAATCCCCATAATATCTCACTTGTGCTGCATTTGTGTCCCGGCGTACAGCCTAAGTGCGACGTTGAAGTACCGTTGTACACACACTCCTTAGTACTCATCGTCAGCACATACGTCCGGAGGAACGCTAATGACAAGCCGAAGAGAATGCTGCTCCGTTTGCGTGAGCATGTGGTATTGGATATGATCAAACTGTCGTGGACAATGACATTGCACTGGGACTGTGAACGAAGAAACCAGATTCCAACTATTACTATGGTATGGTATCACCTGCAAGAAAACCGAATGGGTAACATACAGCGCAGAGACCCTTCCACCTTACACCGCGATATAGATGCGCATCATCAGGCAAGCGCGCCTTTGCTTAGTCCGCAATCGGCCCTTGCATAACCTCATACGCCGCGCTCATCCGCGCAGCCTCCAGCCATCGCCTTTCCGCCTCTCCTTCCCGACACCACCAAAGCCTTCTCGGACGACCAGCCAGAGGCCCGTACACGACACGACGTCCTTGAGCTCCTCCGCCGTCAACACTATCCCGGACGCGCGTCCCGCCTCCGCTCTCCCGCTGCCGTTTTCCTTACCGGAGGCCGACCAGAACTTCTTCTGACCGCTCCCGCTCCCTGCGGACTCTGGCACTGCGTCAGGCGCGGGCCGCGAGAGGCCCGCGGGCGTCACAATTCGCCGCCGCACCGCGACGTGCTCGATCTCCACGTCCGGCAGCGGGAACGGCACCTTCAGGAGCGCGACGACCTTTGGGTGGTGCGGCGTCGGCACGACTGCGGCGACCTTCACACGTAGACTCTGAGGTTGTGCGGGCTCATCCGCAAGCGGTGAGCGGGGCGTCGGGGTCTGAGGGTTCACGATCGGGTGCAGTCGCCGGACGACGAGCGTGCACGTCCATGGCGTCTCCGAGTCTTCTGGATCCGACTCCTCCCCGTCGTCCTCTGGGTTCTCCTGAGTATTCGACTCGCCCGTCGTGATGCTCGCCGCAGGCCCGGGCGATACTGAGCGCACCGAGTCCATCGACCGACGGCCCCCAGGGCCCCCGTCGCCTGGTGAGCGCGTCCGGTTCTTCCGCGACGGGACAAAGCCTGCAGTCACCGGTGTGATCGGCGTGACCGGCGTCTGCGGCTGCTGCAACGACGGCATCGCGGACGAGCCCGCACCGACGCTCCTCCGTCTGCTCCCTTTCCGTACGAGCCGCTCGCCCTCCCCAGCGCGCTTCTTCCCCCGAGTCCACTCGAGCCGCACCTCCACATTCGCCTCGATCCCGCCGGAGGGCGCGAGCGTCGACGAGCGCACTACATCAAACCGATCACGCATCCCGCCGAGCATGCTCTCCGGCTCGCCCTTGAGCCACTTCCGCACGACCCACACGTACTTGTACGGCCGGCCGCGCGGGGGCACCACAGGCGACCGGAGCGTCGGCTGGATCCCCAGCACGGGCGGCTGCAGCGGGAACTCTGGTGATACGCTGGGGAGGACGGGGTGCCCGTGGGCGGAGAGGAGGGACGAGCGCTTCGAGACCCTCGGATCCATCGAAAGCTGCGGGATGGGTGATGTCGGGGTGACCGGCGGAGTGGGCCCGCCGACGGACGACGTGTCCTTCTTCTTGCCGCTGAACAGCTTGCCGAAAAACTTGCGCGGCGTGCCGGGTCGCCCGCTCGACGAGCTAATCGATGCCGGTGTCGCCACTGGTGCGGGAATAGGCACTGGTGCGGGGGGATCATGCGTGCTCTCCGAAGCGAGCGACGCGGCGGACGACGACGTCGGCGTATTCGATCCTGGGGGAAGAAGCCCCTGAGCATAGTCGAGGCTCATCCGCGGTCGCCCGTCGTTGTCGAGCGAACCCCCGCTCCACACCTCGATCGGCTCAAGCACTGCAAGGCCGATCACCTCCAACCCACGCTTCATGAACTTTGCGATCTTCGCATCGGTTCCTGCGTCCACGATCACGTTCTGCATCACGTTGTGTGCCTGGAGGTTGTAAAGTGGGATAATCATGCGGCGGCCGGAAGATGTTGAGGATGTCGAACCCAGCGTCGAAAGGGAGCCGGTAGAGGAGTAGGATGAGTACAGTGATGCTTCAGATCGATTGGAGGGTGTTCGTGAAAGCGAGACTTCACTGTCGACGGTAGAGTCCATCGAATGTCGACTGCTCGGTCGACTGGACCGGCCCTCTTTATCCTTGTTACTTGGGGGTACGAGCTGAACTTGGAGGTTGAGGGGATGATTGGACTTCGACGGTGGTGGGCGGACAACTATGAAAGACTGCGAACAAACCATTGTTGTCAGAATTGCGCAGACAAGGATAGTGGGGGAAAGAATGCGGAGGACAGGTCATTGTAAGGCTGCGGATAAGGTTTCGATCCATTTACGCAGTGATGTATGGAAGAGATGCCGAGGCGCAGAATCAACAGTTTCTTGCGGGCATTGCCTGACACATTGACAAATCACAAAGAAGTGCAGTGCCATTACGGCAGACGTTTGGCAGGTTACCCAAACATGACGCTGAAACTAGACGCCATCCTTGACCGAGACAAGCAGCACATCAGTGCCTCGAGCCAAAGAGCAATGCAAAGGATAATCTGGGTAGGAATGTCGAAATATCGTCATCCCCATAGCTTGTGTCCATTGCGACACCACGATTGATCACCAAGAGACAGCAGCGCGAGGGTCACATGCCCCACGGCCGAGAGGACGCGCTCGTTTCCTCTCCCCATGGGACTGAGCACCACCACCTTTCTCGCCGCGCTGATATCGTGGGTATGCCAGGGGGCGCACGCGTGCTTCGGCACCGCAGGAGATTACTTCTGCACTTCGCAAGCTCACCGTGGGAGTGCTCTGCAAGAAGGTCCGCGATGCCACACAGAATTAGACTGTGCAGTTCCATGGGGGCGAGTGCACTCGCGCTGTGCCTGCGTCATGTCAAATACACGGTGGCGCGACGGAATGCAATGGGAGCAAGACATAAGTGAGCGCGCCGATGAGGGCGGCCAAGGAAGCACGACCGCTCAGCGATGAAGGCTGGACACCGCCGAGGCCAACGTGACGGTCAGATGCAGTCCGCGCCAAGCAGATGACAGGGTACGCGCCGCACAAGCATCGCTCGATGACGATGGTATCAGCGAGTGGTGTGGAGGCGTAGGTGCCGGGAACACGACTCGAGGGGCATGGATAGTAGCACAGCTTTCCCAACGGCGGTCGCATAAGCCTAACGAGGTCGTAGACACAGTCGCGACGTCTTTGAGACGATGGTCGGCCATCGCTACGGACAATGGCCAGACGGTTACCATGCCCGAGAGAAACCTGTCAGAGCAAACCCATTGCCCACAGACGCAGACTTATTCAGATCCAGCAGGTCAGGGACATAATATTCACCTCATTCTTGCGCTCCTTCTGCCTCTTCACTGCCTGCTCCTCCGCGGCGCGCTGCATGGCTGTAGTGGGCTCGGACTGTGGGGCCTCCTGGGGTTTCGCGGCGTCCGCCGTGACCTGTGCGGCCTTGTCATTACTGAGCTGGAGGGTAGATGGTAGGAAGGAGGAGATGGTCTGAAACATGGCAGGTTCGGAGGACGAGGAGGAGGACGAGGGCAGGACCAGACATTGATCAGGCAGGAGCCTTAAAGTGTTCGAGGTGCAGGGCGAGCGACGCGGGCGTCATGAAATGCATCCTCCCATATATGGCAACTTTCCCACTCGATAGTTTCCATCCCGCGCAGACATGTGGTTTTCAAGTGGTTCTCGTCACTTTCCCAACACCGAGCTTCGCATCCGCAGACTGCTCAACAATTCGACCTGTACGCCGCAGTCTCAGCTCTGCCCCGCATTCAAGGGAAGTCAGTTCGTCTCGTGTACTTGCGGTGAGTGATGCAGATCTCTAAAATCTGAATCTCCCGGGCTAGCCAGAAATTTCACTCCTTTCTTAGAGCACTAGCTGACCTGTAGCCTCCTGTAGCGACTCCTGACTCGAGTCGTCGCCAGGAGCGGTGCAATTTTAGCAGTGTATCTCGATCCCGACATGGTTGCTCTCGACTTCGAGATCCGCTGTGTGGCCCCTCTGCGTGCGGGGCTTGGCGACGGATTAATTATCGATCGGCGCGGCTGCGGGAAGCAATGTCGTCGTCGAGCAGAGTCTCAGTGTGTCCCGCCGTGGTCCTACGAGGCTTCCGCTGTTTGACCATCAAATGCGATGCATTTCCGCAACGTCCTCAGGCTGTTGTTGTCTCCTCAAAAGATCGAAACTCGGGACAACATACCGCGTTCACCCGCGTATGTTGTGCATATGATTCACTCGGCTGCCCCGCTCCGTAGGGGTCATTTGTGATTACCGTCTGCTTAGCATACAGTGCTGACGCGGATTATGGGTCCAGGGGCTGAACAGGACTAAAGCGCGTGCCTGCTGACTAGACTGGACTGAACGGACGTTCTGCTCGTCGATAAATTCCGAATGGTCATTGTAGCCTCACAGCCGCCGTCCTCCTCCACGGTTAGCAATCAAGGACGCTCGATAGCCTTGATTTGCCCGCGCGGTTATGTTTCCCCATCACTGTCAGCGCCTTCGGACGAACGCTGGCGGCTTGAATATCGCGCGATAATACCGCTCAAAGGTACGTCTGCCAGCTTCCTGAACGGAACCACGATTGATGTCAACCGGACGGAAATGTCTTCAACTGCTGATTATTCTTCCTCCTCTCGACATGGAGCCAGGCACCCGCCTCGCTCTCCTCATTTCCTCTCATTGCATACCGAGTCGCCATGGCCGTCTGTTGTACCTCGCCCTATATGTATCACGAGCAATGTTCGACCGTCTCAAGAGCCTTACCGTCCACTCGCAACGTCCGATGTTTGCCTCTGGCCAAGGAGTCTACGATTGTAGACACCGTATTCGCCCTGCGTGGACATGCGCAGGGGAGGAGAGGAAGAGGAAGGAACAGGACGGTCGATCTCAGGGTGTCTCTGTAGGGATTCGCCCATAGTGACCCTAAAGGGACACAACAAACAAACAAATCGCTCTGCGCACGACTCACACACTACTACAGAGTCCCGAATTGTCCCATCCCCACGTTCTCTCTTCTAGCTTCTCATCATGCACATCGCGTTCCAATCCAAGAATGGACGCGGGTATTCTGCCTCAAAGTAGCGGACCCAACGCCCAGGATATCACTTCGACAACTACAACAACACGTCCGAGCGCATTATCGCTATGGACTTCGTCTAGACGGTCACGCCCTTCTAGCTCTCGATACGACTATCGTGACCTGGCTCCTGCCTCCCCCAGCCCATGCCTTTTGTATGCTACCCTCCTCGACCCCGCGAAGCGCAAGGTCCGCTGGTCCAGCTCTCTTCATCGCCGCGGCTGGACGTTCAATGACTCCTAGCGCGGTCTCTCGGCCCACTCTCCACTGTCGGCGAGACTGGCGAACTTGACGAGCCCATGGATACTCCCTTACCGCTCCGCCCTTCAACGCCGCAGCAAACTCATCCACATTCCGCACACCCGATCAGGCATGATTCTCGTCATTAGTTGCATGGCGTCCGGTCTATCGTTCTGGGGATTCCCTCCCCCTCGCGGCCTCGGGGCGGGTCCAGAGTTCGCCGCCCTGGGACGTCCAGCGGGGGCCTTGTCCTTCTTCCGACCGGCTCCAGAGCGCCTCCGCCGCTTCGATGGCGAGGACGGTCCCCCTTCGTTGTCCTCCTCGCGCACCCGTTTGCGTTTTAGATCGTCTCTACGTCCTTCTCTCTCCTGGGGTAATGGCTCCGTGTGACGAAGCCCCTTCGGTCCCGCGCCGGCGACTACGGGCGCGCCCAGTCTCCGCCTCGCATCCATGGGCTTCGCGCGGTCGTTATCCCGCCAGCCGTCCATCGCCAGTGCCTCGTCAAAGACAGCCAGGACCGCTTCGTGTGTCAGGCGAACGAGGCTTGAGTTCCCGTGCCCGGGGACGCTCTGCACGACGAGGTCCTGCAGGCGACCCAGGAGGAAGACAAGCGGCGGGTTCCCGGTGAAGAGCGAGCGCGTGTCCTTGCTGAGCCACTTGCGCTTGTTCTTCGTCATCTCCGTGTACGCGCCCGTGAACAGCTCGTGCGCAACCTCATCCGCGTCCCCGACGTAGTAGTTCGTGTAGCAGATGACTTCGCGGAGCGCGAGCCAGTAGAAGCCCTGGAGGTCGAAGCTGGCTGTGCGCGCGAGGGCCCCGTCCTTTAGCGACTCGAGGAGCTCGATGGCCATGAACCGCGGCGTGCCCTGGGCAATCGATCATCGGTGCGTGTCATTCGTGCTTCCTATATCAACGCACTCACCATAAGTGGTTTCCGCTGCCAAACAGATGCGGTTAGCTTGTCTATAGGCACCTCCAGGCCCCCGTCTGCGGTGCTGTCTATCCAAGCGCTGAGGTCGAAGTCGTGGATGAACCCTTTGAAGGGTTTACCCTTTGCCATGAGGATGTTTCCTTCGCTGATGTCACCGTGCAGGACACCAGCTTTGTAGGCGACGAGATGGCCTGCACGACGAATTCGGTCAAGCGTACGTTGCCGCACAGTAACGGAGAACTGACCTCTGATGGCGTCGCGGATGGCCTCCATGAGGTCCCTCGAATGCTCGAAGTGACGAAGGGTTTTGCCCACGGTGTCCACAACGATACGCACATGATTGCGCTCTTCTGCACCACCCCATCTTCCACGAAGACGCGCACTCATGGTGCGGTGCAGGGAGCCAGCGCCCGAGCCGACAAGCAAACCGTAGTTCACCCCGCGTACATACCCGGCGACACCGAACGGCTGATCGCGTAAGTCCTGGTTGCACCGTAGGATCCGCTCATAGAAGTGCCTCTCCTCTTCCACATTCACGGGCTGCCAGGTATCCTTGATGATGTACCGGTTGCCACTGGAGTCGCCCCGCTTGAGGGCCTCCCACACGGTGGTCACCCCGGAGTAGAGCGTCTCCCCCCTGCATCGTAGCCGCAAGGTGAGGAACTCCATCTCAGGCTCCTCCGAGTCCTCTGATGGTATCCTGATCCATCTGTTATAGTCAACGTCGCTTTCGCGCCACGCGTCTCCGGATACCTCCGTCGCCCAGCGCATATCCGCCTCCGTCGCCGAGGCCATGTACTCGTCCAACCCGAAGAACGCTGTGCCCTTTGCGGGATGGACGAACGCCCACAGGAACTGTCGCAGCAGGTCCGGGTCGGCAGTATAATCGAACGCAGGCGACACGATGCACGCCACGCGGTCGAAGCGATAGACTTGCATCTGCGAGCCGCGCACGGACAGAACGAACGAGCAGAGCGCGTTGTGCTCGCTGAGGTGGTGCCCCGCCATGCGCATGAGCCGCATCCGCGTCCGCACCGCCTCGGGGTCCCCCGCCGCGACGATCGAAGTGTGGTCCGGAGAGGACATGGCCCGCACGTCTATGGACAGCGAGAAGTTGCTCCACACATCGGGTTGGTCCCCCCTCGTTTTATCTTGACCAGGTATCAACGCCACTACGTCCGGTTTGACGAGCAAGTTGCCCCGGGGGTTCTTCTCGAAGAAGGGCTCGTACGGGAATCGAAGCTGGAGCATGTGCAAGTTGAGGAAGTGAAGACGCTTCGATGGCGGGAAGTCACTGGTGAGCACGTTGAAGGCTTGAGTCTGCCAAGCGTCATCAGCACTTCCCCGCCACAGCACATTCAGCACGGACGCACCAGAGGTTCGCACTTATCGCGCGGGTCCATGACTAGCCTTGAGGCAGCGAAGAGATATTCGGGCATCCTCTCGGGTGGCTGGTACGGCACGGACGATGGTACGTGCATCCGAAGGTAGTCGGCGAAGCTTCCGCGGACCTTCCTGTCAACGATGAACCTGTCCTCGGTCTTGACCTTCCAGTTATAGAAGTACTCGGGATTGCTGTTGTACGGCTCGAAGCTGGCTTCGTCGAAAGTTATGAAAGACATCGTGTTTCTTAGCGATGTCTCGAGTCTGTCGCGGTATTTCAGGTCAGTACGGTGGCACCGTATGCCAGTACGCCACTGTTATAACCAAATCACATGGAGGACCGTTGGCGCTCACCAACTTCTTCGAGTTCGGATATGATTGTTTTCGAGACAAAAGGCTTGATATGATGTTGTTCAGCTCTTGTGGTAGGACGGGGACGTGTGAACAGCGTATGCTACCGTCGCGATACCTCTGTAGGTGGGTTATGTAGGGACCTGTGGGCAGCGTATGCTATGGCCAACAAGAACTATGCAACGATGCAACGTTCAGATGGAAGGGCCAAATCCCATTGTCTCGTGCTCGTCGCCACCAACCACCCGCTGTTCTACTCGCTCATCAGCGATACGACTGGTTGCATGGTTGCATTATACCTCAGACACAAAAGACGGACGCACGCTGGACACGGCTTGATATACACATGAATAAATACGCGGTATGTAAACGAGGCAGCCGCCACCGTCCAGTACAATACACGTCGGGAGATACAGCATGTGGACATCGAAGGACTGTAACATAGCCGAGCAGCGGAGAGCGACGAAACGAACTAGGGGGACGGGAGCCAACACGATACATATAGTACACACATCACGGAAGGCGAAACCGAAGAGTCAAGTTGCGTTTTAGGTTAAGTCACAGTCAGGAGAGACAAGTGCGAGTCGGGTCAAGGGCTGGAGTGGCGAAAATCGAAGACGGGGGTCTAGCGCGTGGGGTAGGGTAGAAGGGTATCGGGGCGTTTACTCGTCATCATCTTCACCGTCGCCGCTGCCTGCACTGTCAACCTTTTTGCCCTTGGGTGTGACGTTAGCACAAGAGCAAATCACAGCTCAGGAGAGGACATACATCGTAATCGGCCTTCTCCTGCTCTGCGCGTGCCTTGTCCCGAGCAGCCTGTTCGATATATGGCTGGTGACGAGTAGTTAGCATCAGTATGTCGGTATGAGGATAACAAGGTCTGTGAGTCGATACTGCCCGTCACACATTCGTTCACAAGACGAATGCTAACAGGCGTAGGTCGGTCCGTCAACAGTATCGACACCAGTCATACGTAGGCAGCATCGCTATCCGGGTGAAACCCGAACGTGATCTAAATGAACTGAGCAGGCCGAACTCTAACCTGCACGGAGCGTACCCCGCGTTCAAGGCGTGCATTCGCATGCACAACGCGCCTACGGCGCATAAGACGCCAATCGAAATAGCCCATCGCACGCTGAAACAGCGATGAACGTGCATACGCGCCGACTCGGCCGCCGGAAGTGACCAACCAGCCAACGACACGCTCGACAGTGAGAGCGAAAGATACTGACCTTCTTCTCAGATTCGTCGAGCTCTTTCCACTTCGCACCGAGGAGTTTGCCAATCTCGCCTATAACAAGCGTAGTCAGCTTACGTTTGATGCGGCAGGCGTCACGCGCTCGTGGGGCGACGACGACGCGCATATACTCGATGGACTCACCGAAACTTGCATCTGGGTTCTCTGCCTTGACACGCTCACGCCAGTCCTGGCTGAAGAACATGTAGGCGGACAAGGCACGCTTCGGCGCATTCTTGTCCTTCTTCGCCTTCGACTTCGGGGCCTTAGCATCGGCCTTGGCGACCTTGCGCTATATCGCATACATCGCCGACGCGAAAACACACGCAGGGAGGCGTAGAAAGGTCAGCACATGCATATATGCGTGAAAGCCAGAGTGTATGCGCACCCTGGTGGCCTTCGTGGTCTCTTTAGGCATCTGCACAGCACCGAACACGTCAGCGACGCGTTTTCAACGACAGAGAGGCAAGATGGAACGATGAGGCAGCTAGGCAGGGCACGGGCACGGGAGCGCGCCGACGCGTCGCGACGCGTCTGGCCGCGGCGCGCATATATCCCCTCATCGCGCCCCGCCGTCGTCGGGCGCGACGACGCCCGCCGGACAGCGATCAGATAAGGCATTTGAAGCCGTGGAACGTACCTTGGTGGTTGGTGGTTGAGGGAGGCGAGTGGGGACAAAAGTGGGAAAAGGCGAGTAGCGGCTGGGCCTTAGGCGCAGGGAGGTACAGGCTGAGGCCTCTGCACGCTGTGGTGGGAGGGCTTGCTGGCTGCTGGCGCAGGCCTGCAGCCAGTACCCGTTCAACCGCTTATGTAAGCGCACGTGCCCCCTTTCTGGCGCACAGACCACCCGCCCGGCGCTTATCCTCCCTGACCAATATGTTCTATGGACTTCCGTTAATTAATGTCCTACTGTATTAGAAGATATGTTCAGAGCCAACGAACGTAGAACACGGTGTCTCTCGCATCTAGCACGGTGGGACAAATTTGAACAAATTTGAATACTCCATACATACGGAGACTTGGTATTCGATATGCCGACTGATTAGTTACTTAGTACTTATGTATACTCATTATTTCACCAAAGATAAGTACGTCCGATAGATTTTTGAACCCCATCTTCTTCCCAAAGGCTGGCTGGCCAGCGTTGAATCGAATATTTTCTGCAAATCGCACTTCGTCACCCGAGGGTCGAGGGAAGTGGCGTGGGATACTACACGCGACGACGTCGCCTCCGTCACCGTGTGGGAAGCGCCGAAAGTCACGCCCGGTTCCTGCTCCCACTCACGCTGTCCCAACGCCTCCGGTATACCCTGCCTACACACCACCACCATCTCCCGCACTCCGTTCGTTTCACCGCCCTCGTAAACACCAACGAACATAATGACAGACACCCCGAAAGGCGATGTCGTCGGCGAGGCAGGTCGCTCCAAATGTGTGTATCGCGCCGGGTCTGATGCCTAGCCTTCTTTCGTTTCGTCTCAACTCGCGTGGCCGATGGAACTCACTAGGCCGTGCCTGCAGCGCAGAAGAGCAGCTGGGCAACCTTTCTCAAGTCGTACGTCGTTGGTGTTTCCAGGCGGGGACGGGTTACTGACGATGCCATCGCGCGCTCTCCAGCATCGCATCCGTTTCGGGCGATCTTTCGTCGCTGACCGCGCCGCCGTTCATCCTCTCGGGCATCTCGCTCACTGAGTTTCCTGGTGAGTACATCGTCCGATCCTACTTGCCAACTATGGATTCTACCCGGCGTATGACGCGATCGCCGTCATGTCAATGATTGTCCCCGTTATGGGCGCTGGTCCTCAAAAGGGGAAATGCGACTCCAACTGCTGTGCAATGGACCCTCATTGCGCTTGCGATTCCAGTGGCCTCGCGCAAAATACGCGTCGTAGACCCACATTTGGACCCGTAATGCCGTAGTACATCGTGGTCCTCGCGCGCCTTCATTGCCGCCTCGTTCCGTGCATGCGTCTGGCTCTAAATGGCAGCCGCAGGGCCTTGTATGGCACATGCTTCCCTGGTTTACCCAGAAAGGCAACTTCGCAAAGTCTTTCGCCTATCCGAACAGAGGATGCGAGCAGATGCTGCGGTGTGTGGTTCGTGGTTCGTTGGTTCGGCCAGGTGCGGCGTGCATAGACGAGTGGGTCATTCTTTGTCGCCTCGTCGTAGGCAAATGAAGCCACAGCTGCTCGTAGACCTCGGGCGCATGCGATATGGCTGGCATCTAGACTTGTGAACGATCTGAGCACGATCGTCGACATGGATGCCTGTTGAATTTGGCAAGTAACGGTGAATCACGATCGCACCGTGCTATATCGCGCGGAAAACTGTTGCACGGGGCGATGCTATCTGCGAGTCAGCGAACGGTGCAGCGAACAGAGGAACATCCAAGAATTCGTTGGTTTGATCGATTCTGTCGACGATGTTTGTTGCATAATCAAAGGACCTCATCTCACTGCATATTCGTCCTTACTGTATGACACGACGCTAATCGCTGTCTTTTTTATATATAGCATATTGGTGTGAACGGCCAGAGGTGTTCTCCTCGATCGCCGACGCCACCGATGAGGAGTCGCGATCTATCGCTGTATTGAAGTGGTTCATTGTAAGTTCGCATCTGCGTGTCTGTTTGGTTCTTCAAGTGATGCCGCCCTAGTCTACGCTTAAGAGCCAATATACCTCTCGCAACGAGAAACTCGGCTCTGAGAAGAAGTACGTGGAGTTGCATTCACTAATGCATCGTCGCTGACACGTTGTAAAGGCCACTGAACCCTGTCCTTGGCGAGTGAGTAGACTATCCACACATCGAGGGCGTATACTGACCGTCTGAGCACAGAGTATTCGCCGGATACTGGCCAGATATCGGCGGTCGTGGGCAGACTAACCTCGTCGTAGAGCAGGTCTCGCACCACCCTCCCATCACGGCCTTCTACATTGAGAACCCGTCGAAGGGCATCTACCTGCAGGGCCACAATGCACAGAAGACGAGCTTCAGCGGTGCGTCGCCACAGTCGCTGGCAAATGCGCGGTTGCCTGATGAAGGTGTGTAGGCGGTAGCATCATCGTCAAGCAGATCGGCCATGCGGTCCTCACCGTGGACCTGCCCGACGGCGGGAAGGAAGAGTTCCTGATCACGCTCCCGCGCCTGCGGATCGATGGCCTGTGGTACGGCTCGCCATACATCGAGCTGAGCGAGACGAGCTACATCCAGAGCTCGACCGGCTGGCTCTCCACCGTACGTTGATCGCAGTCGCCTCTGTACCTCAATCCGGCTGAGGACGCCCCCGCAGATCGAGTACAAGGGCAAGGGCTACTTCTCGGGCAAGTCGCACTCCTTCAAGGCGGCGCTCTCGCCGCCGGGCACGCTGCAGGCGAAGCACGTCTTCGAGGGCACGTGGCACCAGACGAGCAAGAACGTGCACACGGGCGCGGCGTTCACGGACGTGACGGGCCCCAAGGAGGAGGTCACCGTGCGCGAGGTCGAGGAGCAGGACGAGTGGGAGAGCAGGCGCCTCTGGCGCTGGGTTGCGAAGGGCATCCGGGACGGCGACTTTGAGACGGCGAGCAGGGAGAAGAGCAAGATCGAGGTGTGTTGTATGCGCTCTGGTTATGATGGAGCGAGGTGGGCTGATTTTTGGCGCTGCAGAATGAGCAGAGGCAGCGGAGGAAAGATGAGGCTGCTGCTGGGACGACGTGGCAGCTCAAGTACTTTGACCACATTGACTCTGACCCGACCTGTGAGTACGCTGCTCATTGCTCGTGGTTGTATTCTGACCTGCCGACGTCGTCTTCTCAGACGAGCGCCTGGGCAAGCTGTTCAAGGCAAACCCGCCAACGGAGGACGCATACATCTACAGACACAACTACGCTCCTGCATCGTGATGGACTGGTGCACACACAGGACAAGGCTGTATCATTCGCGCGAGCGTGGTCGGATAGTTCGTATATAGTAGATGTGTACTTCTCGTTAATGCATTATCTTGTATACCATCACCAGTGCGATCATCTGCTCCTGCCAGGCCACCAGGTATATCTGAGCATACGTCTTTGTTTCATGCGATTGTTCGACAGCAAAATTAGTGTATCCTACATCTATATGTACCAGTTTCTATACGTTACGATATTCGAAAGCAGGGTTTCCGGGCTCTGCACTCTCAATGATCGTCTTGTTGAATCCCTTCTCTCCCGCCTTCGCCAGCGCCTCCTCAGTCGTGTAGATCTCCGCGTCGACGAGGTCCAGGGTCTTCTTCAGATAGGGGAGGATCTCCGTGAGCACCTGGACCTCCGGGAAAGGCAGTCTACGGTTGAAGGCCTGCTGAGCACCGAACTGGGCCATCTTTCTCTGTTGAATGGTCAGCCTGCTGCTCAACAAGTTCTCGTGGCTCGGACTTACTTTGAATAGCTGCACGAAGGGCATGGCGCGCTTGTCCTTGATCAGACCGCTCTTCATCAGGAGCTCGCGGACCTTCGCGTCGTCGACCTTGTCCGCCTCGGGCGCGTACGCCTCCTTCACCGCCTCCACGCACTTGTTCTGCCACTCGGGGTAGTCGTTCGTGACGTAGACGCGGACGGCACGCGGCTTGCTGGGGTCGTACGCCGCCTGGCCCTGCCTGCCCTTGTTCAGCTTCTTGAGGAGGCTGAGCTCGGCGTCACGCATGGTCTTGATGGTGCCCCGCATGTACTGGGCGGCGTCCAGGATGGACTGGTCCGTTGCCCTGGACTCGGGCCAGCGCGCGAGCTGCACGGACTGCGGCTCCTTGAGGACGGCCGTCCAGATGTGCTCGGAGAAGTGGGGTGCGATGGGCGAGACGACGAGGACGGCGACGCGAATCCACCAGGCAAGCAGTTCTGCGTGCATGCCGACGTCGCCAGTGACCTCACGGTACCAGTCACGAGTAGACTGGAGCTCGTAGAAGCCGTACTTGAGAGCGTCCTTGTACTGCATCCTGCACCGATATCAGCTTCTGCGTTCCAACACGGAGCTGCAGATACTTACTCCTCGTAACATCGTTTCGTGATGTTGACGAAATTGAGGATTTCCTCTTCGAACACACGATCGTGGTAATTCCGCTCGCCCTTGCGCAACTTAGACTGGTCCGTAGTCATCTCCTGCAAAGGTCTTGGTTAGATCACGTGAATGCTACGGAGCAGACATTCGACTTACCTCACACCACGCAATCAGCGTGTGCAGGCGCAGGATGTTGGCATTCGCCGTCTTCTCGTCGAAGTTGGCGTCCTCGATACCATCGCCAGCATCCGCAAGACATAGCCGCGCCGCGTCCGCACCGAACTTCTCCACGCACTGGCGCATCGTCATCGCGTTGCCCTTGCTCTTCGACATCTTCTGCCCGTTGACCATCAAGTGTCCATTTGTCCGCATCGACAGTGGCCACTTGTCCTCGGGGAATAGTGCGGCGTGGTTATACAGACAGAACGTGAGGTTGTTCGGGATCAGGTCCTTGCCAGACGAGCGGACCTCGAAGGGGTAGAAGTACTCGTACTCGTGCTTCATGATGTCGATCTTCTCCTTCTCCACGGGCGCCGGGTCAGGCCAGGGGCCGTTGCGGTAGAGGTACTCCCAGACCTCGTCGGTCATCTGCTCTGGGGTGATATCGAGCGTGCCGCGCTTGCTGCCGTCGGTGTTGCCCTGGAGGAAGTGCACGATTGGGTAGTAGGCCATGTAGATCGTGGAATCGCTCAGACTCTCGACGAGGAAGGTCGGATCCCAGGGCAACTTGGAGCCGAGACCGTACGAACGAGCGCACGCCCACTTGTTGAGCCAAGCGAGGACGCCCTCGAATGCGTTTCGGGTCTCCTGGTGGTAGGTCTCCATCTTGGCGAGCACCCTGCAAGTACTGTGAGCCAAATGCGGTTTCGACGAAGAACGATACGTACTTGTCGGCCTGAGCCCGCCACGTAGGCTCTCCGTAGTCCAAGTACCACTGGTCCATCAACGCGACAACACACTCGTCCGAGCTGCGCGATACGACCATGCCCTCGGGCTCGGCATATGCGAACGCAAGGCCCTTCTCGATCATGCTGTCCCGAACCTTCGTCTTGGCTTCCTGCACCGGCAAGCCCTTGAACTCGCCAATGACCATCATGCCGTTGTAGAAGCCCTCCTTGTAAGCAATCTCCTTCGCCTCTGCGAGCTGCTTGATGTCCTTCTGCGACTGGATCTTGAGCTTCTTGACCAGCGCTGCGGCGGTCATGTCGCCGTACGCGGGCGTCGAGAGAACCGGCACGGGCTCGAATGCGACCCACGAGGGATCAATCTTGTAGAACTCGGCCTTCTTGCGCAGATCCGTGAACGTCGTGTAGTCGTCAGGCGAGTCGGACGGCACGGACGTGACCACACCGGTTCCCTATGGACACACTTAGCTCGGTTATAGTATTCAGTAGGCTCCTACTCACCTTCGTCGCGAGGACGTTCTCCATCGGGAGCACGTACACCTCGGGGTAGACCGAGAACGGCGCCTGGATCTTCGTGCCCACGAGTGCGGTGCCCTCGACCTCGGCCAGTTGGTTGAGCTGTCCATGGACGGCCATGATGCCCTGGTACGCCATGTTACGCGCGGCACGATATGTGCAGACATACGCCTCCTGGTCGTTGATTGCGAAGACGCCGTACTTGATCGCTGTGCCGACAAAGCAGTTCGTCTGGCCATACCTAGCACCCAGTCAGTGCAACCCGTTATCCAATGCACATTTTACTCACATCGTCTCGGGTCGCAGAGTCGCCGCGACCAGGAAGACCTTGCGCCCGCCGACCTTGCTCTCGATCTCCTTCTTCGCCGCCTCGCTCCACTGGACGACCTCCATCCGGATGCCGGTGTACTCCTGCGGGCCGAGCGCCTCACCCTCCGAGCGGTCGTGGTCCATGCACGGCTGGCCGTCCTTCGGGCTGTAGATCGTGTACCGCTCGCCGAACTTGACCTTACCCGTCTTGTATAGGGCGTTCATCTGCCAGCGCACGAAGCTGTCATAGTATGGGTTCGCGTCCGTCGTGATGAACGAGCGCCGCCAGTCGATTCGCGAGCCGAAAGCATCGTTGTCTGCCTGTAAGAGTGTCAGTCACATGCGAGCTGTCATCTTCGACTGCCAACTCACCATGCAGATTGGCGGGAAGTACTTCGGCCAGTAGTACGGGTCCGCGAACTTGTAGATCTCCTCGCGAGGAATGCCCATCGACTCCATAATCTGGAATTGGTACTGCAAGCCGGTGGCCTTGGCCGCTACCTTGCCCTTCTTGGCCTTGTCGACGGTTTTTGGTGTCACAGACGAGATGTTCGTCACCTCCTCGGCGGGGGGCTCTTCGTCAGGCTTGAATCCGGAGAAATCGGGTCCAAACAATTCGATTTCTCGCGTGATCTTGTCCGAGGCTGCCTGCATCCGACGTTAGTCGACGGTATATGGTTGTCAGCAAAGCGACGAAAGTGGAGATGGCAGCACAGAAGGCCTCGCCGAGTGTCGTTCAGTTGGCTGACGAAAACGACACTCGGCGAGTGCTACCTAGATCGCGTCGCAGCCGGGAAGAGGCGCAATGATGCACTACAGTGACAAGGTCTTGCCCCGAAGGTTCGGTATGACACTACCTTCGATACCGCAGATCCCGGATGTGAATGGTTCACACGTCAAGACCCACTCATTTGTTCCACGACATGTTCAGGTCCAAGATGGATCAGCGCCCTCAAGAACGCTCTACCGCATATCCTGCACTGTCTTTGAAGACATGACAGGAGCAAGTTGGACAGAGATAGTAGTGACTTCCTAGTGATGCATGATCCCCTTGAAATGCGCATCAAGTCCGGGAAAGTACTGCATGCATTACGAGGAGTTCAACTACATTCCCTGATGACGCCCTTGTCTCTAGTGCCTCGGCTAGTGCGTGCCTCAAGAAGAGACTCTCATTTCTGAAATCCGCCACTTCGACTGGCCCCACTCCTCTTCAGGCGAATTCCACTGCTTTCGCTCTTGGCAGTAAAGCCAGGACTTCGACTTCAGCTACGGTGGTCGTTGCTTCCCCACTGCCACCAGCACATCCGACCAACCGATCCCGTCGGCGGGTGGTGGCTCACCGTCTGTCCTAGATCGACTACAAGTAGAGCACGTCACGTACCTTTATGGGCATGCCCGTACAGTGAAAACCAAGAGGGAAGAGGACTCTCTTGCCCAGTAGGCGGTGGTACCCAGCAGAGAATTCGATTTTCGATATTGAGAACGCGTGTCCGAGATGCAGGGAGCCGTTCATGTACGGGTAGGGGAAGTTGCCAAACCACTTGGGGTACTTCTCCCTGATTTCGGCCTGCGAGAGCCCTGCTGTCTCCTCTGGTGTCGGTGCATTGGCCTCGAAGAGACGTTCGCGTTGCCACCGTTCCTGGTATTTCTTCTCCAGCGAGATGAGCAGGTCGCGCTTGCCCGTCTGGGCGAGTTCGATGGTCGCTGACGAGGCCATAGTGCGCGTAGTGTTACAACTCGTCAGACGAGTAAGACGTGCAGCACGTCGCCAGAGAGAAAGAATGGTGAACAAGCCTCTTGAGAACAAGCCTTTGAATCCCAATCGATAGAGCCAAAGTTATACTCGAGTCATGAGCAACGTAAACGCGCTTTTTCGCGTTGTCCGGAAATTGGTGTAGGAGGCACTGTCCGGGGTCCTTTGGAGATACTTAGGCCTGATGACACCGCTTGTGTGGCTTTGTGCCACCCACGTGATATGATCGCGACGTCGCGTCGAGGTTCGCGTCGAGGTCGCGTTCAAGGCGCTTACATCCTCTGACATCTCTCATCGCGTCCGCCATGGCTTCGCGCACCTCCACTGTGAAAACGAAGACAAATAAACGAGAAAGTGAGGAATACTGTGTTTCAACTGTGCGCAACTCACCGATAGGCGAATGCGCAGAATTCGTACATTCCAACCCGGTTCCCCTAGGTGGGTAACATTCAAGTTGATTGTGCATATTTCTGATGATGCATGGCTATCCGCAACAACAGAAGAAGACTCAGATTCAGATTTCAATCCGGGCTCATTCGTGTACGAACCAACGCGGAAGAGTAAATCTGCAACGAAGTCCAAATCCACAAGCGGCCCTGGCAGCCGCAAGAAGAGGAGGGAAACTGTCGATGTCAGCGAAGACTATCAACCTCGAAGTCTGTCTTGCATACAGTTACTCTCGTGAATGATTGTGCTTATGTTTTGTGGGACAGAAGTGAAACGAAGCAAGGCGTCTGTACCACAATACAATAACCTTCTAGTGGAATGCTTCAGTACGTCTTTCAGCAGTCGTCTTATATAGGAAGAATACATACTTGTACCTGTAGAGGATTTGGGACTTAAACCTGTCTCTGACGACGAGGACGGTGTCGCCGAGGTCCAGGAACAACCCAGCGACGAGGTCTCTAATGACGAAACCGAGGAAGAGCCGGAGCCACCCGTCGTACTGAACACTTTCGCCGTGCTACAGAAGCGACTCGCGTCTAATTCCAATCGTATCAATGCAGCAAATGAAGCCGTACCTTCATGCCACCCAGTCGACGGTATGTACAATGGTTATTACAGACACAATATGTATTAACCTCGACACCATAGACTCAGAGACTGAGTCAGAGAGCGAGCCTGAGTCCGTCACGAAAGCATCACCTAATCTAAAGCGCAAAGACTCACCGGCTGGTGCTACTTTGCCGGTCATGAAGAAAGCTAGGGTGGATTCCGATGACGATTCTGTAACGGAAGAGGAAACGGAAGAAGAGGACCCAAATGCAGCACCAGCGACGGCGCCGCCTAAGGTGTCGGCAGACTCGGGGTCAGAAACCGAGTCAGACGCGGAGGCCGAAGAGGAGTCTGACTTGGTGGGTGACTCAAAGTACACATGAGTACGATCAAGATGGTCATAACATGGCTCTACTGTAGATTCTGCGGCCACGTCCCGCGTTCATCCTCGCCCCTGGCAAGAAGAGCGAAAGACCCTTTGTACTAGATCCAGGTTACTCGGTCCCTTGGAAGATCAACACGTTCTTGAGAGGCTATCAGAGAGAAGGCATTCGGTTCTTCTATGAACGGTACAAAGAAGGCAGGGGCGGTGTGCTCGGCGATGACATGGGTCTGGTACGGCTGCTAATCATGTTGTCTGATCAATTCACTGACACAAACATTCACTAGGGTATGTTGTGAAGTATTTCAAGATATGCGCGCATGCCTCACGCTGTCATAGGTAAAACCATCCAGGTCATCTCCTTTCTCTCGGCAATCATGAAGAAACACGGTGACAAGCGGGACATCGACCGCCGACGAAAACACGTCTCGCATCTCCAAGATATCAGTCCGGAATGGAAGAAGCGACGCGTGCTCCCGCCAGCCAACGCTACATGGCCGACCTGCCTGATCATCGCACCGAGCTCAGTGGTCGGGAATTGGCAACGAGAATTTGAGACGGTTGGCAGAGTCATTGCCATGTGTTCAATTGCTGATTGAGATCTTAGTGGAGCTACTTCGAGGTTGGAATGTATACCGGCACTAAGAACGAGCGCGGCGAGGTACTTCATGACTTCAAGATGGGCAGACTCGATGTCCGTGAGTATCCGACTGTATTCTGTACGAACACGCATCGGTGACATCTCTGTCCAGTTGTCACATCCTTCGAGACAGCGCGCAATGACATTGCGTTACTCGACGATCTTCCTTGGTCGTGCATCATCGTTGACGAGGTCCACCGCCTTAAAAACCCTCGCTCAGGGACTGCGTTGGCTTACGACCAGTTCACATGTACGGTCCGCTTTGGTCTCACGGGAACAGGCAAGTCATCTACTCGTCGAACGTACTGGACGTAGCTGACCCGGCCACAGCGATCCAAAACTCATACTCGGAGTTCTGGACGATCCTGAACTGGACGAATCCAGGTAAGGTAGGAACTAAGCGGCAGTGGGACAATTACGTCACGAAGCCTCTGGGGGTCGGCCAGAGCAAATCTGCGAGTGTAGAGCAACGCTCGAGAGGCATTGTAAGTTATATTGCAACTCGACGTGCATCATCAGTATTGATCGTACCCGACAGCGCGTAGCACAAGTGCTGGCAGAGAAGCTGCTCCCGCATTTCTTCCTCAGAAGGTGGGGTCCTCCTCAAGACACCGATCTTAGGTACTGATGATGTTCCAGAACGAAGGACATCATTCGTGAACAAGTCAGTCTCGTAGCCATCGCAATCAGAAACGCTCTTGCTCATCGATGCCCTGCAGCTTCCAAACAAACTCGACGAAGTGGCGTTCTGCCCGTTGACACCGAAGCAGATCGAGGTGTACAAACGCATTCTGAATACGGAGGCCGTGCAGAACATGATACGGAAGGATGAGCTTTGTGATTGCGGCTCTCGTAAGAAGTGAGGTCAAGGGCTAGAATGCGTATGGCATCGACCTGACCTTCGCCCCCAGACGCTGCAAGTGCCATTATCCGTTCGATAAGGGGGACCTATTTAGATATCTTACCGTGCTCATACGGGTATCCAACCATCTCGCACTCATATTGCCCTGTGAGTCACTACGTATTGGGGTCCCATATATGCTACTGACTGTGCGTGGAAGCCCCTACGGATACACCGGAGCAGGTACGTTCGCGGCTGAAGAGACGCACGATGTATACTGATTTAGCTTGTTGATGCAGACTGTACGGAATCGGGAACTTGCTAAGATGGCCTTCCCAGAAGGGTCGATACCGAAGTATGGGCCTGCGATCATGGTCCCAAATTTATGTGGAAAGTGGCTGGTGCGTAATATCATATTTTGTTTGTAGTCGAATTCCGACGCGATCCATACAGGTCTTGGAGTCATTGCTCAAAGATTGGCGTCGGGACCCCACGAACAAGGTTCTGATCTTCACGAAGTCCGTCAAGATATTGAAGATTCTCGATTACCATCTTCAGGCTGAAGGTAAACTCGTCGTCATGTATATGGTGTACTGAGAGCTGACTGGTTTTGAAGGCCTGGGCTTCGTTACACTCGAGGGATCGACGAGACCTCAAGATCGTAGGTAGGATCGTGATCATCGTGACGACCTGCTGACCTCTCCCTCGCAGGTATGCCGCTCATCGACAAGTTTCATGAGGACCCGGATATCTTCGTATTCTTGATCTCGACGTTGGCCGGTGGTACAGGTTTAAACCTGACAGGAGCAAACAAGGTGGTCATCTTCGGTACGTTTTGAATACTCTTGATGCACTCGACATAGACTGACATCGCGATTAGATCCGAATTGGAGTGAGTACTACCCTGACAAGTGGCAGACTGAGCGTAATGTTCTGACATCCCGTTACTCAGATCCTGCACACGACCTACAAGCCATAGACCGTGCTTATCGATTCGGCCAAACTCGGGATGTTGAAGTTTTCCGTCTGCTGGGTGCAGGGTCCATTGAGGAACTCATCTATGCGCGGCAAGTCTACAAGCAGCAGCAGATGCAAGTCGGCTACAACGCAAGTTTCCAGACAAGGTGAGCTACATAGTTGATGCACACGGTGTACTCATACGAGCGTACACAGGTATTTTGAGGGTGTCCAAGGCGACAAGGACAAACAAGGCGAGCTGTTCGGTATCAAGAATATTTTCACTTTGCATGAGGATACCCTTGCTACAAAGACGGCTGTAGGTGGCTCTTGCATGACGCGGCTCAGCAGTGATTGAATACGGTCTAGATCGAGAAAGCTGTCGTCTCCGACTTCAACTGGGCTTTGGCCAACGTCGAGGCGAAGAAAAGGAAACCCAGCGCTGACTCCGACGTTGAAACAGACAAACCACAACTCAAGGATGATGTGCGTCCCTACCTTGTGTCACCTGATTTAGTCAATGACCATAATGTCTAGGGCCAGGACTTGCGTGGCCTCGACTCTTTGCTCCTGGATGACCGTCAGTCATAGTCCGGGTCATATTGTTTTTTTGGCAGCTGACTTTGAGGGATGTGCGTACAGGGCCCGTTCAAGTCGATCGGAAAGATGACAGGATACAGAGAATTCTCAACGCTGTCGGCGTGGTGTATATCCATCGCAATGAGGATCTGATAGCTGAGAGCGCGATCGAAGGACAGCGACACAAGAATGCTGTCGAGGTAAGTCGCACAGCTCGTATACACGCGGAATCCCGCTGACAGCGTGGACAGGAGAAGAAGAAAGCTAGGAAGGCCAACGCCAAGGCTAAGGGCGGCGCAGGGGCAAAGACTGATAGTACCCCGGGAGAGGTGTGGCCGCCGGTTCGCAGTCATCACAGGCGGAAGATGACGCCAGAGGAACGGTATGTACTGCATGAGTTGGGAAGTGAAAGGCGTGTTGACCATCGCTCCAGGATGAGAGCTCGACAAGCTTCCATGATTGAGATGGGTCACATCACGAGTGCCGAGCAGCTCACTTCATTCCTGATGCAATTGTGAGTGCTCTCATACCCTCGTGTGTGCACGCTATTCATCACTTGTTCATAGCAACAAATGGTCCGTAGGACGACAGAATGACTTCCTTGTTGAATTGGACCGACACCACGCTCGGGCGGGAAGGAAGCTCTGATACGATGACGACTCTTGTCCTTTCCGGCGCCGAATCTTGTTCTCTGGCGATTGATCTCACATATCCTTGTCTTCATTATACCAACATGTAGATGTATATATGTACCGTACAACAGCTAATGTACAACAGATGTCCCTGGAAGCCGTCTAATCAGCGACGTCAATACTGACCATCGAAGCCGCCTCCGCCCCATTGGCCCATGCCCATACCCATGTTCGGGTTCATGCCCTGGTTCATCATCCCCCCGCCCATAGGTACGTTGCCGCCCATCCCGTTCATGCCCATCATCTGCTCGCCCATGCCAGGGTACATACCCCCAGGCCCGCCGACGAAATGCTCGTCCGGCCCGCCCATCCACTGCATACCGCCCTGCATCTGGCCACCGTCGAATCCGCCGAAGCCCTGGCGCGCCCCGGGCGAAAAGCCCATCCCTTGTTGGGGCATGCCCATTGGGCCGTGGCCCATACCGTTCATGTTGCCCATGTTGCCCATGTTGTTCATGTTGTTCATATTGTTCATATGATTCATCCCGCCCATGCCGTTCATGGGCGCGCCGCCCATGTTGTTCACGGGGAGCGCGCCGCCAGACATGTTCATCCCGCCCATGTTCATGTTCATCGGCATGTCCCAGCCCATCATGCCCAGCTCGCCTGGCTGAGGCATCCCGTTCATCGCCATGACGGGCGGCATCATCATGCCGTTTTGGTTTCTGAAGTTGCCGCGGGCGTGCCCGCCCCCGCCCCCGCTGGCCATGGGCATCGACATGGGGACGTTCCCTGATATTGGCGCGGTTGAGGAGTTGGAGCCCATGCCTGAGTTGGTGTTGGCAGAGCCGCCGCGCACTGGAGACTTCGGTCGCAGAGCATCAATTTCTAAACACTCATTGAGTAAGGGCTGAGACTTCCGTGTCAATGGGCGACGCACCTGGTGTCATCGGCACGACAGCCTTCCCGCTATTCGAGAGCCCCTTGACCTTGTTCTCCCATACCTCGCGATCCCACGGAGTCGCGTTCTCTTGGCCTTCGTTTTGGTCGTCTGCGTCGATTGACATGCCGTGCTCAATGCGCTCTTCCTCCCCTTCTGCGAGCGCTGTGACCCAGCCCCGCCGGAGCGTGCGCGCACGTCCGAAGATCTCGAGCCTCCGCAGACCGAGACAGAAGTTCTCGATGAGCGTATACATCTCTGGAGGCTTGAGCGTCGGGTCCGACGCGTCGCCTTCCCAGATCATGACGTCCGTGTCTAGATGGAGTCAGCGAGTGTAAGCAAGGGAGGTATCAGCGTACTCACCCACGTTGCAGTGGACGAACCAGCTGTCTGTCGACCGTCGGACTGTACCTCGGATGCCCATCAGACAGTGCTGCTTTGTCCGCGTCAAGAGAGACGTAGTAGGCGGGTCTGTCTGAGAGACGATGAGCGACGTTCAGACGCAGCATACAAACAACGCACCCCAGGCCCCCGATTGCTCGTCTTGTTTGTCTTCACCCAGACTATGTCCTCGCACCTGCGGAAGCCCCACTTCCCCATGACCTCTCGTCCTCGCTCGAGCCCTTCGCCGGAGCCGCTGCCTACCCACATCAGCACGTAGGACGGGTCTGCGGCGAGCGCGGGTATGGGCAGCTCTTGCAGGTCGTCCCATGTGAATGAGGAAGAGAACGGCGGGTCGATGAGGATGACGTCGAACTTTGCGGGATGGAGGGTGGACAGTTGAGAATATGGGAGGTAGACAGGCGGGAGAGCGTGTCCTGCGACGGAAGCCTTCTTCAACGCGAGTAGTCGCTGTTGCTTGGGATATCTATTCGTCGATAATCGCGTTCAGCATTGCACGGACATGAGGTGGATCACTCACTCCTCGAAGCGATGCTCCGGGTCCGCACCCAGCACCCAATCCTGCGGCCACTCTCCACCATCCACATAACGCTGCGAGTAGTCATTCCGGATGGTCTCCTCCTCTGGAACGTAGTTTTGATACCGCAAGGCACGCGCCTTCTTCGGGGGCGGCAGGTCCTGACGAATGAGACGAGGTTTCTGGGGAAGTTGCGGGGAAGTGGGCGGAGATGGTGGTGGTGACGGTGGTGGTGAGGGAATTAGCGGTAATCTCAGCAGGTCAATTGGAGGAGAAGGTAGGGCCCTAAGCTGGCGACGATGGTGCTTCTGCGTCGCGCGTATACGAGAGACCAGAGCTGAGTGAGCGGCTAGAAGCTCGTTTGCGGATGCGAGGCATTCACAAGTAGCACTGTTCATCGTAGTGTAGCACACAGGTCAACCTGGCTAATGTGGTTCAGGAAACTGCGCTCAAACACCGGCGCAAGGGTCACCTAACGTCAAACGTGCATCAGCGATGAATGAGGAGGGCTAGTAAGGTGCTGTACCGAGTTCAAGATGATACAAAGCACTTGGAAGCAGGTAAGTAAGTGTACAAAGACCGTAATTAAGCCGGTAACAGACCCCCAATACAGTGACGTAATGCTATTGTAATGGTGGTTATCTTTTATTACTACAGGCCTTTGAAGAACGTTCGACAAGCGTCAACCATTGCCTCCCTTGCCTTCCTTCCACCACGATGAACGTTGAACCTTGGCGGGTCCGAGACTCCGCGAACGGCATTCTGGCGAATTGATTGACTAAACTGTTCGATGATTCTCACAGGCCATCCTGGGGCCATCCTCGTACGGTAACACTTATCTCGTCCTCGGGCGTACAACATTCGTACTGACGAAGTCTCCGTAGTACGGTACATACTCGAATCCGACTGCGACCGGTCGGGCGATCTGGCCTTCAGCAAGTACAAAATTGGCCAGAATTCTGGGACACTACTGAGCACCGTTGTGGCGACGGGCCTGCCTCCTTGTTTCTGCGAACGTAGTAGCTCTGGCTCTCGGTGTCTCTGGGAGTTCTCTGCCTTCTGCCTTCGGCATGATCCTTGGTTGGTATGAGCTCTGATATGCTCGGAAGAGCATAATCTCCGTCGGTGCGCGCGGACAACAGCGGGATCATCCTCTCGGCAAGTCTCCAACGCCCTCATTCAAACGCCATATTCTTGACGGCATGTATGTCCGCCTCTTCAGGGTCATGGTGATGATTCGCCGTGTTCCTTGAGGGATATAAGACGGCTTCGCCAGGACACCACCTATATCGCTCTTCGTATCTCAGCTCCGTCATACGAACTTCGAGACAATCATGCAATTCAACATCAAAATCGCCGCGCTCCTCGCCGTACTCGTGGCCCCGCACGCGCTCGGCCAAACGCTCTACTCCATCTCCTATGACACATCCTACGATACCGCTAGCACTCCCACCGCTTCTGCGATGTGCGGCAGCCAGCTCACCTCCGAAGGGTACGCGACCTACGGCTCCATTCCAACCTTCCCGTCGCTCGGCGGGTCCGCGAACATCACCGGCCCCGACTCCGCGCTGTGCAGCCAATGCGTCGTCTTCGAGTTCGCGGGGAACTTCGCTGGCGTAAAGCTGATCAACTCGGCCGGGGGCTCGGGCTGGGACTTCGTCATCTCGGAGGAGGCGATGAACACGTTGACGAATAACGTCACGATTTACCCGCACGTCAATGCGCGCATCGTGCAGGGGCCCTACAGTTGCTGATTATTCGTCTCCACGTTGTGAGTACCATTGGATACGTCGGTCCTACCCATCTCACGCATTGTTACAGGAGATTCTTTGTTTCGGGCGAGAGGGTCCGGGGCAGTTGTGTGTCCACGCGCTATGTAGAAGCTGCTCAGTGATTCCACCCCAGACACGTCTTGCATGGTTGTTTGAGTGCTCTATTCAGTTCCATAAGGCGCGTTCAAGTGATCTGAAATGCTCTCGACGTTATATTGACTGATTGCTGGGCCAAAATCGTGACCACAATGGTACAGCAGCACTTATGTGCCGCTCTCGCTGTTGTGGAGGGTGCGATCTTATCCTATCCCCTGGGGTAGCCGGAGTTAGACTTCGTAGCCACCTTCCCGTGTGACCCAGGTGCGTCCCAACTGCAGGTCTCTCATCTGATGTGTGATTGACCTCGTGCACAGCCAGTACATGCAGACGCGCGTGCGGTCCAGTTATCGTCGATCCATCATCCGTGATACGTGCAAGCAAGCGCGCGTCCTCGCATTATAAGACCTGGCTCGCATCATCAAATCCCCCTTCCCGCCATCGTTCCAACCCCCGCACTGCTCGCCCAAACCCCCCGCTCTTATAGTATCGCCTTGAACATGGGTCCTTGCCACAGTTCCGTCGCCCACGACGATCACGTCGTGTCCTCCGGATCGCCGGCCGCCGTTCCTGCGAGGATGTTGGATCCCGCTCTCGATTTCGATGAATTCCAGAGGTGCGTGTTTGACGTATCGCGTCGATGCTTGACAATAATGCCTTACTCTAGGTTGCTCCCGGAGGTTTGCGGTCGTAAGTCGTCACTAGAGCTTTGTCGTTATGCTTTGTCTCGCTATTCGTTCGACTGATCGATGTTATCAACAGATGGGATTCAGCTCGCGAACGACCTGGGCTTGAAGCTGCAGAATTTGTACAAACAGACGAGGGACCTCGTGTTCCTCCGCAAGAGCGTCGCTGCCTTGCGCATGGCCGTCGAGCTCGCGGAGAGCCCCGTCACGAAAGCGAACCTTCTGAACAACGTCGCCGTTGCCTTACGGCTCATGTTCACCGCCACGCGGTCTGCGTCGCCCATCGAGGAGGCCGTTCTTGCTTACGAGCAGGCCGTTGCTCTCGTCGCGGATGGCCACGCCAACAAGCCCTTGTTCTTGAACAACCTGGCTAATGCCCACCTCTCTCACTATGAGGTCTCTTCCGAGATCAGGGATCTGGAGAAAGCTCTCACTGCTGTGGAGGCTGCTATGCTCTTGAATCCTGAGGCTGACCCCCAGAGGGTTGATAGGCTATCTACTCTGGGGCAAATCCATTACACAATGTTCTTGAGGTCTCATGAGAGGGCTGGCATTGACAAGGCTATATCCTCTCTGCAGGCTGCAGTGGACCTTGCTCCTGATGGCTACCTCAAGAAGTCTGGTTTTCTCACCAACCTAGGGAATGCTTATCAGAAGAGATTTGATCACTTTGGGGATGTGTCAGATATCAGGAAGGGCATTGAGGTCCTATGGAGCATCACACACCTCACACCTGATGACCATCCTGAGAAGCATCTTCAACTGGGCACTCTGGGTGGTGCATACCAGTCCCTCTTCACTCATACCCAAGATCTCTCTGATCTAGGCCAGGCTATCTCCTTGAAACAGAGGGCTGCAGATCTCTGTGTTTATGATGACTATAACAAGATGAAGCATCTCAATAACCTTGCCAATGCTCTCCAGATACACTCCCAGATACACTCTGGACAGATAGGGGATTCTTCAGGCATGACTGCTGCTCTAGCTATGAGAAGAAAAGCTGTTCAGATTGCCCCAGCTGGGACCCTCATAGAGAACTCAGTGCTCCTCAGTAATCTGGCTGGAGTTCTGGAAGAGAACTTTGAACATACTTTAAACTTGCCAGATATTGAGGATGCCATCTCCATTCAGGAGAAAGCTGTTGAGCAGACTCCTATCTCTCATGCAGACAGACCTGTTAGGCTGGCTATTCTTGCCAATGCATACAGGCTGAAATTCCTGCACACTAGCAAGCTGGCAGAGAGTGAGAAAGCCATAGACATCATGGACCATGTACTTGCTGCTGTACCCAGGAATCATCCTAGGATGGTCAGCTTCCTGCAAATCTTGGGAACTGCCTTAGACAATCAATTTGAACAGACTGGCCATCTGGCTGAGTCTGATAGGGCTGTCAATGTCCTTGAACAAGCTGTTGAGCTTTCTGAGAAGGGTTCTATGGATGCTATCTTCTCAATGAGTAATCTTGGAGTGGCTCTAGACCACCGCTTTCAGCATATCATGAACATCAGTGATATTGATAGAGCACTTGTACACAAACAAACTGCTTTGAGCTTGATACCACAGACTCACAAGCATTTGGCCAAGATACTGAGTAATCTTGGGATTTCCTACCTGCTGAGATATGACAGGCTGCACAATCCTGCAGATATTGAGGAAGCAATTGAGTACCAAAAATTTGCAGTTGAGAAGACAGATGTGGGCTCAGCTCAGATGGCCACAAGCCTCTCAAATCTTGGTACTGCATATCAAACACACTATCAGCATGCTCAGGAGGTCACATACCTACAGGAGGCTATCTCTTGCTATCAGAGAGCTATTGCATCTTCTTTAGATGATGCTACAAATCTGGCAATCCACCTGAACAACCATGGTGCTGCATGCCTTGAATATGCTAAGCACACTGGACTTCTGTCATACCTTGATGAGGCTATCAACAGCTTGGAGAAGGCAGTGGGTCTTGTACCTGATGGACATGCTATGAAGCCTGCATATCTGGGCAACTTGGCAAATGCCCACTTCCATTACTACCAGAAGGATGACACACAGTATTCTCATGCTGAGACTGGGATCGAGCTGATGACCCATGCTGTCCAATTGACCCCTGAGCACCATGCAAGGAAGGTAGAGTGCTATCATGATCTTGGGAACAAGTTCTTTGTCCAGTACCAACATACTCTGGACAAGAATGACTTGCACTTTGCCATTGTCTACCACCATGCTGCTGCAACAGCCTTCACTGGGAGCATAGCTACCAGATTTGCAGCTGCTAAGATGTGGGCACATTGTGCTTTCCAGGATTCCTCTCTCCATGATGAGTGTCTGGAAGCATATAGCTGGGCATGTAGCCTACTACCTAAGCTCATATGGCTTGGTCAGAATATGACTGAGCAATATAGACAGATTCTATCTCTGCAAGATTTTGTCAATGAGGCAGCATCCATTGCTATCATGCTGAATAAGCTTGATACTGCTGTTGAGTGGCTAGAGCAAGGCAGATCTATTGTCTGGAATCAGCTCCTACAGCTCAGAGCACACTATGAGGAACTGGATGAGCAATATCCTGAGTTGGCCAAGGAGCTCAGATCTGCAGCTCAAGCTCTGGAGAAAGAAAGCATATCTCAGTCAAATGCAAATATTGCACAGAGCTCTGTGTTTCTCCATGAAGCTGCTGCTCATCATCACCAACTTGCAGAGAGATGGGAATATTTGCTGAGGGAGGTACAAGCAAAACCAGGCTTCCATACCTTCCTCAAGCCCAAGTCCTTCAGAGATATACATTCTGCATGCAAGAATGGTCCTGTCATCATGGTGAATGTACACAGGCTGAGATGTGATGCTCTGATTCTTGTATCTGGGCAAGAGTCTGTTGTGCATGTTGCACTGGAAAACTTCACTTCTCACATGGGATCTGAAATGCAGCATGCTCTGCATGGTGTTATCTTGCAAACTGAGGTCCAGATGCGTGAGACCAGGCAGTCTAGACAGGCAAAGCTTATCTCAGCATCTGGACAGCCAAAGCACTCCCTGAGAGCTATCTTGGCTATACTATGGCATCATGTTGCACAGCCAATTATCCAAGCCTTAGGCCTTCAGGTGAGGAGATTTTCATTCACTATGCTCACATCTAATAATACATATATATTGTAGTGTCTCCCTGATGAACAGAAGGCCCATTGCTGGTGGTGTGTCACAGGACCACTTGCTATGTTGCCTATCCATGCTGCAGGACTATATGATGGTCACAGCCCTAGTGATCAAGTCTCAAGCTATATGGTGTCATCATACACCCCCACCTTAGCATCATTGACAGCTTCCCTTCATGCTGAGGCTTCAGAGTTCAAGGGGTTGTTGATGATAGCTCAGCCTCAGACTCCAGGCCAACCACCCTTGTACTTTGCAGCTGAGGAACAGTCTGTTGTGATGAGACACATGGATGCATGTCATACCCTGAATCACTACCTCAGTGGCTCAGCAGCTACTATAGAGGCAGTCCTTGATGGGCTCTCTACATGCAGCTGGGTTCATATGGCATGCCATGGGACACAGAATCTGCTAGAGCCTACAAAGAGTGCCTTCTGTCTCCATGATGGCTCTCTGGAGCTCTCAGCCCTGATCACAAAGTCCATCCCACATGCTGAACTTGCAATTCTCTCTGCTTGCCAGACAGCTACTGGGGCAGCCAACCTCTCAGAGGAGGCAGTTCACCTTGCAGCTGGCATGCTGTTTGCTGGATTCAAGTCTGTCATTGCTACTATGTGGTCTATCAGAGATGAGGATGCACCTATCATTGTTGAGGAGGTATATTCATACCTATGCAAGGACAACAGACCTCATGGTAGCAAGTCTGCCCTAGCCCTGCATGTAGCTGTGAATAGGCTCAGAGAGGAGATAGGGGTCATGGACGATGCTGCTCTTCTTGCTTGGGTTCCCTTTATTCATGTAGGACTGTAGAAAAAATCTGTGTAGTGTATCTTGGAATTGATGCTTGTGTTTGTATCTTCGCAGCGGCGGAACAGTTCAAACAAGCATTTTCGGGTTGCTGAAGGTGTGATCGAGGTTTGCCTTCGAGCCGCGATCGACGCGAAGCGCCTGTACTGAACTAGCACGTGGTGAAGATCTCCAGACGGCTCAGCCACTCGTACACTCGACCGCCTCGTCGCTCGGAAGCTGCTTCGCCCTACACGTATCGTCTATAACTCACTTACTGCAAGATGGGGAAAAAGGCAGCAAAAGCCACAAGGAAATTTGCCGCGAGCGGACAGCTCAAGAAAGTGATTCAGACGCGGCGCAAGCAGCGAGACATCAAAAAGAAAGCGGAAAAGCGCAAAGCAGGCAAGGGGAAAGGGAAGGGGCTACCGACGGACGAGCATGATGAGGACGCTGTAGAAGAGGAGCAGGGGCGAAACAAGTACGGTTTTCGCACTTCTCCGTAGCATTCAGTCCTCATGGACATAGATTCAAGGGGATGTCGGTCGACGACTTCCTCGGTGGTGGCTTCATGGAGGGTGAGGAGGACGATGAGGTGCGTCATGAGGTCGCTGAGGTTAATCAGTTCTGACGGCAGTCATAGGAGGACGCCCCGATGTCGGACGGTAGCGAAGGTGAGAGTGATGAAGAGGACATCGGGGACGACGAGTCGTTCGCCTCTGTAGATGACCTCGACGGTGAGTATAGATGCATTCATGACCGGTCGTCTCCTGACGTCTGCTTAAGAAGAAGGGCGGACACATATGCTCGAGCTGTCGAAGCTGGCGGAGAAGGATCCAGAGTTCTACAAGTACCTACAAGAGAACGACCGCGAGCTATTGCACTTCGATGCTGACGGCGCTGAAGAGGATGTGGAACTAGAGGATGACATGGATGAGGAACGGATGCCGGAAGAGAAAGCACCTGTACTGACGAAAGAAGTATTGCGGAGGTGGCAGAAGGCACTTCTAGAGGTACGTTCGCCTGGACACTCGGAATGCCAACCTCTCATCCGTCTGAGTAGCATCGGTCACTACGCGCCCTAAGACGGCTTCTCATTGCGTTCCGCTCAGCGGCACACATGAATGAAGAAGACCAAGCTCTCGCGTGGACAATAGACAGTCCCTCAGGTAGGGGTCAGTTCCTCTGTTCGGTTGCCGCGACCTGATCTTTTCGCCAGTATACAACAAGCTCGTGGTCACAACTCTCAAGTATACACCAATCGTTTTGGATCACCACTGTCCGTGTAAAACACTCGTCAATGGCAAGATGTCCGTTCTTTTCCACCGCTCGCCCTATACGTCGTACTCACCGGGTGCTCAGGAAGGGCCCCACGCAGACGCCGAAATGGAAGACGCTCCAGAAGCTCATCTTGTCGTACTTCTACAATGCGGTCCACCTCGTATCGCAGCTCAGCGACACGGAGATGCTGCGCATGGCCGTCACGGAGAGCTCGAAGCTACTGCCGTACGTCATGAGTAGTCGGAAAGCTGTCAAGGTCTATCTCAAGGTAAGTAACGTCTGAGCCGGCCGTCGCGTAGGCTGAGCTTTGCTGCTGTTTAGTCGTCTTTGGATCTCTGGTCTAGCGCAGACGACAGTGTACGGATAGCAGCATTCTTGGCCATCCGCAAGCTCGCGTCTGCCGCCGACGCGTCTATCACGGACTTGGTACTGAAGGCGAGTCGAATGATCGTTCGTGATGTGGCGCGAACTGACGTCGAGTATCAGAACACGTACCTCACCTTGGTGCGCTCGTGCAAGTCGACTAGCGTGCATACCCTGCCGTCTATCAACTTGATGAAGAACTCAGCGTCGGAGTTGTACTGCATGGACCATGCCGCAGCGTACCAACACGCCTTTGGATACATTCGCCAACTTGCCATTCATCTGCGTAACAGCATGAAGGTCAAGAGCAAGGTATGAATGTGATCCGACGCACGCTCCGAGCTCAACTAATACATTGTGCGCATCTCTAGGAAGCATACAAGCAAGTGTACAATTGGCAATACGTGCACTGCGTGGACTTCTGGACACTCGTGTTGGCTCGAGCATGCGATAAGCAAGCACAGGTGGAGCGGGGTGGTAATGATAGTGAGTTGAAGGCTCTCATCTACCCACTCGTGCAGGTATCGCTAGGCGCCATGAAGTAAGTTAATCCTCAGTCTGCAAGGTTCCAGCTAACATCGCCTCCGCAGAGTGATCCGTAACTCGCGTTCATTCCCATTCCACTTCCACATCATCCGCTCGCTCCTGCATCTGACCCAGCACACCGGCACGTACGTGCCCCTCGTGCCATACCTCCTTCCGATCCTCACCTCAACGATGACCTCGTCGTCGAAGCCGAGAGCCTCGACGCTGCGGCGCTTCGACTTCGAGGCGAACATCCGGGCGCACCAACAATACCTCAAAACACGCGTGTACAATGAAGGGCTCGCGGAGGAGGCGAGCTATCTCCTGGCGGAGTACCTCGCGAGTGGGCCCGTTCACGGGAGCATCGCCTTCCCGGAGACGGTTGTGCCGCTTGTGATGATGCTTAAGAAGGCGATCAAGGGTGCGAAGGCGTCCTCGTGGAAGGCGAAAGAGGCCGGAATGGCTAAGACCTTGGTCGAACGCATCGAGGAGAGCTCGAAGTGGGCGGAACAGAAGCGCAAGGGCGTGTCCTTCACTCCGAGTCGTATGACGGAGGTAGATGCATGGGAGAACAACGTCAAGGTCGATGAGACGCCGTTGGGTCGATATGTGAAGGTACAGAGGAAGGCACGGGAGAAGCGTCGGAATCTGGTCGAGAAGGTGCGTGTCATTGACAAGCGGTGCCCATTCGTGGGCTTGCCACGAGAGATAGCTGACACGCGTGGATGTAGGCAAGAGAAGGCGAGGACGAGATCCTGGAAGATTGAGTTCTGGGCAGATCCTGATGCGAATTGTATTGAGACTCCCGAGGGCCGATGCAATCCTGTAGCCATGCCCACAGTGCTGGCGGCGGCCTTATGTGCGCTGGCTTTGCCACCGATGAATAGACAGTGTGCGTCAGTGGGTCTAGGAAATAGACCTAGCAGTGACCGGTCTCACACGGTGCTCTGCAAGGAGTGACTGATTGACTCACGCGTACCTGCACCTGGGAATAATTTGATATGGCCATTTACAGCTCTGCGTCTGTAGACGACTCTCGGAAGTATCATGGCTCTCCAGCGACTATATTCAGAAATTTTGGGAACCGTGTCCATATCTCCCGAGAGGTCGAGCCATAGTCCAGGGTGGCCGAGCGCGTACGTCGCATCCACATCCTGCATTCAGTCCAAGATCGGAATCCACGACATGGAAGAACCAGCGGTGTTGTACTCGATATTGCCACGCGTATTGTCTTTACGCAAGCGTGAGCTGGGGCGGCCGGTCATGTATCGTTCAGACAACGAGGACTGTGCGTCTATGATCGGACTATTAGCGGAGAAGTCGGACGTTTCAGTTGATGACCCACCTTTAGCTACCAAATACCGAAGAAAATCTTCCACCAGGGCCTGCCAATACCCTTCGCGCTTTTCTCGTAGCCTTCGACCAACCGCGTGTAATACTGCGGCATAGAAGCCGGCTTCAGAGTTCTATCTGAAAGCGGATACTGCGAGGGAAAAGCGATTTCATATATGCACGGAGACGGCGACTTGGATGTACGGAATGCAGTGCGGCCTACCTTGCGGTGGAAGTGGTCATCCTGGAGCGCACGCGCAGCCGTGGCGGCCTGCGCGGTGAGACTCGGGTGGTTCACCAGGGCCTCCAGGAAATTTCTGAGTTGTAAGTTTGGACGAAACGGATCAGCTGGCCATTTTGCGGCTACGCGTTGCAACTGCTGTCTGGCCTGGCTGAGTGTGGCCATGGGGGTCTGTGGTTGAGGACCAGATGAGAGTGGCCGTCGAACTCGGAGCGCGGGGACGCGTGCATGCTCCATTACGTAACACATGCCCGAAGCGTCAAGTCCGTGTTCTGACTTCGGTCGCCACGCTCCTAACTTACATACGGTCGAAGTCTACAACCAGCCATACTCTTCGATGTCAGCACCGACCACGTCTCCCGTCAGGCGACCAGACGTAGCATCGAATGTACCGTGAAACAGTCGGAAAGGATATTGTACGCGTGTTGTGATTCTCATTGCTGTGCCGTATTCGTTGACAACTCGGGTAACTTCAAGTGCATTGCCAATTAAACGGTGCCCAAGTACCCCGAACTACACAAGTCCCGGAACACGTTGCGCACACCTGCAAAGGTGACACTATATTTTTCACGTTCATACGAGCCGCAAGCTACGTCTCATGGTGTTTTGATTGTTAATTCCTGCTGTTCTGCGTTGTTGCTACAGGGACCATTTACGCGACGGACATGTACATTCGCGATGCTATCCCCACTTGCAATGTGTCTAGTAAGTGGTTCTAAACTTCGATGCATGTATTTCCGCAGCGACAGTGCTCTATAATTGTCAGTTCTAGCGGAAATTTTCATTACTTTCCTAGAGGTCTTCTATATCGTCCGCTAGTCAGCAGCGCACTTCCGTATCACCCCGAGATTATGATCAGTTCGTGCTCCATCAAGGATGACCTCGTGGTAGTCCAAGTAGAAGGACAAATGTACGCATCATAGACCACGCCATTGTCTGAAAACAGGCATGCACTGACGGCATATGCGAAGGCGACCGCCCTCATGGCGATACGCCGCATCGATTTTCACTACGGTCTCTTTTCATCTGATCACCATGATTTCTCCGCCATGACCTAGGACGCTGTCTAACGAGTGCATGCGCTATTTGTGGTACGTGGTCTGAAACTCTCGTCCTGTGGAGCTGGTGAACGGTTCTGGGAACAAGAGGGCGCTCATCGGTCGTTCTCCTGGAACGCCCTCCATGACCTTCGGTGCAGTCGGGCGGAACACGCGCTGGTGCTCATCATGGTTTCGGCGGTGTTTACGAAACGCCTGTTTTCTGGTATTATTGTGCGAGCCTTCTCCTCACAATCGTCCACCAGGTTCCTGCGCGATGTTTTCACACCGGTCCGAACGTCGTATAACCCAGTCCCCCAGCGGTGATTATTCATAGGTGAGGACCTTGTCTTTTCCGTTCTTCTCTGCGCTAATTTGTGTATCTCACGACACTCAGTCTTGACTTCGACGGGCCACGATCCAGCCGAGCACTTTGTCAGATGCGGACGTTTCGCTTCGCTCCCAAGTGCTTCACGCGGATGCTTGGGAGCCTCGTGTCCTGTGCATGGATCTCCGCGGCTGGGAAATATATCTCCGACGTTCGCTCCCATTCAGTCGGTGGATTCATCGTGATATTCACTCTTCACACAAGGTCCAAGGATTATCCCTCGCGACTCTTGATGTCTCTGCGACACGCCTCTGCACGACCTGTCGGAGTGCCGACTCCACATCGATGAGTGTCTTTCGTCCGCCGATGTCAAGCTACAAGATGGTTCTCAGCCCTTGCATCTAGCCAGCGGCGAAGTTCCCGCCACATTGACTGGATATGACGTTCCGTTTTGAATTATTGAACACCGATTCATTTACCAGGTAATCACGCGGGTACGGCTAGCCATTGTGGCTAGATATTGCTGTCATCGCCAACAATACGCCATCCCTGCTGTTGGAACAAGGTACTAGCCAAACGAGGGCAACCCCAGGCGATGTCACTCGTGTGGTCCACACGGTTGTTAAGCGTAGAACAAATGCTCAGCCACAGGTGGCGCAAACGCCGAATTATCCTTCAATCGGTACATTGGCATGTTAGCGTTTCCACAAACCAACTTTACCTGACAGGTATCATACCGGCAGGTTGCGATTGTCATCCCTCCATTCCTTCACCGCTTACTTACAGCCGATACCATTGGTGGACGAGCTCCTGGGGACTAATCGACGGACATCGTCACACCCAGCATTCAATCGCTGCGAAGGACGCGGAACCGGGGTTGGGCTCTATATCCTTCTCGACGACCGCCACGCCAACCCCGCATGCACCAGATACACCGGTAGCCCTAGCAGCGAGTCCGGCCTGGGGGAAGCGAGTCGGACCTGGGCGCAGCGCGCGGAAAGCTTCACGGCATGGGTACTCGCGCTCGAAAGCTTCCGTGCCCTGGTGCGTGATCTTCGGTCATTTCGCTGCAGCCGACTTACGCGCGTAGCAAGCTTAGAGCTTGGACACCGGACCGCGACATCGAGTTGAAATTCACCGTCGGACTCGTCCAGCAGCTGCGACGCCACTGTCTAGCATCCGCCCGGCGGCATCCGCTCATGTCCGCGCCTCCCATCCACGCGGGACCGATTCGGATCACATCAGGCGACCCTGATCGTCGTAACTGGTAAGGCTCGTACGAGCAGTACTTGGCCAGTTGCTGGCTTCGCGTCAACTCCGCACGGCCCGCCATGTACTTAGTCGCGAAGCCCGGCATGCATCGCAGGCCACAATCTCGGCGATGAGCGACGGCCGCGCCATCATGCATATTCTCTTGCTGCCGCGCGCGCCGACACTAGTGGCGCACTGACAAGGCATCGGAGTGCTGGAAGGGGGATGGCACGCATTTGTTGGTATTGCTACCATTCCGCAGGAACCTGACGTCACATGCGTAGTCGGAATGGGACACAGTCCCGTATGGTATGTGCTGCCCTCCGAAATGTACGCACGACCGATTTATTGCGATTATCGCGTCGCCAGGCGTAACGGATCTGGATATTCATACCATCCATTCTTGCAGGGTACAGAATGTCAAGGGCGCCCCGATCCTATCCACGTCGGATGTTGTGGTCTATTGAGGTCCGCCAGGGTCCGCCCCCTTACAAATTCGAGTTACGAACCGCATTGACCACGAGCCGGACTAGATGCCGCGTGAGGAACATCCTAAAAGATCGGGTATCGTGGGCAAGTGCTAGCGCCTCGCTCGGCCAGTCTGAATACCACGGAGGATCTCCGAGGGCTCAAGATCTAGGATATTACACGTACGATCTGTCCGCTGACAGCGTCTGCGTCCAAGCCTTGCACCTCATTGCGTTCCAGGGTATGAGCTTCCTATGCATTTCAGGGTCTCCATGACGAATGGGCATTTGAGTGATGCGGGGAAACCATTCGCGTATGTGGCCGCATCGACGCGGTCAATAATATGTGACAAGTTTTACAGATCCTGCGCAAGCTAGGTTGGACATGGCAGCTGTACGTACATACCGTTGCGCGCACGCCGATTGCGATCCCGCTTCTCGTTGTGCAGGCTCCCGGCCTGCGGCTTTACGTGACGCTACCCGCCTTCCTTGACGATCGAGCCCACTTCTGTTGTCGTGCGAAGTGCGCTATGATGTGTAGCAATTGAGTAAGGGCCGCACACGTGGTGCTGTGCTGTCCGGCCTAGGAATGGCCCCCGCTGATACAGAAGGATACAGACCGGCCATCCCGAGATATGAACCAGCACAGCTTTGCGGGTGATCGAACTGTAAGTCAAGGGATCTCGACGGACAGGCGCCGTACGTGCCTCCGACCGACGCGACCATGTCCGAATGATGTCGCTTGCTCGAACGACAAGCATGGGCTTGGTGTTGGGGGCGATGAGCGTCCATGGGTGCTCGCTATGTATGCCCGGCTTCGTGGGGTTCTGACACGTTAAACCGCACTGTGTGATTTGCGAGGGGAAATCGGATACCATCGCCGACAGCATCCCGGCGAGAGACGGTGAGCAGGCGACATCTCCTCGTGCCTCTCACTAATCAATCGCAACCCGCGGTGCGCCCCTTGTTCCGTGACAGTCTCCAGGACCAGCGCAGAGTTTGGATATCGCGCCCGTTCGCGGTTGGCGACTGTATTGACGCAGTTGTGTATTCGAGGTTAGTGCGCACGACGGGGCGCATGATGCCGACGGGGTTCCTCGTCTTCTGGACCGTGCCTATTGCCTTTCGGTCAGTTGTATCAAGATCTGGGTGCAGCGTTACGGCAACGAGCGTAATCGCATCTAGCGGGATTTGGCCGCGGCCAAGAGACGAAAGAGCGGCTACGGTTTGATGCCCGGAACGATCAAGGCTTGGGATGTCGTTTCCGAAGCACGAGGATCCTTGAGTTGCCTCTCCGACGTCAGAGGTGTAAATGGGGATGTCCGGCACCGCTGCCCGTCGTTCGGTCTGCGGCGCCGCCCCTCTGTCTCGGGCATAGCCTCGCTCCTAGAACGGCGTGTCTTGTTGTGCTTCCGCGGGCCCCCGACGTGCTAAGCGTCAAGAAGCTGATAGTCTATGTTTCCAATACGGGGGCAACTGACCTTATTTCATATGGGGTTCGAGGGTGCGCGGGAGGCAGACAACGGGACGCTGACGCTGCTGCGAAGCCATGTCGACCGAAAGTTTGCGTGTACAGAGTGCGCTCAGCGCGCACGTCCGACTTCCACGATGTATGTCAGAATTTGCTCTGTTGGACCCTGAGATGCGCTCACCAGTCTGCGGAATGGTGGAAAGCTGTCTCGATGCTCCGGCGGGCGGTGGCGCTGTTCTCGTCCTAAGAACCACACTTCTGCCCGTGGGTCACCGCACGGGTTGGACGGACGCAGATGTTTCCCGCTGCCAGGACATCGCGCCGTGCCGTGCAGCGTCGCGTCCGTTCTCGAGCGGCCAGACAGTCTGTGTAGGAAACGCCGATGATCACCTGTGCGCTTGCAGGTCTCAGCGAGCAGTGTCAGTGTCGGCCCCGCGCTTGGGGACCATTGAGCGGGCTTGAGTGCAGCTGTCTTCTCCCGATGTGGCTGCGGGTGTTGATTTCGCAGGTGTATTTGCTACCAGCTTCAAATGCGCCGTCTGCTCGCAACCGGCGCGGATGTCCGGACAGCCATGCTGGTAGCAGCTGGTAGCAGCTGGTAGCAGCTGGTAGCAGCTGGTTAGGTCAGAGGTCCGCTGATTCGGAGCGTCCAGCTGAGCAGCATGCTCGGGGTGGAGGCGCCCGCACGTGCCGCTGCCCAAGGCCGTCCGTCCGCGCTGGATGCAGCGACTCCGGGCTTGTGCTCAGCATCCTCCAGCGCCGCCAGCACCGCTTTGCGGGGACCCTCAGCATTACGAGAACACGGCGAGGGCGACAGAAGCTCTCATACCTGGCCAGCCACGTGTGCGGCGAGAGATCCTTCATGCGCGGTATATGACGGGCGTGATACGTGCCATCTGTTTGTCGGCGATGGCGTGTTGGCAGATGGTGAGTGCGTTCGGTCTCTCACTGTCGTGTCTTCGTGCAGCAGTTGCGGGCCTTTCGCGCGGAAAATAATCCGAAATTGCGCCATCGGTTCTTATCAGTTCGTGCAAAGTTTCATCTGCACCGCACGGAGGGCATTTTCCCTGGATACCCCGCTGGTATGGCGGCTGGCCCGGTTCCTAGATTCCGCCTGCGATTCGATGCTGCTTCTTCGCGAGCCTCACCGGTCGCAGTCCGAGCCGTCACGTTAGAGACGTCCCTCGCATTCGGGATAGGCCAGCAGCACGCCCACCGCTGCCGGAGCGTGATGTGGCCGCCCCCTTCTAGTCCCGCCGGGCTTCCCGCCGGGCTGGAGGCAGCCAGGGCGCCAGCGGGGCAGCCGGACCCGCAGGGCGATCGGGCGTTCTTGTGGCTCGAGCGAGCTGGACTAAGACATAACGGTGGATGACTGGGTCTGCCAGCCGCGGACAGGGGACCACGGCGTTTGCCACTGCGACGGCTCGGAGGAGCCCGACAGACTGTTGCCTTCCAGTGCGGCTGAGCAATCGACCGATCGCGAGGCTGCCACCATCCTCAATTAATTTCCCCGTATATAAGTGCTTTGCGGCCCTCCCTATGGCCCTCAAGTCCTCCGAGTCTGCCAGGCATCCCCGCCATGGCCGCCCCCGCTGCCCCCGCTCGCCTCGCCCCCATCCCCCTCCACACCCTCTACGCCCTCCTCGACCCCGTCACCGTCCCGCCCCACCACCCCCGCGCCGCCTTCGTCAACTGGGGCCTCACCTACCGCTGCCGGCCCCTCGCGGTCTTCCAGCCCGAGACAGAGCACCAGTGCGAGCTCGTCTTCGAGCTCGCCCGCCGCGAGGGCAAGACCGTCCGCGCCACGGGCGTGGGCCACAGTCCGAGCGATCTTGCGTGCACGTCCGGCTACATGCTACGGACCGAGAAGCTGAACAAGATAATCGAGGTGGGTTCTTTTCTTCTTATCTGCCCTGCCCGCTTGGCTCGCCCCCTTTTTCGCGTTCGTCATCTCTGGGGAGATCCCCGTGCTGCGATCCGAAGCCTCTGCGCTTCGATCTCTCCGCCCAGGCACCACCACGCCGGCCCAGCGCACAAGCTCACCTCTTCTCCTCAGGTCAACGCCGAGAAGCGCTATGTCGTCGCACAGGGCGGTGTCACCCTCAATGCCGTCCACACTGCCCTCGACGCCCACGGGCTCGCCATGACGAATCTGGGCTCCATATCCGACCAGACGCTCGCCGGCATGGTCACGACCTCGACGCATGGTAGTGGCATTGACTACAAGGTTCTTTCCACACATGTGCTATCCCTCTTGCTGCTCCTGCCCGATGGGTCGCGCGTCCTCTGCTCCCGCGAGGACAGGCCGGACCTGTTCATGGCGTCTCTGTGCGGGCTCGGCAGCACCGGGCTCATTCTCGAGGTCAAGCTGGAGGTCGAGCCAGCGTTCCGCCTCAAGGAGACGCAGGAGTCGCTTCCATTCGACGAAGTGCTCGACAAGTTCGACGACCTCGTTCATTCCGCGGAGCACGTGCGCCTCTGGTGGTTCCCCTCGGCCGGCGTCGTACGCGTGAGCGCGGCGAATCGTTCGAACGAGGTGCGTTCATTTGCTATTCCGCTCGCGCGCGCGCTCCATGGTTGACTCGGCCACAACAGCCCAAGAAGCCCGTCGGCACCTGGCTTTGGCACTCGTTGATCAGCTTCCACTTGCTCCAGTTCCTTTTCTTCCTAGGACGATTCATCACGTCGCTCGTTCCGCTGATAGGGCGAGTGGGCGCGTGGCTGGTGTCCAACAAGACAGTGGCAGTGGATGACAGCTATCGCATTTTCAACGTGGACTGCAAGGTGCGTCTTTCATACCTGTCCATCGGCATTTGCAATTGACTGCGGCACGGCCCCTTCTAGTACCCGCAATACACCACAGAGTGGGCTATTCCCTACGCGCGCGCGCGGCTCTGTCTCCAGGAGATGAAAGCGTGGCTGGACGAGGAGCACGCGAACCCAAACGGGCTGCGCCCCCATTTCCCAATCGAGATTCGGTTCACCGATGCCGACAATATCTGGCTGAGCCCGAGCAACGGCGGCAAGACCTGCTGGATTGGAATTGTCCAATACAAGTACGTGGGCGCCAGATCTTCTCCGAGGTGATTACTGACGACGGGTGGACGTCGGACATAACCTGCGCAGGCCGTACGGATTGAGCGTACCTTACAGGAAGCTCTTCGAGCGCTACGAACAGATCGTGACCCGCTACGGCGGCCGTCCGCACTGGGCGAAGGCACACCACTTCCGGCCAGACGACCTGCGCAAACTGTACCCCCGCTTCGACGACTTCATCAGGGTGCTCGAGGAGGTTGACCCGCGGGGCATGCTGCGCAACGAATATGTCAACCGCCACTTGTTCGGCGCGCAGGGTCCCGAGTACGGGGAGCGGGTCTTCAAGGCGAAACCCTAGATCGGAGGTGGCCCATCGTCTGCTATCTGTTATTCTGGCATAATACCCGTATAATCTTGCCTGTGCATTATCTCTTAATTTTCTCGGGTCTACGATAGGAACAGTATAGTTCGGATTGTTGCAATGTTCCCCAAATAGAATAGCAAAGGAGCGCATATTCTGTCGATCCTGGCGTCCGAGTCACCTAATGATTGATATACACCGCTCGGAACAGAAGATGTCAGCGGCGGCGTGCGCAAGACTCCTTGATGGTTTGTTGCGACACGTTCACGTCTGTTGTACAGGTCTCGGAAGTCAGTCACGGAGCGTCCTCTGCGGACAAGACTCTTTGTGAGTTCCGTTGGTAACGCGCTAGAGGCCAAGCTGCTCCCTAACAGATTGCCTCACGATACGCTCGTATTCCTGTACAAGAGTTAGATCACAGTCCGGATCTTGCAGCACAAGGAGATTACGCGTACAGCTCTGTTATCACGGTACAGCTTGCAGCAATCGATGTTGGCACCGCTCTCCAGATTCGGTTCTGTTCATCGATGTTATAGCACTTTGCTGTTGGCATCAACGTGCATCATACCTGCGAGCATGGATATGACGCTTAATATGACCTTTTCCACGCTCTGCACGGGACTCCATCGTTCTGACGCTGATTCGTACATCGTCGGGTCGTCCCCCGGGGCGTGCAAGATCGAGATGCAGACGGTGCCGTCAGGGTATACTGTTCACAAGCGATAGGTGAGCGACAGTGGGTGAAGAACGGCCTTGAATGGCCTCAATAGACCTCCTCCGCGCACACTCCGAGGATGTTGCGGCCTGGGTAAGAAACGGCGTACTCACTGTTAGGGTGAAACAGAGGTGGCTCGAACTTCATCTTGAACGGGGATAGAGGGTAATCATGCGGCTAGTCCAGCGCCAGCGTTAGGTTCGGGCGATGAGCTGAAAGCGGGAACGGCACACGCACGAACGTGAGCTTGGCGGCGAAGACACCGCCCTCGAAGGGCGTGTCCCTTGGACCCATGATTAGGGCCTCCCAGGTGAACATATCAGACTCGGAGATTGGACCTTGCTCCGAGAACAACGGGACCCATCAGCGCTCGACAAGGCTGAGATGAGTTAGTTCGTACCAGCAGTGAACATGCCATCCGGTGCTCCTGCACTCGCAGCCTGAGTTCAGACGCCACTGCTCTGACATCGCAGACATCGGTGAAGGTCACCTTGAGAAGTCAGCTGCTTGTATTCTTTCATGAGCCGGTTTAGGGCGGTCCTGCTGCTGCCGCTGGCCATGATTGTGCGGGAGATGAAAGTCGAGTGCAAGTGCGAATGCAACTCCGACGTCAGTCAACGCTGCCCTGCCACACCGGGCGTCTATTGTGGAGGTGGAAGCGCTCGTAGGAGGAGGGGCAAAGAGCGCTCGAGAATAGTACTGCAAGTTACAAACATTGGCCCGGGCGGTGTATATGTTCGAACGAATTCAATCAACTGCGGTACACTATGCGAATGCAGGGTGCTGGAACGCAGCGCCGCTCAACAGGAGTAGACCGCAGTCTCTCACCGTGCAGCCAAGTTACAAGGGTAACTATTTCGAACTTGACGCGTAGATTCAGAATTGCTCAGTGGACTGAACAAGGTGCAGTGCGATGATGCAATGGTGGCGTCAAATGCATCTCTACAGCATGGTGTCGCCTATACTTAGCGCACAGAGGACCTGGGGCGTAGACTCGGAATAGACGCCTCAGTGGTCAAGATGGGCTGCGTACATCTTGTAGCTGGCACATCGGCCGCAAGACCCAGCTCGGCCTAAGATGCCCGGATGATTGTGCCCTGAACTGAATAACAACACGTCTCCGCGACAAGTGCGATGTACCTCTGTTCCCTTTCCCGCCCTGGGTCTACTGACGCCAGACAGCTGGCAGCGCCGAAGGCTATCAGACAGACAGTCTTTGTGCACAAATGCGGATAGTAATACGCCCGACACGTACCTGCCATACCGGTTCAAGCCCTGGGTACCACAATCACCCCACGAGAAGTGATGGCAAAGTATATCAAACGTGGCTCTTGTCTGGAATAGAGCGGCCTGTGCAATACAACCTCCGAAAGCGTGGCGCCTCTATCACCAGGTGTGCCTCAACAAGCGCATGTTCCCCAGGAGAAGTTCATGCCGCAGCGGAGCCAGCGTCGACCGAATTGAATTGAAGTTCACCTGTGCGTGGCGGTTCCTGTCAGCGACCTGTCATTGAGAAGGACCGAAATGAACGTGCAACCAAGAGTATGCCTGGCCGAATCGATGCCGGCAACACTCTACGGATGTGGATCCGCTACGAGTGCCGCGTTCGGAGTGCCGGATCCGCACGCCCAGATCTTTGACCCACCCATGAGTGTTGAGGAAGATATGCTGCGTGGAATACAGATGCAGGGCTACAGTACTACAGCGATTGAATACATCTTGCCAACCGGAGATGAGAGCGAATGGAAGAATAAGTTAGCGTGCAAGCCGACCATCGTCGTGTTGTCATGCGTCATCCAGTACCAGCCGTGGCACGACATTCATCGCCATCAGCTTCGCAAGAAGAAGAGTTAGCATGTGGCGTAACACCGGATTTATCGGACTCACCTCTTGGAACAACAATTTCGCAGCGTAAGGGATGGTGAGCTGTGCCATCTTCTTTGAGCTTTTGCAGTATGTGCACCAGCCGTTGTAACCCATGAGACCGCACTCCTGGCAGGCGTTGACTTCGAATTTGTCTGACGAAATCATGAGGCGCTCTAGCAAGAGCTGTGTAGCGCCATAGCCAATGAGACAGTCACGCTCCATCTCGCCGAGACGCAGACCGCCCTCCCTTGAGCGTCCTTCAGTGGGCTGTCGAGTCAGTGTGGCACGCGGTCCCCTGATGGAGTTCGTAGCCCAGATGAGTTGACCGGCCGCGGCACCGACGGCGCAGAGAAGTGAAACTCACCTTGCTCGTGCGTGCATTTTGTCCATCACCATGTGTTCTGCCACGAAGATTTGACAGTCAGTACAAGGGCTGCTACGACGTCATACTGATGGTCCGTACTGAGTTTCTGATATATCCCCATGAGAGTTAATGCCAGAGTCAGTTCACGGATCGTTGGCAGACGCACCTGATAATATATTGGTCCGAAGTAAACGTACGCTTCCATAGGCTCTCCGGTGATGCCGCTAGTAAGCATGTCCTTTCCAGCGTAGCTGAAGCCGTTCTCAATCAAGATGCGCGACATATCCTCCACCTGTCAAACTTGTCATCGCTAGTCCTTACATAGCCGCGATGTAGTTCCACGGACCTTGGAGCCACCGAACGCCGTGCCGTATTGAAGCTTGCCAGCCAGTACACCTGCCTGTGGGGAAGCGTCAGCCAATCCAGACGGCAGAGTGAACGGCGGATTGTAGGTACCTTCCCAGCCAGCAACTCGATCATCTTACCCACTGTCATACGGGACGGGAAGCCATGCGGGTTCATAATGGTGTCTGCAAGCGAAGACTCTATCAGCCTCCGTGACGGACGGACAGTCAGGTACACATACCAGGAACGATGCCCTGATCATTGAACGGCATATCCTCCTGGTTTACGATCAACCCGCATACGCCCTTTTGACCATGTCGCGACGAGAATTTGTCTCCTAGCTCCGGTCGTCGGGTTTGACGGATGAGCACTTTGATGAGTGTTTGGTCGTTCTCTGTGTCACTGATCATAACCTTGTCGATGTTCCCCGCGACAGGTGACTTGTAGGTCATGGGCGCGTTCTTGTACGGTACGGTAGCAGCCTGTCCAGTAAATGAATTGTCATTGGCATTAGTCGGCGTCTGCTTGTTAATGTAGACATCGCCAGGGTCGACACGTTCACCGACACCTGCCAGACCATCCGGCTGGATGATGTCGTACTTCTTCTGAATTTGATTGTTGTCATCCAGAGGTGCGTCCGCCAGTCGGTCGAATCTAAGAAACACATCAGAACAAGCATTTGGTACAGATGTCAAACAGCGCGCTCACGTTCCGTTAGGGTACTTCCTTATTAGCGTCGCGTTCTTGCGGAGGACCTGACAACGGCCATAGCCACGGTCCAAACTGGCCTAGCGCAGAGGGTCAGCTTCCAAAACATTTGAGGGTGCGTGAATTGTAGTTGACGAACCTTGTTGAGAATAAGCGCATCCTCGATGTCATAACCGGAGTAACTCATAACTGCTACCGTTGCGTTTTGACCTGCGGGCAGTTTGTCGTAGCCAATCAACTCTATTGTCTTTGTCTTGACCATGGGTTGTTGCGGATATACGGAGAGGTAGAGCAGGGTGTCAATGCGGTTCAGCTGGTTGAAGCCGATCGCACCGATGGCTTGTTTACCCATGGCACATTGATATGTGTTCCGCGGCGATTGATTGTGGTGAGGATAGGGGATGAGGCCTGCGACAGCGCCCAGCAGCGTGAAGGGTTCGATCTCTAGGTGTGTCGTGTTAGGCACGATGTCCGACTCATAGAGCGCTATGTACGAATCGTTCTCCTCGTTGACATCCAGATACTCCACCAAACCTTTGCGCAGGAAGTCATCGAACGTAAGTAGACCTTTCTTGAGTTGCTGCACAATCGATCGTGAGCGCCGCTGTATGTGGAACGGAGCACCGAACCTACCAAGATGTGATCGGACGTTACGCGAGGCCTGCCGTTTTCGACAATGATCATAGGACGGCAAATGCGTCCTCCGTCGCTGGCGATGAGTACGGTGCGATGGTGATGGTTGATGTATACACTGACGAATTCGCTGAACCTCCCGGCGCGTCGTAGCTTCCGGAAATTACTGACGAAACGGGTCGGGTAACGAGTGAGACCAATGATGGTTCCGTTGACATTGACGACGAAAACATTCGGGCCGTAAATTTCTGCTCCAGTAACCAGACTGATATCTGTGCAAGACAATGCGCTGTTAGCGAAAGCGCCAACGACGCATCTCAGTTCGGAGAGAGCGCACCTTCAACGCCGAGCATGAATGCTATCTTGATAATCGGTTCCTCTTCTACGTCCGTCGTGATGTGGGTCATAAGCGCCAGATTCTTGACCAGGCCGCACGCCTCTCCCTCGGGTGTATCACTTGGGCACAGCATGCCCCATTGACTGGGCTGCAGCGCACGCGGGCCACTGACCTTGCGCGTCTTCTCGAACTGCGACGAGATACGCGTCATCATTCCGAGGGCGGAAATGAAAGAGAGTCTGCTGAGGACGTGCGTGACGCCGGCGCGTTCCATCTTGAACCGCTTCAGCGACCAGTTCCCGGTAGAGATCGCGCGCACGAAGCCGGAGGTAATGTGGTCGCCCTGGAACTGCATCGTGTTGAAGGCATCAAACTCGCTAGTCCGAGAAGGCTTCTTCAGCACCTTGTCGATGGCCGACTTAAGATTGGCGTTGAACGTTTTGAAGAGATCTTCGAACAGTAGCGCCAGGAGCTGTCCCGCCCTGCCGGTGCAATGTCAGTCTCGGTACTGAACACCATGTATCCGTCGTCGATGGGATCTGACGCTCACAATTCAAGGCGCTTGTTACCGACGTAATCCCTATCGTCGACCATCTTCTCGTCGTCCATGGCCATAAGTACGCGTCGTGTCATTGTGGCGACAAAGATGGCCTTGGATCGGAAGTCCAACCCATGCACAGGTACATGCGCCAGTACAATGGTCGCAAGCGCTTCCAGCGCCTCCTCCCAAGTAGGCCGCCTCGGTCCAACTACCCGCCGATTGACTTTCACCCGAGATCCGATCCACTCGAGAGCTTGGTGTCGGGTGAAGATGCCTAGCTTAGCCGCCTCCTCGAGATTCGGCGAGAAAGCAGACTTGTAAGCCTCGTGGTTGCCCGCCGTTAGGAGGAGAATCTCCTTGTCGGACTGAATACCGAGCGCCTTGAGCGCGATAGCGATCGGCACGTCCTCGTGTATCGAGTTGTGACGAAGGTATATTTTGCCTTTCTTGGTGGCGACGTAGGTTTTCGACTTGAGACCTCCATGCGTAGATCTGGAATGAATTGAGCAAAGAGGCCATGCAAGCGCCAGAAGGGGGCACACACGATGTACATGACGCCTGCACGATGCCCTTCGTCGGGTCAACTTCGACAATAATGCGGTTCTTGCTAAGCTGTTCTTGGACGAGAATGACCTTCTCCGTGCCCTTAACAATGAAGTACCCTCCTGGATCCAGAGGACACTCCGTCATTCGCGCAAGCTGCGCCTCGTTCCTCCCGTTCAGCCAGCACTTGTTACTCCGAAGCATGATAGGAAGTCGACCGATGTTGACGTTCGCTCTCCGCACAACATTCTTTCCTCGCGTATACTGGATTGTCACGAGGATCGGCGCGCTGTACGTCGTGTCCCGCAAGCGACACTCGTGCGGCGTAACGGTCTTGTCAATCGCGTCTGCGTCCGTGCGATCAGGAAACCCGACATGGATGTCCGTGTACTTCAGCCAGAAGCGGGGGTCAACATCCGACGTGACTTTGTTGTTCGCCTTCAATATATTCTTGATGTCGACGTCCACGAAGTAGTTGAACGAGTCAATGTGCTGCTTCACCAGACCCTTTACTTTGAGGAAGGCCGGAAGCAAGAGCCATTTGTCCTGTTAAGTCGCATTCATATTAGCATGCCGAGGCGAGAACAACTCACAGGCACACCTCTACACACTTGATGGGATCGGTCAATCCCAACCCGCGCCAGTTAGGTTGACTGGCCTTTTCCCAGTGCTCGTCCCCCTCGTAAGCTTCCATTTCTGGAGCACCACGAGATAGCCTGCTTCGCTCTTCGCCCTCGTCTGGGATGCTCCTAGACCTGAGTTATGACGGGGGGAATCGTGAGGGTTTTGAGAGCGAGACGCGAATTCAGGATGAGCCGAATGCAGATTCGCGGCATGCCTTAGGAAGGAATTCATAAATACGATTCCCACGCTTAGCCCGGATTATAAAAGCTTAGCGCTCGCCCGACCTCGCCTCTGAATCGATCCATCTCTGACTGCGAACTACGACCCCCCTCCGACGACATTGAACAACATTGTCAACGATGTCGAAACCGTCGGCGCCGACAGCGACCCCTTCCAATACTATCCTTCTCCGGCGCCAGCTCGCTGAGATCAAGAAGCGGCCTCTCGAAGGTTTCTCAGCAGGTGCGTGCAGTCCCCGGCACTTGCCTAGGTGGTGCAATTGGTGGTTGACTGTTCTCGCCGTGTTTCCATCGTATGCATGATTCCACCGCTGCTGTGGCGTTGGTATCTGTAGGACTCGTCGACGACAATAACTTCTATGAGTGGGAAGTCATGATTATCGGGTCAGTACATACAGTGGCTTTCGTCTCAGCAAATACTGACTGTGAGCTAGGCCTCCCGATACCCTCTAGTGGGTCACGATTAGTAGTGCTTCGCCCCGATTGTTCTAACTTTTCCCTTGCTCTTCCCTGCAGTGAGGGCGGCTTCTTCAGAGCTCGGCTGAGCTTCCCGGAGGAGTTTCCCCTTCAGCCACCCAAGATGAAGTTCCTCACGCAGATGTGGCATCCTAACAGTGAGTCTTGTTATGTAGTGCCATTGATTGTAACATTGATTGTGCAACCTTTCCAGTCTATCAGGATGGCACCGTATGCATCTCGATCCTTGTAAGTAGCTTGTGTCCTCCTTGCGACCAAGCAGACTTACGAGTTCTTACTCTAGCACCCTCCTGGTGAGGATCAGTACGGTTATGAGGACTCGGGAGAGAGATGGTTGCCAATCCACACAGTGGAGTCCATTGTGCGTCATACTTCTTCTCTATACGAGTCTCCTCTGATTTGGTAATTTGGTGGGATTAGCTGCTGAGTGTCATCTCGCTTCTCTCATCCGAGAAGCCCAATACAGACAGCCCCGCGAACGTTGATGCCGCGAAGGAGGTCAGGGAGAACTTCGATGGTGCGTACCCGCGTTCGGTATCCTCGACATCCGCTTACGAATGCATCGCTTCACGCAGCGTACAAGAAGCGGGTGCGCCGCCTAGTCCGGAGGAGCGCGGAGGAGGCTTACGATTGATCACTCCGCACCGGTCCGGCCCGTTCTCTCCTTCCTTCGGTCATTGTCGTCATCGTCGCTGTGTATCTCTATCCCACTGTCTGTGCTATTCCTCTCGAGTCAATCGCATCACTCTCACACCTGTCCATGGCTGGCTGGCGTCACGGATGGTGTACATATCATTCACTTAACGACTTCTATATCCTGCGCGAATGTCATTCACATAATTCTACCTGTGCCCGAACATTTCTCCTCTGCCCCCCCCCCCCCGACTCGCCTTGACCGTTATGTTCACTCCGGTATCATCATTGTAGGTGGATGAGTCATCACGCTGGTTGGATGGGGTTTTAGCTACTTAGCAAGTCTTGCGGATCGTTCCTGGTCTCGCAGGGTTGAGGCAATCCAGTGGCGGACGTACGTCTTTACTGGCCTCGGCCAAGCCTGTGACTTGTCACAGTGAGTGTTTTTATCATTAGTATTGATGACTCGCAAAGTGCACGTCCGCTCAGATGATGCCGACCACAGATACCCACCATTTGAGTCGGGGACGGACAGCCAAGATACTCGTCCGGCCGGGGGGAGAATTGGACTTGTACTTAGAGACGCTGAGCCTGCCCGGGGAAGTCGGGATTTCATCTGCAGGCGTTAGTACGTGTCTACTCACCTACAGCTGCAGGTGCTTGGTCAATATGGGCCATCGAACACTGGTGGACAAGATAGACGGAACACTGCAGACCTTCAAGCATATGACAATCGACAAACTGTTCGACTCGGAGTGAGGCTAACTGTATACTAAGGTGGGATATGGTTTCAGCTTGACATTTACGTGGTACGCCTTCCGCTGTAAGCGGTAAGTAATGACCTACCGGCGTATGATGCCATTTACTTACTTACCACGATACGCTTGCCTTGTTCAAACCAGCTCCCAGTATACGAAGCTGATGCTCCCGCATATTCCCCACCAGAACCTTCGTCCCAACATGCCAGCGACATTGGATATGGTGGCTAAATTTGCGAGCTCCCGTGCATACGGAGCTTCCACGATATAATACTCTTCCTCCGGCCCAGTGGGATGTTGTCTTATGTCTCTTGTCCTTCTGAACAGGAAGATTGAGTGAGTTCCATCATGCCTTGGGCTTGAAAAGACTCCTAAAAGGCCCTACCTGCGAATGTCGATAGATCGCGTTGTGCTCATGTCTGTACTATGTGGTCGGGGCGCGCGAATCCGAGCTGGCCCGCCTCGTGTGGATACGGACCTATTGGGACTTCTGGTGTGCGTGTACTACTAGTATGTCAGTAGCAATGGAAGCATCATCACTGTCCGTCTCCGACTCAAAGAGCGCGTCCATGCTTGCGGTGATATGCACTACTAACGCCCCGATCACGATTCAGCGCCGCGAGCCTTCAAGTTGCGTAGCACAAGCGGAAATGAAGGTAAATTGACAACTGCCATTGGAATCAAATTCGTTCCGTGGTTCTGACGTACCGCCCACAGCAATCTACAAGCTTTGTAGAACAATGGCTGACATTAAAGTGAAACACAGCGCTGAAACCATTCATCGCGATGGGGCTACGCGCTCACTGTTCTCGGGACGCGCTTGCAAGGCCTTCAATCATCACAATTCGCAGCTAATCGGAGCGACAGTACAACGAATGAGGTGCGTTATGTTGACAAGACATATCATTCCACGTAACTTGCGCTAGTGGCGATCTACTGACCGCCCATCCGTGACATTCCCATCATCTCCACCAGCTTGTACACGACGCCTTCTACGAACTTCCCATCGTTGATATCCTTGTCAACGTCCACGACCCGGACTTCGCTTCCATCGAGGCCGTCATTCACCGCTGCAAACAGCGCCTCGTCTGCCTCCGGGTCCCAGAACGGTGCGTCCTCGACGCTCAGCGCGCTCACGCCCCTCCTTGGTATCCAGATCTCTGTGATACGTGGGTCCGCCTGTTTCAGCCTTTCGCCCACCTGCCTCCCAAGGATCCGACAATCCTCTGGCGACGTGCGCAGGAGCGTCATACTCGGGTTGTGTTTGAAGAGGTTCCGGCTCTGATACTTTGCCGGGACAGTATCCATCGGCCCGAAGTTCGCCATGTCCAGCGCACCCACTGACACGACTTGCGGGATCCGAGCAGCGGCTGCGGCAGTAAGCCGTCTGTCTCCCGCGCTCAGGACGCCGCCCAGCAAGGCATCCGCGAGCTCGGTCGTTGTGAGGTCAAGGATACCGGACCAGAATCCGGACTCTGCAAGCTTCTCGAGCGCCCTCCCACCGGCACCGGTCGCATGGAAGACATAGGTGGTGCAAGGATAGGCGGAGAGCAGCTCTCGGGCGTAGGTCACCGCGGGCGTGGTCACCCCGAACATAGTGATCGCGATGCGCTTGTCCCCAGGGGTCATACGGATCATCCCAGTCGTCGGAGACGATGCCGAGTGAACGAGGCGGGATTGTTCGGCGCGAGCCATACCCGCAATCGCACCGGCCGCGTTCTCCAGGATGGGAGACAGGATGTCGTTCAACCCTGCGATATCCACCACGCTGTGCATCATGGTGACATCGCTTTCGCCGACGTACGCCTGTACGTTGCCACCAGCGACAGTACTCACGATGAGTTTCGGGAAGCCGAGCGGAAGAGCAGCGCGCATGACTTCTGCGCAGAGGGACGACCCGCCGCTTCCGCCCAACCCAATAGCACCGTGTATCGCTTGCTTCTGATGTAGCGACGAAACCAAAGGGATAGTGTGCTGTATGATAGTTGAGATAAGCTCCCCACGAGGGAGAACTTTGAGGTCCGGAGGCGCAGGTAAGCCTGAGTAGGCGAAAATATCGGCTTGCGTGTACGCAATGGACGGATGAGAGCAAGAGTTCCTGCCTACGTCGACCAGCTTGCACTGCACGTTATGCTCGTCCACGAGTTTGTCGTGGACGTATATGAGCTCGTTCAGCTTCGTGTCGCAGGTTCCGATGAGGAGAACGGTGGGGGACGACGTCGACATGGCTTTCCGGGTTCAGCTGGAAGTTCGGATTGCATAGCGCGGACTCCAGTGGGGAAGGCATGAGAATCGTAGCAGCCATTCCATCTATGTCGGGTCATACTCGCACCCCAGCTGACATAGGACATGGCTGCTACCGAAGTAGTTCAGCGGATCGGCATGTCGGAGTGCCACTCGCTGCACATGACGTAGCTGACGTAGTTGCAGTACTGAGTACGTGACCCGCAGAAGCGTCACGCAGCAGACATCGATTCCACGCACTTGCCTACCTTTGTCCTAGACCATATCAGAGATGCCTCGTCCATTGAACAGGGAGCAGGCACTCGCACGTCTCCGGGAGACGATCGCGTCGGGAAAGATCATCCTAGGTGCTGGAGCAGGTCAGTCTAGACAGCGACACGAGCATGCCCTATATGCTAACCTGAAACTTAAAGGAATCGGTCTTTCAGCCAAGTTCATTGAGAAGGGGGGAGCGGATCTAATCGTCCTCTACAACAGCGGCCGTTTCCGCATGGCGGGACGTGGCTCGCTTGCGGGCCTCATGCCCTACGGCGACGCCAACGCCATTGTCCTTGACATGGTTCGTCCGGTATTGACCGCACATTGTCTGCTTCGCTAAATCAGATCGATACCTCACAGGCAAATGAAGTACTTCCAGTCGTGCAAACTGCCGGGGTTCTCGCAGGCGTCTGCGGGACCGACCCATTCAGATCCATGCCGCGGTTCCTTCGGCAGCTAGTAGACATTGGTTTCTGCGGCGTGCAGAACTTCCCCACTGTGGGCCTGATTGACGGCACGTTCCGCCAGAACCTAGAAGAAACTGGCATGAGCTACGCACTGGAGGTCGAGATGATTCGGGAGGCGCACCAGCTCGGGCTCCTGACCACGCCTTACGTCTTCGATGTCGACCAGGCCGTCGCCATGACACGGGCAGGTGCCGATGTCCTCGTCGTCCACATGGGCCTCACCACCTCAGGCAGTATCGGGGCGCAGACCAGCGTCACACTGGACGACTGCGTGAGCACGATCCAGGCGTGTCGAGACGCTGCTGTCAAAGTCAATCCGGACATCATCGTGCTGTGCCACGGAGGACCGATCGCACGGGCAGAAGACGCGGATTACGTCTTGAGCAGGACGAAGGGAGTGCACGGGTTTTTCGGCGCGTCCAGCATGGAGCGTCTGCCGGCGGAGGTCGCAATTGAGGAAAACACAAAGGCGTTCAAGCTGCTGAAACCAGGAGTATGAGGAGGGGAGGGGACCAATGGAGTAAAGGAAGCGGGCAAAGGAGCATCAAAATTCCTTCGAAATGCATGTAGTTCTATATTCATGGCGGCAGTGAGCGTAAAGTCTTACCCGACCTCTGCGGTGCAACGGACAGCGCCGCCGGATGCGTTCGCTTTGTGGAGTTGACCGACAACTTGGCCGCACCTGCAGGCAACTGACGGCGTATTCCGGGAACGTCCATGTGGAACACGCACTGGCACTAGGAAGAGCGGCTGAGTCCCGACTACGGCAGCTTTCAAGACATGAGTACAATGTCAAGATGTGGCGCTCACCAATACTCTGGGTCGGTACGCTTGAAAGCGCTGGGTGCTCCGGCATTCCACCCGTGAGTTTGCGGAAATAAAGTAGAGCCCATAAGTTTGCAGGCACGGCCAGATGAGGTGTATGACTCTCCGCGATTGGCGCTGGCAAGGTAATGTGTGTCTTCTGCGAGCATGCGGCGTTGGCACTCACATGCAACGGTGCACGTAAAGATGTGTGGTGTCCCGAAAATGATCGGACCGCTTGGTGTACGAAATATGATTGACGACCGGTTGGTTGCTTTGGAACTGTGTCTTACGCCGCGGACTAGAAAACAAGTATTCCTTTCTGTAGAACACACTGCACAGTATGAGAGCGGTTTACGAAACAAAAGTGCGCGTGCAGTAGAATATAAATCTTACCCCAATTTCAGCATCATCGAGGGAAGCTACGCTTGACATGCTAGCGGCTGCGGCGGATGCTAAGAGAGCCGCACTGGTGGCTCAGGCTGTGGTGGCCGTTGAGCCATCCAACTACGGATAGAAGAAGTGATGTTACAACACAGGGTCTGAGGGGGCATATTCATACGTTGGATCTCGACGGTCCCTGTGCAAAAAGCTGAACGAAGATGGGATTGAATGGATAGCAAATAAGATACCACTTGCGTGAGATATCGACGTCGAGCACTCGACGAGCTGTGAAGGTCTCGGATTGCTAGTTCCTTGGAACCTGCGAGTCCCATAGTAGTCAATCGCCTCGGGCCCATGATGTTCCCCTATCGGGGTGGCCTGATGAACGAGACCCTGTCTGTACCCGCACCTCAACGACACGGGCAAATTGAAATCTGTCAGCCGAGATATGCGTCAGATCGAGGCGTGAGTGCGCGAGAGAAAGGATAGGCAGGCATAGGGAGGCAGACGTTCTACACAATCGGTTAAGCCGCAAGACCAAGACATATCTTCGCGCCAACTGCAGAATATGCAAATTATTCAGGTTGCATGTGCCGCAACAGTGGATGGCAGCGACTGCGTGTGAAACGCATACCTCGAACTGTAGAAGCCGCTCGGGAGCTCCAAACGCAATGTAATATGTGTCTTGCCAAGCGTAGCTGTCGACCAGGACGAGAGCAGAAACCCATTCAATGCCTTACGGCACCGTAGGAGCAAATATCTCCACACCAGCACGCACCGCTACCGCGCTGTCAGACGTCGCTGTGACTGCGCCGGAGCTGAGTTGCACCAAGAGCGCAACGCTCGCGGAGCTACACCCTGTGTAGATACTAGTTCATCGGGTCTAAGACAGAGAGGTTGTCAGCACTCTTCGCCGGAGACCTGCCTCAACAAAGTTCTCGGAATTACGAGAGGCTGGAGGCGGTGCAATGTCCGTGTTAGTTGACCTTACATTCCGAATGGGGAATAGGATAGCTCACGGCTATTGTTTTAGTTGCCTCCGTTGCAAACCAGAACAGACAGGCGGACGTTTCGCCTTGAAAACGGGTTTAAAACCAGTAGTCGATTCGAGAAATATCCGTGAGATGGCTAGGCCGTGTAGGTGTCATTGCCAAATAATTGAGCCATGGCCCTTGAAAAAGCTCAGGGAGGTACTGAAGACCAATCCCCCATAAAGATGTCCGAGTCTGCAAACTGAATGTCAGTGCCAGCAAGCTGGCGACTGCAACAGCCTCCGAAGCCTTACTTCTGAGGCCCGTGGTCCATTGAGAGCACAGTGAAAATGCATACGTACTAACGCTTTTGAAAAACAGTGTGAAGCACGGATAATGAAGCGGTCACTGCTTGAGTAGTACAGGTTCCTTGGTGAGAAGGCTATTAGTTGAACTTGAAGGCACGATGTTCGGTGGGCGCTGCGACCAAATCGAGTAACTGGTCCAGGTAGCGCGGGCCGGTGAGCGCTGGTGTCGCAGCCGCACGCGTCCCACCGCGGCACTGCCATCTCCGTCTTGCTCGTTGCCTGCCCCGTCGACGCCGTCTATCATGTCCAACTCAGCAGAACAGTCCTTCAGAAGTAATCTCTCTCAGTTTCGCTGGGCGCAGGCAAACAACGCAGATACCCAGCAGGACGCGGCCGGCCCTCCTCCTGGGCGGTTCGCGCGTTTCTACGACGCCATTGGAGGTGGCTACATACCCTTGCGATCGAGTGAGCGGTCAAATGACGAGGAGGCATACTTTGCGTTGTCAAGATGGGAGAGGTGAGAGCACCCCGGTAGTTGTCCAGGAGTGAACTAACGGAATCACTTGCGATGTTCTGCCCACCGTACGTGGCCATATTTGTTCGCATTCGACTCGCAGACTGTTAGGATTTGGAGGCTGCTTGATTGGAGCAGCAGTCTGCTTCTTCGTCGCATTCTTGACATTACCCATGATTGCTTTGCGACCGGCAAAGTTCGCACTTGCATTCAGGTACGCAACCCCGGTTCATTGCCTTCAATCCTGTCTGACGCACTGTTCTTTGTATAGCCTGGGGAGCTTGCTGATCATGTTTGGGTAATTATAGCAATCAACTGTCCGTTCACGACTTGTTTTGACGTCTCCTCAGATTCTCGGTCCTCATTGGACCAATCAACCACATGAAACACCTCATATCCAAGGAACGCTTGCCGTTCTCATGTGCGTACATCGGTAGTTTGGCACTTACACTATACTTCTCCTTGGGTGTAAGTCTCACGTTGCGCGTATGTTCGCTTGGTGCAGGGCTGAGTACACTTTATGTAGCCACATTCATATATCGGGTCGCTCATAGGCGCCATCGTACAAGTGAGTGTCATGAAGTACGTTCCGTGCACCGTCTGACGTCTGTATAGGTTGTCGCTTTAGTCTCTTACGTGCTCGCATACTTCCCAGGAGGTATCACTACACTGCGCTTCGGCGGCCAGATGGCCCTGCGGGGGGCCGGCAGCCTGCTCCCGTTCTGACGTGTATATTTATGTACTGTTGTTATCGTGCGATGTTCATGCACGCCTTGTCTGGTGCGCTCGTTGCGAAGAACTGACGATACATATTCACAAGATTCTGTCCTTGGGACCCCTGCTTTAAAATCACAATATTCACGAAATGGACGTATCCCCGTCCTGGTCCGGCTCTGGTTCATCCTGCAAGCCCACCGTGTCCTTGATCCTCCGCGTCATGATCTCGATGTAGCTCTCGTATGACTGCCAGTCTTTCCCAAGAGTTTCCTCCGTCTGGCGCAACTGCATCAGCATCCATGTTACTACGCGGGCTTCGGGAAAACGCACCAAGTCCAGGCTTTCCAGCCTATGAAATGCAGGCACAATCTTCCTCGCGGCTTCCATCTTCAACGTCTCAACGTCAGGCGAGGACGAGAAGCGCATGGCGTGTGATATCGAGCCCTTGAGGTCGGGGTTGTTGATGTGCCTGCCCTCGCAGTAGAAGTCGAGGTGTCGCCACAAGAGCAGCAGGAGCATCTCCAACGAACCTGTCCGGTGGCCGTCAGCTCGAACGTCCTGACCTTAAGATTAACACTCACTCAGTGTGATGTGAGCGCGCCGGCTGGCCGCTGTGCGCCAACGTGCCAGTTCTCGTGCGATCAGCGACTGCCTCTGCCGCATGTCGAGGTTGTCCAGCAATGTGGGGTCCGACACCGGGACGATCTGCATCAACATTAATTCACGACCTCGAGAACAAGGAGATACTACGTACGTCCTCGATGTTCTCCACTCGGACGTAGGCCTTGGAGTTGAGCTCCGCCGATATATCCGCAATCCGTTTGAGTGAGGAAGACAGGTCGTCGCACAGATGGTTCAGTGCCTCGATTGCGTCGCCGACGGTCGGTACAGTAGCTTCACGAATCATTAGCCCACAGCAATCCAGGGTCTACAAACTAGCACGTACCGAGGAAGCGAGACGTCCTTTCCTCCCTCGGCGTCGTTATGATCGGTGAAAGAACAAGCGTGATGTCCGGTTCTATGACTGTCAGTTGGTCGCACTTTCTGTAGATCATACATATCTCACCTGTGAACTCGCTAGCAGTACCCAAATATGCAGTGAGCGCTCTCCGAAGGAGTCGTTCCCTGTCGTGGACGGCGAAACGGAACTTCGTTTCCTGCCCATAGGCTGTGTGCCGGATGAGTGTCATATACCAGAGACGAGCGATGTCGACTAACCTGGACTCGTTATGCCTGCGTCAACCAGCTCGGCGTCGCTCTGTGGTTTCACAGCTTCTGACCAATGTGCGTTTCCGAGACACACTGTGGCGAGGCTTGAGATCGCGGAGTGAATACCTCCAAAGCCCGAGCTGGAAAACTGTGGATGGTGAATACATTTAACATGTCAGTCTCGGTTGCGACTTACTAGCTCGCTCTTGGGTACAAGATGAAGTACGTTGGCACATAATGAGACGATGAGACGCATCTCCTCGATCACGGCCAGAGAGAGATCATCAACTTCGTTCTTGAGAAGTATGATCAGAGTGTCTCTGTGGCTTGAAAGGAACTGCAAAGCCTGTGTAGGATATGCGTTGGACAAGTGGAGCGGACACAGTGAAGTAAGGACGCACCTGGTTGACTGCTGTCGTATGCCGGTGGCCAAGCGTGACCAATATTCCACCAACGAGCTGAAGAGCCGGCAAAAACAGTTGATGATACCTCTGTACTGCGGAAGGCAAGAATGAATCGTTGTCTACATAGTCACGGTCAACAGGACATAGTATATGCGACCCGCGAAGGCTTACCCATGAATGCCTGATCAGCCTCTGGCCTCGCGTCAAGATAATCGCAGTCAGCCAGCACAGGGATTGCTCTAGACTCGAGCAGTCGCTCGGCTCCTTGACGGCTTTGTGACATGCGAATAAGGTGAGACATCTTCGCTTCGTAGACGTACAACATATTGAGATCATCTGCAAAGTAACGTTGGTTACTGCACGTTGACGAGTCCGACAACAAGCGGTACGAACCTGGATCAGGCTTCAAAACAGCTTGAAGTCGCAGATCTGACTCCTTCAAGCCACCGACGAATCCGGCAAGGAAGCCATGCCGCGTGAGTGCTTGAAGCACCGTTGGCGCGTGTTTCTCCCAGCGAGCTAGTCTAACCAACGAGTCAAGCAGCATGAACGCAACAGTCTTCCAGACTTCCGTCCCATCGATGGCATCTCGGGAGACGACTACGACGAGGCGCTCCATGACGCTCTTCAACACAGAGAGCGTACCACTGATGTGAGTCGCTTCTGCTTGGGAGCGAGGGAACCCGACGGCCAGGCTGTCCGGCGCAGGGAAGCTGTCTGGGCTGGTCGACGATAGCAAGGATGAATCCAAGCTGGGTGCGTCCACATCTCGTGCGCCATCCGACGACAGCACCAAATGCAGATAGTTGACGAGGCATGCGTAAAGGTTTCCCCGAACAAGCTCAATCCGACTATTGTCCACGATGCATTCCAGTATGCTGCGAAGGAGAGCGTGTAGCCGCTCTGCAGGTAGTGAGCCGGCTTCGACGTCCCCACCTGCTGAGCGCAGGATTATTTGATGGTGCCGATCTTCGCGCAGCTTGGTTATTGTCGAGAGCATCGCTTCCGCAAGCAAGATGGCAGTTGGCTCCTGGGTATTGGTGGATCGCATGATCAGCGGCATTACGTGGAGGAGATCGAAGAGCATGTCTTCTCGACGGTCATAGGGTAACCGGTTGAAGCATTTCATGAGAGTCATATCAAGGAGTCGCCGCCAGGCCTCGTAAGCACTTACAGCTGCGAATTGGACCTCCCGTCGATGGTTCTCGATGGCACAGCTTTCCAACACGTAGATGCCCTCGGCCGTCAGCTGCTGAAGGTGCGTAGGCGTCATGACTTGATTCTGGGCATGAAGGGTCCTACGCGCTGATGCTAGCAACGATAGCAGAGCCGTCCGGTCCACTATCTCGCACCCGTCTTCATTCACGCGGACGCAGCTCTGCAGATTCAACTGCCCCAAGAACTGTAGCTCCACGGGCTGAACGATCAGGCTATCAGACCAGTCGAAGTCCAGTGACTGGAGGAACTCGATCATGCGCAGATGCGACTGGCCAACCTCGCGAAACGGCTTGAACGCATCGCCCGTCCAGGCTTCCGCCCCAGGCTCGACGAATCCACCCTCGCTCCCGAAGAGAAGTTCCAGCAGTTCCGCGACTGTCTTGTGATGTCCCTTGTTGACCAGAACATGGAGCTCGAGGGCGATGAGGTCCATTATCCACGAACGGAGCTTCAGGAACGCGGAAAGGTTTGGGACACTGGTGACGACGCGCGAACCATCGTTGTAGCCGACTTCCACGAACGGATCCTGCTCGGCGGCCGGAACCTTGAACGGAATTGCCGCAAGATGTCGCGCAAAGAAGTCTTCGCGTGTACGCAGATATCGCATCGTAGAGTCGGAAGTCCGGGGGTGCTTGCACAGCTCGTATATGACGTGGTAGCATCGTTCCGCCAAGGCTGGCAGGATGGCGAACAGGGCATCGGGAGCGCCAGTATGTCTGCGCTCACGTCCTCTGCCTTTCAGCCTAGGTACGCCAGAGTTCAGGAGATCGAGTATCGAATGAACGCAAGATCGCCGAGCGCCGAGTGCATGGGGGTCCTGAATCTGGTTGGCCACAGAGCCACCGAATAAGAGCCAGTGTGCGATGTTAGGGTAGGCCTTGTTTTGGTGCGTGTTGTGGATGAGTAAGTCCAGAACAGCGATGCGTATGGCCTGCAAGAGCGCATCGGATGGCTCATCGACGGTAGGTGCGCCGGCTCCCGTACTCTGCTCTGCAAAGGTCTCCGCGGCATCTACGTCATCCAATACATCACAATCCATGATGGCCACGAAGCCGTCCAGGATTCTGTCAGACTCCGCACTTCTGTCGATGAGCAACGCAAGTTGCGAGAAGGATGACGAAGAAGCCAGGGCGGTTAGAATCTTCACGCTGAGCAGCATAAGCTCAGGGTACGCTGGATAGGCCACATATGCCGCGACGGCTGGGACGTGCTCAGGCGCATAGGAGAGAACCTGCTCAAAGCGCGTGAAGTACGACGCATGCGGTACATCTCCCACGGTAGGATCATTGAGCTCGGCAAGCATCGGGAGGAAGACGTCCAGGAAGATGTCTTGAATGTCGAGAACACGGTGAATGATACGCAGGACGCGCACGATTGTGGTCTTGAAGAAGTACTCTTCCTCTGCGAACCCTCGGTCAAGGCCGTCCAGCCCATCGACTAAGTAGGACAGTATACTGGCCTGCAGAGTCGACGTAGTGAGGAGCCTCTTCATCATGTCGTAGCCGGGGTGAATAGCGAGATGTAGGAGACCATCGCCTTTCGGCTGCAATTCATCGGCGCTCGTCACGAGAGACTCGAGGTCATAGCTAGCCAAGCAACGCTCGATGAAACAGAGGCAGAGATCATTCGTCCGCCACCTATCCGTAGGCCGCAGGTATTCCCGGGAGCCGATTCTCGAGAAAACGTTGTCGATGACGAAGGACGAGAATGGGCCAATGCCCGGCTGCCTGTAGGGCTGTCCAAGAGTCTCGGGTATTGTGTTGATCGACTCCGCGTCTCTGACGCGTTGCCTCATCGGGATGCTCTTCGGCGTGTGTATGAGCGTGCTGAGGAGCTTCAAGAACGGGATCGTCGCGGGGTACATCTTGTAGACCGCCTCAACTTCTTCCAACTCCACCTCCACGCCTTTGACTGTCGAAAGTGAGCTCCCGAAGCCAGCGTTGACGCGAACGTTGATGACTTCCATCCGTTCCATGAGGATCCATACCGACCGACAGATCTCCACACCTGCACTACCCGCACCCGGCTCGCAGAAAGCCGATAACGTCTCGAAGATGGAACCTTTCAGTTCGAGGGGGATGCCAAGTGGGACTAGCGATACAAGGGTGGGGATGGCGCGGAACCGCGCGTGACCGCTGATCGTGACTCTGACCGCCACAGAGTGTATGGCGACGGTGGCCAGCAGACGTAGGAAGGCCTGCGCCAGCAGAACGTCCTGCTGAGTGAAAGCTAGTTGCGGTGGTGGCTGCTGTGGCTGCGGCGCCTGCCATTGTTGAGAGGTACCGAAGCCAGACTGCATGCCGGCCATCTGTTGAGTAGGCTGGTTGTTACGCGGCGTAGACCCAGCTGTGACCCACGAGTCGAGCAACCCAAAAATGGCGCTCCACGAGACGGCAGGGCCACCAGCGACGTGAGCTGACGAGGACGAGGCTAGGGTGTTACCTGAGACGACGTCCCCTCCACCGCGCGCCAGGAAGTTGTACGCGAGCTCGCTGCACTGCTGCCCCGTTGCGAGGCCACCCAGCATGTCATACAGTGCCATGAGCATGTCTACGTCGCGAGGCTGTGTAGACCAGACAGCCCAGTTGAGGAAGGCAGGCAGCTTCCCTGAGCTCGCCTCCAGAGTTTCAGCATACGTCGACCGTCTGCCCTCCGGTACGGAGCCACCTCCCCAGAAGTGGAGAGCGCGCTCCGGAGGGAGCATGGAGTAGAGGAGGCCAATGAACGAGAAGAGCACCGCCATATCGTTGCGCGGAGAGGTGCCGGGCTTGTCTGCCTCCGGGTTGCCAGGGGCGAAGCGGACTGACGACTGCGCATGCGACGAGCGAAAGCCCCGTGTCTGGGCTGTACGATTACCAGCAAGCAACAAGTCTTCCTGCCGCTGCTTGATCTTGCGCAGTTCAGACGAGGCTTGACTGACCAAGGATCGGACAAGCAGTTCGCAGGCCTCCAGGATGGCGGGCTTGAACTCGTCCACGGGTAGCTCCAGCGACGGGTCCTGCTCGACTTGGGCAAGAAGGTTCGATGCGAAGGAAGTAGGCGGGTAAGCGGAGTGCGTCTTCTGTAGGCGCGCCACCATGCGCAAGAGATATGTGAAGCAGTCACCCTGTACTGCGTTCCAGATCTGCGTCTCCAGCTCCTCGGTCTTGAACCCATCCACATCTTCCAGTGATGGATTCCTCTGTCGCATCTCAGCGAGGAAGAGAGTCCACTTGAGGAGAATAGACGCCTTGAGGCCAGGCTCCTTCCACTCCATGCCGATATCCAGTTTCTTCTTCATGTAGCTCATGAAGCCCCTATCAGATACGACGAGTTTGCGAGCCATGCCACTATTTGCATCAGGCCGGACGATGTCGAAGGCCGAGAGAACGGCGGGAAGTATGTAGAAGGTCATGGGATGTCGGGGATTCGCGTCGAGCCAGTCAACGAGCCTCCGCAATTCGTCTGGGGAGAGGAAGCCCAGACGGCCAATGAAGTATAGGGCCATAGCGAGGGTCCGCCGCTCATATTTCAGCGAGTCACAGCGCGCAGCGAGAATGTCCGCGCCGAGCGATGGTTGGACACCTAATCAGAACATACAGCATCAGCCTCTAAACAACGAGAAGCATGAAGGTGGGTATATGCACGCGGGCCTACGCGTCAGCCTGGCCCGATAACACGGCCGATATGACCGTCGACGTGCCGCCACTGGGAAGAGACGGTGGAGAGAACCCGTGAATGAATGTGCTCACCTTGCCCTGGCGCAGCCGTATCACTCTTCGCATTCTGCCTCGCCGCTTGTACCTTCTCTATCACGTTCCCGAGACTATGTATCTCCTGAAACATCCTCATCGCTATTGAAAGAGTATTGCCTGGTCCCTTCGTCGGAGGGAGCAGCTGTTGACGTACGAACATCTCGACCCGAACGTACAGAGCCGGAATGCCTACCGTCTCCGCTAATTGCGTCGCCTCGAAGATGTAGCGCAGGCAGTCGGCGAGGTGGCGTCTTCGAGTGTGGAACTCGAGAATGGTGGCCTCGATGCAGCGCTCCATGGGCACGTTCGGATTCGCAGACATGACATTTTGGAGGAGGCTCGTAACGTATCGCTCCGACACGTTGAGTTCTTGGGATATAAAGAGGGCTTGTCGCGCGAAGTCTGGGTTCACCGCGTGCGGTCTCCCATTGACCGAGATCTTGCCTAAAAACCGGATCACTGAGAACACGCCGCCGTCTAGAGAGGGCTAAAAACGCACCAGTTTCCAGCTCGCGTTGTTCTTGGGGGTTTCGTGGCCCGATGTCGTAAAGGTTCGTCAACAGCGGCTTGTGAGCCATGAGCTCTTCGAAGAACTCTTGCTCGCCATTTTGAAGCCCTCGTGGGCTGAATGCAGACAACAGCAGAGTCCGCAGCTGTGTCACGGAGGCCATAGTGCAGATGTTGCCGTCGACCGCGGCGAAAGTGGTGGTGGCGGTCGAACACGCTTTGGGCGTTCGACGCGTTCGACGCGCTCAAGCGCGTTCCGGCGCTCGGTCCTTCTTCGCCACGCCCCTCGCGTCGTCCACGAGTCTGACTCCGTCCCCTCGCTGCACATAGCCTCTACTCTCTGCATCCGGCGACGAGCATGAGTTCCAGCCCCATTGTGTACCGTCAATATACGGGCGAGTCCGATTTGCGTCACATCATGTCTCTCGTCCAGCATGAACTGAGCGAGCCGTATGTCATATACACTTATCGGTACTTCTTGCGGCAGTGGTGAGCCTTTTTGCATCTTGTCACTTGGCGACAACGTTGCTAACAAAATCAGGCCTCATCTATCCTTCCTAGTGAGCTCAGTCGCCCCGATGTGCGAAACAGCATAGTGAGACGACAATGCAGGCGTATCCCGACGAGAACTCCGACCCTGTAGGCGTTATCGTGTGCAAACAAAGCATGCACAGGGAGACGCGGAATAGAGGGTACATTGCGATGCTGAGCGTGCATCGAGACTGGCGGAAGCGGGGTATCGGTGCGTAGTCATCTAGGTTGCACTCAGGCTGAGGTTGACATCACATCAGCCAGTACGCTTGTTCGTCGTTCTCTCGCTATCATGAAGCAACACGGAGTCGAAGAGGTGAGTATATGCGCGCAAAGTTTGCCTTGGTCGTTCACCTTCACTTGACCCTTGACAGGTCGTCCTCGAGACGGAGTTTGACAACTCAGCCGCGCTCTCTCTGTATGAATCTCTCGGGTTCATACGTGAGAAGCGACTGTTCCGCTTCTATCTCAACGGAAAGGACGCATTCAGGCTTGTCCTGGTGGTACCTCCGGGCTCCGAAGACCAACAGGACGACATCGGCATCCCATCGCCGATACCACCGAGGCCGCTTTTCCTCGCACCACCACGGATGGTCCCTATACCTCCCCTACCTTACGACGCCGATGAAGCTTCCGCACGTTAGAGAATACCGTATGCGTCCGCGATCGCCGATTCCTGCTTGGCACTTTCACCGTACTCTCTTCTGGACTGCAGCCGCCATCCGTGCCGCATCACGGTATTTATGACACTCAGTCTGGCGATGTATTTCACTTCGTGCTCCCCACTACGCCTTGTAGCCTCAGCTGTAGAACAGTGTACGTTAGTCGAGACCAACCCGAATAGCCTTCTGCCTTTGCCTCGTGCTGTGGAGGTGTCTGCCGCGGCGCGTCCACATCCTGCACCTCTAGTCCCAATGCGAAGCACCGCCGCAACGATGTACGGCACGATTGAGTATACTGAGTCTAATATATTATTTTGCCTCCAAAAGAATAAGTAAACAAGCCTCTCGTGACTGCGTAACAAGTCCACTACAGCTCGTCGTGAGAGTGAAGCGGGTCCTGCTCGTCGTCTGCACCGGGCGCATAGTCGCCACCCGCGTAGATCTTGCTCGTAATCGGCGACACCTTCGCCTGCACCTCTGAATAAACAAACGACATCAATACCGCTTTCAATCGACTCGGCAAACCATAACAACGCACCCTGGAGCTTCTCCTCGAGATCCTCCGCACTCGAGCCTTGGCCGAACTCGTCGATCCAGTCCGTGACATCCTTGATGATCTCGAGCAGTTTCTTCTTGTCGTCTTCGTCCAGCTTGCCGCCCAGGTTCTCCGGGTCCGCGAGCTGCGCCTTGAGGCCGTACACGAACGACGACAGGGCGTTGAGTGCTTCGATGCGCTTCCGCTGCGCCTCGTCCTCCGCGGCGAAGTCCTCCGCCTCCTTGACCATCCGCTCGATATCCTCGGGCGACAGGCGACCCTTTTCGTTCGTAATCGTGACGGAGTTCGACTTGCCACTGTCAATTCCGTCAGCGACAACCCTGAAGAAAGACCGAGAATTGTACTCACGTTCCCTTGTCCATCGCAGATATCTTCATGATACCGTTCGCGTCGATCTCGAATGACACCTCAATCTGCGGGACACCGCGAGGCGCGGGCGGGATGCCGGAAAGCTCGAACTTGCCGAGCAAGTTGTTGTCCTTCGTCATCGACCGCTCTCCCTCGAAAACTTGGATCAACACCGTGGGCTGGTTGTCCGCGGCCGTAGAGAAGCTAACGTCGCCGAGGTTAGCATGCACCCGGCGCCAGGTATGATGACTTACATCTGGCTCTTGCGCGTAGGGATGACCGTGTTACGGGGGATGAGCTTGGTCATCACCCCACCGGTAGTCTCGATACCGAGTGTGAGCGGGCAGACATCGACCAGGACGATGTCGCCAAGGCTCTCGTCACCAGAAAGAATTCCACCCTGGACGGCAGCACCGTAGGCGACGGCCTCGTCAGGGTTGATACCCTTCGACGGCTCCTTGCCAAAGTACTCCTTGAGGAGCTGCTGGACCCTGGGGATACGGGTCGAACCACCGACGAGGACAACCTACCATACGAAGGTCAGACGACGGCCGGATGCTCCACGTCGGTCGAGTACTCACCTCATCGATATCCTCTTTCTTGAGGTTCGCGTCCTTGAGCACCTGCTCAACCGGCTTCATCGTCTTCCGGAAGAGGTCCATGTTGATTTCCTCGAACTTCGCCCGAGTGAGCGTCTCCGAGAAGTCGTTGCCGTTCTCGAAGCTCTCAATCTCGATACGAGTGGACTGCTGGCTGGACAGCGTACGCTTGGCCTTCTCAACCTCACGCTTCAGCTTGCCCATCGCACGCAGGTTGCTCAACACATCGGTACCGGTCTTCTTCTTGTACTGCTTGATGAGATGGTCCATCACGCGGTTGTCGAAGTCCTCGCCACCGAGGTGGGTGTCACCGGCAGTCGCCAAGACCTCAAAGACGCCGTCGTCGATAGAGAGCAGGGAGACGTCGAAGGTTCCACCACCGAGATCATAGACGATGATCTGCGACTCGCCGCCCTTCTTGTCGAGACCGTACGCGATGGCAGCGGCCGTCGGCTCGTTGATGATACGGAGGACCTGCAGACCGGCAATCGTGCCCGCATCCTTCGTGGCTTGACGCTGAGCGTCATTAAAGTCTAGATATGCGGTCAGCAACTGTGGCCGAAGGCCACGCAATTGGAAATCACGCACAAGCTGGGACAGTGACAACTGCGTGGGTGACAGTCTTGCCGAGGTATGCCTCAGCAGTCTCCTTCATCTTGCTCAAAACCATGGCAGAGATCTCCTCCGGAGTCTGATGCGCGACTTCAGATAGCCGTCATACGCATGCGGGAACAAAAAGAAACTCACGAATTCACGCGTCTCACCCCGATACTGCACCTGAATGACGGGCTTGTCGTTCTTGCCGATGATCTTGAATGGCCAGTGCTTCATATCGCGCTGCACCTCCGGGTCGTCAACCTTGCGGCCAAGGAGCCGCTTCGCGTCGAAGACGGTGTTCTCGGGGTTGGAGTGGAAAGCGTTCTTCGCCGCGTCACCAACAAGACGTTCGTCGTCCGTGAAGCTGACCCATGATGGCGTTATCCGGTGACCCTGGTCGTTCGCAATGATCTCCACACGGCCTCCTCGTTGTACGCCTACGCAAGAGTAGCTGCAGCAACATTAGCACGTACCAACAATGGAACCCCGGACAAGCTTACGTTGTACCAAGATCTGTAGGCGATATGCTAATCAGTACGCTGCCGTCATGTAGGCACTGTATAGACTCACCGATACCAATGACCGTGCCATACTCCGACCGCTTGTCCTCATCGGCACTGACCGCGACGGGGCACAAGCAAAGGAGGGCGACGAAAGCAAGGAAGAGAAGGGATATTGACGACACCACACGGCGCGACTGCGACCGCGTTGGACGGCGGGCCAGAGACATGATGGAGGAAGTGTTGTGAGTTGTGCACGCGTCGTCGACGCGCTCTTATATTTCGCGCGTCGGCGCGCCACGTCAACACTTCAGAAATGCAGGACCCCGAACACTAGCACTGTCTCTCCTTCGTCAGCGATCGCTCTTTACAGCACTACAGTGCCCGTACAAATGTTCTGTTATTCCTTCCTTGATTGCTGCGTATGTTCTATGATCCATGCGCAAACAAGTCGCTACGGAGCCACCGGGTATCTCTCTGTGCGACTAAGTGTGAAAATAAACCTTCCAAAGCAGTACCAGGGGTCTACATAACGCCCTGCCACCGTAAATTTCTGACCACCTCCGATGAAGCTGTGCGTTGCCGCGCTGTGGTTTGTGATGCCACGTCTTTGGGACACGTATTCATAGGAAGGAACTTAATACAGTAGAGTCAGCTCTTGGTCAGATCCGACGCAGAAACCTGACTGAGACTTGAGTGTCGCACGAAACTCCCCGTCGTGAAATCGAAATCTGGTGCGCTGTCACGCCACGCCGGAGCTACGTGTCATTCGCTGGTATGCCACACATAAGATCCAAAGTAGCGGTGTCACTGATCTACTTAGCATGAAACAACGTCGCTAGGCATTGCGGACGCAGTCACGCAAGGGCCCCGAGCTCAAGCTGAAGGAGCAGTGCGCCATATGCGAGCAGGTGCTCGTGGGTCGCGTTGCATAGTATTGTAGCAATGCTTTCATAAACGAGTGAATATCCGGGCGCGCGCGGTCACCAAGCTGTGGGCCTATGAAGGTCCCAAGTACTGTCGATACTAGATAGAGTAAGTGCGAGCATTTGGTTCGATGCTATCCTGACCTCGCGATGGCAGCAAGGAGGACTAGTGTTAGCACGAATGCTACATATCATTTCGTTAGAGCTCGCGAATCACAGTACCTAATGGTTCATCTCTTGTCTCTACGTCTTCTACTTGGGCGGGATGCACGAAGAAACCGCGGACCATGTACCACACATAATCCATGCTCTCTGTAAGTATCACAGTAAGTCTCGCAAATTAGGTTGAAAAGGACATGGGCGCGCACCGGCCAAGTTCATCATGAACATGATGTAGCGGCCACCAAGGCCTAGCTGTACAGGTTGGTCCACGACCTTTGTTGCCAGGCAATCATTGCACGGCACTGAGTCGTTCTCGGCTGTCGGTGTTGGTGGAGCCGGCTGTAACGCAAACGTGAACACCGACACAGGTGCACGAAGGATGAAACGCGTACATATGGTATAAAAGGTGCCTCCGCCTCAGATCGCTCCGCTTCTTGAATCATCTGCTCGAGCTCCTCGAATGACAGCCTGTCCTTCTCATTCGTGATGGTCACGGACGACGAGCTGCTGCTGAAGGTGTACTTGTATTCGATATCAATGCTAACGAGTTCATGCAAGCGATCAGCGCACCTCTTCGTGTCTGTTGCTGAGACATGCAACAGCCCGTCCGCATCGACTTCGAAGACGACCAGAATGTTAGGAACACCAGCAGGCGCAGGATCGATGCCCGTCAGCTGGAACGTCTCAAGCAAGCGGTTGTCCCCCGCGCGCTCGTGTCCACCTTCGTAGATCTTGACCGTCACGGTAGTCTGTTCGTCCGTCATCGTTGAGAACCTGTCAGTGGTAGAGCCTCAACAATTTTGCTGCAGTCATGAGCCCGGGCTGCTGGGCACGCACGTCCTGTGTTTCCTTGCGGGTAGGACGCTGTTTCGTATTAGAACCGGCGCCATCCGCCCGTCGTCCGCTTCGACGCCGATAGTGAGAGGTAAGATGTCATTTGCTAATATGCAGCTGGCACCCATGTCGCGAGTTCCAGAAATGATGGCAGCCTGTATTGCAGCCCCAGAGACAACCACTTCGTCGGGCTCGAGATGAGGCACCGACAAAGATGCTTTGTCAAGGTGTGAGGTGAGGAGTTGATGCATGTAAGGGATACGCGCGGACCCTCCGACCAAGAGGATCTGATGACAATCAATCGTCGACGCTGCGAGAGAGGAGTGTTACGAAAGGAGTGCGTACGTGGTCGATATCCTGCTTCGTCAGGCCCGCTTCTTGGATCACCTTGTCGACCTCCTCCGTCGTTCGGCGGAAAAGGTCCTTGGTGAGCTCAACAAAATCGCGCCTAGACAGTGCGATGTTAATCGCAACCTCTTGCCCTGGTATGTCTACGCGGATGGAGGTAGATTCGGCGTTTGAAAGCGCCTCCTTCGCCCGTTGGGCCGTCCACCGCAAGCGTTGCATTCGCACCGTATCTTTTGTCAAGTCGTCCCCCAGCAGCGCCGAGTACTTCTTCACCGCATACTCAACGAGCCGCTCGTCAAACTCCCGACCCCCGACGTCAGGATTGCTCGACGCCGCGAGTATCTCGAAAACACCATCATCCACGCCGAGCAGCGTAACGTCCAGCGCGCCTCCGCCGAGATCGACGACCAACGCTGTCGATTCCCCGGATTTCTCGCTTAGACCGTAGGCGATGGCAGCGGCCTCGGGCTCATTCACCACTCGGAGTGTAGTCAGATTCGCAAGGGTGGCGGCATCCTTGACGGCCTGACGCTGGGCATCGTTGTAATCTGTTGCAAGACAGTGTGAAAGTAATGAGTCGTACAAAGGGGGTTGCGATATGAAGGGAAGACGCACAAGAGGGGACGGTCAATATGACGTGGGTTATGCCCCATCCGAGATCCGCCTCTGCGCTCGCCTTGAGGTATGCTAGCATCGTGCCCGTAAGGGCTTCTGGGGTCTGAAGATGCAAACATGAGCGGTGTCGTCAGTTTTACGTACGAATAGTGGATGACTGAAGCAGCGTACAAACTCGTTCTTTGTACCATTCGCCTCAACCTGAACAATGGGCTTCCCATCACGCTCCAGCACGGTGAACGGCCAGCGCTGGAGGTAACTCTGCACTTCCGGGTCATCGTACGTTCGTCCGAGAAGAAACGCAAAGTCGGAGATGACAAGTCCGGGGAGAACTTCGACATCATCAGGCGATGATCCATAGACCCTGAGGTAGACCGACATTCAAATGTAAATGGAAACCGTCCAGCGACACCGCTCAATGAGAAAAACTAACCGTGGCAGTCCATCGACGACGTGTATCAAAGAGGGTGTCGCTGCACGACGAGCCGCGTTGGGAATGATCTCGATTGTACCTTCGCGGGAGTAAACACTAAGAGTTGAGTGAGAATACGCCTGCGTCGCGGAGGACTTGGACTCACGCTGACCGGCTGTATCTGATGTTCAGAGTACGAGTAAGCATATGCACACTAATGTGAGCTCGAGGCCTCTTACGTAGTCCCAATGTCTGCGAATAACAGTATGATCATTGAAGTCCCTGAAGCTGGTTGCCCTGCGACTCACCGATTCCGATGACAGTGCCATACGGTGAGTCCGAGTCCGAGTCAGGCCGGACTTCCAAGCGTGCCATTGCCAGGGTGGGACATATCAGTATACAAATGAGTAGCAGAATGAAAGCCAGCCCAGACGCGGCAAGTGGGGGCCATGATCGTGCTGCTGTCGGTCTCTGAATGGCAATGGGCAGACGATTCGACGAACAAGGGTCTCGAACACAGCCAGCAAGCGTCATGATGGCAATTGCAGAACTCGGAAGGAAGTTGCGAGGGTATCCTAGCGTCAAAGACGTTTCTGTCTGTTATGTATCCCAAGACACACATACTGATAGTGTTCGCACGTACCTACGTGTCTCCTTAGCTGAGTAGTAGCCACGTCAGTCTTGCAGTATTGGTCCAGTCATGGCTGCGATCTAGGGAGTGACGTGCCATCAACATGACATTGACATGCCTTAGTCAAATGCGGTCGTTCGACAGTGGATGTGATCACGAGGCCCATCCTCATCCGCAGGACATTGGTAAGTATGTACGATCCTGTCGGGATTCGCCTTTTGCGGAAACCAGGAAAGGTTCTGCGCCTGCAGGTGGCGGGTGCCGGAAGCGCCGGCGGGAGAGGACTTGCGCAATATCGCGTATTTTGTCTTGTTCGTTCACAAATCACGCACTGACTCTGCATATAAGGAGAGATCGTCTTCAGTAGCAGCCATCATGTTTCTTCGCACACCTTCCACCCCTCAGCCGACCAACTCTTCACGCTTGACACGTTGGCTCCGGATTGTGTCCCCAGCGTCTCGATCGCTCGCGGAGGTTCCGCTCTTAGCTCTAAACATGTCATAGGTCAGCCTGCTTAACGTATATAGGCCGAGCCTTCGTCGTGCGCACACCTCTCAGACACCCGGCACTACCACCCATATAGCGCAAGACGGCGCTAGCGGGGCCGCTCAGACTCACGCATACAGCCTGCGCCCTCGGACTCGGAGCTCTGTGAACGCCATAACGATAGGAAAAGCGCGCGACATCCCTTCAGAAACACGGATTTCAGCAACGCACTCGAGCCATTATGGGAAAGGTATCACTATGCCCAATACTCAGCGAACACCGGGCCTTCGTCATCGCGCGCAGAACGCTGGCCCTAGCCACCGCGAATGGAAGCCCTGTCACGTCGGACTCATGATGGCATGTTCTCGTTGCTCTTTGACCATTGCATTTCGTTGAATTCAATTGCTGTATAGTGTGGCGTACAAGACGTCCTTCTGAAGGGCTGGAGCTGAAGCTTAGCAGCAAGAGCGGAAGGTGGTGGCGGTAGTCCGACATACATGCCCGCTTTGGGGCAAGTATAATCCGTCGGCTGCGCCCTTAGCGCTGTGGCGGGTTCCTCGATCTTAGATCCAACTTAGATCCCCACTCATACGATCGAGCGCTACTACGATTTTCTGACTATCGTCTCGCGTGAGTCGCCTCTCTCTCCCAATTCCAGCCACGCTTACGCTCATATTCAGACCTTCCCGCATACATACCTCCCCCCGACGATCGCTGCAGGGAAAGGAGACATTCCTTCATTTGCCCCACATGATACCCGTATACACCTTCTCTTTCCCACCGTACGTCGACCGCAGCTCGCGCTCTGGCCTTGCAAATTTGCAGGCGCTGTGCTGTCTTTCCCGGAGCATCTCCACCCAGCTGATGACGGCCGACACAACCATGCAGCAATTTGAGCGCACCGCTCCATAAAGAGTGCCTCCTTATCTTAGCGAGGACGACCCATGCTGGTCCCGCACTGAGGCGCGCGGGGAATACGCCAGATAAGACAGCGGGCCACCGGAGGTAGCTTCAGCTCCCATCTCCCACCGTCTACGGACCGCTATTGCGTCTTGTGCTGTTTATTGAGTTCTGTGCCTCGGATCCGCCAGTGACTCGAAAGAACCTCTTCCTATTCCTGGAGCCATCACACGACTCGCCCTCGTCGGTCGCAAGCTTTTACACTTCAGACTCGACGACCTCACGCATCATGACGGTTGACATCGAGAAAACGCATCCAAACGGTGCATCCGCACGGCCAAATATCGCAGCGGCGGACGAGGCGCTCCTTGCAAGTCTCGGGTACAAGCAGGAGTTCAAACGAGAGTTCACTGGGCTTGAGGTGCGCCAGCGCGTTCTGCCTTCACAAGTTTACGCGATATTGACTTCTTCATAGACCTTTGGCATCGCGTTCAGCATCATCGGATTGCTTCCGTCAATAGCGTCTGTGCTCTCTGACTCGTTACCAAGCGGAGGGGCAGCGGCGATGGTCTGGGGCTGGCTCGTCGCGAGCATCTTCATCCTTCTCGTCGGGATGTCCATGGCGGAGCTGGCTAGCGCGGCGCCTACGTCTGGCGGGGTACGTCATTTGTCTTCCTTTCGTGTCCTCGGAGCTGACGAGCGCCGCGGTGCTTGTCTGCTGTAGCTCTACTTCTGGACGCACTCCCTGTCCTCGCCGCGCTGGCGGAATCTGCTCGCGTGGATCGTGGGATACGCGAACACGATTGGGTCCATTGCGTCGATCGCGTCAATCGACTGGGGGTGCGCAGTGCAGGTCATGGCTGCTGTATCCATCGGGTCGCCCAACCAGAGCTTCTCCGCGACTGCGGGTCAAGTCTTGTGCGTGGATCTGGCACAGTTACAAGTCATCGAAAAGGGAAGGACTGACACTGATTGTAGTGGGGTCTACGCGGCGATCGTGATTTCGCACGCCGTGATTTGCTGTCTGGGCACGAAGGTCCTCGCGCGGCTTCAGACGGTCTACGTCGTTCTCAACGTCTTGTGAGTTCGTGATAGAGATGCGCGGACGATGGTGTATGATGTTAATTATGCGGTAGACTTTGTTTGGCGGTGATCATTGCGCTGCCTGCTGCTACGCCGAAGGAGTACCGGAACAGTGCGGCGTATGCGTTCGGGAATTTCACTAATTGTACGTGTGCTATCCTTCTGTACAACTTTGGACTCACGGCTGACTCTGTGTTGAAGTGAACGGGTGGACGAACGGCTACGCGTTCATACTGTCATTCCTTGCGCCGCTCTGGACGATCTGTACGTGTTCAAAACCTTTTGCCCTGTTAGTAGATTCTCATGGTGTGCCGTAGGTTCATTCGACTCCAGCGTACACATTAGTGAAGAGGCAAGTAACGCAGCGACAACTGTGCCCTGGGCGATTGTGTACGCCATTGGGATCGCGGGTGTCCTTGGATGGGGTACGTGCATGTCACACATCGCGAGGGTCAGATTGCTGATGTTATGCACTATAGCGATCAATGTCGCGCTAGCGTTTTGCATGGGCACTGATCTCGATGGTATTATGTCCTCCCCAGTAGGGCAGCCCATGGCGCAGATCTTCTTCAATGCCTTTGGAAAGAACGGGACACTTGCGCTCTGGGCGTTTGTCGTGCTCGTGCAATACATGATGGGCTCATCTATGGTGTGTCTACCGTCTCTTCCGTTCATCCACTTGTTCTCACCGTCCTACAACGCAAAGGTACTTGCTGCATCCCGCCAGTCCTTCGCCTTCTCGCGCGACGGCGCGCTGCCTTTCTCGTCATGGCTCTACCGCATGAACTCCTTTACCGGTACACCCGTCAATACCGTCTACTTCACATGTGCCTTCTCGCTGCTGCTCGGCCTTCTCGCCTTCGCGGGCGATGCCGCCATCAACGCGATCTTCTCACTGTCAGTCGTCGCGCTCTATGTTGCGTACGCGATCCCGATCGCCGCGCGGTTCCTGGGCGACAATGACTTCCAGCCGGGCCCGTTTAGCTTGGGAAGATGGAGTGCACCCGTGGCGGCGGTGGCGATCGCGTGGATGGCGTTTATGGGCATCGTGTTTTTGTTCCCGACGACGCCGCAGACAGATGTGGCGGATATGAACTACGCTGTCGTACGTCTATCCCCCGTATTCATGGGACGCCTCGCTCACGCTGTATCGTTGGTTGGTGTAGGTCGTGCTTGGGGGAGTGCTTATCCTGTCGCTCGTGTGGTACTACTTCCCGGTGTACGGCGGCGTGCACTGGTTCACGGGCCCTGTGTCGACGATCGAGCGGACAGCGGCGAACTCGCCGAGGCAGAGCCAGGATACGTTGGAGAAGAAGGGTGGGGCGTCTGTTGCGGAGCAGAGTGCTTGACGGGTTACGTAGAGATATGTATTGTACGCGTGAACGACGATGTAATGACAGACGAATTGCTTACTGGTACCATGTTAGTTTTACCGCCGATAGCGCGACGTCGATGACAGGGCGCGTCAGGCGGAGAAGACGGGTGGTGAGCAATGTGTATACGCAGTACTCTCCTTCGACGACGCCATATGCACGGGTCACAATCTTCGGCAGCGGTCGCTAGGGACATTAGCGGCACTCACTTTCGACCGTGGTCATACGCTGCCCAACGAATCCCCCCAGTCTATCAACTAGCCTCTAACGGTCGTCCAGGTAGGGAACCCCGTTTCCTACTTGGATGGCCGTAAGAGGTCGGTCGGAGACGGGCGTCCTGGCTCTTTCACCAAGAAGTTCTCTGTCGCCCTCCCTTGCGGTAACAACCATAGACCTTAATTTGAGCAGGAGTTGCGGATGTAACCTGAGGCCCGTCAGGCGTGGAATGATGGCACCAGCAGGAACAACTCACGAGCAATAGCTGGGCAATGTCTGTCTTGAGTGTGTTTATGGTAGTTGATCTGTATGTCGCTGGAATTCTAGTTTCATCTGAAGCGTTTAGACAGGTCCGTGAACGAGTTCGCTGTTATCTCGTCCGGGCCTTGGGGGCTGCATTGGAGAGTAGATGTCCGTCTGCGGGAGTGGTAGTTCGGAGTGGACCATTGAGTTCATCTGAGGGAAGGCGCACGGCGTCAGCAAGCTGCTTTGTGTGCTGTCTCGACAACAGCAAGAAGCGTGCGGCGCACTGGCAGGAGCACTGTCGGAAGAAGATAAGAAGGGACGCTCACCTTTGTTGACATCAAGCGAACTCGAGAAGAGGATGCCGTCGGCTCATCTGAGGGTGAGTGCCGCCCAACGAAGGTCGCGCGACGGCACAAAATCCAGCAGAAAATCTACCCCTGCGGATGGAAACGTGAAAACGGCAGTATCTGCGGGTATCAAGGAATATCGCAGGATGACTGGCAGCATCTGCGATTGATGCACAAGCAGAAGCCGGCGAAGAAGCGCCTATGCCCGAACCGGTGGTGTGCGGGTGTAATGGGTGTACGCACAGGGGCCTCCTGCGGACGTTGACGGACCACTGGTTGGAAGTCCACAAGCCCGCTTGCTTGGTCGACAGTGAACTCAACGACGGGCCCTGCGCTCGTTGGCACTGCATGTCGGAAGAGGCTCGCCGGCGAAACAGGGAGTAGTAGCAAGGCAGTCACCGTCTCTCCTGACAATATAGGATGTGAGCGTTGAACGTTGACCGGTTGCCATGGTCCTTGGACGTCGAATGGTCGAGGGGGGTCAGGGAACAGTGCACGGAGCTGAATACGGCGGTGTGACGCTAAGGGTGTTCGCGGCGGCCCAGTCGAGAGTACGTATTGCCTGTGCATGCTTCAGAACGGAACAGAACTACAATGCGATAGACTTACCTCGGTTTAAGCCATTTCCCACTCCTGAGCAAATCGAAAGGCCAAGTTCCGCCGAGTCATGCACAGGCCGTCGAACATGACCAATACGACTGTCATCGCGAAGTGTGAGAACAAGCGTGAGGCAGGGTGCGAACACACCTACATTCTGTTGGAATGATTCTAGTGAATTGACTCGACGCACTTCTGTTTGGCGTGTCTCGTTTGATTCTACGGCGCAGAGGTCTACAAGGCGAGCATCACTGGGAGTAGGAAGGCTCTTGATCGTGCAAGAAATCCGTGGGCGTGTGGTGGATTGCCGGATAGGCGAGGGAGAAACCCTCGTTCTCTTTGGGTTCGTCCATGTAACAGTATTGTCGAGACAAACTTCCCTGAGTTGGGGACCGGATTCGTAGCGATCCTCAAGCTGCCAAGTGTGCTTCAGGTTGATTGGCCAGTTCGTTCTCTTCGCATCACACTGACGGATTTTCCGTAGTTCAAGATGTTCTGCCTCGTGATGTTGTGAGATCATCGGTCGCTGAATGGAAAGCTGTCATGAGGCCGTTTAGAACGTAGCTAAGTCGAACACTTTGGTGACGGCATACCGAGCACATTATGTGGCGTCGTGGCTGGCGATCGTCACGCCATGTGGTGGCACATGTAATGAAGAATCGGCAGTCCACGCAGGAGTAAGCATACGCCAGTGGCATGGCAGTGCAATCTAGCAGCTGGTCTGTGAGGATTGGGAGGTCAGCATCGGGAAGACCGCTGGACTCCAATGAGGCTAACCATTTCCTCGAAGCACAGCCACCCGTACGTACATATGCATGAATTCGCGAGTGGCGATGACCGCGCTCGCCAAGGAGCTACGATTCGGAGGGGGAAGATATACGGATGAGCATGAGAGGATGGGTCCAACGTCTGTGCCCTCATGCCTAGGGACCGACGATCAGCAAGACGGCGCCGAATGCAAGCATAGGCTTACGCACCCTCGGTAGTTGCGGTATCTCCTGTCCTTTAAAACGAAAGTGGATAGGAGGAATGGTGACGGTATTTGCAGAGGACGTCGATACAAGCGGCTTGAGAATGAACAGATGGCCATGGAGTGAAAAGACTGACGCGTTCAAAATGCTGTGGTCTACCCAGTCCTCGCCTCTATTTATACCGTAGTCCTGCAGCAGCAAGGCTTTTGTATCAATGCACGTTCGGGAAGATTCCATCAGTGGCGATAGGTGGACAAAGTATCGAGCTCAGTGGCAAACATTGTCTCTGCCACCCACGCGACGCGATAAGGGAGTCATGAACGCAATTGAATATCTGTTCTCCATCGCCGCGATGCGCAAGGCAAGCTGCCACACGCTCAGGCATACTGACCGCCAGCTGCACCAACAGAGGTCCATCTCGTGGAGAATGCGCTCATTGTACATATGTTGGCAAAGATCAGGTAAGCGTGGGCTCAGCAATGTGGTCTGATTACCACAGGCCACAGAACCAGCTGCGATGAGGTTGGCTTCGCCTCGGGTCGTGATTGAGGCCTGAGGGGGAGGAGACACAGAAGACGCGACGAGAGCCACGCGGCGGATGGGAACGATGGACCTTGTGATGACACTGTCCCAGTGGGGGCCTTGGAGATCGTGAATTGCGCATACATAGTACCAGTGTTCGGGTTAGAGCGAGGTACATAGAAGGGCACGACCAACGCAGATTGGGATGATGTTGGACAAATGTCAAACGACGCGTGGCCGTGGGTGCGCTCGCCGATGCACGTGATCGCGACGCGTACCGCTATCCAGGGACCAGCAGTGCCCGCAAAAAGCCGCAAAGTGGTCATGACGGATATGCAACGCTCCTCCTTCCGAAGGGCCATCTCAGGATACCCCGACTCTACGGCTCCCAGTGGAAATCTGTCAACGGATCGTCGACTACGTAGCCATGGGACTGGATCACTAGTATCCCGCACACCTGGCTGGGCACCGTGACCCCCTCGTGGCTCTTCAGTCGTGCGCCCTTGTGAGCAGATGAGTACTATCTGACATGGTACCATCTCCGTCGTCGCATGTATATGACTGTATCTCAGTGGCACGGAGTAGATTCCCCACTCTCTAGGACCCTCCGCGAGAGGCCGCGTCTCCGTCGCGTCATCCGGCAGGTCGCTATCATGGGGCGCGCATCCGGGCGCCGACCGCAGCGTTCACCCGATCTCGCACCTTGGAACGTTCGCCGCCACGCTTGCCAGCAAGCTTTTGGAAGCGTTGGGTACCGCTGCGTTGCGCTGCATCTCGACCTTGGACCTCAGCAACCCTGCCTCTCCGAGCGTCGCCACGCGAGACCATCTCATCTCAGCACTCCCATGCCTTGTGAGTCTGTGGTGCTTCGACGTCGACGTTGAATGCACTCAGAACTACTCGACCCCGTCTGCCATTATCCCATCAAACTTTGCAAATTTGGATGGGTCTCGATTGTAGTTCAAGACCTTGTGCGGATGAGCCAAGTTGGTCGGGTACGCTTTCCTGATCTTGGAGTGAACGACGAGTTGGCTAACCCTCGACAGACAGCAGAAGTCAGAATATGCTATATGGTAGAAGTTCTTACGCTCCAAACGATTGCAGGTCTTCCGTGGACAATCATTCTGATGATGCTACTGTAGGAAAGTCTTAAACATTCTCTGTCGAGTAATTCGACTACTCATTGGGTGTGATCAGAACGACCTGTCGTACCATGAAAGTTCGCGGACACTGGATATCTACTTGCTCTACCCCTTTGCTGCGTGGCTCTGGATCTCGCACAATGTCTTTGGTTACGTCGAAGTATTTCCGAGCACGTTCGGCTATGTTGTGGCTCCGCCCAGACCGTATGGTCGAAAATCTCGACGCCGCACTGATGATGACGGAGAAAGGTAAGTTATGACTAGAACAGAAGGATGCCGGAGCAGAGGTGCAGCGTGACCATGGATATGACGAGGATTCTCCAAACGGATCGAACTATTACTCCATGCCCTTGCTGCAGTGTAGTAAGTGCGAAGCTGTTATGAATACCACCATTGAATTTCTCCACAGTCTCGTTATGTCCAGCTTGCATGATTTCGACTGCGGCAGACTCTGGATGACCAGTGCCCTGGAGGACGGACCAAATGGGTGATAAGTCATGGGTGAGTTGTAGCATGATGAGCGGATGTACGCGAACTATGAGGTGACGCCTACACTGCGCCGTCTATACAACTTGAACGACCGTGACCAACGCGCACTAACGGCCATCAGCGTTCACGAGAATCTTCAGCACGATCTCGTCGGTCAGCGATTGCGTCCAAATCTGGGGCTTGTGTCTACTCCACCTCACGAGTCGTACATACACTCGTGGAATTGTGCGCGACCTGCGTCGACCTCTGCGAGCGTGGTCAAGAATCCGAGATATGAAGTGGCTCTCCGGTCGCTTGAGTTCCGCACAAGGAACTGGGCGATCGTGAGTCTAGTTGCCCGTTGTGACTCCTGGATGCGCGAACTCAGATCTTGAGGCACAGTGTCGATTCAGCGAATAGGCCCATCGGAAGGAGCCGCAGCAGCCTGATACTTCGCTGTTGGTCTGGCTCGCATCGTGTAATGCTCTCAAACACGGCTGAGTAGTACGCTTCGACACAAACCCCACACGTGAACGTGAGAGGCCGCGTGGAGGTCTTGAATCGAGTGGGGTTTCATGATGAGATTGACTGCCTTGGCTCGATAGTCTCTTACGCCCTTGGAATTGACAGATCATGTCTCGGGTTTCGATCTCGCATCTGCATGCCAAGCTTGAGCAACTAGACCTCCGAGGAGTCGGTCCATCATGATCGCTACAAGGCGCAGTGATCGGTCACTCGTCAGACGTATTAGGGCATTCGACGAAAATTGAACGTTGAGATTCTAGTCAAGCTCATGGCGGCTGCATCATGTTCCTTCAGGATATTAAGCAGCAACAAGCCGAGAACAAGCCATAAAATAAGGTCCTACGAACACGTACTGCCGGGTAAACGAGCTCGGGGACCATCAAAAGAAGGATGTAGGTCCATTGAACGTTGGTCATACTCATGTAATTGGCCACGTTACGAGCGCGTGGCACATGCGGCGGCGGCGTCGGACAGCAGTGCAGGTACCATCTGAGTGCCATAGCAGATCAAGACACTGTTATAAGTATCTTGAGTCCAGCATCTTCTATAGTAAAGAAGAATGGGGTTCTGTTGCGGAAGGGATCAAATGGTTTGCCTGATTGGGACTCACCGCCTTGCTCGCGTCTAATCCGTTTTTCCTTGCATCCCCGTCTATCAGCGCGCTGCCTCAATCTCGGGCATCTCCCTTATAATGAGCTCCTGATACGCGTTGAGTACTTACCCAGAGCTAAAGAGTACAGGAGCATGGCTTTCTTCTGCGGAAGGTATCAAATGGTTTGCCGGATTGGGACTCACCGCCTTAAGCTTGCTCGCGCCTATTCCATTTCTCCTGTATTCTTGTATCCCTATCCGCAGGCGCTCATGTTAACGATCTGAGCACGGCTAAGCTTTGCATCGCCCGGCCGGCGAAGCCGCATCGCGGGCGAGAGGAGCCCTGTATGGGCACGAATTTCAAGCTTTCAAGCTTCAAGCGTCATCACCTGGCGGTCATGGACTGCAATTCTTGAAGCTTCTGTCTTGTGCTTTCACTTTGATGCACCTTAACCCTTTGCTGTGCGAAGCTACGAGCGCGTGGCACATGCGACCGCGACCCCAGCCAGCAGATCAAGACACTACCATCATATCTTGAGTCGACGCATCAATGGACGATCGTTCCAATATGACGTTCGGCTGTGCCCATAGATCCTTTCACAAGTGTCCTGTTATGGTCGGCGACTAAGCGACTCCTATATCGACCATATAAGTATGGGCAACGTACATGCTAGAGGGGTACAACGACCTACTTGTGGCTCCATGCGACTAGCCCACTCAACCAATCTACCACCCTTGCCGATCGATATCCAGTAACTCCCCTAGCAAGCAACTACTGTCATCAAAAATACGTATCGTTCGAGCCAGTGCGAATGAATCGTAAGTCATCCAACCACGAATTGTTCTCGCGTCGTCGCTCTCCGTGCCTCCGCTGTCCCCTGCTCCTCCCGAAGGGAGTGAGTATGGCTTACTTTCCGGAAGTCCTTGTGCCGCTGACCGCCCGCATATACACCCGCTCTATGTTCATGGGTCGCAGCGTCGCCCTCGGTGAAGTCACGTGACAAAACTTACTGACGTCGCTCCATCTTAAGACAGACGACCGGGACACTTTGCCCTACTCAACCTGTAGGATGGTCAGTCGAGGACACAGAAGAGATGGAGTCCGTTCGAGCCTATCTTTCTCCCGTCGGTGGCAGGGAGATCTCAAACTGAGACGACTGCCTGCCTCCCAAACGGGCATCACGGGTGGTAGAATCATCGCTGCAGACCTAGACTAAGACATCGGCAGAACAAGGCCTCCTTTTCGTCTCTAGAAGCGAGACGCGGATGCACATTCAGCCTCATTGAGACTCTGACAGGAATCAAAGAGCCGCGCCCCATTGGGGGTTTGGCTGAAGACGATCCTAGGACGCCCAGACATGTGCGCGCCGCTGTACATCTTCGGAGGTGAAGAGCGTCGCACTCGGTGAGCGCCCGAACAGTTTTCATTCGAGACCGGACCTGATTGTACAGAGACAGTTCAGACGCAGTGGAACGCGCACTGACGAGCGAGGTACAAAAGCAGAGGGGAGGATCAGATACCAGGGAAGCGTGTCCTGCCAGGTTTTCTGAGATTTTCATCTGCACTAACATGTCAGACGCTCCCGTGTTTGTAGCCCTCGTTATCTGCAGTTTGATGTACGGTTGGACAGCAAACTGCGGATAACGTGTATTATGTCCCGGTGCTGCGTTAGGTCGTATTTGATAGGCACTTGGACGACCGCTCTCGAAGGCCCCACGGCCGACTAACATGTCAGACGCCCCCGTGTTTGTAGCCCTCGTTATCTGCAGTTTGATGTACGGTGTGACAGCAAACTGCGAATAACGTGTACTATGTCCCGGTGCTGCGTTATGTCGTATTTGACAGACATGTATATCCAGCAGCTAGTGACTCTATCATGTTTATATCGACTTACCTAGTCACACCCACCAATCATTACCGCAGCCCCAAGTCGTTGAACTCGCATCCGGTTGATTATGACGGGGCCGTCGCCATCGTTACGAGGATGTTTGCGGTTCGTACAGCCGTTCCATCGTTCCAGGGCGTGCACTGTTAGACAAGCTGGCGATGATACTACAGTCTCTAGGAGTATGGCGGTGTAAGCTCGTCTTTGCGATGGAAATGAACGTTAACCGCACTATCGTCATATTGGTTCAGTCTTCCTGCCCGCGGTATGGCCCATCAACATGGCGATCTAGTGGCTTGCCATGCTATGAGCTATTTCTGATTCCTCGCTGATTGAAGTGAGAGACCACATAGCAAGTCAGATGGTGGTCCATTCGAGCGCAGAATAGTCGTTTGTTTTAAGTATTACATACATGCTTGGACAGACTACACTGACAGTGACACTGGGCCGCTGACAGCAGCCGGGCGCGTCTGTGGCGAGCAGTGGTTCCGCTTGTCGAAGCGCTTAGTTGTGCAACGGGCGCCATCGACGCGTCTCCTCCGACTCGGTCCAGCTCGGTCCTCCTTGCATCCGTGTCGAGTGCTACGCTCAATGCAGTGCCGCATTCTGTGCGGAAACAATGCGGAGACCATTACTGACTACTCTCGGAATGTTTTGAAGTCGAGTTGCAACGCCTGACAGAATGCCTACCGTCGACTAACTCTGTTATCCGACACCGCCTATCAACCGCCTACCACCTTCAGTACTTCAGTGCTTGACGCTCCGAAGGACGCGTGTTGTTCGACTTCCACTGGGCCTGACCAAGCCTGAGTTTCCTTTGTTCCCGGACTCAGGATGGAACACCTGGCGTCAGTATCCAGCGCATCCCTCTTTCGTCTGGCCTTGTGAGAACTCCGGGCGCAGAATAAGCTAAAGGTGAGCTTTCCGTCTCGCTCGGGTTGTATATCCGATGGTCTGGAAGGCTGACTTACTTCCCCGTCATTGAAGCTTGCTCTAACGTCTGTATTACGCTTCAAGGGTAGGCATCCCAGAGCTACCGTACACACCCGACTCACATCAACTTGACTCACTCCTGAACGGTCAGGCGAAGAGCGCGCAATGCACCACCCTTCATGGCACCTCCACAAATCCCGCAGATGAAGCGGAGATGCCGAGGACCGTTTCCCGGGAAGTCATGCACGCTTGCATTCAATGCCACCCGAGTACCATTGTGTATTGTTCACGGACAAAGCACCGTGCTTACAGATTTAGCGCAGCTCCGGGTATAAAAGTCGAGGATTCATCACCGCAAACGCATGCATCTCACCCTTTGGTCCGTCGTCGCCCATCAACACCCCGAGTTGCACTTCCGGCACCATTCCTCCTTACCAGATATGCTGTTTGCTGCGAGTGGCACCTCGACGTGGCCTCAACTGGAAGCATTGGCGCTTCGCATGTCGTAGTATGTCGCCAGCGTCATGACTGACTTGCTGCTGTCATCACTGAAAGCTGGGTTCTCTAGCCTCTCTCTATTCGTACCGATGCATACAGTCGTTCAAGATGAACTGAGTCGCCCGTCCGTCATCAAGAGTTCGGTACGCTCGTGCCACTGTCGTATATAGGCTATCTAAGCTCACTTTTTGGCAGAATACTCGGATGTGCGTCGCTATAACGCGTCGACGCCAATGTCACGCCTATTGCCGTACATCCCCACGCATCTTCACCGGTTGGACGAGACGAGAAGGCGTCAGATGCGTGGCTCCAATCAGTCTGATATCTGCCGAACGCGGAAGACGGTCAGCATGGGACAAAGATGGTAAGATCTCAAACCTATCTGCAGCTGTATCCATTATACAACCGCTCATGAGGCTCTGCCAGGCTCGCAATCGGTCTCCTCGCGACGACAGGTGTACGAGGACACTGCACTCAAAGTCGTAACACGGAATACCAGTCCTGAGCTCAAGGAGACTGACGAGACCAATGGACAACTCCTGTAAGATTCCTTGTCTCCATCAATTACTGTTGAACGTACCCATGCTTCGTTACTTCCAGCGAGGCGGACGCGCTCTTCGACTGGGCAAAGTGGGAGCATGATTCCACGCCGGAATCCTCCTCGTCGGGCGGACAATCTCCGCCGAGCGTGCGATTGACCGAGGCATCGTCTGCTTCAGCAAGTGGTTCGCCTCCCGGGACAGCTCCTGCTTGCCTACCTCCCCAACCCGCGGACGGGCCCTCCAGGGAACCCCCCGCCAGCTCCATCTACCGCCGCGCGGCCCAAGGCTGGCCAGAAGCGCAAGAGGGCGGCTTCTCTTCACCCGCTCACCTTCGGAACGGGAGCGCCCAAAGGATCGCGCCGCAAGCCAAGCCGACGCACAGGGAGCGTAGCGAGGTCACTTGTACATACACTTCTGAGGACGGCCAGAAGTGCGGCGAGCACGCGGTGGCGGAGCACCTTTGGGACCATGTCCGGCAAGCCCACGGATTCCAGGACCTCGTCCAGCCCGAGTCTGCGCCGCACACGGTGCAGTGCTCGTGGGATGGATGTGCCTTCAGGGCGATGAAGGAGGAGGTCGTCGAGCACTGGTGGGAGGTCCATCATGGGTCGCTCGCGGACGACAAGGACGACCAGGCGCAGGGAATTGTCCTTGCCGCCAAGCAAGTGCGCTGCCGATCGAGCGCCAACCATGGGGATCGACGCGCATTCATGCAGCAGAGCCAGCTTCTGCGGCACTTGCGGGACACCCACTGGGAGTTCGGGACGTGGTGCGACTGCTGCGGGAAGCGCCGCAGAGGCGACACGCTTGGGAAGGGGGCGCGGGACCATTTGAAGACTTGCCTAGAGAGGTTCATGAGGACCCACCACTTCGAGGACCCGGCAAGGCGGAAGCGGCGGGCGGCGCATCTCCCCCAGCCTACATTTGGCGGTGAGGACTTCGCAGCGAGCTCCAGCCAGGCATCGTAAGTCCGTTGTTTCTGCCTTCGTCGACATCAATGACTGACGATAAATTAGGTCTTCCCAGCTACCACTAGAGCATCTCGACCATTAACCGCCGACATGGAGCAACCCTACTTACGAGCAGGAGGAACTGAGGTAAGGGACATAGCGCTCATGGGAGATGATCGACTCATTCGTCCCCAGCGAGGAATACTCGTGGTTCGATTACGAAGCATGGGACGCGGGGAGCGGAGCCGCCTCGGGGGCAGGCAGTTCGCTGCGGATGGAATCAGTGTGAGTTTACTGGGACACCAGAGGAGGTGGAAGACCGCTGGAAGACGACCCACAAGGGCGGCCTCAGCGAAGAGCACAAGGCGGGGCGGCGGACATTGACCTCGGTGGTGAGGCCCCGCACGTATCCGGACGGGGACGAGAGCGTGTTCGTGTCGCATCCTACGACCCTCGGAACCTAGCATCGCAGGAGCAGTTTGAAGATGGCTGCGGGGATACACCCGCTCGGGAACGTGGCCAGCCGACGCGGGACTACCGAAATGCAAGGACATCAGACGGGTCCTGGAAGATGACGGATAGAGGATGTTAGTCCCCAGATCGACAACGTGGACGAGACCGGCGAGCAGCTTCTGTAAGACTTCTTGTCTCCATCTGTTGCTACTCAGCGTACTCATGCTTCGTTGTCTTCAGCGAGACAGAGGCAACGTTCGTGCGGAATACATGGGAGAACGACCCGTCGACGGGCTCCTCTGCGTCGGGAGCGCACTCCTTGACAAGCTTACCATCGACGGAGTCGACTTCGACTCGGACCTCGTCAGGCCCGAGCCCACGAAGCAGAAGACGCAGTGTTCATGGAATGGTTGCAACTTCGAGGACAATGAAAGAAGAGCTAGCGCCTGCTTGCTCATCTCCTTTCGTTTGCCATTCGGCGGCGGATATACACTGTCTTGCGAGCTCCTTCTCACAACATACCGCCTCTTCCCTTGCGTTACCCGGCATGGCGCTGCCATTGGATCAGACGTGAGTCTCGGTGGCATGTCTGCTCTATCAAGCTGACAACCTCTCTGTCGCAGGTACGACCTTGCCATTTACATTCTGCGTGCCGATCATGAGGGCCGCCTACCACGGGTCGACTCGTCGGGCACGGAGGCCCTAGAACGCGAACTTCTGGAGAGCAACGACGTGGCTCTGACAGAGTCTCAAACGTACGTGATGCACATAGGCTCTCTGATGTCCGCTAAGCTTGATGTCGGATAGGCACGACCTGGCGCTGTATGTCCTCGACAGCTGTGACGAAGTCTACGATTGAGGCAGAGCGTCATGTGCCTCCGAGTCCACCGCTGGACGGTCTCGGTAACCTTCCCCTCCACGAGTCTACCCTGCATTCCCTCATATCAGCAATGTCGGGCTCTCGTAACGCGTTGTCGACTTCTAGGCAGTATAACGTCGCATCCGCTGAGCCGTCCTCGGTTCTCGGGCAACGGCGGCGCGAGCCATCTATCATTGAGCCACCTGCCGCCTTGACAAGTATCGCCGCACCCACGCATCCGACGGTCGACGCGATGACTTGTATTTGGCCAGGCTGCACCGAGACGGCATCTCCTCCACAGCTCTTTGCGCACATAAAGTCCGCACATGGGAAGACTGGCTTCCAGTTGGGGGTGCCCGATGCGTTGCGCTGTGGTTGGGACGGTTGCGCGGTTGTCGGACGACGGCCCAACTTACACGGCACTTCAAAGAGGTACACGACGAGAAACAAACCGTCAAGGCAAAGTACCTCGAGGAGAAGGTGGAGTGAAAGGCGACGGGCTGCCGCATATTGCTTTCGAGGGGCAAGGACTTCAAGAAGCACTTACACGGCCTCCACTGGATGGACACGCAATACTATCGCTTCTGCGAGACCTGCGGAAAGCTGAAACGGGTGGATCAACATCATGATGCTGCCAAATGTCTAGCGGAAGGGATGGAGACTAATTGCAAGTCATAGTCGTCCGCCTTGTCGCGTTGCCGTCCTCACCACCTATGCTCTCCTCTCGTCACAGGCTCGCCAGCGTCGCGGCGCATCTCACAGCTGTACAGTATGTCCATGATCCACGACTGTCGTTCTGGATGACAGGCAAGATGGTGTCTCAAAGACGCTTGGATGGGTTAGGTACGGTGACATACATCGCTCTCTCGTGCGACTACCAAGTCTAACATGTTCTCTTTCAGCCAGCATATCGCAAGCGGAAGCTTCCACCGATCTCTAGCTATGTACGGCATTGGTGTCTGCATCGTAGCGACCGGGGACCTGCTCAAGAGACCACGCACCTTCTTCCCGCAGCGCGTCCGTCGTGTGCAGTCGCACCGGTGCGGGCCTCTGCGAGATGACGGTGTTGTTCAACGCGACTTCAGACCCTGCGAGCACTGGTCTAGTCGTCGCCACGGACCGTGAAACATGGTGAGCGTCCTTGCAGGGGTTGGGCGCGGCTCACGTTCGCGAGTGTCGGTGACTCGCAGGAGCACGCCGTGACGGAGGGAGGATACTAGTAGGGACGAGTCAGCAGCATTAGGGAACGCGGGGAAGGTGCTTGCCAGAGGTCTTTAAACTGCCTAGTCATCGTAGAGTACGGGCGCATGCTTGTTTCGTCGACGCCGGGGTATCGCTTCTTTGATGATGCAGTGAAAAGCTATTACAGGCAGGTGTGGCTCCTTGTGACAACGATGGATGTTTGTCGCTCCGGCGATCGAAGGCACCACAACGTCTGTCGAGGCATTCTGCCATTTCAGGTGATACTTGGCACGCTGTCACGTCGTCACAAGGGGGTCCAATATCCCGTCGTTCGTGTGTGTATGGCAAAGTCGCGAGCTGTGGTGACGTTGTGACAGTTGAACGTAGAACGTAGAACCGCGGTTGTGTGGAACGCGTTCCATGTGAGACCGCTCATGAAACGCTGGACGAGTAGTAGGTGCTTACACGTCACTGCGCCGATGGGTTCGGGCGCAAGATCCGCAGACAGAGTCCCGCTCTTCCATGACGGTGCCAGGTGAGGTGCGGTCGTTTCTGGAAGTGGGTCAGATGTATGCGCACATGCTCAATGTGAAGGACTCGGTGGAGTCGGCACTGACGGAGTGACCGGAGGTGTGTGACTGGCAGCATCCTTGTGCGATACCGCAACCTGTTCTACGATCGGATGAGTCACACGGAGAGGCACCGATCGGGAGAACAACGCACTTGCACAGGAACTCGATGGCCGGCGCCAATACGGATCCAACGCGTCGAACCGCCGACGCAACGTACATGTCCTGTGGAGGCAACCGTGGAGCAGACAGCGCTGATCCATCGTGGTTGGCTCACCAAGGGACTGTATCAGAGCAATCGCCGCCGCTCTCAGCTCAGGTTCCCAGTCGGGTCTTCGAACGATACGTGCCGGGGTGCGGTTGACGAGAGTTCTGCTTACCTCGTCAATGCTGAGGACACACCAGGGGTTACGATGTTATGCGACGCGCTACAGTCGAAATCAGTTGGGTCCAATATGACAGATCGCGAGGATGACACACCGTCGTCTCGGACCTCTCTCAACGCGTTCCACATCGCTGAGACAGCGACAGGCTGACGACTAGTACAGCTGTCTGCAGACATGCAAGTACCGGCGCGTCGGGACAATCTACGGACGCGTTGAACGAAGGCATGTCATCGATGAGATATGTGACGAAGAGAATAAGACCCACCAGCGAATTTGAAAGGGCCTGTCAGTCGACGTTCTGAGAACCTCCTTGCGGAAACAACCTCTTCAGCGTGTTCCGTGGAGAAACCTGTGGTGACTCGCATCGATGGAAATGCTGTCCGAGCAATTCGTGGTCGCTCGATGCCAACACGAGGTGCCAGCGGACGCTCCAGGCTAGGAAAAGGTTTGTGTATTTGGGTGTGCAAGGTCCAGGAAAGGGTGACGTACGAAGACCGTTATTGCGAGAAGACGTCCGTGAATTTCCTGCACTCAGAGTGATTGTCACTCCCATTGAAGAAGGTGCTGCGTTGGTCGCGCGACTCGAACATCTCGGGCGCCAAGATTTGTCCGTGGCTTCGGAAGCTTTGGCTAAGTTATCCGAAACCGGTTAAGTCGACCCGAATCGGCTACGCTGATCACAGTTCTAGAATCTAACCGCTTTTGAACGTGCCTGCCGAGGCCCGAGGACGACGACTGGACCTGGACTGGACGACGGTGAGTAACCGCTAGATCTCCGATTTCCTCTCGAATAGGCAGGTGTACCGTCCGGCTTGAATTCAGCACTTGTCTTATTCGCCGCTGCTGCGCCCGGCAGGGTCCGATATGCCATGCAAATCATCATTTCGTTCTATACAGGCATATGACACACATAATTACGGATGGTCCGTGAACACTGTATATTCAGCGCGGGAAAGAGGAGCATTCTCAATCTACTTACATATGTATGTGCTCACATATGCACGTCGGACCCTGCCGGGCGTTCATTCAACTTTGCATGCAGTTACGGATGATCTGTGAGCACATACATATGTATGTAGATTTAGAAAGCTCCTCTCGCCCGCGGCGGCTTCGCCACCCGGGCGATTCGGAGCAGTGTCCAAAAACACTGATCCCCTCACCCACTAATCACCACTTGCTTTTTTGGATTTCCCCGTTCGAATTCCTGCCAGCCACTGCAGTGGTCCCCATTGTACCCGTGTATTGTCATCAATATTCACAGAGCTTTGTTTGGACCGAATAAGTTACGCAGTGGCTGGAACACCGTGAGCACGTTCCACAACACAACCATATCATCACTAGCAGTCTGTGAGCAATCGATGCGTAGAGCAAACCACCAGCATCGTCGTCTGCGTGGATCTCGGTCACGAATGCACCTTGGGAGACAGTGAGGATATGAACATTACGATTTTATGCGCTGAAGACTGGGACGATGAATCAAGCATGCGCTGGACGGTGGTCGAGTCAATAGGTGCAGTGGCTGGCAGGAATTCCGAACGGACCGCGGTTCCGAATGGCTGGAAACTCCTTCCGAATAAGGTGATGACTAAGCTAGACTCTCCATATGACGGATAATATCCGATATTAGCATATCGGAATGCGAGTGGCGTCCATGTTGCCTTACTTGACAGCTAGGGAGCGTAGATGCATCGGACAGAGCTAGCATCGAAGAGCGCGTTTTCGCTGGAATGGAAGTGTGGATGGTTCGGTGTACACGGTAGAAATGACACAGAATACAATACCTTCACGGCATGATTCGTCTCCGTTTGTAAGTTATCAAGCGACCCATTCCGACAGTCTTCACGTGACGGGAGCACCGCAAGCAGCCTCCTGGAAGCCACGCAGCTCGCCGACTGATGACTTGTTTTTTGGCCCTCCTCCCCAGGCTCCCTGGCAACCATAAATCCCGTTATTGTTCAGTTTTTCGCACCTCCCATACCCCCTCTTGGATCTCACTCACCTGGACCCTCGCTCTCGCATTCGACGTCAAAGGCCTGACCCGAGATGCCTCTCTAGGCCACTGCGCGATGACGAACGCAGTGGGACGAGGATCTAGTCGTTGCTAGACTCCACATGTCGAGCATGGCATATCCTGGGTCTGTGCTCGCGCACAAGCCCCTACCTGGGGAGCGAGACAGCCATCGGTCTCTTAGTCAACGGTGCGTAGATAAGCCACCCACTCACCATTTCACCACAGCATCCTGCTGCGGCGACGTCCCAAGAGGTACCGTCTGCATGCGTCGCGAGCGGGTGGTCGGAGAACAGGCACGTCGGCCTGTCGAAGAGGGACGATATCAGAGGTACGCTCGGTTTGACCCTGAACGGGGTGGCTGACTTTCGTCTCCTCAACAAGCGCATAGACCGACATCAGCGAACGTTGAGAATAGCTGCTCGGTTGACTTGAGGTGTCTTAGGTCCGGCTTTGAGGAGTGTGTCAAAGCTGGAGACTTATGTGTGGGCGCCACTCCACCAGGCCGGAACGATATCGTCGGTAAGTGGTCCCATGAATCGATGTGATGCTATGCGGATGAAAGTAGGTTCATCGCGTGAAGTTGAACGGAAGGTACGTACCCATTCACTATTCGACGGGCGTCTAAGTGTAGCCGTGGTACTGTGTGCACCGTTACGTCCCAAAGGCGTGCTACGAGACAGGCGTGACAGCTAGTGTCGTCAGCTCAGTGAGTATGTCGGCGGGATGTAAATCCCGACGACATACTGGTCTGTCAGAGCGGATGTGCATCAGTGACACGTCTGTTCGTTGATCGCGTACGCCGGGGCTCACCGTTCCGTCATACACCTCTGCGCTTGCTGCGCGCCGGCTTCCCCAGACTGAGGCTCTTGTGCACGAGCAGTACATTACCTCGGGATCGTAAAGACCAGGTTTATGAAATGTTCACCGCATGCGTTATAACACGCCAGCTCGTGTTGTAGAGACAAGTTTATTACTTGTCTCGTCGCTGGGCTGGATGACCAACATAACGACGTTTCGCGGACAGACGTGACGCCTCGTGTTGGCAGCTCAGCGAGAATGTCGGTGGGAATCATGTCTGATGACATACCGGCCTGTCAAAAAGTACTCCAGCCTACATCATTGACACGCCTGCTTGTCAACTGACATGTCGCGCGGGTCACCCCTCAGGGCACTGTGCGCCGGGGTAGTGGCGATCCCCCTCGTGCAGTACAGGGACATGTATATGAGCGTCTCTGATGTGCAGAGAAGCTCGAGGAGCTCGAGCACGCGACAAGTTTGCTCACCGTATATCGTCTTACTCCGACGTGGCTGCGTTGGAAGGTGGACATGCTGTTAATCTTCGCGCTGGTCTCGCTGTCGAGGACAAGGCCCTGTGGGAGGACTGCCAACATAAGTGGTAGGTCCTTCTTGCTTACGGATCGTGTGGCTTACCTTCATCGCGTCGAGAGCACACAGATCCGCGCAGTCCCCGACTGGTCTGATTTGATCCTGCGGATCGCGGGACGCACCGTGAAGAATTGAGGTCTGCTACTTTGTGCCTGTGGGCTCTCAAAGGCAGGTGAGTGTCTCTCAGTACGCTGAGAACAAGGACGTGAAAGAGTCACCTTGGTGAAACGAGGTGAATTACGAGGAATTCTGATCCGTTCTTGTCTAGTGAGCAGCTGCTGCGATGGATACATTGCGTCGAGAAGGACAGCGTTCCGGTACGCCATCATGTCTTGGGACGGATTGTCCGGCTGCACTTTGGCTGAGGCCGATCGTTTTTGTCAGTGTCATTGTTGAGTGTCTCGAGTGTCAAGGCTACGCACCGTCACGAGGTTGACGGACTGGCAGTGAGATGTATGCCGCAAGGCAGCGGATGTCATGAGAACGCTGTTCTGAGCCAGCCGTGAACGATGGGGATCAGTATATCGTAACGACGTACGCTTATGCCCAAGACATATCGTCTAGCTTCCAGGTAGGTTCATCGTGTATATTGTCGATGATCCATGCTATGAATCTGATCTTGAGTATCGTATATTCGTGAAGTTGTAGACGTACCATCGTGGGGTCAGGCTCACCATTGTCGTGCGCATTGAGGACGAATCGAGGGAACCCAACTAGCTTTGCGCTAGAAGGCTAGCGTGGAGCAAGAACGAAGTCTTCGTGCCAGTCGGACGTGGCGTTGAAGCAACCGCAGCGGAAATGTCTGTGGCCAATATCTGGACGGGTAAGTTTACACTCCGTTTTAAGGGAGTTTTGCTGACCAGCTAGAGCCTGGATGCGTTGTAGGGTGGCAAAGACTTGACAGCGCGAGGCTGGGATGGCCGAAGTCGATGCTGAGCGAAGTTGAAAAGTGAGCCACTCCCCGTGGTTGCGCCTCCACTGCCAGTGCGTAGGCTACATACGTTCAACACGCTCCTCCCTATGCCGCCGATACCCCAGAAACGCCAGCGGCAGCAAAAACAAGCAAACAAAGTGGAAATCGCGTCGATGAACGCGCTTGTTGGAGGTCAGTAGTCGTGCTAGCGCGGATCCGTTGAAGTTGACTTGCCTACGAACCGCGGAGCCCTGAAACCAACCTGCGTCGATCCTCCGGAACGGATCTATACCTCGAGGTCGCTCGCTTTGTGGCTGGGACATCCGGGCTGCGCTGCTGGCCTCAGCGGGCTGGTGGTGAGTGCAAGGTCGCGCCACAACAAGTCGCGCCACGTTACTCACGGTTCGGGGGGCCCTGCCTTATTGGGACAGTCCTTGTTCTTTGGTCGGGCAGCGATATGTCGTCTCCATGGCGGACATAGCCTTTGCCGACCTGCGGGCCAATCACGGCTAGCAGGTCTGTTCTGGGCTTTCATTTGACCTGACTGCTGGGGCTGGCTTGTGCGGACGGACTGACGAGCGGCAAATCGGCGAGGCGGAGATGGGGGATCGGCGCGTGGCCCGCCCTCAACTTGCAGGGCCCTTCTTCGTCGATGGCGGGGTGTATACCCTAGTGGGCGGTTGACAGCGGATGGAGCGGCGCAGAGTGCTGCACCGGCTTGTCCGCTGTGACTGGCCCGTGCGGGGGGCGTGCCGTGGACGGAATCGGGGTGTGTGATCGGATTGGGATCAGCACACCGCGACGCGTCTGTTTGGCAATTGATTCGCGAGGGTTGTTTACCCACCTGCATGGGAGGTTCAAATCCCGGGCGCGCGTCTCCCTTCCCTCCCTTTCTCCAACGGCTACCATCTGCGCGCTCGCCTCTCATCCCCAACGCCTGAACACAACCTTCTGCCCATTACTCCATACCCTTCCAACTCCATCAACAATGTCGTCGTACAGTGGTCTCTTGTCGATCCCCGAAGTGTACGTTCATGCCACGTCTTTGTCACGTTGAGCAACACGGCTCACTGGAACATCTCAGAATGTCAGAGTGGGCCGTATATGAGACAACGTACGACGTTATCGATGCAGCATCCGCGGGCGGTCCCGTAGCAGGACCTTCTGCTCCCAGAGCGATGTTCAGTTCTTCGCTTGCACCCAAGCACACAATGTGAGTCTGTCTTCGGCCATATCAAGAGTGATGACCTGCGGTACTGATGGCCTATGGGGAACAGGGGAGCAGACGCATTGTCTCACTCAGAGTCCACGTCTAGCGGGACGCCTTCAACACACGGACTGCCATTCCTGCCCACAGAATGGGGGTTCTTCCCCGACCTCCCCATCCTCCCTTTCATGCCGTTTCTACCCCCCATGGCATTGCCCATGTACGCACCCCCTTACGCGCCTATTGCCCCGCCATCCTCCGATGCCGACCGTGTATCAGTCAAGCGAAATCGAGAAGAGGATGCCGTCGGCTCGTCTGAGGGTGAATGCCGCCCAACGAAGGTCGCGCGACGGCACAAAATCCAGCAGGAGATTTTCACCTGCGGATGGAAATGTGAACACGACAGTATATGCGGATATCGAGGAATATCGCAGGAGGTCTGGCAGCATCTCCGAGTGCAGCACGAGCAGAAGCCGGCGAAGATAGCGCCTATTCCCAAACCGGTGGTGTGCGGGTGGAACGGGTGTACGCACAGGGGCCTCCCGCGGACGTTGACGGAACACTGGCTAGAAGTACACAAGTCCGCTTGCTTGGCCGACAGTGAACTCAACGACGGGCTTATGGCCTGTCGGGTATGCCACTCGACGGGCGCCCACCAAGGCGTCGGCAACAGAAGGCGCAGGGGGCATATGAAGCTCGCTAGCCTTCCCAAACACCTGCGAACCACGCATTGGGGCGTCTTGGAGTTCTGCGATAATTGTGGTCGGGAGTCTCGCAGCGACGTCTTCGACAAAGGCGACCGGGACCACCGCGGCCAGTGCTTGCTCGTCTTCATGAGGGACTCTCCCCACTGTATTTAGGCCGAGGTTTCATTTTTCTGGTGGCCGTTCCTGTTGTTATGTACGTTGTGGGACTCTCTAATAGCTGTTGTTGTTCTTGCTACGCGCTCGACTGTTGTATTGCTCTGACTACGTACGTGTGTAAGTGTTCGCATCATCGTTCAATGTACTCTTGTCGATGTCGTGTACTTAGTTGTTCTCCGATAGTCTCACCTTTTGTACTCATCCATCCATCATAATTTCATCTCTTCCTGGTTCCAGTGAGCGAGCACACCAAGCTATGGGACATTGCCTAGTCACTGCCGCCCGCGAGTCGTTCAACATCGATCACGTGCACTGTCAACGGGAGAATCGTTGCATCGCTAGCTCGTCGACCAGTTCGTCTTGACTTCCTGCATGCGCTCACATGCAATTTCGATGGCATGTCATAGCTATGGCAGCCTTGGTCGTCAGGATGCGAGCTGCGGTAGCAGCGGCTGGGTGAGTACTTGTGATATTTGGCATGAAAATTTGTATGACGGGTGGTACGGCGGCCGACAGCACGTCTTTCAGGTTCTAGCGAACGAGCCTGAGAGCACATCCTCAACGCACTCTTTCTAAGAGAATTAGACAACGGCGTTCCTCATATGACGAACTTTCGATGCCTACGGAGTCGATACTATATCTGCGCCAACATCTGTCCGACATGTGGCAATCGAGCCATCTCTGATCCTGAGGCAGGCCGCAGGCCGGCACTGGCATTCTACAGCTTCACCGCTCTCAGGTATGTCTCTGATGTGTAACGAATTGTGATGTTGCTCGCTCTACCAACAGGCCTCGTTCTCGTTTCTCGCCACGTCAACGAGATCCGTTTCCATTGCGGTTAGGTACCGCGCCTTTGATTCGTATGTCCTGGTCCTCGAAGTGATATACTTCTTTGCTCTGCAGAAGCTCACTTGAACGTTTCGAGGCGCAGTGGTACTGTAAGGTCGGGGTGCGGAGCTATAATGCAGCCGTCTTACCGTATGGAGCCAACTACTATCGAAGTGGGGGTCGTGGAGCACCAGGCGACGACTTCGCAGGAACTCGGCTTGGATTGACCTCACAATGATACGCTTCAAATGGACCAAAGGCACGGGCTGCCGTCTGCTGCTCAGGTCTATCGTACACGCCACTCAGTGAGTCATGCTTGCATTCTGCGTTGATTGCCACTCAGGTACCATTGTGTATTGTTCAGGGACAAAGTAACGTACTTTTGGATTCATGGTCGCAGCTCGAGGTATAAATACGCTCGCGTTTCAGTACAGGACGCATATCCTTTACTCCGTCGCCGATGCACAGCGCTCGAATCACAGTCCCGTCATCATTCCTCCTAACTAGATACGCCATGGCGCTCAACTTGCAGTCAACGCCTCCCACTTCCCAGCCGCTACTTGTGTCGCGGTACGTCCTCATGTTTGGGCTTCGAGTTTTGTTGATAGCTCATGCCTAGTAACAACGTGGACAGAAGACTCAGCAATCAGCCTACACATCGTCAGATCACAGACTTTGTCAACGCATACCGCTCCCTCTCCCTTATCTCAACTACTACTATCCTCCTTCCCTCGCCCATTCCCTCGAGCGCCTTCATACACTCCTATCTACTGCGCCTTCTCCCAATAACATCTACTACTATCAACATCATGACCTACGGTTCTCAGGAAGCATCAACGTCCGCGTCGTCGTAAGGCTACTATCCCCACCGTCGTTGGCATTGTTTATTGACCATGGGACAGCTCGTCGTACACGACACTCGAACCGCTGGACAACGCAACAGGATATACAACTCCTGAGGACAACGAGACTGCAGAGAGCAACGAGCAACTGCTGTAAGACTCCTTCCTCTATCTATTACTGTTGAATGTACTCATGCTTCATTACTTTCAGCGAGGCGGACGAGCTCTTCTTCGACTTTGCGAAGTGGGAGCACGATTCCACGCCGGAAGCCTCCTCGTCGGGAGGGGAGTCCACCCCCAGCCTGGCGTCGACGGAGGAGTCGTCTGCTTCGTCTGGTATCTCACCGCTGTCGGGTTCGGAAGGTTTGCCGACTCACTCGCGACCACCGAGCCCCGCTGCATCCTCCGCTCCTTCCACCTCCGCTTCCCCGGTGCGCTCCAAGCGCAAGCGGGAGGCCTCTGACGAGGGCCCGTCTACATCCGTTCGTCAACAAGCGCAGCGGGCACCGCGCATCACACCACAAGCCGCGCCGACACCCCATGAGCGGCGGGTGTACACCTGCGGCAGGCTGAAGCACATGGACGAACACCTGCCCGATTATGTGTGGCAGGGCCATTCCGAGGACTGGTGGGCCCACGTCCGGAGTCATGTGGGATCTCATGAAGCTCCTGCCAGTGACAGCGGAGACGCCTCGTGGGGAGGGAGTCAGCAGCGGGTGGGATGGATCATGATGCGAGTTCGCTGGGACCGCGAAGGAGGTGGAGGGCAATGGGAAAACGGCCCACAAGGGCAGTCTCGCTGACGAGCGGATGGAGGACAGGGCGGCGGGCAGCAACCTCAACGACTACCAGGTCCACTGCCGTGCGTGCCTGGCTGAAGGGGTGCGCGCGGTTGTGACGGAGCCGTGCCTTGTCCGGCACCTCAAGACGAAACATTGGGGAGCAGGGATGAAGTGGTGTGATGGGTGCAGGGAGTGGAAACGTGCGGATACATATGCCACGGGGGTGCGCGACCATCGGGGCCCTTGCCTACTTGAAGCGCCACTCGACACAAAGTCCACGAGAACAGGGTGTGTACAACGCTTATGCAGCGTCGATCTCTGGGAATTGCCAACTTGACTGTCGAGGAGGGGTACGCACTGGCAAACGCTAGCATTGGGAAGAGGTACGATTACATACATGGTCGTCTTGTACGGCTACTGACATGATCTCCATCGAGAAAGCACATCGCAAGTGGAGAGTCCAACAACCCTCTAGCTATGTACGGCATCCAGATCACTCCTCTTCCACCAGTTCTCCAATGTGGCGACTCCGATCGAACCAAGGCGCTGTTTGGGACTAGGATGCGCACCTTCCTCTCGCAGTGTGTTCGCCGCGTGCAGTCGCACTCGACGCGAGCCACTGTGAGATGCTGGCGTGCCGACATCGGGAGACCGTGATTTGAAGACTGCGGCCCACGTCCGGGGCAACGAGAGGGGACGGAAGGCTGAGTCACTGGCGTTACGTAATGAGGTATGGTCGCTCACCATGAGCGTTTTAATTCACCACGACTTATATGCGACGAGAACATGCTCGCTCCGTCGCAGGTAGTGCATATACCTCTCGTGAAATGCTGGAGCGTCGTGAGGGGCGTGTAAGATAGAGGTCTGGACCGCGCGCAAAGGGTACGCGTGGCGATCGAAGGCGCTGTTCCTTCGCCGCGTTACCCTTCGACACAGTGGCATGAGAGGCTGACGTACTATATGCGAGACCCGAGCGGCTCACCTCGGTCCACGCACACTCAGGCTGAGCAATGTCGATGCTGTATGTCGGTCGGCAGGGAGAATCCAGTGTGGACAGCTCACCGTTTATCATTCGTGAAACCTGTCGTGTTCGAATGACACAATATACGTGTGAGCTTTCGTGGAAGGCTCAAGAAGATATGGATGACTTACCCATCGACACGGTATGTGTGCACCCACACAACGTCTTAGGCTCTATCATGCAGTCGGAGGAAGCACAATCGACGAGCACGATGTCCTGCAGGCACGCGATCTGCAGGCACGCGATCGCAAGAGGCACATCGGTCGACGTCGGTACGAGCATCTGTGTGTCGACGTCAATACGGAGGCAATCTGAGGCGCGGAAGCAAAACGTACGCTGACGGACGTAGATCGTTGGAGCGCCGATCATCTGTCATTTGCGATAGTCTAGTGGTTGAACGACCGTGGTGGCTCCATGAGCCTGTGACGTGGCAGGGAGGAGCTACAGCGGAGCGTGTGTAAGTGTAATTGAACGTTCCAGGAAGGATATCCGACAGCACCTCCAGCACTCGCTACCAACCCAATCTCCGTACGTGTTCCATCGGCCCGTATGGTGCAGCTTGCTGTCCAGTGCACGAGCCCGAGTTTCGAGAGCGCCCCAAGCATGATACCTCCAGGGCTCCGCGATGAAGATGAGTCCGTCAAACGTTTCTAGAGGTGTTCTTTCGTCGTCCACGAGAACTTACAGAGCTCATAAGTCTCTCTCTTCAACGAACGGAGAGGTATACCGGTAGAGTTGACTTGGATTGCGGGCGCTGGGCGACCGCTGGCGCTACTTTGTTGCACGTGAGGGAAATCCTTCTTCGACTTTCGCGCCGCTTCTGCGTTACCGCGGCCTCGGTGATCGGCTACTTAGATGTTGTCGCTAACTAAACACGGCCTGAAAGGGAAGCGTTCAGTAGTTGCCGGATCTCAGATCGACCGCGACGCGCTTGAAATGGAAAGCCGCGCCGTCTGAATTCGGTTGTCCCGGCGCTCTCTCGCGAGTGGCCAGCGTAGACCTGCATTGAGAGCGAACTTGAAGAGAGGCCGTGTAGAAGACTACAAGCCCTATGGTGCGAAGTTAGCCCTCCGTATGTACAAGACCATAATTACACTCAATTGCATCACCTTCGTCGCATGCTGTCGCTGCGTTGAGCTGGCAATGGCAGGCGGTGAGCTCACGACGGATTCCCACGTGGCAGCAGCGTCCGCCCAATAAAGCGCCGCAGGGTCGACACAGGACAACAAGTCGACAGGGGTCGTTCGCTCGCACAAGGCCAGCACAAGGCTGCCCATCAGGACCCTGTATCTCCTCGTCGTCCAGTGATGCCTTGTTCCTGTTCGTCGCGACGTTAAGTATGAGACGTTGATGAGCACGACCGGGTGGCACTGCCCTCTTGCTCACCTGCGCCTTGTCCCTCTCCTCGCGCGTACCCTCGTGTGCGACACCATCGGCGATCTTGGACGACGAACACGCGCGAAGAACGCTGGAATGGCCACTCGTGCCTGCGCCTCAGGAGGAAGGGTTGCTTCATCGTTGTTGTGGTCGAGAGGGCGCCCTGGACACTACCTGCGAAGGGATGTCATCTAGTCGGTCAAGAATACGTAGAAAAGCCACTCGCTCACTCGGGCCACCCTCCGCAGACGTTATAACGAGTTCGCTCTTCGTGAACTTCGGGCCACTTGGTTACGTCGAAATGTTTGCCAGGGACCGCGTGCCGACAATTCTCCGGCCTGTCAGGAGGGAACTCATGAGTGGTACGCACAGACTTTGTTCATGCGGTTGATGTTCACGAAGGTTGGATACACGCCGCGGGCAGGTAATGTGCGCGCGCTGGACCAACTCAGCCCCGAAACCCCACGATGCTCCCTGTGGAGAAAGGACAATACGCTGCGAAGCGTCTGTCCATAAGCTGCTCGCTCGCCATGCCGTTACCACCTGTTTGGGTGGTGCTGCTCCGAAGAAGATGTGCATGTTGCCGGACCTCGTCGTGTCAGCGAGTATGCTGTAGCATATAGGGCGGCGACAGGTTAGCTTGTAAACGCGAACTCTGCACGTCAGTTGGCAGGCATACCGTCGTTCATGCCCCAAATACTCGTCATCGACGGTCTCTCCTGACATTCAGTAGAAGTGAATGGCTGTGATAATTAGGAGACTCGGTGACCGCGTTCGCGAGAGCGCGTGCCGGGCTGCTCCTGTGCCGAAGAAAGCCGTCTGAGCAATGTGGACGGCATGCTCTTCTGTCAGGGTGTTGTCCGTCAGTGGTACGTCTTTCTTTTGAGTGGATCGCGTGGCTTACAGAACATAGACAGTGGACTCGTTGCGTTCACATAGATTAGGTACGGGTCCGCAAGCGACCAGCTGCAACACTGAACGACTGCAAGCGAACTCTTCAGCGAACATTCACGACGACGGTACAAGTCCAAAGTATACCGCACTTCCCGACGATTATAACGAAGTTGCGCTGTCCTGCTTCGTTGAAACAGTAGGTCGTTCCCTGTATGCAACGCTGAACTTCATCTGATACCTCCGAGAGCACTCACCAGACATGCCCTTCGCATCTCCGCATCCGAACGAACATTGTCGGGGAACTAGCGCAGCGACTGCAAACGAGCTTGTCAGCGAACACTCACGAAATGGTACAGATTCAAAGTACCTTCCTTTCCGATGGTCGTAATGAAGGTACGCACTCCCGCTTTGCCAAATGAGTGGGTCGTCCCCCCTATGCAACGCTGAACATCGTCTGAACGCGTGCCCCGGGCGCAACTCACTAGATATAAGCATCACATCTCCGCATCTCCACGAACGTTGTCGGGGAACTGGCGTCGGTTGCAGGACGTGTTCGTACACCGACCTGGTTACCGGTAGCTGGTTCGGATCACCGACCTTCCCGTTCGTGGTACAGTCTACTTGATCCCTCTGCATTCGCAGACGATGTGAGTCGTCGGATGTGGCCGCTGGGCTTCACACACCTCTGAATGCGTCGCTGATAACCATCTATCCGCCCCTCCGCCAGATGCTTTGCTCATTGTATCGATCCACGGGTAGTCCGCACTGCCAGTGGGGTAAGTCAGCGTCGTCGAATGGCAGAGCTGGTACACCACCATCTGAGGCTCGTCGAGCCCATATTCGCTGTTGTGATGGGTCCTAAGGCGGCCACGAGACTAGCGTGTCACATATAATGGCTGGAAACAAAGCACCGAGGCAGACACAATCCAAGCAATGTGGCCCTAGGCCCGTCTTCGTGTTGGAAAGACTGGGTGGTGAGGATCGTCGGCCGTACCCCAGATTGGTAGGATATCGCGTCGAAAATACGGCGACATCGTCGTCGTCTCGATGGCGGAGACGTTTGAAGCGACTGAAAGCGTGGAGACGCGACACAGCGTCGCTCGGAGGAGGTGGGAGGTGAAGTTCGAAAGGCAGCCACTCCGAGGTCTGTGGCGTACCGAACGACCCAGGCTAGTTGGACGCTGTCATGGCCCAGAAGTGCGTTGGATGCTCTCGGTGTTGGGTAGGGGAATCGATGATGAGAGTGTTGAACGAAGGCTGACCACAAGTTGGCAGGACTTCGCGCGGAAGGCGTTGAAGACCACGTGCTCAGACTCCTCGCGCGCACTTCGGGCTGGCCGTCGTCGAACATAGGGACTCGTCGGTAGCGCCGAATTGTTCGCGGGTCTGCGAGGGTAGCTTGGCTGGACCATAGCTCTCGACGACCTCGCAGTTGAAGGCTGGGGATGGCGCTACCAAGTGAAGGCGCGTCGCTCGAGGTCGGGGGTTCAATTGACTTTCCAAATTGAGAAGTCTTTGTTGTCGGATTGAGCAGAGGTGCGTCGTTTCTAGGCAGATGTTGTCGTTGCCTGCCTTTACGCCAATGGCGGCAGACTGTGCGGGATGGGCGGTGCGCCCTCCTGCCTGTTGGAGCTGGTTCGCGCGGAGGGGCGGACTGGCAGGCAAAGTCTACGAGGCTCGGATGGGGGATTCGCGTCGTGAGCATCCTATGCTCCAGAGTTCTATGATATTCTATGGCAAAATATCTGCTCTAATGAGATGTCGATGGCAGACAGCGCGGTGTTGGCGAATACGCTGACGTGTCTGCTCTGATTGACCCACGTGCAGGAGCGTGACGGACTCCCGGCGAGCAAGCCGTGGACAGAACCGGGTATGGTCGGGGTCCGTGACCCCGGTTGGGTCAGCACACCGCGACGCGTTTGTTTGGGTTATCGATTCGCGGGGCCTGTTTGTACACGAGCACGCGAGGTTTAATTTCCGGTCGCGCCTCGCTCCCTCTCCCTTTCTCCAACCACTACCATCCCGCCTAGCTCGCCCATTCCCTCGAGCGCTTTCATACACTCCTATTTACTGCGCCCTTTCCCAGGCGTTCAACATCATCTCACTATTCGACCATCATCTCTGCCAATATCATGTCCTGCGGGTCCATATCAGGCTCAGCCTCGTCGTCGTAAGGCTGCTATCCCACCATCGTTGGTATTGTTTGTTGACCATGGATCAGCTCTTCGAACGCATCGCCCCAACTGCTGGACGATGCAACACTGTATACCACTCCTGACGTGGAGGAGACTGAGAGCAGCGAACAACTGCTGTAAGACCCTTTGTCTCTATCTATTACTGTTGAATGTACTCATACTTCGTTACTTTCAGCGAGGCGGACGAGCTCTTCTTCGACTTTGCGAAGTGGGAGCACGATTCCACGCCGGAAGCCTCCTCGTCGGGAGGGGAGTCCACCCCCAGCCTGGCGTCGACGGAGGAGGCGTCCGCTGCGCCAAGTGACTCACCATTATCGGCTTCGGGGGGTTTGCCGTCTCAGTCGCGGCCACCGAGCCCCGGTTCATCCTCTGCTCCTTCCACCTCCGCTTCCCCGGTGCGCTCCAAGCGCAAGCGGGAGGCCTCTGACGAGGGCCCGTCGACCTCGGTTCGTCAACGAGCGCGGCGGGCACCGCGCATCACACCCCAAGCCGCGCCAACACCCCATCAGCGGCGGGTGTACACCTGCGGCCTGAAGGCCAAGGACGACGACCTGCACAAGTGTACGTGGCAGGGCCATTCGGAGGGCTGGTGGGCCCACCTCCGTGAGGACGAGGCGCTCAAGAAGCTGCTGCCGGTGAAGGCGGAGACGCCTCGTGGGGCGGGGGCCAGCTGCGGGTGGGATGGATGCGAGTTCGCTGGGACGGCGAAGGAGGTGGAGGGTCACTGGAAGACGGCCCACAAGGGTAGTCTGGCTGACGAGCGGACGGAGGACAGGGCGGCGGGCACTAACCTCAACGACTACCAGGTCCACTGCCGCGCGTGCCTGGCTGAGGGGGTGCGCGCGGTTGTGACGGAGCCGTGCCTTATCCGGCACCTCAGGACGAAGCATTGGGGGACCGGGATGAAGTGGTGTGATGGGTGCGGGGAGTGGAAACGTGCGGATACGTATGCTACGGGGGCGCGGGACCACCGGGGCACTTGCTTACTCGACCACTTGATGGGAAAGAACGCTAGGCATTCAACCTAGCGGAGGGCTTCCTGTTCGTCTATTCTGCTTTGCGTCTTCTGCTGTACTGTGTTGTCGTGCATTGCTAGTGTTGTCGTGCTGCTATCTTATTGTATCGCTCTCATCGTGTACGTGTAGTGTTGCTATCCTAGAAGGACTTGTGTTCGTCGTGTAGTTGTTATCGGTCGTGTCTCGTGTATATACGTGTTTGTATCGCAGGTATTCGGAATCGTTCTCGAGCATTCGGGCTGCAATGATCACAGACTTAAGTGAGACGCTTGGCTAGTAGAGTTGCTCGTTGCGCTCCGTGCTCGCGATCCGCGCACGTACCACCAGCTGATCAGAGGGCTCATCCGACCTTACGTCCCAAGATATTGAGTGAAAACGTGGCTGCGTATCTCATGTATTGCATTCCAGGTATGTCGCAAATTATGTACATGATGTACCGCCAACCCATCAGCCATACAGCGCTCACATCGTGCCTGCGGGTAGGGGTAATCAGTCAGATAGGCCCATGAGCTAGCTGCGGGGACGGCGCACCTGTCGCTCGTAGCCACGCGTCCGTTTTGAGAATTCGTACTCGTTCTTCTGTAGAACAGTCACGACGGCATGTGTCGCCCCTCGCTGGACTTGTAAGTATGACGGGCTAAGGAGGGCCTACGTGCTACTGAGAGGAACAAAAAGGCTCGTCAGCTGCATCGCACGACGAGGTGAAGGTGCTTGCCGTAGTGCTCTTGCCTGCTCGCGGCCAGTACGGGGAGGAGGGCAGGTGTAGACCTACATTCGCTCCTTCGAAGACATGATACTGATACATTTGGACAGTAGAGATAGGTGAAAACATTGGGATGTACCATTGGAGGAGGCTTGTCGTTCCGGTGGTTGAAAGCAGCACCACGGCTTGTCTAAGGATCACTACTGTTCAGCGTTCCGTATGAGACACCTGAGGAGATGCCTGCAAGATCGCCTATTACTCAGCCGTCACCCGACCGAGTGACAGGATATACACACCAATCCAGTCATGATCGAAGAGTGATCGTCTAGGCCGTCAAGTAGATCTTGAGTGGATCCATATGTAAGCATGCAGCCACATTGACCGAGATCGGCTGGGATTGTTTCCGCTACCGGCGCAGAACGAGCGATCAAGTGTGAATCCCTGTATGTATGAGTGACAGTACCATTGCGATCTCTGTCCTAGAATTCGACGAGCGGCGTGGAGGGATATTGATCGGAGGATCGACGCACATACCGCGCTTGAGGACGGCGCGGGTATATGCACAACGTGTGAATCGCGGAAGCAACACACATGTTATGTAACGGAGGCAGATCATGGAGCAGCGCCGATCACTTGTGATTGGCCAGACAAGAGACTGGGCGATCGGCGCCGTTGCCCAGCGGTTTGGACTTGATTTCGACATGTCGTAGAACGAGGCACAGGCAGAAGACTGGAAGACTCATCAGTTCATAAAATGTTCCGGCAAGACACCACGCACCTGCAGCGTGTTTTACAGCAAGTCTTGAGTGCACATTGTGGGGATCATCGTCGCAGATCGCTCTCGCATGATCGCGTGGGGTCCAACTGCTGCAGACCTGACACTCACAGGGATAGAGCAGTTCGCCCGTATGTCCCGGGCTAATCTGGAGTCGAATCAATCGAATGAAACCAGGCCTTGAACGGCGCGCAGTGAGACAGATAGAGCAGTACGAGACACGGGAGGGGCATACTCACCCCGTGCATGACTGCGGTGCATATTTCTTCGTGTTTGCAACATCGTTCTGTATGCTGAAAGGGGTGGTCGGTCACTGGTGACGCAACACGATGTTGGGCTTGAGGATTCCCGTCGGCGCTAAATTGGTTAGGAGATCGCATATCCGGATTCGAACCGAGGGTGGTTGCTGGCGCCTTCTTGCCGGCCTACAACGCGCGGAGCTCTCAACGAAGAGAGGGTATTTTGAGGAGTACGAGCCTGAGCGCAGTATAGGGCGGAACCTGGGCGGAACTTCCTGATCGAGCGGCCGCCGAACGAGCGTCACGTTGTCAAACCGTATTGTAGCGGTCGCGCTGAATTCCCCATTCTCAAAGATACTGATCTATAAGCAGTGTATAAGCAGATGCCGTGCAGTATTAAGTGTAGTCTACCCAAAAAAACACTCACTATCATCACAGTGCCTCCGCTGCCGAATTGAACTTGAGTTCTCCGAGTCGTACCACGTGACCTCCTGGTACGTGGCGGTCGCGGTCGCCGGTCAGGGTCGAAAAAAGAGGAGGAGCTGAGTCTGCGCCCTTCCCAGCTATCTGTTGTCTGCCCTATTCTCGAAAAAGGAACTCTGGTGTTTGCGGCCTCGAAATATGAGGCATTGTCGTCGGAAGGTGGGTCACCCACCTTCTCGCTCCCTGCCCCGTTTCCTGCTCCCGGCATATTCAGATCCTCGACACGAATCCTTCGGAGATGTAATTCGACCTACCCGGCTTGGAGAGAGACTGCTGGGGAGACGGGAAGAGTGGTCCAATGCGTTGTTGGCGACGCCCTGGGATGCATCGTTGAGCTAGACGTCATCAGGCATATGGTTCATCACCTGCACACAGGAAGCGTTAGTGATTGCATCGCAACATGGTGAGTCGTCATACTTATACACACTACGTTTCTGCTGGTCCAATGTCCCTCTGGCCGTGCGAGAGTAGGCGGCTAGACCAGGCTTCGAAGTGTCCAATTCCACGCATGACCCTTGCCGAGCACGACACAGGCTCGTCGCAGAGTGCACAAGCTACGCATCTTCCTGACAAGAAGTGCTTGCTCTCCGTAGAGAACGGTCGCGCACAGGTGTCTTCTGTCGCGCCAATTCTTTCGAATACCAGGCTTGCGCGCGAGACAAAGCGGGCCTCAGGCCCTGAACTGTACAACTCCATGAGAAATGAAGCCGTGTCATGTAAGTGCTCATGTCCAACGTCTAGGCAAGGTGTACTGACAAGATGGCACCGTGTAGTCCAGATGTGGTGTACGTTTGTGTGGGGCACATGCTGAGCGGCGTCTTCCCATATACTCTGCTGAATACCGGTACCCGCGCCTGAGCTGTCTGGGGCGAAGAATGTTCGTCAGTCCAACAGTCGTGCATGAATCGAAAAGGAGATGCTGCACCCCCAGAGAGGTCTTGACATGCGGAGCCGGTCACAGGGCATCGAGCGAGGGCTTCACTGCTCTACGTTGCCTTCTCGTGGTTGGTCGTGCAGTTGCAGGTTGCATGATCCCGTATACGGACTTGCCGTACGCTTCTTTGCATGGTGTAGGTGATCCAACAAGTGTCGCGCGCCACCTGGGAAGCCACGTATAAGTTCAAAGTGAGTCTCATCAGTTCTGATACGTCTGAGAACGACTCACCAGGATATGTGTTTCTTCTTATGCTCGTCTTGAGTTGCAGCATCTTGTATCATCGCAACAAAGAGGCGCAGCTGCTGCCGCAGCCCTAGACACAGCCTTTCGGCTCCCCCTGCGTTGAAGCTCTCCAGCGCTGGCCGAACCGAAAGCGTGCCTTGGTACTGATGTTACGAGGTAAGTGTTCACGATCGTGACCGATTGCATGGAGTCTGTTCACTCCCACGGACCACGAGTTATGTGCGTCGACAGAAACGACATCGTGGTGAGCGTCGGTAAGCGCCTGGTTCGTGAAGTCGATGACCGTAGTACCGGCGTACTTGCTTGGATGCGTTCGATGTTCCTTGAGAGAGAGAGGGCGTGATCTCGTTGCATTGAGATGATTGTCGTGGAGTCGGTCTTGAGAGTAGAGTAGGCTAAGTCGCAATCCGAGTTGAGGATGAGCGCTGGCCACATATTGCATAGGCACCACGGAAACCTTCGAAGACGCGGGTTTCACTCCGAAACCTCTTCCGCGGACGTGCAAAACGCAATCCATAGGTCTATTGATGTTTGTGGATGGGCGAAATCGGTTCTTGCTGAGGTGGAAGGAAAGAACCACCCCGCCAGGGACGGCTCGCGGAAGGGAAGGGAGATCCTGACAGGTAAGTTTGTTGGTTCAGCTCTTCCAGAGAAGATAGAAAATCACTCACCGACATTCATGACGATCGGAAGGCTTACAGGGACGAAATCGCGCAAGGGAACGCTGCCCTGATGCCTTCTACCAGCGGGAAAACAGGCGACGCCCTCGACGAAGTTTGTGGACACGCCGGAAGGATTCTCGGCGCACTGGGGACATATTCGTGCCACCCATCGACGATCCTTTGGTGGAATGACGTCTCCACCAGTTTTGACGACTGGGTGGTCAGTGGCGAGGAGCGGCATGTAGCGTCGCGAGACACGAGCCTCGATGCGGGCGCTTCCCGTATTGGGCCGGCCTTTGTTCTACTTTAGGACAAAAAAAGGTGAGTAGCCTCTACGGCTGTATTCCTCGAGGCTCATGTACAAGCTGCTCGTAGACTACAAGAACGCGTGACTGAACGTATCGACTGGTCTCTGGGGTGGGAGCTCAGAGCGTGAGAAGGAGGACCGAACGACGTGCAAAGCCGGCCGGGCGCTAGACCGCCCTTCGCTGGGCTCGGATTCCGCCGCACCTGATAAGTCCACGCTCGGCCCTCCGCCTGCCCATCGTCACCTACCGAGTCCTACATCCCACGACTGCCTCACTCGCATCCTCCTACCTCCGATATCTCCTCCTACACCCTATCGAATTACCAAAATGCCCTGGTGCAAGAAAGATGGACTGCCCCACTACGTAAAGACTGACGATGAGGAAGAGATCAAGAAACAGTCGGGGATCGAGAAGAAACCAGGGAATGAGGAGACGGCAGAGACCGAGGAGCCAGAGATGGAGAAGTCTGAGGTCGAGAAACTCAAGATTAAGCAGAGGTAAGTACCGTACAAGACTTTCAGCCCCCTTGCTTCGTTCGACATCTGACATACCGATCGTTGCAGAAGGTGGTTTGCAAAGAGGTCGAACAAACCAATCATCCACGAACCCGCCGTGTGCCCGGCCGACACCGTCGGCCACGTCGAATCCGAAAATGATACTTCGGATGGAGAGAGGTACGCGATTGCGTAGCAGCCCTATCTACTAGTCCTCACATTCTACACAGTAGCGGTTTTGAACAGAAGAAGAGCAGGAAGCCCGCTGCAAAGCGGTACGTAGAGTTCTCTCGTCTCTCAATCTCAGCCTCGTCATAACGTTCCGCGGATCTCAGGAGACGACCACGAAGGAAGACTGTCAATCGGAAGGCCCCGGTTGAATCCACCGGATCTTCCAAACGGCCATGCAAGCGAAGGAAGGTCGAGCCGTAACGGCGGGCGGGTTCCTCATCGCATATACCGATGCATGGCCCATCCTCATTCGAGGATTGAAACTACTCTCCCTCCTCACGGACATGTTGCTTGGATCTCATCAGCGGCCGTGATATATATGCAATCCCGTCTCCCTCCGTTGTCTCTCCCATAGCTGTAATCGTACTGTACGCATCGTCGTCGTCGCAAAGTCGTTGTACTCGTCTGGTTGTCTCCATCACACGACGTCGCACATCATGTATCCTCCATTTCCTCGTTACATCTCACTTCCACTGGTTCTAGTGCTGTATATAGTCGTCTCGGAAAGTCGAATGTATCGTCTCGTCTGCTCGAAAGTCTGACACGTCACCGACTGCAAACTGGTGTTGTCTACGCCCCAGCGCTTATCGGACAGTGTTCAAGCTTGTTGTTACGATGCAGTCAGTTCCTGGGATCTACGGGGCGAGCATCGGGGAGCACAATACGTTCAATGTATTCGGTAGATAGACACGGTATGTACATTGATTGGGAATTCGATCGACGTCGTGTAGTATCCGTAAGTTATCCAACGGGCCGTCACGATTAGCTTCCAGTGGGCCAGAACCACCCGTCTCGTCCAAGAACGCGAAGCCTGACCAGCTCCACTTGTCCATTCACTGTCTCTTCCAAGATCCTGGGGCCATGGTCAAAAGGTTGTTCATGAGCAGAGCTGCAATATACGAAGCCCATATTCGAGCGTAGATGACTTGATCGACGTGTCGCTCCACGGGGTTGGCAACCGATCGAGGCGCAGGGATGTCCACCAGTCCGCTATGAGTCGCGATGTAGAGAACCAGAATTACGGGCATTTCTGACACCATTTCTGGAGGGCCGTGTTTGCGAGGCTTGTGGAGGCTAGATTGAGTGGACCGAGACGACTCCTAGAGTACACGGTCACGCACCTAACTTAGCTATAGCTACGCTGTAACATTCCTGGCGGTGACGTGGTACAGTAGCTTCCGATTATCCGCGTTGTCGTGAATTGCGATCCCTGCTCCGATATTTGAGCTAAAGGCGGTGAATGGCGGCAAACCATACGCCTGACGTCGTATTCGTTTCCAAGGCGCGAGCTTTGAAGTAGATCCCTGGTCAATGGACGCATCGGCCACATCGGCCACACGACAAGCTTCATGGCCCGACAACCAGGTAGCTAGGTGTTCAAACATATTCAGCAGAGTAAGGAGCGGTGCAGCGCTGCACTTACTGCTTTGTGGCCGTCGGTAGATTGCGTCTTGTCCGGCTGCGCTGCGTCCGTCACGTGCCCTCCGAGTCTCACTACGGAGAGCTCGCTAACGCGTTGACACGCTGTAAAGGACGGGCAACAGAGCATATTGGGCTGATTAGCGTCGAACACACGGCCTAATTTCGTGTACGCAGCCTATCGGTAGGGCGGGGTAGGTTGTGAGTCAGCGGCGTTATGTAATGACCAACAACATGGGCGTACGTACCTTGCAAATCGATACCCGCTAGCAATACTTCTCCTGACAGAGCTTGCTGTTATTTAAAGCAATCGAGACGTCATGAGTTTACTATAGAGAAAGAAGCACATTCCTGGAGCAGCGTGCGAGCGCATACCACGACAGGATCTTCTGAGACTGGCACGGGCGGAGACATTGCTGAGTATGGTCACACAACGCGTCTGTAGTTGACGTGAGCTGGCAGACAACACTTTCCATAGGACTGAAATCACCACAAATACAGAACAATGTTCTATCAGGAAATTGACTCGAGGGTTTGCGGCGACAATCGACTGTAATCAAGCGACGTCCGCGCTATGAAGGCCAGGACGACTTCGTCCTGGCGCCGCACAGTACCTGGTGCAACATCCGTGAGCCACGTAAAACTGAGCAGCAAACGATTGTAAAGTGCTGACTGTCGATCCTAGGTAGCTTGAGATCCGAGTCCACAGTGATGTGGTTCTGTGTGACCGATCACATTCCGTAATGTGGATCCGTGTAGACGCGGGTCCACAACCCAAGATTCGATACGAGCGAGGCTTGCGTCTGTTGGAAGAGGACGGCGTGAGCTGAACGATGTAACATAGCCTGCAACTCTCCTATTGTCGTGATCAGTTCCAAGATCGAACCACTCCAAGAGCGAGGTAAGGATGGCCTTGGATGGCGGAGCGTCTGACTGAATGTTCGGCATCAGTGCAGTGACAACGTGCCAGTTACGGAACGGACACACACAACGGATGCAGATCTTCGAAGTAGGCAGCACCAATGCATCGCGGTTTGCCAATCGAGGAAATTGAGCTAAGTATAAGCGTGAAGCATGTCATCGATGAGATGTGACGCGCAGGGAGGTGAAGAGACCCTCACCGTGCTCCAGCGAATGGCCTCTGCGCGGTACAACGATTCTCAAGGGGGTACCTGTTTGGCGCGTTTCGTCAGTAGCGAGACCCGCGGAGACTCGCATCGATGGAGATGCCGGCAGGTCGTCCGTAACGGTTACTCAATGTATACACGGGGTTTGTCAGAGGACGGACTGATGGAGACATGGATCATTGAACGCGCCAAGTCAGCAGTTGTGATGAACGTACGGGAAGTCTGGTGGCGACACGAATGAGTCCCCCAGATCCGCGACTCTTCCAAATCTTGCCTCGCGCGTGGCCGTCGCGCGGCTCGAAGATCCCGGGCGCTCGCTCCGGATCAGGCTAACTTGGCAACCGGATGCGCCGATCGCCCGCCGTTCTAACGCGTTTTGGCTACGCCGCTACCGCCAGTAACCGCCAGATCTCCGATGACCTTCTCCAAGAGGCAGGCGCCTCCCACCAGGCTTCAACGGGTTTCGCCGACGATGCCACATTTGGCCTTCGTTGTGGCCCCATAAACATCGACTGCGAAGTCGAAGGAGAGTAGAAGACGAAGTGCTGTAAAGGATGTGTGAACGATTCGGTGTGTGTACACGGCAGAAATGAATGAGAATACAACACCTTACGGCACGATTCATCTCCGTTCGTAAAGAGTGAGCCACTCCGACGGTCTCCACGTGACGGGTACACCGCTAGGGGTCGCTTGTCACTTGTGCCGTTGGCGACCCCTTGAAGCCACGCAGCTGCCGCCTGATGGCAGATGTCTTATGCAAGTTGTTGTTCTGGCCCTCCCTTAGCCTCCTGACGACCATATATCTCGGTATCGCTCAACTTTTATGTCTCCCACCGTATCTCACTCACCTGGCTCCTCCCTCTCGCACTCGATGTCAACCGCTTGACCTGAGATGACTCCTTGGATCTTGGATGTCGACCAACACAGCTTCGAGTGGGGTGCAAGTTGCTGGGTCCCTGCGCTCGCGAAGCGAATAGGCCACTACCTACAGGGGGAGGAGACCATCGGGCTCAGTCAAGGGCGTGTAGATAAGCCACTGACTCACCATTTCTCCAGAGCTACGGCCACCAACCCTCTGCAACGGTCGCGGCTGGCTGGTGGGAGCAAAGCATCTGGTCTATCGAGGAGGATTATCAGAGGTACGCTCCAACTGGTCCTGCACGGTGGGACTTACCTTCACCTCGTCTATATGCGCACAGCAGGACTTCGGCGAAGGTGGTTGATCATTGAGAAGGACTGCTCAGTCGGCCTAGGGGGTCTCAGGCTCGGCGTTGACGAGCTGGAGGTGCGGGTGCTCGGGCGCCACACCAACTAGGCTACCAAGTTGGCACCATGTCGTCGGTAAGTACTGTATCTGCTATCATCTGACGGAGCACTTTGCGGTTAAGTGCATTTTGATCGCGTGAAAGAACGGAAGGTGCGCACTTAACATTGGATGAGCGGACGGTTGCGTCAGAGGTTCTCTCCATGCCGCGCCGCGTACCATCCCGTGAAAGTGGCGCGATGATGTTTCGAGGATGGACGTGATATGTAGTGTCGTCTCCTCAGCGAGTATGTCGCCGGGACCTACTCCCGGCGATATATTGTTTTGTCAAAGAGGATCCACGTCAGTGGCACGTCTCTTGGTTAATCACGTATAACGTGGCTCACCATTCCGTCGTACACCTACGTGTTTGCTTTTCGCTGGGTCGCGGCGATTCCTGGACCGGGCCTCTCTTTCCAGAACCCTACGTTACCGGGGTGTCGTAGACTGGGCATGTTACTTGTCCCATAACGGGCCAACCAGCTTAACGGCGCCTCGAGGACAGATGTGACGCTCAGTGTTGTCAGTTCGGCGATTCCGTCGACGGGACCCATGCTCGATGACGTACCGGTCGAGCATGCGACGAGATTACTCGTAGCAGCCCACTCCGTCGTGGCGGCGTTAGAAGACGGGAAGGTCTTTAGTCTTCGCGCTGGTCTTTCTGTCGCAGTCAAGGTCCTGCGGGAGGACGACCAACATAAGTGGTGTGTCTTCGTGTTTACATATGGTGTGGCTTGCCTTTATCGTGTCGAGAGCACACAGATCCGCGCACTCCATCCGGACATGTTTAGTCGCACAGATATTGAACGCACAGTAACAAATAGCGATGCGCTACGTTGCGCCTGTGGGCACTCTGTGGCAGGTGAGTTTTTCTCAGTACGTTGACATCAAGCCTAATGAAATTTTCATGAAATGAGGCGACACACGAGGTCCTTCCATTCGTCCTTGTCTATTGAGCAGGACACCGTTGCCATCGATCCACTGCGCCAAGAAGGACAGTGCTCGGCATGCCGCAATGTCTTCGTGGAATGGGACGGGATGTTCAGCTGGGCTCCGGGTGAAGCCGGTCATTTGCGTCAGTGCCGTTGGCGAGTGTCCCGAACAGGGCTACGCACCGTGACGAGGTAAACGGGCTGGTGTTGGGGCGTATGCCGCAAGGCAGCGCATGTCGTAACAGCGCCGTCTTACGAGCCGTGAGTTATGGAGCTGGATATCGTATGGTAACGACGTACGCTGATGCACGGTACATGCCGTGTAGCTTGCAGGTGGTTCCATCGCGCGCCTTGTCAATAGAAGACGGGGTTTCTGCGGTGTCACGCCCCATCAGCGTTGTACGCGATAGACTCGTCGACGTACCATCTCGGGGTTGCGCGTTCCATCTCCGTATCCCTCGAAAACGCGTTCAAAGCATGATCTTTACGCCTAAACGCGGCTAGCCTTGCCTTACAAGGGCCGTGGTAAATCGACAGTGATGTCGTCGCGTGAACCGGACGTTGGTTCGAAACCACTGCAGCGGATGCGGCCACAACTCTTATTGGCAAGTATTCACTTCGATACAGGCATATTAACTCACTTTCTAGGGCCCGAATACCTTGTAGAAGATCGAAGGCTTGACGACGTGACACAGGAATGATCGAAGGTGATGCTGAGGAAAATTGAGCGGTGAGCCACTCCCATGCTTGCGCCTCCAACTACAGCGTACAGGCTACATACACTGAGCGTGCCTCTCCCTAGGCGAGTAATACACCAGACACCTCAGTCATGGCCGCAGAAAAGAACGAATGGGCTGGGAAACGCGTCGACGTTCGTGTCTGTTAGGAGTCAATGCGTGCTAGCGCGGACCCGTTGAATTGAACTTGCCTGCAAACCGCGCGCCCCACAGCCGAACCACAGGACTGGTCTGCACCGCCAAGTGGCTCGGATCGAGGCTGGGACTTCCGGGGCTGCACTGCTAGCCTCGACGAGTTGGCGGTGAGTGCGAAGTTGCGCCACAGCAAGTCGCGGCACGTTACTCACGGTTCGGGGGCCCCTGCCATATCGGGACAGTCCTTGTTCTTTGGTCGAGCGGCGGCGTGTCGTTTCCATGGCGGGCATAGCCTTCGCCGTTTTGCCGGCCAATCACGACTGACAGGTCTGTTCTAGGCTTTCATTTGACCTGGCTGCTGGGACTGGCTTGCGCGAGCGGCGTGATGGGACATGAATAGGCGATGCGAGGCGGATTTGGGGGATTCGGCGCGTGGCCAGCCCTCAACTTGCGTGGCCCTTGTGTGGCTATGGCGGATTGTCTGCTCTAGTGGGCCGCTCAAAATGGACATAAGGGCGCAGGGTACTGGTCCGACTTGTCTGCTGTGACTAACCCGTGCGGCGAGCGTGACAGAGACCGGGAAGGCGAGCCGTGGAAGGAGACGGGGTGCGTGATTGGGTTGAGATGAGCCAGACCGCGACGCGTCTGTTTGGCCAACCATGCTGCAGGGTTGTTTCAACTTGTTTGCACACCTACACCCGAGGTATAAATCCCGCGCGCGCGTCGCTCCTCTCCCCTCCTCTACACTCACGCTTAACCGCAACCTTCTGTCTGCCGCTTCTCCATCTCAGCAGCCTTCGTCGTCGTCCACGACATACTCCCGCCACACACATAATGTCTTACTGTGATTATATTCTGCCCTCGTTCGACAGCATGGCGGCAATTCCGGGGATGTACGTCTTTGTTTCATTGTCTTTACGGTCGAGCGGCATGGCTCACTGTATCCTTCAGTGCCTCGGAATACGACCAGTACACCGCCTTCAACAACTTCCCTGTGGACTACAGCTGGGAGGGCGGTCCTATTGCTGGACCATCGGCACCACGGGCTACCAGCAGCTCATTGGTCGACGACCACACATTGTGAGGCTTTCATTGTTCGTGTGATGGTACGATTCACTGATGGCTTGTCTGAACCAGCGATGTCGACGACTGGCTTGACCCTGCAATGTGGGAGACCGCCACCGCCACCTCAACGTCCCCGAAGCCAGGCCCCTTGGTCCTTCCCGAGGATTGGGACTTCGCCCCGAATTTCCCCAGCCTTATCACTACGGAGTTGTCAACAAGTCCGCGCTCAAAATGCCTCTCCGATGCGGGCCGCGCTCCGCGCTCCTCCTCCTCCCACTCTCTTTGCGTCGGCGCTCCCGCACCTCCAACCGAATGTCGTGCTACCTTGAAGCGGAGGCGAGAGGACGACACTGGCGACGAGGGCGCTGATGATGAACACCCGCACAAGGTCTCCCGCCATCGCCAGTCTCGGCGGAAGCTCGACCTCAAGACGTATCCATGCATGTGGAAGCTCGCGGAAGGGGGCGTGTGCAATTTCGAAGGGACGTCCCAAGTTATGTGGGCCCACATGCGAAAGACGCACAAGGTGAAAGCGAAGAAAGTCGCGGTCCCCGAGGATGTGCGCTGCGGTTGGGATGGCTGCGCTCATAGCGCTTTACCCGAAGACATGGCCGAACACTGGAGCAAGACGCACAAGAGTGCTCACTTGGTGCGCTCAGGTCTCACACACGCCCACAAGGCGGCGCGCGTCACTTGCCGGCTGTGTCCCCATGCAGACGAAGACGAGGACAGCGGCGCGGGGACAGGGAAAGGGAAGACAGCAAAGGCCAACGGGAAGAAGAGGCTCGACAGCCTTGTCAGGCACATGCGCATTAAGCACTGGAAGGACTACAAGTTCTGCGATAACTGCGGAAAGCCGTGGCGAAGCGACGTCTTTGACAAGGCTGCTCGGGATCACCGCGGCGACTGCTTGCTTGCGTTCATGGACGGTTCTCCCAATTGCTGCCACTAGGCTATATTTCTCATCGTTCTGGTGTCGGGTTTCTGTTGCTCTGTACGTCGCCGCTATCTCTAATGGTTGTCTTTATTGCTGCTATTAACTGTTGTATCGTTCGGAGTACATATCATACCTATGTATCAAGTATTCGTGTCATCGATCCCCGGTATCATGTATTTGTTCTTGCATCGGCCAAATTGTTGTAATCAGGCTTATTGAATACATTTTCCCTGAACGCAGTGAAGAGACTGTGAGTGCTAAGTACCCGAGAACGAGAACGAGAGCGACATGAATTCAGCAGACTACCCTCGTCGTTGAGCGCTCCAGTCACGTGTCCTGTGGACAGAAACTTTTCCGTTCACGCGAGTCGCCGCCCCCGACTCGTCCGTCTTGACTTTCTGTAGTGACCATGTACAGCGATGAACTCTCCTAGCTACATCATGATTGCTTGTTATGGTGCAAGCTGTAGCAGCAATGAATGGGGTGAGTTAGGCTGACTGGCTGCGCACTGGAACACTACGCACAAAGGACACACCGCTGACTACGTCTGGGCCGTCGAAGCAAACATACCTGCCAGGTTTCATTGTAGAGCGTGTCCCGACGGGCAGACGAGTATAGCGGCGAACGGGGAGCTAGTTCGTCACTTGCAGACGGTCCACTGGTGTTTGCAGAAATAGTGCGACAACTGCGGGGAATGGTGACGGGCTGACGTTTTTGATACGGCGAAGCGGACCACCGGGGGGACTGCCTCAAGGAGTTGATGAATGGTACCAGATTCGCCCCGAGCGTTGGGTCATATCCCCTTCCCACCCTCAGATGACGTATAGCTCCAGAGCATCAGCCTTGCGTCGCCCACCCATGTAACCAGCCACGTTCCAACAAGATGCTAGCATTGAAGAGGTACGTCTACATACACGTCCGTTTCACACAGAATCTAACATGATATTTATCGAGCAAGCACACGCAAGGAGATGTCGCCCCTGACACTCTCGCGACGTCGGCATCTCCGCCCTTCGACGACTTTCCGAGCGTAGCGAGCGTTGTTGCCCGGGAGAGCGGTTCGGGACGAGCCTGCGCGCCTTCCTCTCGCAGTGCGTCCGCCGTGTGCAGTCGCACTCGATGCGGTCCTCTGTGGGATGATGGCGTGCTGCCGACATTGGACGACCGAAAGTCGAGGCCTGTGCAGTGCGAAGAGTTGAGTCATCAGAGTTACGTAATGAGGTTTGCTCGCCCACCATGGGCGTTGCGCTTTATCTAAAGACCTATGCATGTAGATACGCTCGTTCCGTCATAAACAACACATAGACTTGTCGTGGGATACTCGAGCGCAAGACAGGATTGCGGAGCGTGCAGGCGCACGCCGCTCCTCTGTCGCGTTGTCCCTTGGGTCGGACCTGGGACACGCGAACATGGGAAAGCGACGGCGTACATGTGAAGACTCCCTCCAGCTCGTCGATAGGGTGGTGCTGGGACGTGTACTGACGGCGTTGTGACGCGAGGATGATGTAGGCTTCAGCTTCAGCGTGGACTCTTGCGTGGGCGTCCTCAGTTCTGTGACGCAGTCGGAGGAAGCACAATCTGTGGGCATGCCTGCCACGTCCCCATGCGCTGCGACTGCGCGAAGTACATCGGGCGCATGGGATATGCGTGTGGAACCTCGCCCGCCTGTGTGGTGGCGTCAGTACGGAGGCGATCGGGGAAACGCCGCAGCAGCGGAGGCAGATCGTTGTGACCGTGTATCGCCGATCGTTTGCTATTGGCAATACGGAGGTTGTGGACGATCGAAGCGGCCCCATGAGGTTGTGGGTGGAAGGAGGGTGCTGTCGTACACGATCTGTGAGTTGTATGGACGTTCGAGGAAGTATACCTCACCGCACACTAAGCAGACCTAAGCAGACATAAGATTCGAGCGGTGCGCACCGTCAACGGGTTTCTTCCTCATCTACGGTTCCTCCAGGCTTGCGAGCATCGCCCAGGCGCGACAGCAGGATACGGGCGCTATCTTGCACGTGAGGTGCGTCCCAAACGGGATATTTGTTTCCCGCTGTCTCCTTGCATAGCCGTCGCTAACCATCGCGAGACGCGGTCTGGAAGCGAAGCGTTCAGTATTCGCCCGATCTCAGATCGAGTGCAACCGTCTCAAAATGGAAAGTCGTACCGTCCGAGTACCGGCGCTGTCTTGCACAAGGTGCAGCAGGCGAAGGGAGGCACTTGGTATCCGCTAGAAGCTCTGTAGGGCGACGTTAGTCCTGTGTATGTACACGGTGGTACTTCAGTGAATTGCATCACCTTCGTCGCATGCTGTCAGATTGGCAGGCGTAGAGCTCACCACAGCCTCCCACGTGGCAGCCGCGTGCGCCCAATCGAGGTCGACCGACCCTGGACAGACCACCACAGCAAGTCGACAGGGGCCGTTGGCTCGCACAAGGCTGCCCATCTCGATGCTGCCCCTCCTCGTCGCCTGATGGTGCCTTGTGCCTGTTCGTCGCGACAATAAGTACGAGACGTTGACGAGCACGACCGGGCACTGCCCTCTCGCTCACCTGCGCCTCGTCCCCTCCCCGCACGCACCCTCTTGCACAACACGCGCGGCTTGTGCTGGGACGGCTCTGTGCGACCTTGGACGACGTCGAACACTCGCGCAGGACACTGGAATCGCCACTTGTTGCTTCATCGCTGCTAGACGCCCTGGATGTTCTGTGAAGGAACGCCATCGCGCTCTCGGACAAAGGTACGCAGACGGGCCACTCGCTCACCTTTCTATGCAGACGACAAGTCGGAACGAGCTAGCTCTTCGAGGAGACGCCACTCCGTATCGTCAGCATGTATGCCAGGAGACCGCATGCCGACAATGCTCCGGCCTGTCAGAGAGGGAACCCATGAGTGGTACGCACAGAGTCTGTTCATGTCTCGTATGGCTCACCTTCGTTAAGATGATATACGGCGCATTGACGTCCACAACGGTGGAAGGCAGGTCGCCGGCAAGTACACAGCGCGCGCGCTGGACCGATTGCACTCTCGACGCCACGACCAGGATGGTGCCTATGAAGCAAAAGGCCGTGAGACACTGACAGGTACGCATACAAGTGATTTGCTCACCACGTCGTGCCTGAAACCCTTCTCATTGGCATTCAGAGGATAGACACTCCCGGTATTCATCGTCCAATGAGTGGGCTAAATCACGGATATCCGGCTTGTCAGCGGCGCGCTCGTTCGGAACGCATGATGTGGCGTACGGACCTCCCTTCCGTCCTGAGACTCGCTTGTCAGAAAGCTCATCGTAGCAGCCCTGTCGACGACATGCTGATCTTTCATAGGGCATACTCGTCAGTGGTACGTCTTTGTTTTGATCATATCGCGTAGCTTACCGACGTCTTCGCAGTGCGCGGATAGATCCTAGTCTGCGGATATCGTCCTCTACGTCGTCTCGGAAAGCGCACGCTGGATAGTCTCGCCTATGCAATGGAGTCGGAGCATCGAGTGTTGTAAGGGATTCGTTCTGAGATTGCTTAGGATCGAGGACTCACTTTCCTCCTGGATAGTCGTACCAAAAGGACACACTTCCGGTTTTTTGGTGGGTAGCCCGCTGTAGTGACGTCTCTGTTTCATGGTCAATATCGTATGGAGTTCGTCACCTCGAGGACACTCACCATGGCTTCCCTCCACATCCTTGCCGTCGGTAGGACCCCACGAAGCATAAGGACTTCCTTAGGAGCTAAGCATATGGTACGCAGTACGTTGCAATCCTTGCGCTGTTTGCATTACTGATCCATTCTCCGGTACTGTTGATGGGCAGTTTGTCGATGATGAGTCTCTGTATAATGCGGTAAGCCGATGTCGCAGTATGGGGGAGCTGTTGGCGGGCCGTCTCCAGCTCCTTCGTCAAAGGTTTCATGTCGTAGTCTGGCGTAAGGCCGTGATCAGACTGGCTCTCCGGATATATTTACTGGCAACAACGCACGGAGGCAGGGTCGAGATAATGTGGCCGTCACGTTCGAAAGCCGAGGTCGCCAGGATCATCGGAAACAACGCGGTTAGGCAGGAGATCACGTCGAGAATAGGCCTTTGTCTTCGTTGGCTCGATGGTAGAGAAGCTGGAAGTGATTTTGAGCATGGAGACGCGGCACAGAACCGCTCGGGGCAGGTAAGACCTGAAGGTCGAAAGGTGGCCACTCGGAGCTCTAGGCGAGGTTCGAACCGTAGCGTACCGAACGACACAGGCTAGACGCACCACAATCTCCTCGAAAAGTGTCTGGAAGCTCTGGATGTCGCGTAGGGAAACCGGTGGATGATGGTGTTGAACGAAGGCTGACGACAAGTTGTAGGACTTCGCGCGCAATGGGTTGCAGGCCACGTGCCCAGACTCGCCGCGCGCACTTTGGCTGTCGTCGACTATAGGGACTCGTAGGCGCCGCCGAATCGTTTGCGGGTCAGCCAGGAGGTCCTAGATGGACTGAGGCTCTCGCAGCTCAAAGCTGGGGATGCCGCAGCCAGGTGAAGGGTCAATTCACTTCCCATATCGAGAAGTCTTTGTGGTCGGATTAGCAGAGGTGCGTCGTTTCTACGCAGATACGACCGTTGCCTGCGCGTGTCGTAGCGTATTGTACGGTTCGGGGCTGTGTGCTTCCTGGCTGTCGGGGCCCGCTTGCGCAGAGGGCGAGCGTGACAGTGATAATCCGCGAGGCGTGGATGGGGAACCTGCGGCGTGACCATCCTGCGCATGAATTCTATGCTTTCTTATGGCGAAATATTCGCTCTATTGACACGTCAGTAGCAGAGAGCGCGGTGTTGGCGAATACGCTGGCATGTCTGCTCTGATTGACCCACGTGAAGGAGCGTGACGGACCCCCGGCGAGCGAGCCGTGGACGGAATCGGGTATGGTCGGGGTCCGTGACCCCGGTTGGGTCAGCACACCGCGACGCGTTTGTTTGGGTTATCGATTCGCGGGGCCTGTTTGTACACGAGCACGCGAGGTTTAAATTCCGGTCGCGCCTCGCTCCCTCTCCCTTTCTCCAACCACTACCATCCCGCCTAGCTCGCCCATTCCCTCGAGCGCTTTCATACACTCCTATTTACTGCGCCCTTTCCCAGGCGTTCAACATCATCTCACTATTCGACCATCATCTCTGCCAATATCATGTCCTGCGGGTCCATATCAGGCTCAGCCTCGTCGTCGTAAGGCTGCTATCCCACCATCGTTGGTATTGTTTGTTGACCATGGATCAGCTCTTCGAACGCATCGCCCCAGCCGCTGGACAATGCAACAGGATATACAACTCCTGAGGACAACGAGACTGCGGAGAGCAACGAGCAACTGCTGTAAGACTTCTTTCCTGCGCTGTTTGAACGTACTCATGCTTCGTTACTTTCAGCGAGGCGGACGAGCTCTTCTTCGACTTTGCGAAGTGGGAGCACGATTCCACGCCGGAAGCCTCCTCGTCGGGCAGACAGTCTCCGCCGAGCTTGTCCGAGGCCTCGTCGGGTGCAGCATGTGCCTCGCCTGCCGGGTCGGCCCCTGATTCCCTGCCTCCACCACCCTCGGACGCGCCCTCTGCGGCACCCCCACCAGCTGCATCCACCACCGCGCGACCCAAAGCTGGCCTGAAGCGCAAGAGGGCGGCTTCTGACGAGGGTGAAGCCGCCCCTGTACCCGCTCACCTCCGGAACGGGCGCGCCCCAAGGATCGCGCCGCAAGCTAAGCCGACGCACAGGGACCGTAGCGAGGTCACCTGCACATACACTTCTGAGGACGGCCAGAAGTGCGGCGAGCACGCGGTGGCGGAGCACCTGTGGGACCATGTCCGGCACGCCCACGCATTCCAGCACCTCGTCCAGCCCGAGCCTGCGCCACACACGGTGCAGTGCTCGTGGGATGGGTGTGACTTCGCGGCGATGAAGGAGGAGGTCGTCGATCACTGGTGCGATGTCCACCATGGGTCGCTCGCGGACGCCCGCAAGGATGACCGGGCGCAGGGGATCGTCCTTGCTCCCAAGCAGGTGCGCTGCCGATCGTGCGCTGGCGACATTGGGGGTCGACGCGCATTCATGCAGCAGACCCAGCTTCTGCGGCACTTGCGGGACACCCACTGGGAGTTCGGGACGTGGTGTGACTGCTGCGGGAAGCGCCGCAGAGACGACACGCTTGGGAAGGGGGCGCGGGACCATCGGAAGACTTGCCTGGAAAGGTTCATGAGGAACAACCACTTCGAGGACCCGGAAAGGCGGTAGCGGCGTTAGGGCGTCCATATGCTATGTTATTGTTATCGTTATGTACGTGTTGCTGTATTGTGCTGTCGTGCGCTGGCAGTGCTGTTGCTTTGCTACTTCGTTGTATTGCTCTGATTGTGTAGCTATCTCGAGAGGACTCCTGTGTTTGCTGCGTCGACTAGTCTCGTGTGTGTTGATCCCGTCTCTTGTATGTGCGTTTGCAATCCTGATACTGAGCATCGTCTCAGAATGTATCATGATGGTCTCAACATCGCAGACATGCTCGCGCGCATCGCCCATCACATCGTCGCAGACAGTGCACCATAACCGACACAGTACAGACCGTCATGTGTGACTGAAAATGACGACCATCTCCCGGCTTTATATGATTCAATTCTCGGCGAGTCGGGCTAGCCAGCTGCTCCGTTGGCCATGTATAGGCCTCTGATTGGAATGTCTGGGCATGTTAGGGCGCCGCCTGTTCTTATCCGCTCGTCCGGATGGCCACATTTCATGCGGTGCAGGTTGACTTTGTAGTACCGCATGTCGTGGTGCTCGGCGTCATGCCTATTGGTGTACGTTTTGCGATACGACTATATCCAGATCCCTCGACGGGATAACGCTCCTGAGCGTGTAGAATGGACAGAGTATAAGACAGACATAAACGCAAGAGCCCCTTACATTTTAGATGAGAGCAATTCACCTTTTAGCGGAGCTATCTGGTTGTTGCGCTGGCTCGAATGAGGGTCAACTGCTGTAGTACATCCTTAGCCGAGCTGTTACCAGATCGCTAGTCGCCGCGACTGCGTCTGCCTCCTTACTATTCTTTACTGCGCTCATTTGAGTGCTTCATGACCGCGCTGATAGCCTGTTGGGTACCTCGGCAAAGCACAGCCCGGTCTGACTAGCATTATATTGCAGCCTTGAGTGAGTATTGATGCTGAACTATTGTCGAAGGAATACAGCGGATACAGAAAGTCAATCCGTGACAAGCACTGGCAGCGCCTCATGCGCGTGAGGCATTGCAGAAGACGTTCAAAACCCAATGTTAGGCGCGAGCAAAGAAATGTACAAAGCATTACAGCGATTACAACTACACAGCTAGCGGCAGTACTTCCACAGGATCAGCTACTCACTTACTACGCATCATGACGAGACGATAGTACACAACACGATTACAAACACAGAGCAGCGATACAGCACAGTCACGAGCTACCGAAAGAAATACAGATCATTCGAGGGTGGGAAGAGGACACGGCTCCGAGTCAACGCTCGGCGCAAATTTGGCACTATTCATCAACTCCTTGAGACAGTCCCTCCGATGGTCCCGCTTCGCCGTATCGAAAACGTCAGCCCGGCACCATTTCCCGCAGTTGTCGCACCACTTCTTCAACGACCAGTGGACCGTCTTCAAGTGACGAACTAGCTCCCCGTTCGCCACTGTACTCGTCTGCCCGTCTGGGCACACTCTGCAATGGAACCTGACCGCCTTGCCTTCCTCGATGGCCCAGACGTAGTCAGCGGGGTGTCCTTTGTGCGCAATGTTCCAGTGCGCGGCCATATCCTTGTTCGGCGCGCGGTACTCACAGTCCATCCACCCGCATCGAAATTCCCGGGGCGCAGGCACGGGCAAGGGTTCTATGCCATGCTTCTCCCGGACATGGTCCCACAGCTCCTGCGAGGTGCCCTTTTCGCCGCACTTGCAGGTCATGACCTCCCGCTGACCATGGGTGTGTCGCGCTTGAGAGGTGGTTTGCGGGGCCCGCGGTCCCCGAGAGCGCCGTTGCGCCGACGAGGAAGCGCCGACGTCTGAAGCGTCCCGCTTGCGTTTTCCCCCCATCTGGGGCTCTGTTGCCGCTGGCCAGCTGAGCACGGTCAAGGATGCCTCGCCAGCGACAGGAATGGTGAACGGTGAAGGAAGGACGGCGGGGAGCGCGTTAGGGACTTGCAGGGAGGTCTCGTATGCGGCGCGGTCGTAGGGGATCACGAGCGACGGCCCCGACGTAAACAGAAGCGGGGCCACGTCCGGCAGCCACCGCCCCGCCGACCCGGGCGATAGCTGTGGAAGCATGTCTTGAGCATGTCGGCTCGAGGAAGCATGACGAGAGTCCTGAGCTGCAGAGGACGCGGGTGACTCTAACGGTACAGCATTCCCGGAGCGAGGAGTCCCGGCATCCAGCGACGAGAGAGGAGGAGAAGGAGGTCCGCGCACGTCGAATGTTAGTGGACTAGCGTCCAGCTGTCCTGCTGTGCGCGGAGGACTTTCTCGCACGGGAGGCAGCGAGAAAGGGGAGCTCTGGACTGTGAGAGGCGGCGACGGAAGTCCAGTAGCGCAGGATATCATTGCAGCCACATCCTGGCCTGCAGCAGCCAGCGGAGATGAGTGCTCCAGGTCGGGCAGGCGGCCTTGCTCGTATCGGGGCTCGCTCCCTGCGTCCCATGCTTCGTAATCGAACCACGGGTCTTCCTCGCTGCGGACGAATGAGTCGACCGTCTCTAATGAGAGCTATGTCCCTTACCTCAGCTCCTCCTGTTCGTAAGGAGGGTTGCTCCATGTCAGTTGTTGTTGGCAGACATCGTCTAGCATTAACTTGGAGGATCTAATCAATCATCGGTCATTGGTGTCGACGAAGGCAGAAACAACAGACTTACGATGCATGGCTCGAGCTCGCTTCGAAATCCTCAAGGTAACGTGCAGCAGAGTACGAAGGCATCTTTATGGATGAAGACGAGATAGGTTGTCGATAAGTTGTGATGATGAGGACCGGTGGCAACACGGATGTGGGCGCACGGGAGAATGGGTGAGGAATACGGGGATGGCGATGGTCGGAGGAAGAGAGAGGAAGCGACGCGCGACGGAATTTGAACCTCGCGTGCAGGAGCGTAAACAGGCCTCGCACGCGTATCAATTGCCAAACAAACGCGTCGCGGTGTGCAGACCGCATGCGGTCACGGGCCCTGACTCCGTGTCCACGGCTCATTTTTCTCGGCGTCCGTTACACCTTCCGCATATTCAGTCCCCGCAAAGAGTCACTGCGTTCGCAAACACTTCGCGGTCTGTTGTCAATGCCTCGTCAGAGCGCATAGCCCACCCCAGCCGCACACATGTCTCGCGCCTCGCAGGGGCAGGGCGGCCACAAAGTTCATACCATTTTCGCGCCCTAGTCTTCCACGTAGTCGCTCTTCGACACACTCGCCCTCGCGCAAACCAGCTCCAGACGGCAGGACGGTGCACAGCCCTAGACCGCACTGCCCGGTGTGATTGGCTTGCGCGCGGACAACACCTGTATCTGCCTGAAAACGACACGCCTCTGTCCGAACAGAGAACAAAGACGAGTCCCAATACGGAAATCGAAGCGGCGGGCTGCCCCGAACCGCGAGTGACAACGGAGCTACTTGGCTGTGGCGCATACAGTGTCCGTCTTCGAGGTCTTCCAGATCTATTGTCCAGCCAGGCCGCCCCAGCGGGTCCGCGACCAGTGCATCCGGAGGCATCCGGGTCCCCATTCTCGACGACGGCCTAATCGAACTTCGGGCGCAAATGAGGTGGAAACCACGTGCCTCCCGTCGGCGCCCAACTCGAGGTCCTACAACTTGTGGTCAGCCTTCGTATACGACTAACGCCCCCCGATCTCGCTGCGCCACTACGAGGCTTTCCAAACAGCACTGCGGTACATTCAGCCCACATTGTTCGCTACGCCACAAACGTATCTCGCCACAGACCCCGAGTGGCACACTCTTCAAGTTCAACTTGAACCATTAGGCACGTCCGGCCGTTCTGCGTCGCATCCCCATAGTCCAACCATCCTCCAGACCTCAAGTTGTCCTGATCGATTCCAGGGCGCAGATCGTCCGATATGCAGAAGCAGAGGGCTACCCAGACCGTACACGTTGTGGCTCGCAACTTCGACCAACTCGTCTTTCCAACGTACAGTTCCTGGCCACATAATTGCGGATGCCCATGCATCAGTACGTTGTTCTCGCTCAAACACGCAGAATGCTCAGCTCCTCCTCGCGTTTTCAGAGAAAGATGAGGACATCACTTGCCCGCTGACGGTACGTCGCCCAGTCTAGCGCACTTCCACGCTGACTTACCGTATAGGCAAGAAAACGCCCTCATTAACACATGATCACAACACCCAACGAGGCTGGAGGGAAGAACCAGTGCATGTCAGGACTGAAGCAGATGCGTACGAAGCACTACATGCTATGAGTGGGATAACCACTCACAGTGTATGCCGGGGAGCTATGGTGCGTCGTCTTGATAGTTTTTGTAGGGGACGTGGATGACCGCTTCTACGCAGGTATACATCTTCACCGGGATCGACGTGCATGTTCCGCGCACATTCCTCAAGAAAAACGCGCATATCTCTGCCAGGCGGATGGTATCGACTGCAAGGCGGTGAGTGCTTCGACATGATAGCTCCACATGACCATTCATTTTGACACGGACCTACAGCGCTCTACTCACCGAACTCGGAACTCATCTCTTCGCGGCGCTCAGCGCGCGAGGGTGCGCTTCTAGTATACGCCACAGGAACTGCTTGCTGCGAATCAGCGCCATGTCCGCTGCCAAGAGGTAGCCCTTCGAGAGCCACGAGGCGTGATCGCAAACGGGTCCCGTCAAGCAGGCGGAATGCCACTCAGCGCAAAGACCTGTTGAGAGGACGGTAAGCCGCACCACGCACAACAAGTCCTAGGCGTACTGGCATTCATGAACGCTCTCTGAAGAGTCTGACAGGTCGGAGACGTCAACGCGTATTCGCTTCAACGTACACGTTGGCAAGACTTGGTGGCAAGCCTTCGGAGGGCTGCTATATCGTGTTGGAGTCCGAGAGTGGCGAACGAGTGGCTTGTCTGCATGCCCTCGAGCTAGAGCATGGTGACCTCCGTGATCGGGCGCGTCCAGGAACCATGGCTCTTGTCAGGTGTAGCGGCGATGAATCAGGCAGTCAGAGCGACTCCATTATCCTGAGTCTGGTGAGGTCTGGTGTCTGTGTCCGACGTCGTACCAAGGTGGCCGAGCATAATCCCAAGACAAGCAAGCGATAATACGCGCAGAGAGGGGAATCAGATCCAGGTGAGTGCTCAGAGAAGGGCCATCCCTTCCTGCCGTACTCAGTCTGCTACTTATGGTCCCAGCGCGCAGGAACAGGGGGTCATCAGGGGATGAGATGGGCAGCCTTGTGTCAGCGAACTGCCCCTGTCGACCGGGGACCCTGCCCAGGCCTTGCAGTCTGCCGTTGGGCGGACGGCTGTTGCCACGTGGCAGACTGCTGTGTCACTGTGTCAGGACGTCCAGCGCCGGGCATGGAAGTCGCAAAATGCCGTAACGGTGATGTACCTCATTCGAGTATTCGTTTTGAACGGAAGACTAAGATATATCGTAGGCCTCGTCCTCCTCAACCCGACCTCTCTTCGCTGCGAACGCGGCGCGCTGCAGAAGGCACGCAAGCGCCAGCAGCCACCGTCCTCGGTTCGAATCCGGCTGGTGCGATCTCATAACGCATTTAGCGCCGGGAATCCTCCAGCCCAACATCGTGTGGCGTCACCATCCCTTTCAACGTGCAGGAAAATGTTATGAACGCAAAGGACCATGAATCTCTGTCATGCACAAGGGGAGTGTATCCATCCCATAGGAGGTCGTGCTGATCTTACTGCGCGCCATCCAAGGTCCGGTTTCAATCGATTGACTAGACTTCAGATTAGCTGGTCATTCTATCTTGAGCGCGGCATTCCTCGTGAACATGCAAGAAAACCGGTCTATCCCTGCGCATGCCTTTTCTGAAGGTGTCGGACCTCAGATGTTCTGCACTCGACAGCGATTTGTGCCAGCGATCGATTTACAGTCGCCAGTACGCTCCGCGCTCGCTGTAGAACACGTCGCAGGTGCGTGGTGGGCTTGCAGGAACAATCTGATACTAACTTGGCTTGAAGTCCTAGGTCTGTGCGTCGTTCCACGTCGTATCCGCATGGCTGGCCAGCTCAGAACGGCGCCGATCGCTCAGTCTCTTCGCTGGCCAATCACAAGTGATCGGCGCTGCCCCACGATCTGCCTCCGTCAGCATGTGTGTTGCTTCCGCGATTCACACGTTGTGCTTATACCCGCGCCGTCCACAAGCGCGGTATGTGCGTCGATCCTCCGATCAATGTCCCTCCACGCCACACGTCGAATTCTAGGACAAAAATCGCAAGGGTACCGTCACTCATATAGGGATTCACGAAGCTTCGATCGCTCGTTCTGCGCCGGTCGCGGAACCAATCCCAGCGGATCGCAGCCAGTGTGGCTGCATGCATACATATGGATCCACTCAAGATCTACTTGACGGCCTAGACGATCGCTCTTCGATCATGACTGGGTTGGTGCTCTGTGAGTGTGTATCTCCCGTCCCTCGGTCGGAGATGTGACGGCTGAGTATCAAGTGATCTTCCAGGCGTCTCCTCAGCTGTCTTACACGGAGTACTGAACAGTAGTGATCGTTCGACAAGCCGTGGCGCCGCTTTCAACCACCGGAATGGCAAGCGATCTCCGGCGGTACATCACGATGTTTTCACCTATCTCCACTGTCCAAATGCATCAAATCGTCTTCTAAGAAGCAACTTTAGGATAGCATTTGCCCTCCGGACTTGCCCCGAGCAGGCAAGAGCACTACGGCAAGCACCTTCACCTCGTCACGTAATGCTGACGAGCCTCTTTGTTCCCCTCAGTAACATGTAGGCCCTTCCGAGCCCGTCGTACTTGCAGGTCCAACACGTCGTAGTAAGCATGTCCTAGAGAACGACAAGTATGATTGCTCACAACGGACGCGTGGCTACGAGCGACAGGTGCGCCGTCCCCGCAGCTAGCTCATGGGCCTTTCTGACTGATTACCCCTACCCGCAGGCACGATGTGAGCGCTGTATGGCTGATGGGTTGGCGGAACATCATGTACATAATTTGCGACATACCTGGAATGCAATACATGAGATACGCAGCCACGTTTTCACTCAATATCTTGGGACGTAAGGTCGGATGAGCCCTCTGATCAGCTGGTGGTACGTGCGCGGATCGCGAGCACGGAGCGCAACGAGCAACTCTACTAGCCAAGCGTCTCACTTAAGTCTGTGATCATTGCAGCCCGAATGCTCGAGAACGATTCCGAATACCTGCGATACAAACACGTATATACACGAGACACGACCGATAACAACTACACGACGAACACAAGTCCTTCTAGGATAGCAACACTACACGTACACGATGAGAGCGATACAATAAGATAGCAGCACGACAACACTAGCAATGCACGACAACACAGTACAGCAGAAGACGCAAAGCAGAATAGACGAACAGGAAGCCCTCCGCTAGGTTGAATGCCTAGCGTTCTTTCCCATCAAGTGGTCGAGTAAGCAAGTGCCCCGGTGGTCCCGCGCCCCCGTAGCATACGTATCCGCACGTTTCCACTCCCCGCACCCATCACACCACTTCATCCCGGTCCCCCAATGCTTCGTCCTGAGGTGCCGCACAAGGCACGGCTCCGTCACAACCGCGCGCACCCCCTCAGCCAGGCACGCGCGGCAGTGGACCTGGTAGTCGTTTAGGCTGTTGCCCGCCGCCCTGTCCTCCGTCCGCTCGTCAGCCAGACTGCCCTTGTGGGCCGTCTTCCAGTGACCCTCCACCTCCTTCGCCGTCCCAGCGAACTCGCATCCATCCCACCCGCAGCTGGCCCCCGCCCCACGAGGCGTCTCCGCCTTCACCGGCAGCAGCTTCTTGAGCGCCTCGTCCTCACGGAGGTGGGCCCACCAGCCCTCCGAATGGCCCTGCCACGTACACTTGTGCAGGTCGTCGTCCTTGGCCTTCAGGCCGCAGGTGTACACCCGCCGCTGATGGGGTGTCGGCGCGGCTTGGGGTGTGATGCGCGGTGCCCGCCGCGCTCGTTGACGAACCGAGGTCGACGGGCCCTCGTCAGAGGCCTCCCGCTTGCGCTTGGAGCGCACCGGGGAAGTGAAGGTGGAAAGAGCAGAGGATGAACCGGGGCTCGGTGGCCGCGACTGAGACGGCAAACCCTCCGAAGCCGACAATGGTGAGTCACTTGGCGCAGCGGACGCCTCCTCCGTCGACGCGAGGCTGGGGGTGGACTCCCCTCCCGACGAGGAGGCTTCCGGCGTGGAATCGTGCTCCCACTTCGCAAAGTCGAAGAAGAGCTCGTCCGCCTCGCTGAAAGTAACGAAGTATGAGTACATTCAACAGTAATAGATAGAGACAAAGGGTCTTACAGCAGTTGTTCGCTGCTCTCAGTCTCCTCCACGTCAGGAGTGGTATACAGTGTTGCATCGTCCAGCAGTTGGGGCGATGCGTTCGAAGAGCTGATCCATGGTCAACAAACAATACCAACGATGGTGGGATAGCAGCCTTACGACGACGAGGCTGAGCCTGATATGGACCCGCAGGACATGATATTGGCAGAGATGATGGTCGAATAGTGAGATGATGTTGAACGCCTGGGAAAGGGCGCAGTAAATAGGAGTGTATGAAAGCGCTCGAGGGAATGGGCGAGCTAGGCGGGATGGTAGTGGTTGGAGAAAGGGAGAGGGAGCGAGGCGCGACCGGAATTTAAACCTCGCGTGCTCGTGTACAAACAGGCCCCGCGAATCGATAACCCAAACAAACGCGTCGCGGTGTGCTGACCCAACCGGGGTCACGGACCCCGACCATACCCGGTTCTGTCCACGGCTTGCTCGCCGGGAGTCCGTCACGCTCCTGCACGTGGGTCAATCAGAGCAGACACGTCAGCGTATTCGCCAACACCGCGCTGTCTGCCATCGACATCTCATTAGAGCAGATATTTTGCCATAGAATATCATAGAACTCTGGAGCATAGGATGCTCACGACGCGAATCCCCCATCCGAGCCTCGTAGACTTTGCCTGCCAGTCCGCCCCTCCGCGCGAACCAGCTCCAACAGGCAGGAGGGCGCACCGCCCATCCCGCACAGTCTGCCGCCATTGGCGTAAAGGCAGGCAACGACAACATCTGCCTAGAAACGACGCACCTCTGCTCAATCCGACAACAAAGACTTCTCAATTTGGAAAGTCAATTGAACCCCCGACCTCGAGCGACGCGCCTTCACTTGGTAGCGCCATCCCCAGCCTTCAACTGCGAGGTCGTCGAGAGCTATGGTCCAGCCAAGCTACCCTCGCAGACCCGCGAACAATTCGGCGCTACCGACGAGTCCCTAGATGCGACGACGACCAGCCCGAAGTGCGCGCAAGGAGTCTGAGCACGTGGTCCTCAACCCCTTCCGCGCGAAGTCCTGCCAACTTGTGGTCAGCCTTCGTTCAACACTCTCATCATCGATTCCCCTACGCAACACCAAGAGCATCTAACGCACTTCTGGGCCATGACAGCGTCCAACTAGCCTGGGTCGTTCGGTACGCCACAGACCTCGGAGTGGCTGCCTTTCGAACTTCACCTCCCACCTCCTCCGAGCGACGCTGTGTCGCGTCTCCACGCTTTCAGTCGCTTCAAACGTCTCCGCCATCGAGACGACGACGATGTCGCCGTATTTTCGACGCGATATCCTACCAATCTGGGGTACGGCCGACGATCCTCACCACCCAGTCTTTCCAGCATGAACACGGGCCTAGGGCCACATTGCTTGGATTGTGTCTGCCTCGGTGCTTTGTTTCCAGCCATTATATGTGACACGCTAGTCTCGTGGCCGCCTTAGGACCCATCACAACAGCGAATATGGGCTCGACGAGCCTCAGATGGTGGTGTACCAGCTCTGCCATTCGACGACGCTGACTTACCCCACTGGCAGTGCGGACTACCCGTGGATCGATACAATGAGCAAAGCATCTGGCGGAGGGGGTGGATAGATGGTTATCAGCGACGCATTCAGAGGTATGTGAAGCCCAGCGGCCACATCCGACGACTTACATCGTCTGCGAATGCACAGGATCGAGTGCGCTGTACCACGAATGGGGAGGTCGGTGATCCGAACCAGCTACCGGTAACCAGGTCGGTGTACGAACACGTCCTGCAACCGACGCCAGTTCCCCGACAACGTTCGTGGAGATGCGGAGATGTGATGCTAATATCTAGTGAGTTGCGCCCGGGGCACGCGTTCAGACGATGTTCAGCGTTGCATAGGGGGGACGACCCACTCATTTGGCAAAGCGGGAGTGCGTACCTTCATTACGACCATCGGAAAGGAAGGTACTTTGAATCTGTACCATTTCGTGAGTGTTCGCTGACAAGGTCGTTTGCAGTCGCTGCGCTAGTTCCCCGACAATTTTCGTTCGGATGCGGAGATGCGAAGGGCATGTCTGGTGAGTGCTCTCGGAGGTATCAGATGAAGTTCAACGTTGCATACAGGGAACGACCTACTGTTTCAACGAAGCAGGAGTGCGCACCTCCTTTATAATCGTCGGGAAGTACGGTATACTTTAAACATGTACCGTCTTCGTGAATGTTCGCTGAAAGTTGGCTTGCAGTCGCCCAGTGTTTCAGCTAGTCGCTTGCGGAGCAAACCTAATCTATGGTCCACTGTGTGTGCTCTTGCAAACCAGACGATCTACTCGAAAGATGGACGTACCGTTGACGGACGAGCCCCCTGACAGATGAGCATGCCGTCCAACAGGCATTGCTGAGACAGCTTTCTCCAGCACAGGGTCGGCCCGGCACGCGCTCTCGCGAACACGGTCACCGAGTCCCCAACTGTCACAGGCATTCACTGCTGCTGAATGGCGGGAGAGACCGTCGATGACGAGTATTCCGGGCATGAAAGACGGTACGCCTGCCACCTAATATGCAGAATGCGCGTTGGAGAATCTAATCCGTCACCGCCCTATAGATGCTACAGCACACCCACTGAACGACGCGCACGTTTTGGCGACGCGCACATCTCTTTTGGGGGAGCAACACCGAAGACAGATAGTAACGGCATGGGTGAGCCGCTTGTGGACGGACGCTCTGCAGCGTATTGTCCTTTCTTCACAGGGAGCATCGCGGGCGTTCGGGGCAGGGTTGGTCCAGCGTGCGCACATCACCTGCCCGCGATTTGTATCCCACCTTCGGGAACATCAACCGCATGTGTTGCCGTAACGAAGGTGAGCACACTAGACATGAACAAAGTCTGTGCGTACCACTCATGGGCTCCCTCCCTGATAGGCCGGAGAATTGTCGGCACGCGGTCCCTGGCAAACACTTCGACGTAACCAAGTGGCCTGTTCACGAAGAGCGAACTCGTTATGACGTCTGCGGAGAGTGGTGTGCGAGTGGCCTTTCTACGTATTCCTGACCGACTGGATAACATACCTTCGCAGGTATTGTCCAGGGCGCCCTCTCGAGCACAACAGCGATGAAGCAACCCTTCCTCCCGAGGCACAGGCACGAGTGGCCATTCCAGCGTTCTTTGCGCGTGTTCGTCCTCCAAGGTCGCCGAGGGTGTCGCACACGAGGGTACGCGCGAGGAGAGGGACAAGGCGCAGGTGAGCGGGAGGGCAGTGCCACCCGGTCGTGCTCATCAACGTCTCATACTTAACGTCGCGCCGAACAGGAACAAGGCATCACTGGACGACGAGGAGATGCAGGGTCCTGATGGGCAGCCTTGTGCGAGCGAACGACCCCTGTCGACTTGTTGTCCTGTGTCGACCCTGCGGCGCCTTATTGGGCGGACGCTGCTGCCACGTGGGAATCCGTCGTGAGCTCACCGCCTGCCATTGCCAGCTCAACGCAGCAACAGCATGCGACGAAGGTGATGCAATTGAGTGCAATTATGGTCTTGTACATACGGAGGGCTAACTTCTCACCATAGAGCTTCTGGTCTGTCACACGGCCTCTCTTCAAATTCGCTCTCGATGCAGGTCTACGCTGGCCAGTCGCGAGAGAGCGCTGGGACAACCGAATCCAGACGGCGCGGCTGTCCATTTCGAGCGCGTCGGGTTCGATCTGAGATCCGGCAACTACTGAACGCTTCCCTTTCAGGCCGTGTTTAGTTAGCGACGACAGCTAGCCGATCGCCGACGCCGCGGTAACGCGCAAGCGGCCTGAAAGTCAAAGAAGGATTCACCTCACGTGCAACATAGTAGCGCCGGCCATCGTCCAGCGCCCGCGGTTCGACTTTGGTCTACCGGTATACCTCCGCCGAGTCTCCGTTCGTTGAAGAGACAGACTGATGAGGTCTGTAGGTTCTCGTGCCAGGACGACGAATGAACATCTCTTCAATCGATGGACTCATCTTCGTCACGAAACCCCTAGATGTGTCATGCTTGGGGCGGTCTTGGGTCCGTGCACTGGACAGCAACTTGCAACATACGGGTCTTGAATGGCAACGCACGTTGGGTTCGTAGCGGGAGTGCTGAAGGTGCTGTCGCATGTCCTTCCTGGAACGTTCTATGAAACTTACACACGCTCCGCTGTAGCGCCTTTCTTCCACGTCACAGATTTGTGGTGCCGCCTCGATGGTTCAATCACTACACCATCGCAAATGACAGACGATCGGTGCTCCAACGATCTACGTCCGTTGACGTACGTTTTGCAATCGCAGGGACCCTAGTGCCTGTAGGGGCTTCGGCTCACGTCGTGCTCGTCGATTGTGCTTCCTCTGACTGCGTCATAGGGCCCAAGACGTTGTGTGGGTCCACACTTACGAGTCCATGTTCAAGCCGGAATGCCCCGGATCCCCGTGCCGATAGGTAAGTAATCAACCTCTGCTTGAGCCTTCCACAAGATCTCACACGTGGATTGTGACACTTCGAGCACGACATGTTTCACGAACGATAACGTTGAGCTGTCCACATTGGATCCTCCCTGCAGTGCCGACGCAGCACCGACGATTGCTCAGCCTGGGTGTGCGTGGATCGAGGTGAGTCGCTCGGTTCTCGCATATAGTACGTCGGCCTCTCATGCCACTATGTTTCAGGTCCAATGCAAAGGGTAACGCGGCAAAGGAACAGTGCCTTCGATCGCCACGCGCACCCTTTGCTAGCGGGTTCCAAACCTCTATCTCACACGCCCCTCACGACGCTCTAGCATTTCACAAGAAGAATATGCAATACCTACGACGGAGCAAGCACTTTCTCGTCGCATATAAGTCATGGTGAGCGGCCATTACCTCATCACGTAACGCTGGTGACTCAGCCCTTCGTCCCTCTCGTTGCCCCGGACGTCAGCCACAGGCTTCAAATCTCGGTCTAGCACGCCAGCATCTTACAGTGGCTCGCTTCGAGTGCGACTGCACGCGTCGAACGCACTGCAAGAGGAAGGTACGCATCCTAGTCCCAAACAGTTCCTTGGTTTAATCACAGTCGCGCCGTTGGAGAACTGCTTGAAGAACGGCGAGCTGAATGCCGTATACGGCTGGAGGGTTGTTGGAATCTCCACTTACGATATGCTTGCTCGATGGAGATCATGTCAGTAGCCGTAAAAGACGAACATCTATGTATTCGTACCTCTTCTCCAATGCTAGCGCCTTTCCAGGTGGCCGTTTCAATTCACGGATGCATACTACGTCGTCAATCTTGGCGCGCTGGATCTTTGCTCGGGCCTCGCGAAGAGTGTTCAAGATGTATCCCCGCCCCGTCCTCATTATCTTAAGGAGACCTGCTGCGAATGCGACGGGGCATCATCCATGGTGGTTTGCAGTATCCCCATTGACGGTCCGGACACCAAGTGTAGACTTTAGTTCTACTCGGCTCTGGCTTGTCTACTCCGTAGTCGGCGGGGATGTTCCGCCACTGGCAGCACCTAAGCGTCTCAGCTCGGTGAGAGGTGCGCAGTGAGGACGATGCGAAGAGGTCGCCCTCGTGCAAAACGTCGTCCACGCTTCAAGTCCTGAGCTACGGAACGTCACGGAGGAACGGAATCTTCAGCAAGAGAGCCTCGCAGATCTTGCATAATACTCGTCGCGTCGATGCGTACACCCATCCCACCCGCCGCGGACCACCGGTCTGGGGATAGGCGCTTCCTTCGCCGGCTGCTGCTCGTGCTTCGCTATGAGATGCCCCAAACCTCCCGCGATGTTCTCTTGTATCCGCACATACTGGCTCTTTTGCGTTTCCATCGGCAGGTGTAGATTATCCGCGGGATTGTGGGAGGCTCGTGACCATAGCCATTGCAAGAGCAGCAACGCCTTCATCCCCATGTTTATCAAGAATGTGCCGGATCTTTGACTGCCCCTTTGCTGGTCGCTTGCGTTCGAGCTTTTCGGGTGCGTCTTGCAGTCAGGTCGCGGATAGAAGTCGAGAGGTGTATCATTGAGGACGTACCCACTACCAGGGCGGCCGCGATGCTCTTTGAGGTGTCTTCTGATATCTGGCGTTGAGACCGTCCTACCCTCGGCTCCGCTTGGATGACACGATGCCGTTGTTGGAACTGGAGGAAGGCGGAGAATGATGCGCGTAAGAGGATGAGGCCAAGGGCGATTTCCCCAGTACATGGTGTAGAAACGGTGCCATGGGAAGGTCGGGGAGGTCGCGTAGGAACCCCCACTCTTTGGGCAGGAATCGCAACATAAACTACTTCAAGGTTGTAGACATCAGCTCGAGTACCCGCTTGATATGGGACGTGGGAGGCATTCACCCATAATATCGACCAGGGTGTCCTACCAATGAGTGAAAACGTCAAAATCAGTGCCTGCGGCAGAGTATCTCTCTCACTTTGTGGCCCGTAACGCAGGGCGGTTGTACATTTGCGCTTGGAAAGCTTGTAGTAGGTGGAAATGTACAGGGTAACCGTCGAGTACGTGTACGTCGACGAAGTCCCACTAAGCGCCAACTGTAAGCGACATCGACGCTCAAATGTGAGGACGTACCCCGAGACGAACACTGGTCGCGCACATGAGGGAGTTAAATCCAAGCGATTCAACGCCCCAGCATATTTGGTTAGGAGGAATAGTGACGGGATCATAGCTTCAGTGCTGAACATCGGCAAGAGAGTAGTAAAGCGAGGTGGGTCCTGCGTCCTCAGCGCGAATGCGAGAGCTTTTATACCCCGGGCTGCGTCTGATCCGTGAACACATTGCTTTGTCCGTGGACAATACACAATGGTACCTGAGTGGCAGTCTATGCAACGTGAAAACGCGAGTGGCGTGAGTGACGGCATTGAAGAGCAAATTGTAGTCCTACACACCTGAAGCCTGAGCCCGCATTCTCGTTGGTAAGCTCCATCCGATGAGAGTTTGGGCGTTTAGTCGTCGCCTGACGCCGGTGAATAATTGGGACCTTGACGCGTATTGGCTGCTTGCAACATGGCAGCTGTATCATTGCTTGACAGTCGGGCCATACAATTGTGTCGCACTCGATACGCTGAGGGTTAGCTAGCTCGAGTCGCCGAGACGAATACAATGCCGGCAGATAGTCGACACTTTCAGTCGCAGAGGACGATTCGTACTACTAGTGAAAACCATGGTGTAGTATCTGTGACAATGTAACGGGCGATGCGCGCGAGCATGTCTGCGATGTTGAGACCATCATGATACATTCTGAGACGATGCTCAGTATCAGGATTGCAAACGCACATACAAGAGACAGGATCAACACACACGAGACTAGTCGACGCAACAAACACAGGAGTCCTCTCGAGATAGCTACACAATCAGAGCAATACAACGAAGTAGCAAAGCAACAGCGCTGCCAGCGCACGACAGCACAATACAGCAACACGTACATAACGATAACAATAACATAGCATCTGGACGCCCTAACGCCGCTACCGCCTTTCCGGGTCCTCGAAGTGGTTGTTCCTCATGAACCTCTCCAGGCAAGTCTTCCGATGGTCCCGCGCCCCCTTCCCAAGCGTGTCGTCTCTGCGGCGCTTCCCGCAGCAGTCACACCACGTCCCGAACTCCCAGTGGGTGTCCCGCAAGTGTCGCAGAAGCTGGGTCTGCTGCATGAATGCGCGTCGACCCCCAATGTCGCCAGCGCACGATCGGCAGCGCACCTGCTTGGGAGCAAGGACGATCCCCTGCGCCCGGTCATCCTTGCGAGCGTCCGCGAGCGACCCATGGTGGACATCGCACCAGTGATCGACGACCTCCTCCTTCATCGCCGCGAAGTCACACCCATCCCACGAGCACTGCACCGTGTGTGGCGCAGGCTCGGGCTGGACGAGGTGCTGGAATCCGTGGGCGTGCCGGACATGGTCCCACAGGTGCTCCGCCACCGCGTGCTCGCCGCACTTCTGGCCGTCCTCAGAAGTGTATGTGCAGGTGACCTCGCTACGGTCCCTGTGCGTCGGCTTAGCTTGCGGCGCGATCCTTGGGGCGCGCCCGTTCCGGAGGTGAGCGGGCACAGGGGCGGCTTCACCCTCGTCAGAAGCCGCCCTCTTGCGCTTCAGGCCAGCTCTGGGTCGCGCGGTGGTGGATGCAGCTGGTGGGGGTGCCGCAGAGGGCGCGTCCGAGGGTGGTGGAGGCAGGGAATCAGGGGCCGACCCGGCAGGCGAGGCACATGCTGCACCCGACGAGGCCTCGGACAAGCTCGGCGGAGACTGTCTGCCCGACGAGGAGGCTTCCGGCGTGGAATCGTGCTCCCACTTCGCAAAGTCGAAGAAGAGCTCGTCCGCCTCGCTGAAAGTAACGAAGCATGAGTACGTTCAAACAGCGCAGGAAAGAAGTCTTACAGCAGTTGCTCGTTGCTCTCCGCAGTCTCGTTGTCCTCAGGAGTTGTATATCCTGTTGCATTGTCCAGCGGTTGGGGCGATGCGTTCGAAGAGCTGATCCATGGTCAACAAACAATACCAACGATGGTGGGATAGCAGCCTTACGACGACGAGGCTGAGCCTGATATGGACCCGCAGGACATGATATTGGCAGAGATGATGGTCGAATAGTGAGATAATGTTGAACGCCTGGGAAAGGGCGCAGTGAATAGGAGTGTATGAAAGCGCTCGAGGGAATGGGCGAGCTAGGCGGGATGGTAGTGGTTGGAGAAAGGGAGAGGGAGCGAGGCGCGACCGGAATTTAAACCTCGCGTGCTCGTGTACAAACAGGCCCCGCGAATCGATAACCCAAACAAACGCGTCGCGGTGTGCTGACCCAACCGGGGTCACGGACCCCGACCATACCCGATTCCGTCCACGGCTCGCTCGCCGGGGGTCCGTCACGCTCCTTCACGTGGGTCAATCAGAGCAGACATGCCAGCGTATTCGCCAACACCGCGCTCTCTGCTACTGACGTGTCAATAGAGCGAATATTTCGCCATAAGAAAGCATAGAATTCATGCGCAGGATGGTCACGCCGCAGATTCCCCATCCACGCCTCGCGGATTGTCACTGTCACGCTCGCCCTCTGCGCAAGCGGGCCCCGACAGCCAGGAAGCACACAGCCCCGAACCGCACAATACGCTACGACACGCGCAGGCAACGGTCGTATCTGCGTAGAAACGACGCACCTCTGCTAATCCGACCACAAAGACTTCTCGATATGGGAAGTGAATTGACCCTTCACCTGGCTGCGGCATCCCCAGCTTTGAGCTGCGAGAGCCTCAGTCCATCTAGGACCTCCTGGCTGACCCGCAAACGATTCGGCGGCGCCTACGAGTCCCTATAGTCGACGACAGCCAAAGTGCGCGCGGCGAGTCTGGGCACGTGGCCTGCAACCCATTGCGCGCGAAGTCCTACAACTTGTCGTCAGCCTTCGTTCAACACCATCATCCACCGGTTCCCCTACGCGACATCCAGAGCTTCCAGACACTTTTCGAGGAGATTGTGGTGCGTCTAGCCTGTGTCGTTCGGTACGCTACGATTCGAACCTCGCCTAGACCTCCGAGTGGCCACCTTTCGACCTTCAGGTCTTACCTCCCCCGAGCGGTCCTGCGCCGCGTCTCCATGCTCAAAACGACTCTCAACTTCTGCATCGTCGACACAATGAAGACAAAGGCCTATTCTCGACGTGATCTCCTGCCTAACCGCGTTGCTTCCGATGATCCTGGCGACCTCGGCTTTCGAACGTGACGGCCACATTATCTCGACCCTGCCTCCGTGCGTTGTTGCCAGTAAATATATCCGGAGAGCCAGTCTGATCACGGCCTTACGCCAGACTACGACATGAAACCTTTGACGAAGGAGCTGGAGACGGCCCGCCATCAGCTCCCCCATACTGCGACATCGGCTTACCGCATTATACAGAGACTCATCATCGACAAACTGCCCATCAACAGTACCGGAGAATGGATCAGCAATGCAAACAGCGCAATGATTGCAACGTACTGCGTACCATATGCTTAGCTCCTAAGGAAGTCCTTATGCTTCGTGGGGTCCTACCGACGGCAAGGATGTGGAGGGAAGCCATGGTGAGTGTCCTCGAGGTGACGAACTCCATACGATATTGACCATGAAACAGAGACGTCACTACAGCGGGCCACCCACCAAAAAACCGGAAGTGTGTCCTTTTGGTACGACTATCCAGGAGGAAAGTGAGTCCTCGATCCTAAGCAATCTCAGAACGAATCCCTTACAACACTCGATGCTCCGACTCCGTTGCATAGGCGAGACTATCCAGCGTGCGCTTTCCGAGACGACGTAGACGACGATATCCGCAGACTAGGATCTATCCGCGCACTGCGAAGACGTCGGTAAGCCTCGCGATATGATCAAAACAAAGACGTACCACTGACGATTATGCCCTATGAAAGGTCAGCATGTCGTCGACAGGGCTGCTACGATGAGCTTTCTGACAAGCGAGAACCGACGTCTTGTTCGCAAAGGGTGGTCGTACAACGAAGATCGCGAGATGGTGAGCAGGCGGCCCATACACATTGCCTTCAAGGTTTGATAAATTTGCATAATAGCGAGCGTCCTGTGCGAGGGCGGAATCGCTCAAGGATTACTCATCCCGCATACGAGCGCATCGTCAAGATATCGAGGGGACCGTCTCAGGACGGAAGGGAGGTCCGTACGCCACATCATGCGTTCCGAACGAGCGCGCCGCTGACAAGCCGGATATCCGTGATTTAGCCCACTCATTGGACGATGAATACCGGGAGTGTCTATCCTCTGAATGCCAATGAGAAAGGTTTCAGGCACGACGTGGTGAGCAAATTACTTGTATGCGTACCTGTCAGTGTCTCACGGCCTTTTGCTTCATAGGCACCATCCTGGTCGTGGCGTCGAGAGTGCAATCGGTCCAGCGCGCGCGCTGTGTACTTGCCGGCGACCTGCCTTCCACCGTTGTGGACGTCAATGCGCCGTATATCATCTTAACGAAGGTGAGCCATACGAGACATGAACAGACTCTGTGCGTACCACTCATGGGTTCCCTCTCTGACAGGCCGGAGCATTGTCGGCATGCGGTCTCCTGGCATACATGCTGACGATACGGAGTGGCGTCTCCTCGAAGAGCTAGCTCGTTCCGACTTGTCGTCTGCATAGAAAGGTGAGCGAGTGGCCCGTCTGCGTACCTTTGTCCGAGAGCGCGATGGCGTTCCTTCACAGAACATCCAGGGCGTCTAGCAGCGATGAAGCAACAAGTGGCGATTCCAGTGTCCTGCGCGAGTGTTCGACGTCGTCCAAGGTCGCACAGAGCCGTCCCAGCACAAGCCGCGCGTGTTGTGCAAGAGGGTGCGTGCGGGGAGGGGACGAGGCGCAGGTGAGCGAGAGGGCAGTGCCCGGTCGTGCTCGTCAACGTCTCGTACTTATTGTCGCGACGAACAGGCACAAGGCACCATCAGGCGACGAGGAGGGGCAGCATCGAGATGGGCAGCCTTGTGCGAGCCAACGGCCCCTGTCGACTTGCTGTGGTGGTCTGTCCAGGGTCGGTCGACCTCGATTGGGCGCACGCGGCTGCCACGTGGGAGGCTGTGGTGAGCTCTACGCCTGCCAATCTGACAGCATGCGACGAAGGTGATGCAATTCACTGAAGTACCACCGTGTACATACACAGGACTAACGTCGCCCAACAGAGCTTCTAGCGGATACCAAGTGCCTCCCTTCGCCTGCTGCACCTTGTGCAAGACAGCGCCGGCACTCGGACGGTACGACTTTCCATTTTGAGACGGTTGCACTCGATCTGACATCGGGCGAATACTGAACGCTTCGCTTCCAGACCGCGTCTCGCGATGGTTAGCGACGGCTATGCAAGGAGCCCGTGCGTCGGCGACAGCGGGAAACAAATATCCCGTTTAGGACGCACCTCACGTGCAAGATAGCGCCCGTATCCTGCTGTCGCGCCTGGGCGATGCTCGCAAGCCTGGAGGAACCGTAGATGAGGAAGAAACCCGTTGACGGTGCGCACCGCTCGAATCTTATGTCTGCTTAGGTCTGCTTAGTGTGCGGTGAGGTATACTTCCTCGAACGTCCATACAACTCACAGATCGTGTACGACAGCACCCTCCTTCCACCCACAACCTCATGGGGCCGCTTCGATCGTCCACAACCTCCGTATTGCCAATAGCAAACGATCGGCGATACACGGTCACAACGATCTGCCTCCGCTGCTTCGGCGTTTCCCCGATCGCCTCCGTACTGACGCCACCACACAGGCGGGCGAGGCTCCACACGCATATCCCATGCGCCCGGTATACCTCGCGCAGTCTCAGCACATGGGGGCGTGGCAGGCATGCCCACAGATTGTGCTTCCTCGACTGCGTCACAGAACTGAGGACCTCCACGCACGAGTCCACGCTCAAGCTGAAGCATACATCATCCTCGCGTCACAACGCCGTCAGTACACGCCCCAGCACCACCCTATCGACGAGCTGGAGGGAGTCTTCACATGTACGCCGTCGCTTTCCCATGTTCGCGTGTCCCAGGTCCGACACAAGGGACGCCGCAACAAAGGAGTGGCGTGCGCCTGCACGCTCCGGAATTCTATCTCGCACGCTCCTCGCGATGCTTGAGTATTCCACGACAAGCCTATGCGTTGCTTGCGACGTAACGAGCGTATCTACATGCATTGATGAAGCACCAGGCCCATGGTGAGCGAACAGAGCTCATTACGTAGATGTGGTGACTCAACGCTTCGCACTGCACAGGCCTCGACTTTCGGTCGTCTCGGCAGCACGCCATCATCCCACAGAGGACAGCATCGAATGCGAGTGCACACGGCGGACGCACTGCGAGAGGAAGGCGCGCAGGCTCGTCCCGAACCGCTCTCCCGGGCAACAACGCTCGGAAAGTCGTCGAAGGGCGGAGATGTCGATGTCGCGAGAGAGTCAGGGGCAACATCTCCCTGGGTGTGCTTGCTCGACAGGAATCATGTTAGTTTCTGTGTGAAACGGACGTGTATGTAGACGTACCTCTTCAATGCTAGCATCTTGTTGGAACGTGGCTGGTTACATGGGTGGGCGACGCAAGGCTGATGCTCTGGAGCTATACGTCATTCGAGGGTTGGAAAGTCCTCAACGTAACGTGCAGCAGAGTAGAAAGGCATCTTTATCGGTGAGATCGATGAAGGCGAGAGAGGATGCCAAGATGGCAGCTAGGATACTCCCCGGAGCGCCGCTGGGGAACGGGTAGATCCATTAATCATTCGAAATTGTCGGAGATGGGTAATCAGAAAACGAACCCTGTTTGCTACGTAGTTTGACACTCGAGTCCGTGTACGTTGTCGAAGTGCGACTAGACACTCAACATAAGCGACGTCGACAACCAAAATACGAGGACGTACCGCGTTAAGGATGCTTGCCGGGTACTTGGTACTGCCAATTCCAAGCTCAGCATCCCAGGGTATCTGGTTAGGAGGAATGGTGACGGGATCGTAGCTTGAGTGCTGAACATCGGCTAGAAAGGAGAACGAGGTAGTTTCTGCATCCTCAACGTGAATGCGAGACCTTTTATACCCCGAGCTGCGTCAAATGCGTCAGTATGTTACTTTGTCAGTGGACAATACACAATGGTACCTGAGTGGCAGTCAATGCAAAAATTGCGAGTGGTGTGAGTGACGACATTGAGGTAGAAAGTGCAGTCTTATGGGCTTAACACACCTAGGCTCGCCGATAACTCCATGCCCTAGGAAATCCTGCGTGGTCATCGTCTGATGGTTCGCTGCGTCATAGCTTGGAGGAAATACCGTACGACTGCGTTGCTCCTGAGATGTTGAGATCAGCTGCTGAGAATCAAAGACGTATTTCAGTAACTCCAGGACCCGGGCATGCGCCGACTCAAACGGGCGGTACCTCATCGTGATGGACCTGCTTGTATCACTGACGTGGCAAAGAATGAGAAATTAAACTGTTATAAGAGCGTGCAGTACCTCGAGTCATTGACGAGGATACGGAGCCGGAGCTGAGTTCGTTAGGTCTATAAGCCGTCAGTGTGGACATGCCTCAGGATTAGGGACGGTTGATTGCAGATGGCAGACCTATCGGACAGATATTGAAGCAAATATCCAACTCAATAGGCGTCGCAAACTCACCATAGGGAACATGAATGCGACGGTTGTAGGTACGTGCTGGAATGAGACTATTCAGGATGCGTTCCAGCCCTGTAGAACTTGAATAACATGAGGCTGTCAGCGGCCGTGCAATCTGCGTGCCTATACCACAAGAACTCACCCCATTCATTGCTGCTACAGCATGTACCATGACGAGAAATCATGATGTAGCTAGGAGAGTCTATCGCTGTACATGGTGACTTCAATAAATTAATACGGACGAGACGAGGAGCGCCTCAGCGCCGAGTGTAAAGTTCCTGTCCACAGGACACGTGACTGGAGCGCTCAATCAGACGCGGGTAGTCCGAGTCTGCTGGATTCATCACGTTCTCATGGTCATTCACGGGTACTTAGCACTCGCAGTCTCTTCACTGCGTTCAGGAGGGATGTATTCAATAAGCCTAAGTACAACACAATGGGACGATGCAAAAACAAATACATGATACCAGTGACCGATGGCACGAACACTTGATACACAGGCATGTAGTCCGAGCGATACAACAGTTGACAGCAGCAACAAAGACAGCCAAAAGAAAGCATGGAAACGTACAGAGCAAAAAAAAAACCGATACCAGAACGATGGAAACTCAGCCTAGCAATTGGGGGAACCGTCCATGAACGCGAGCAAGCAGTCGCCGCGGTGATCTCGAGCAGGCTTGTCAAAGACGTCGCTCCGAAACTCCTTCCCGCAGTGGTCGCAGAACTTGTAGTCCTTCCAGTGCACAGTTCTTAGGTGCCTGACAAGGCCGTCAAGCCTCTTCTTCTTCCCGTTGGCCTTGGCCTTCCTTTTCCCTGTCCCCTCGTCTTCGTCCGCATGAGGGCACAACAGGCAGGTGAGACGCGCCGCCTTGAGGGCGCGTGTGAGACCTGAGCGCTCCAAGTGAGCACTCTTGTGCCTCTCGGTCCAGTGTGCGGCCATGTCTTCGGGTAATGCGCTATAAGCGCAGCCATCCCATCCGCAGCGCACATCCTCGGGGACCGGAACTTTCTTCGCTTTCACCTTGTGCGTCTTTCGCATGTGGGCCCACATAACTTGGGACGTCCCCTCGAAATTGCACACGCCCCCTTCCGCGAGCTTCCACCTGCACGGATAGGTCTTGAGCTCGAGCTTCCGCCGAGACTGGCGATGGCGGGTGATCTTGTGCGGGTGTTCATCATCATCGCCCTCGTCGCCAGTGTCGTTCTCTCGCCTCCGCTTCAAGGTAGAACGACCTTCGGTTGGAGGCGCAGGAGAATCGACGCAAAGATAGGAGGAGGAGGAGCGCGGACTTTTTGACAACTCCGCAGTGAGAAGATTCGGGAGATTCGGGGCGAAGTCCCAACCCTCGGGTAGGACTAAAGGGCCTGGCTTCGGGGACGTTGAGGTGGCGGTGGCGGTGGCGGTCTCCCACATTGCAGGGTCAAGCCAGTCGTCGACATCGCTGGTTCAGACAAGCCATCAGTGAATCGTACCATCACACGAACAATGAAAGCCTCACAATGTGTGGTCGTCGACCAATGGGCTGCTGGTAGCCCGTGGTGCCGATGGTCCAGCAATAGGACCGCCCTCCCAGCTGTAGTCCACAAGGAAGTTGTTGAAGGCGGTGTACTGGTGATATTCCGAGGCACTGAAGGATACAGTGAGCCATGCCGCTCGACCGTGAAGACAATGAAACAAAGACGTACATCCCCGGAAATGCCGCCATGCTGTCGAACGAGGGCAGAATATAATCACAGTAAGACATTATGTGTGTGGCGGGAGTATGTCGTGGGCGACGACGAAGGCTGCTGAGATGGAGAAGCGGCAGACAGAAGGTTGCGGTTAAGCGTGAGTGTAGAGGAAGGGAGAGGAGCGACGCGCGCCCGGGATTTATACCTTGAGTGTAGGTGTGCAAACAAGTTGAAACAACCCTGCCGCATGCTTTGCCAAACAGACGCGTCGCGGTCTGGCTGATCTCAACCCAATCACGCACCCCGTCTCCTTCCACGGCTCGCCTTCCCGGTCTCTGTCACGCTCGCCGCACGGGTTAGTCACAGCAGACAAGTCGGACCAGTACCCTGCGCCCTTGAGTCCATTGTGAGCGGCCCACTAGAGCAGAAAATCCGCCATAGCCACACAAGGGCCACGCAAGTTGAGGGCTGGCCACGCGCCGAATCCCCCAAATCCGCCTCGCATCGCCTATTCATGTCCCGTCACGCCGCTCGCGCAAGCCAGTCCTAGCAGCCAGGTCAAATGAAAGCCCAGAACAGACCTGCCAGCCGTGATTGGCCGGCAAAACGGCGAAGGCTATGCCCGCCATGGAAACGACATGCCGCCGCCCGACCAAAGAACAAGGACTGTCCCGATATGGCAGGGGCCCCCGAACCGTGAGTAACGTGCCGCGACTTGCTGTGGCGCAACTTCGCACTCACCGCCAACTCGTCGAGGCTAGCAGTGCAGCCCCGGAAGTCCCAGCCTCGATCCGAGCCACTTGGCGGTGCAGGCCAGTCCTGGGGTTCGTTTGTGGGCCATGCGGTTTGCAGGCAAGTTGAATTCAACGGGTTCGCGCTAGCATCCATTGACCCTCAACAGGCATGAACGTCGACGCAGTCCCAGCCCATTTGTTCGTTTCCACCGCCAGTGGCGTATGATTCACCTAAGGAGGGCGCCCTCCATGTAAGTAGCCTATGCGCTGGCGTTAGAGGCGCCACCAAGGGGAGTGGCTCACCTGTCAATTTTCCTCAGTATCACCTTCGGCCATTCCTGTGTCATGTCGTCAAGCTTTCGATCTTCTACAAGGTATTCGGGCCCTAGAAAGTGAGTTAATATGCTTGTATCGAAGTGAATACTTGCCAACAAGAGTTGTGGCCGCATCCGCTGCAGTTGTTTCGAACCAACGTCCCGTTCACGCGACGACATCACTGTCGATTTACCACGGCCCTTGTAACGCAAGGCTACGCATGAAGAACATGTTAACGCGTCTCCGAAGCGTACGAAGACGGACTGCCTGGCCCCAAGACGGTACGTCGACGAGTCTATCGCGCTATGACACTGATAGACCATGCCAGAACAGAAACCACGTGTTTCATTGACACAGCGCATGGTGAACCTAATGCCCTGCACTTGTCGTGTGGCTTCGAGGTAGCGTACGTCGTTAAGTGAATCCTAGCTCTCTAGCTCACTGCTACCTCTGAACCACTGTTACGACGTCCGCTATCATGCGGCATACGCTTCATTAACAGTCCAGTTCCCTCATTACGTTGCCATCGACCACGACACTGAGGAGAATGATCGACTTCACCAGGGGACCAGCTAGACGGTCCTTCTCGATCCATGAAGACGTCGTGGCATGCCGAATCACTGCCCTTCTCGGCGCAGTAAATCGATCGCAGTAGCATTCTGCTCACTAGGCAGGGACGGATCAGAAGACCTCATCTCTCGCTTCCTTTCATGAAGGTCACTCTTGGCTTGATCTCAACGTACTGTGAAACTCACCTGCCATAGAGGGTGCACAGGCGCAACCGCTATCCAGTCGGAGAAAGTGCGCTAGTCACGCACTCAACACAATGAAGGTAAGTCACAGAATGCGTAATCAGGAATACCTACCGCTCACGTTGTTGTCCCCGCAGGACCCTTATGTTCGACGCGGGATCACCGCGAAAACGTGCCCGTGTCTTCGACGCTCACACAACAGACAGCACAAGGGTGAGCAACCTTGTCAAGATAGTGACGACGCTCATCAGCACGTACCTATAGTGCACGGGAGGCCAAGTCTGGGAATCCCTGCTCCCCCGGCGCACAGCAGTTTGAGCGGTGGGCCAAACCAGTGGCAAGCAGGCGTGTCAAGGACGCAAACGTCCCTTGCCAGGCCGGTATGCCATCGGGCGTCGACATACTCGCCGAGCTGGTGTCACCTTGTCCTCCGAGATATCGCCGCGCCGCTACCGCGAAGTGGCGCATGGCGCACCGCGGTATGGAGGAAAATACGGGTGCGACTGAATCATGGGACGATGAAGTGAGTGCGCACCTTTCGTTCAACCTCACGCGATGGAACTGAACGTAGCTACATGGTGTCGCGTGATCTCCTATCGTGCCAGCATGGTAGCCTAGTGGTGGTGCGCCCCAGCATCAGTGCGTCTAGCTCTTCCTGGGAGCTCCCGGACGACCGAGCAGCACTTCTCGACGATAAACTCACCTTCGACACCCGGCTATGCGCTTTCAGACGAGGTGGAGGTAAGTCACACCGTTTAGGATTAGATAGAGCGTACCGCTGATGATGTTCCTCTTCCACAGGGCGACGTGCCTGTACTCCTACCGTTCACTCGGGGCACATGCAGACGAAGGCTCTTGGAACGTAGCGGCAGCAGGATCTGAAGTGACACAGTGAGTGGGTAGCTTATCTACGTACCATGACTAAGAGCTCGATGGCAGCCTCCCTCCCTAGATAGGGGCCTGGCCGCGAGCGCAGCAACACGCCAGTTGCCGTGAGGGCTCAGCGACGACTAGTTCCTCTTCCGGCTGTGCTGATCATCATCCGGGATCCAGAGGGGCCGCTGCAGGTCAAGCCGTTGGCCTCGAGAGGAGAAAGACTGGCAGGTGAGTGAGTATGGCGAGGGGCGTATGGGAAGTGCGAAAAACTGAACAATCAGGAGATATATGGTCGCCAGGGAGGGCCAGAACAACAAGGCATCAGACGGCCAGCTGCGTGGCTTCATCGAGGCCAAACCGTTTCCCGACTCAAGCGACCCCTAGCGGTGCACCCGTCACGTGGAGACCGTCGGAGTGGCTCACTCTTTACGAACGGAGATGAATCGTGCCGTAAGGTGTTGTATTCTCATTCATTTCTTCCGTGTACACACACCGAATCGTTCACACATCCTTTACAGCACTTCGTCTTCTACTCTCCTTCGACTTCGCAGTCGATGTTTATGGGGCCACAACGAAGGCCAAATGTGGCATCGTCGGCGAAACCCGTTGAAGCCTAGTGGGAGGCGCCTGCCTCTTGGAGAAGGTCATCGGAGATCTGGCGGTTACTGGCGGTAGCGGCGTAGCCAAAACGCGTTAGAACGGCGGGCGATCGGCGCATCCGGTTGCCAAGTTAGCCTGATCCGGAGCGAGCGCCCGGGATCTTCGAGCCGCGCGACGGCCACGCGCGAGGCAAGATTTGGAAGAGTCGCGGATCTGGGGGACTCATTCGTGTCGCCACCAGACTTCCCGTACGTTCATCACAACTGCTGACTTGGCGCATTCAATGATCCATGTCTCCATCAGTCCGTCCTCTGACGAACCCCGTGTATACATTGAGTAACCGTTACGGACGACCTGCCGGCATCTCCATCGATGCGAGTCTCCGCGGGTCTCGCTACTGACGAAACGCGCCAAACAGGTACCCCTTGAGAATCGTTGTACCGCGCAGAGGCCATTCGCTGGAGCACGGTGAGGGTCTCTTCACCTCCCTGCGCGTCACATCTCATCGATGACATGCTTCACGCTTATACTTAGCTCAATTTCCTCGATTGGCAAACCACGATGCATTGGTGCTGCCTACTTAGGAGATCTGCATCCGTTGTGTGTGTCCGTTCCGTAACTGGCACGTTGTCACTGTGCTGATGCCGAACATTTCAGTCAGACTCTCTGCCATCCAAGGCCATCCATACCTCGCTCTTGAGTGGTTCGATCTTGGAACTGATCACGACACCAGGAGAGTTGCAGGCTATTTTACATCGTTCAGCTCACGCCGTCCTCTTCTGACAGACGCAAGCCTCGCTGGTATCGGATCTTGGGCCCGCGTCTACACGGATCCACATCACGGAATGTGATCGGTCACACAGAACCACATCACTGTGGACTCGGATCTCAAGCTCTCAGGATCGACAGTCAGCACTTTACCATCGTTGGCTGCTCAGTTTTACGTGGCTCACGGGTGTTGCACCCAGGTAGCATACGGCGCCAGCACGAAGTACTCCTGGCCTTCACAGCGCGGACGTCGCTTGATTACAGTCGATTGTCGCCGCAAACTCTCGAGTCAATGTCCTGATAGAACATTGTTCTGTATTTTTGGTGAGTTCAGTCCTATGTAAAGTGTTGTCTGCCAGCTCACGTCAACTACAGACGCGTTGTGTGACCATACTCAGCAATGTCTCCGCCCGTGCCAGTCTCAGAAGATCCTGTCGTGGTATGCGCTCGCACCCTGCTCCAGAAATGTGCGTCTTTCTCTATAGTAGACTTATGACGTCTCGTGCTTTAAATAACAGCAAGCTCTGTCAGGAGAAGTATTGCTAGCGGGTATCGATTTGCAAGGTACGTACGCCCATGTTGTTGGTCATTACATAACGCCGCTGACTCATAACCTACCCCGCCCTACCGACAGGCTGCGTACACGAAATTAGGCCGTGTGTTCGACGCTAATCAGCCCATTATGCTCTGTTGCCCGTCCTTTACAGCGTGTCAACGCGTTACCGAGCTCTCCGTAGTGAGACTCGGAGGGCACGTGACGGACGCAGCGCAGCCGGACAAGACGCAATCCACCGACGGCCACAAAGCAGTAAGTGCAGCGCTGCACCGCTCCTTACTCTGCTGAATATGTGTGAACACCTAGCTATCTGATTGTAGGGCCATGAAGCTTGTCGTGTGGCCGATGTGGCCGACGCGTCCATTGGCCAGGGATCTACTTCAAAGCTCGCGCCTTGGAAACGAATACGACGTCAGGCGTATGGTTTGCCGCCATTCACCGCCTTTAGCTCAAATATCGGAGCAGGGATCGCAATTCACGACAACGCGGAAGATCGGAAGCTACTGTACCACGTCACCGCCAGGAATGTTACAGCGGAGCTGTAGCTAGGTGCGTGACCGTGTACTCTAGGAGTCGTCTCGGTCCACTCAATCTAGCCTCCACAAGCCTCGCAAACACGGCCTTCCAGAAATAGTGTCAGCAACGCCCGTACGTGCACCATTCTGGTTCTCTACATCGCGACTCATAGCGGACTGGTGGACATCCCTGCGCCTCGATCGGCTGCCAACCCCGTGGAGCGACACGTCGATCAAGTCATCTACGCTCGAATATGGGCTTCGTATATTGCAGCTCTGCTCATGAACAACCTTTTGACCATGGCCCCAGGATCTTGGAAGAGACGGTGAATGGACAAGTGGAGCTGGTCAGGCTTCGCGTTCTTGGACGAGACGGGTGGTTCTGGCCCACTGGAAGCTAATCGTGACGGCCCGTTGGATAACTTACGGATACTACACGACGTCGATCGAATTCCCAATCAATGTACATACCGTGGTCTATCTACCGAATACATTGAACGTATTGTGCTCCCCGATGCTCGCCCCGTAGATTCTAGGAACTGACTGCATCGTAACAACGAGCATGAACACTGTCCGATAAGCGCTGGGGCGTAGACAACACCAGTTTGCAGTCGGTGACGTGTCAGACTTTCGAGCAGACGAGACGATACATTCGACTTTCCGAGACGACTATATACAGCACTAGAACCAGTGGAAGTGAGATGTGCCGAGGAAATGGAGGATACATATTGTGCGACGTCGTGTGATCGAGACAACCAGACGAGTACAACGACTTTGCGACGACGACGATGCGTACAGTACGATTACAGCTATGGGAGAGACAACGGAGGGAGACGGGATTGCATATATATCACGGCCGTTGAAGAGATCCAAGCAACATGTCCGTGAGGAGGGAGAGGGGCTTCAAGTCCTCGAATGAGGATGGGCCACGCATCGGTATATGCGATGAGGACCCGCCCGCCGTTACGGCTCGACCTTCCTTCGCTTGCATGGCCGTTTGGAAGATCCGGTGGATTCAACCGGGGCCTTCCGATTGACAGCCTTCCTTCGTGGTCGTCTCCTGAGATCCGCGGAACGTTATGACGAGGCTGAGATTGAGAGACGAGAGAACTCTACGTACCGCTTTGCAGCGGGCTTCCTGCTCTTCTTCTGTTCAAAACCGCTACTGTGTGGCATGTGAGGACTAGTAGATAGGGCTGCTACGCAATCGCGTACCTCTCTCCATCCGAAGTATCATTTTCGGATTCGACGTGGCCGACGGTGTCGGCCGGGCACACGGCGGGTTCGTGGATGATTGGTTTGTTCGACCTCTTTGCAAACCACCTTCTGCGACGATTGGTATGTCAGATGTCGAACGAAGCAAGGGGGCTGAAAGTCTTGTACGGTACTTACCTCTGCTTAATCTTGAGTTTCTCGACCTCAGACTTCTCCATCTCTGGCTCCTCGGTCTCTGCCGTCTCCTCATTCCCTGGCTTCCTCTCGATCCCCGACTGTTTCTTGATCTCCTCCTCATCGTCAGTCTTTACGTAGTGGGGCAGTCCATCTTTCTTGTCCCAGGGCATTTTGGTAATTCGATAGGGTGTAGGAGGAGATATCGGAGGTAGGAGGATGCGAGTGAGGCAGTCGTGGGATGTAGGACTTGGTAGGTGAAGATGGGCAGGCGGAGGGCCGAGCGTGGACTTATCAGGTGCGGCGGAATCCGAGCCCAGCGAAGGGCGGTCTAGCGCCCGGCCGGCTTTGCACGTCGTTCGGTCCTCCTTCTCACGCTCTGAGCTCCCACCCCAGAGACCAGTCAATACGTTCTGTCACGCTTTCTTGTAGTCTACGAGCAGCTTGTACATGAGCCTCAAGGAATACAGCCGTAGAGGCTACTCACCTTTTTTTGTCCTAAAGTAGAACAAAGGCCGGCCCAATACGGGAAGCGCCCGCATCGAGGCTCGTGTCTCGCGACGCTACATGCCGCTCCTCGCCACTGACCACCCAGTCGTCAAAACTGGTGGAGACGTCATTCCACCAAAGGATCGTCGATGGGTGGCACGAATATGTCCCCAGTGCGCCGAGAATCCTTCCGGCGTGTCCACAAACTTCGTCGAGGGCGTCGCCTGTTTTCCCGCTGGTAGAAGGCATCAGGGCAGCGTTCCCTTGCGCGATTTCGTCCCTGTAAGCCTTCCGATCGTCATGAATGTCGGTGAGTGATTTTCTATCTTCTCTGGAAGAGCTGAACCAACGAACTTACCTGTCAGGATCTCCCTTCCCTTCTGCGAGCCGTCCCTGGCGGGGTGGTTCTTTCCTTCCACCTCAGCAAGAACCGATTGCGCCCATCCACGAACATCAATGAACCTTTCAGTTGTGTTTCGCACGTCCGTGGACGAGGTTTTAGAGTCACACCTGTGACTTCGAAGGTCCCCGTGGGGCCTATGGAATGTGTGGCCAGCGCTCATCCTCGGCCGCGACTTCACCTCCTGTACTCTTACCCCCAACACCACGACGTTCATTTCATTCGAGCGAGTGCATCCTCTCTCTCACATACACGGAACGGCAACTGGACGAGGCCACGTCCACCGGGACTACGAGTCTACACCACAGCGACTTCGCCATCCAGGCGCTCACCGACACAGACGACATTGCTTGTTCGTTTGACACACAGATATCGGGTTCCATCTAAAGAGGATGATTCACAACCGAGGATACCTACTACATATCTTCACTGCCAAGACACACTTTCGGTTCGGCCAGCGATGAAGATTTTCAACGCAGGAGGAGCCGAAAGGCTGCGTCTAAGGCGGCGACTATCGATTGCGTGTCTCTATCTCTGGAGGAAGGTGCTGCTACCCAAGGAAAGAATGAGAAACCAGCACCGTTTCACGAGTCCTGGTGAGTCCTTCTGACACACGAGCTAAAAAGTAGTGGGACTTACCTGGAGCTTATCTATGTGGCGTACGACACGCTGTACACGAGCGCTATCTGTGGAAGGGTTTCCACAGCTGGAACCGTGTTAGCTGTAACTGCGCAAGGAGCCACCAGGTGGAGACTAGCGAACGCTCTGCCCTAGATTTAATCAGCCCCGAGTGAGGGGCGCTGTAGCCAGCCGCGAGCGTCAAGGCATCTGGTGGTGCGTCATGTCCACTGAACCTTCTGAATCATTGTGGAACTGACGATAGTTCGCTATCCCAAACATCCCAAAGGCGAGGAACGATGATCCAGCATACTTGGTATATGGGAAATCATCGCCCACACGGTGCGTGGCACACACAGATGCGCAACTGATCTGGACTGTGTCATGCCATCCAGTGAGTGTTCCTTGCGTGGGTTGAGGCCAGCTGTACTCACAGAGCAATTACAGCTCGCGTGTGGAGGTCGTACAGTCCACGGCCTGAGATATGCTTTGTCCAGGGCGTAAGCCTGGGAACGGCAACGCCATACGACCCATCATCTAGGATATTGTCGCGATGGGTCCGACCTGTGCACGACAGTTCTCCACAGACATTCGATTATGCCCTTCTCAGGAAGATGCGTACTCGCGAACTCTGCAACGAGTCTGCGTCACGTTCGGCGAGGAGCATGCTCCGTAAGGGTTGATTCCATTGGACCCTTCCATGCCTGGTCGCTCCGTCCACTCTGGCATGGGCTGACGAGGATTGGACGGAGGAGGAGGAGGAAGCTGCGAGCGAGTATGATAACTCACCATGTTACGCAGACGTTGACGTTCCCTATATGCAGGTGATGATCCGACGTCGCATTCAACGATGCATCCTGGGGCGTCACCACTCACGCATGGGACAGTTCTTTCCGTCTTTCAAGCAGCCTTTCTCGAAGCCAGGTAGGTCGAGTCGCCTCTCCGAAAAATTATTGTCGTGGAGCTTAGTATGCCGGGAGCAGGAAACGGGGCATGGAGCGGGAAGGTGGGCGACCCATCTTCCGACGGCAATGCCTCATATTTCTGCGACGCGAACATCGGGGCTCACTTTTCGAGGATGGGGCAGACAGTACGCAGCCAGGGGGGGCGAAGAGGAGGACTTGGCGAAGACGAGAATTCCCTCTATTTTTCGACCCTGCCCGCGACCGCCACGTCCCACGCCGTCACGTGTGCCCCGGCAGAAACACAACACAAGCAATCTGAGTAAGTACTAGGTTAGTACTGGGTGTAGTACAGTCATTCTTGTATTGCAGTTGCGCGTACGCTACTGACAGACGAATATATCTGAGTACGAGGACTCATTGGCGCAGCAGCTGCGAACAGCAAGACAGGTTTCAATTTGACGAACACCCCACCGTTCGGCGGCCGCCCGATCAGGAAGTTCCGCCCTGTATTGCGTTTGGGACGTCGCCTGCCATGCCATTTGCGAATGCACCACGCCCATGCGCACCGCAATGGAGGCTCCAGAGACTGAAGACTCTCCGTGCTCGCTGCAATTCACCAGTGAAGGAGGAATTCAGGAGGCGGCCAGCTTGGCGTCTCATTGCCATGTTAGGCAAGTGGGTCGGCAATCTTGCGTCACGGCCCCGAATTTCCCGAAGGAGGCCGCCGTCTTAAGAGTGGGGACAGTGCAGTCTGCATCGCTGTCCAAATTGACCTCCTCATCGTTCGAAACATCCTGCAGTCGCCTATCCGCGATGCTAGCCAACAGGAGCGCAGGACTCCGTGCGCGCGTTGCGCACCAGGTCTGCACCGTGCGGCCCGCTGCCGCCTTGCCGGCAAGTCGTCCCACTCCAGGCAAATTCGGTCGTTCCCAGGGAGCCAAAACCAATGCGATTTCTGCTCGGGCCCTATCTACGACGTCTTCTTTGCGCAACAGCAATGCCGAATTCTCGAGGGAGCGTGAGCTTGGCGCGAAGGAGGAGACAAACGATGTCACCACGACGGACAGATTGCTGAAGGAGTCTCGTACGTCTGTGGTGTTCCGTGTCCTTGATATGGCATGCTGATCTTCGCCTTCAGGAAAGAGAGCGGACTCCGCACATCAGTCAGCCCGTTTGCCTCGTGAGACGGCACTCCACCTGATGTTTGAATAGGGTCGTTCCCATCCGCTCGCGGATTCTCTGGTCTGAAGCGCTGATGCGCCAATCCATGCCGCCCTCCACCGCCGACCCAGACACCTCGCGCCCGAACCGCATCCCACCCGATGTGCCACGCAACATGCATGACTCGTACTGCGAGCTCCTCCTGCCCTTCGCGAGCTCCCCGGAGCTGCTCGAGCAATACACCAATGCGAGCGGCGGCATCCGGACGGGCATGCTGTTGGAGCACTTGGACTCGCTCGCGGGTGGCATCGCGTACAAGCACATGTTGGGTCCGGGCGTGGAGGTGCTGAGCAAGGACCAGGGATTCTACATCGTCACCGCGAGCGTTGACCGGTACGTCGTCTGCATGTGATTCTAGAACTAGACCGTCATCCGTGGCATCGTAGACTGGACATGCTGGCTCCGCTGTACCCTGTGCGGGACATGCGCCTAAGTGGTCAGGTCATCCACACAGGACGCAGCTCCATGGAGGTTGCTGTCCGCATGGAGGCACTAGAGAAGGATGGGCGTGAACAGACCATCATGCTCGGTAAGCCGCAGTAAACTCTTTGCATATGACAGCGCTTGATCGGACATACCACATGTGCCAGGTCGGTTCTTCATGGTCTGTAGGGATGCAAGGACCCACAAGGCCGCGCCGGTGAACCCGCTCAGTCTGACCACAGCCGAAGATAAGCAGCTCTTCGCGCTTGGAGAAAGTGCGTGCATACCTTGTCTTCCGGGCCGACGACGAGGTTGACAAGCTACAGCGCACAAGGACCGCCGTCGTGCGCGTACCTCAGCGGCGCTGGACCGCGTGCCGCCTACCTCCTCCGAGGCGGAGGAGCTGCATTCGCTCTACCTGCAGTACGGCAACTACGGCACGAGCACCGGAAAGAGCGAGAATGAGCCGTTCGTGGGTCCAGATGGGCTCCAGCGGGTGTGGATGGGTGACACGCGCCTGGAGAAGTGCATGATGATGTTCCCGCAGGAAAGGAAGTCAGTATTATTGTTGCTTCCATTGCATCGGTGAACGTGGTAGCTTACGCGCTGGGTTTGCAGCGTGCACCAGAAGATCTTCGGTGGTAAGTCCGTTTCGTTTCATTGTCAGCGTTGGAGTTCCCTGAGCAGCTCGGTACAGGATACCTGATGCGTCTTGCGTATGAGGTAGGCGATTGGCGGAATGCAGTATGGGTCCGTGTTTGAACTAGTGCCCTACAGCTTGGCTTTGCGAACGCGGAGCTTTTCACGGGATGCCACGTTCTCTTCGTCTCCCTCGACGGCATCTCGTTCGCGAAGCCCGTCCCTATTGGTTCCATCCTTCGTCTGACGAGCCACATCCTGCACACCACGCAGTCCGAGAAATTCCCTGGACTGATCGTACGTAGGCCACTACACGTCGTCCCATGAGTGATGCTGACTGTCATGGTATCGGATAGCATGTCGTTGTCCAGGCTAATGTCGTGGACGTCGCGACTGGCAAGGAGCAGACCACCAACGACTTCAGGTTCACTTGGTGCACAGACCATAACATCCCTGTGACGAGGAAGGTTGTTCCCAAGACATACAAAGGTGCGTAGACGGACTATTCCTGCTGTCATATTGACCTCTGTCAACGACCGAATGAATGCGTCGTACCGATACTTACCTTTCTGCAGAGGCGATGCTCTGGCTCGAGGGCCGTCGTGCCCTGGAGATGGGCGCCGAGATCCGTACGTTGAGGTACGCTGCTGGCGGACCTGGCATCCACGGCACCGAGCCTGTCAAGAAATCTGACGACGCCGCGGATGGAGAGAATCGAGTTGGCGGTGGTTGGCGGGACGCAGAAGAGCAGCAATGAATCGTTGAGGTCGGACTTTGACATAGAGATATATTAGTAGTGGCCACGAATGTTTTGTATAGTACCTCGTCGCACATCCTATCCTGTTGTATGTCTCCATACTGTGTAGCGTGATTGTGCGATGTTCCAAGTGGTGGATGTGGGCTGCGTCTTTGTACGGCGGTTCGTGTACGTCTTTCGTCGGTTTGACGACTCCGATACTGATTAAACTCTTCAGGGAATCGTAAGGGCGCGATACTCTGAACTATCCTTGTTCAGCAAGTCGTGATATATAGGGAGTATTCACCTATCTGGGCTCGCGTCCGCATTGCTGAAAGATCGTTCATGGGTTGCTCGTGTAGCAAGACGGAGTGCGTTCTTCGGTAAGCAATCATTTCCGACTTCCGCGACCCTGATGCTCATGCTGAGAAACCTGCAGACAATGAATCATGGTCGTCTCGATGTGATCATCCCGATGAGGGGACCCTTGACAGACCATAGTACACCAGGGGCGGCACTATGTCCCCGGCTCTCTCGAGCATTCCAGCGTGCCATTTCCTATATTCTGGGTGTGTCATTGTCCCATATTCCATTTCTGGGTTACGTATAAGTTAACATCGCAGGGGATGCGGTCCGGGCACTGCCGCGGACGCACGAGTTGTTGTCGCGCGTTTGGCGCCTCCGTGGCTTCAGCAATATGAACTCCTACCGCGCCCAACTCCCTTTCTCCACTCTCCCTTTCCTTTCTACCTCATTCCCCTCTGCACCCCACTTCGGGAGTACGTCTCGGAAGCGCTTGCTTGCTCGTCTCTTCTCATTTGCCATCTAGCCACCCACCTACACTGTCTTACGAGCTTCTTCCCACAACACACCTCCTCTTCCCTTCCGTTACTCGACATGGCGCTGACATTGGATCAGACGTGAGTCTCGGTGGCATGTCTGCTCTATCAAGCTGACAACCTCTCTGTCGCAGGTACGACCTTGCAATTTACATTCTTCGTGCCGATCATGAGGGTCGCCGACCACCGGTCGACTCGTCGGGCACGGAGGCCCTAGAACGCGAACTCCTGGAGAGCAACGACGTGGCTCTGACAGAGTCTCAAGCGTACGTGATGCACATAGGCTTTCTGATGTCCGCTAAGCTTGATGTCGGATAGGCACGACCTTGCGCTGTATGTCCTCGACAGCGTGGCGAAGTCTACGATTGAGGCAGAGCGGCATGTGCCTCCGAGTCGTCCACCACTGGACGTTCTCGACAACCCTCCCCCCCACGAGCCTACCCTGCATTCCCTCATATCAGCAATGTCGGGCACTCGCAACGCGTTCTCGACTTCTAGGCAAGAGATCGTCGCATCCGCTGAGCCGTCCTCGGTTCTCGGGAAACGGCGGCGCGAGCCAGCTATCTTTGAGCCGCCTGCCGCCTCGACAAGTATCGCCGCACCCAAGCATCCGACGGTCGACGCGATGACTTGTATTTGGCCAGGATGCACCGAGACGGCATCTCCTCCACAGCTCTTTGCGCACATAAAGTCCGCACATGGGAAGACTGGCTTCCAGTCGATTCCCGATGAGTTTCGCTGTGGTTGGGACGGTTGCGCGGTTGTCGGGACGACGGCCCAACTTACACGGCACTTCAAAGAGGTACACGACGAGAAACAAACCGTCAAGGCAAAGTACCTCGAGGCGAAGGTGGAGTGTAAGGTGACGGGCTGCGGCAGATTGCTTTCCAGGGGCAAGGACTTCAAGAGGCACTTATACGGCCTCCACTGGATGGACACGCAGTACTATCGCTTCTGCGAGACCTGCGGAAAGCTGAAACGGGTGGATCAACATCATGATGCTGCCAAATGTCTAGCGGAATGGATGGAAGCTAATTACAAATCGTACTAATCGTTCACCATATCGCGTCGTCATCCTTACCTCTTACTGCTTTCTTTTCCCATCGTCCGGACTCCTTCGCATACACATTATCTGTATCCATACCACACGGACATGCACGTCATCTGTACCATACCATACGGACATGCACGTCATCTGTACCATACCATACGGACATGCACGTCATCTGTACCATACCACACGGACTCGGACTGCAAGTAGAATGTCTTACAGTGTAACTCTAATACTAATGCGCTTTTCGTGACTTTGGAGGCTGAATTGGATGTGATCACTATGCATTGGCATGTGTTCGACTCGGAGTCTCGGTTGCGCGGAAAACGACTCATAGCTACTTATGTCCAGCCTGAGATCACACACTTCTGACCCAGCCACAGACGCGACGCGACGCGATTGACTTTGCGCACGTGCCTTGGTCCTCAAGGGAGCTTGTGGAACACGCTCCAATACTCCGAGTCAGTATCATATCATTTTCACTGCAATCCAGGACCTGGATTGCTATTGAAGGACGATCTGTAGATGGTCACAGAAATGCCTTCCTACCCACAGTGCGTGGAGTTCCGCTAGGTCCACGCGATATCTTGCTGTGACCGTAATCGCTCAGGTATGGTCTTGGGACGCGGTCAACCACGGAGACCCGTATATTACCGTTCACTGCGAACGATCTTGGTGGCATCGGTGAACGTCATCTACTCATGCTATCTCTCCGAGTCGCGCTACAATATTATGCTGACTTCGGGGTAGACTATTGACAAGACAACTCTCGAGACATCTCCTACTGCATTAACCGGTGCCTTTGCTTGATTGACTCTCATTAAATTTGATTCTCGATGTCTCTAGTGCAGGTCCTCTTCGAATCTCTTATGCTCGATCATCCGTCCTTACCCCAGCCAAGGCCTCCTCATCAGCGTTGCGATGCCGCGTCAGGTTCAAGTTCACCCTTGGTGCGATACAGCGTCAGAGCCAGTGGTCATCTCGGTATGTCCATATTTTGACTGCACGCGCCGAATATCCAGTTGACGCTGGGCCAAAGCTAAAAGGCGAAGGAAAGTTTCAAGGTTTGTCCGTTTTTCGCAAAATGGCATCCGGACGTACTCCACACGTACATCGGATACGGAATGACCAAAGGCTGAATTCCCGGCATGTAGGTGCGTAACTTATGTTCCTCCACTCTCTCTTCGACGAGCATCATATTACCGTAGGAAACACTCACGTTCACGGAGGTCATGACACCCTACGAGACGTAGGGCCTCATTGACACGCTGGAACTTGAAGAACACATGCCGCTGCTGTAGATTCTACCTGGGAACGACACAGACTTGTCAGTACAGACCTGTCCTTCTCGCCGTGTACGGACGCTGACAAGTATGATAGCGGCGACGAATTTTGTGCTCAGCTCCCATGGCGGAGGCCAGAGAACGTAAGCATGTAGGAGGCGAGCCACCTAATTGCGCCGGAAACACCCGTGCAGTTTGGTTAGTTCAGTCTTGCGCATTACATGGCAAGTGCTAGAGAAATGGCCGCGGTCAGCCAAAGGACTGAGCCCGTTGCTGCAATGTCAAGACGGCTCTGCACCATCGCGCTTGTAGTCGGCTTTCGGAGATAGTTCAATTCATGATCATAGCTCATCCCAGGCGAAGTGTGATGAATACATGTGGTCCGTTGGAGATAATAGTATATCGAGAAGACGTGTATCAGTAGTCGATATCGAATCTCGCGCCTCGTCTGAATTGCTACGTCTGAATTGTACCAACTGAGGCCATATATGTCCGATTCTACGGTTTCTGGAAACATAAGAACTTGAACGGCCATTTGTTGTTGGATAGCTCCGACGTCCACCTCGATGACCAGGTCTATCTGACGACGATGAGGCATCAGCAGTGAGAGTGATTTGCAGGTTCTACGAGGCTACGGATATCGAAGGTTATGAATGATCTTCTCAGAACGCGAACTTCCCTTCAACCCTCGAAGTGACGGTTCTTTGCACCTTTAAGCTTCAGTGATTCGCATGTATGCTTGAAGAAGCCCACAACCACGGATTCTCGCGCAGAACGCGAAAGCCAGACGTGCAGAGGCTGAGTACACATAATTATGAGTGATTTTGAGCCCAGAACGCCACATTCAAGGCGACGTACCGTGTCCCATGTAAGGAGGGCAAGCAGTTGTGCCATGGACATGCTTTTCCTACTCCGAATGTGGCTACGGACCGTAGGGCGCGTGAGGGGGGCCCGCGACGCGACGCGTCTGAGTGACACAAGTGTGACAGGACGCGCCGCGGGCCACCTTCTTAAACCTGCGCACCTTCGCCACCCCCACTTGTTCCCCAACCACTCCTATCCTTCCACACCACCCCTGTCGTTGTCTGCCATTCAGCCACTCAACGCCACTTCGACACGAACATCATCATTCTCAACCACTTACACACAAAGGCGAGATCAAGATGCCCGCTTTGACCTCCTCGTTCACAGCCGCAGTTGCTCCCCAAGTCCTTCGGTGAGTTCGTCGATACCGAATAGCGCTGTTGTCCACTCACTTGTTATCTATGATAGCGAATCGACTGCTGAGAACATTCTTCCATGCGCAACCCAAGAGACAGGCGTCGCTGCCGCGAGGTTTGTTCATCGCTCCTTGTGGCCGTTGGTCTTCAATAACGCTCTACCTCCTAGGGCGGACAAGCCACTAGCACAACAAGTCGAGGGCGACACGCCTGCTGCCATATTTCTGCGTATTCTTGAGGAATGGTGAGTCTCATTCTTGCCCTGCCTGATCTTGCCGATGTTCATTGTGGCCTGTGAACGACCCCCATTGTGTCAATAGCGCGAAGAAACAGTCGGAGGAGGAGAGAGGCTTGAGGCAGAGCCTCGATGTAGCTTTGCCGATGTTGGGAATTGATCCACGCCTCACGGACAAGGCGTATTGCGCGTCAATCAAGCCGCCGCCGCCCCCAACAGCCACGAAGGCCATCGTGGCCAACGACACCAGAGTCAAGAGGGAGCGCGACGAGGATGAAGTTGTTGCTCAACCCTCTCAGAAGCGAGCACGAACATCCAAAGCGGACCCGAGCCTCCTGGCCTGTCCATGGAAGGGATGTTCAACAGAGGGCGCGGCGGACCCCTTGTGGCAGCACTTGCGAGGCGACCACGGCTGCCAGGGGAGGTATCCCAGACCGACGGACGACGTACGGTGCGAATGGGAAGGCTGCGTTTTCGCAGGGACTTCCGACGCAGTCGTGAGGCACTTCAAGGACGTCCACAACGCCCAGCACGACTCGGAGGAGGGGCGTAATAGCCGCCGGGCGCCCGCGGAGGGCGAGAAGGAGAACACGGAGGGCGACGCCAACCCTACAGACGACCATGTCGTCTGCAGAATTGCTGGATGTAACCAGTCGGTGAAGCGCGGTCGCTCCTTCCGCCGTCATGCGTACGGCATGCACTGGCACCACCCAGACCATATGTTCTGGTGCGTGTTCTGCGGAAAGTGGAAGAGGGTGGATGAAAATCGCGGTTGGAGACGGCACACCTCGAAATGCATCGAGGCACATCTGGAGGACTACGGAAAGCCGGAGACGAACGCTGCTCAATTCGTGCAAGGCTCCTCGTCGTCGTCGTCGTCGTCGTCGTCATCGCGGGGGTGATCTGGTGCGGTGCTATTATTTTATGTGCTATCCTTATATCGTGCGTTGTATCTCACTTTTGTGTTGTCTTGCTTTCTGGTTTTCGTCGTCGCCGCCGTCGTCTGCTGTTGTGCTCATCCTGCTATTGCTTGCTGTTACCGTTGTATAGATGCAATCATCCGTTCTGTTATCTGCCAGCTTTCGAGTTCGAAGTGGGATCTACGAGCAAGAAGGTGCGTCTGGCCGTGATTGAGCGGTGCATGCGACGCAAGGACCGCCCGCGCAACAGACTCGCTGGCAGAGCCGCATATGTCGAGGATGTTGCAAGGATCGACCGACGCCCGACGCCCGGGCGGGGCGCCGTCGCGGCGCCACAGCCGCCGGGCCGGAACAGCCTTGAGGTCGGCGTCTTTTTCTTCGCCGCCGTGTCTTTCTCATGTCGATCCCACAGCCCAGCCACCGCCTCTCATAGCGTTCCGTACCTCGTCCTCGCACACGTCGGCGGCCAGCCGCAAGTCTCTATCCAGCTGCTCGACATGGTGCAAGCCGGTATGTCTTTCCTCTGCTCTACGTTTCCGCCTGCAGCCCCTGTGACACGACCTTCTCGTTGATTGCGGCAATCGGTCCACCTGCTACGTACTGTTTACGTAGGCTGGACAAAGGTCGCGTTGCAACGCTGTGGCCTTTTGTCTGGCTGCCGTCACTGCGAGGACCCTGGGCGTCGTCCGGGACGACGCCCTTGAGGGCCACAAGGCAGCCTGATTCGCTGCTCCGTGATGGGTTCCTGGCTTCCCACTAGCGGCGCCTCTTGTGGCGCCGGGAGGAATCTATGGCTTGATTGGTTTCCACCCTCAGAGGGCCCAGACCGCGGTTCATTGTCGCCCCCACCTCGCATTGGGCAATGGGGGTTGCTACGAAGGACTCGAGGAGAACAATCTGAGAACAATCACTGCCGCAAGAGGCACGCATTGTTCTCGGCCTTGTGATGCAGGCGGCGCATCATGCCGAAAGCACTGCTGATTATCAGCTCGCTTTGTCTGCCGGATTTGGTTGGACAGAATGCTTGTGGCCACGGGCCACACATGTGGCCCAGAAGTGTGGCCAGCGCGTCTCTTTCAGCCGGAGTCCACGCTGTTGTAATTGCACTGGTCCCGGTTGCCTTGTCCCTTGCATGCCTCCCACCGCGACGCGTCGTCCCTGAGGTCGCCTTGCTCCAACTACTCTCTTGCGCTCTTCATATCCATGTTCCCGCTGTCACTCGTTCCCTAGAGAGCACGATACCCACACTCATTGGACAGTCCAGTTATGCATCGACCCCCAATCATCAACTTTCATGAGTCATCCCCACAGTTCAACGCACGTTCACAGCTTGCCTACCCCGTCGCGTATGACTCGTCCGGCAGGTATAGCACGGAGCCAAAACGGTAAGCATTCATGATCTGGACGCGTGGCGCTGATTAACGGCGGTGAATAACAGGTGGCTCGCTGGTGTCCCCCGTCGTCCATGGAGCACGTCTCACTCTGTATGGGCCTGTGCTTCTCTTCCCATCTTCACTGTACTGACAATGGTTCAGGTAAAGCGTCCCGAGCTCCTTCATCCATACTATGTCGCTCCGCGGTGGTCTGGGCAAGGAAACTATAGGTGCGTGTCCGCGCAATCGAGCCTTCTGCAGAGCTGAAGCTTACAGCTGCGGCTATAGCAGTGCCTCAGCTTACAGTGCCAGTCCGGAGCGGCCTCCAACTTCAGGATCTAGTGCGTCTGGAGACACATTGCCACACGCCGTCAGCAGATGGGGAGCGGGGGAAACGGCCATCGGTACCACATACACGAGGTATTCGACGCCACCACAAGACAACGCTCCATTTCGCGAGTACAACCCATTGAAGCGTCCAAGGTGTCGTCTACCGTCCGCTGTTGGCCTCTTCCTGAGTTGCTGACTGTGGCGCGGCAATAGACCCGACGAGGACGCGTCATATGTCAGTTACGATACACGACTTGCCCACCACACACCACCACCACCCAAGAGAGTGAGGACAAGCGCCTCGCCAGCTCCCTCTGAGGATTCGATGGTTTCTGATTCTTCATCGTCTCGTTGTCCCGAAGTTGTCTCCCTGCATGGTGGTTGTGTCGTCTCATCGAAGTACGGCTCCATATAGTTTTATATCTACGTCTACTTACGACCTCCTCGCCAGGAATCCCGTGGATGTAGGAGACGCGCAGTCGATCATTGCCTACAACACGCTGCGACCGCCACCTACACGCCTGGCATCCATGGCATCCATGACCTCCTTCACCTTGGACTCCGCGCGTGCGATGGACACTATCCACGACCTTGCAGCCCAGCGTCAGTCACTGGCGAGGCCACGTGCGACGCCATCTTCATCTCTGAGCGCTGGACAGTCGCCAGCATCCGCGTTCGGGGCCCCGCCAGCCATCGCGGAGAAGGCGTCGAGGCTATCCTCGGGTCACTCTGTCGAGTCGAGTGCTTCCCTTGGGATGCAGCAGTCGTCACCATCTGGGTCTGAGCGCCATAGGTCAGTTACGCCTCCGGAGGCATCGGTGGCGCCGACGATACCCGTATTCGACATACCGACTATGTCGCCTACGGCAACGACATGGACGTTCCAGGTCCCGCCTCCCGAGTTTCCGCCTCCTGAAGTACCGCCTCCCCAGATACCGCCTCTCACATATGTGGTCACAACGCCTGCGCACGTGCTGGCTACACTCCCATCTCCTTACGCTCCGCCCAACGCATCGATGTTCAACATGGATTCGTACGAGGACCTCGGCCAGGGGCAACATCGAATCAAGTTCAAGCCTTGCAAGCGGTGGCTCGCTGATACCGCGCGGCGAAAGGATACGGACGAGCCGCCCATGACGATGCTGCGTTTCACTCCTCCACCGCCTCCTCCGCCACGGAAACCCAAGCCCGCGCCCCCTCCCAAAGTCAAGACGGAAGCTAGCGACGCTCAACTTTCCGATCCCTTAGCGGACGATCGGCCCCCGAAAGAGTCGGTCGCGCAGATCGCAGTGGGCGCGGGGGTGAAGTACCATTTGACCAAGATCAAGTGTCTGTGGCCGGACTGCTCGGCCCACGAATTCGCCGGGGAGCTATGGCATCATATCAAGGATGTGCACAGGAAGAACGCTGGGCGGCCGAAACCCAGCGGGAACCCGATCCTCCTTTGCAGCTGGGCCCCACCAGGGGAGCCCCGCGACAACCGGTGTACGCACCGGGACCGCGCATCGAGGATGTGGGACCACTTCATTGCGATGCACCAGAAGGAGTCGGTGTGCAAGGAGACGGGCGAGATCGTGTGTCGGGTGGGGCAGTGCGCTGCGAGGTCGAAGAACCTCGACTTCCAGCGGCATCTGGAGGATGTCCACTGGAAGCTGGAGGGTACTGTGCGGTGGTGCGAGGGGTGCGGGGTGTGGAAGCGGTTCGACAAGGGGCGGCTGTTGAAGCACTTTGAGACGTGCGTGCGTAAGTACATGGAAAACGATCCTGGATTCCGGCAGGGACTGGAAGAGTTGTAATCTTGAGAAATGTACATGCACTAAGTCATACGTTGTAAGCTTTGTCGATATACCTAGTCATGCGCGCAATGCTCAACCTATGTTATTCTGACTGACGCTTCTGTGTGCGGGGCCATTGCGAGGACGAGCAGGAGGCTACAGAGACTCAGGCTGAGCTTGCTCAGAGCGCAGCGGCCGCCGATATGGCGCGAACCAGGGCCCAGCGCCTGAGTTGAATCGAGTCGAACCGAAACACGGTGCGTTGCCGGCGTGCGTCACGCGTGTCCCTGGGCCTGACGCCCTGAGGGCCACGAGCTGAAGCAGCACTCAGCGTTCCTACCACCACTACCGTCACCGCCTCGGGCGACGCTCACCCCTTCTTCGTCGTCGTGGTCTGCAGCTGCAATGCCTCCCCACATGATGCACTCCGATGCCTTCGATGTCATACCGTTCGATGTGCGTTCATGTCCGGATTTGCCTGCGCGAGACTAACATCGCTCAGGACATCAAAGGGGACTGGAAGAAGCTGGGCTCAGGGTCGTTCGGCAATGTTTACAAAGGTACGACGCTGGAATCATAGTCTAGGGTGTATGTAACTGATACTTCGTGCAGGCAACTACCTTGGAATCGAGGTCGCGATCAAGGAGGTTCTGCCGTCCAACGACTACGACGTCGCGAAGTACTTTGAGCGTGAATGGCGGCTAATGAAGTGAGTCTTGCTACTCCGCTAGCCATCTCGTGTCCAGAGAACTATGCTGCGGACGCGTCTTCTTGGTCTAAACGGATACATCCTCTCCCGTTGGCTGTGAAAAACCACGCTATCGATGGCTCCTGTTTCGTTTACGCCACGCACGCCCGCGTAGGATCACCGAATAGAGATGCACGGCGTCGATGCTTCCGCCATGCGGAGAACATCACCCGCTGGTTCATAGACCATGCCCGATTCCTTTTGCCATGCGGAACGAGCTCAGACGGGCCCATGCATACTACATCATCTTTTGCTCGACCTACGCGTCTTACACATCCAAGTAGCTCGGACACATTATTCAATGACTGCTGAAGCTGAGCTTGGATGGCTCAAGCGGGACTGGCATCCTGAAACGCGTTATTGACAATGCTTACTCATTGTCACAGGGAGGCGCGACACCCGAATGTTGTCCTTTACCTCGGTCTTTCGCAAGCGCCCGATGGCCGCATCTTCATCATCTCGGAGTTCATTGACAACGGTAACTTGCGGCTCTACATTCACGACAAGTCCAAACCGTTCCCGTGGCGGCTCCGGATATCGTTTGCGACTGACATCGCGCGTGCGTTGGCCTACCTCCACGCTCGCAAATGCATCCATCGGGACCTCAAAGGCGAGAACCTGCTGGTCACTGCGAATGGTCGCCTCAAGATCACCGACTTCGGCTTCGCGCGCATCGCCGCTCGCAATGCGGAAGAGTCGAAGCGGCTTACGTTCTGCGGCACTGATTCGTACATGTCGCCGGAGATCCTCACTGGTACGGAGTTCGACTTGCCGACGGACATATTCTCCTTAGGCGTCATCTTCTGCGAGATTGCTGCGCGACGTCTGGCAGATGACAACACATTCCGCCGGACGGCACCACTCTTCGAGATTGACCCGGATGAAGTGCGGCGCTTAGCCAGTCCGGGCTGCCCGCCTGCGTTCATCCAGCTGGCGCTCGACTGTCTTGCACAAGATACAAGCCTACGTCCGAACACCCGTACCATCCTGGACAAGTTGCGGGAGATCGAGACTGAGGTGCTTTCACGCCCCTCCGAAGCGGATGATATGCATTTGGGTACTGTCAAGTTCATGACAGGAGGCCAACGGAGGCCGGGTGCAGCGCCCCGGATACCTAGCTTTGGTATGGGCGTCGGCAAAGACATCCGCTCATCGTCGACGTTGGAAGTGCATTCGAGTGACGAGAGCGCGGATAGCGACGAGGAGTATGCGTTGACCATTGAAAGGCTGAGTCACGTTGATTTGAGCAGCGTCTGGAGCGATGCGGGTCCGTGTTTTCATCAGGCGTCTTTCATGCTATTACTCATTTCAGCTTAGGTCGAGGCGACAGTGGGCAACCATTGCTCGATGGTACGTCAAGCGTTCATTCGGAGTACAGTACCACGGTCATCAAGTCGCATGCGCCGAGCATCGAGTCCGCCGCGCCTTCGCTGTCGTCTATCCTGACCATCCGCGCATCGCCAACCGCAGATCCCGCACCTACTGGCGCGGAAATGCCTACTCCTGGCGAATCGTTGTTGTCAATCGAGTCGTACTATACCGCGTCCTCGTCGTCGATCTCGGCTGCCGCCGCAACGGAAGGCGGTTCCACCATCCGTAGTTCCAGTCTGCCTCTCGTCCACCGATTCTCGCTGCTGAAACCCGGCGCGAAGCGTACGACTGCGGGAGAAGCTCGCAGCAGAAGCGGGTCCCCTCCCCCTGCGGATGCACTATGGAGCAGGAACCCGCTCGAGTTTATCTTTTCGAGTACCCTGTTGGCCGCGAAGTGCGATATCTGCGGCAAGAGACTAGGATGGAAGCCTGTGCTCGAATGCGACGACTGCGGTCTACGGTACGTATTATTTTGTGTCACTGAGCGGGACGCTCATGTATGCTATGCTGTAGTGCTCACATCAAATGTGGAGAGAACGCCCCGATGGATTGTGGGATTCGTCCCCCTCGTCCCGGCGTGCAGAGCAATGCCTCTCCTTCAACTCCGCCCTCCACCAAGCTCAAGACGAATGGCAAGACCCCCTCGCCGAAGTGATTTGCCCCTGCCTAGACGTTATCTGCTATGATACCACGACCTTTCATGACCTTTACGACTTGCATCGCGACTGTTCACTACCACGCCCTTCATCACACGGCACGGACAGCAAATGTTCTCTTTAATAGTGCATTCACACCACTGCATCCTCTTTGTAACCAGTAGTGATGGACCTCGCAAGTAAGTTAAGTCGTTACTCTGGATTCCGTTCGCGGGCCTATGATACGGTCAACTCTCGGTCGGCGTGTAGCTACAGATCGTTAATATTGTGGAATCGAACTGCTTGTGCAGTGTGTTCACGGAACGTACAGTGTCTCGCTGACCATTCTCTGCCAACGGGGTGCAATCGGTACGTACGTGCATCGTGGGGTCATATACCAGAGGAGAGGCACTCAAGGCTGGGGATTGTACAAAGCGGGAGACATGCCGCCGCGAGAGCACGTTTCCGAGCTGGATTGTGAAGCTCACAGATTGGTGCGTTGTTGTCTACTCGTGGGCGAGGAGAGCGTGGACGACTTCTTCTGCGGTTTGCTCTTTCAACAGCCAGTCCGTGCAGCCCTTGCATATGTCTTCGCCACTTTGGCCCGCTCCTGCTTCTCCTTCGGTCTTGGTGGAGGCAACTTAAGGGGTTCTCCGCCCGCCCCTAGGAAATCCTCTGCGTGGAACTGCACGTAGTTCAGGTATCCAAGGGGACTGTTACGACAACGTCAGTGTGTGCCACTGGGAGGCGCATAGAATGAGAAAGACTTACGGATCTGAACCGATCATACAGTTCGCTATGTTATGCGGTGGAGCCGACTGCAGGTCGAAGACTGGACTTTGCGACCAAGTAGGTGGATTGCCCTTGTCGATGGAAGTCGATAGGTAGAGGATGGTCGGCGGGGTAAGTGGCAAACCGAAGCTGTGGCTCATGTGCGACGAATGATGTCCGAGGCCACCTCCACCGAACCGGGCATGCGACTTACTCGCCGTATGAGAGTGATGTCTGAATCCATGTTGATGGAACGCGGGCGACTGATGTGGATTCATGAATGGCGCGAAGGGGCCCTTCAACCTGAAGCGGAAGTCGACCCCGACGCGAGTGACTAAGAGCGATAAGTAACTTGAGACGACAGCGGCAAGAAGCTACCTTACTGAGCATGAGATCGTCTGGCTGGACCCCATGTATCTTGGAGAGATGCTGGCCGTAGTCCAATAGAAACCGCCCTGCCGGGATCATCGGTTCTACTCGCTCTTCGTGTGCGATTACGACATTATAGTCCGTGTTCGGTTCGATAACGACGGCCCATCTGTCGAGTCAATGAGCAAGAGATCATCGATCAACAGCCAGCCCTGATTCGACGACTTACCCTACCCTGTTTCCCGGGCATGGGAAGGAGTCCAGCGGGGTTTGTATGGGCGGTCCGCGGTGCCATTGTATTTGCGTTCCGTGTTGTGACTGAATGGCCTGGAGAGAGGCATGGCCATTTCTGATGACGTTACAGATCAACTTGAACGACGCAAGGTCTCCTTGTTTCGCGAGATATCCCAGATCGCCGACCGAGTATTTGTACGCTGGAACGAGCTTCTCCCTCCAGACAGGTGGACTAGCACCGAGAGACAGCGCTATGCCGCTGATCCTGCGAAGGTGGATCGGCTGTGACGTTGACTCTGCGTCGTTTTCGCAGGCCGATAACAGCTCATTGAGCTCCGATATTTGTGCTGTGGAATGCGAACTCGGCAAAATGGCGTTCAAGGCATGTGTGAGGTGGCTAATTTTCTTCTGCGTTTTCAAGCTAGGAGCTATGTGCAGTGGGGCAAGTAGAAGAGCAATGTTCGATGAATATCGAGAGTGCGTCGTACCAGTGCCTTCCGACGTTTCGTAGGGCTTCTCGGGCATCATACCGCGACTCGGGAGTAACTGTGAACACGAGCTGAGTCTCTGAATAGGCGAACCAGTTATCCGACGTACGTCCAGGTATACTCCCCTCACGGAATGAGACAGATCGTAGTTCCGCGCAGACGCCCAGCGGTCGACCTCGGGCGGAGGCAATCCCATGACGAGAATCCGCTGCCCGTCGATGCGATAGCTTGCATTCTAAATCACATCTGAGCATTTATGTCTGCTCATTCGTAGCTCTGATCGCGCTCACTCACCTCGACGTAGTCTTGGATCTTGGAGTCGGATAGATGTAATTGTCGTTGAAGATACAGAGCTGCATCCTGACAATAATGTGTCAGGCCCTCTGGACAGTCGCATCAGTTCTGTGATTGACAAACCATATGGTCAAGGTACTGGGATGATTTTCAATCAGAAACACAGACGTCTTTGACATACGAAAGACATACGAAGCGACTCATGAGTATGACACACTCGGCCAGTGTTCCGTGTTGGATGGTATCCAGTACTAATGCTTGAGGAAGCCGCGTCTGCACTACACGCGCTCATGAGCCGCGTGTTCCATGATACATATGTCAACGGCGCAAACCATTTGCGAGGAGGATGAAAGGGGTAGGACATTCTTCGCCCGAGAAACCGACCATTTGGGGGAGATTTGGGTGACTGTTGATCCGCAATCAATATTTCCAGTTGAGACGGTGACGTGTCGATGCTCACAAGATGTTCTGTAGTATCTTTACATCGCGTATCCATTTCTGTCGAACCATCAATGCATGCTCCGCTTCATACGAGATCGTACCAGCCACCTTGGAAGCGGCATACCGAGGACCGTCGTAACTTTTGACGAGAAGATCACGACCTTTAACGTCAGCTTGTGTAGCCCCGGCCCACCAGCCTCCTTTGATACGAGAGCTGCCATTTAACTTGATGTCAGATCGTTGATATCGGCGGAACTGCGAGGAATCGGGTAAGTTGTATGCGTTACGACCGAGCTATGGTCAGATGTACCCCGTGATCCTCGAATTCTTCGAGCTCTTCCTCAGGAGCATTCAAGACATGCGTGTCAACTGCCGGTTCATATACCAAAGTCAATTCATTGGTTGTCTTCCTCCGGGAGCGTCGACCTGTGCGATTGAGATGCTAGACCGTATGAGACAGGGCCGCAGAACGCATATCATTCGGGGTGACACTCACAATTTGAGACAGTGCTGACGAGCATACTGTCTCATCGTCGGTATCATATGCATCAACTTGTGCTTCGCCGCCAAACCTCTCCTTGCTGGAAGATCCTATAACCAACCTGTCGCCGATAGTATAATGAATGTTGATCAACGTAGCGATCTATGAAGGCAGTTGGCTTTGATCAGCGAGACGCACTATTATGCTCACTCAATTACAAGTTACCTGAAACGCGTTGATCGCATCGTTCAACTCGGTGTTCAAGACAGAGAGAGCGATTTCTATGCTTCCCTTGCGGAGCAAGCGCGTTCGCCATTTACTCTCCGCTTGGCTCACGAGAAACGAATGTATGGATTCTAGCGTCCTAGACGTTCTGTAAATGGAGACTCCATGTTATCGGCCACACCAAGTCCACATACCGCGCGAAGTTTGTCAAAGCATCTAGGAGCGATGGGGGCACCTCTCTGTTGTGATCGAGCAGCTGATCCTTCATGAGGTCTAGGAAGGAAAGACATCGGAAGGCAAGATCATAGCATTCCTCTTGTTTTGTCTTGACATCCTGGATTTCAATGTTGAGACAATGTACGTTATTGTGATCCATATGCGATGTCATGGACGAACCTGGATGGTCTGGAATATCTTCAACAAGATGGCCGCGGGTATGGCCACCGGAGGGAATCCAGCAGCGCCCGCTAGACTCGTCGCCGCCGCGGTCGTCGCGACTGCCACGGTAATCACGTCGTTAGCAGTAATCTTCCGGCGAATATATCTGAGGGGCATGAAGGAACACCTAGTGCTTGGAACGGCAATCCGGGTATCGTGGTGCACTACTCTGAGGAGGATGGCACGGCAGACTCAGAGTCGGGTGAGAGCGAAGACGATTGAACACTCGACAACGCCCTACTAGTAGTACGGAACAAATGTCAATAAAGACATCATGGAGGAGACAGGCGTAATTGATCATTCATGCCGAGAGTCATCGAGTAAGGCTGTACGAATTGACAGTTCTGTTCCTGACCTCGCTCGATGAATGCCACCGACGGGCGCCACCTACACCCCGGCCCCCCGGCCCGCCCGACCGCTTGCTCCTCCTTGGAGGGACGATGATACGGATGAAGCTTTGAAGAGTCAGGGCGGCCTTGCCATCTGAGCCTGGGGCGGCGTGCGCTGCATCCAAATCCGAGAATTTCGAGAAGTTGGCTACCATTCAAACGAACATGCCTGACGCTCGTACTAACGACATAGTGCTAGCGTGCCCCGGAGTCCAGATATGCACTGAACCCGTTCGAGTCGGTCTGGTCCACGGCGCTTGTCGATGTAGTACTGGTGCTAAGTAGCAAGGAATATTTGGTATTTGGAGTCAATTGGAGCCTGCGTCTCAGCTGGAGGAACGGTGGCTACGCACACACTGGGTCTCATCAGGAAAAGCCCCTTTTCAGAATACGTCAAATTGCGGAGTATTGTATGGAATAATGAACAATTTCAACTATTCACCTGTTCGGAATATTGTAGGGAATTAGCTACCCCCCCGAACTTTTGTACGAATTTCAGACAATATACAGAGTATGCGAGTGCATTCTGTGTACCTACCTCATTGTTATCTGTCACAGATTGAAGAATACAGCACATATGATCCATCATTGTTCATGTTGTCAGAAGCCTCACACAGACAGAACATATTAGGAACATTATATGAATTGTGAGGTAGTACTGTGAACTATCTAGACGGAGCGAGTACATGTGGTGAACAAACAAAGTACTACTATTACTAATTAGCAAGCCTGAATTCTATATTCACCATCTCTCAGAGGTACTACTCGTCCAGTATCTGCTCCCTCAAACCCATTCTCATTGCCAGACTGCAACAGCACGTGAAGGTTGTGGCCGAGGCTGAACAAACACAGACGTTAGGGAAGACACATAAGGAAGGCTCAGACAAGCGCACGTCACAGTTGTGAAGATCGGGTGCATGACTTGATGGTAGCGCTTCAGCTGTTGACGGCGGAGCTCAGCCAAACGAATCATATGTGCGCAGTAAAGGGTATGACGAGAGGGCCCGAATTCGGAAGGCTTCTGCAGCCTGAGGTGCGCGTCCGATATGACAGCTTCAACCTAGTACAGGTGAAGTTACTAAGCATCGCCAATTGAACGAGATGTACCATGACATACCGCAGTCAAAGCTAACGCAAGCATTGTTGGCGCGACTTCACGTTCGGACGGAGCAATCATCGCCGGGCGCGGTTCAGAAGATACGGTATACAGCGCGGGAGCGATCGGGGAGGAAGAACTACTCTTGTCAGCGCGGTAGCCCCCGCCGCATCTGTCGACGCGTTGAGCGCGAAGGTGAGGGGTTGACGGGAGCGGCTGACGGTCGGGGTCGAAGTTAGCAGGCACAAGGTGAACACGGGGAAGAGACGCACGGGGACAGACGCAGTGGCGGCGGCGCAGTGTTCCGCTGACAGTGATGGGAACAGCGATCGCAGTGGAGACCTGGCACGCAGCGGCAGTGCGGCGGGATGAGCGGAGAGGGCTGCGACACGCGGTGAGAGCCGCACGGATAAGGGTGGTGAGTTGGGCTGTGAGGAGGGTCAGCAGAGCGGATAAGACATACAACGTACCTTTTACGTACGCAGCCTCTCAACCGCGCTAGCCCTCTACCCTGCACCGGCGTTCTTCGTGAGCAGACTGACGACACTTTTGCAGTGTCGTTAGTGCTGTTATGTCCTGCTGACTTCAAGTCGCGTTGGACTCGAACAGGCCGTGGCGTACCTGTACGTATGACAGGCCTAGAATGTCTCTTCATGGAACGGCCGTCCCTCATAATCTTGAGGCAGGGATGAGTGGCGGTCGAGCGATGCAGGGCAAGATCGTGGAGGAGAGTGTGAAGGGAGGGTCAGCACTTGCGCTGGCAGTGGACGGACGCAAGCGCTGTCGGACTTGCCTTATGCGGCCTGCATCGGCAGATCCCGAAGTGAGCGCTTAGGACTTTGCGCGCGACTCTCGCGTCGATCCTCCACTTCCACTCTGCCTCCACCTCTCCCGCGACCGGATGCCCAGGCGACTGTCCGGCCCCGCGTCAAGTCGACGGCGCAGGAGCGCGACCTCGCTGTCGCGCGGCCTCTTCTTAATGGACAAACATCGCTGCTTCTGCGCTCAACGCGGAGAAGGACAAGTGACGCGACACGCAAAGAACCGGCACAAGACTGCGCCACAAACCCGAGCGAAGGCCAGCCGGCTACAATGCGCCCTCAAGCACAAGCAAACCAGCACTCACGGTGCAGTCCGGCCGGCCAGAAGTACCGCCAGCGATGCCGCAAGAGCGACAGGAAAGGCTGAGCGTGGCTGAGCATACACACAAAAGGTACGTCAGCGCGCTCGCTCACCCCTTACCACCGCATCCAGACCTGCGGTCCAGCGACCAAGCTGCCCGCGCAGGCAAGACACACGGCGACTACGAGCGGGCAGGGCAAATGCCCGGCACACAAGCATGGCCGACGAACGGATGCCACACGCGGAAGGTCGAATGCGAGCTAACGGCGGCGGGTACAGAGGGTGGGGAGAGGTCGAGAGCGAGCAGACCCGCGGTGAGCAGACGGGCAAGCAGGTGAGTGTCCGCGTCTCACCGCCGCCAGGCTCCCTCCTGACGAGGATCGTCGCATCTGCGCCTGCGCCCACCGCTGTCCCCGGCCTACCTACCGATTTACCCACCCGCTCCCCGCACGATCGCTCGCCGCACGACCACGATCGCCCCGCCGCCAGTCACGCCACCACGTCAACCCATCGCGCGCATCCGCCGAATGCCATTCCTCACCACGTCACGTCGCCGAGAATCAGCACCTTGTCCGCCAGGCAGTGGGTCGTCCATGGCTGCACGGACTCAGATGGCTTCACGTGGAGTACGTGGAGTGCAGACGACGACGAGCTTCGCGCTCATTGGTGCACCTGTGTGCAGAACAACTCAGGTACCTCTCGAGTCTCTGCCACCTCCCTCTCTGATACTCACATCATGCTCTTCGTCAGACTTCCAGCACGCCGTCCAGCAGCACAAGCCTGCCCATCCCGTCCTGCATCTCTATCTCCGTCTCCATCCCACTTTCCCTTAATCTTCTCCCCGACGCTCGCTGCACGCTCGACTCCCGCTTGACACCCTGGCGCGTCGGTAAGAAGCCATACACATGCTGACAGGCGTCGCAGGCGGGTACGTCAGTGTAGGGTCCGCGGATTCACTGCCCGTCTTCGAGAGAATGTAGTGCAAGCCTGGGATGTTCTACATGTAGTCTATAAAATATATTCAGTGCGGTAGCTTACGTGAAAGTTTGCAATTCCCAAATCTATGAGGTCTGCTTCAGTCTCGCGCGAGTCTTGCGTCACATAAGAGAGGCATACATGGCAGTGAGCGATGTAAAGCAACACTGAAGCAGCTAGTACCAATATTTGTATTATGGCAATCCTGAATTCCGTTGTCCACTTTGTGCAATGAGCCGGAAATTATTTCGCTGATGGCCATCTCCTTGATGTTACACGCAATTCATCCCTGTTTGCTCGATTATTGGTACTGCAATGAGAATATATTTGCATTGCCAAGATTCTATGTATTCTGGGAACATCGTGCATATTGGTGTGAATTACAAAAAGGGGGTTTTCCCGATGCTACTGAGCCTCTGCGTCGGAGATGGGTCGTTTATCGACTGGGAAAAGATGGAAGCCCGAAGCGCGTGCATCGACAGGTCTGCAGGTGAGCCCTTCTTCGGTCTGGGTTGGGATTTCCAGTGCGATGGTTGCTGTCCGGCTTTCCCGCCTCCGACGCAGTAACACGTCTCCTTGGTGTGGTTCTTCCACCCACACCACGCGCAGATCACCGTGGCCTTCGCAGCTGTCATGAATACCGAAGTCTTCTCGACTGCCAGTGCCCCTGTCCCGCTTCGAGTATCGCGGAATGGGTTCTGGGGAAGGCCCAACTGCAAGAGCTCGTCGTAAACTGCGAGGATTGTGGACATGACGTCCTCGGGGTCGGTCCTCGTGAGGAGGGGAATGATGACAGGCCGGAGCGTCTCGCCCATCATGGAAAGACAGATGATAATGGCGAACCTTTGATCAGTCATCATGGTCGATCCCAGGTCACGACACGCCTTGCGGCGGCGGCGCATCTCGTCGAAATGCGCATGAACGTCGGAACCAGGGACGTACTTGCACGCTTTCAGGTACTCCTCAGTGTTCAGCACGGCAAGCTCGCTCCTCCTCTCCCTCACAGCCAACAACGCACTCCAAAACTCGTGCGCGTTCATGGTGTCGGGGTCCGCACCACGTCCGCTCAGGTCCATCATGTTCAGGGTAATGATGCCCTTGACGAGGTCGTCATTCTTCCTCCATTTTTCGATCGCGGTCGTTCCAGCCGCCGCCGACGGGATGGGGGTGGTTCCGTCGAGGTAGCCGAGAAGACCTTTGGGACGTAGGATCGTACAAATGCGAGTCTTCCACTCCATCCAGTTGGTGCGATTAAGCTGCTGAGACTCGGGGAACAGCGGGATATGCAGTTTGTCCCTTTCGTCGCTCATGATTGGTTGTATGCGGGGTATATGCGGTTGAAACGTGGGTATTTGCGCGTGAAAAACGTGGGATGGGTGTGCTTCGAAATGCCGTCCAGCCTCTGAGGTCTATCGAGTGTCAGTTGTTGATAAGGGCCTATGCAGCGACGCGTTGGCTCATAAGCTGTTAACGACAATACACTCAGTTCTAGACCTTGTGGTAATAGACTATACATTGCTGTAGCGTACCTGTGAACGACAATACACTACAAGGTCCATTGAGTATCCGTACAAGTCCGAGACTAAGGCTACAGGTACTCACCTCCGTTCTACTAGTCCTCGTAGTACTTGACTAAGGCGCTACACCGTCATGCGCCCTTACGCGCCGGACGGTACATCACGCGCCCGCGTCGACACCGGCGACTCGTCGGCTTGCCCGCCTGCCTGGCCACCGTCAAGAATTGCTCGTATGTACAACGCAATATGTATTCCTGTAGCGGCGCAAGCGCCGTCCCCGACTCCATGTGGGTGCCTGAACCGTAATATGAATGAACATCGATTGAGCAGTGACGGTGGTGTAGATAAGATGATACAATAATCTACATAGATTTCAAACTCCGCTTTTAGTGGTACAACATAGACCTAAAGCGGAACATAAGTATCAGCATCACTACTGTATACTAATGCTGTCTCCTTCTGGGTCAGATACACCTGTGTGTTCCAGCAGTACAGTTGGTTGATCATCTGCATGTTTAGAGTTGTCATGCATAAAAGCCTCTGCAGGATGTTCTGTAAAACCTGCTGTTTCTTCTTGGAAGATTTCATCACTTTTTTGGTGAATGTCTTGGATGAATTGAGCATCAACACCAGGAAGAACACCATCATCTGGAAATTGATCTATGTTACTCTGATCCAACAGGATCTGCTCATATAATCTGTTATGGTGCTTCAACCAAAGAAGAAAATGCCATATTTTGGCTTTTCGCACTCTGAATGTATTGCCCAGGTCACTGGCTTTGATTTGATGAGGTCCAATAGATACAACTGAGAGATACCCAGTGATGTCTGCAGGAGTTCTAGGAAGCACTGTTGTTGTTGATATGACATTCATATCACGTGTTATGGTGTTTCCATGAAAAATCTTTGGCTGTCCAGGTTCTGAAAATCCATACAAACAGGTTACATGGGCAGTGATATGATAAATAGCACATGCCATCTCTTCAACCCATGTAAGGTCACAAAATTCAGTAGGAAGATGACCTCTATATAGATTATTTGCCAGTGCATATCTGGGCATAGCTGGTTTCTTTAGGGAATTGTAGCAGTCTGAACTGGAAAGCATAGGAGATTGGCATAGACATTTCAGAATCTTGCAGCCATATAATTGTATATAGTAATGCTTCAAAATTATATATCTACAGTGGAATGGTGAACTGAGCAGCAGAGAGCAGTTGCATGTTTGGCACAGGAGAACATCTGACATATTTGCCAATAACACTTTAGATGAGTTGAAATGCTGCAGTAGTTGCTTAGCCAAAGATGCTTTGGATTGCCTGATACCTTGTGTCTGATCAACACATGTACAAACAGCAGCCCATAATTCAGCTCTGGTAAGGGATTGTAATTGCTGCAGGTAATAATCATCAGTATAATAGAACCATGAAGGATTGCTATTCATGATGCCTTGGACTGTGTCATTAGGGACACTTGCGATTGTATGTGGTATGCTGTCTGATGATGAGACTGGTATATAGTCTGCAGAATCATCTGGTAAAACTGGTAGTGGGCCTGAGACACTGTCTGGTAAACCTAGTATTGAGCCCAAGGCCCTATCTGGTAGTTGGGAAGTAGGGGCAATACTAGTTAGTTGTTGTGACATGGAAATGGCAGCTGCTTCAGGGGAGAACACAAGATGTGTTGAAGTGAATGTCTCGATAATAGTGGCAGGAGGCATGTTATATATGCTCGGAAAAAACCGGAGGAAGATCCGGCCGCACGAGCGGAACACAGAGCCAGGCAGAGCCTCGGTCAGACGCGAGTGCACGGCTTGCATGTGGACAGTTTCCCTATGCGGTATCGCGCGTACCGTATATGGACGAGAATTTCCCACGGCGACACGGCATCCCCGGCGCAATATCGTTTCTACTTGACAGAGCCCTCCCTCCCTTCGGGAGGAGTCGGGGACCATCTCACGCTGCCAGCAGTTTAGTCAGCAGTTCAGCCATCTAGTGGAGATGCGTGCATTATGAGGAGCGTTTGTTATTGCAGTCAGGACTAGATCGTGGCGACTGCCTATGAGATAATGCCAGTGAAACCTGAGTGAAACTTGGGGCAAGGACGAGGTGGTGTTCACGAATCGGAAAAAGCGGCGTAGCGCCCGGACGGCGGGAGGAGGAGCTCTCAAGCGCTCACAGGCTGACTGTGTACTCCGTGCTCGACGCCGTTGGGCATATCCCCGGGCTCTGAGTCCAATCACGTTTTCGAGTGACAGTTGTGCAGGCGATAAATGACGTGGTGAATGGGAACACAGTCGTATTCCGAGCACGTAGATGCGTAGGTCTGGCCGCCGTGCTCTAGCCAAGTCCAACTTCTGCTCGGAGTCAAAGCACGTACGGTGTTCACACAATTGTCGCTACGGCCGAAACAGAACGCCGGTGAGCTTTCTATGTCCATTACTGCGTTTTCTCTGGCAGTTTGACTCCATCTGGGGCCTGTACAGGTGAAACCGCAGATCAGCGCGGACCGACCATGTTTGGACGGTCATAGTGCGGTAGCTTGCATGACGTCTATCAGGGTGCAAGTACATAATCACATCACCCCGCGTCTGTACTTGTACATATATACCTTAGGCTCTGGTTGGGCTCTGGGACGCCAAACCCATCCCCCAGCCCGAGCCTCTGGCACCCCGGTGTCAACGTTGCGTTTGGGTCGATGTCCGCGCCTCTCCTGCTAGCTCTAGCGGTCGTCTTCTACGTTGCATGGACTCACCTGAGCAGTCGTCTGATACGACTTCCGCCGGGGCCCTCGCGTCTGCCTTTTATTGGTAGTGTTCACCATCTTCCGTTGGAGTACCAGCACAAGAAGTTCTTCCAGTTTGCTAAGGAATACGGTACGTTGCATGCTACACACCGAACCATACTACTGACATTCTACTTTGGTTCAGGCGATGTTGTCTACATCCAACTCTTCGGCCGCCCCTCGGTGGTGCTCAACTCCCTGCCCGCCGCCCAAGATCTGCTCGAGAAAAGGAGCAGCAAGTACTCGGACCGGCCTCGCTTCACTCTGACTGCAGAGTGCGTGCCTCCAGCCACCACCGTGCACGCAGCGGTGAGCTAACGACGTCCGCAGAATGGGCTTCGACTTGGCCATGAGCATCATGCCCTACGGCGACCAGTGGCGGCGCCACCGCAAATGGTTCGCCGCCGCATTCCTCGACAAGAAAGCGCTCGACAGCTACGTCCCCATCCAACAACGCGAGACGCACAAGCTCCTCGCCGGCCTGCTCGAGTCTCCCGATGCGTTCCCCGCACACGTCAAGAGGTCTGTCTCTCCTCCCAGTATATCATCCGCCCGGACGTCCTGCCGACCGTGACGCGCCGCCGCTGCACAGGTACATCGGCGCGCTGATGATGGAGATCGCGTACGGCCACGGGGTCACCTCGCTCGACGACGAGATCGTCGTCCTCGCTGAGAAGGCAGTCGGCGCTGCCACGGAAGCTGGGAGTCCCGCTGCGACGCTGATCGACTTCATACCGATCCGTGCGTACATCCCCCCCCCCCCCCCCACACACACACACACTCGAAACGCTCACGGCTCGTCCAGTCCAGTGGATCCCCGCGTGGATGCCCGGCGGGCGTTGGAAGACGCGCGCCGCGGAGGTGCGGAGGATGGTGCGGAGGACGAGTGACGTCCCGTTCGCCCGTTTGCAAGCCGCCATCGTGAGTCGTTCCTTCATGACGGGCCACTACAGTTGTAGATTGTGATTTGGGCGAAGGCCGCAGGGACGGCGCGGCCGTGCTTCCTGTGGTCGCTGCTGGAAGACATCACGACGCGAGGGGAGCCTGCGGCGGCAGACCTCGAGGAGATCAAGGCCGCCGCCAATCTCGTGTATGGAGGTGAGTTCTGACCTCGCGCAGACTCGGACTCGGAGGCGATTCGTAGCACTGACAGGCTGATGCCGTACGCAGCTGGGACGGACACGGTACGCGAGTCGCGGCTATCCCGCGACGTCCGTTGCGCGCTCCATTTCTGACGCTCCCCCACCTGGCAGACTGCGACAGTGCTCAACGCATTCGTCCTGTCGATGGTCCTCCACCCCGACGCGTGCAGGAAGGTCCAAGCGGAGATCGACCGCGTCGTCGGCTCGGACTCGCGGCTGCCCGACTTCGGTGACCGCGCGTCGCTGCCCTACGTCGAGGCTGTGATGCAGGAAGTCCTCCGGTGCGTCACGGACCCCACTCAGACCGCTGAACGCCCAGTTGACTCTGAACTTGAATGCACGCACGCGCGCACAGGTGGATCCCGCCCGTGCCCCTCGGTACGCGATCCCTCGCGCTCACAGCACTGGCAGGACGAGCACACTGACAGGACGCCTGCTGCCGCAGAGCTGCCCCACCGCCTCACGGAGCCCGACACGTACCGCTCATACACGATACCCAAGGGCTCGATGATGATCCCGAACGTCTGGTACGCCCAGCGCGTCTCCCCCCGCTTACTCCCGCCGCCGCAACTTGACGTCCTCACCGCGCGGACAGGGGCATGACGCGCGACGCGAGCGCGTACCCCGACCCGGAGGCCTTCCGCCCGGAGCGCTTCCTCGAGATGGACGCCGCGACCGACCCGCGCAACATGGTGTTCGGGTTCGGACGCCGGTGAGCCGTAGTGCCAGTGCTGCCACTGCCAGTACCGCGCATGTGCATGACCACTGACTGACGCCGGCGGCAGGATCTGCCCGGGCAAGGACTTCGGCGACGCGAGTGTGTGGCTCGCCGCGGCGCGCATCCTCGCGGTGTTCGACGTGCGCAAGGCGCGCGACGCAGCGGGGCGCGAGGTCGCGCCCGAGCCGTCGTTCTCTCCGGGGATGATCAGGTGCGTTGGCGTGTGCCGCGGCGACACCCGGAGGACGGACTGTGCTGACGTCTCGACTTTGCAGCCATGTCCGCCCTTTCGTGTGCGATATCCGCCCACGGTCGCCAAGAGCAGCGAGGATGATCGAGCAATTGCTACTTGACTCTGCGGCCTGATGCTTCTTTAGTTTTGTGTCGCTTTCCCTCACTGTCTACTTGCTCTCTTGATGCTCTCCGAGTCGTTGCTAGTTCGTGCGTTCGTTCAGGATTGTGTGATCGGCCGCAAGTCCATAGCTTGAATCACAAACTGCAGCTGCAATCACTGCACGGCCAGAGCAACACCAGAGCAAGAACACACAAACGCACAGGTATCGTACATACATATCGCATAAGTAACCCCGACCACGCACATCGCCCTAGACAATCTCGATCGCCCGCGTTCTCTCCCTGATCCGCTCAAAGACGCCTTCCTCCTCCTGCACCGGAAACACGCTCTGCTTGGCGTTGCCGACGGGGGCGGCAACGGGGAAGGACACGTCGACGGGCGTGCGCAGGCCGTCGGACGACGCGCGCGACGTGAGGGTGCTGTGGCGCGTCATGGTGCTCCGGGGCGTGTCCAGCGTCGTCGGCGACTCGGACTCGGACCCGGCGCCCCCTCCGCACGCGGGCTCGTCGCACAGCGGCTCCCCGCCGACGTCGCCCGTCTCGAGGACGACGCCGCGCCCGCCCTCGGGGGCGGCGATGGTGAGCGCGGGGATGAGCGCGGCGAGGGCGCCGTCGACGGTCCGCGTCCGGGCGCGCCCGGCCTTGCGGTCTTCTTGCTGGAGCGCGCGCATGGACCGCCGGAGACGCGTCGCCATGCGCATGGTGTGCAGGAGCCCGACGCGGTGGTAGGGCGTCCAGCCGTCGGGGAGGCGCTCTTCGTGCATGAAGACGCGGAGCATGTGGTTGGGCACGCCGGGGAGCGGCGCGGGCGGCGGCGGGGACGGCGACGGCGCGGTGAAGAGCCGGCGGACGCGCGTGAGGAGCGAGGGACGCGACGGCGCGGGGTGCGCGTAGTTCTCCGGGTTGTTGAAGAGCTGGAGGACGATGGCCATCTCGCCGCGGGCGATCTCGGCGTGGATCTTGTCCATGGGGATGGTGTAGGCGGCCTCGCGGGCGACCCGGGCGCGGGCGACGTCGTCCGGGGTCATGACGACGCCGTCCTTGGAGTAGCGCATGAGGTCCTCGAGCATGTGGAGGTGCATCTCGATGGGCGCGTACTCGTCGCGGAAGCCGACGTCGGGGTGGACGAGGCTGGCGTCGTGCTCGATGCAGTTGTGGCGGCTGAGGTCCTGGAGGCAGATGCGCTTGCGGCGCTGGCCGAGGAGGTAGAAGCCGCCGTGGGTGAGGAACCAGGCGAGGGTGTAAGAGAGGTGGTAGCCCTCGCGGAGGGCGTGGATGAGGACGGAGGGCGTGATGACCTTGCCGTCGCGCGGGAGGTAGCCGTGGTTGGCGAGGGTGTTGAGGGCCGGGCAGGGCGAGCGAGAGTCGCCGCGCTGGGGCGGGCAGTAGTCGTGGGGCTCGGCGCCGGTGGCGGGGCAGCGGCCGTGGGCACTGTGGGCATGAGGCGTGACAGGCCTCTGCGACGGCGTCGAGGACGACTCGGAGGCCGTGCGTGCGGGAGGCTCGGGAACGGACATGGCTTCGGGCGAGCTGGACATGCTGCGTAGAGGGCGGGCGAGGGGCGCCGTTCTTATGTCCTGTGGGACGATTGGTGAGACTTCCCTGCAGTGATGGAAGACAAATACACGGAGCCAAAAGAGCAGGGAAGGCGGCAAGACCGCTGACAGACAGACGTGTTCCCCGTCGGGAGGCGATGTTGCAGTGGAGTGGCTGGACGGGTGAAGCGGAGGATGCACGGCAGGAGGCTACTCACCTCGCAGCGCTGCACAGCTTGGTTCCCGCAAGGATCGCAGTCCGTGGACGAGAGGCTCAATCGGGCAGGCCGTCGTCTGAGCAGGCAGGGAAGACCTGTCAGCCGTAGACACCAGCGCCGATCATCGCTGTCTAACCTCCCGTCCACGTCCGCCCCTCCACGTGCATGAATGCCCGGACGTACTTATGGCCCGTACTTGTCCGTTGTCCTGGGTGCGCACGTACGACAGGGCAGCTTCATACCACAGGACGGCCTCCACTCCCTCTGCACGCGCTGTGACTCGACGCGTCAGTCACTCTTCCCTGTCACGCCAAGTAAGCACGCGCTCACGTGACTATAGTACTCTGCATTCAAGAACCTTGTTCAGTTCATCAGCAACGCACAACTAGCACTCAATGCTTGCTCGCCTCAGCCATGCCAACGAAAGGCATTCCAGACAGGCTAGTCGATCAGGGCATCGTGCCATGCCGCCTCTCAGCGCGGGACCTACTTAGTAGGCCGTACCAAGTCAATAACCCGCTCAAGGAACAAGACGGCGCTGCCTGCCTCCAAGCCGCCTCTCAAAGGGCCTGCTTCTGGGCCCAGTGCTCTACTCGGTAGACTGCAATCGCGATTACTACGTGCTACGTAGGCAACAGTCGTCGAAGGTGATATCGCGTTGCAGCAACGCGCGTACTGTAGATGCGCATCAAAGTATTATTCGGACTCGTAACGACACGGCCAGCTAGCCGCTGACTGGATCGTTTCTCGCGCAACGCCGCACCTCCATCTCGCGCTGGTCTGCACGCGTACAACTGCACGCGGCAAAGCGTCAGCACTAGAAGGCGATGCGGGAAGCTGGCCGCCTTCTGTGTCCCCCAGTGTCGTAGGGCGTGTCTGGCCCTTAGAGTTAGACTGTCCATCGTCGTGGCGAGTATGAGCTAGCGTGGCCAAATCAGGTGGGCTACGGGGCCGAAACGTCACAAAGGCGTACTCGTTATGGGTACTATGTTTGTTCATGACTTCTATAAACGTGGCTCTGAGGAAGGTCGAGTGGTGTGGCTCGTGAGGAATTGAGCGCGTCTACAGGCCACAGATCGCTCTGAGACACGCCCCGTGGATACGCATTCGACAGCTTGTACCTGCTTGGGGCACCTCGCGCCTCATATCGAAGGTCCAGTGAGCCGTTTCGCCCGACACGACGATGATACAGCATAAACGTACATTGCATAATGCTTGCGGGCGAGGGTAGGAAATGGTCACAATAAGATGTGCCATTGTTCTTGAAGGGAAGGATATAGTGGTGATAGGTGACGATGATGACTGCTCAGGCGCAGGTAAGTGGTCACAAGATAGACTATGTGCTGGGGATGCACCCAGGTGATAGCGGTTTCTCGGCTGCCACGTTGTGTATGGCGTCGAGTGACATCCCGGGATCCATGGCTGGCTCGGTCGAGCGAAGGGACGATGAAGACTCGATGGCGTTCGCTTCCCTGAGCGAGTCGGGGGTAGGGGCGAACAGTGATGGTGGAGTCGGAGTCGCCTGGGGATCCTTAAACAGCAATGTGAATCCCACTCACCAGCCTTGACACCTTATTTACGCACGCCGGGGCTTAGACCTCTGCTCCCTGTTCGCCCAAAAGGAATTGGTAACTAGGTTGGATCCGTGCACCTCGAGGATATGTGGTAGCTGAGTCCCCCCATCTGGCATGCTTGGCTTGTCGCCTGGAGTTCGTCCGCCGAACCTTAGGGTGGTCCCGCGACTGCACCATGCCGTCTTGAACTCCCCGCGCCCTTTGCTGTTGGACAACTGGGTGCGCCGTCCAGAAGCCTGCCGCTGATAAAGAGCACTCGGTCTCACAACGAACGACGTGGTGACTGGCATATTGGTGGCGTGTGCGCCCCAACTTGGACGATGATCGAGATCCTTTTCCAGCTCCTGGTACGACCGCAAATCAGTCGTGTCGCTGTAGCAGCATATAGAGAGTGACGCACGCAAAATCTGAGTCAGTTTGAGGTCTCTGTGGCATGAGCTCCGAAGACTGGGAGAGTCTCGCAGCGGGGCGATGAACCTAACGACCTGGATGTCCCGGAATCAATGTCGCCGTCGCGAGGTGCGGAGGTCATGCTGGCATGCTGGCGATCTGGCGTAGAGCTGCGGCGCACGACGGCGGAGAGTACCTAGGTTCGCTCCTCGGCACAGCAACGAAGGGTCCATGAGGCAGGCCGGGATCGCGGCTGTGCGCAGCCAGTGCATTAGAATCTGTTGCAGCGCCGCTCCAGCAAGGGTCTTCGCGCATAGCACTGCCGGTGCCCCAGAAGTCGTCGTAGCCGGCAGAAACGGAGCTAAAAAGCAGGTCCACGGACAGACTTTGGGAGCCTACAAACAAACCGATTAATGCAAACGACGGATCAATGATCAGTAGACCATACCGTACGGAGAATGCAGAAGAGGTGGTTTCCGAAGGTAGCTGCCACCTGTAGATCTCGACGCCAGCACGGCAGTTCCATGGAGCGTGGAGGTAGACGGGAGTCAATCCTGCAAATAACCAGATCAACACAGAGTTTTTAGAGAAGAGCAGAGACGAGCGGACACACCAGGGCAATAGAAACGGAGTTCCATGATTCTCTGACCCCTGTGCTTCACTGGCGACGCCGATGGGGCCTGGAGCGGAATCACCAAATTTGAAATGCCTGGAGTGGCTCACGTCGCCGCGGTGGTCTCGAGCAGCCTTGTCGAAGACATCGCTCCGAAACTTCCCCCCGCAGTTGGCACAGAACTTGTAGTCCTTCCAGTGCGCAGTTCTCAGGTGCTTGACGAGGCCCTCATCATCTTCGTCCCGTTAGCCCTTTTTGCCTTCTCTTTCCTTTTCCCATCGCCGCTACCCGCACCTCCGCCCGCATGAGGACACAACTGGCAGGTGACACGCGCTGCCTGGTGGGCGCGTATGAGACTTTTGCACTCCAAGAGAGCGCTGTTGTGCGTCGTGGTCCAGTGTTAGGCCATGTGTTCCAACAGCGCGCTATAAACGCAGCCATCCCACCCGCAGCGCACAACCTCGGGGACCGCGACTTCCTTCGCTAGCACCTTGTGCGTAGTTCTCATGTGTGCCCACATGTCTAGGGACGTCCCACTGAAGGCACACACGGACCCATGTGCGAGCTTCCGCCGAGACTGACGAGGGCGGGCGACCTTGTGCCGGTTGCTCATCATTCTCTCTGTCGTCGTCATTGTCGTCCTCCGCTTTGAGGTAGGACGCCCTTCGGTTTGAAGTGTGGGAGAATCGACGCGAAGAGAGGAGGGCTCGGAGCGCGAAGCGCGGCCCGCCTCGGAGAGGCTTTGTGAGCGCGGACTTCAACGTGGACGACTCCGTAGTAGGAAGGTTGGGCAGATTCGGGGCGAACTCGCAACTCTCGGGAGGGACGAAGGGGCCTGACTTCGGGGACGTGAATGTTGACGCGGCGATGGCGGTGGCGGTCTCTCTTCGCTTCCGCCCTGTGCACCATAGTGCGTCTAGGGGCATCCTCGGCTTCGGGGAACGCGCTGGTAAGGGCTTGACACGCCTCCTTTTGAGCGGACGTGTCAATGTGGCCGTCGGCAGGGTGCCCATTGGGGGGCTGCCAGTGGCCGGTGCAAAGCACGTAGAGAGAGCTGGGGCGGCGGTGGGTAATGAGATGGGATTCGAAGCCGGCGCCCGCGGGCGAATCAGCCTGGGTGGTTGGCCATGTGAGGTTGGTCCGTACGATCAAAGCATTGACAACACTCACGGATGAGATCCAACAGGATAGACAGGCGCCGCGGCCGCAGGAAGATGGTGAATCGTACTATGAAGCCTCTCGGACACGGTGACGCAAGTCGTCGTCATTGAGGGTGAGCAGGACCCGGGCCTCTGTGGTCGTCCAGTGGACACGGGATGATAGAACTCCGTGGAACTGGATCCGCCGTGGCCATCGCGTCAACGTCCAACGACTCTGTTTGACCGAGGAGAAGAAGCCTTGGGTCGATAATCGGTCGATTGGGGATGGCATCAGGGTGAATGCAAATGGCGCGCGTGTAAGGAGCCCCTGAGAGCAACCAGTCTGAGGACATTTTCTGTGAGAAAGGGGGAGTCAGTGAGACACTTGGTCAAAGAAATAGGTGCAGGCGTTCAGGCAGAATAGTGGCCGCAGAGCACTTACGTCAAGGTAAGTGGTTAGGAGGAATGGTACACGGAGATGATGTAGCGCAGCGTAGAGCGTCATGGCTTCGACTCGAGTACGATGCCCTGAATGGATGCGTACCGCGCTTATATAGCCAGGACGATGTGCCGCTGTGTCTATGTCGGGTGAACAAAGGGAATGGTGAATCGCCACTCGGGTGGCTGGAGCCGGCGCCGATGCATCCATTATTATACCTACGGGTACTGCAGCTTGTAATGCCGCTCGCCGTTGTCAGACATGCCAGGAATTCGCGGAGAGCACGGAAGAAGATCAATGCGAGTCCAGTGGACGAGTCAAGGAACCGATAGCAGGCAGAGCAACTCACTCAAAGACTGTCTGTCTGACTGAATGCGTAAGGGACCGTCCAACGTCACAATGAAGCACGGAACTGTACGCTTGGAAGCAACAAAGGAAGCTTGATCTCACCTCGTTCAGCGAATGCCACTGATCGGCAGTGAATGCAAGTTTTTGGTCACCGTGAAAATGTATCATGGAAGATCAAGATCGTGTGTCACGTAGTCGTGTGTTATGCAATAATGCACCCACAAACAGACGTGTGTGGGACTTTACGCTAGACCTTGCGGTAACCGTGACGAATCTGAGTGAACGCATCAGTGAGGGGACCTTGAGATTGTCAGCGTACTCACTGTTCGCAAGTACTATGAAGGGTGTAGGACATTCGTCGCGTGAATAACCGAGCATACGCACCACCTCCGCGTGCCTGCAGAGCCTGGGCGTCAGCTTCCATGGACAATCGAACCTGAGAGGCACAGCAGAGCTTACGGAGCGTGTCGCAAAATATCCAAGTCGTGCCTCCATTGCTGTCGAACAATTGAGATTCTCTTCTCTCGGTCGCAGGGAGGGAACAATCGTACCTCACACGCTGCATCTCGCGGGCCCTCGTAGCGCTTCACCAGTACGCGCTGCCCATCGACCTCCGCCTGCGCCGTACTCGCCCACCACCCTTCTTGCGTGCGAGAACGGCCTCGGAGGGCAAGATCGGATTGGTGGTATCGACGGAACTGGATTGTTCTTTGGATCTGAAGAGTGCGCACGAAGAAGCAGAGCTTACGCCATCAACATCCACGGCGGTTTGACTTCCACGAGCGAGAGCCGTGGCTCTGAGGACGGAAGGTTCTGGAGAAGACACGGCACCGAAATTACGGGCCTCCACAGGATTTGAGTGGTGCATTACTGCAACTCGCTGTACTTCAGACCCTGGGCTGTGAGTGTCGCTCGAACTTTTGAGGTTGTAACATCCTTCCGACGCTTGGTTCTCGACGAGAGTCGATATGTCAGACATATCGGAGTCTTTCCTGGCAGCTGCACCTCGACTCGTGCCAGGCTGACAACTAATCAAGCGATGCTCTATATGCATGTCGGACTGTAACGTACCTGGCGAATAGTCGAAGAACGCTACTTCGCAGAAGATGCCGTCCGCTCGTCAGTCGCATCTTGGGCCTCGTAGTCAGAATCTACCTTCAAAGTGTCCGGGGCAGTCGACGTCGTCCTATCGCCAACAGCGCGATGAATGTTGATCAAGGTCGCGATCTTGGAGTATCGTCGCAGTTGTGATGCTTAGCAGTCAATACTCGCGAACAATCTCGACATACGCTCACCTGGAAAGAACGCTCAGCATCATCCAAGCGTGTGCCGAAACTCGCTAAGGCTTTCTCGATGGTGCTCTTCCTGTGCAATCGTGTACGCCAAGTCTTCGACGCTTCGCTTGCTAGGAATCCTTGAATGCTCTCGAGAGTCCTGAGATAATAAGCTTGAGATAAGGCGCGGTTTTCCACACAAATGTACTCACGTTTCGAATGCTTTTATTGCCTTCAGTAAGGAAGGAGGTGTGGCTTCCCAGCGACCCTGCATCTGGTCGCGCACACGACATAGAATAGAGAGACATCGATTGGCTAAGCATTCACATTCTACTTTGTTCGTGTGTATCTTCTGCAGACATACTAGGTCTTCGTGAAGGACAAGACATCGATAGGGCGTTGACCGACCTGGACAGTTTGGAAGATCTCGAGCAATATGCCTGCAGCTATGGCCGCTGGTGGGAATGAGGCCAAGTTAGCGATTTCTTGGGTAGCCGCTGCCACGTCAACTGCGAGACGAAGGATGTCGGTCGTTGTGAATCCGGATGTCGATAAGCCAAGAGGCATTGCGATCCTCGCTTGAGTACCCGGGACCGAAGCGTTATGCCAGCAGTTGTACCCGTGTCACCAGATGGACGTGTCCGTGTGTGGTGGAAGCAGGATATGAAATCAGGATGGACGCCGTGTTTGCCAATGCGACATCTTCGCGGATCAGTGCTGCAGTGCGTCACTCAGGTTGGTGGAAACACGAGTAAGTATCTGCCTCCGAACCGTGACTGCACGCGCCGTGACTCGACGCGTCAGTCACGCCCCATCACTCAGTCAGTGCGCGGCCCGATCGCGAGTTTATGCTCTCACATCACTGCGGCCCGTATCTTCTACTACTGAGTTAGGACGCACTTCCACAAACTAGATCGACGATGCCTCCTACTGGAAATCCGGACGTGGTGAGTAAGATTGTGTAGCATAACCGTCTTCAGATGTGTCCAACCATACTATCGAGTAGCCTCGCCCAGCGAAGAGACCACGGCTCGAACTTCCTGACGGATTCGCGAAGGCAAGCACTCCTGCGAAGAAAGCTACTCCGCTCAAGTTCGTCTCCGCATTTGAGACGCAGCCGCCACGGGCAAAGCCCACCAAGATTGTGAAAGCGAAGGCGGGCGTACCTCCGTCAGATCTCCCGCGACCCCCGAAGCAAGGTACTCCCGCGAAGAACACTGGGGCTTCGTCCTCCAAGCCGACCAGCCTGCGTGTTCTGAAGCCTCCCGCTCCACCACAGGCGCCGAAGTCTGCTGCAGCAGACAGTCCGAGCAAGAATGTGTCCGCGTTGAGGGCGAGGCCTCCACCTCCGCCCCCACAGAAAGGTGCGAATGAGCAACTCACAAGTATCAGGCATCTACAACCACGCCCGGTGACTCCTCCGCCGAAGCATTCGCAGCACCTCAAGAGTATAGCGCCTCCCCCACTTCCTGTAGCCGGCCCCTCTCGCTTGTCTGCGTCCGATCTCAAGACGATTTTCACGACCAATGTTGCACTAGCGACGGACATCCGGTCAGAGAGCGGACAGGCCGAAGTGCTGTCGATGTACTTGCAGCAGCACGGACATGGCTTCGTAGACCCCACCGAGCGAGAGTTGCAGCGGGGGCTGGAGCAGAGCCCGGAGAAGCTGTCGAAGCACACGAAGAACGCGAAGTTTGCAAGGTAAGCTGTTTTTTTTCTGCACCGCGACGTTTGGCTTCTCAGCTCGGCTATTGCGCTCTAGAGGAGGTCTTGCCGACCGAGCCAAGATACAGTTCAAACACCGGCAGACGTCTCTCTCGCTCTGGCAAGCCTCCCTCGAGCTTGAGCTTCGCGCGAACCGACGCCCCACGCCCGACATGCGTCTGCGCGTCACATCCATCCTCTACGCCGCCACTGAGACCGATCACCTCCGTGCATCACATCCACCATGCCTCACGCTGCTACGGTGCAGCATTATGCCGGAGTTCAGGCAGGAAGAGACGATGCTGCTGCTGAACTTTGATGCTGCGTCGGGGGCGTCAGCGCTGCGATTCCAGAAGCCTGGTGACCTCCAGGTGGGGAGGGAGGTCTTTCTGTGGAAGCCTTGGTACTCCGTCATCCCGCCGCCAGAAGTATGCCGACGACTGGCTGTGTTGAATCAGCAGGACCAAGACTCGTCGGAAGGACAAACGGCTGATCTTGGGACGGTTCTATTCTGCACGCGGTTCTGGCTCGCTCCATTCTAGTGTCTGTCCAGATACATGCCTCGGGCGTTCTTGTTGCACCTGTAAGTTCCAGATCTAGTGTACTGTTGGGTCGGATGATGTACGTTGAGCGTGTACTACGTTACCGTACTGTGCTTTCGAGATTCTACAGAATCTAACCGGCTTGCGGATGGGCGCTAAGGTAGCCTCCTCGCTCACGTGGTTACGACGCGTCGCGTCGTCGCGCGATCGAGAGCCCGGAGTCGCGAAACGCATAAGTACACTCAACTCTTGCCCTTAGCTCCCCCTTCCTATCTATCAAGGCCCGTATGGGACAAAAATCGACCTACTGAGGCATATCTTGTCGGATCATATCAGAACTCAAAAGATCTTACCGGATCCTACAGGATCTCTGGAGCTCACTCCGGTTTGCTCAGGAGATCACGGAAACTGGACAGATAAGATAGGATTGTCCAGGAGCTTGCCTGATCCGGTACGATCCGGTACGATCTGGTACGATCCTGTAGGAACACTTCGAATCCTGTACCGTCTGGTACTGTCCCGACCCGGTATGTCCTGTCCCTTACTGTCCCCTCATGTTAATTCCTGTCCTGTCTGTTCATTTATGGTGAAATCCCATATGTGAATACTGGACAAAAATGCTCCACAGCTCTTCAATGGCTCACAGGCACGTCCCAGATCTTACAGGATTCTACAGGATTCTACAGGATTCTACAGGATTCTACAGGATTCTACAGGATCTCTCCAGATCCTGTGGCTGCTGGTACATCCTGTCCTGTCCTGTCCTGTCCTGTACCTTCCTGTCCTATACCTTCCTGTCCTGTCCTGTACCTTCCTGTCCTGTACCTTCCTGTCCTGTCCTGTCCTGTCCTGTCCTGTATCATTGCTGTTTGCAAATGTTGTGTTGTGGCGCCAAAAAATAGAAATCATTGCACATTGCACACTAGTGGTCACTTGCAGAGAATCACTCGATTCTTATCCTATTGCCTCAATTTATACGCCATTTGATTTGCCTTGTTGGGCTCTAGTGCATCATCAGGAAAACCCTGATTTACTGAAATAGTCTTCAGCTAACATATGTGGATGCCAGCCAACATTTGTAAACATTGGGGCTCTTCTTGCTACACTAGTGACCGGCTCTGACTATCAATGGCTGACTGAAGTAATGCAAAGTGCCACTTGCATAAACTGATGCATCAGGAAAAAAACATATACTATGTGACACAATGTAGTCAATATTGCAGCCATTGTGGCATTGCATAAACCCCTCTACATTGTGACTCATTGCATGGCTGGTTACAACCATTGCAGTCTGTTGCACACCCATTGCAGTCTGTTGCATTCTGCCAAGTCTCTGTTGTACCATATGGTCAACTGTTGCTTGATTGTACTGTAGACCTGTTGTACCAGATATCACATTATTGACGATGTATGTGACTGTACAATACATTCACTCAACGGCATTCACCATGACCAAACACAGATCATGATTAGATGTCAAAATGAGTGTATTGGTTACTAACAAACATATTATATACTCGAAACTACAGTACAGGATGACTACAATATACGGTAAGTCGCGCGGGGTATGAGGGAGGCACTAAAGATGGAGGCGGGAAAGATGGAGGCGGGAAAGATGGAGGCGGGAAAGATGGAGGCGGGAAAGATGGAGGCGGGCACGACAGGCATGAGGCTACCCCTCTTTGTGCGGTACCACGAGTCCACATGCTAGCGCCGTCGGCTGTGTCTATGCACAGAAGTGCTGGGATGTTGAAAGGACGATACGTTACCCTCGCGCGCTTGGAGCCACGGTGTCAGGCCGGGGTACAACAGCCAAGTCACAAAACAACATGCTGTCTTGACGATGGTTCAGTTCCGGGTGAACCCTGCCAGACCAGACGTGCATACTTGTCAAAGTGCTGTCCAGCAACTGCAGAGAGCTCGAGGGATAATGGCAGTCGCAGAGCTGAGCGCATTGGTCAAATACACATCTTGCCGCGGACTCCGTCGGGTTTAGAGTGCGTGGATGGAGGTGGAAAAGCCAGCATCGAGCAAGTGAGCATGAGGTGAGCGAGCTGATAAGTAGGGAAGCTAGTGTACGCACCGATACAATGTAAGTGAAATTTTTTCACAAGCCCACGGGCGATAGCAACACGGTCGCGGCTCGGAAGGAGAGGTACACGATGCGGGAGCGATCATAGACAAGGCGACACTTGTCGGCGCGGTGGCTCCCGCCGCATCTGTCGGCACGGAGGGGTGACAGGCGTGGCTAATGACCGGGGTCAGAATGAGCGGGCACGAGAAGGTGAATGCCGGGGAGAGACTCACGGGGGGCGGACACAGCGGCGGCGGTGCGAGACAGTGACCGAATTGGCGATGAGACGCGCAGTGGCAGCGAGGCGGGATGCACAGAGAGGGACGCGACACACGGTGAGGGCGGGTGAGGGTAGTGAATTGGGCTGTGAGGAAGGTCAGCAGAGTGAACATGATATACGACATACCTTTTGTGCAGCCCCTCAGCCGCGCTAGCCCTCTTCTTTGCACCCGTGTCCTCCGTGAGCACACTAAAGACGCTTCGTTGGTCCTTTTATGTGCTGTCAACTTGTCGCGTTGGACACGCGTTCAAGTTGCATGACATGTCAATGGACCACAGCGTACCTGTATTTCTGATGGGCCCATTACGGGCTTGTCTCTTCGTGGAATGGCTGTACTTGACGAGCTCGAGGCTTTGCGGGCGAGTGACGGGCGAGCGGCGCAGAGCAAGGCTGCAGGCAAGAGGGAGTGAAGGGAGGACAGCACTTGCGCGCCGGGACGCACGCAAGCGCTGTCGGAGCTTCCGTATGCGGCAGGAGTCTCACGTGATGCGGGTACGTGGACACCTTGCGTTACCAAGTCCGAGACAACTATAGTAGTAGCTACTGCAACTCCCTCGTTTCTCGCCGCCGCCGTCCTCCCACTCACCTCACCACCGCCGTCTTCCCACCCACCTCGCCGCCGCCACTGACACCAGCACCCGCCAGCGCCGCCACCCGCCCGCCACCGCCTGCCAGCACACACCTGCCGCCGCCGCCGCCTCATGCTGCCGCCTCGCAAACGATGCAAAAGTGAGTGACATCGCACGCGGGTGAGCTAGCTAATGGGCGGTGGGGCAGGGCCAGGGCGTGCACGCTGAGCCAGCGCGCACACTGGGCGAACGACCAGGCAACAACGCACACGCCAACCGCGAGCGCGCTGGGTGAATCCCCAGCACGCAGACACGGACAACGAACGCGAACACAAGCGACCATACGAGCAGCCGGGTATGAGGCTTGCCACGCGCGTCCGCCGCCCACCATCCCTCGCTACCTCACATAGCCCGCAGCACGCGCCCGCCGCCGCCACGTCATGCCGCCGTCTCCATTCATCGCGCGCGTCCGCCGGCCGCCATCCCTCTTGGTGCTCTGTGCTCCCGGGCTTGTACGTGTGGATCACGCCCTCGACCAGGAAGTGCGCCTTCCCCAGCCACGACTCCTCCTTGTAGTTGATCACCACCCGCAGCTTCTCCCCATCCGCCCAGGTGCTGCACTCGATGGTCGTCGCCTCGCACATCGCGACGTAGAAGCTCCTGCACAGGATACCGTTCACGGAGCCCACCGGGTGGGTGATCTGGTACGTCTCGCCTCTCCCGGCCCGCCAGTGAGGTGCACGAAGATGCCTTCGTTGTACGAGCCCGGAACAATGTGAATTGTCGTCCCGGAGACCTTCGCCTAGATCTGGTCTACACCCGATAAGCTCCGTCTTCCGGCTCGGACACGGCACGTAGAAGGCTGACACGGGCGGGTGGTGCGAGACCTGCTCCGTCAGGAACACGACGCGCACGCGCCATTTACCCAGTCAGTGCGCTCGACGTCGCGTCTCAAACACGAGCAATGCAGCATCAACCGCATCCGGCGGCTGGCCGGAGATACCGCCAGCGATGCTGCAAGAGTGTCGCGAATACTCTCCGAGGGATGGGGCGAGAGGGGAGAGGCTGAGCGCGGCTGAGAACGTGCATGTATGGTACGTCATCTCTCTCTTTCATCCTCACCACCGCGTTGCAAACGCATTTGAAGATGCGGAGCGGACGTGCAGCCAAGCCGTCAAACTGCCCGCGCAGGCGACACGTCCCTCCACTTTGACTCGTCGAGCCCGTCTGCGCAATTTGACCACCCCGAGACGAAGACAGACTATCGCATTTGTGCTTATCGATTTAGTTCAGCGGCGCATCCGGTGGCGTGGGAGCGAGCCGCCTCCGCGAGGCGGCTCGCTCCCACGCCACACGCTCTCGCCGGACGAGCGACTCAGCGTCGGCAGGGACAGCGTTGTGGGTCCCCGAGTCTGAGGGGTGTTGAAGGAGTGCAACCCATTCGGGTGTTGACAAGCTAAGGCAAAATGGGTGCAACGGGACCGAGAACTCTTGCGTACGACCACTTCCCACCTTGCCCATCGATCTACCTCCTCAACTTCATTTTATTCCCTTCCTGTGATCTGATGCACTTCAACCTACACTACAAGGGAAAGAGAAGTTCTGTTGTACTCAACACAGACTGAGAAATTGCTAAGTGGTTGAAGGAACAGAATGGATGGTCTCACAATGTACATTTTGTTTGACTCGGTACATGTCTTGTATGCTCTTAGAATGACATATTATATATTCGTTGGATTTGGCGCTTACTTCGGTGGTACATATTGAACCGTGGGTAATCAAACCCGTGATTATCTCAACTGGTCTCCATTCCGTTTTGCGGTGAGTATCATCTCACCTTAACTCTATTGCCCTGGTCAAATTGTACAACCCAAATGGACAGACATATGACCCGATCCGCTGCCTCAAAACAAGCAGAGAATCCTGCAGGCCAGCGAAGCACAGCCTTGAAGGGTACTAAGGACAAGCAGAAAGTGGTAAAGGCGGCTGCAACATCGTCCGCCGCAGCTAAGAAGAAAAGTCAGAAAGCTCAGGAGAAGCAGAGGGAGAAGGAGGAACGAACGGATAGTACGTGCCCTTGTCTACTCCAACACACACTAATCAACTTCACTTTGCTGTGCGTGTCAGAGATACGCAAGAGAAAATCAAAGATGATGGAGGAAGATGAAGCATCGCATGATGAAGAGGACGTAAGGCCCCAGAAGAAGAAGTCGCGCTCGCGCAACGACAACGCACAGGAGGAGGACGAGCCTGCCAATGACACGGTGCAAGGCAACAAGGTAGCTGATGTGGTGATGCAAGACCAGACGGCTGACAGCGAGGGCAAGCAG